CAGGATCAGTTGGTGTCGCGCACCCATCAGGGCGGAGGCCACTCGATCCCGCGCACATCACTCATCACACATTACGCACGCACACTGCGGGCCCCGTTTGTCTGCGGGGTGTATTTTCCCTCAATAATTAGGTAGTCGTTGACGCTCCCCTTACCGATGACCAGCTGTGGCCAGCACTGTCCCTATTATTATGGAGAGCGGTGGAGGACGTTATACGGTACTTCGATTGCCACCACAGTGCCATGACTCGAATTCTCGTACCCAGTTACCGAGGCGGTGGCATGCCTCTAGAGAGATTTTCCTAGCCTCTTTTGAATCATGCCTATCTAGGTCAGGAGATGAGCCTGGCCTAGCCGAGCCCGAGAAAGTGCTCTACCGCCTCCGAACACCAGGGAACTAAGTCACTCTGCTACCTAGGTAAAATCAGAGTGTCGTCGATGACGCATTTATGCTTCGACTGGCGCATGGCGATTTGTCTGAGAGTGGATAAGGGCAGGCTCGCAGAGCTTTGGCACGCTCATGACTCGCCTTGGGCTGGTTTTTCGCTCTGCTAACAAATTCCTAGGCGCGCTGCACTATAGCCTGATCGGCCCTAGGCTTGATCTTCACAAGCTGTCCCGAGAGAGAGTCACATATCGACGTTTGCGGTATCGAAGCTGCCCGCGAGGTTGAGATAGAGTCCTGCCCACCGTAGTTGAGCAGTAGAGCCCCAAGTTCGCTAATATTAATCCACGAGATTCCATATTATACAGGGTCAGGGGTCCGCAGCGATAAGGTGGGGAGCAAGACAATAATTAACGACACTGGGTAATCAACCACTGGCACTCCTGTTTTGAGACAGCAAGCAAATGACGCAGTTAGAGAATGCGTAACTAGCAGGACAGTGGGATGTTTATGACAAAAGCACTCTAACCACGTATATGGCTACTTGCTCGAAATTGGTTCCATTCTTTCCTTTTTTTTTCTACTCCGGTAGCATACAACGGGTAACTCGTCGAGACACTTACAGTATCGTCTGGACAGGCCATCCGTTCTGCAGCCGCTCTACGCCGCCTCTCGAAAGATGGCACTTGGATAAGGGCGCCTCTGGTCGTTCGAGTGTGCACCTAACTATAAAAATGAGCTATCTAGAAGCCTGTCTGTATCCGTAGTATTTATTATCCACCCTGTCTGCCTAAGGTATGCACGTAACCCACGCCCTGCCCGACAGGAGACGTAGGACGCAGAGACCGAGTAACGGACCCTAGGTACTCCTAAAAGCCACTATTCTCACACGCTAGGTAGGTAGATAAGGTAGGTAGGCAGGCAGTTAGATAAGTAAAGTAGGTAGGTAGGTCTAGGTAGGTAGGTAGGTAGGCATGGGTACTAATAGTCCTCACAGGGGTGAGAGGGGGTGGCGCTTGAGGTGGTAAGGCAACTGAGATTCCACAGCTAGACTTGGCACGAGTCTTGAATTCGGCTGCCTACTAGTACCTCATAGTCGAGCATACACGCCGAATCCATATATACCTGCGTACACGAGGCCCTTGCCCGTACACATGGCGGGCACGGTAAATAGTACGTATGTATCTTGATCTTAAAGTGTGTATGGGTGCACTACAGAGGTGCCAGCGTGCTTTGGCGTTTACGAGACCAACATGCCATTCCATACAGTACATTTTCCCCCTATAACAGCGCGCCGGCGTCGGCCGCCCCCTCGATGTCCGTCTACGAAATTGAATACTGTACAAGCCTGCATCAATGTCTGACATGATTCATCACCCCTAGATCGTCGCCACGACTCGGTTTCCCTCGCTGTCACCACTAACTAGACTAGCACCGGTACATATACATTAAAAAAAAAACTAAAAAAAAAAAACGCAAAAACGCTTGAGAAATGGCGTCGTATACTAGGGACACCAATGCGTCGGGTAGCAGCCGCCGCGAGCTTGAACAGCGAAGATACAAGCTTTCTTCTAGGTCCAAGGCCGGCATCGCGAGAGGGATTTAGGCATATGTCATCTGCTATTCCATTAGGCAAAGACGCCGGTGATATAAGACCAGAAAGGGAAAAAAACCAACTATATTACTCGTCACGATAGCCCGTGATGATGAGTTCCTAGGTCTCGGGCCTCGGAAGCCCTAGACCTAAAGGCGTAAGGGTTATCCACCCCAAAGTGTCCCTCCGGATCCAAAAGGCGCCGTGCAGACATAGAGAGTTCAGGGAATTCGCGGCTTGGCGGTGATATGTGCGTGCTTCCGTTGCGTGTTCTCCCATCTGGCTCTGGGCCAAGGATGCTCGATAACCTTTAGACGGTGCCAACTTCCCGGGCGGACCTGCGTCATATCGAACGGCCCAGCGGGATTCGCAGAAGGATGATGTCCAGTGCCGAATTGCAGATGCGCGGGGAAGCGTCTCTGGGTTCGGGAGCATGCAGTCTGAAAGCTAGCCGCCGCCACGGTGCTGGCGAACGGGAACAACTCGGATATTATTGCCCGTCTGATTGTCGCCTGGCCCAGTTTGTGCTTCTTGCGCCTCCCGCGACGATGGGGGCGCCCGACGGTGTGGGCGGCGACGGCGAGCGGAATGCCGAGAAGGTGGGCGAGAGGTTATCGCGCGGCCACAATACCCATTTAGGTACATACATAGAAGTACTCGTTCGGGTGCGGTTGGGGAGGGGGTAAATAGTGATATACAGGCGTGGGAAATCGGGAGGGTCGCGGAAACTCGTGGACGTTGGGCTAAATTGTCCGGCGCCTTTTTATGATATTAATCGTTAGAAGATCCTCCTCCCATCAAACCACCTCGCCAGGGGGCCCGGGGTAGGGGGGGGGGAGTAGGGGGGTAGGGGGGCCGCGGGTGGCTTACATTGACCACACAGGCAATGTCCTGCAACTCTATGTAGGCGGTATGGAGGTGTGGGTGGATGGAGGTATGTATATGTAGTGCGGCTTGTAGATCGCGACACGACTCATATGACGAGAAACTCAGGAGGGGATGTTCGATCCGGCCTTCGAGTTACTGCAGCACCATATGCAATGGTACGCGTAGGGGCAACCCCGGTAAGCATCCCTCTCTGATCGGGCAATTTCAAGCAGAGAGTAATAACCGTCTCTCGCCCGGGGTCTGCACACCCCCCCCTGTCTTGCATATACCTCTTACACATTCCATCTCCCGCCGCGACGGTTTCTCTCTCTATCTATCTATGTTTCTCTCCTTCTCCTCCTCTCCCCCCTCCCCCTCCCTAATGTACACACTACGATCGTGTTACTGACTTCCCCTACCTATTACTGACTCCCCTACCTCAGTCCCTCTGTTCTCTCTCCCCCCCGCGGCCCCCCCACAGGTGCTAAGCAACCTGCCTACCTAGGCAGTGAGGTGTGTTGGTGTCGAGCCAATACCTGTTCCTCATGCTACCTAAAGCATGCGCGTGTACCTACGTGTGAGTGCGTGTACGCATGTATGTGTGTGTATGCGTATGTAGGTGTGTGTGTTTGTGTGTGTGTGTGCATGTGTGCGTGTGTGAGCGAGCGAGCGAGCAACTGAATACTCATATGGATGTGCGTATGTACGTATGTGAGCAATTGAGTGAGCGAGCGAGTGAGTGCAAGCCCACATCCCCCCTCCCCAGCCCAGTGTGCGAGTGAAGATATCTGTAGAAGTGCTGGAGGATGTGAGTCAATGTGTGTATGGGATGCTCAGACAGCTCATCTCTCCCCAAAGTCTAGATACAGCAATATCCTTTAAAACCATGTGGCCTCGGTACTCCGGTCAGTCAACCTACGCTATATAACCTACAAGTCAGTGTGCCGCCTAAAGATCAGCCTGTCAAGCCTTGTCATGTCCGTCGCCTTCTACACAAGTCAACGCCACATGCAACCATCAAAAGACTGTGGGGAGGTGGATACGACAAGACTAGGTTGTTCGGCGGTACATAAGGATACCATGTACAATCTTGACCTCGATAGCCTCGATATTACAGTCTGGGTGTGTATCGATGCTATCCCAGCTCGCCTTGCTCCTCTATCCCACGTAGCATTATCCCAACTCCTGTCCTTGTCTCTCGTGCCTCACATGCTTGGCCCCCCTCGGTTCTAGCTAGTCGATCAAAGACTATCTGCATACCTACAATACTCATCTACATCTAGGCCTCCACACCCTTCTCTACTTCTTCCAAGCTTCAACATCCCGTTTCAAAAAAAAAAAAAAGCATCAGTCTTTTTTTTTGGCTATTGCTTCCTTTTCTTTCCTTCGTTTACCTTTTCTATTTTCCTTCTTCTATTCTCCGCACAGCGTAGGATATCGTCAGTTCTCGCCCACCCTCGTAAGCTATTATTATTATTCTTGTTTATTACCATTCAACAACGCCTTTCCCAATTCTAGCTTTGAGCTGCACTCCCTTCCCGCCTACACCATCGGTATATATACTAACAGGGTTTCTGTGTCTTTGGCCATTCTCGGGGGGAATCTGTGGAGTCTTACCCTTTTACTTTTTTACGCCAGACATTTCCACGGCCTCGATCTTCTCTCATTGCTCTTGCTCTGCCATCTCGAAGAAGCAGAGGGGGGAAGGGGACTGGGATTACAACGCCAGGGAGCTACTGCACGGAGCCGCTATCTACCACATCTGTGTCTGCGCTTGCATTTCCTCCACCGGGGAGACAATTAAAAAAAACCTAGGGCCCTCGAGAATAGATGTTTATTTGGGTATGTGGATTAATGTGCAAGGAAGGTCCTAAAGGCTGACTTACATATTCCTGCCATTAGGGACCTTCATATTCATAAATTAACCCGGGTCTCTACTATCATCGGTGTGTGTGTCCCCAAAATTTCCATACGTTTTGCCTCGTTTTAGGTTCGAAAACACAAACCTCGTGGAAAACTATAGTTAGGCACGGCGTTCCTTTCCTGCGGCACCGGTTCGAGAAACATCTCGAATTCCTACAGCCTCTCGTATGGCTCGCTAACGTCGTTGCTAGATTCCACCGAAGGAGAGGCTGGAGCCTTGTCTACTCGCAATATGTCTATTCTCCCCGTACCTTCTTCGCCCCGAGACATTAGCCTTTCTTACACGTACTCTTGGGGAGAGACTTGCGCCGAGCCAGAACCTCAACCCGGCGAGACCCCGAGGGTTGCTCTACCATCTATTCGACAGGTCTCTAAGAGTAATCCCCCCCCTCGGTGTTCTATATCACACTAACCAAAGAACCAGGTCATCCCGGAGCTACAGCTTAAAATACGGAAAGATGTTCCAACTAAGCCGTCGTCTTCTGTATCCACGCCCCCCTGTGATTCCTTCAACAGTGCAGTAATGGGAACGCCGGAGTATATCCATTCGCCGAATCGGACAAGACAGGGCGCGTCCTCCGAAAGCGAGGAGGACCTCGAAGATAATTATCGGATGCCACGACGATACGCTAGCACTCGCGGAGAAGTTTCCCAACAGCCATCGCCTCCTTTGGGTCTTGGAGCAGCCCCAGAACCGTGGGCAAATTCGCACCAGGGCAGTCCGCACGGCAGAAATGGCACTCTTCCGCAGATCCAATCTCCTGTGAGGTTAGAAACGCGCGAACGGGCGGAACCTCGCCCTACCCTCCCGAGCCTACCGTTGTTAAACTTGGAACGCGAAAGAACTGAGCCAACGTGGATTCCTGTCCGCTCGGGCGATGAACACGTTCAGGATGTGAGACGACCAAGTCTCCCCGGCGACCGTTACCGCGCCCTCGAACCAGGGCTTTCGGCAAGCAATCCTTTTCACATGTCCGAACTGGGACCCTCCCCGGCCAGATACCATCACGTTCCGCAACCGGGACCTACCACTTACCTGCCAGCAAACACCGGCTACGGCTATCAGCATCCCAGCCGCATTCAGGCTCCCCCTGTCGGTACCCCACACCCCTACGATAGGCCAGCCTTACCATCGAGACCGTACGCGCAAGATCAGTTTCAAGACGACTTCTTCCGCCTCGGCGAGTACGGCATTGGGTTGCAGCGGAGCGATGCGAGGCAACGGAGGCGCCGTGGGAATCTACCCAAGGAAACTACGGACAGGCTCCGTACTTGGTTCTTCTCTCACCTTCATCACCCGTACCCGACAGAGGACGAGAAGCAAGAAATGATGAGGCAGACAGGCCTGCAGATGAGTAAGTCCGACCCGGGCCGATTATTCTTCGAATTTAAGGATAAGGGTGGGGATATGCTATTTTGCTCCAGGGGCGTGGCGTATGAGGTGTTGGGGTGGTTTTTTTTTTTTTTTTCAAAATGCTATATATGTGTTGGCTAACCAAGATCTCTCGACCAAAAACAGATCAGATCTCGAACTGGTTTATAAATGCGAGGCGGCGACAACTGCCGGCTCTGATCAATAACGCTCGTGCTGAGTCCGACGCCATGACCGGACGCAGCTCCGACGGCAATCTCCTACCATCGACAGAACGACTCGACTACGATGCCGACGCTAAACCTCTGAGCGAGGGCGAGGGCGCCTCTCCCCACGATTTCGGGATCGAGGCCATGAAACGACGCAGAGTTGCCAAAATCAGCCGGGGTAGTATTTAAGGGGCGATGACACCGGGTCCCCTGAAATGTGTTTTGTGTTCTCTGGTTAATTGAGAGAAGAACTCGAGCCCGTCTTGAGGGCAGGCCCTAGAGCCGATCGGCCTATTATACCTAAAACCCGGGTCAGGTTGGTAACAGCTCTCGCCAACGTCTGCTTCCTACGGTACTCGTGGGGAGGAGTTCGCGTCCGTCTCCGACTTGCAAAAGCATCGTGCCCGTACTTGGAGAGTGATTCTTCTTTTTTCTCCTGTGCTGCTTAGTAACGATATTATGTTCTGCATCTTTATACGGGATTTCATACGGGATTGGCCAAAAAAAAATCCTTTTGCAGTGCCTTTTTTTGTAGGGAGACCATCATTCTCAGTACGGCTTAGGCGTATTGGAATTCGGCTTCGGCTCCCCTAGGAAATATGGGAAGGATGTACATTATTATCCTAGACTAATTAAGGGGGTGCCGTTACCATTGTGAAGCGTCAGTATGAGTAGAGGCATTATTGTACCCTGTAAATTTAGCCTCAACTGCAAAGTGCACTATCCGGATGATAGAAGAGGCCATTGGTTCCTAATATCGTCTACCGGGCCAAAGCCTCCTGCATCTATGAATGAATCCGTAGGCCCTGGACAGGGCCATTCCCGACCTTCAAAAGAGGCACATATTCCCCCAGTCACAAGCTAGGAACGGTTCCGAAGTGCTATGAGAGATGACTTGGTCCCGCCGTGATATCTGCAGTGTTTCTTGCACTAACAATCAGGGAGTAGCATATATTGTCTTGCATATTCCTCTCCCCTTCCCGATCGATATATTAACTGCAGATGTCCGTGGACGTGGAGATATCCAACCGCAGAAATCCGTTGGCTACCGACTTCGACGTGATGGCCACCTAATCTCGCCGGATCGCACAGTTTCATCAAGTCTAGATCGTGACTCGATGGTGGCAACCACACTCCCACGGCGGAGTCGGATGACGACAGAAGTTGCAGAACAGCTGACACGTCCTCCTATCTGCTGCTGCTCAGAGGAAGAGTCCCACGGAAACCCGATAATGAGCTCACTTCTCCTGCAAGCGGACGTCGTGCCATAGTCTATCCTGCCGGCCCAGTCATGGAAAGGCCAAAGTCTCACTAGCTCGGCAACCGATGCCCACGCTGAGCTCGCGCCATGAGGGAACGACCCGCTGATGAAACAAAGAAACGGGATCTAATCGACTCTAGATGAGCACGACATATGAGACCTCCTCCCCTCCCCGCCCCCAAGATACGGGACTCGTCTTGAGGATCTGGCCAGACGGCTCGTTTGATATCACCATGGACGCGGTAATACATGAAATACTCGGCCTAGCAGGTTACCTTCGGCTGCCACTATGGACAGACGTTGGATGTTATGGGGAGGAAGAGGAGGTTAGGCTAGTGTACATTAGCATGACACCCCCCAGCTGCCCTAGCCTAAGAACAGTGCTAGAACAGTGATGCTTGTCCATGAGGTTTCCCCAAGTGCTCGACATCTCATCCACGCTACCCTACTTTACAGCACATACACGCCTCATTATTGATGAGGCTTTTCAATGAAGGCCACGTCTCCCGGCCTCCCCCCCTTACAAGATCACGCTCGCCAGACGTATCAGTTGCAGCACGGATCTCCGGCCGGCCAAGTCCCCTGACTTGAGACAATGGCGTTTTCTCCGGACAAATGCAGAGTCAATGTCTTTCAAAATTTAGGGGGTTGACAGATGCCCTCGTTCATTTAGTGATGTCTTGGAGCGAGCGCTTGATGGGTCTGGGTTGATGACATTTAAGACATTTCACTTGAGCCGCGCTGGAGAAAGGCGGTTATATGTGGCGGTTATATGCCTAATCGCACCCCTGAAAGAGAGAAAAACAAGCAAGAGAAAATACCTAGAGCGGTGTCCGTAAACTATGATGCATTCTCTCCTCTTACGTGTCCCCGTTCCCCCTCCCCTCTCAACCGTATTATATACCTACAAGTGCGGATCAAATCTAGGTTCCAAGTCCTCGGTTGTATGTACGTACGTCTTCATCATAGTGCTCGAGTCCGCAGTAGCATAAGGCAGACGAGCGAGCTGTTGCCGACGACTTTACCCACTCCATCACAGACTAGTGGGTTGCCCAATTCCTTGGATTTCACCTCCATCATTTATGGGAGTGATTCTACAGTACAGAAGTCATGCAGGCGGCCGATTTCCCACCGTGGTCTTGTCTGCGGCCATAGCGGTCAAAGGCAAAGTTGAATTGCTCCCGAGAACACCGCGCAGACAGGTATTAGTCGGAGGCCAAGTTGAAATAATCCTAAATCCTCTTCACTAACCCAGATGGCCGAGGCAGGGTCCGTTTCCTGCGCGGTGGCTGCGAAGCTTGTTAGGCTGGACATCCCTCCCTCCACGCCCTGCTTCTGTCCGCATGATCTTAGGTTGGTCTTGCGTCAACTGGCACGCCGAGCCGTGAAGTATCGGATGGGAGATCTTGGTAGGTACTTAAACACGACGACCGGAAACCTAAATGTGTCGTCACGTCCGACCACGTTGGCCGCAGATAGGCTCGGAGTCCTGTCAAGACAGGACAGAGAAAACGATTTGTCCTCCTCAGGGGATCCCTATTCCCCCTAATATGTCCTATGTGTATATGTGCAGATGTGATCTCATAGCCATATAAGGGTGCTTTGGGGGTTTCCGGTTGACAATGCACCCATTCCCATCCCATTCGATACATCGTCGGTCTACATTGTTGCCGTCTAGTGTGGCGCCGTTCTCCTTAGTGTGTCTCGTCTGCTTTCCAAGCGACTGGATCCGACCTGGGCAGGTCTGTGGCCGACTACAAAAGGATCACTGATCCATAGCACGTCTCGAAGGTCTGGAGGGCTATGACTCGGGGCCGATCGAAATTTTGATACCCATCAGAGAGTAGAACGGCCTCCCACTACAGGAATGTCAAAGCCTCCAAGGAATAGCTCTGGGCTAGTGGACGTTTCTACCGAGCTCCACACCATGGACTCGGGTTTCCGGCACCATTTTAGGCTCCACAAGGCACCTACAATGGGGTTCATGGGCTGCCACCTCGAATCCAGCCTACGCCTACGTGCTAGCTAGGGTGCTGGCCTCTTTCATTCGTTCCGACCTGTCTTACGGATGCTGATGTAGATCTACAGTTGTCACTCCGTCAGTCGAAATCCTGTCCCCCTTTCTAATAGTGCTGGGACTGTGGACGACCGCCAGCACTAAGCTCTCCCCCCCCCCCCCCCCCATCTCTTCCAGCGGGGGCTCTACTACTGCTGCCACTATGACCCACTACCCCCCCTACCGCTACTACTGCTACTGCATAGTACTTTTCCGGCCCTTGCGGAGACGAAGCCGTTCCTGAGTGTCATCGATCGAGATGTTGGGAGGAATACTCTGCAGTAGTCCCGCCCGTTAAATGCTGTATCCCGAGCCACCCAGACGGCCGGGGTTGGGCTTGGGATTTCTTCCACCTCCGGCACTAGTTATGTCGCCTACTACGCTACGTCTAGCGTTGTGAACTCGAGTCTTGAAGGCACCGCGGGCTCGACCGCTCATAGTGAATGAATCAGTACGCCGTGTCAGATCATTGTGGACAGGCGGCTTCGCTTAGTATGTACGGTGACCTGTTATTTCGACCGGACGGATCTCGCTGCAACTTGCTTTCCCACTCTGGCCACGGTACAGGTACGGCAAGCGTGAACATCGTACCATAGCCGCGTAGGTATGACACTCCTATATGACAGGTCGTTTGCAAAGGTCATGTTACTTCACCTGCAGGCCTTCGTTCCCCGACTCACACGTCCCCAGCTCGTGGGATCATGTGTTGCGACGGATTTCATCGCTGTGTAGGTATAGGCCTGTGGTTATAGGTCCGTAATTCCTGGCTCGGCCACAGCTTATTTTGGTGTATTTCTTCCTGTGTACCGAAAGCGTGACAGGTGCTGGGACGAATCTCTCAAGGGGCTTGTTTACGAGTTGCGAGGAGAGAGGGCGCAAGGAAGGGGCAGAGACGAGAGGAGTGTAGGCTTGATATACTACCCCTGTCTCTGTGTATAGTGTTAGCTATAATCGAGCAGCTAAGGCTATGCATGATAGTAGTTATAGGCATGTAGGTATTGAATCGGATCCCCGCGAAGGAATGTGCTCGGTATCTTATGAGACATAGGTAATCTAATATACTAAGATCAAACCTGCGCCACAGTCCGAAATAGGCCACAGTCTTACGAAGGTAATTGGTCCACGAAAATGGCGAAACGGTCATAATCACGTAAGCCGCTCTACAAAGCCACACGAAGCCACACGCCTACGTCTTACCTACGTACCCGCACGCCTACGTCTAGAACGTTCGTACCTACGTACCCGTACGCTTACGTTTGGAACGATCGTACCTACGTACCTATACGGTTACGTCTATAGCGTTCGTACCTATATACTTATACGTTACTTATAATAACGCTTCACGATATATATTAATAATTTACATTATACGTTATACTTACTTATAAAATATATATTAATTAAATGATTTAGCCTCTTAAATTAAATATCCGTTTTAATAATATTAATTAATTAATTTAACCTCTTAAATTAAATATCCGTTTTAATAAAATACGTAGAAGTGCGGAGCGCTTTTCTAGGTTTTCGTACTAAAAACTTAGAACCTTTCCGAAGGCTGGAAAAAAAGGGATTAATAAGAATCGACGCTTAATTAAACGAGAAATTAACTTAGATTAAACAGGAAGAAACTAACCTAGATTAAACGGTAAGAAACTAACCTAGATTAAACGAGAAACTAACCTAGATTAAACGAGGAGAAACTAACCTAGATTAAACAGGGAAAAACTAACCTAAATTAAATAAAAAACTAACCTAGATTAAACAAAAAACTAACTTAGATTAAATAGAGAGAAACTAACCTAGATTAAATAAAAAACTAACCTAAATTAAACTACGAAAAAGGATTAGTAATCGATTTTTAAACGGGAAGAAACTAACCTTAATTAAATAGGATTAAAATATATAAGAAATAGGATTAAACGCGTAGGTAAATAGATAGACGCGTATGCTACGGTTTTATTAAATACATCCCTTTTAAGCAGGTTATACGAACTTTTAACTAATTAAAACGGCGTATACGAACTTTTAGCTAATAAAACTAGAGTTTTCCTTAAATAACACTTCTTTATAAGGGTATTTATATGGTTATTTATAAGAGTATTTAACCCCGTAATTAATTAGTATAATAGTAGGTTATACGTATTATAACTATCCTCTAGATAGGATAATTACTTTAAACTTATAAATTAAAGTCTTAATACTAAATAAAACTTAATAATAAAATAAACTATATAATATATAATAATCTATTTAAACGTTTACGTTTATATATATTAACGCTTAGAATAAATAGAATAAATAGAATAAATAGAATAAATAGAATAAATAGAATAAATAGAATAAATAGAATAAATAGAATAAATAGAATAAATAGAATAAATAGAATAAATAGAATAAATAGAATAAATAGAATAAATAGAATAAATAGAATAAATAGAATAAATAGAATAAATAGAATAAATAGAATAAATAGAATAAATAGAATAAATAGAATAAATAGAATAAATAGAATAAATAGAATAAATAGAATAAATAGAATAAATAGAATAAATAGAATAAATAGAATAAATAGAATAAATAGAATAAATAGAATAAATAGAATAAATAGAATAAATAGAATAAATAGAATAAATAGAATAAATAGAATAAATAGAATAAATAGAATAAATAGAATAAATAGAATAAATAGAATAAATAGAATAAATAGAATAAATAGAATAAATAGAATAAATAGAATAAATAGAATAAATAGAATAAATAGAATAAATAGAATAAATATTATTATATAAATTAGGAAAGCTACGTAAGTATTTAGGTTACTTTATAATAATAAAATATAGGAAGAAGAAAGTAAATTAACTAATTATTTAAAAAGAAAAAAGAAATAAAGAAAATATAAATTACCTATATATAAATAATAAGAAGTTACGAGTTATATTATATAAGTAAATTAGAAATCAAGGCAAGTAAACGAGTAATTAAAGAAAAAGTAAAGAGCTATATATAGGTAGATTTTTACGTAATAGATATAATATTTAATAAAATTAAAAAGTAATACAAAGATTAAATTTTAAAAATAAAATAATAAATAAAATAACAAATGAATAATAGTAATATTAAAGTAATAATAAGATAATAATAAATTAAATTAATATTATATATTAATTAAAGTACCCTTTATATACCTATATACCGTAAAGTATAAATAAAATACGCTAAAGTACTTCGCGCTTCTCTAGGTTTTCGTATCGAAAACTTAAAACCTCTTTAAAGGCTAGGAGAAAAAGGGTAAGTAAGAATTGACATTTAATTTAACTACGAAAAAGAATAAATTAATAATTAATTCTTAATTAAACGGAGAGAAATTAACCTAGATTGAATAGAAAGGAACTAACCTATATTAAATAAAGAGAAATTAACTTAGATTAAATAGAGAGAAATTAACTTATCCTAAATGAAAAGAAATTAACCTAGATTAAATAGAGAGAAATTAACTTAGATTAAACGAAAAGAAACTGACCTAGATTAAATAAAAAAAAAAGTAACCTAAATTAAATAGAGAAAAATTATCGTAAATTAATTTATATATTAATAGAATTAAAATAAGTAGATAATAAACATATTAGTAAGTAAATAAGGATCCTATTACGTATGCTATAGTTTTATTAGATATATCTCCTTTAAATAAGCCATACGAACTTTTAGCTAATAAAAATAGAATATCTTTTAAATAACTTTATAATTATAAGGTTATTTATAATGTTATTTATAAAGTTATTCATAAAGGTATTTTTATAAAAGAATTACTCTTATGAATAAATTAATATAATAAAAGATTTAACGTATTATAACTATCCTCTAGATAGGATAAATATTTACGTTTTATATAATAGATAATAGTATCGTAAATAACCTAATTATCCTTTAAATAAACTAAAACCCCTCCGGCCCCCCGAAGGGGGGCCCTGGCATGCTCGTATACGCCGAGGTGAGGAAGAGAAAGATACGATCGAGGAGAAATCGGCGACAAACTGTCGTGAAGACCTAGAGAGGCTAGCATGCCTACGGAGTCTATAGGCGAGAGAATAGATCTACGTTACTAGGTTAGCGAATTACTTACCAGGTAAGCGACCTTTAAGAGATAGAGTACGTCGATGATGAAGCGAGTGAGTTTAGTTGCAGCGTGTAAGGCCGTTGGGTCTATTTCGTTTCATTACCAGAGAGAATATTATAATTTATCATAGGCGTATTAGCAAGCAAGAAGTAATATACTTACTTGCGTCCCTAACGAAGGATAGTAGTAGGTATTGTTATTAATATCCCAGTCTGTAGGTAGGTCTTACTTGGTACAGGAATAGACGTGTTAACGGCGAACTCCCGCTATGCAAATATGCACACATGCATTCATGCGTGGGACGTGCACGAAGCGGGGCGGAACCAGGATGTCGGGTTTCGGACCCGCCGGCATCCGACTGAGGTCAGGTGCTCCAGAAGTGACGGGGTGCCGTTGACAAATGGGTACAGAGGTACATACTATACGTGATCCGACTCAAGCCATTCCTCTGTGACGCGTTCGAAGGCTGCCGTCAACATCGCATCGTCGACACGGAAACCCGTCAGCATATGCGAAGCGCCGCTTGTATCAAGGCGGATCCCGGTGCACCCCTCTTTCGAGGCTGTTTTAACCCTGTACGCCATCTGGCCCGCTTGACACCATGCCAGACGACGAATCCCCCCTTGAGTATCCTTCCGGCGGTCCTGCCGGGGAAATAATGGTAACGTGCCACCCCCTATTTGTGAGATCCGGCCAGCTGATGCCGCAAGCAGTCATGCATCTCCTGCAGGTACGGTAGCGTCTAGTACCTCTCTTACAGCAGTCGCTGCGTTTACCAGGAGCTCACCGACTGTAGAAATCGAAAGCTCAAGTGTGACCGCACCAAGCCTCGGTGCAACCGCTGCGAGAGGGCCGAGTCTGAGTGCATCTATCCCGAGTCTCGCAGGAAGCCGACCTTCAAGCGGCCCAGCGTGAAAGAGCTCGAAGCTCGCCTAGGTAGTTATGGCCCAGAGTCTTCGGATGCGAGGGCCCCAGGCTGAGTGAGACACGGAACACAGCTCAAGTCGAGGTGCTCCTGAAGGAGGTAGGCGAGAAGAGGTCTTCTCACGAAAAGGCTGCCGAGCCGGCCGAGATCCCACCCTCAGAGATCCCGCCCGCCGAGATCCTGCCCGCCGAGGTGCCGGCAGCCGAACATGGTGGCATCCTGGGTATGGGCTTTGAGGAACCCGATATCTTTCTGGGCCCGTTTTCCGATGACGCCTCATTCCCGTTCCAGCCAGACCCGCCGGCGACGGCGCCGGTGGAAAGTTCAGATGGCCAAGACCCGCACAGTAGCATCCCTCTCGATGGGAAACTCATCGACCTCGGGGGGGTATTCGAGAGCCTGCCTCCTTTCGAGGTGATGGAGGAACTGTGAGCAATATCAACCTAGACTCTGCCCAGTCACTTATGCTAGCAGCAATCGCCTGTTCTTCGAGCACCACCAGCCTCTCCTCCCTATCATCCACCCCTGCCGTTATCAGCAGGCCTTCCATTCGGCCCCGCATATGAAGCCACCGATGTGTCTCCAATATGCGATATGGGCTCTCACTACCAGCGGTTATCCTAGATACGAAGCCTGCCATGACATCTTCTACCGGCGGGCCCGGCAGTACGCCGAGTTAGACGAATTGAAGGCAAGCCATTAATTTCATCCCCCATGTCTAGCTAGTATCGCGCTGACGCCATCTTTCCTTCGGACAGGGCCACGGCGAGCATTTCATCACGGTAGCCCACGCTCAAGCATGGTGCGTGATTGCTACTTACGAAGCCAAGAATACGATGTTCACTCGGGCCGCCATGAGCTGCTCGAGAGCGGTCCGCTTAGTGTCAATGATGGGTCTCCACCGACTCGACGGTGCCTCCGAGGAGATAAGTCCGGCTCTACTTCCCCCTAGAGATTGGATCGAATTGGAGGAACGGCGGCGAGTCTTCTGGGGAGTTTTTGGTATCGACAGTCACTGTTCCATCTCAACCGGCTGGCCGCAGCTCATCGATGTTTCCGAGGTACGATGCACGTATACGACAAGAAAGACAGCTACAGTTCATGCTAACACCCCTCTTAGATTACCACTCTGCTTCCCGCCGTCAGTCACCTTTCCCTACATACGCAGATCTCTACAGAGCGGCAGCGCCATGTGCCTCCCAAACTGACCGCGCGGTTATTTTCAGACTGCTGCTAACACGCTCATCCCGTAGTCCGACTCCGCATTCAATAGGGGAGAACCAGAACAGACAACCAGTCTCCACGATGCCTTCAAGGGAAGAGTATATTCATCCTTCGCTGGGGCTATTCTAGTCTGTCACATGTACGTTGCGACCCCGACCTTGCCTTAGTAGCACTCGAGTGTCCTTCTGACTGGGGATTCCTCAAGATTCAATCAAATCCTCAAACATGTTAACAAGCCCAAACCCAACGATAATCCCGATAATTATGAGTATGGTGAATACTGGCAACGGCACCGTGAGATTGACAACACGTTGTCGAGCGCGTTCATGAATATGCCGGAATCCTTTCGGCTGCCCGAAAACTACCGTGACCTGATAGCCGTACATACGAACCTCAACCTACACGCCTCCATTATATGTTTGCACCATTCGGCAATAGATGCCATAAATACTTTTAGTCTGCCCGATTTCGCGAAGAAGGCTAGCGAGGCCCGCTTGACCGCGGCGGCTCGGGAGATCGTCTACATAATTAAGCTGACCAGCCAGGTTAATTTGTACCCTGTAAGCGATGCCCTCGAGATGCGCACCCCCTCTCCTCCCCCCAACCCGAAACGATTACTAACGTCACAGTAGAAAAGCCCGCTGGCTGCACTATCGCTTTACTGCGCCGCCACGGTCTTTATCTACCTATGTAAGGAATCACCAACAGGTGCTAACCTTAGCGATCTTCATTTTATCATCGCTACTATGGACGGTCTTTCGGAAGAGCATGTTATCACCCGTTTCTTCCTCCATCAGCTGGTCCTCGACATAGAGCGAAATGATCTAGGGCATATTGTAAAGCTTCCGTCCCTAAGCAATTTGAGCGCAGAGGATAGGGCCAATGTTCCTCATAACATACCTCTGCTCGCTCGGTGTGCAATATCGCGGCATAGTCAAGTCCTGCCACCATTGCCTGGACGCTTGCCGCTGGGGAGGCCACTAGGAAAAGTCATCCCCGTGGATAATCGATGTGACTACGCAAGTTGGACAACGCCCCCCCTTATTTTCGAGGATCCCTCACCAGAGAGCGACTATAGCCGTAGCAACAAGCGGAAGCGTAATTCGCCATCTTCTGGTATCCATGCCGCGGACGGTGATGCTGAGACCTGTACTCAGTTCCTAGCCGGGAATGGATCTAATGCCGAAGCGTCATGCGCATCCTCGGCCCATCCATCGCCTGCGGAAGCCTTCGTCGGCGGTAGCAACGCCGCTGCAACTTCTGTACCGACGTCTCATGCCTTCTTCTCCGATGTGGGGGGTCCGTCGATGCAACACGTGGACCTACCGCATGGCACGGGCCCCCCCGTCGTCAATGGAGACATTGCATCTACGTTACAGCAGGATAACATAGGCGGCGGCGGTAGCGGCGGCGGCATCATTCACGGTCTTGGCTCTAGCAGCCCCTCTGCCAACATCAGAGCCGCCCTCACCGTGCTCCGGAGCATGGACCCGAGGCCTCTCTTCGCGCCGCCCACCCGCGAACACGACCAGACGCAAATGCCTACAGGGGCGGGGAACGGTGCCGAAGTCGGTGCCAACGGCTGGTATATGGCCGGCGCCTCTCCGCGGACGCAATTTGCGTACGGCGGGGACGCTAGTACCGCCACCGCCAACCCCAACGCGCATCTACACTGGCGCGCGAGCGGGACCAGCAGCGAACATCCGGGAAACCCGTATCGGAACTTTCCGTGGGGCCTGATGGGCGGCTAGAGCGGAAGGGGGGAGGATAAGGAGAGAGCGGGGCGGGAAACGGAGGGAGCGGGGTCAACGCAGTCAAAGGAAAGACAGGGCGCATATTCAGAGCGTGGGTTAATACCCCCCGGGATACGGCGCCATGGTATATGCATCTATCCTCCCTAGATCTTGGATATTTGGAGTTTAGGTATTTTTAGAGGCGCGACATCTACCCACCCCCTACTCCTATGCTATAGTGTTATCTAACTCATACCTATATAGCTCATCAAACCACCTTAGTTTCTTCGATGTGACCTTATGAGATACTGAATATGTAGCACGGTGACTCATTCTTCAGCTTCATGGTTCCCGCCGCCTATTCTGCTGACCTAGGTACCACAGGGCATCTTACAGTTACTCGATATATTCGATGTAGCCTCTCTCCCAGTGTATCATCAGAAACCCTCCCCCTTGCCACACTCGGCTCAGCCTAGGGCGCGGGAAACCGCACCTACTTCATGCCCTCCCCCTAAACTCGACTCTTCCGAACTCCCGTAACGATCACGGCTCCTCTCTAGCGAGCTTCAAGGCGGTGCGGCTGCAACCGGGATGATAGCTTCGAAGTTCCAGTCGAAGTCGTCGATGAAGCTCCAGTCGATATGCGGGAGGGAGGCGTCGGGCGCAGCGACCCCCGCCGCGCCGCCTAGCGCCGCTGGCGTGTCGTTTGCACCGGGACCCGGGGCGGCGGCGGACGCGCGGGCGAGGCCGGTCAGGTGGTCGCTCTTCCAGCGGGTGATGCAGTCGAAGGCGACGCCGGCGGCCTGGCGGGAGAAGGCGCGGCACCGGGGGTCGTCGGCGGGGGCGGGGGCGGGGGCGGGGCAGCGGGCGAGGCGGTCGGACCAGGCGTCGAGGAGGGCGGCGGCGCGCATGGGCAGGTCGCCGTCGGCGACGGAGGCGGCGCGGCAGACGGCGACGGCGTCGGCCGCGGCGCGCGCCGCCTCGCCGCCGTCCAGGAACGCCATGTACGACGACCGCCGCAGCCGGTACACCACGCACGCGGCCGCCAGCAGCGCGCGGAAGTGGAAGTGCGGCAGGTGCCGCAGCAGCGGCGGCGCCCGCCCGCCCGCCTCCAGCGCCAGCGCCGCCCGCAGCGCCGCCCGCGCCGTGTGGTACGCCCGCACGACGTCGCGGCGCGTCCGCGCGCCCGCCGCGGCACAGGGCGGCGAGGCGTCTCCCGCCGGCATGAAGTAGTACGTCTGGATCTCGAGCTGCACCAGCAGCGCGTAGAACTGGGCGAGGTCGTCTGCGGGCGGCGAAAGGGGGGGGGGGGAACTAGGGTCAGCGAGCGCTCAGACTGTACGTGCGGAGGTGGCGGGAGGGGAAGGGAGGGGAGACGACGACAACGCACCGGCTCGCTCGGAGCAGACGAGCGCGCGGATGGCGTCCCACTCGTCCTCGAGCAGCTGGACGACGTGGGGGGACACGCCGCGGGACTCCTCGAGGCAGGCGGCCATGGTCTTGCCGAGGCGGTGGCAGAAGCGCTGGCACTCGAGGAGGACGCGGAAGGAGGGGGGCACGGGGAAGGGGGCGCGGCCGTCGACGAGGTCCTGGACGGGGCGGTTGAAGAGGGCGCCGAGGGGCGGGATGCCGAGGGTGGAGGCGACGCGCTGGGCGACGACGTTGTAGCCGGCCCAGGCGAAGGCGGCGTCCTCGTCGGAGAAGGCGCTCTGGAAGGCGCCGTGGCTGAACTCGGGGTGGGCGCCGCGGCCGGTGTGCACGCCGAGCTGCAGCGCCGCGTTCATGCAGACGCCGGCGAAGAGCGCGCTCGGGTCGTGCAGGAACCGCACGTCCGGGTACATCCACGTGCACAGCAGCAGCAGCGCGTTGACAGCCGCCAGCGACAGCGGCGCGCCCGCCGCCGCCGCCACCGCCGCCGCCGCCTCCCGCCTCACCGCGTCCAGCAGGAACCCGAACACGCCCGGCCCCCGCGCGTACCGCCGCGCCGCCACGTACACGATCGTCCAGAACAGCAGCGTCCCGGACTCGTAGCACCGGTTCGGGTCCCGGCACCGCACGATCGGCATGTACGGGTGGAAGCATTCGAAGTACCTGCGCCCTCGGTCAGATGGGGATCGCAGGGAGGCACGTCCGAAAGGCGTGCGGCGCCGAGGCGCGGGCGCGTCTGGGGGTGCTGCCGGACCTACTTCTGGAAATAGTAATCGATATCCTCTCCCGAGAACGGCTGCGACCCGAGAGCTCTCGGCAGGCTCGGCTGGACGGGCGGGTTCTGGGCGAGGGCGCCGGCCGCCGTGGGGGTCTGCAGGACTGAGGACGGCGCAACTGTCGCGTCGGGTGGACCGACAGCGGGAGTGGCACCGGTGGTCAGGGGATCGAGGCTCGCTTCTGGTGCCGTCATCGCGCTTGCAGGGGACGACATGCCCAGGCGCGACGAGCCGGGCTCCTTTGAGGACGAAACGGCAGCATCTTGTGGTGGGCGGTTTGTTGCTGGAGTTGGTAGCAGTTGGGTCGACTGTCCGCCCACGCTCTGCTTGATGGATCGGATTTCTTGGACGAGCTCGTCCAGCTTGCTAAGACCATTCGTTCAGCCACTTTGTTTCAGGGGACGAATACCGAGACAGCGTAGGTGTTGCATTTGACATTTGACATTTGTAGGTGGGCATATTTATTTTAATAGGTATGATATACTCACCTTTTACGGCTCACCCTCTTGTGTGTCCTGTCGACGACGCAGGTCAAGCCGAGCTTGGCGCATCGCTGACAGAAGGGCTGCGCCGGATCGCGGCCCGGGTTGCAGCGGACCTGGAAAGAGGGGCTGGTCAATACGTCGCCGCGATAGCTTCACTCATGGACGGATGGGCAGCGGGACGGATCAGAAGACGGACACGGCCCATCCGGTAAATGGCATGGCCAGGCGTACCTTGGCGTCGCGGCAGCTGGTGCAGGCGGTGTTTCGCTTGATCCGGCCGAACGAGGCCGTGATTGGCGACGGTAGCGTGTCCCGGCTCGTATCCGACATGGTTGCAGCTGGGCATGTGCGGCTCCGAGAGCTTGGCTGCTGGCCCGGGTGACAACCGAGCAGGATGGAATGCGGTTGGTTTGGCCGGGTCCGAAAAGGGATAGCACACCAAAACCCGTAGCCGACTCGGCAACGCCCCAAGTCATATTACCTAAGGCGGCGCGCCAAGTCTGTCTCCTGTGCATCGTCGCCGCGTCGGCAGCGATCCCAGCGAGAGCCAGTCTCCGAGCCTCTGAGCCCCACACGCGTTCTCCGTCTGTATTTCTAGCGGATACGACCACCTCCTACTCGGGAGAGTGAGTCTCAGAAGCTCGCGGGCGACTGGGCGTCGGAGCCGGTACCGCTTATGGCTGGCTGGTGGGACCGCCAAGCTGCCAACCAATATCGCATACCCCCTGTCGCATATGCAACCGCTTAACTGGATATTCCCTGGAGCGCGATGTTAGGAGCAGAGTGAGACAGAAAAAACCCTCCCCCCCCCTTTCACACACGCTGTGCGCATCTCCGAATCCTCGCTCCCCATCCCACCCCCGACCCATCTCGGCTGCTCATAAGCCCGCCGCATCCTACACCTGCCTATTTTCGCAACGCCGTCCCCCTGTCTTGACACCGCGCCGCCGTCCGCAGATCATGAGTACCAGTTGGTGGCCGCTATGGGGCAGCCCCGAGCCCGAGGCGGTGATGGAGGCCGCGCCGCCGCACCCGTACTACCCGCTCGGCGTGTCCGTCCCGGGCTACGCCGCTAACGAGTCGCCCGTGCCGGTACTGCTAGCATCCTTCGCCGGCGTCCTGACCTTCGTCTTGGCCGGCGCCTCCGCCGTCGCCCTGCGCCTCAACCCCAGCCTGTCCAGGTCGAATCTCGCCGTCTTCGCCTGGTTCGTCCTGAGTAAGCAAGCTGCCCCTCCCCCCCCCCTCCGCGAACCGGATCTCGTCCCGCTCGTCGCTAACATATCCCACCACTTCCCCCCCTTTTTTGGTCGTAAATAGATGGCTGTCTGCATTGTTTCTTTGAAGGTACGTCCGTGCGCGTGCTCGTCGCGCGCGCAAGACAGAGAGAGTCCCATCGCCGTGGCATGCGCTTACTCCCCGCAGGCTACTTCGTCCTGAACCACGCGACGGTCGCGTCGTCGCAGGACGTGCTCGCGCAGCTATGGAAGGAGTACGCGCTGTCAGACTCGCGCTACCTGACGTCGGACCCGTTCATGCTAAGCGTCGAGGGCATCACCTCGGTAAGCTCCCCACCCCCCTCTCCCCGGTGCGCGCGTTCGTGTCGCGATGCTAATCGCGGCGCCCCCCCCCCCACCGGGACAATTTGCAGCTCGTCTGGGGCCCCCTCTGCCTCCTCAACGCCGCCGCTATCGTCGGCCGCAGCCCCGCCCGCCACGTCCTCCGCATCGTCGTCTGCGTCGCGCACCTCTACGGCGTCGCGCTCTACTACGCCACCAGTCAGGCCGACGCCCGCCTCGCCGGCCGCGAGCACAGCCGCCCCGAGACCCTCTACTACTGGGTCTACTACGTGGGCCTCAACCTGCCCTGGGCCATCGTCCCCGCAGGTGAGTCGTGCTCTCCAACACCCCCCCTTCCCCCCTTTCTTCGAGGTCTGGAGTGCCGTTGCGTCGGACACAAGAGAGTGCAACCGCTTGGCTAACGCTTTCTGGCGCCGATACCATAGTCCTCTTGTACGATAGCGCGCGAACTGTCACGAGGGCGCTGCGGGCCTTGGACAAGGCTGAGGCCGTGCTAGACGCCCACCGCAGCAGGGTAGAGGATACTGTCGGGTCTAAGAAGACAAAGTAAGAAGCGTTGGCGTGGCATACCGGCGTTTCCAATGGATGGTTCACAAGACGAATAGCATAATCCCAGCCGTCATCTCGGGCAGAGGGGCTAGTAGGGCTGCTCCTCGAGTTTGAGCATGTCCTCAGACGTATGTAACTAGCCACCTAACACGGCTTCTACGACGAGATGACGGACACGCCTTCTGGCGTTACCCAAAGTACAAATTCTACGGAGTGGTAAGAAACACACAAATTGGCTACCGAGTTAGAATACATCTGTGCTCCTGTGACGGGAAGCGATTGGCTCTCTACTAAGCAAATCTAAGTGGCTGTAGGCGGTATCGCCGAGTACATCGAGTATGCGGATAGAAGCAGGGAATAATAATTAGAACAGACTCGAGCCATTCACGTGGGAAGTGGGCCCGCAGACGAGATGGCTAGTCCGCTGGGTGACTGAAGAGGGGGCCGGGCCTATGGATTAGGCTGATATTCGGTGTATTCTGCCCAAAATATGCTCGCATGCTCATCGCACGTATTTGCTCATGAACCGCTTGTGGAAGTCCGATCGCAGAAGATCCTACCCGTATGCGTTAGTATGCGGATCCCGCGCGAGCAGCGCTGCCAAGTCCGAGCGGACTCACGTTGATGAACTCTTTCTTCTTGCCCTTCTCTTCGGTGCCTCTCGCCTGGTTCTTGAAGACCACGTCGTCGTCCCACCTGTCGTAGCCTCGTTAGCATCATCCCGACGTGTGTGCCCTCTCTCTGTAGCTCGCGTGCTGGCCAGCCGTACCTTCGCTTCATGTTGAAGTTCTTGGGGTTCAGCAGCGGGTTGCCCAGCGCGATGTCGCGTTCCCGCTCCGCCTCCTCGGCCGCCGCCTTCTCCTTTTCCTCCCGCTCGCGCTTTTCTGCTCGCTCGCGCCTGATCTTCTCTAGCTCCCGCTGCAGCTCCGCCTCCTCGTCATCGTCTTCGTCGTCTTCGTCGCTGTCCTCCTCGCTATCGTCCTGGTCTGAGTCGTCTTCCGAATCGGCGTCTATGTCTCGGGTCTCCTCTAATATGCGCCGCCGCTTCGCCTCGAGGTCTTCTTCTTCGCCACCCGCGTCTGCCTTCGATGTCAGCTCCAGAGGTCGCTTGGCGGCGCTGCTCGCGGCGGCGGCCTCGTCGTTCCCCTCCGTGCTAGGTAGTGCGCCGCCGTTCTGCTTCGCGAAGTGGGCGGCCTCGGCTGCGAGGAGCTCGGCTCGCAGATCGCGGGGCTCGTCGGCATCACCTCCCTGGCCGGGTTGTCGGAATTTCAATTGCGTATGAGCGGGTAGAAGCCTCTGGTGGTAGGCTGGCCCCCGAAGGGCATCCTTTCCGCGCGCCTGTCGCGTGGTTAGCGAACACGTCCAACGTCGCTCTCGTCGAGGCTGCTGAGCTTACCGGATCGAAGGTAGGTCTGTGTGCTGTGGTCATGTTGGATTGATGTTCCGGAGGACTTGTTAAACTAGGACTTGCTAAGCCGGGGAGATGCAGGCGGGTGAGGGTTGTTCAGACTCGCTATTGCAGTAGCTGGAGAGTCGAGGTTTGGCGCGGTGACCTGAACAACCTTGTCTGGGTGGAATTAAGTCGGTCGGCACTTGGAGGCGCCAAACACCGATCCTACGTATTATGTACCTATGTACCTACTTGTTGTATATGTAAGTACATGTACCTATGTACGTGTACCTACATTACAGGGTTAGGTGTCTCACCGCCCGGCAGAAATTCTCTCTCGGGCTTGCTGGAAAGATCAAAATATCGAGGCTCCCCCGTTACCGAACTATTCGACGTATACTATTGTGGTCCAAAGTTATTACATACCTAACCTCTAATCCACAACATGCGGTCTGCATACAGGCCTATACCTCCTACTAACCTACCTACAAACGCCCCACCACCTACAACCCATCCATCCATCCGTCGCCTCACATTGCGTTGCTACCGCAACCCACCTACTACTGGCGAGGAGAGCGGAGAATGAGGTGAAGCTGGAACCATAAGGCATACAACACCGCGTCTCCTTTTTCGCCCCAGTCCTTCTCCTCTGCGATGCCTCGAGAGGCCGAGCCCTCGCTCAACGAGCGCGCCTTCGTGGTGCAGGCGCTACAAAAGGGCCTGCGCGTCGACGGCCGCGCCTTCGACCAGTTCCGGAAGCTCGAGCTCAGGTTCGGAGACCAGTACGGCGTCGCAGACGTGACGCTAGGGAAGACGAGGTAAGCTGGCGCAGGCGCGCGCGCGCCCTGGCATTATATCTGTCTGTTCTATCCTTTGGGTACCCTGGCTCAGCTCAGCTCGGCGCAGGATACTCGTCAAGGTCTCCGCCGAAGTCACCACGCCCTATTTCGACCGGCCCTTCGATGGCATCTTCACCATCACTACCGAGCTAAGCCCCATGGCGTCGCCCGCCTTCGAGGTTAACCGACCGACCGAGACCGAAATCTTGCTTTCGAGACTCCTAGAGAAGACCGTCCGCCGATCCAACGCCCTCGATACCGAGTCGCTGTGCCTCATCGCAGGCCAGAAGTGTTGGTCTATACGGGTAGATCTGCACGTCCTATCGCACGACGGCAATCTGATCGACGGGTCTTGCCTCGCGGTAGTAGCGGCGTTGCGCCACTTCCGGAAGCCGGACACGAGCATAGAGGGGGAGACCTTGACGGTTTACACGGCTGCAGAGAGAGAGCCGGTCCCGCTGAGCTGGCTCCACTCGCCGTTCTGCGTCACCTTCAGCTTCTACGGGGAGGGGGAGATAGCGCTGCTTGACACGACCCTGCTCGAGGAGCAGTTGCGCGAGTCCAGCTGCACCATCAGTCTCAACAAGCACGGGGAGATCTGCCAGATTTCGAAGTTGGGCGGCGCGCCGGTAGAAGCGCCGTCGTTGATCCAGTGTGTGGGCGTCGCTCTCAACAAGGTTAGGGACTTTTCGAGCCTGTTGGATCAGAGGCTGGCGGAGGATTTCAAGCGGAGGGATAAAGGCGGACTCTTAGCAGAGTTGTCCGCAGAGAATGAGAGATAGCACGCGACCCGTTCCCACGGGCGGCCACCACCACAAAAAAAAATAGAAGAAATAAGATACCGATGGTTCGAGCTGAATTCGAACCACATCTCTCCAACCAGTCCTCAGTCCCTAGTCCCCCAAAACGCCGTCTGTGACGCTAAACGCAAATTAACCCCCCCCCTTCCCCCCCCCCACCGTTTATGCTTCTGAGCCCGATGCTTAAGACAATTGTAATGTGGTGCTTCTTGGGCATCCCGCCTACTACCGCATGACGGGGGGCCGCGACTCCTTGTTCCACTTCACTCTAGACCGGACCCAATCGACGGCCTCCCTCACGCCGGTGCCGGTCAGGGCGCTCACAGGAAGGACGCGGGAGTCGCGGATGCTGGACGCCTTCTCGCCCTCGAAGACCTTCTTGACGAGGCCCTCCTTGATCCTGACGACTTCGACACAGTCCTCGCGGTCCTGCTTGTTGGCGAGTATGAGGAGGGGCACGCCCTCGGTCTCGGAGTTCTGGAGGACGTCCTCGAGGACGAGGCGGCACTCGTCGAGGCGGCCGGAGTTATCGTCGTGCTCGATGTTGCCGTCGCCGATGTCGGTGCTGTCGATGATGAAGACGATGGCGTGGCAGCTGGCGTAGTAGCTCTGCCATAGCTTGCGCAGGCTCATCTGGCCGCCGACGTCCCAGATCTTGAGGTACATGTCGGGCAGGGTCAGGGTCGACACGTTCTGGCCGACGGTCGGCACGGTCTTGAGCTTCGGGTCCGGGCGCTCCGGCAGGAAGAGCGACTTAGCCTGCTCGTGGAAGGTAGTCTTGCCAGCGTTGTCGAGCCCGAGGAGGATCACCGAGTACTCCTCTCTCCTCCTGGCGAGCAGATAGAGCGACTTGGCTAGATGGTACATGCTGTCTTTTTTGTCTTTTGTCGTCGGGTATCTCTCGCTTGTTGGGGGGGAAGGGTGGATGGGTATCGCTCGACGAGGGGAAGGGAGCTGGTGGAAGATATCAGGGTCTCCAGGCTTCAATTCGAATCTTGTCGCGACGAGGAGATGAAGGAGATGACGGATGATGCTCGGATACATGACCGAGTACGATGTGGCCTGTGCTCGCACATTACCTAAGGCAGATATATGGAGGTACCTACAGGCAGGTACCTCATCAAGCCCACGTGGGTGGAACTCTGGGCGCTGCGGAAGAGGTACTTGGATACCTACAATCCGACCCGCCGAATTGGTGTATAGTAGAGGTAGAGAAGCGCCAAAGGTAGGTACCGAATGTACCCGCCTCTATAGTAAGGAGGCGGGTATACTTGCAATCTAGGCTCGGTAACCTACGTAACCTGCCGTGGGCAAGACAGCCTCCTCCATCACGGTTACCTACCTACTAATAGACCGTCGGACCTACGCAGCCTCGCAGAGATGGGCACGTAGAGAGCTGCCCTCTCAACGTAGGTGAGTAGGTAGCTACCTATAGGTAGTGGAGAAATTCCCTACATTAAGAGGTACCTAAGGTGGTGCGTACGAGAACTCAACGGGCGATGTGATAATGCGGATGCGTCTTCTTTGGCGGATGTTTCCAAGTTGCTAGAAGAAACAAATCGATGCCTATGCGGTTAGCTCTCTGGAATTTGCAGGGCACATGTAAACAGAAAAAGAGGAGCTCTTGGCGCTGACGGGCCACCTACCAGGTACCTACCAGGTAGGTATTTAGGCGCATAAAAGGTAGAATTACCTGTTATTTACTTCACCACTTACCTACCTACCTAGGTTGCCTGTATAGGGAAAGCAGATGAGGCACCCAGCCTACCCTTCGTAGATCTACTCCCACATGTGCAGCTGGGTCGGTTGGTATTTGCAGTGCAGGATCGGGACCACTCGCATACATACAGGCACCCAAGGCGCCAAAAGAGAGGTGTGTGTATGTGCGTGTGTGTACATGTTACGCGCATACGTCAACATGTATTACCTGCCTCCCTTAGGAGGTGCCCCGAGTTGCGGCCCGGGGCCTACGTGGCGGCGCGAGGACCACGTAGCTGGAGAGGTACCTGGAGGGGTTGTAGGTGCATTTTAGCAGGGCACCCTCCTAGCGACCAGCCAGGAATGTTGGCATGCACCGTAACCCATCGTCAGGCCGGGCTTCTCGCCCAGCGATGCGAGCCAGCCCAGGTCCGCGATTTGCATATGCGCTCCCGCCTTCTGCTCACTCGTCGGCATAGGAGCCTCCTCTTGCGCGGCTACGCCCGCCACCGAAAATCTCGAAAAGGTTCTGCTCAACCTTCTCCATCTTCACCAACTGCCCGTCCCCAGAGAACCCACACCAAGACCATCATGGCGCCCGTGCCATCCCAGCCCTTCGTGAGGTACGCATCTCTGAACCAAGATGTGATCGATCTTCGATGCGTCACCCTCCTCGACATATAATACATGTACGACATGCAGGCGGTGTTGTTGACCGGGTGCCCAGATACTCTCCCTTAGCTACGGTTGGCGCCCACCTGTCGCTCATCGTCTACTTGACGTATACCGTGGCCGCCGCTCTGCATACGTCCTACCAGTCTCTGGGCCCGGCTCACGACACGCGGTCGCGGCTCGCACGGCGCAAGAAGCTGGTGCCGGCGTTTGTCGCGCTCGCATCTGCCGCCTTGTGCTGGGCCACTTATACATCCGTCGCCGCCGCTGCCCTGTCGTACCAGACCTGGGCCAGCGAGCACGGCCACGGCCATCTAGAACGGTATCCACACCTGGCTATCCCCCAGCTCGGATGCTGTCGTGACGGAGACTAATAATATGGTCCTAGCTCAACCCCCGGCGGGGACCAAGCTTCGGGCCCCAGCAGCTCGGACGGTCCAGCTTTCGCCCATGTCGCTCGGTGGTTGAGCGACACGCCCTTCTATTACGATGCCCTCGAGATCGTCGTCGAGAAGGCTCGCCGCTTCTGGTGGAGCCAGCAGATCGACCTCGCCACGGTGGCATTCAGCGTGTTGCTGTCAGTCGAAGGGCGGCGGCGGGGCATTCCGTCAACTCCGGCCTTTCTCGCATTAGCCCACCTCGTCAACCTGTCCTATGCCCAGAACCTGTTCTATCTTGCTCTCACCCTAACCCCGTCGCCACTTCCGACAGGGGTCGAGCATCTCCCGTCGAAGGTCGGGCCTCCCGCTTCGTCACGATTGATTCAGATTCGCCGCAAGCTCCTCCCCCCGAAGCCCAGGAACTGGCACCCGCACCCTTTGCTAACTCTCGGCGCCTTGGCTCTGAGCTTTGGGTCGATTTTCCTGCTCCCCTACGCCGCCGACACGCGCTCGTTCGCGAACGTTGTGCTATTCGCCCGAGTTTCGACCTTCTTACCTCTTGTCCTACCCGAAATCGTGCCAGCGACTTGGGGCGCCGTGCAATCGCATCCCCACGACGCACACGGCTCGCTCACAACCATATTCCAAATCGTTTCCGCGACCTCCTTCGTATTACACGCTAAAGCTGCCATTGTGGGGCTAATCTACAATATTCCCGATTCATACCGCCATCGCCATAGTGCCCTCGTCGCTTGGGATGCCGAGGAGCGGGCCGCGTGGGAACGCGGTACTACGGCGCTGGGAAAGGTTCTCGGCTCTATATCCGACCATCCCGTGGTCAAGGCCGTGGGCGGAGACGTATTGCTCTGCACGCTCAGCTTAGGCGTGTGGGCAGCGGTTCGCGCCGCCGATGTTAAAGACATCATCAAGTCGACGGTCCCCGTCTATACGCTTGGCCGCGAGACCAAGCAGGTGGCGGAGGATGAGGCGCCCAACGCCTCTTTCAAAGCCGGCTCCGAATCTGCCGAGGACGCCGCGTCGGAGCATTCGGTGACGCCGAGACGCCGGGGGAGAAGGCTCACTAAGTCGCAAATAGGGAGCGCTGCCAGCTCGAGAAGGCCTAGCAGGGTGCCCAGCGAGGTGTCCGGGACGCCGGGGAGAAAGCGAGGCCGGCCCAGGAAGTCGCTGCAGTTTGAAGAAGAGCTAGCGTACGAACGTCTCTCGTCGCAGCTCCGAGGGCTGGCCGAAGGGGACACGCTGCCGGCGAAGGAGCTGGACTGGGAATCCGCGGCCCTAGCCTGGGGCCTAGCCGCGTTTGCCGGGCTGGGCTCCGCGTCGGCTGGCGTCTTTGGGGCGGAGTGTGTCGCGAGATGAAGAATCCGATATGGTGAATGATAAGCTTACGACGTTGATGAGGAACTTGTGGCGAAAGGTGGGACCCGGGGAAGGAATATCAAGGATAGGGTACGCTGGGCAGGCTTGAGGGCCTAAGGCAAGTTTATGTTGGGCGTGGAAAATTGAACAACAGCTTCTCCAGGTATTAATTTGGAAGTCTCAAATAAATCAAGTACGCTCGCTGCGTTTCTTAGTATAGTTAGGTATGCATTCGGCCTGGATGTATCCCGGGCTGCCGTGCCGCAGACTACCCCTTTCTGCAACGACGTTGTTCCTATTCGCCGTGGCCAAATTCTCCAACATTTCACTCCTACGTTCTAGAGGCCATCCCCTTATCTCGTCATAGCTTCGTCGATGTGTTACGTAGGTGATGGGTCGGAAATTGACCTATTTTCGACAGTTTGGGGGGTTTCGCTCTCGACTCGGTCGCATCGGATATCGTCGAAGAGACGCGCTCGCACGGCACACGCACGCACAGGTCCATCGCACAATAGGGATAGAGATACCAGCCGAGGAACAGGCTGTATCCCGTCCGGCTCCGCGGGCACTCTTTTGCTAAGTTGTCTCCCGCGTAACAAATTCGAGGTGGAAGGTGCCTATTTATGATACGATACAGCCTTGCGTCGGGAGTAAGTACCTACGACGAACAATAAGCGTTAACCACGGGCGCCCGTAGAAATTTTAATCCTATGTCATGTTTGTCCATGCTCCGAAACTGGCCGGCCTCACCACGCAAATTTCCTCCATCTGACCCGGTCATGTAGACGGATTGATTCATCTACGGAATTAGGTGCGGGCTTGAGAACGTCGCTGCTTTACCGAAGCTACCAGCAACCGGCGCACGCCTGCTCACTCCGTGTCCTCAGGTACCTATGGGTTATTACCTTACCTACCTACCTCCTACGTACCCAGCAAGGCTCCCCAGCGCCCTACAGGTCCCACGAGGCCCCGAAGAAGCCCCAGCAGCCGACACACACACTCTCTTTCCCTCCAACCTCTCGCTCCTTTCGCTCTTCTCTCGGTTTACTGTACGCTGACTAGCGGCCTCAGCCAGCTCCCCGTATACGCCGGCTCCCCCTAATTCACTCTGGCATCTGCTACGGAACGGACAGACATACGGCGGCCGCCTTGGAGCCGTCTCGTTCGCGGGCACGGCGGCTTCCGAGCCTAGACAGACAGAGCAATCCCCGGATTTAGAGGCATCGTTGCTCCATGAACTACGCCCAGGTACTAGATAAGTGTAAATGGACATCGTTGGGCATACGTGAGTGAGGGCTGCGACCCGTCCCACTCGCTACGCCTCCCCTTCTATTCCCCCTCCCCCCTTTTTCGTTTCTCGGGGAGAAGAGACCTGTAATACTATAGAGAACAATACGGCCCCGCCTATATCAGAACGATTTGATATATTGTTTCCTGTTGGCCCTCCCCTTGTCATCTCCACACACATACAACACGCACACTCTCCGTTTCCGCACAGATAAGAACTACGTACTTACTTATGCCCAATACAGAGACTGGTTCCTCGTATCTCTGCTTCCCACCGCCATGAAACTCACCACTCTTGGGTATAAAAGAGGACCAACCACCCACCATACCCACCGCACCAGCAAGTGACTGTACCCATCGAAGGCACCTCTTGAGTCCACCGCGCCGTACTTCGCCCGTTTCGCTACCGTTCACTCAAGCACCCGCCTGTCGACCGTCCTTCCCTCGCCATGTACCTGCATTACCAGCTCGTCACGCTCAACGTTCTCAACCGCTTCGGCATCTGCGATCGAGGTCGGATCATGCTGAAGGCCTACGAGGACTACAAGACCTTCCTTATAGACAAGGACGAGCTGCGCCGACGCATTCGCTTCTCCAGAATCAACCGCGAGGCCCTTACCCACACCATCCTCAAGTGCGTCCAAGTTATGAGGGCTAACCCGGCAGAATGCCGGTACGGCGAGTCCATCATCGAAAGCTGCGCCGAGATGATGACGATCGGAGGTAACGACACCCCCCCTGGCTCATCGGCGTGCCCAAAAACGAAAGGGGCCATCCATCACTGACCTTTTGTAGACGAGGACCGCGAACCTGAACCCCTTCGCTTCCTCAACTTCCCCAGTGAGGTCCGGAGGATGATCTATCAATACTGCTTCCACCAAAAGGCCAAGCGGGGCGGCACAAACGATGTTTACCTTGCCCGCAAGAAGCCTTCCTGCGGTTGTGCTTATTTCGAAAATGCCGACAGCCCGCTCGAACGGAACGAGCTGGCCCTGGCTCACACTTGTTCCAGGCTTCACGAAGAAGTCATGTCTTACTTCTGCGATGCTAAGGTTCGTTGCCCCCGCCTTCTCGTCGGCTCCCACGGATTACCGTGCTAACGGCAACTCTACGCAGACCCTCAAGTTCTCGTGCGCGTGCGTGATGAGGAAATTTCTGGAGGAGAACCGGATGCTGCGAGGAGCGATCCGCCACATCAACTTCCACTGGTGCGGCCCGGCAGCGGACCAGAGCATCCTCCAGCTCGGCAGCCTCCATCTGAAGTCGCTCACAGTGACCATCTCGCGGGCGACGACCAAGAGGATCACGGCCCGTGAAGAGGAGTTCCGCCGCTACTTCACGTCCAAGAAGCGCGGTGAGGTCGCCCTCACCGACGCGCTCGGCATCGACGAGCTCCTCTCGCTCTGCGGCATCCCGAACGTGGCCGTGCAGCATCCCGACAGGCTCATGGCTCCCAAGCTCCTCACCTCGGACAGGATCTCGCTGGAGAATATGCTACAGGCCAAGCTTACCCTGCCGCGCAAAGGCGAGTAGTCGGCACGAGGAGCGTGAACCGCGGCGCCGCGTAGCACGTATGGTGCGCATTTGAGAGGGGATTTCGAAGCTTCGCAGGGCTCGGGGCATCTTCGTCTCCCCTTCTACCTTCTTTACTTCTGTCAATCTGTCTGTCTGTCTGTCTGTCTGTCTCTCTTACCATCTCGCCACCTCCCACCTTTACCCCCTTCCTCCCCCCACCCTCCCATGTCTTTACCCCATTTCTTTACCTCATGTCTTTACTTCATTTCTTTCCGTTCTTATGACTCACGGTTGAATGTGCCTACGCCCAACTTCGGGGGGAGTGATTAGACGAGGCTTGGACGAAATTTCTGTAGCCGCCACCATACCCCTTAGGAGCCAGAAAACAAGGAGATGAGATGGGGACCGACCTGGCTTGCAGAACTAGGCATGGCTACATACACGCATGGATTTAGAGTACGATTTGCGACCTTTTCCGGTCTCGTCGATAAAGACGCCTTCTAGCCCAGTCTACTCCCATTCCTCATGTGCGTGCATTCGTATCCTGCGTAGTACAACATCCTAGGCTAGCAGTAGTATGTGTCGAGTCTATACGTTTGTTGCCGTGGTTGGCGGATTCGTCGCCGGCACCCTTGCCGTTTACACGTCAACCTAACCTGCTGCTTGATCCGTTAGATTTGGCACGGCCAAGGTAGAGGCTGTTTCTAGTTAGCCGGCCGGTAGGTTCAGCGTGAATTCGGGCCTCAAGTCACGTGCGCAGCACAAGCCTACATGTATTGGAATAACTACCTAACCTACCTCCTAGGTAAGACCAACCTCGACCGTCAGGGAGGCGAAGATCAACACGCCAGTTATGCATAGCTAGGCAGAGGAGATTCACACCAACCGGATCCCCCGGAATCCGCGACGTTCTTATTACAGAAGAAAGGAGGTTCCGATTTCAGTCAGTTCCTGTCATCGATTTCCATGCTGTATCAGGGCCGCTAAACCAGTCCAGGTGCCAACTCTACATACATGGTTAGTTGCCCCCTTTAGTAGGTGTTAGGTGTATATAATAGGTGCGTGGTGGGCATGCTTACCCTCGGGATAGTTACACAAAGGATAGACGAGGGGCGATTATTGTTACACAAGGAAGTCTGCTCCATTCCCCTCCAACTCATCCGGCCCCGCTTCTTATGGCGGGACTATTTATAGTAGGTACCTAAGGTAGGTACCTACTTCGCAGGAAGGGAATCCGACAAGGGAAGGGAAAGCAAGTAAGTAAGTACGAAATTGTGGCAGCAGACTCGCTCTCTCTTCGTCCGGCCGGCCGGCGGTTGGCGAGACCCGTGCAGACGTACGACCGCAGGAAAGGGGGAAGACGGCCTTCGAGTGTATGCGGGATGGGGCTACCATAGGTCGAGGCGGGCGACGTACCTACCTAGGCAGTAGTCGGAGGCCTCTCGCCAACGGCGCTGGCGAGCAGCCGCCGCGGTCGCTGGGATGACTCGACGCGCACACCGAGAAGAAACTCGCGGCCGCCTTAGGGCGCTCCTGGCTGGGATGCTTCACTCTTGTACACCGAAGAACGAATATTTCGTCTACACGTGTATATCTAACACCCATGTAGGTGCCTATGCGCAGAGTGATAGGATCTGTCCGGTGAGAAGAGGATCCCGAGGCGCGTGTATCTGAAAGCCATGTTGCTACCTATAGGTAGGTAGGTATGTAGAGTGAGGGGATGCGCGAAACAAAAAGCACCTACCTGATATCGATTAGTAATCGACTTGACCACCCTTTGACAGAAGAGATTGTAACTTCCACCCGCACAATCTGTTATATTGCGGTCCGGTGCCGGTTGATACGACTTACCTGCAAGCCACCCTCCCCACAGCCCCACACACCCGCCTCCTTGACTCAAAATTTTTTTTCTTCAGTACCGGCCTTCAGTAACCCACCTTTATCTTGCGCGGCCGCCCGCCCACCTACCTACCTATCGATGTACTTACTCGGCGCACTCCCAGGGGCGGAGAACTTGGCTTGTCCAGGTCGATAGACAACACACCCGCCGAGCCTGCTTCTCTCGCCCGTCTGTCTACACGTTCGGGCCGCTGGAGCTCTGTCGCAGCGAGAGAGAGAGAGAGAGAAGAGACGACAAATCCAACCAGCCGAGCGTCGCTCGCACCTCGCGGCAGAGTTTATCTCCTAAATCCGCCCCCTCTCTCCGTCTCTCCGTCTCTCTCTCTCTGTTTATCTACCTCTTTCGTCTCTCTGCCTCTGCCTCTGCCTCTGCCTCTGCACGCTGTGCTGTCACATGCCACCCCCCCCCGCCAGCCATGCCCCTCGCTATGCCCTCAGTCCCGCCGCCCTCGCCCTCCTCCGATCGACATACTGATTTCCGATCTCCCCGCTTCGTTCGTCTCTCTCGTCTCTTGCTATAGCTCGACCAGGTTGGCCCCGTGGCCCAACGCCTTGGTCTGGAGCCGGCTGCGGCGTGTGCGCGCCGCACGGGACAAGACCAAGAGGGCGCCCTCTCTTTCCCCCCCCTTCTCCCTGAGGTCCCCCTTAGGGCGGCGGCGGAAAAAGGGTGTTCCTTCGGCAGCGATCTTTGAGTACGAGAGCGCCCCCCCTGGTCTTGGGGACCCCTCGCTCGGCTTCCTAGCTTCGAGGCTCTCGTAATTTATCTGCTGCTACATCGTTTTTTTTCTCTCTCCTTCTTTTCGTGCTCTCTACTCTCTACTCTCTCCTTCTTCTTCTTCGTCTTGGTGAACATGTGTGTTTTACGTGAGGAGGGGCGCATATGCCTATGACGTTTTGGTGTGTATATATAAAAAAAAACATATCATATATCTAGACAGGTCTCAAGAGGCTGAAGAGGCTGTCAGCCCTATAAGGTAGTGGAGGGGTAGGATTGGGGGGGGGGGACAATAAGGCAAGCGGATCGGGCCGTGGGCGAAAGCCGAATTGTTAAAAACAACCGCGTGTATGCATATATATGTATCTAGATCTCAGACAAAAAGACTCCCGAGGGAATCAAATCACAGGCAAAGCCGCATTCTGTCCTGTTATCCCTTCATACCCGCCGACATGTCATCGCAGATCCAAACACATCATTGCAAAATCTGCATACATCATCTCGTGCACCAGCAGCAGCAATCAGTTTGGCCAACACTCCCATCTCTCGACATTCAGAAACAGCTATCCGTCTAACACGTTATTATACGTAATGGTACACAATCGTCCATTTGGACTGCCGAGCACGTCGTTATGCCGGAAACGATACCGATTAATCACTCATACAATTTAGGGACCCATAAAAAAAACCCCCGCCTTCGCGCCGCCTCTTAAGCGTTCCACTCTCCGCGGATCCACCGGTTGAAGAAGTCGAGCGAGCCCTCGGGCTGGTTGAAGGGGACCATGTGGCCGGCCTGGTAGATGCGCATGAAGGTGAAGTTGCCGCTGCTCTTCACCTGGCCGTACTCCGAGCCGCTTCCCGTCTCGAGACCCTTAAGCTCGGCCGCGTTGAAGCCCTTCTTGCCCGACCACTCGAGCGCCTCCGACCACGCCTTGTTGCCGAGCCAGTTGCAGATGTAGTCGGCGTCGCCGGCGTAGACCAGGACGGGGATCTGCTTGATGATGTCGGGAACGAGGCGGTGGAAGGGCTTGGACCAGTCGCCTTGGAACAGGAAGTTCCGGTTGATGTCCGTGTTGCAGCTCTCGTAGTCTTCCACTTCGGCGCCCACGGCCTTGATGACCTTGTCCTGGTTGAGGTACTGGCTGATCCAGGCGGTCTCGGTGTAGCACAAGTTCTCCTGGTCCTTGCACTTCTCGCGCACGTCGTACACGTTGTACCCGGTTCGCTGGAATGGCCCGATCATGGCGTTGTTACAGTAGATAGCGCCCGGGACGCAGGACCACACGCTCTCCGACTCGTAGCAGCTCGAAATGAGCGACTGGCATCGCGGGAGGGCGTTGTCCATAGACTGGCACTCGCTGGGGTCAAGGACGGCGTCGTAGCCACCCTCGCCGCAAGCCATCGGGCGGTATGCGGCGTACTGGGTGTACGGGTCGGTCAAGCCGTTGCCGATGGCGATGCTCTGGAGATTGATGTTGCGGTCCTTGTGCGCCAAGATCTCGTGGGCGAAAACGGGGATGTAGTGGCCGGCGTACGACTCTCCGGCAATGTGGAACGGCTGCTCGGCATACTCGGGAAAGTTGTGGAAGAAGAGAGTAAGGAGGGCGTAGATGTCCTTGCTGGCGGCGACGGTGTTGTAAACAGGGTTGCTGCTGTAGGAGTAGCCGGTGTTGACGGGCTGGTCGATGAAGATGACCGAGGCATTGCTATTCCACGCGTATTCGTTGAATTTGAGACTGCCATCCTTGTTGACACTCGACGGACCAAGTTCCATGAATAGACCCATCATGGAAGAACACCCGGGGCCACCGTTCAGCCATAGCACTACGGGATCGTTCTTGGGATCGTTTCGGGACTCGAAGAACCCTACAAGGAGGGGTTGGTTAGCCGGGGTTGCGGCGGGGAGGGTCAATCGGGGGGCGGTGATAGGGAACTTACAGTAGAAGAGGTGCTTATCGTTGGCCTCGTCGTCGAGGTACCCGCTATATTGCTTCACCTTGTCTACGCCGAGAATAGAGGGGTCGACGTTCTTGGCTCTCAGGTTGTAGGCTTCGAGAGAGCCGCCAACCTTCCGGTGCCTGACACCGTCGGTCTCGACCCATATGCTCTGCACGTCAGCGCCCTTGACCACATGGTCCCACTCGCTGTCTGGCCGGCGGCGATGAGGCTTGGGGTACGAGACAAGATTGGCTGCCTTCTCGTAAAAACCAGGGATCAGAAGGGCCATCTCGTCCCAGAGACCTTTTGCGGCCGCGGGCATCTCGCCAAAGACGCCGCTGAGATGGCTCAACGGCTTCCTGACGGCATCACCGACACCGCCAAGCACCTTCTGCTGGTCCTGGGGAGAGGCGGCGGCGGCGGCGGCAGCGCCGAGCAGCAAGGCCGAGCGCGCTACCCTCATGACGGCGGGCTAGCAGACGACGAGATGATAAGAATGGAGAGCTGAGAGAGTGTAAGATGATAGTGATGATGGCGGCGATGATACGATGGCGATGATGATGGGAGAGATGGAGAGATGGAGAGACGGATGGAAGAGAGAGAGAGAGGGATAAAACGAGATCAATAACAGCGACCTAAATAGTGATAGGGGAAGATTGGGGGGAGCTTCGCGAGGTACGGGACGGGAGATGGAGTTGACCCACCCACCGATAGCGCTGATGAAACGGGGAAGGGCGAACCCGACTGGCCATGGGCAGCTGCCCCGTCAACTGGCGGCGTTCTGGTGCCTGGGGAAGGGAACGAGGGAGGCAGGTCACCGCTTATCGGCTCTGATAGTACCTTGGGTGCCTCTAGGCAGGTACGTACCTGGCTTACTACAGCCTACAGGTGACGTACGTAGTCGGTACCTACCTCCTACGTTAGGTGGCCAGGAGCCTCTCGTGCTCGCCTCACTCTGCCGCTGCGTACCCTGTACATCCCTATCCAAGGTGGCGCGCGGCGATAACGAGAAAACAGATAAGGCAGGTAGGTGCCGGCACCAAGGTTTCCTGAGGCCCTTACTGCCTCTTACTCATAGCGTACCGGTATGCACCCATTTTAGGTACCTACCTGTATATCCCTTGCTTCCGTCGACATCGTGCTACGGTTTGTACCTACCGAAGCTGCCCCAGTATTGTCTCCCTACATTAGGTACCTAGGTATGTACACACAGAATGCATTACGCATGTACCTCCCCCGACGCCAGCTGTACATATCGCGCTTCGTGTCGCGTCGGGGGAGGGTAACGGGGGCCTCGTAGCGACAGATGCGTCGTCATCCGATCAACAATTCCCTCCCCTGGCTGGGTAAATCGTATCGTATCGCCTCAGAGGGCGCCATCTCGCCGGCAAACAAACAGCAACCGTGTTGGCAGCCTCCATGCCTGCTGAGGGAATGGGAAGCTATTCATTGCGGACTCGGGCAACAACTATAATCTTAGATAGGGACTACCTATCTGTGTAGTAGGGCGAATAATTGCCACTGCCAAGTAATACGTCGCCGCGGCGGTAAGTAATCATGTCTCGGACCGGCGCTGAAAAAGACCTCGCATCGATCCGCACTAACATACTACGTATACTACGTAGTCTTATACATAAGAACAAGAACGAGAATAAGCGCATGCCCTCATCCTTATTCCGCAGTTTGCTCAGCTACGTCGTTGCGTCGAGGCAAATGGGGGAATCAAGGCTGGCTGCCAACGGGCTTCCGGATGGTTCCTGTCGGCATAAACTGCACGGCACACCGGGTAGGTACCTCGCCCTTTGGAGTGTGCAAGCCGGTTGCGGTTTAGTTACCTAGGTATTATGCCCGGCGACATCTGTCTGCATTCCATTGCTGGCATACTGCACACCTACCTACCTCCTATGCATGTAGGTACCCGAGGCAAGCCAAGGGACGTTTCCATGTGGTTTCGACCCCATTCCGGTACACTGGGTATGCGAATGGCAATGCTTAGGTAGGTAGAGGGTATCCATCGGTTTGTTGTCAGGTCAGATGAACGCCCGGCCTACCTATGTAGGGTGGGAGGGAGTAGGGTGGGAGTAGGGTGGAAAACCCCGTGACGGGTTACGGAGAATACGGAGCTTACTCATACGGGCAGGTACCTAGGTACCACTTCTTGATGCAACTGCATCAGGTACCTACCTAGGTAGGTACCTGGCCACGCACAGCCCCCCGCAGTCCCTTAGGCGCTTTATGTCATAGGTACCTAAGGTATGCGACGTCAGTCAGACTTTGCTGCATCACTGCAAAAACTACAACAACTGACAACTACACCAACGACGATACCGAGAACTCGTCAAGATGTCGCAACAGATAAACCAGCCTGGTATGTAGAGACGATATGGAGAATGACGATGTTGCTATGCCACCGAGCGAGAATGTCGGATGCTGCGCTTCTGCATCCCGAGTGTCTCCTCTGTTTCGCACCCTGCTGTCTCGTGCTCGTTGCTAACATGTCGCAGTATGTAATTAAACCCCCCAACCCCACCCTTCTCCCCCCCCCCCCTTCCCTCCCGCACGCCCTCGCTGCTACTACGATCTGCACGTATCGGCGGGGAGGCTACACTCGCCCCGTCCCTGGGACAGCGGGAGGGGGCCGCAGAGCGCGGGGTGAGTATCCGAGAGAGAGAGAAAGAGAGAGAAGTTAACAGCGTGTGCGCGCGGGCAGTCGAACCAGATCCGCCTGACGAACGTGTCGCTGGTGCGGCTGAAGAAGGGCAAGAAGCGGTTCGAGATCGCGTGCTACAAGAACAAGGTGCTGGAGTGGCGGTCGGGCATCGAGACGGACCTGGACGAGGTGCTGCAGATCCCGAACGTGTTCCTCAACGTGTCCAAGGGCCAGACGGCGCCGGCGGCCGAGCTCGCCAAGGCCTTCGGCAAGGACCGCCCCGTCGCCGACATCATCCTCGAGATCCTCGCCCGCGGCGAGCTCCAGGTCGGCGAGCGCGAGCGCGCCGCCCAGCTCGACCGCGTCCACCACGAGGTCCTCGCCATCGTCGCCGCCAAGCTCGTCGACCCCCGCACCAAGCGCGTCTACACCACCGGCATGATCGAGAAGGCCCTCGGCATGCTCAGCGCCCAGGCCCACCAGCCGCAGCAGCAGCAACCGCCCCCGCCGCCGCGGTCGTCGTCGTCGCCCGAAGCCGATAAGAACGCCGCCTCCGCCTCTGCCGGCCCCGATGCCCCGCCCGCCCCCGCCGACGAGCCCGACGCGAGGCCCCGCCCCAAGGAGCACAGCTGGACGGGCGTGGTGGCGACCAAGAGCGCCAAGAGCCAGGCGCTGGACGCGATGCGGGCGCTGATCGCGCACCAGCCGATCCCGGTGGCGCGGGCGCGGATGCGGCTGCGCGTGACGTGCGCGACGGGCGTGCTGAAGCAGGCGGTGCGGGCGCCCAAGGGCGGCGACGGCGAGCCCAAGGCCGCCTCCGGCACCGTCAAGGACCGCATCCTCAGCTACGTCGAGCAGGTCGAGGCCCAGGACGTCCTCGGCTCCGAGTGGGAGGTCGTCGGCTTCGTCGAGCCCGGCGCGTTCAAGGGCCTCTCCGACTTCCTCGCCAACGAGACCAAGGGCCAGGGCCGCGTCGAGGTCCTCGACATGACCGTCACCCACGAAGATTAGATCAGGGGAGGACAGGGGGTTTCTTACGTTTCTACGTTTCTGCATGGGTACTTGGCGGCTTACGACCTTTTTTTTGATGATGATGCGAATTTGTGTTCGGGTTTTGGGCCTTTCTGCTCTCTTTTTGTGGTACCGATACGATCATGATACACTTGCATGGAGTCGGGTACGGCATGGGAAAACAAAAAACATAGACGACACTGATTTACAGATAGCCACAGTTTGATCTTACTAGGTATACGCCGCCGAGTCACATGGTCATCGCTTCGTAGCAGCCCTGATGGCACAAGAGAGTTCTTTGGTCACGATTGCGTCTCTGTTCATCTTTTTTTTTTCTTCCAGAGCATATCCATGACCTGCCATAGCCGACAAGATGAAAAAAAAAAAGGTAGTTCCCAGCAATTCAGTATAAACGTCGATGCAGTAATTTCAGTCCAGCCTTCACGCCTGTCCATCCGCAATGAATGACCTGAACCAACGAAACCATGCCGTGCCCCCCCCCCCTCGCCGAGAATTCGCTTAGCCACCCTTCTTCTTGGAGACACCGACGGTGCGGCCGCGGCGGCCGGTCGTCTTGGTGTGCTGCCCGCGGACGCGGAGGCCCCAGTAGTGGCGGAGGCCGCGGTGGGCGCGGATCTTCTTGAGGCGCTCGAGGTCGTCGCGCAGCTTGGAGTCGACGCCGTTGGCGAGGATCTGGGAGTTCTTGCCGTCGGTGATGTCGCGCTGGCGGTTGAGGAACCAGACGGGGATCTTGTACTGCGTCGGGTTCTGGAGGATGGTCACGATGCGCTCGAGCTCTTCCGACGTGAGCTCGCCGGCCCTGCAGAGGCAATCCCCCCCCGTTAGTCTCACGAAGCTCCCTACCGGCGTCCCCCCCCCCCCCCCCCCCCCCATGGCGAACATACCGCTTGTTCAGGTCCACGTCCGCCTTCTTGCAGACCAGGTTCGAGTACCGTCGCCCGACGCCCTTGATCCGCGTCATCGCGTACATGACCTTCTCCTTGCCTACGGAACCCCGGCGTCAGAACGTTGAATTCGTATAGCGCGCTGGCGCCCACGCGCGGCGGCGTCCGCCTGTCGCTGCCTTACCATCGACGTTGGTGTTGAGGAGACGCAGGATCTGCGGGCGCTCCGGTTAGCTGAAATCTGCGCTGGGAGAGGCGTGCGAGGACGAGATATTCCCCGAGAGGGATCGGGGAAATTAATTGGGAGACGGTAGCATGGCGTGCGGATCTTGCCGCCGCGGGCGGACGGCTCGGGTTCACTTACGAACTGGAAGTTCGACTTCTCTCCCGAGACGAGCGACATGGTGGGCAACTGTGTCGTGGTGATGTTGCCTTGGTGTCGTTCGGATGTGAGGTTTACGGAAGGGAAAGAATCTAAGCGGTTGGATTTTTCTGGTAGGCTCGCTTAATTAGGGTACTGTGGGAGAAAATGGTTAGGAGGGGGCATTTGGTATGTGGGGGCACGTCTCTCGGACTTTTGTAGGGCCGATTTTCTGCCCGCGCACATACCACTTGCACCTCGCGCCTTGTTGTGCACCATCTACCTCTGTGCATCTATTCCCATTTATGGCTTGGCCTTGACCAGGCAACGCCGCAGCCAACAAGCGGCGGTCTTATCTTATCAGCAGTCGAGACCTTAAAATTTTCGTAGACGGCGCCGGAACGGCTCGCATCCCATTCCTTTTCCAATCCCGGGTCGTCTGCCGAACCTCCAACTACTTCCTCCTGTTCGAGTCATGAGAAGAGGAACGAACCCCGAATCCGGACGCGATCGAATGTTTATCCCTCACCCTGCAGACGCCTCACGCCGTCCGACCGAGAGACGACGCGTGTAACACGAAGCTTTCCTATAGACCCCGAGCGGATGCCGCCGCTAGGTTAGGCGAGGGTCTCTTTCCTATGCTGCGGTAATGATTCAATCTCCCACGATAGCCCCTCGAGGGCACGCGCGCTGCGAGGGACTTCTCGGGCGCCATGTGACGTGATTAGACGTCGTGATGTTGACGCCGAGTTGTCAAGTTCTAGACTGCGCTCCAGACCAGTGGCGGCTTGCTACTCGTCGTTCCCCAATCTCACTTCTTAAGTATATATGTGTGGCCAGTGATGAACCGTCTTACACAGTCTATGAGGATATCTCCAATGAGTTATCAAAAAACACTGAAAATTCTGAGGCCCTAAGATTGTTGCTGTAGCTGAAATTCAAGCAGTAGCTCCCTCGAAAGATGTATGCTATCTCCCGGCACCAGTCCCGTCATGGGCTGGCCACCTCGGCTCGATTGCGGAGGCAACGAGCCTCGTTTTTTTGGATAATATAACACCGCGCTCTATCGCGTTTTTCATGGCCAGCCATAGTCTTTCATCGCTCTCAGACCATCCCGTGCTCGTCCGTGCAAGATTCAACCCCCGTCTGATTCTGCTCGTGAATTTTCCTGGGTCGGCTTCTCGATTGCAGAGTGCCTGAACGGGGCAGGATGCGCTTCTCCCGCGTGGAAAGGAGGAGGTAAGCAATCGTAGTCGACGCTGTTGTTCCTCGACGCGCTGGGGCTGACGCCGCTGAAGTTGCTTCGACCGCCGTGGCTCAGTTTCCTCTTCGCGCCGCTCCACTCGAAGGTGTTAAATAGCGTCAGGTTCGCCGGGTTCTGCTGCGTGAGCAAGGCGTCCGTCTCGGGAAACTCGACGTGTTCGGCGGACTTCTTCGGCCTGTGCGATCTGAAGCCTCCCCTCAGGGTGCGGAACAGGCGGGAGCGCCGCTTCGTGGCGGCTTGGGTCTCGTTGTCGGTTGCGGACGCGCGGTCGCCCGAGCTCGCCGCAGACGGCTTTCTGCTTGAAGGAAATGCCCATCGGCCCAGCATCGTGGCGACGCAGAAGGTAGCCTCAGTCCAAGACTAGGGGCACACACGCAAGTGGTAGGTAAGACGTCGCTGCTGGCGCAATTTACGAGTTTAACATGTTCTTGGGTATCACGGCGCGGAAGCGGCTGTCGCTTCGGAGGACAAAGAGAAATCTCCGAAATCGTTGAGACAAAAAGGTGTAGGTGTGCTCAGGGAGACCCCGACTGGGTCTCGGTTTTACCAGCCCTGTAGGGCGGATCCTAACGGGGCGACAGTGGCCACATTCTTGCCCCTATCACGGGAACTTCCACCAACGCCACCATCTACGAGCTCTAGTGTCAATTGTCGCGGGGTCGTTAGGGGGGCGGGCCATGGGCTACCCGATCCTGCGTGGTGCTTGTGCCAGGTCGAGCCGCGTCACGGACCACAGCCCAGCCCAGAATCCTCCGTTAGCCTCGACCTCTCCACACCGGATTCCGAGCGTCAGACGCCCATGGGTGCGATCTTCCCAGGCGGTGCCTTCGGCATTCTTAGGTCATGCACAATCCCATTATCCACGCGGGTCCAATTCGCCGCCTAGCTCTGTGTGACGGCGGGATCCCGCTTACCAAGGGCGACGCCGCACCACACACGGGGGGCATGTGTCCTGCAGCTCCCAATCGCCGCCCTCGGCCAGCACGGGTGTTGCAGCCGGTGCTCTGGGTACCCGCACTAGAAGAGCAAGCAAGCTTCACAACTCGATCCTGGGAGCTCGACGCTAGTTCATAACGGTGGCACGTCTCGTGGTGGTTACAATGTAGGCACAGGTGGGCGGGCGGAATGGTGGCGATGTAGAGCTGGGGAGGATGTCACTCTGATGCGTGGGACGCCAACCGGCTTAGCGCCGGACACACGAGCCAATATGAAGACAATACCGTGGTGAAGCGAATAAGCCGTGCCTGGTACACATTATAAATGGAACGAATCCCCCCTCCCTGTCCATAGCTGCGTCACCGTCAGATCATGCTGCTTCGTGTCTGCTTCCCCATAGACATAGTGTACATCGACCTGCACCCGTCCACCCCCGCCCTACCGGTTGCTTCGTGCCGCCGTCTCGTTCGGGTCTCGGCGTGTCTCATTCATGCAATTTCGTCGTAGTTGGTCGATTGGCCGCCCCGCAAGGCGATCGGCCGATGATAAGATGGGTTGCTGAGGCTGCCTGCGTGCTGCCGGTGGTAGCCCCTGAATATATGCGAATGGGAGGGAAAATAGAAAGGCATATATAATAATAAAGAGTCGTTAGATTGGTATCCCGTCAAATTCATTCCGTCCTTTCCGCCCCGGCCCCCTCGCCACCGTTCTCTGTTCTCCCCCTCCCCCTCTCTCCCTAACCCGGAGCACAAATCAGCCAACTTTACTACTCATCCCTTCGCTCACAGTCTCTCCCTGCTCGTCGATTGGAGATTGATGACGACGCCGTCGTCGTCGACCTCAAGGACGCAGAGCACGAGCGCGTCCTCGAGCGTGCGCAGGCGGTAGCGCCGACTCGCCTCCTGGTAGTCGGCGGTAGCGGCCATGGCGGCGTAGTGCTGGACGGAGGGGAAGTGCACGAGCGCGAACTCGTCCCAGCCGGCGTCGCCGACGCGCGCGGCCACGGCGCCGCTGCCACCGCCGGCCGCCACGACATCGCCCGAGAGCTTTACGCGCGCGCCGTGGCGGGCCCCCGCGTCGTTGGCCAGCGGCGCGGCGGCCGACGCGCCCCGGCCGTGGCGTGGGGCGGCCCCCCTCTCGTCGTCGCCGCGGCTTCGGCTGCTGTCGTCGCGGTGCTGGCGGCGGCGGTGCCGCTCGCCGGCCCGCAACGCCACGAGGCTCACCATGGTGACGGGTTGCTCGCGCAGCGGTGAGGGCAAGCTAGCGATCCACTCCCCCATCTCGAGCGAGGCCTCGAAGTCGAGGTCGCGCTGGGCGGCGGCCGACCACCTGGCGGAGTCGCCCGGGTACGGGGATGAGGAGTGCGAGAAATGGGAAGAGTGAGAGGAGAAGGAGGAGGGAAACTGCCGCGCGGGCACGGGGGAGTCGACCTCGGGCAGCTCGGGGGGCGGGACGACGCGGGCGCCGAGGGGGGGCCGCAGGAGCGCGGCGTTGGCGGCGGAGTAGCCGGCGAGGGCGTGGGCGGGGACGCCGCAGCTGGCGCTCCAGGCGGCGGCGACGTCGCGGCGGACGTCGTGGGGGAGGAGCGAGGCGGGCTCGCGCGGCTCCCCGCGGTCGTCGTCGTCGCCGTGACGCTGCTCCTTGTCCTCGAGCACGAGCAGCAGGTCCCACTGCAGGTTGCGGCTCAGCAGGTGGCCGGTGGACAGGTGGGTGGGCAGCACCATCCACCGTACCACGCGACCACGGACAACGGGCCGCACGCCCGCCCGCCGCAGCTTCCCGAGGAAGGCGGCCGGCGTGACACCGGGCTTCAGCGAGATGAGCTGGAGGTGGCAGAGGACCATCCTGCGAGCCGGCGGTATATCGGGTGAGGAGGCGGTGGTTGGGGTCAGGTCGGGCAGGGCAGGGTTTGCCTGGGAGCGACCCAGATCCTTAAGTACCTAGGTAGGTATGTGCCAGGTAGGTAGGCAGGTGGCCGGGCAGGTGTGGATAGATAGATTGATAAGAAAGCGGTGGTCACGCGTATTCTCTCTCTCTCTCTCTCTCTCTCTCTCTCTCTTTCCGAGCGAGCAAGGACGCGAGTACAGGAGCAGGAGAGGGGGGTAATGATCGAGAGAGCAGCAGGATTCGGGGTCCGGGGAGAGGTAGGGATACACCGAGAGACGGGTCGGGTAGGATGAGAGAGGCAGAGGGGGATTCCCAAGCTCTATGAGGCAGTCGGAAGCTGGGCACGGCGTGAGATAGGTGAGTGACGAAGCTCACGGCGAATGAATGCAAGAGGCAGCAGGAATGAGCGGTAGCGCGTCGCGGCACCGGTGGTGGTGTTGGCAGCGGTGGTGTGTTGGTGGTGGTGGTGTAGTGGCAGTAGGAGGTGGGAGGGAGGGTGGAGGGTGGAGGGTTGGTTGCTGCTAGTACCTAGTAGCAGCAGAAACAGCAAAGCCGGTTTCCCATCGCCGCCCAGTCAGCAGCGATGAAACATGGGGGGTACCCGCAAGGTACTGTGCGGTACGGCGCAGCGCTGTGTGGTCGGCGTGGAGGTGGGTCGGTTCGGCTGCTGCTACGTAGCACTACCGAGTGCTTCCGCGTACTGCCGCGTACTGCTGCGTACCTGTGATGAAGCAGTCCAAATCCACAAGTGTCCTCGCTTCGCCGAGCTGCGCTGAGCTTAGCTTAGCCTCGGTGGCCTGTTGTTGTTTTCTCTCGTCTCTTTTTCCCGTGCAAAAAGAGGCCACGAACTGCCACGGCGTCATGCCGTGTCATTGGCTGACGCCGTCCAGAAACGGCAACGAAGCTCCACGCCGCTGTGACGCCGCCTGCAGCTGAGTCTCGTCTGGGACGACGATTCGAGGGCGGGCTGCAGCCAGGGTTGAGCCAGACAGACCCGGGATCTCTTCCCTGTCTTCTTCGTCCCTCCCTCTCCCTCTCCCTCTCTTTCCTCTCGTCGAGAAACGGGGATGGCCAGAGATGCCCAAGGCGGATTACCTGATGGGCTTTCAGCTCGGCCCTCTCGTGGTGTGTTGGATTACCTCTAACCTTAGGTACCTAGGCGCCTATCCGTGGACAAGACAGGCACCGAACGAATGTATCCAGCACCTTGCCTAGGTACCTGGGTACCTACGGATATGACCTGCCGAGATGTTGTGCACTTGATCTGCCTTAAATCTCTGCCGACCTCGTATGTAGGTAATTATTTATGGACACGCTGCCCGATTTATCGAAATGCCAACACAGCAAAGAAACAGACCAAAACTACAAATCACGAAAAAAGCTTAATTACTCATATATTATAGTATACCCTTTTCTAGACCGACGACGACGACGACGACGACGACGACAGCGCACGTAGAAACCCCCCCCGGTCGGACGCGTAACAGGCTCCCAGCCACACGGGTCCTCCTTCGCACAACGTAGTATTAAGCTTGGCGCCGTTGCCAGGGCAATCCGTATTGACTTTCTCTCCTCTCCCATATGCAACAGTATCCGAGTACTCGTAGCAGCATGTGGGTGGCACCGAGGCCAACCGCCCGCAAAGCCTTGCTTGCGTTTCCGTTTTGGCCCCTTGTTGCGTAAAACATATTCTACGGCTTGGGGACGTGACTTATCGTGTGACATGTTCCTACTCCTCCGTCCTGGCGCATCCGGCGGCCTCGCCGTGCTTGGGGGTTAGGACCAGCGTATGATTGCCGACGGTTCTATCGGCGTTAATATCGTAGTCGCCCTATCCGTGATGCCTGACCCGGCAATGGGCCGCAACGGGGGCGGGGGGCTCCGGCGGGCTGGGGACCCGGTGCCGTTCTATGTCTCCTGCCGGCGCACGTTCGGCTGCCCCGGGGAGTCCCGTAGGTGGCCAGGTACAACAACCAGTTGGCGATTCCGCACCTGCTGCGGATCCCCGACGGGAGGGCCTTGGCCAAGCTGGCCAGAAAGAGAAGAAACAGGAGAAGGAGGGGCAAGGGGGGTAGCAGGCCGCCAGTCCTCCAAGCTGAGGGGGTTAAGTACGTGCTGGCTCAGTAGCCGAGGGTGGGTATCTATGTCGTATGCGTTCTATTTCGCGGACATGTTCGCGATGCCGCGCCACCCGTGGATCCTCCGCGGTAGGCTCTTAATGACGAGAAGGAGCAGAGGGCGTGGTGGGGCGGGAGCCCAGGGATTCGGTGGCCCCTTGTGCTTGTTGACCATCTTCATCCGGCCACCCCAGGAAGATGCGAAGGCGCTTCATTTCGCGAGCGTGTTCGCGATGCCGCCCCAGCAGTACAGCATCCGCGTCAAGCTCTGTAATACCATACAGAACAAAGATTGTGTCGACGAAATTGACGGCGAGGAATATACGGCATCATTTCTTGACCACTTTGTTGAACTGTACTGTTTCGAGGGTGACGTTCACTGGAGGGCTGTGCACGGGCGTCCCTGGGAGACGGGAGGGCACGCCGAGCGCCAGAAGGCGACGACCGGACAGGAGACGAGAGGGCCGCGTTCCGCGGAACTGTCGACTGCCGGGCGCCATACGCGGGAGCCTCTTGCCCCCGTACCTGAGTGCCTTGGTTGTGGGTGTTGTCGGCCGACATGGTGACAGGCCTTCGGTCCGTCCCTCTGCGAGCTGCTCGAGTGAAGTCCAGTTGATAAAGTGTGACTCCCCTATGTGGGGCGCGATAACTAAGATATTGACCTTTGGTGAAGATAAGGGGAGCCTGAAAGTGGTCGATGCGGATGCTGTCCTCGATCTGTTGGCGGGGACGAACTGCTCCTCGATCCCGTTATCCTGAACGACGACGATGGCAAACGAGGTCCAGAGGCTTGGTGCTAAGAACGATGATGTCGGGTTGTGTTGAGAGGAAGGGAATCTCTCTGCTCTTGAAGCCCTAGCCCGCCAGACTCAACGGGGCCGCGCACCAGCCATGCCTCAGAAATGAGCAATCCATCTCTAAGCGCCGCCGAGTCACAAAGCTCTACTTTGTAAGATTGATCTCTGATGGGAAGCATAACGCTAAGGGTAAGAGAAGCCCCCGAGGGCTGCGTTGGGGCTTGGGCTAAATTCCTCGTAGGGAGTTCGTAACGATTTAGATATCACTATAATACGTCGGGGAAGGAGGCAGGGGGGCGTTGTCAAGGTATGGTACGTTACGACATACTTTTCTCAAGTTGGGACACGTACAACGCACGAGTTTCACGCTGCCCTCTAGAACAGGAGGAGGGCATGTACGGGCTTCGGCGATTCAAGTCGCGGCGAGGTTTGAAGAGCTGTCGGATGATCTTGGTGATAGATATATATAATGGTGGGTCACAAATGTTCGAGTCCACTTTACACCACCTACAAATACTAAGCCACCCCCCAAACAGACCTTCGGGGATCAAAGTACCTATCATTACACCGTATCAATGCACGAAGCGGAAGTCAAGCCTCTGTTTCTCATAATATTTTGTCAGTACGTATACACATGTAAGGGTGGATGGGTAAAGGGTGAGTCAACGGTAAATTCGGAGCGAAAAGGGGGGGGGGGGGTGATGGTCGGGCGGAAAAGAGGGGGGAGGGTGGCTGGGTTGCTGCCGGACTGACCTGCATGCCCTCGTCCTTAGTTGTGACGATGTAGTTCTCCTGCTCCTCGGGGGTCATGGCGTTCCATTTACGCTCGCGGATGCGGTTGCGCCAAATGTAGAAGCCCTTGACCAAGTAGAAGAGTGCGATGTTGAATACGGTGATGCCGAGCAGCACGCGGTTGCCGCGCCGGTACAGCGGCTGGTCGTCTTCGCGGTAGATGTTGCTCGCAATGATGTTGCCGCTCTGCACGAACATGTTATATAGCGCTGCCGACACCGCCCGCGTCCGCACCGCGTTGCTGTTGTGTGCGTTCCACCCCACCAGGATCGCGTGGCAGTACGGATCTGTAAAAAAGGAGTTAGCGACGTTTTTTAAATTTCCCTTTGGTCGTGATTCGGTCGTAAGAACGATTGGGAGAGAGATAAGAATATAGGCTGCGAAGGAACAACGGCCGGGTGTGGGAATTCACGTACACGATAGCAGGCCCGTCAACACCCCGTATCGGACCCACGGCGAGGCGGTGGCGGGAAGCAGCACGAGGGCCAGCACCCAAGGGAAGATCCAGATGTTGGAGCTCGAGGAGACGATGGCGCGCTCGCCGACGCGGCGCGAGACCCAGGTGACGATGAGGAGGTTGACGGCGAAGAGGAACTGGGACGGGATGGCGAGCAGGTTCGCTTCGAAGACCGAGAAGCCGAGCTGGCGCAGGATGTACGACAGGTAGCTGCCGGGCGGCGCCGGGGGGATGTACGTCGTGAGGCCGATGAGGTACAGCGGCCACATCTCCCAGTCGCGCACCGCTTTGAAGAGCAGCGTCGGCCCTACCGCCTGCCGGTTGTTCATGTCGCCCTTGCTCGGGTCGTCACGCAGCAGCCGGTTGACGAGGATGAGCTCCTCGCGCTCGCTGAACCAGCCGTCGCGGCCGCGGAACCAGTGCCGCGTCTGCGTCGGCCCCGGCGGCATGAGCCCCCACGAGAAGATGCCGACGAATATGGTTATGATGCCCTCGATGAGGAATAGCCAGCGCCAGCCGCCCCAGCCGTTGATGCCGCGCATGCGGAGGATCCCCGCGGCGAGCAGCGAACCGACTATGTTGACCGTGCTGAGCGCCGTCCAGAACCAGGCGAGGCGGAGGGGCAGCTCGCGGCTCTTGTAGAAGTAGGTGAGCCAGAGCACGATGTCGGGGATGAAGCCGCCCATGAGTAGGCCGAGTAGCGCCTTGATGGCGTAGAAGCCGGCGCGGTTGCTGAGGAAGGCCTGGGAGCCGGCGACGATGGACCACGAGACCATGATGGTGGGGATCCAGACGTCGGCGCCGAGCTTCTTGCTGACGAGCCCGCTGGGCAGCTCGGCGGCGAGGAAGCAGGCGAGGAAGATGGTCTGGCCGTAGTTGAAGTCGTTGGTGTTCATGCCGATCTCGGCCAGCATGTTGTCCGAGATGGCCCGGTTGATGTTGCGACGGTGCAAGTCGAGCGCGCAGAACATGATCCAGGCCCAGACCATGATGCGCTTGTCGACCTTGCGCACGAGCCGGCGCTCCTCGTCCGCCGTCCACCGAAAGTCCGGGTCGAAGCGGTGCCGATTCTCGTATCTCGCCCTCTCGTAGACGCCGCGCCAGTGCTCCGCAACCACGGGGTCCGAGAATATGTGGTTCTCCGTCGATCCATAGTCTTCGACCTCACCTTCGCCCTCGTCTCTCGCGTCTCCTAGTGCTTCTTTCGAAGTACCTGCCGGGCTCGTTGGCGACGCGCCTTTCGTGTCCGCTCCCAGGCTATCACTAGCTTCCTTGATTTCGGGCTCCAAGTCGGAAGCCTTCCCGCTCTTGAAGAGCTCCGACTCCTTCGACATTGTCTCGGCGAGCTTGTCTGTCTCTCTCGAATATTGGTAGAGTTTTCGACTCGGAACAAGAAGAGACGAGACTATGGTCAAGGCCTTGCGGGTGCTACTTGTCCTGCCGTGGATCCCAACAGATCCTTCCCAGCTCCACGTCGTCCCTGGCTTGATATATATACAGGGACGTATGCATGCCCGGTTACATGGAGGCACATGTGTGCGTAATAGATAAAAAAAACCTGCATAATTCCCATCATACTGTACGACGGCCTCGGCATTCCCCCTCGCCCCCCTTGCCCCCCCTTGACCTAGCCTGGAAACGAATTCCCTGCGTGGTCAATCCGAATGAACGCGCCGCACGCAACCCCCCCCGTCCCCCCGAGGTGACGCCCGCCGGCTGGAACAGCCGCATGCGAGCACGTCATGGAGACGGACAGACAGTGGCTGTCGTGGGCTTTTATCAATGGCGCCATACCAGGGGTCGATTGTGTGTGTGTGTGCAATCTCCGCAACCACTCTCACTCCCACCTTGTCACGTGGAGATGCTCGCAGGTCCTAGGTACCTTGATCGCCTTGTTCCGCTCGAAAATCTAGGGCCGTAGTGAGGTGAGAAATTTACCTTTTTTTTGCTGATATGGATTGGAAATAGGGAGCCTTGAGGCTTTTCTCGCCTGTCGACTATACATATACTGCCGAACATAGTATCAGTATAGTTTTAATCTATTAGCCCTAAAATCGGCTTAGGTAACCCCGGCAGCTTCGCTCGCTGACCCGGATATGTGGACCTAGGGGCCGACCCCGAGTTGGCATCACCGCTGACGGGGCGGAACGCTGCTTATTAGCATCGACTCTATAGTACAGCCCCATGTCCCTAGTCTGTTTCTCGGGCTGGCACATACCTGTCCCCTATGCTAGCGCGATGGTTCAATCCTCGCTATACGAAGTCGGGAATGGGTTGGGCTAGGCTGAGCCCCGGTTTTCTCTCGGTCTTGTTGCTGGACTGAGGAGGCGTCGTATCATCTATGGTGATTCGCCCCTTGGCGGAAAACGTGAGTGCTGCGACGAAAGGTTAGGCGATGGCGTCATGAGACATTTACAGAGAGCGCGAGACAGTCCGAGAGCATCACAAGTTCGCTGTAGAAACCAGTATGGCATATATATGAGGATGCGCAAATTAATTGGTATCTTAAGCAAGCTGGCGCGTCATTATGGAACCGCTCTGTTGCCACGACAAGACGGCGGCCCGACAGCTGAACGCCCAACTTAACAGCTAACTCCCAAACGCAAAGTATTGGCCGAATGTGTCGGCTAACCCCAGTAGCTGTTCCTCGCGTTGCTGTGTCCGATAGGACGGCGACCATGTAGCGTGCATGGCGACAACGGGCTCGTCACCTACTCATACATCCGGAGGCTATGCTATAGAGCACTCGTTGTGGCCTGTGGCAATATCCGTCTCCTAGACAGCACATCATCGCCCGCGCGGACGTTGGTACCTCACCTTCGGGAACTCCAGCGGCAGGGCTAGAACGGCGACCTGCACGCGCGTGCCCTTGATCGCGCCTTTCGTGGCTTTAACCTTGCCGCCGATCTCGCGGAAATATTGGCCAAACTGCGTCTCGTCTAAGCCGAGGTCGTATCTGATCTTGCTCGTCTCGAAGCTGTAGTTCGACAAGATCGCGGCCAGCGCGCAGCAGTAGGTGTACACTAGATCGATGTGGAATTTCCTCATCTCTCCGCTGGTCGAGAATTTTCGCCGAATGTTCTCGATGACTGGCTCTGGCGCGGGCTGTAGAAGCTCCCTGAGCTTGTCCCTCGGTGGGATCCGCCTCACCCCCCTCTCCTTCCCCGGCCTGCCAGCTTTGACGAATTTAATCAGGAAATCTAGATACCGAAGGGCCCGCAATCTATTGACTGAGTCGGGCCCTGCTCCCACGGCTGCGAGTCGCGACGCAATGAATGCGCTCGGCATCGCGAGATTAATCCCCTTCTTAAGATGATCCTGCCATTCTTTGATAGGGACGTTATTTAATATTTCGTTTCCGATTAAGATAGCGGGGGTGTAGACATCATGGATCTCTTGGGCGTCAAAGTTGCCGGGGGGCACCGGTTTCGCTGCGTCGGCTGCTGCTTGGAGGTCCTCTCTGGACGCCATTCCCGCCGTGACGTCATTTACGGATTCCATCAACGCAAGGGAAGAGGAGTTGAGCTTCCGCGGGCTTCCGTCTGCGTCGGAGGCAGCATTCTCTCGGCCGATGGCGTTCTGGGTAACGGCAGCGAGGGCTTTCTTAGCCTTCTTGGTTCCGAAGGCTTCACCGAGATCGGTTCGGAGTTCCATCATTGTCTGTATTGGTAATTAGGAGCGCCGTAACCGATAAAGAAAGCAAACCGGAAATAGTCGACATTTACCTTGGGGACATCGCGCTCCTCACTATCCTGTACAGGCGGTTGCTGTTCTCGAACGGTGCCCCTGATGGCCATCTTCTTGGCTTCCGCCACAGCGAGCTGGCCTGTTTGAGGATCAAAGACTGCGACATAGTGCTTCAGATACGATTCTCGACCCCCAGGCCCATCCTCCTTTGCCGTGTAGTCTAATTTGCCGTGGGAAGAGGAATGGAGGACGAGGTCGGATGCGCGTGAATTGGATCTCTTGCTTCGCTTGGGGTTTTTGGGTAGGACCTTGGCGTATGTCTGGAACCTGACCGAGCTGGGGATACAGAGACCAGGCGAGGTTGCTGCGGCAGAAAATGTCAGCGGCTGTGTAGGCGGGATACGGTCCAAATGCGACGCGACATACCTAGTATGGGCGGGAAAGCCTGGCCTGTCTGGATGGAAGCCACCTGGACGAGGCTGGATCTCGATGGCTGGGGGGAGGTCTGGGCGGCTACCTTCTTCCTCGGTCGCGGGGCGGTATCGTCGCTGCTTTTCCTCTTCTTCTCCTTGCGATCCGACATGGCGAGGTCGTGCTGAGAAGCCCAGGCCACAGAGGCTATGCGCACTTCCGAGGTTGCTGCTGTTGGTCGAAGTTGAGCTTGGTAAGATATCGTAGGTAGGTACCTACCTGTTCTTAATTGAGTTTGCGGCGTGTGAAGGGGAAAAAAATTACCTGGTTCTGCCGGTTTATTCAAGTCGGCGATTGGATTTAGCAGGCGGTGAGCACCGGCCCCACATCAATGCCAATCCGTGCTCGCTCTAAGCAGTTGGCTTAAGGCCCTTTCCGTTCTGCACAAAACTCGTTTATAAGTATAGGTAGGAGGTACTTATGAGCAAACGGATGATGAGGTACGTTGCGGGTTCCCTCCACTTATGCTTCACTTTTTACCGTTTTGCGGACCGTTTAGTCTAATATCCGTCGCGTAGGAGGATAGGTGCCTATATAAGTGCCCTACAGTTTCCCGCGGCATTATCTGGTTTTGTTCACGGTGTGTGATGCGGCTGGTACTACTGGGTATCCGGCGGTGAGCTCGCGTTATGAGTCGGCAGGATTAGTTGAAGAGCCTGGACTATCCTTCCTGGAGCATAGTACTAGCCGCCTATTGATAGGCTTGCCTGCTGACGTAGAGTGGACGGGTTGAAAAGAGAGGTCGAAACTCCTTCCCGCCGCCGAGGATGAACTGAACAGCTCGAATTCGAGGAACCGGCGACGCCACCTGACGTCGAAACCCGTACGAAGGTAGGCACGATATACCTACTGTCGCGAACACGCCTGGATTTACGGCCCCCTCAACCCATCAAGAAAAAAAAAACCTACTACTCTCACCTCCGGAACATCCACATCCTCCATATCTCTGCTATGGGGTGTCCGGCTTTACCAAAACTACATCGTCAGATATCAGCTACGTCCCCGCCACGGTTCGAACGTAGTAGTTGCTGCGGTCGGCCCCATCTACCTATCATAAGGGGTAAAAGTCCAAGCGAAAGCTAATACACCTAGAAGTAGGTAGGAGCCGTAAATCCACCTCCAGTCCGGGCCCTTCTAACCTACCTAGCAAGCGCGAGTGACGACCTGTAGCGCCATATTTGAAGGGTCTTACTTCGTTTATCCTGAGCGGAAACCGGTCGAACAAGTCACTAGAACCCTTGAGTTTAAAATGAGACTCTCACCATCTCTCTCACCTTCTAAAGATGGACTTTCGCGCTATATTGGGTTGCTAGGAGCACCCAGCGGGCACCGAAATCCCTCTTTATAGACCAATCTTGGCGACGGGGAAGAATAGAACGATGTTGTGTCCGTGTACAGGAGCAATGAATCGGTCCATTTCGGCGAGCTTCCTCCCAGCTTAAGATGGGGCTATGGAATTGGAGATAGGTGTAGTGTGGCCGAATAGGAGCGTGACCGTGCCCCAATTATGGACTGGTTACAATATTACCTCTCACCCCTTTGAGGGGAACGAAAGAAGATCTAATATGGGCGGACCTGGGGAAAACCCGCGGGCTAAGCACAGTTCAGCTTAGCGGCTCTACGCTGTTCTCGGCGCTGGTTAGTCAGCTAACCTTTCCTTTCCATGATCTGAGTCGTTCCCGGCAATTCCTCAGCGATCTTCTCCCTACTACCCGTTGCTTTCTATTCAAGGTGACGATGCTGCAAAGGCCCCCGTCCGACTCCCCCGGTGGCCGGAACCGCGGTCCCCGTCTCTCGCGGGCACGAGCGTGTGCGTGTTCCAGGAACCCCTCCGGAGTCCTTTGGCATCGAGACGGCCCTGACGATAGTTGAATTAGGTGCCGAGTGCAAGAGGCATAAGATCAAATGCGAAGTGAGGCGGGGCGAGTCGTCTTGTAACAGATGTCTCCGTAGCGGTACCGAGTGCGCGCCCTACGATCCGAGCCAGAGAATCTTGGACGAGCATGCAGCGTAAGCTTCCCAGTCTTATTTACCATCCCCGCTCGCCGATCGGCCTCTTAACCATACAGCAGCTGGAAGGCTGAGGCGACTGCCCATATCAGCCAGCTCCAGGCGGCTGTCAGGAGTCTCCTGCAGCACGACCGCCTTCCAGATCTCTCCAGCTTCACGGCGGCGGCGGCTACCACTAGCCGAGCGAACTCGGCGCCGGGGGCCGTCTCAGCCGGAAGTGCTGCCATCGAGGCCATTGATATGCGCAGAGACGCTTCCCCAGAGAGACCGAATGATGACCCTGGTCTTGTTCCGGCTCCCATGGGGAGCTTGTATGAGCTGACAAAGGTGGCAAACCTGCGCGACGCCACCCTAACGTCGCTGCAGACGATATCCGTCGAAGAGGACCTGATCTCCCGGGGTGTTATATCAGCTGCTGAGGGCCAGCACCTATTTGCGCTGTACCTTGAGAATCACCACCCGCTTCTCTGGGGGGGCGTTCTCTTCCCCTATCGGACGCTAGATGCTGTCCGCCAGGCTTCGGCCCTGCTTTCCACGGCTGTGATGACTGTCGCTGCTCTGCACACGCCCGGGCGTACCGAGACACTCCAAACCTGCTACGATGCGTTCGTGGCCCTCGTTACTAGCTCGTGCTTGTCGAGGCGCTACAGTATCGACGACGTTCGAGCGTTGTGTCTCGCGGCGTTCTACCTCCCTAATCTTAGTTGGAGACTTTCCGGACAGGCCGTCAGGATGGCGGCCGAGATGAACATGCACCAATCGTTCCAGAAGCTCATAGACGGCGACCCGAGCCACCACGAACGGGTTAGGTTGTGGTACGCGCTCTACGTATGTGACCGCCATTTCAGCATTGCCTATGGTCGACCGTCGGCCATGTACGGTGACACTGCAATCGACGGCGTCGAGAGTTTTCTACGAAGCCCCTCTGCCGAAGCTGGTGACGTCCGGCTCTCGGCTCAAGTTGCCCTCTTCAAGATACTCACTGAAGCCTATCTAGAGCACGGAAGCGATCAGAATCAGGCCTTGAGCGAGCACGACCTCGACGGGTTGCGTACGTTCAACATCTCGATCGAGCAGTGGCGCCTGCTATGGCAACCGCGCTCCTTGGATAGCGTCGGCATCGGGTCATACCCGTCCAAGGGCGTGGTAATGTACTATCACTTTGCGCGCTTTCAGCTGAATTCGCTCGCCTTGCGCGGGATACGTTGGCCCAGTGCCGAACCGCTCTCACCGAATCGCCGCGAGGCAGCCATGACCGCTATCGCAGCGGCCATGAACACTCTCATGTACATCCTCGAAGAGAATGACCTACGGCGGGCACTCAACGGAGTCCCGCTGTTCACGCACGCTATGGTGACCTTCTGTGCTACTTTTCTCCTGAAGATGGCTGCCATATGGGCCTTTGGTAGTGACGACCGATTACAAGGACTGGGCCTCGGCTTTAATCTGGACGGGGTCCTTCATCTCACCCGCCGATCGGCGGATCTGCTTTCCGAGGTGGCGGAAAAGGTTAGTGAGAAGCATTTGACCCGGCTTATTGTCGCAGGAATTCGGGAAATGATACGGCGAGTCACGGTATCGAACAGGGTAGATACAAGTCGTGTAGCCGCTGGAGAGCATCACGAATCTCTACGGTCGGGAATTCATATGGGCGCGGATGCAGCGATCGACCCTGCGCCTAATCAGATAGGCAATGGTACCCATGAGATGATATATAACATGGACCTTGATAGCCTAGTTGGCTTACTGGAGTATGGCTCCGGCGAGACTTTTCTGAGCCAATTCCCCGCAGTCGGCTTCGAGTCATGGGCAGCGCCGACTTGACAGCCTTCGTTTGGGGTAGGCTTTCCCTTTCAACCACCTTGGGTGGCGGATATTACCTCCCGTTGGGTAAATCATAGGCTACGACTTGCGGATTTGTATTCAGAAACGATTTATCCTGCTGTCAAACCTGGCCGCTACCCTTCAACTACCCAATTAAGATCGGCCAGGGGTTACTATTGTTACGAACCCCATCAAAACTCGATCAGAGCTTCGATTGCGGCCCCCTGAGATGTTGCGGTGCGTCTGTCAGTCTCGGGACCATACGACTAAGCTCCCAGGTGTTCAAGAGTCCCGGGTGGAGTTGGGACAAGTCGGTGCAACCCATCATCCGCATGGTCGTCTCAAACTCGTCCCTCATGACTGCGCGAAGGCAGAGGTTAGCAGGCTTCTTTTTAGTCTGAGCGATTCGCGATGCTCACTCTCAATCAAGTGTTCGACGCCCTCAGGCCCGTAGTTCGCTGCGTAGAGGAATGGCCGACCCATACCCACAGCTTTGGCTCCCAGACATACCGCTTTGAATATGTCGGTACCGCGTCGAATGCCGCCGTCGATATAAACCTCGATATGCTTGAATATTTCGGGGCAGTTAAGCTGCAGCTCCAGCAAAACTAGAATTGCCGGTGTCGACGTGTCTAGACTCCTGCCACCGTGATTGCCTATCAACAAGCCGTCAACCCCGTGCTCGACGGCCCGGATCGCATCTTGTGCCGTCTGCACCCCTTTGAGCACGATTGGCAGTCTAGTCACACTGCGGAGCCATTTGATGTCCTCCCAATTGGTCGTCGAGTCGATATACCCTGCCATTGTGCGTCCCAGACCGCCCCCCCTGGAGTCGTTGGTTGCCACGGCACCATTTGGTGTCGGCGTCAGCGCCACGGCGTCAGCTTTCACACGCTCATCTGCCTCGCGTTTCGCGGGCGTTGGCTGGTCGACGGTCACGAAGACGGCCCGCATACCGCACTGCTCCGCTTGCTTGAGAAGCTTCTCGGACGCAGCACGGTCCTTGTTGACGTAGAGCTGGAAGAAAAAAGTTGTATCGGCGCACGAGGTGATGTCTGCCATCGGGTAAGACGCATTAGTTGATATCTGTCGTCCGAACTTGTTAGCCGCCAAGAATTCGCGGAACTATGCCTATATCGTGAATGGAGACTACTATTACCTACCGTATGGGGGATGCCAGACTTGGAACATCCCTTCGCTATCACCGTCTCCCCGTCCGGGTGTGCCAACCTAACCATGGCTGTCGGGCTAACGAACAACGGAAGGCTGACATCGTTTCCGAGCATCTTCGTCTTCGTGCTGATGTCTCTGACGTTTCTCAGGACCCGAGGTCGCAACCACATGCGCCCAAAAAAGGCGGCGTTTGCCTCTTTGGTTATGCAGTCGGTCGCTGCGGAAGAGAAGAATGCCCAAGCCTTGTCGGAGAGATTTTCGGAAGCAGCCTTCTCGAAGTCATGGCTACTGAGAAGCGTGAGGAGTGGCCTCCTCCTCCCCCCACCATTCTTTGCGGTCGATGGGGAAGCGGGGGTTTTGGTCTCCGAAACATCTGGACCTGGGCCCATACTGCTCTCGTCAATCTTACCAATTCTCTTAGAGGCCTCTAGCTCGTTCTGTATCAGAGATGGCGCATGAATGCTATTGTATACCGCCGAAGCGTCTTGGCCGGCGTACTTGTGAATGACTGCGCTGCATAGTCAGCATCGGATTCTAAACAACAACGAGGGGGCATTCTTAGTCCTACCGGCCGCACCGCCGGGATGCTCAGGGGCAAAGTCGCCGAGATCCCAAACTACACCGTTGACTACTAGCCAACAGTTTTCGGGTGAGGAGTGTTTTCGCAGTTCGTCGGCCGTGATAGGGTGCTCTAGTGCCATCGCGAATTGGTGAGGGATGGAGATGCTGCTACTCGCACCTAATTACACTCACAACTGCAGCAGATAACCATCGGAACTCATGGACGAGGGGCATGATCATATCAGCCAATTCACATTGGCGAATTAAAGAAGACTAAATACAAAGACCGGTATGGTAAACTGGAGAGCGGAAACGCATTCCCGAGGCCAATCCCATTCTGGCTTGGCAGATGGGACCGCCAAGAATCTGGAATATCCATACCAGCTGTCGTTCGGTGTTGTCGCCGGACCCCACCTCGGAGAAAGTGCCGAGTCCCAGCAGTCAGTATGAGTAGGCCGAGGCTTGCCGAGGAGTATTCGATGATAACTAGGAAGATCTGCGGATAGCAACGCTTGATGATATCTGCAATTGAAAAAGAGAAGTCGAGAGAGGTCGATAAAATCAAGGAAGCCTTGGTAGTCTCGTCACACTCGCTCTCATGCATCCTTAGAGCCGGGTATCAGCTTAGTGTCCTGCTGCTTAGCTTGTTCTTTTCCTCTACACGGTTGACCAGACCGCGAACACCAAGCAGTCGTGTGCTCATAGAGCATATCCCCCGCCTCAACCTTCTTTCAACGCGCATCCGAGATCATGCGCATCCTGATTACTGGAGCTGCCGGATTCGTCGGCCAGCACCTGGCCAAAGTCCTCCTTAATGACGAGGAGGGGCGTCATACCGTTATCTTGACAGATGTTATCGAGGCCCCCATTCCAAAGGGGACGAAATGGCCGCAGAATGCCAAGTCTATCAAGGCAGATCTCCTCGCCGGCTCGCAGAACGTCGTCGACGAGGGCTTAGACGCGGTGTTCGTCTTCCACGGTATCATGTCGTCGGGTTCGGAAAGTGATTTCGACCTGGGTAGGTGGCTAGCTCGCCAACCAAACTTAGGATGTCGGCTGACGTTTCACTTCCGCTGTAGGGATGAAGGTGAACTTTGATGCCACCAAAGCACTCCTCGAAGTCCTTCGCCAGACTTGCCCCGGCGTGAGGGTTATCTACACATCCAGCCAAGCAGTGTACGGCGGCGACATCGTCGAACCCGTGACCGAGGCGACCCGCCCTACGCCCGAAAGCTCGTACGGGTGCGAGAAGATAATGTGCGAATATCTCATCACCGAGTTCGCCCGCCGTGGTTTTATCGATGGCCTCATCCTCCGCCTTCCTACGGTGTCGGTGCGGCCGGGTAAGCCTACCGCCGCGGCGTCGTCCTTCCTTTCGGGCATAATACGGGAGCCGATGCAAGGTCTTCCCTGCGTGGTCCCCCTGAAAGACCGCGCCTATCGCCATTGGCTATGCTCCCCGCGCATTCTCGTAACTAACCTTGTCCATTCTCTTACTATTCCGCGGGAGGCGTTGCCCGGCTACGACCGCGTCGTCAACCTGCCTGGCATCGGGGTTACGGTGCAGGATATGATGGATTCCCTAGCAAGGGTGGGGGGACAGGACAAACTCCAGTATGTGTCGGAAGAGGACGACCCCAAACTAAAGCCAATCCTCTATTCTTGGCCCACGCTTTTCGACAACACTAGGGCTTTGGGTCTAGGCTATGTGCGAGACACGTCTTTTGACGACATCGTAAGGGACTTCAAGGACAGCTTGGGAAGCGCCTAAGCTTGCGAATTTCCCCCTCCCTTTCGAAAGTGTCCCAACGCTTACCTGCGTGTACCCAACACATAAAACTTGCAAATATCTAACTAGAACAACACGATAAAAATTCAGCCAGTCAACCAAGTATATGTAGACGGAAGTAGAAATAAATCACGGTCACCCCTCCAAATTCACCAACTCTTCCGGCCTACTGATGGGGATATTATTACCGCGTTCCGTGCTAGCGAAGGAGAACCGCCTTAATTCAGCTCACCACCCTAATAAAGGCCCCAAGAAACCACAGGCTGCTATGCCTTGCCTGTAGACCCCATATAGTCCATGTGCAACCCCGCCGCTCTCTACATGGCCGGAGCCTCCCTCTTCAATCACGACAGTTAACGATATCTAACCAGCCTTTTCCTTCTGCACCTCAGTGAACCTGGCATTGGCCGCATCGTTAACATTGCATTTTGCTATACCGCGTTTGACACATTCTTTGAACAGCTCCTCATCAAAGTCATCTGCGCCGTGGAGAACGAGGTGGACCCCGCTCTCGGTCTATTTGCGAATCCGGCCGAGGCGGGCATAGTCCAGGTTCGGGCCCTCGGGGCCGCATTTGCCGTTGCTAAAGCCTGGTGCAAGCTCTGCAGTCAATCTGCACCTCGATTTGTTTGGGGGTGGTGAGGACTCCTTCCAGATCGCCAGTATCTTCAATACCGTTGATGCACCCGGGCCCGGCTTCGGCGGCGATGCCCCTCGCGTGTAGGAACTCGGCCAGCTCCCTCGTCTCGGCCCGTATTCTCCTCCTGCTCATATTAATAGTCAGTGTCGACCATGACGCCGTCGAAGCCACAGAGCTCGGCCGCTCTCTGCATGCTCGTCAGGGACTGCACGTGGTCTATGTGTACGGCCACGGGCACCGCAGCCTCTCGCTAAACGCGTGGGTGAGAAGCCCGTTGGCGAACTCGACTACCTCGACGATGGCCGACGCCCGGTTCTTAGTGTCTGCCATGGTGGGCTAGATGCCTGAGATGAGGGCCTGAGCGTGCCGGAGATAAAGTCACATATTGTCCCCTTTCCTCCCGACGAATCGTCTGATGAAAGGAAACCCCTCTCCAGTACTCAGGTCCACCTTGCTCGTTGAACGGGTGCCGGCTACGAGGCCCGCGGCCTCCAATCCTCGTTACCGAGACTCCATCTCGGCGAAAAGTGCGAGTCTGGCGTCCAGCGGCCCCAACGATACCACCACATTGGAGGAATTCTCTCTCGGCAATTCGCCGAGTGGCGTCCCCCCTTACCCTAGCCGACCCCAGAGTACGGAGTGGTTCCACCGGATGGCACATCTCGTGGAGAATGCTGCATCGACGGCAGGGGAATATGGGGGACATTGCGGGGAACCCCATGGTGGTATACCAATAGCCGAACTTGCAGGACGATGTCACGGTCCCGGTGCCGCCGTGATCCCCTGTCTGTGGGCGTGTAAGTCGGTGAATAAATAAGGAGGAGAGCTCACCCTCTGTAGATCGGCATGATAGGCCCCCCCTTTTTCCCGCTTCCCCCCATCCCCAAGGCCCTGACCGGAGTCGGATCGAGAGAAAGAAGAGGGCACGCGACGATTTCCGACTGCTTCCTACTCACTGACTCCTGCCCACCATGGCAGACAAGAAGGGTAACGACATCGACGCCAAAGCCCAGGCCGCGGGCGTTGAGGAGGCCAAGATGCCCACGAACGACGGGATGCCCGAGATCCTCCGCTCGTACAGCTCGGCCGAGTTGCAGGCGATGGAGAAGTCCCTCGTCCGCAAGGTCGACCTGCGGAGCCTGCCGGTCCTCATTGTCCTGTTCATCCTCAACATCCTCGACCGGAACGCCATCGCCAACGCGCGTCTCGGCGGCCTTGAGAAGACGCTGGCCATCGGCGATGTCCAGTACCAGACCGCGATTATGGTGCTCTGGGGTACGTTCTCGTGCTGCGGCTCTTGCTTGGGCCGCAGCCGCAGCCGCAGCCGCTCGGCTCGTGAACACCCCTGAATGACGAACTTGCTAACTCGCTCGCAGCTGGTTACATCTCCATGATGATTCCGTCGAACATGCTGCTGTCCATCTTCAAGCCGAGGATCTATCTCCCGACAGTCGTGATCGTCTGGGGCGTGGTACGTATATGCCCCCAAAACCCCAAGGCTCGGGCTTTCTCCTGCTAATTAACGCCGCGTTTCTAGGTATCCGGGGCGTCGGGGTTCGTGCAGAACTTCGCCGGCCTTGTGGTTGTTCGTTTTTTGGTCGGCGTTGTCGAAGCCCCGTACTTCCCCGGGTGCATTTTCCTCCTGTCGTCCTGGTACACCAAGACCGAGCTACCCTCGAGGATTGCCATCTTCTACTCTGGCTACACCCTCTCCTCAGCCTTCGGCGGTCTAATCGCCGCTGGTATCATCGGCGGCATGGACGGGGCCGGCGGATATCCTGCGTGGGTTCGTCTGAAACCATCACCCCGTTCACTGCCAGGTTTCTCTCCTGGTTAACACTTCGTGACAGCGATGGGTATTCATCATCGAAGGAGCAATTACGATAGTGGCTGCGTTTGCAGGTTACCTACTCCTGCCTAATTACCCTGAAAATACACCCTGGCTCAACGAGACCGAGAGCGCCCTAGCCCAATATCGTCTCTCACGCGAAGTCGACGGCGAGGTAGACGAGGTCACCGAATCCGTTCTCGTCGGACTCAAGCAATGTCTCTCCGACCCGAAGGCGTGGCTTCTGGTTCTCATCCTCAGCGGCGCCGTCGTTAGCATGAGCTTCACTTGTAAGCTCCCCCTTTTTTTCCTCGCATACACCACACTTGGCGGGGACGGAAAGTCTTCTCAGTCGCGCGAACGCTAACGTGAACTTACCCGGCAGACTTCTTCCCGTCCATCGTCCAGACGCTCGGCTATCCCGACGTCGAGACCTTGCTGCTTACCGCCCCCCCGTACTTCTTCGCCTGTATCTTTTCCATCACCAACTCCTGGCACAGCGGCAGGACGCAGGAGCGCTGCTTCCACATCGTCGCCGGCTGCATCCTCTCCGTCGTCGGGCAGATCCTCTCCATGTCCACCTACAACACCGGTGCCCGGTATTTCGTACGTCTTGCCCACCCACCTCCGGGACTCCCCCCTCGCCCTCTCTGGTCTCTTGCGCAGTGAAGGCCCCACGGCGCCGCGGGCGTTGCTAACCCTCGTGTCTACCAGGCCATGTTTCTGCAAGCCGCCGGGTCCTTCTCCGTGTTCCAGATCATTCTGTCGTGGATCTCGACCACGATCCCGCGGCCTAAGGCAAAGCGCGCCGTGGCGCTCGCCTTGTGCACGGCCATTAGCAATGCCACTAATATGAGCACCGCCTACCTCTACCCCAGATCGGACGCGCCGTAAGTCACCCCCTTCCCCCCTGCCTCCCGTACATCCACCAAGCTAGCTCCCTCCCCCCGGCGCACGCTAACACATAAACCGCCTCCCCCCCCTCACAGGCTCTACCGGATGGGCTGCATCGTGATCGCCGTCGCGCTGGTCGTCTGCGCGGCCTCATCGCTGACGCTCCGCTTCTGGCTGCGCAAGGAGAACAAGAAGTTAGACCGCGACGAGGACGGCGAGCTGCGCAGCTTCCGCTACGTGCTGTGACGCGTCCGAGCGAAGAGCTGGAGAGAAGCAGAGTCCGGAGATGGCATGGATGCAGTGCGAATGGCCTGCAATGATGTGTGTGTATACGTGTAGATATGTATGCCTAAACAACGCAAAGCATACCTACACTTACACTTACATGCTTGTTTTTCTTTTCCTGCATCGAGCTTTGCCGCGGTGCTTCGCTTGGGGCAGGCCGGCCCGATGTATGCCTCGCCTGCTTAACAATGCCGCCTGCTGGTAATATGCGCCGGTTTAGACGCCTGCCACCACACATATACACATATATGGATAGGGGTACCACATGCCAAAATCGGCGCCCAACACTCTCCGGGGCCACCTGAGGTCTACGCACACCGGCCCGCGGCGCCGCAGCGCCAGCTTAATTAGCACGAGTACCCCAGGGCGCGTTTCGAACTAACCGCTCGAACTGAGTATATCCTGCCCGCTTTCTCATGGCGTAGTCGTACACAGATACTGGCTACCTACGTTCTACCTGCTCTAAGAACTCGCTTTTTTATTTTATTTTTACTTCGGCATCGTTTCCCCCTGATCATCGAGGCGATGGCTGCGAGGGGCTGGGCCCAACCTCCCTCGATCGGTTTCCCGTCTTACTGAGACTAGATAGGGCTGACGTGCGGCAGCGGTCCGGTGCCGTCGCGGCCTCGCCGTCTCGCACTGTCTCGCTGGATAGGTATGCAGCGGCCCAGTTGAGAGGGTGGGAGGCGGGTCCCCGCCGTAGGAGAGACGGGCTGGCAGTACGTTGCTTTTCTTTCTTGGGGCGTCGCTGGCGCGAGCGAGCTATGCATAGGTATGGCCTCGCGGGGGATGAGACTGGCCTTGAGAGAGAGACAGAGTCGGCGAGCCGCCAGCGTGCCCGGCTCAAGGGTTGACCGGGGTTTGCACGCCCCACTCGGTGAACAAAAAAGGGGGGGTTGACCGGGAGCAGGCACGCAGTCAGGGGATGTCGGCTTACTGCATCGAGCAGAGCCGGAGGAGTGCGTTGCCCATGTAGGTAGCCACCCCCCACGACTACGGACACAACTTGGCGACTACATCTTCTCGGAACGAGCCGGACCACAGCGGCACGGCTGTCGAGCGCCGTGGATTGCTGAAAAGTTGGGGGGTTGCTAAGACTGAGACGGGTATTGGAATCGCTGCTCCGGGCCACTAGGCTGGGACAGGGATAGCCCGAGAACAGCCCCCATGTGGAAATACCAGCTGGTGTGAGCATACCGACGTAGGTCCCGAACCGTCTACATTAACGATGGATGTCTCGCTGCAGGGGCGCCGATATAGGTAGGTGATGTGCAGGAGAAACTTCTGCGAAGGATCGTTCGTCCACATTTCCGGGTCTAATATGTCTTCAGGGCTCACAGGTAACTGGAGGGGGGGAAAGGGGGGAGGCATCGAGTAGGCGGACCTCCTAGCGGTGCCCCCTGCACACCCACCCGTAGCGCTCGCTTTGGTTTCTCCGTACTTACGTGAGGAGGCATCGACTAGGGTGGAATAACCACCTACCCATATACCTAGAGGCTACCAACAACTCGAACCAGCTACACCCCCAAAGAGGAGAAACACGTTGGTTGAGGTTCTCGTACGAGTAGAAAGGCAGCGAGGGCACTAGCCCTGTTTCGTGAGGCATCGTGTCGCGAGGATCACGTGGCTTAGCTGGCAGTCGCTAAACGGAACGGCCCTTCGACTAACCTGCCCAACTAAAATAAGTATTGGCACTACCTACCTACTCACCTGGTAATACCCATGGCGGCCCCCGAGTGAAAAGGCGTACCTACCTACAGCTTGATTTACTCAGCTCGTGTGCACAGCGCGAGAGATACCTAGAGGGACGACGACGGCTGCCCGGCTCGAGGTCTTGCCACGCTAGAGGTTCACGTTCACGGTGGTGACCATTGCGTGGGGCCAACAATCGCAATTCTATTGACTAGAAAATCGGCCCATTTCTTCATGCAATCGTCACGAACTTCCGCAGTCGCTGCTCTGCTAGTTCTGAGTTGCATAAACACAACCATAGGTCCATAGGTCCACTCGACAAGTGTTTGACCAGCCATCCTCCCGTCCCGCCCGTCATTGTGGCCCAAAGCCCGCAGCGGTAATCCTGTCCCGCGACATCGCCGCTGGTTACTAGGCAGATGCCGTCATGTGCCGTATATAGCATAGTCGGGATGGTCGAATGCCATGTGGTGGGTGCGAGCATGTCGATGGGAAATGTTGCCTTGTCATGACGCGTTATACTGTGGTGGAGAGGGTGCCGAGATCGAGTAGTGGTGATGCGTTTACTTGCTGTTGCCGGGGTGGTGGCGTCAGTATGCGATCACCACAGGATGGGAAGGGGGGCAACCGTGACATACCTGCGGGCGCGCATCTTTCTCCTCTTCCGCTTAAGACGACGAACTCTCTTCTTTCTCCACTTGGCTCTCATCCTGGCGACTACGACTACCCGTTGTTAGTCCTCGAAGCTCTCTCGCCTTGTCTTGCCGCCGTGCGAGACAGCGTGGGTTGGGTTTTGAGGGTGTAGGTGATAGCGGGGATGGCTACGGAGGTGACGGCGATCGAAGCCGCGAGCGGGAAGATCAACGCGCGCAGGCAACCGAAGGGAGGAACGGCCAACGATGGTGATGGACGCGTCCAATTCTCGGTTGGCGATGCGAAGTGCTGGTTTTCGGAGGGCTGGCTAGGTAGTACTTACAGGTGGCTGTCGATGAGTTGCTTTGATGATGAAGCTTGGAGAAGGAAACGATATTTCTCGAGGGGAACAAATTGAAGTAGTAAGGGCCGGAAATTATGTTAGGGTTGTGACCGGGTTTTCTTCGGGCGGAAGGCGTGGGGAGAGCACAGCTGCCTACGGCTGTCAACCTGCTGGCACGCCTAGCCCGCCACGGAGTTGCTCGCAGTGCACACACCCAGGCGTCGCATTTATCTAGGTATAGGTACGGCATCCTTTTACCGTTTTCCACGTCGCAGCATCACATCGACAACTTCGCAGCCCGCCAGCATTTTCAAGCGGAGAGGGCAGGCGTTTATGTCGATCTATGTACCTACCTACCTATCTGTATGCACCGAGCGATGCTAGTGTCCTCTGCGCCCCGTCAGGCCGTCCCGTACTTTGCATGGTAGGCTGCTGTGCGGTAGCTGTCGCATACCAGCTGTCGCATAATAGCTTTCGTGTATATACCGGGTATGATAGATATCGATACATCTGCTCCATGACGGCCTCGTCGCGACCGCGGCCACCGCGGTGCCGACTTGGAGCGAGGCGGAGTGGAGATACACTACTTGCATCTTACGTAATAGAGGCTGCTCGCGTACTACCCCGCGCCCCACCTTCGGCGCCATGCGGCTAGCTGATATAAGCTGCTTTGTCGACTATCAAAGCTCCCCCCCTGTCGCTGTCATCGCCAAGTCCCATCCGTATACGGATTGGAGGCGCAGCCAGCTTGTCTTATTGTTGTCTACCTACAGTACTCCATATAGGTAGTATAGTAGACTCCCCCCTTACGCGCTCCGGCGGCATCTGCGCCCCCTCCCTCCTTGGTCCTTGGTACTACTAGGTATAACAACAGCGGCTGGGCTGTCCTCAGCCCTATGAAGACTCATACGGCCTTGGAATACGGCGTGTTCTATACGGCGTATTCTGTCCGGCCCCGCTATTATGCACTGTTGCAATTTGCCTTCTAGTTGTTATGCCACTCGATATTCTGATATCACGGTGAGTGGAGTCCGCCAGTAAGTCGTGAGTGTAGACAACTGTAAGTAATAAATAATATATATATTCGCTCCCTTGTCGGATTTCGGTCTATATTCCTTTACTCTAGGTACCTCCCCATCTCATTCTCGACTCAATAAAACCCGTCGACCCCCATCTTGGCTCCTTTGTGCTTCCGGCCCGCCCATCATGGTCTCTCGCAACGTCTTACGACTTTCCTTCGCAGCCTTCGCGGCTTTAGCCTATGCGAATCCCTATCCGAGAGCGGCAACGCTTTCGTGGAGTCCTTGTAACGGGACCGAAGTGCCCGGCCAGGTTCCCGCAGAGTGTAGTACTCTTGAGGTCCCTCTCGATTACACCGAGCCCGGTGAGACTCATGTCCTCGATCTTGTCCGGGTCCCGGCGCCGATACAACCTTCGAAGGGCAGTATTATTCTCAACTTCGGCGGCCCAGGGGGGACTGGGCGAGATGTCGTCGTTCAACTGGCGACAGTGTTACAAGCGTATGAAAGGTGCCCCCTTCGTCATTGCAACTTCGGCAAGGCTAACTTCAAATGTAAATTTAGGCTCTCGGGGCGTCAGTATGATCTTCTGTCCTTTGACCCGCGTGGAACTTCTGGCTCCCGGCTTCAATTCAACTGCCTCGACAACGACTTCGACGGGTTGTCCTTAGTATTGGGCCTATCTCCCGCTAACGAGTCAGAAGGGAGCTTGGGGAGAATCTGGGCGCAGGGAACGATAACGGCTGATACCTGTCTAAGGACTCAAAACAAGACGGGAAGTCTCATTAGCACCGCATTTACCGCAAGAGATATCATGCAAATAGTGGATGCGCTGCAGGAAGATGGCATGCTAAGATACTGGGGATTTTCCTATGGTACAACCTTAGGGGCAACTATCGCTGCCATGTTCCCGGATAGAGTCGAGCGGATGGTACTGGATGGTGTCCAAAACCCCCACCAGTACTATCGTCAGCAAGTGTAAGTGGACTCGAGCGAGGCATAGATAACCCCAGCGAAGCTAAACTTACACAGTGAGCCCGAGGCGCGGACAGACGCCGATGCTGCATTTTCCGCCATATTTACAGGCTGCGTTGCGGCTCCAAACAAGTGTGCCTTGGCCAGAGATAACAGAACTGCTGCCGAGCTTGAGAGAGAGGTCCTAGACTTCTTCGAGGCTGTCAAGCTCCGCCCACTGGTCGTCCAGGGCGCCATCCTGGATTACACTGCCATAAAGAGCTACTTTGTCGGATCCCTTTACGATAGTTCAGGCTGGCCTGCACTCTCTGGACTGGTTGACACGATACTAACCGGACAATATGAGAGTTCGTCTGGTGTTCCAACTGATCCTACCCCTATCCGTCAGACTATTATTCTGGTACAGGCGTTAGCCGGTATCCGTTGTAGCGATAGTGAGGTGCGGACCGAGACATTTGAGGATTTTGCTCTAGCTGTTCAGTCGATGTATGAATCGAGCAATATCAGTATGTCACCCCTAATACCCCGTCCTTTACGTGGTAAAAACTGACGTCCGATCAGTGGGAGATATGCTAAGCGTATACGCTACTTGCTCGCAATGGAAAATTGAGCCTAAAGAACGGTACACAGGCGATTTTAACGTGGATACAAAGAACCCAGTCCTCTTCATCGGCAATACTTTCGATGGGCTAACGCCCCTGGTCTCGGCTAAGAACGTCAGCTCCACCTTCAAAGGCAGTGCTGTCCTGGAGGTCAACGGATATGGTGTAAGTCCTTCTCCCGCTGCTTTTACCCTTCCCCCTTTCCAGTTGGAGCATGTCTTTTAGGAGTACGGCAATAGCTAATGAGACGCATCTACATAATCAGCATTCCTCTCTTGTTATCCCTTCGACGTGCTCCCTTAACAAGACTTCCACCTACTGGTTGGGTGGAACCCTGCCTGAGAAGGATGACCTGTTTTGCGAATCCGATGCTCCCCTGTACTCGGGGGTCACTTGGGAGGAGATTATCGACAAGTACTACGGTGCCAACAGCACGACACGCTCCAAGCGCACTCCTTTCAAGCGTAGTATCCCCGTTTCGCCTAAGATAGGGTACCCCATCGTCCCTCACCCCGTCAACCTCCCTTGGTAATTCGATGGAACCGGTATAGTAAATCGTTGATACAGCCAAACCATCTCCATTCGTTTACCTATCCCTTTTGCCACTCGATGGGTGTGCTACTCTGTTGCCGAGCTTGTAATATTAGTTCGGGTTAGATAGAGTATGGTTGACAGGAGAAACATTATAGACAATTTGGCGATTTGTCAAGCGATCAGCAACCAAGTCCTATGCCGTACGTTGCCTTCGGCTGTCAATACTAGCAAGAGGCTCCTTAGCACCTGCACCCAATCCGCTGCCCATTGATATATATTATCATCTACGGGTATTGTCTACGTATATAATACAAGCGGTGCCTACACGGTGACCTTGGAAATGCGCAAGGAATAACTGCAGCCTAGAAATTGCCGCCTAGTACCTAGGTAGGCAGCAGCGTAGTGTTCCGCCTAGAATCAGGATCCTTTACCATAGCAATGCCTGTAACTCAGAGAGCAGAATCGAGTAGATTAGCCGAAGTGGAGTCAACTAAGCCTTACCTCGGCCTAACTAATATCAACTGACATCTTACATAAATCTGCATCAATCCCAGAGCTTCTTGGCAGCCTCAGGAAAGTCTTCTAACACTTACTCGCTTCACCATTTTGTCACCATCCGGTGTCTCCTTAGAAACAGAAAGAACCCCAAGGCAGATCGAATCAACGACTCTAATATCCCATAATGCTCACGAATCCCAACTTGACCCAAGCCCTTTACGCGGGAAATGCAGTGAGCCAGCAACCCCGAATCTCCAATCCACTGGGTTAGCATGCACTAATCTGTTTCCTCCTCGCTCAAAGTTATGGTTCAGCAGGTAGGAAACTGAATCGCATCAACATCGATGCCCCTTAGATGCTAAGCGGCGGGAAAAGGCTAACCTCAGCAGTGCTGTCCTCCACTTCGGCTTCCGCCAGGCCTACGTGATGCGCAGAATTTCGCTCCGAAAGCATTCCAAGGACCCGGCGATCAGGTCCACGCCAGCCGGCGACAAGTACCACCACGATATCATGGCGTACCTAGGCGGGATGAACTCCCCCCTCGCTCTTCTGGCGTGGCTTAGGCTGTTTGCGCTGCTGCGGCCTTCGAAATTCTTCTCCGCCAGGTCTAGTGCGGGGGATGCCGCGCTGGATATCACGGCCCTGATAGTTCTCGGGCTAGGGAACTTGTCCCAGGCAGTCCTAAACTTTACAACCAGCCGCAAGAGTGATCGGTGGATAATGGGCAAGGGATTAGATCGAATCACCGTCTTCGATGCTGTGTTCACTGTGTTAGACTGGTGCTTTGCTCTAGCCAGGATGGCTTCTATCTGAGTGGATGATACTATGCAAGCATATCGAGAGATGGATTTTATGAAACGGCGATGACTTTGCTACCGACCTTACTATGAGATTGCTGTCTGAGAGGTTCAGTCGTTCGCCTCGGTGAGCCAGTACGAGCATGCCGGGCATATTACCTACCTGGGTACCTACAGGCAGGTATGTATATGGCGTTAAACATCGGATACCAGTGTCAGAAAACGTGGGGGAGAATAAGATTTCTCAACCATCAATTCCCATCGTAATATAACTTCCTACCGAAAGCTGAAGAATAATACGTTATACCCTGGCCTCCGGGGGAACAAAGGCTTCCGATGTCTCTAGAGGCATACTGGAGTCAGACCCCTCCACGTGACAGAGACGTCCTCCTCTGAGCTTTACCCGTTATTACTGGATTCTCCTGGGGATTCTGCCCCGCACCAGGCTTGCCCTACCGCCAACTCAAGTACTGGTAGACCTCTCTGGGTCCCTCGAGATTCCCTGCCCAGCGATCGGACGGTTAGGCCCTCTCGCCGCCTGATCTCCGATGAAGACGGCCATGCTATCATGAAAGCACCGAGGTACTCAACTTCGAGGCAAAAAGCCTGTCAGCGATGTTCGACCGCCAAGGCGAGATGCGATCGCAAAGCAGGGCGGTGCACGAGATGTGCCCTGAGAGGTCTATCTTGCACTTACTTACCGTCCGGAGCCGCTACCCGAGGCGTGAGCGACGATGAGAATGTGACCCAGTCCCAACCCCTTTCCACACCGGATATTCTCCACGCAGCTGAGGGTCTACTTCCGACCTCCGGATGCGACCAACCCACTGGACTAGAGGGCCAGAGTTCGGCTTATGGGTCGGCACAACCCATCGGCGATACCACCCCGACCGACACTTCGACGGCGACATCGGCCAAGTGGCGCGTTCCAAATGACTCGAGGCCGAACTTGACGCCTCGCTCGCCTTTAGGGTTGGACACGCTTGATTTTTCGTGTCTAGAGCTCCTCAATCCCATCAACGTGGACGATATTAGCAACCGCTGGCTGAATTCTTTCGTCCCCATTCCCGGTCAGAAGGTTAAAGAATACCCGGCCAGCATTACCGCCTTTATCTACAGGATACTAAAATCGTACGCTGCCGTTACAGTTCGTGGTCGTGGAGTTCCGCCATTCGTGCACTTCTCGCAAACGATCCCGGCGTTATTACGGCCACCCCTTTCTACTTGCTTGAGTTTGGTTCGCGTCTGCGACAAGCTATTGCCGGGAAGTGAGGGCGCCGCGACAGACGTCCTGCAAAGAGAGATGGATAACCTCTATGAGCAGCACGGGACATACGACGATGTGGACTTGTTAGCGGCATTTCAAGCGTACTTGGTCTACTCTTTGGTGCTATTCTTTATCCTGGGCCGGGTTTCAGATCCGTTCCTTCGACAGGCGATGATGAACCTCCAAGAGCTTGCATGCTCATGTAGCCGGGGAGGACTCGTGTGTGTAGCAGAGCAACAGCGCGCCTGTCCTAGATGGGAAGCCTGGGTCGTCGCCGAGGCGAAGCGACGGACGCTGTTCACCATGTATCTTTTCGACAGCGTGCTCTTGGCTCAAGATGGCCTTCCGACGTTTCTCGGCACCGAACTACGGGGGCTATCCGCCTCAGCAAGCAAGTCTTTGTGGAGTGCCCAGACGAGATACGAGTGGGAAACAACATATAGCATCTACCTAGCGGACTGGCCGGGGGGAGGGCTGCGCATTGACGAGCTTTGGCCGACCCCTCCAGACCTCGACGCACCTGGCATTCTCGAAAGACGTAACAGAGTAGACCAGTGGCTCGAGAATGTTGACGAATTTGGGACCATGCTTTATGCGGTAACTAGTTGTACGCATGGCGGCTGACTACCCTTTTTAAAATGAAAAGAAATATTGCTCTGGGATGGACGCCTTTAAGGCTAAACTCAAAGCAATTAGAAGGGATGAAGAAAACGAGCGCGAGGCTAGCTAGTGAATGCACATATAGGTGCTTAACCAGCTGAAGTCAACTGGTCGCTCTCTACAGAAGGGTAGCTAAATGTCGGCTACAGAACCACTCAAGGCTTAATAAATGGCGGCGTAACAAAATGCTTAAGCTACCCAGGCAAGCTAGTTACGGAAGAGCCATTCCGAATTCAACAGTTATTAAAGGCGGATGTATATATGGAAGAGGAACATCGTGGGGACACGCTGTTAGGGAACCGAGGCTGAAAAATAACCACAACTACCAACAGCCGGTCCAGGTGCCGATAAACAGGAACAAAAATTACGACAGCAGTTGCAGCTGCTGTAACTGGCGATGGTCAGCTGTAAGAGGCAACTGGGCGAAGCAGGAAAGAAAAGAACGAAGACACGAGCAGTGATGATGAATTAAACTATCGTGATACCGATGCTTGAAGAGGTAGAAAGAGGATCCAGAGTCAGGGGAGAAAGATCGGTGATAATATTCCCGTACCAGGCGATCGAAACACGTAGATACGAACACGTCCATGTTATCCTTGCCCTGGCCGCCCAACGATGGAATTCGGCCCATGGCAGCTTTCTAAGAAGCTGAAGAAGAGACGAGGCCCAATCATATCGCGGGCCGGCATACGTATCGGGAAAGTCGAGGGTTGGCAGTGTTTTGGCGAGCCTACATAGATATCTAGCCGGAAGGGGCTAAAGGCGACAGGAGCTTGGCGACAAGGACGAGATCGGGAGGGTTTTCTGCTGCTCCTCGGAACACTTCTGAACTTTGGGAAAAAGAAATGCTTCTCGGGCAGACGGTTAGCTCTTATCGTGATCGAGGTTTGGTCCTCCGGAGAGAGTTCCGAGACTTTGGGAAGAAGGAAAAGAAGATTTAGCACACTCTTTTGAGATAGACTGCTGCCACGTTAAATACCGAAGAGCGCCGCTGCGGTGCGTAGCTCCACACAGCTCCGTCTCGGAGCTCATGAGGAACTAAGACCCCGACGTACTATCTAGGTCCTAAACCATTAATACTAATGCGGTCGGATGTTAATATAACCATTACTTAGTCTACGTGGGACTCTAAACAACTCTAAGAAGAGAGTGCACGTAGATCCATTGCAGACTTAGACTATGCTTGGTAGACGTAACCAAGTCAAATCGAATATTTTAGGGATAATTGAAAACCCCGCAACTCTGAGAGCATATCATAATACGTTAATGTAGCCAAATAGGACGTGTACAATACCTAAGTCTCAATACCCTTGTCCCGTTTAAGTTGCATCTAAAAGGTCTAGGTCAAGACATCAAAACGTCACGCCCGCAACCTTCTATCGTATATTTCGCCATCATAATGCCGGATGTCTAACTTCGCCGTGCCACAGCGTTGCGTGCTCTCCCCTTCTAAGCTCATAATTCAGTTCAAGAGTACTAGCATGTCTGGACCTCTGGTTCTACGGCATCATAGCCCACCGTATGCTGGTTACCCCTTTTCTTTTCCGCAACGCCGACACTCTAAGATCCTCTCCGCTCCTCCTTTCCCCTCTTCCCCCCTCCACTCCTCTCATTCCCGTCAATATCCCCTCCGCCCCCGACCGCCGCCCGCGTCACCACGTCTCGCCGAGATCCGCGAGCTCCTCTTTGAGGTGCGCCCTGCGGGGCCAGTACTTGCGGGCGGTGCGCAGGTACTTCAGCGCGTCGTCCTGGCGCTCCTCCGCCTCGGGGCCGTCCTCGCCCGCGCCGCCACCGCGGCCCGCGCGCAGGCTCGTGTTCTGCCAGATCGGCAGCACCCGGCGCCAGCCGGCGTCGGCGTCGGCCCGGGTCTCTCGCGTCTTCCGGGCGGGCGCCGGCGGCAGCGGCGGCAGCGCGAGGCGCGCGAGGTCGGCCGCGCGGCGGTACTCGCCGCCGCCGTGGACGTAGGTGTCGGGGCCGAGGAAGTGGGCGCGGAGGATGGCCTCGACGGCGGCGGCGCGGCCGCCGTCCGGCTCGTCCGCCGCCGCCTCGCCGTCGCCGACCACGGCGAAGTAGTTCGGGTCCTTCCACGGCGGCCCCGCGAACGCGACGCGCCGCGACGCGCGGCCCTGCCGCCGCACGCAGTACGGCGCGCCCGCGCGCCGGCACCCGCCGCACCGCGCCGCCCCCTCCGCCCCGACGTAGCTCAGCGTGCACCGCAGCCCCTTGCCCGCGCACCGCACGCACTTCTCGCCGTCCTCCGCCAGCCGCCGCCCCGTCACCGGGTCCCGCGGCCGCCTGTCCGCCTTCTCCTTCGTCCCCGCGGCTCCCTCCCCCCCCGCCCCTCCCGTCGGCCCGTCGGCGCGCAGCCCCTTGAGCAGGGCTAGCTTGAGGAGGCTCGCCTCCAGGCCCTTCTCGTTCTGAGGCGGCGACATCGCGTCTCGAGTCCCTCCGCTCTATTAAATGCCAGTATCACGCCGCGTGCGATAGCCAAAAGAAAAAAGAAAAAAATTCGGGCCGGTTTCCGAGGTGCCCGCCCGTAAAGCGTCGCCACGTGCCCTCCTTATCTACCAAGGCTCGGGGGTACCCGAAAAACAGCCTCGCTAGGCGCGAACAAAGTCTTTGTGCGCGAGATGACGCGAAGCTGCCGAGTCTTTCTAAACGCGAAGACACCAGAAAGAAAGTTAAGGTGTCGATAGCAAAAGGCGTAGCCGTCAAGAGCTGTAGAGATCCTCTTTGTGATGTCCCCTGCTGCCTTAAAGTGATAGTATATTTTCTTTTCAAAATGGTGATCTCGTTCTGTATTTGTGTTATCTGCGTTGTCTGAGTAGGCCATATACCCACACGATGAGGTATTCATCCATTTCTCGGTCAACGAGTGTTTCCTTTGATAATAGGTCCGGTGGATACTTGCGGACGTGGCTATATCCTCTTCCTTGGATTTGTACCAATGAGGTCGAGCCCCGGGCAGATCAAGAGCCACTGCACTTGAAGTCTTCGTCTGAATCTGCACCGTTGATCATTATCCTGAAAAATATGGAGAAATCATGTTGTCCACAGTTGATGATGTTGTGTCCACATAAACCCCTCTCGCTAAAATCACTCCAAGTGATTGAGGAGCACAACCGCGTTTCCCCCTTTTCCTGAGCCATCAAATGACTGTCATTTCCTATATCGGGGAGTTCATCGACTGGAGGTGCGGTTATATGAACCTGATTCCACGTTTCTGCCTTTTGTTTCCACAAGGCTTCAAAAAGTTCACCATCGTGTTGATGGTGACGTGCCGCCTCAGCTTTCTGAATCCGGTGTTTGGGTTCCAACATCGGGTGCAACGTAGTAAATTCATGCCGACCATATCGTATTCTGACGAGGAATACTGCAGATATATCGTCAAGACAGGCGTTGATCCATTATTGCCTTGTTTTGACGAGCCTATTATAGAGGAACTTATTCGGTGGCGCTGACATGAACACAGCAACCATACACCCTGCTCGATATTGCTAAGGTGAGCGTACTGTCTACGGGCTCTTTAAGATGGTCCCACCACCGTCGCAGAATAGGAATGTTGTCACGTAGAGAGCCACCTATACATGGCTCCCTACTTCTTCTCTGGTTGCTCGCTGACCTAACCTAGCTCGCAGCTCCCTATCGTCTATATATAGGCAGCTCGCATCTCCTTTGTTCATCTCCTTCCTTCTTAGATAGTCAGTCAATTCACTCTCTTCTTCCCACTTTCCGTTGCTCCCAAGAAGCAACCTCAGTGCCTACGTAGCTCTCCCGATCTACGTAATAAATGTCGTATACGAAGTGACATATAAGTGTGTCAATGGTGATTGCCTAGGTATTTCCGTATTCTATGATAATAATATTCATCAGTCCTTACTAGCAGCATGTTGTTCTCAACCCATGATATTCCAACATAAGAGAACTCTATAATACTCTAATACCGATGACTGTACAAGAGAAGGAAGACAACGGTACACCGTCAGACATTCTACCCTGGGCAGTCCCATGCCCCTACTCTCCTCGTTTCTTTTGCATTTCTGTTTCTCTCCTCCACGCGCCGGCAAATTTCCATTGTACGGCCACACCCAGCAACGCGATCACTTGGACAATAGCGGAGATGGTAAATGCCAGCCCGACCCCGGTGCTGTTTATCAGGGGCATCACAAGACTAGTGCCAGCGGCAGCTAGTAGACATCGGGCCAGATTCAGACTGGCGCTAGCCGCAGCGCTCCTGTCAGAGAAAACGTCGACAAGGTAAGTCATGACAACGGACTGCGTAGAGACAGCAGTCCAGCCAGTGATAAAGGTAGATATAATAGGAACGGCAATGTGGACGTGGTCGGAGTATTGAATGGTCCAGCCGAACAGCACGATAGACAGACACTGGATGAGGGAGAAGACAGGGACTAGCCGAAGGCGTGCCTTTTCGAGTGGAAACTGGACCTCGGGACTGGTCACAGACGGATTTGCGTCGCTACCTACTTCGGCGTCGGGTTGAGCTGACCGAGCCTCATGCTTGGCTTTAACGCGCCGGTAGTCCATGTCGAGGGCTTTGCCGGTGACGAGTGTTCCTATCATAGACCCGACACCGTTGGCGATGAATGTCAGTCCGATCTGGGTTTCGCCAAGGCCGTATCGCTCCTCGAAAAGGGAAGACATGGCAGTGATGCTCATCTGCCACACAGCATAGTACACCGCGAGGAAAACAATGATAGGGGTCGCGTGCTTGCTAGCCAGGATGCGGAAAGGCCCTAGAATGTCGACGCGTTTGCTTGCTGTTGGCTGTGGCGGAGTTGCTCGCGGATCCCACTCGATCTTGGTGGTGTTTTGGTAGCAGGAAAGGGGATATCTAGCGATGGGGCTGGACGGCGTCCGGCCCCCGTTCGCAACAATTGACCTGAGCGTTTCAGGAAGGAGGAGAATCAGCGCGAGAAGAAAGGCGCCGCTGTAAATAGTTAGAAACAAGAATATCGCCCTCCACCCCAAAGATCCGGCTATAGCACCCCCGATGATCGGTCCCACCGCAACGGGCACCAGCAACCCGGCCTGAAAGATCCCCATGAAACCTCCGCGGTCTGCGCGCGTAGTGATATCTCCGATCACGCCAGACCCGATTGCGATGGTGCTTGCGCTGCCTGTGCTTTGCAAGCATCTTAACACTAGCAGGGTGGCATAATTCTTCGTCTGTGCCAGGCCGGCGCATGCGCCGAGAAACACCAAGAAGGTGCAGCAGTACGCAATTCGGCGCCCCTTGACGTCGGATATAGGACCCCAAAGGCTGGGTGCCAGGCCTTGGAAGAGAAGGTAGGAAGTCACGGTGAGATTCACGAGCTCGATCGAAATATCCAGGTCGCGAGCAATGGTGGGAAGCGCAGGGAAGTAGATGTTAGAAGCGAAGCCGGAGACTATCGATTGATATTACATGAGCTCAGAGGTTCTCCAGCTAATAGCTGCGGGGACGTTACGCTTACAGGTCGCGGCAGTCGAGACAATGGTAACGATCAAAGCCTTCTGTCGCTTGTCGAAGATGCTGTAGGGTTCTTCTAGGACTGGCGGCGAAGCGGGTGGCGTACCGGCCTGAATTTCTTGGGAATGTTCTCGAGCAGCCATGCTATATTCTTCTTCTCATCTTCCTCCCGTCGAAGTGCTTCTGCTGTGTTAAAACGTAGACGCCTGCGTCCCTCCGTGAGCTACGCAGGTAGGCTTGTATATGTAGGAATCCTTAGGTACGTGACAGCTTTATAGTCCAAAGTGTGGTGCGTAAGTAAACGTTCGCTCGCTTGCACAATAGAGACAGTCTGCCTTTCATATATGCACGGGCGGAGTTGAGCATGGAGAACGCACGGAGTTGAGGGGTGCGAGTTAGGTAATACTATTCGCTGAAGGGCGGTACCTATGTCGAATAATCACGCTGGGGGCCCTTGCGTACGGAGTCGCATAGCTACAACTGGGAAAAAACTCCACTTTTCGGTCGAACGCCCCAGTTTTATCGTCTACACATACGCCCCCAATAGGAGGAGGTATATATGTTTGATGCAAGTCCCCGATAGCTTGATATTGTATTCGTAGTAGCTTGTATATATACGAATAGAGTTATAGGCTACCGAGCTACCCCTTCGCGAGCTAGGTATTTTATATAGGTTTATATATAAACGATTTATTACCGTAAAAAACCGGAAAAAAATCGGAAAAATCGGAAATTTACTTACGTAATTAATTAGCTTAATTAAATTAATATATAAACTTTTTAGATTTTTTACTTAGTAATATAAGAAATTATTTACGATTTAAGGGGTTTTAAAACTATATTAATAATTTCCTATATAATTTATTAATAACCTTATTAATTATACTTATATCGATATATTTTTCTAATTTTTTTACGGTAATAAAGTAGGTCTATTACCTAATACTTTATTTTATAAAAAAAAAATAGCTAGTATTAAGTAATCTTATTTTTATTTTTATTTCCGTTTTTATTTAATTTATTATTTCAAGAAAACTACGTTTTTAAATAGGTTAAAACTTTTTAAAATCGGATCTATTTTTATAGTAAGAATTCTACCTTTCTAACTATCTTCTTTTTTTATATAAAGAGGTTCTAAAAAAGAATACTAAAAATTAACATTTTTAAGACTTGATTAATTTAAAAAAAAAAAGTTACGTAATCTTAATTATTATTTTATCTATATTATAAAGGATTAGGTAATAGACCTACTTTATTACCGTAAAAGAAATAAGTTAAGAGACTAATATAAAGTATAGTTAATAGATTTATTAATAAATTATATAGTAAATTATTAATATAGTTTTAAAACCCCTTAAATCGTAAATAATTTCTTATATTACTAAGCAAAAAATCTAAAAAGTTTATATATTAGTTTAATTAAGCTAATTAATTACGTAAGTAAATTTCCGATTTTTCCGATTTTTTTCCGGTTTTTTACGGTAATAAATCGTTTATATATAAACCTATATAAAATACCCAGCTCGCGAAGGGGTAGTCTAGCTTACCTATTGGCCGACCCAACCAGAGGGTAGCTCCTTCCCTACGTATAATTGAATATTCAACCTGCACCTTCCTACCTACCACACCCCTAGGGTGTACGTACCGAAAAGTGGAGTTTTTTCCCAGTTGTAGCTATGCGACTCCGTACTTGCGGGTAGTATTAGTCATGGTACCTAGTATTAGTCAACACCCCTAAGGCTATTTACTACTAAGGTATCTAGCAACCCCTGTAAATTAGAGGTAGGTAACATCTCACCCGAGTGCACCTTTCTCCCTGTACTATCCCCCTCCTCTAAGCGAGGGCAGTTCCCAGCCTGTTTCGCTGCTTGTTTCTCCTGTGAATGTTGCCTTCTTTCGTGTTGTCGACGGGTTCGTTCGGGAGTATTCAGGGCACACCGGCCTATGTCCAGTTTTCGAGAACGAACACTCCTTCGTCTATGTTCGTGGTATCTTGCGTCGTGCAAGTTCAAGCGTAGGCGGTCTGTAGAGACTTGCGTAAGTGCCATCTAAACCCACCTGTCAACTGGTGCACGACAGCGGCAGCCGTCGATTACTCCTATCTATCTAAGGCAGCACATAGCGACACAGACAGGAGCAGATCCGAGAGAACCGCCGGCGGAGGCGACTGCATAGTAGATAAATGGCACAGGTAGCGAGTAGTTCCGTCTGGTGATTCTGGCGTCGAGCCAGACACCCTCCTCTAGATCCCAATCTATTATGCCGGGCCATCGAATATTTCGGTGACATTAGCGCTATCTTAATCGGCGACTCCTTTCAACTTCAGACGAACTAGTTGGCCGTAATACATACCTCTCTTTTCAACACTCGGTATTTCTAACTTCGATCGAACGCCAGCTACGTGAGGAGCAGGCGCGGTTCAGGGAAGCACTGGGCTTGGTAAACGGTGCTTGGGGCGCCGTTTATTGGGCCGAGGGATCTAACGTAGATATCGACGCCCCCAGGTTATTATGGTGGCTTGGGATAACTATATTGGGTCGCCGTTTTATTCACCCTCTGGCTAGGAGCTTTGAGATACGCGCGGTAAACCAGTGGTCCCTGTAGAACGGGTACGGCAGGATTTTATTGTTTAGCACAATACGTTCTACAAGGATTAATTTTGATCATTTGCTACGCTGTTACTGTCCGTAAATCACAAGGCGTGACACTTGGATTTTTGTATTTTTCCCCATTTTTATAGGGAAAAGTTGGTTGTATGCGAACCTACACCTACAAAATATCCAGTCCGTGAAGGGGTGGCCCGTGAAGGGATAGACTTGATAAAAGTTGCTCCGCCCTATGTCTAGGGGACGAGATACTGCTGCCCCGACCGTCGAGAAGACTAAGACTAGAATGTAATCCACGGGGAAAAAGTTTTTGTGGCCAGCGAAGCGTTGCCCCGGGAGGAAAAAGTACGGCCCTTCGCTGTGCTCTGGGAACTTTTTCTCATCGGAGTAGATAGGCTAAACAATAGAGACTACCAAGTAGCGCTGTCAGGAATCGAACCTATCCTCTATTATCTAACCCACTGAGCTGGAGTGGCCGCAAAAATTGAATAGCAGCCCATCCAACGAATCCTGTCTCATGGTGTTTCACCGTAGCGTCCCGAGCTGCTTCCTCCCTCCGCCGTTCTAGGGCATTACTCAGCTTCCCTTGTGAGTGTCCGTCTTGCGTTCGTGTTGGTCCCATCGGGTCCAGGTGGCTCTAGAATGCGACAAGCCCGCACAACGATTTGATTCGCCGTCTTTTGGCAACGATCGAGGCATGTGCCATGTCATGACCTAGATGCTGCAGGATGCCGTTTGCTTCATTGTCTACCAGATCGTATGTCAGGTCCAGGTATTATAGAGAACGTTCTGGCAGGGATGCTTATGCTTACCGTTCAACCGCATCACAGCATCCAGGGTTTGGGGGAAGTCGGGGACCACATCTCCGGTCATAATTGAGTAGAGAGGCTTAAGGGGCCGATCCCCCGTCTTTACGAGCTCGTTGTTCGTGAGTCGGACATGGTTGTTCGTGTCCCTGTGAAAAAGCAGATAGGAATTAGATTTGTGCAGAGATGTCTCGACCAGTTCCTGCCCGTCCTAACTCACCTCGCCCGCATTTCTACCGTTAGGCGATCTAGGCGACTGTCTAGCCCTAAAATCTGCTGTCGTATGTGCTGCTGCATGTGCTGCATGTGCTGCATGTGCTTCATGTGCTGCCGCGTCTCCTGGTGGTTCTGTTGCATCCGCTGATCGAGGGCGTCGATAGCGTCGATGATGCCCTGCCCTTGTACCACAGCGGGCATGTTGGCGCAGAGACCTAGCTCATAGGCAACCTCCGCTGGACTTGCAGAAGTCCGCGCAAAATTGGGTTGTGGGAGAGTTTAGAACGGATGATACCAGTATAGCAACACGACAATGCCACGCAAAACGTAGACGCGTTTTGCGGTTTGCGTATGTAGGCTTATAAGGGCTGGTCCAATTCCTGCGTGACAGGTAATGAATCGTTGACAGAATCGATGCGCTTTGTATGCGGTGGGACTGGAGACGAGATGGTGTGCGTTTTGGCCGGTTCGCTCCCTATTACGTCGTAATCACTTAGTCATTGTGAATAGGCAACGTTGCTCCAGTTGTTTAGTCAATGAAGGTAGGTTAACAAAGATGAGTCAATAGGTGCCTTTAGGACCCACAATGAGACTGGTGTGCGTTTTGGCTGGCTCTCTTCCGTTACTTCGCTGCCTTATGTTTAAGGTGTATAATAAAGAGGAACAGCGTGGGCACACTGTGAGGGACAATAGGCAAGTGGCTAGCTACCCAACCGCCAACAACTAGCCCAGTGCCGATTAGACTAGATTATAGCTAGAGACAGCTGTAATTAGCTGATTGGCTAGCTGAAAAGGCAGCTGGGATAATATAAAGGAAAAAGAGATGGCTGAGAAGGCATACCGAAAAACGAGTAAATTGCCGTAAACTGTGATATTTATAGGATTAAGATTTTACAATGAGAATCTAAGTGCAAGACTTATATAAATACTTATTAGAAAGGCTATGTAGCTTAGTTCAACGAGACTACTACAGTAGCTGTCTACGTAACAAAATATACCTAGTAAATCTATATAATGCCTTTGAAAATAATCAAATTTAACAACTACGTTTAATTTTAATAAAGTAAGAAGTTGCGTAGAATAACTAATTCTATTATAGGTTTTATATGGCATAAAGAATGCTATTTTCAGAGCTTAAAACTTTCAGTCCTGGAGGTATTTATGCCATGTAGGCATTATTTATATACAAAGGCGCTCTGTACCGCTCCCGTGCCCGCCGCCCAGCCGCGCTATCATGGCGCTCTTGATCAGCGGCGCGGCGCGGGTCTTCCCCGCGCCCGTCTGGCCGATTATGAAGACGGCGAGCGGCGGGGGCGACGCGTCCGAAGACGAGGAAGGGAGAGGGAGAGAAGCAGCCCCGCCCCCGCCGCCGCTGGCCGCGGGCGACGACGGGAGCGCTGCGAGGGCGCCGAGCTCGGCGGGCACGATGTCGCGCTCGAAGATGAGGCGCGACTCGTCGTCGGACAGGACGTACGACAGCGGGTCGGGATCCATCGCGTATGCGTCGGCGCGGTCCCGTCGTGGGGTGAGTAGCGCTCGGTAAGAACGATTATCTACGGCTGCCGGCGGCAGCGAGAGGAGCTATCAATCCATCCACGTGAGGCCGCGGTCACCTGCCGAACCTGACCACCTGCCTATTTGCTCGTCTTACTCTCACATACCCTTGGCCCCTTAGCTGTCGATTGTACTCTTGTATTATACTCGTGGATGCGTATGTGTGTATATACCTAGAAGGAATGCATATCTTGGACCGGGTAGGCAAGTGACAGGGACATATCCCCCGCGGCAGCGCATTGGTAACTATTAGTAATAGGTTCAGGTCGTAATTTACTCTTTAACTGAGGATCCCAACCAAGCCTTGCCTGCCAATGCTTTGGTTTCGTGGGGTTACATGCGTAAGTGAGGAGGACATAGCAATGATGTGGTCTTTTATTTCGGGCAGTGAGGGTAATATACCGATGACGGGACTGCCGGATTGGCTCTATATCGCCAAAAAGACTAGTAGCAATGGGAAACATACTGCCTACTAGGCAAAAAAAGAGCCCAAGGGAATTTCTCCTTATCACCCAACTTTAACCTAACAGAAGTTTCGATAGGTCTACTTAAGAAAATCACGCTGCTAGAAACCTAACCAGCATGCCGAGAAATCTCGCCCGTAATGCTCGACCAAATCCGTCCTGCCTCCAGCTCAGATTCTCTCTCTCTATCCAACCTCTTCCAGGCCACTTGGTCCGTAAATCATATTTTAACATCCCTTTTTCGTCCATCCGCTGGCTAGCTAGTACATGTATCTAAACTCGGGGTTCAGATCACCCAGCTCTGATTTCTCGTAGTCGGACAGCCCTACGTTCCTAACGGCCTTGGCTCTCCTCTGGTTCTCCAGGTAGATCGATATGAGATATAGGAGCGAAGCGACGCCGCTCAGGCAGGTGAATCCCAGACAAATCGAATAACCTTTCGTAAACAACGGCGCGTCGGCACTAAGGAACGCAAAGGTTGCTATGATACCGCCGATATTCCCGAAGCCTATCTGCCACGCAGTGCCTATAGCCCTACGGTGATGGCCGCCGAGATTCATGCTAAACCAACAGACCGTAATCGGCAACACGCTGTAGGTACCCATCGTGACGAAGCAAAGCATCGCGTACTGAACGGGGGTGTTGTCGTGGACCTTGAGGAGGGTGGCGAAACCTGCGAGGCCTAGGCTAAGGGGTAGGAGCGCGAAAGCCGCTCGGTGACGTGTCCAGTCGGATATCGTAGCCGTTATGAGGGAAAAGGTAAACGAGACCGCCCAGGGAGGCACGCTATGTAACTGGGTCTGAATAGCATCATAGCGGTACGTCGAAATGATCGTCGGCGCGAAAAATGCGTAGCCGTACGCGGGAACTATCAGTCCGAAGTACATGAAGCCGCCAAGCCAGACACGGTGGTCTTTCATGACAGTTAAAACATCCCCGAATGTGATGGTTCGCTCTGCGGCATTGTGGCCTTGGTCGGCTTGGAGGCGAGCTTTTATGTAGTCACGCTCCTCCTCGGTTAGCCACTTAGCCTCCTCCGGACTACCCCATGGTTAGTCATAGCGGCTATGAATCAAGCACGGCAAAAACTCACAAGGTGGGGAAGACGAAGAAAAAGAAGATCGCGACTAGGCATGTAAGGACGCCTTCTAGTAAGAAAATCCATCGCCAGCCGTGATACCCGCGCATGCCGTCCACTAGTACATATGTTAGCTACGGCTCGATGAATTGCTCTCAGGAGCAGGCCTTTGCTGAGCTCAACATACTCTTTCCTATGGCAGAAGCCAGGAGACCTCCGAACGCACCAGCCAGCGAGGTGGATGAGAAGAACAAAGAGTAGCGCTTCTGCGATTCACTCCTTTTATACCACATGCCTAATCGACACGGAAAATTAGTAGTGGCCTCGGCGCAAAGTGGCAGTTATGTAAGACGCAGCTGGCAGGACGTTACGCGAGCGGGCCACATACTGATGAGATAGAAGCATCCTATTTGCAGTGTCAGCTACCTGTTCGAAGATTCGCGGTAATCCACGTTCAGCTTACCAGGAAACATCCCACACTCAAAGAGTCCCAGGAAGAACCGTGTCGCAAGCAGACCGGAGTAGTTCTGCACGAGGCCCTGGCCCACAGAAGCAAGGCCGAATCCCATCATACAGGTGGAGAGCCAGATCCGGGGCGAGAACCGTTTCAGCAAGATATTGCTCGGGATTTCAAAAATGATATACGGCACAAAGAACATGGTGAGAGCTTGAAGTCTCGAAGTTAGCGAGGTGGAGTCAGTCGATGCGGAGATCCGCTTACCGGTATTGTACTGATGATTCTCAAGGTGCAGATCCTCTACTAGGCTGAAAGACCTCGCATTGGCAATGTTAACCCTGTCCAGGAAGGCCAGCAAATATAGAACACACAGGAACGGAATCAATCTCCAGTCTACCCGGGTCATGAGCTTCCGTTCTGTGGTGTGAGGCGGACATGGTACGTCAAGTCCATCGTTATCAGAGTCGGCATTGCCGGGATGGTAGGAATTGCCTCCTATCACGTCCCCAGCACTTTTTTCCGTGTCGCTCGGGGCTTGGGCTACGAGGAGAGTAGAGTTAGCCATCGTTGCCGGATAAGTGTCCGCGATACGCATCAGCCTCTCGTGGATTGCCTCGAGGGCTTGGAGGGATATGCGATAGGACTTGGGGAACTCGGATTGGGAGGGTGCCACGACGCACGGGATGTCTTGCTTATACGCATTCTCTTTGCTTGTTAGTCGAGTTCAATTCTGTCCGGAGCGCAGGTCGCGTAGCATAATCCACAGTCGGACAAAACGACTTGGATTTTTAACGATGAATGGACAACAGCTGGCTCACGAGATCAAGTGGCGACTCTGGCCGTCAAAGGGTGAAAGATTCGTGACGAGTCGTCGCGTGGGCAAACTGACGCTGACTCCGTTTCTTGCGCGCGCGAACTCAACAGCAACTAATTGGGGTTATAAATAGGTATCCAATTCCGATCATAGATGTGAGGCTCGACAGGGACGAATCTGGGAGGCCACAAACATCCACGCACGTTTGGTTTTATTAAATGAGGAAAAAAATATGTTGTCTCGGAAACAAGACCTGAAAACTTCAGTGCCATTGGAGCCGATCTCGCCCGCCGTGTCGGGATGCACCTATTAGTAAGTCCCCCAACCCGAGTTGAGACACCAAGACAGGTTAGACAGGACCGGCGACAGGGCCAAAAGGAGAGGCATCGAACGTGACTTTGCGGGGAAACAAAGGAACATTGCGGAGAAGACAGGCGGAGTCTGGTGCTGATGGAGCTGAAGGGAACAGACCCTTGACGAGGTGGCCAGTCATCTTTCGCGGATGTCTCAACCCTCCAACACCCCCTGCTGGGCCGTCGAAGGCGGTCGCTGACAGAATGTCGACGCTGATCATGTATTTCTTCCCCGAAGCTCAGCTATGCCTCCTCTAGCCGAGGAGGGGGGCATACAAGAGCCTATCGAGAGCTTCCTGCGACGAATCGACCCTATGCCGTCTGACCGGCGCACTGCAGAAAGACTGACCGAGAGTTGCGCACGCCAACCTACATGCCTATACTGGCAGTACAGAGGCGACAGGGGAGAGGGTACCCCAAAACAGAGCGTGACCCCACGGTCCATTGCAGGATTCCCCCGGGCCTACGGGGATCCCTCCTCAGGCGTTGGCATCCATGCCTGGAAACCATCCACCCTGGCGGCTTCCGCGATGCCTGCAGAGTAGAGTCAGGCTGCGATCTCGGACTTGGAATTGGGATGCAAGGTACCGCCTGACGCTTGCCCACATCCGACAGGACCAGGTAGGTCGACCACGTCAACGCACGCGACGAAAGGCCGCTCGCTCATCCGAACAGACACTCGGGCCTCAACGGATGAAATGGACGGGGAGGAGGAGGGAGGAGGAGACAGAAAGAGGGAGGGAGGGAAGGGGGAATCGGCACCCTTAATCATCCGGACGACCGTCGAGCTGTCGTTGAGGAATCTTGATCGTCGATGGTGGCACAGCGACATACGCACGTACCAATTTGCGCTCGATGATCTAGGAGGCGTGCCGCGTCTGACTCGTGTTATTCGGGCACGCCGTCGCGTTCAACCATACTCGAGGCGAGCCAGTTCGGACAGCAGGCACATGTGCCCAAATCTCGGATCTCAGCCGCACATTCGGGCCAGCGCACACCCCATCGCCGAGTGGCCTCTAGTCAAGGTATGATCCCCAATCCCTGCTGGGCTGATTGAGAATCGGAACGGGCGAGGGAAGAGGGGACATCTTACTACCAAAAAAAAGAAGCAAGATGAAAAAGAAGACGGAGAATTTTTCGGCATGGTGCAACCCGCCCCAGCGCCCAGTTGTAAGCCCGCTAGCATGCGTAACGATGAGAATGCTGAGATCGGTCGACCTCGGCATCTTATTTTCATGGGGTGTGCCTGGATCAGAAGGGGTGCGGCAAAGACGCTGCGGCAATCAAGAGAAGCCGACCCAGCTAGCCGGTTCGCGTAGGTACCATTCGAGCAGTGCAATTGCCGGCAGCAGGAGGACGGTGTCGCCTCGATGCGACCCCGGCGAGGCATCAGTGCCTCGCATTCAAGATGGCGAGTGGTACCAAACCTCGTCGGCTTGCCGCTGGTAGATGTAGTTGTAGTGGCGGTCGAAGTCGGGGGAGATTCGAGAAATGTTACCAGGCCGAGGGCATGGCGGGGGTTCAGCGATACTGACAGAGGTGTCGTCAAGAGCTCAGGTGAGACATGCTCGACATCGACGTCCCACACATTTGGCTGACGCCCTCCTTAGGTAGGTAGGTACTGTGCAGTGGCAGCCCCGTAGGTACCTCAGGCAGCAAGTTCAGTGGTAGGTATAATGGCTCTGGCGTCATCGCCAGAGCGACGTTGCGTGACGGCTGCGCGTTGGCTCACGGCCCTTGCACCCATGTACCAGATGCCCCGAGTTAGGCATGTAACACACTCGGCGTGGGATCTTGAGAAGCCATTCAAGCCTCAGTATGGTACAGAGGTGGCGCCTACATGGTATACCTAGGAGCAGGAGAGGGAGAGGGAGAGGGAGCTTAGGCCTAGGTACGTAGCCATGGTGCACAGGTGTAATCACACTCACGCAACCAGACAATGGGATTGAGAGCAAGAGAAGAAGAGAAAACGAAGAGCTATCTCGAGGCCGAGCGGTCGTATGACGGGACGGGACGGGACGAAGTCTGCTTACAGCCACCCGACGTGTTGATATCATCCCACCTCCTCGCGCACGCACAGATGAGCGAACGACCGCGTCCCTGCCTCGTACCTACGTGCGGTTGCGTCCCACGTCCCGTCAACGCAGGTGAGGCGGCCGGGTACCTACCTACACGCCTATGATGTCGCATCCCCCCGGGTGCCAGGTAACTTACGCCTCGGGCTGCGCGTGGAATGTCGAATCTGACATGGATGCGTCGACTTTGTAGATCTCGCCAGGGCTGGCCGGCCGTGCGTGGCAGAGAGGAGCGCAGACAAGGTAATGCCTGCTCACACCTACCTCCCACCTAACCTCGCAGACGCAGACCCCGGATCGCGCCAGTGTAACTCTGCGCACAGCGATCCGGTGGGCCTGAGGTCGTAGGATTCTGAATAACCGTAGACCGCCCCGTCCCGCCCTCTTACCTCTCTCCTCCCCCTCTTCCCACGCCAGGCGGCCGATCTCCTCCTCTTTTCTCTTTTTTAAAGGTCCATCCCCCGAGACCCGAGACTGACCCCGTCTCGCTCCCACCTCAAGCTTCGCCCCGCCTACCACGCACACGACGGGGAGCCTCGGAACCCCTCGACACGACCAACCCCTCTTAACAGAGTCAGTCCCCCGCTGCCGCTCCTCGCCCCAGCGTACCCGTCGGCGCCGCCGCCGCCCATGGCTGGAATCAAGGTGGACGCGTACGCGGACAAGCCGGCGGCCGACGACGTGCGGGACGTCGCCGTCCCCCGCGGGTGGTCGGCGTGGTTCGGCGGCCGCGACGTCCGAGTCGGCCGGCGGATCACGACCCGGATCGTCGCCGGCGACTCGGGCGACCCGGACAGCGGCTCCGGCAGCGACGACATCCTCACCAAGCAGATCGCCGAGGAGGCCAACTGCGCCATCCAGTACCGCACCTGCAGCTGGCAAAAGGTGCGCTCCCAAGACCGAACAAGCAATTGCCCAGACGGGAGCCAAGCTTCCTTGTCGCCTCGCTAACGCGCTAGCCCGGTCCGGCCCGCCCCCCCCCCTCCGCCGCAGACCGCCGCCCTGCTGTTCTCCGAATACATCTGTCTAGTGAGTTCGCATCGCGCTCGCTCCGTCCTGAGCCCGGCTGGGCTCTACTCGGGCCCCGGCGCGGGGAAAATGGGGTTGGCGCCATCGACCGCTGACTCGCTCCCAGGCCATCATGAGCTTCCCCTGGTCCTATAGCGTCCTGGGGCTCGTCCCTGGGTAAGTTTTCTTGGCTTCTGGACCTCTCTCTTGGTGGGCTGGTCGGTACTGACGCGCGGGCTAGGCTTATTCTGACCGTCGTCCAAGCTCTTCTGGTCTTGTATACGTACGTCCGCCCCGATCCTGCTGGCCTCGGGTATTGCTGACCGTTACGCCTTCGCAAGTTCAATTGTGCTCTGGGAGTTTTGCTTGCGACACCCCGAAGTCAGAGATATATGCGATATTGGCCAGATGCTCTTCTGGGGCCAGAAGTGGGCTTGGTACTTTACGGCAGTCATGTTCCTCTTGAACAACACCTTCATTCAAGTCAGTGGCAAATCTATTCTCCCCCTGGAATCCGTATCGCCGACTCTGACTCCTTGGCAGGGTCTCCACGTCCTCGTCGGAGCCAAGTATATCAACACCATGATCTACCCTGATACTAGCGCCGCCTGTCAAACCGTGTCTTACGGCGCCATCGTCGCCGTTATCTGCTGGATATCATCTCTGCCCCGTACTTTCAGCATGCTATCCAAGCTCGGGTCCGCATCGGCCCTGTTCACCTTCATCTCCGTCATCCTAGCTACTATATTTGCTGGTGTCCAGAGTCACCCTGCCGGGTTCAGTTCCGAGCCGAGCACTACGAACCCGAAGTTGCCTTACGGGGATCCCATCGTCACAGCCATTCCGATTGCCGGCACTACATTTGTAGCGGGTTTAGGGGCGTTCCTTAACATCAGGTCAGTGACTGCGATGTCGCCTCGCGACTCGCACGAAGTAATCCGTCGCTGACAATTCCGGAAGCTATACGTTCATTGGACAGATTACTCTGCCTAGTTTCATTGCCGAGATGCGCGAGCCAAAGGACTTCCCCAAGGCTCTCTGGGCGTGCACCATCCTCGAGATCATCGTGTTTAGCATCGTTGGTTCGATCACATACGCATTCACGGGCAACCAGTACATGACATCGCCCGCGTTTGGTTCTCTGACGCCACTCTTCAAGAAGATTTCGTACTCGTTCATGGTCCCCACAATCATCTTCCTCGGTGTCCTGTACGCCTCGGTATCGGCTCGATTCGTTTTCTTCCGAATTTTCCAGGATTCGCGCCATAAGAACGAACATACCGTCGTCGGATGGGCAGTCTGGGCGCTGATATTGCGTACGCACCTAATGACGCTCACAAGTTCACTCGCATGCCCGTCAGTGCTAACAAAAACATCTAGTCGTTACGTGGGTCCTCGCCTTCGTCATCGCCAACTCGATCCCGTTCTTCAACTCTCGTAAGCCTTCCCGCTTACGCCCGAGGTGGGAGATGTGAGCTGACAGATTGGTAGTCCTCGGGCTCATGTCCTCCTTATTCGACTCATTCTTCGGCTTCATCTTCTGGGGCGTCGCCTATTTCCGCATGCGGAGGGCCGATGGAGCCGTTTCGCTCGTCGGAGACGGCTCGTTCCGCGGCTGGTTTGAGGGCATTCTGAACATCGTAATAATACTAACGGGATTTTTCTTCCTCACGGCTGGAACGTACGCGAGCGTCCAGGGCATAGTTGACGAGTTTGCCAACGGGACCGTGGGACGAGTGTTCCAGTGCGAGAGCAACGGGATTTAGGAGGCATTCTATGTACTTAATACCGATTTTGCTGCTAGGCTAGAGATGTCTAGAGGAAGGGATGCTGATGTATACGAAACGAGGACGGGCACCTAGGAAATGTTTGGGGTACATTTGGGGCATATTCCGGGCGGAGAAAAAAAGGGGCAGTAATAATAAATCATGTCAGTCCAAAGATTTAAAGGGATGTAATATGATATAGATTGGAATTCTTAACACACGCTTGCATCAGCAGCAGGCTCCCCTCTCATCCCGGCTAGGCCGATATCTTTGCAGCTCTCTCTTTCTCGCATCCCTACTTCCGGGCTCCTGGCTCCCCGCCAACTCGCGCTCCCACAGACCCACGTCATGCCCTCACCTCCTTCTCCTCCGCGGTCTGTTGAGAGGTATACAGCGCAGTCGTATTGCTCCACGGAGCACTACACTCCGTCTCTCTCTTGGTGTTCAATTCGAGCTAGATGCAGATTCAAGTTCATGATGCCGTGTCCACCTGCCGATTATCGAGCTCGGCCGCAGCAGACGTTCAGGCTAGAAGCATACTAACTAGGTCAAGATAAAAACTTCCATTTTATACCGCACACATGCGCACATAGAAAAACTAGAGACACACAGAGAATGTGTGTGTGTGTCACGGGTCAGGCTAAGTAGGCAGGAATTATACATTAGAACAACACTACCCGCCTAGTCTCTCTGGCCTGGTTTCCAGCGAGAAGCCAGGGAATATAATACCGGCCCGCCCAGTATATGCCTATAACTGGGCCCTTCTAGAAGGGACGAGAGAGAAGTAGATCACTACTGGTTGTTGTAGGTAGGGGTTCAGCTCGGGTCAGTCAGGGGAAGGGCGAGGAGGGAAATAAGAAGGGGGGGTATCCATCTTCTGGTTTTTTTTTAAAAAAAAAAAGAGGCAAGGGTTTTTTTCCCCCTCTCCTTTATTTCCTTTCGGATCATTTCCTTTTCAGCTGGTGGTGGTTCCTCATTCTCTCCCTCCTGGTTTTCTTCTCTACTGTAACAATCCACCACCACCACCCCTGTGATACCACCACAGCCATGATGAGAACTAGGGCGTTCATTAGCATTCCCGGGGTGTGCGAACGCATCTTGGCCCATCCGCATCCCTACTCTCTCTTCGTGCTCCTCTCTTGCCCTTAAAGCTCTTCCTTTCTTACTCCCTTTTAGACATGCGTGATCTCGTCATCAAACTGAGGCACCAGAAAGGAAAAAATAAGCAAGGCCTCTCTCAGTAGAAACCAACTGGCTAACCTGCGTGGGGCCTCATTCCCCCTTTTCTCCGCGTGACAAATGGTTATTCCCCTTGCCTTCAAGAAGCAAAAAAAGAATTTGAACCCTCTCGACAAAAAGGCCTGCTAGCTATTCTAGCCACGTAGTACCAAGCGCCCCAGGTGAAAGAATTCCACTTCCTCTCCTATTCCTCTGCGTTTTCCAACTACGCGGCAGGCCGGACCTAACTAATTAACGAGCCTGATTGTCATATCCGAAGGAAATGATCCGCCTCTCGACATAGCAGTGTCCTCCTAAGTGCTTGCCTGTTTATCATGGTGCGCGGTATGAGCTGAAGGCGGAGATTGCGGTAACGGGACATCTTGAGGAGCTGGTGTGTGACGTCGCTCCGGTGCCGGAACGGGAGCTTGAATAGGGGCGGGAGCCGGAGCAGGAGCAGGAGCAGGGGCAGGGGGAGGAGCCGGAGCAAGAGCTGCAGGAACCGCCGGTGGTATCTTTTCATCTATGGTCTCCTTGATGTCGATCATCTTCCCGCCCGGTGTTTGAAAGCCGGGTTCCCTCGGTGGAGGGGATCTGGTGCGCTTGATCTCCGCGTTCTCCTTGGCCTCTCGATATTTGTTCTTGATCCACCCCAGCGGGCCCTTGACTTCGTCCCGCTCTCTGCTCCCGGCTTCGCTTTCCGCCAGGGTTGCGGCCACGTCCGAGGATTCTCCCGTCCAGCTCTTTCTCGGCTTCTGCCCGCTCCCGACAGATGACGTGCTGGTTTCCGCGTGGACATTGGTGCCCAGATTATAGCCCGGAGAGCCTGCGATGTCCTCCTTGCGACGAGATATACGCCAACGGCGTTTCTTCTCCCTCTCGGCCGTATCTGGCGAGGCGACTGGTGGCATCTCCTCCACTTGGTCGATGTCGGAGCTTTCGTTGAAGGACGAATGCAGCGATGTCGGCGGTGAACTTTTTGGTTTGAGAGTATCGGGATTGCCGTTGCTGCTATTGATGTGGTTTCCGTTGTTGCTGTTGTGGTTTCCGTTGTTGCTGTTGTTGCAACCGTCGTTGCTGGCGTTGCGGTGGCTGCTCTTCTCCGCCTCGGCCGGAACGGGATTCGCAGAGGGCGCTTGCGACGCTCGCGGAGTCATGTCCTCGGGAGTTTCCGCAAAAGTGCCGTTCTCTTCGTGGGTCGATTCCAGATGTGAGGGCTTCTCTTCTATCGAGTTGGGGGGCTCGTGGCCAGGAGACATCGTCTCGGAATGTGGTAGCGAAGCCGTCGAACTTTGTGCGCTCGGGTTGGTGCTGCTGGGCATTCGCTTCTTGCGGAGCTTATTCGGCTGTCGCCTTTCGCCGTCCGGAATCGGTGCGCGCTGGAACAAACCCTGAAGGTTCTTCTCCTTTAACGAAGCCACGGTATCGCTAGGCGGGCCGAGAAGCCTTTCCTGGCTCCTGCCGGCCGAATGTGGCACTGCCGCCATCGGGGTGAGGTGCGTCGATGCCCGCGGTTGCTCGGGAGCGTACGAGTTTTCTCCAGTCACCGCCGGGGGGGTGGGCCCGACGGGCGAAGGGGAGGCCGGGGCCACCGCTACGGCCGGCGAGTCTTGTCGAGACGAAAACCTGCCCGAGGGAAGATGAGGGGACTTCTTGGACGGAACCGTGTTGCTCCTCGCTAGTCCACTGTTCGGTGTTAGCGAAGGACTACCAGGCGTGGACGTGCCGTTGGAATGGAGCGAGTGTCGTGACGAAGTCGAGCGATTGCGCCGGATCTTGCCATCCCTGCTAACACTCTCCGCACCCGCGCTCGCGCTCGAAGCCGATCTTACTAAGCCAGTGCCGGTGCGGCTCGGCGTTGCAGGTGTCACGACAGTCGGGGTTCCCTTTTCAATCTCTTGTTTTGTCTTCTCATCCGTTGCTGTTCCTTGCATACCAATTAAGAAGTGGTCCTGATTTTCGATCAGGAAGATGATGACGCATTGGTTCAGTCGGTATTCCTCGGGGGACATGTCGTGTTGCGGATGAGACAGCATCCCCGGCTGGAAGATGGCGGCAAGATTCTGAGCAGTCATCCGATTTTCGTCGGCCTTGGCTGCGAAGACGGCGAGAAGGTCAAGGATGTAGAGGAGCAGCTGTCGGTTCAGGGGAGGGAGGTCCTTGATCAACTGCTGGTACTTGGCGATAGCTCGATTTTCGTTGAAATTGTCGACAAGCTGGGTTCCCTCCGTGTCGCCGACGGCCTGCTTCGTATGCCCCCGGAGCGGATCTCGGAATCTTTCGTAAAGGTCTAGCGGTACGACGGGTTCGGGGAGGTCGTTGAGGTACCGCCGAAGGACATTGGCGGCATCGTGGACCGTATACCCGTCCCACACGAGGCCTTTTCCGTATCGGTCGGGCGAGTCGAACTGTATCTTGAGCTCCTTGATGCGCTTCTCGGAGCCGCTGAGGCGGAAAATCCCCTCTACACTGGTGGCTGTGGTGGTTATCAGCAAGAGACCCCAGCCCCACCCTTGGCGAGTTTGTCACCTACCTTTCTCCTTCAGAAAGACGCCGCACTTGGCCACGACAATCGGAACATAGCCGTATATGTAGCTCTTTCCCTTTTCGTCAACAAGGGAGATGGCGACGTTTGCGTAGGTAATACTTTGCCGTAGAGGAACGCCGAAAATACCTTGAGGTCGTGGTTCTACTTTACGGCGGTGTTAGCACCTGGCCACGAATACGGGGGAGGGAAGACATTTCGCGGTTCGCGTTTTCCCGTCTTGGTAGGGGGAGGGGGTAGTAAGGGGTGTCCGCCCAGCTATCACGAAAAAATACAGTAGCTGGTGCTGACAGGAAGATAACCGTGAAGGCGGCGCTTGTAGATAGGGAACGCTTCGTACCTGGTTCCGGATGTTTAGACTGAGTTTGGAACCTCTTCCACCACGACTTCAGATCCCGCTTGGTAGGGGGCGAGGCCGGGTGGTGATGATGATGATGGCCATCCGCTACAGCAGCAACAGCAGCATTGGCAGTGGGAGGTGGAGGCTGTGGTGGTGGGGTCATTTGACGGTCTGGTTGACGGGGTTTGGTAGGAGTAACGGCGGACGTCATGTTGTCTGCGACGCGCAGGCGACGGCGACGGCGACCAGCAGATGGCAGGCGGCTCGTCGAAGCGACAGATTCTTGCGCCTAGTCCGTCTTCACTTGAGGCGATGGATGCGTGGGTTTTGACGGTTTGCCGCGTCAGAAAAGTGGCACGAAGGGCGCCACAGCGGTCGAAGTCGGAGAAGAGGCGAGCTTGTGTATGTGTTAATTGGTATTCGGCAATAGGAGGGAGGTGGATGGATGGCAGGCGGTATGTATGCTGCGGTGGGTCGAGTCCAGACCGAATGTGTTGACGAGGACAGTTTTGTTCTTGTTTTCAGACTTCACCGAATTGACGCCGTTGGAACCGATAATTATGAACGCGTCTAACAGAGGCATAGATGGATAGGCCTGTAGGTTGGTGAGGATGGTGGGTTAACGGCACTACAGGAGAAGGGAGAAGAGAGGAGAAAAACAGAGGATGAGAGGGCGAGAGAAATGCGGATGTGCTTGTGTGCGTGTGTGCGTGTGTGCGTATGTGTGTGTGTTCAAGAGAGAGAGAAGGGGGGGAGAGGGAGGAGAGAGAGCGCGTGTGCGGTGGTGGCCTCAATATTGCGGTAGGAAAGCAGCAAGTAGGTAGGTATAGGCGTGGACGATGGGCAGGAGGTGGGAAGTGAGAATCCAAGAGGTCAGCACCTATAATAAACAGCAGTGGAGACAGCTTTAGGCCCCTTAGGTACCCAGCTAGGAGTTAGAGGTAAGGCATGTAGGTACATGTGCAATAGGTTAACCAGGGCCAGGTAGGAGGGGGAGAGGTAGAGGTAGCCGGAGGGGAACGGGAGGGTGAGGGAGTGGAATCTGGAATCTGGGGGTTGGCCCGCCGTCTACAAGATGTGGTGGGTAGAGAGGTACCTGCCCCCTAGCCGGGCTGGTACCGATGTGCTGGTGGGTACCTAAGGAGGTGTGATATCGCATTGGAAGAGCTTCAAGACGAGCGTATCCCTTATAGGTGAGCTACATTTCCACATGGGCGGGGGGTACTTGGCGCTCATCTGTAGCCCCATGTACCGTGGGTGCCCTGCTGGACACACGAGTCTACAGGTACCTAGGAATATCCCAGGAGGTTAGTATCTGGGGTACCTCTTCCTCCTCTCCTTACCTTTTGAGGGACGAGAAAGAAAGAAAACGCTGCAGATTGCTAGGTAAACCCTCAGCCCCAACCCTGAGAGAGCGAGACGGCTGCACATCCTACACCTTCATCGATTAATTCATCCCACCATGGTCAATCACAACCCCCCTCAGTTTCTCCTCGCTAATAACTCTCCCCAGTTTATCTCAAGGCTGCGACGCTTCCAGTGGCGGGCCGCCACCGCAGCTGGAACGGCTACGTGACAGCAACTATTTGCTGTCTGTGGGCAAGTAGCTCCCATCCCGGCCTTCTATAATTAGCCAATCTTTCTCGCGCCCCCCTGGCTCTCTCTCCCACTCTCCTCTTGCCGTGCTCCCCTGGGTCTTCCTCTAGCTCGTGATAGGTATTGACTTCCAGCGATGCTTCGTAGCAACACGAGCCGGCCGGTTGCGGGGGAGAGGCAGAGACAGGGAAGCCTCATGAGCTTAGGTTAGGCTAGGTGTCTATGCGTCAGAAACGGCTAAACCCTCCAGCAAGACATTCCATCGTGTCGGGTGTGGGTATAAATAGCAAGGTTTCTCCGTCACCACGACATCCCGTTCGCAATAGCCCGCACCTTACCTGCATCCCCATGTCCAGGCCCAACAGGTATGGGTACAATACCTACCTCAATCCACCCATCCTGAGCTTCGTTTCTCAACTCCCCCTCCCTAGCTATGGAGAGCTCGTATCGGTGGTCCGAGACATCGCCGGAGAGAATAAACTCGGGAATAGACTCGAGAACAGACACGAAAGCCTACACGAAGAAGCCTAGCTGGAGCGGAAACTCTCCGATCCGACACGAGGGAGGGTGGAAGGCGACTAGGTGGTCCGACGCCGACTTATGTAACTTACGTGCACCGATACTATACTCAGTCACCATCGCAGACACGCCCGAGCGCATAGCCGGACGTAGACAGCTACGTGAGCTACGTGGGTGTGGGCAGGACGGCAACGATGACGACGACGACATTCCCGCTAGGACTAGGCAAGACTGAAGAAGGCAGCGGTCAAAAAGAAATATGCCGTCTTAAAAACCACGGCAGCTCGGGAGGCGGCCACGCACGGGATTGGCCTGATATAATAAACGTACAGACTGAGGATCGCCGTAGCGTAGGACGCTAAGCCACCATCGCGTACAGACCTCCCAACCCAGATACCCGCCCCGACGAGAGGGGGAAAGGGGGCGGCTCGCACGGCAACGGGCCCCGTTCTCACATGTCCAACTCCTGGTAATCCACAGGTACACACGCCACGGACATTTCTGGATGGCTGCAATTATCCGAGTGCCTGCCTATTGCCGTTGTCGGTAGCTACGTAGTCATAGGGCGGGTGGAATGGCGCGGGGGACGTGCCTGAGACACTGTGCTCAGTGTGCTCAGCTTAGCCCCTACACCCTACGCTAGATACAGGCAGCGGATGCGTCTGACACCAAGCGCTCGAGGACCTTACGGAATCTACCTATCTACAGGCACCTGGGGTAGGTATGTGCATACAATACTACCCTCCTCGTAGGTCCGCTCGAAATCTCTTCCCCCCCGGGGCTTGAAGCGTAGCGCGTGGGCGAAGGGTGTGAGCGTCGCAGGGGGGGTCGAAATCGGCGCGACATCACTGGACAAGCCAGACTCCTCTCGTTCTGCCGCCCCGTCGCAGGGCGAGAGCCTTGGAATCCTCGTCTGAAACACGGCTGCCATCGCATCTGAACCACCCAGCCGCCCTCGTCGCGCTCCGCCTGTTGCTTGCATATCCGCACCATACCTATATTGCCTATGCGCGATAAGGGGGCCGCGCCTCGCGCCAGCCCCCCCCCCTCCCCTCCTCTTGTCCTTATCATCCCCATCACGAGCTGCCTGCTATCACATTTCCATTTCACACGCCCACCGCGGCTCGCTACGGCTGATCATTCCCCAACAACCTCTGCGCAGCAGCTGGGAGAGGCGGTCGCGGACGGTCCGCTACTTACTATCCCCCGCAGCAACTCGACACCAACAGACCAAACACGATGTGTCCTATCGAACAAGGTGCATGCGCACATCCACACCGATGCATGCGGCGGCTGTTGTCGATAGGTGACCGGGTCCCGCTTCCACTCGACCTCCTACAGGTTCACTGGCTCGCGCTCCGCAGAGCTTCAGCCACATACGTAAACTCACTACCCAAGCGGCGACAAGGAGGGACAGGGACCTGGCAGTTGTGCACTTGGGCCATCAGCCGGCATCCGCCGCCCCCCCTCGGTCGACCGCCGCTGCGCCGGTCGGGTTAGATTAGGTGCCACTACCACGCCGCCGTCAGCGTCCTATGCAACCCCCTCCCGACCCTAGATAGGACGCGCGAGAGACGATAGTTGCAGAAAGGAGAAAGCGGCCTCTAGCCCCGATGCCTAAGTGCTCGACCCCAACCGGTTGCGCACATGCCTAGCCGAAGGGCACGGGTTGGGGGAGAAGGAGGAGAGAGAGAGAGGGGGGGGGCCGAAGACGTAGGAGCGTACACATATACCTAGGTAAATGGATGCGGACGCATGCAGGTTAGTGCCGGCAAGTCTGCGCGCATACGCATATATATCTGAGCCCGGATGCGCGTTGCTATTGGCGTCCCCAGATCCATATCGCTGGCCGGGCTATATAGCCGTCTACCCCCTCTCTCATCCCCTTCTCGCCCTCCCAACCTCCCCCCGGAACGCCGAACACGGGATCCTTCCGCCTCAGCTCACCTGGCCGTCTGGCAAATCACCATCTATCGACCGGTTCGCGTACTGGCTAGCTGGCGTCATAGCGCAGGCCCCTAGCCGCCTAATGCACCTATGTGGGTGGGAGAGAGGTCCGGCCGCCTCGCATGAGCAGCGACAGTGACAGCGACAGCGACAGCAGCAAGGCAGTATCAGTTGCCGCGACTAGACCAGAACTTTCTTTCTCTTTGCTTCCCGGGGCGCCGCGAATAGCACATGACGAGGTGATTAGTTAGTTCCCCGGCTCGTGACCGGCTGGCGCGCGAAACGGGCATTCGCTCATCCCCCCCTCCCCCCGATCTCCCATATCCGCACAGATTAGACCAACTCTACGCAATCCTTGCCTCCGTGTCTCGCTGCAAAAGAGGAAAAAAGAATGAAGAAAAAAAAGAACCAAGACAGGCGGACAGAAAAAGCAAGGCCAAGCTAACCACGGTATACGCGTAAGTATGCAGAATCGAGTCAACCCCGTCGGACGCTATCGTCATCCCGTATAGCGTGTTCTGCATGTATTCTACCTAGGTACATACTCACGCCCGTACCGTACCCCATATTCCAATTCCATCCCGGCCGCGCCACTCTGTCGTCGCAATCCGCCGTCCGCGTCGAAGCGGCGGAATCTCCTACCTAAACAGCTTGCCCCGTGTGAGGAGAGAGCGAGAGAGCGAGAGACAGGGAGGACTAGGACTAGGACGATTCTATATTCGGCAGACTCCCTCTCTGCGTACTGTTGTCCTCTACGTAACGCACTATGCACATGCGTAAGGGCCCTACTGACTTGCCTGTCAGCTGTCCCCCATACCCTGGGCACTTAAGCCTACCCAGCTACCTACGTAACGCATAACGCACCCATCCCCCCCCGTCTATCAGCAGGGGCAAGCTTCTTCTTAATTTGTACCCTGCCTGCTCTCTCCCCCGCTTTATCTTTCGCCTTCGTCGATTCTTCTCCTCGGCAACTCGCCATCGTCGTTTTTTCCCCATTCGCACAGCAACCCCCTCCCCCCTTAACACGCCGTCCCGTGCCCGTCGTCGTCGTCGTCGTCATCCTCGCCACCGGTCCCTGACGTAACCCCTAGCACTAGCATCAGCACCGCGCGAGAGGAAAGGAAAGGAAGAGAGAAGAAAAAAAAGAAGGGAACGAGACCCCCGAAAAGAAAAAAAAAAGTCTCCTGACCGTAAGTTACCTAGGAATTCGCTAGTCGCACGCATCTACCTCACCGCACCGCACCGACGCAACAGAACTGCTGCTTGCTGGTGATCGCCGTCGGGCGGGGGGCTGAGCGGCCAGTAGGCGGTGCGGCGGCGGGAGGGGTCAGACCAAGCTTGCCCCATCGCGGCGACGTATTCGCCGGGGCGCGGGACCTGGTCCAGACCGGGGGGGGGTTAGGCGGCGCAGGGACGCCCGGGGTGCGCAGGCTCGATCGCAGATAGTCCTGCTCCTCCCTGACGGCGGCAGTGCTCGAGCACTAGGCGCGAAGCGCAGACGCGCGCCCAAACGCGCGCGCGTGCGCAAAAGAAAGAGAGAGGGGGGGGGCGGGAAGGGATCGCGAGCCAGACCGGACGAACTCGGCACGGGGCTCGGGCCTGCGGTCTGCTGGGGTTAGTTGAGGATAGGAGGTGGGTTGAACCTTGTGTTTGGGCCTGGGGCGCCCATGCAGATACCCGCCTACCTAAAGAAAGGGGCGGGCGGCCCCCCCGGCTCCTCTCTCCTACGTGCCGACGTAGTTCCCTCCCGCCCGCGGCGCCCCCACTACCGCTCCCCCGTCGCCTCGGCTACGAAACCGCCCGCATCTAGCCCCGGCCTCGGCCCCGGCCTAGATAGATGATATGGGTATATGCGAGAGAGAGAGAGAGTGTGTGTGTGTGTGTGGGCAGACGGCCGGACAGATAGACAAGCAAGCACCCGAGTAAGCAGCGTCCGACGCAGGCCGGCGGAGAGCATCGGAGAACCCGGCTGTGCTCGTCCGCGGCTGCGCAGTGTCCGTCTATCCGTCTGTCTACCTATCTGCCTAACCCGCCCCTGCTCTACCGTTATATTCGCCTCCGTCGCCGTAGACGCCCGGCCGCCGGCAGACGGATACAACAACACCCGTCCCCTCGCTGCCCTCTTACTTACTACTCGCTCGCCGACGCGAACTTCTCGTCATTCAGAGCCGGATCCCCCCCCCCCCCCGTCCTTACGTATAGGCACACGTACACTTGCGCATAGGTACTAGTAGATAGGTGCGTGTATACACGCCCCCAAGATGGATAGATTAGGGAATTAGGTAGGATCGCGCAAGACCACCCGGTCGGGGAGACCAGCTGGGGAGAGGTACGTGGGCTATCACGGTCACACTCTTGGGACGACGACGCACGGGCAGAAAGGCAAAAGTGAGAGGAACGGCGATGAGTTAGCCTAAATACACTGTAGCTACAGAGGGGTAGGGGCAAGGAAACGGGTTCAGGGGAGAATATCATGGTCCAAATACATATGCAACCCATCCTGCCCTCTCCACTTCCATCTCTCCTCCCTTCCCTCTGTCACTATTTCCGTCCGTCTCCTGTATCTCCCTGTCCCGTCCTTACCTTTCTGCCTATGGACAAGACACTTTGGAACCCTAACCCCGACGACACCGATTAGAGGAAAAAAGAAAAAATAGAGATGCAGCTGACCGACCCATTTCCCTGAAGCCACCAAATATTCCATCCATCCCAAAAAGTACTGGAGAGAGAGGAAAGAAGAGAAAAGAGGAGGGTGGGCCATTCGGTCGTTGCAAAATACGTCTCTGAAGAAAAGAGAAAACCCTCCCGGCCAGGTAAAGAAACCTATAACCATCCCTTTAATAGGAATACAGCAGCAAAAAGCCATACCACTCGTGGTGCCGTGTGTCCCCCCGCCCGTACGCCGGACACTGTAATGGATATTACCGTGCCAACCCGCCAACGTACAGAAAAGATGGCTTAATGATGCCCCCTCGTCGCCCGTCGGGCAGGCTACCCGAGGCTGCAAGGCGAGAGAGAGCATCGTTGTGCGAATGAGAAATAGGCCGACTCGACAGCCAGTCATAGCAGGGAACATCGGATGCCTATAAAGTGTAATGAGACCTGTGAAGCCGACCCGCCGTTCCCGGACGCCTAGTAATGAATCCCGTGGAAAGAAGGGTGTGTGGCCGGAAGGCCGCCGGCCACACATTAGTTGAACCTGTGAGACCGGTCCACATGAACAGAATTATCGAGGCCGCGGGGCGTAAATAGTTATAGTGCAATCTTTTACGTGTCGTCATACATCATGAGAAATACTGCCCTCGGCCCCTATGAGGCGCTTATGGGGACGCTTCGCGGCGTAACGTCGCCGCTGCGCTTTCGTATTATAGTTTGTTGTTGCGCCTTGGAAGCGTTGGCGATCATCTGTAGCTTCTTCCGAAGAGCCGCCAGTCTACCATTGATCATCTGAATCACTATTGGCCAGTTAGCGCCCAAATTTCGCCCGACGGAGCGATGGAGAAGCGAGGACGAGAAAAGAAAGGAAAGAAGGGTTCGTACTCTTATGCACAGACTGCTGATCATCTGGGTTGATTTCCAGGGACCCTTCCCGGTTTACGTCACGCTCCGCCTTGGACGACCCGGAGGGCTTGCGTTTCGACATATCCTCGTCGTTGTCTAAGACCGCCTCGAGCATACGGATCGCCGTCACATACGAGAGTTCGCACCCGGGTAGATCTTCATTGGCAATCTCGTTGATGGCGGCCGCGCGGCTCATCTCAAGCGCTCTTTCATACATCAACTTCTCGGCGCTCAGACCAGGCGACAGCACAATTCCCTCGGTGCTCGAATTGCCGGTGAGCATAGGTCCAGATTGGCCATTCGCCGAGTGGCTTGGGTCCTCCGGAAGCTGTCGCTGGGCCTCGAGTAGCTTGAGTCGCACCACCTCGGCCTTCTCAAGAGTTTCATTAAACCGCTTACGAACCCATTGAACAGCGGAGTTTACCCGCGAGATCAAATTCTGGACGCTCTGTGAGTCGCGATTGACGACGTGTTGCGTCGAGTTGGAATCACCCCAGTTCCTGCGTGTCCACCATATATTTGCGATGTCCATGGACTTAGCTAGGAGCGAGAGCGCCTTCACGTACAGCACGAGGGCTTCCTCCGAGAGCACTGCGACTGCCTCCACGGTAAGGCCGCCCTCCTCCTCCTCAGAGGCCATCCCGTCGGCAGGCATTCCGCCCAAACCGTGATCCGCCGAAGGCGGTACGGGCACCAATTGCTTGTACTTGACTTCAGCAAAGCCCCAGACGACGTCGCTCTGCGTTGCGTAGTCCTCGATAAACTGAGCGGCACGCGAGTCCTCATCAATCGGGCTGCCCTGCCGTCCATCTGTAATGAGACCAACAGGCGAAGAAGCCGGCATAGGATACGGCGGAAATGCGCTGTAGAGATGTGGGGGCGACGCGCCTTTGCTAAGCAGATGTGGCGGGTATTTGTAGCCGAGAAGCCTTAAGCTCGCATCCGAGATGGCGGCGTAGATGGCGGAAGTCGTAGAGCCGGGGCTGCTAGAGGCATTTTTATCGTAGGACCCTCGCCGATAGTGGTCGGGCCGCTGTCTCCCTGGGGCGATTTGAAGTGCGTGGGATGGTTGGGTGGCAACCGCCCCCGTCGTCGATGTCGAGATACCCTGTTGAGTAGCACGGCGGACAATTGCACCCGACGCCGGGGACGACGCTTGTGCCTGAGCGCCTTTAGCTTCCATCTCATCCGCAAGCGCGTTCACTTCCACGTGTCTTTTCTCTATGAAGATGTAATCCTTTTCGAGAGCCACATCCTGTACCCTCTCGCGTTCGTCAGCAAGAGCGCGCTCCGACTTACCCCTGACCTTCCCAGGATCCTCCTGTGGAAGCTGGCCTTGTTTGTTGGCAGGGGCATTAGACGACGCTCGTTTTCGCTGGTCATCGATCAGCGATTGCCGGGGAGCCGGCGGCGTAGGTGTAGGCGACGGCTGCGGCCTTCGAATTCCCAGACCCGGGGCGATTTCGTCACGCGGAGACTGCGCGACACGCGAGATGTTGGGAATCGGACCCTCTATTGGGGAGCTGAGGGATGAGGGTCTTGACGGCCTCTCGCGAGGCGACGGCGATCCGTCATCTGGACGTGCTGTATCAGCCTCAGCCCCGTATCGACGATGAGCCGATATGCGCCGCGAGCCTAGATCAGTCCCACTCGTCCTAGGAGAGCCGTGAAGTTCCCTCGACGGCTGCTTCTTCTCCCTCGGTACGTCGTCCTCGACCAGGCCTGGTATCTCGCCAGCAATGACGTGATGCTCGAAAAACCTCTCGAAGCTTAATCTTTCGACCGGCTTGCGCTTCAGGAGGGCGCGGATCAGAGCTTTGAGATCCGGGCTGACCTGGCATTCGCGTATGAATTTGATTTGGGCGTCGGAGCTTTCGATCTTCCTAAGCAGTTCGACGTGGTTACTCGCCCGAAAGGGTGGTCTGCCACAAATCATCTCGTACGCGACGGTCCCCACGGACCACAAGTCAGCCTTAGCATCGTAGCGTTCATAACGCAAGATTTCAGGCGCCATGTAGAGTGGAGACCCGCAGAGGGTCTCAGCCAGCGATGTCGATGGCAAGACACGGGCAAAGCCGAAATCGGCCAACTTTAGCATTGGCAGCGACTGCAAACCGACAGCCGGTATTAACGAGTCGCGACTAGCGCTCAAGATCGGCCGGCTATCCAGGTTCGACTGTCTGTAGAGGACGGACGGAAGCAGCAGGAGATTCTGCGGCTTGATATCGCGGTGGACAAAGTTGCCAGCTCGCAAGAATTGCAACGCACTAGCGAGTTGCTGAAGGAAATGTCGGATGACCACCTCGTGGAGGCCGGCACCGGGCACGCTAGGGTACTTTCGTGCCATGTCGCAAGTAGCAGGGTGGGTGATGAGCCTCTCCCTCTTCTTGATGAACAGCGACAGGTCACCAAGCTCGCAGTATTCCATCATGAGGTTGATATGGGTCAAGGATTCGACGCAGTCATGGAGGGCAACGATGTGTGGGTGTCGGAGCTTCTTGAGGATCTCGATTTCGCTGTAGAGGTTCTCCTTCAGTTTCTTGTTTAACCGTGCGAGCTCGACGGATTTGATAGCGACCAAAGAACCGGATACCTGGTCCATCGTTGTTAGCCAAACTACGACCATTCGAGTGCGCGTCGCAGCCAGGATCAAGAGCTACGCGTGCCCCAGAGGTGGCTCGAAGCGCAGAGATCCGGAGATCGTAGAGCGAAAGACGCAGCGATGATCATGGGCAGGCAGACAGTCACGCTCAGATGCCCAAGGAGCCAGGGAAGGGAGAGTCGAACCTTGTGCTTGCCCATATAAACCTGAGCAAAGCTACCTTTGCCTATCTCCGAGCCAATGACGAACTGACCGATAACATCGTCACCGGCTCTCGCGCGACGCGAGGACAGCGCTGGAGGCATGCGTCGATCCCCCATGGCTTCCTGTGCGGGTTGACGTGTGACAGGAGGCTTGGTTTATGCAGCCCGGGGGCTTATAAGGGAATCGGGATCAAGTCGGCGACTCGAGTTGTCGTCATGTACACGTCTGAGGGGGTCGCAAGCGTAGAGAACGGTGGTTCGTGGATAGAAAGGGGGGGTGGGGGGCGAGATGTGCACGAAGGGCAAGGCGGGAACCAAGTCGACGAGAGAACGGAGAGGCTGGCTGATTGGGGGTATCGCGAATGTCTAGACCTCGATCGAACCTAAACGGAAAGGAGCGAATGTGAGTAAAGTACCTCGTAGACGAAGGGTATCCAATACGCTGGTTGCCGGGAGCATCGAGGCCGTAGGACAGGCACCTCGAAGGATAAGGAGGGTATGTTGTTCTGTGTCACCCTCAAGCGGCAGAGACAGGAGACTTTTGGGTAGCTGCAAGGGTATAGAGGCCAGAAATCTCATCTCCTTCGGCAACACTCTAGCCTGCCGTAGTAGAGACGTGGCGAGGGGAGAGAGGGGGGGGAGGAAAGGGGGAGGGAGAGGAGAGTTGAAGATTTTGAGAGATGACAGGCGGAGAGGAATGCGAGAGTAGAGGGAAAGGCAGAGACCTATGGAGGTCTACGGGTGAGACCGTACTTTAGGGTGGATGTAAGGTAATGTCATGCAATGTATGTACGTGTATGTAGGTGGGTAGGTTAGCTAGGTCGGTCAGGCAGACAGGCGGATTAGCTAGGTAGGTATAGCTCGAGCTGTAGCTGCAGCTTGTGGTTACAGCCGCAAGGGTGACGGTAACAGTAACCGTGACCGTGACTGTGTGTGTATGCCTGTGCAAGGTCTGGAGCGAGAAAGGAGGGTAGGCCAAGGTATTTATGAAGCTCTGCCGCTCGTAGCAACAGCCACTGCCTGGGGCTACAGTCGAGGATATGACAAGACGGCCAGGGTGAGTTGACAGATGGGTGGAAGGGTGGAAGGGTGGAAGGGCGCAAGGAGAAGTCGGTGCGAGCGTATTCCAGTCTTGTCTGGGCGTACCGCGTGTATCGTCTGCGTATGTATGGGCGGCTGTGCGTCTCTGTGTGGTAACTCTGGGTTGCGTTGGGTCAACCGACAATCAACTGGATGACTTCGATCTACACCAAGCACTCCAGCGTATCGCTACCTCCCCTTCCTCTCTCTTGTCTCTGCGCCCTTCTCTTTCTCGCTCTCTCTCTCTCTGCGGAGTTGGAAGAGGGCGGCAATGATGCGGTTTCAATAGTACAAGACATACATACGGTAGTGGCAAAGGCCTAGTGCAGGTACACAACGGGGTGTACTTCACGAAGGCGGTAGAAGAGGCGACAGGGAATTAGAACGATACTAGATGAATTAAACGCGGAGGTGGGAAAAGACAGGCAAAAATGACGAAGTCGCAGCAGGAGGTAGAGAGGGAGGAGAAAAGAAGAGAGAGGTGGAAGAAGAGGAAGAAGAAGAGGTAAGTATAAGGCAGGTTAACGGTGAGGCGAGGCGATCAGGTTGCTCACGAGACGGAGAGGGCAAGAAAGAGGTAGACTATGTACGGAGGCCAGACTTATGGACAAGGGTGTGAGCAAGGTAAGAGAGAGGTAGGTAGGCAGGTAGGTAGGGGAGGCAGGATGCAGGCAAAAGAGACCAGGCGGGCTAGCGAGGTATTACGAAGGTACCATGTTGAATGAGCACCTACGGAGCAGAGCGAGGATGGCAGAGGGACCGGCGAGGAGGAGGTATGTAATAGGAGTGCAGTAGAAGCAAGTAGAGGTAGGTTGCGAGGTCGCGTAGGATGGACATGGACGATGGATGGGAGATGTGGGAGGCTGTAGGGATCGAGACGGAGAGCAAGCAGAGAGAGATAGGTAGAAATACCTAAAGCGCTGCTGCTGCTAAGACCAGTGACGGACGGGGGGAGGTGGAGAGCGAGAGGAAGAGGACGAGGGAGAGCCAGCCAGGGCGGGCCCGCATGGACAGGTACGGGCACGGGTATACTAGCACAGCACAGGTACTGCATGTACCTGTCATTGCGCAGGCGGAGCGCGGCGAAGAATGGCGAGACGCAGCAGGTATAGGCGACAGGATACCAGAGGAACAGGCAGACAGGAAGAGGTGGCTTTCCGGACGTCTGCAACAGGCATGCCCACAGGTATAGAGTAAGGCAGAGGCAGAGGCAGGCAGATACGAGCAGGGTAGCAGTGGAATCGAGCAGGGCCGGGCCTATGGGCGACGAGGAAGAGGCGAGGAGAGTATGTTGCGAGACGATTGCTTGGAGGAGCGAGGAGGAGGAGGAGGAGGAGGCAGCGAACAATGGAAGATCGGGCTACTCCCAGGCCCCAGCCCCACTCGTGACTCCTCAGCATGATAACGTTGATAAGACCGGCACTAGGAGACGAAGTCACGCCAAACCCAGAAGCCGATTCCGCTAATCCCGACTCCACCACACTGGCCCTGCTAGACGAATGAGCCGCCGCGTATCCTCCCCTGCGACCCACTAGCAGCGCACGGCACTGGGGGGGGGGGGCGGTATCGCGAAGTACCTCCTACCCCAGCTAACCACCCTTCTGACACTGTTGGCTGGTGTAGTCATCGAATCCTCCGGCCACCGGTTGAGAAGACGCTAGCACGATGCGTGTGCATATGTACATACATGTACATACCGTAGACCCGCCAGACCTCTCTCAACTTGTGCACTGCAATGTCGAGGTCGGCAGGTCTCTCTCTCGTAATGTTCCTGGCTACGGGGCGAAAGTACCGCAGACATCACCCCCCATAGAAAGCATCAATCGCCGCCGGCACATCCACACAGCTAGGTACGTACATTCCAGTGGGGAGGGCCAGCACGGGGCCGGTCTCCCACCTGCATGGCGGGCCACAGTATCCATCACAGGGCGCCCCCATCTAAGGTCCAGCGCTGTCCTTCGTCCCCGTTACTGGCCACACCCCAGTTCCCACTGCAGCTCCCCAGCAAGCTCCCAGGGGCCCGCCTCTCCCTTCTCCACAATCTCGATAGGGTGAGCGTGAGAACGAGGGCGAGAGAGCGAGAGAAGAGAGACAGAGACACGCACGCAAGCCATCCCTTCGTCACTTGCTGATCATCCTCGAACTCAGTCATCATTTCTCCTCTCTGGTCGCGTCTGGCTCTCTCTCGCTCCCTCTGCCAAACCCGGCTTGTGTCCCCTGTGGGATCTGGGGAAGGGAGGCGGTCTGCGCGCGCGCGCGCGCCCATGCACACCCATTGATACATGCACGCCAACCGACGTGTGCATACAGAATTTATGAGTCTACCTCCATCCGAACGCATATGGGTCCATACGCGTACGTACATAGGTAGGTACCTCCACACGTACATGTCCCCATAGGTACCTCTTTTGACGTCTACACATAACGCCCGTCTCTTACGCCACTTCCCGACCTTCTGGTCTCATTCTCGAACCGGGCAACGGGACGCTTTGCTCGGCCGGGCTCGATGTCGCCATAGGAACGCGAGGGACGGCGCAGCAGGAGAAAAATAGGAGGAAAAGAGCGAGAGCAGGGGGGACAGACGCCATCGATAAACCTGCTGGCTTCATCACGGCGATTGGCCCGAGGGAGACGATGATGGCCTCCGATCTCACCTTGCTTTTTCCTCCCATTGCATTATTGCTTATCCTCTCCTCGCCCGTCTCTCTCCCCTTGCGGCCGGTCGGCCTGTTCCTCTCGTCCTCTCAACATACGCGTGCGTGCATATGCAGGGGTGTGCGTATTGTCATCTCTGGGTATCTAAAAAGTCGCAAGGAACAATTCGCATTGCATCATCGTCGACCGCCTTATTCTCATACCTACGTATGTGTGGATGGATGTATGTGTGTATGTATGTATGCGGCGCCCGTCTTAGGTGCCCGTCTACGTCTGGAGGTGTGTGTGTGTATGTGTGTGTGTTGTGTATGTGGCCAGGCAAACTCTGCCCTTCTGCGCTTCTGATAACCATATGGATGGCCCTTGACACAATAGAAGCGATGGGCAGCCGGACAGGATGGTCTAAGGCGAATAAATGAGCCAAGATGTCGTCATTCTTTGTGAATAGCAGAACACTCGCTCGGCTTTTATTTATTTGCTCCTTTCATTACGTCTGTCTTTTTCTTTCTCCTCCTCCTTTTCCTCCTTCTTCTCCCTCCAGCCTATCCGAACGAATGCCGCTAACAATCCGGTGAGGCCAGCGAGGCTCTGAACCAGGTCAGGCCCGCGGCCAAAAAAAATAAAAGATGATGTTTCCGGATCCAATCATGAGGTGATTGACCTGTGATTCGAACCATTTGCGAGCCAGGGGTTTTCTGTGACAATTGTCCCGGGGGGGGAACCAGCAGCAGCAGCAGCAGCATCGACACCTCCATACGCCAGAGGGACATCTGTGTTTTTTTCGGGTCACGAGGGCTTCCCGATCCGTCGGTCACTTCTCACCCTCCGCAGGTCGGCTGCTTATTGTGCGTTGCAAGACAATGGCAGAGCGACAGATCTATGTAGGTGTACGTAGGTATGTAATCTTTGTTTGAGTGACCCGGTTTGGAGGATGTGCCGTACGGGGGGATGAAGACCCTGAAAAGGGTCCGGGCGGCTCTTCGATGTTTCAACCCGCGCCCGTAACGAACCGATAATACACACTGTAGGCACGCAGGCGTGTTGCGGGTCAATTTACTCATAGAGGCAGGACGGAGGTGTGGTATAGCACCCAAGATTAGGTACCTTTGAGACGTTGTCTGCACATATGTACCTAGGTGGCACGGATGTATGGGCATGTAAGATATGCATACCATATGTATGTTCCCTCTGCCGATCGACCAACCATATGCTCGCGGCTTCGGTCCCTAATGCAGCCCCATATGAGATATCAGCCCGTTCAATTTACCTAACCTACCTGGACCTCCCGTCCCAGCTACCTACCTCCTTATCATCGTGTACGTACACACAGACATTCCCATCTTATCTTCTCTATCTCTCCCTCAGCCAGCCCAGCTCGACATGGTGGCCGAGGACGACCTAGGGGCCTAAGGCACGTGATCCAGCTAGGTAGGCAGAGAGGTAAGAGAGACAAGGAAAAAGCAGAGGGACAGACAGAGAGAGATTTGATCCTTCATCATGCAGGTACGATAGTATGTCATAGGGGATAGTCCTCTCTTATCAGCGAGCGATTACTATCGCACCGCCCAAGATACCCGATCTTAACAGCATCCCCATCTTCCTGCCTGACTATCTACCGCGGCAGCTTCCTGCGTCCTTGGCCAATGCCCGGTTATCGTCGATCTACCCGTCTATCTAGGCGCCCATCTATCCGTCTGCCTCCCTACTGTACCCGCCCGTCTACCGGTCGCCTATAGTCTGCTCTCTGTCCACCTGCCCACCGCTTACGGGATCGGCCAAGAATCGACTTCGATTCGCCAGAGATAGCCGGTGAAGTATAGGGATAGATAGGTACGCGATATTATTTGTAGTCGCGTCAGAGAGACTATCTCGCCCCGAGCTCGGATTCGTCCTAGTCTTTGGGCATGAAACAACACGAATACGCAGGTATTCTCGTACATGCGTATATGCACGTATCTGTTATATACCTATCCAGGATGCCTCCTACGATACGAGCACGCAGCAGACACACGGAAACGCTTAGGAACCTAGACGTTGGGTAGTAGGCACACCTGCCTCTATGTATACGGAAAGTGTCTCGCCAATGCCAAATCTTCTTTCTGTGGCGCCGTCGGCCGTCTCTGGTTCCAGCCCATCGTTTGCGTCAACCAAGGCGGACCAAAAATCCCTCTCAGGGGTGCTTCTGGTGCCTTGCCTCGGGTTACCTCTCATAGACACCTAAGGTATCTGTAGGTACCTTAGGTGGCGTTAGGTATAATAACAGGTGCGCACTAGATACCTAGGTATACGTACTAGGTAGGTATCGACATACCTCCTAAGATGCACACATATATTCGTAGGCACCGAGTATAAGATGGGGGATAGCGACATAATACACTAGCATAACGCGCGAAGGCGGGAGATAATATGCCTTGGCGTGTGAGTATACATGAGTATGGGCGTAGGCAGTGGGGATGCTTGCTACCTTACATAGAGGCTAGCATTATTAGGTACCTAGCAGTAGGTTAAGGGAGTTGTATTACCTTTATACATCGATGGACAAGGTCTACACGTAGACGGGGAATTCCTCCCCCTCCCCCCCTGACGGGTACTATGTATGAGTATGCACGTGCTTCGATCCGAGAACAAATCGGAACGCCGAGGATAGCTTTAGCTTAGCTTCCCCTCTACCCTTACCTCTTTTTTCTTTTCTGCTTCCGGGTTGTTAGTCGTCGTCGTTGTCGTCGTCGTTATTATTAGCAGTAGTATTAGCAGCAGTAATGTTAGTAGCATTATTGAACAGAATCACTAGCATCATCCCTATTGCTATGCTGCGGTGACCCGGGTTGGCCTGCGACTTGGGGCCGGGTGGAATCCCTCGCGAGGCATACCTGCTTAGGTATACGCGTCTCTCAAGGTTCCCGTTCCTGGCCGACCGGAAGAGAGCCGCGGTTCGGCGGTCGAGAAGCTCCCACGTTCCCCGTCGAGCCTCCCACACCCGCCTACGTGTAGGTCGGTTGCTAGTAGGCTGTCGCAGATGCGAGGAAGCTTTCCCGTAACGTTTCACGGAGCCGTTGAGACAGTGGCAGGCAGGCAAGCAGACAGGCCGGGACTCCGGCAAGCAGGTTGGGCGATACAGCTAGCTAGGCCGTGCGACGCCATCGATGGCATCGACGAGATCCAGCCCAGGCATGCCGACCGCTCCGTGCCAGCGTCGAGGGAGAGCGTCCTGGTGCGCGTAGGTGTGGGCTGCGACGCCGCCTGCGGGACGACGAGACACGTCCGCTCTGCATCGAGCTAAGGTAGGACTGGCTGAGTTGGCCAGCCTGCAATTAGGCTGTCGGTCCAGTCAACGACCGTCGACGCGACGAACTCCAGCCTGCTCCCGCGTCAGCTGGCCCCATCGAGACTTGCGATTACTATACCGACTCCCGCTCGGAGAGCACAGCTAGCCTATCTCACCCACATGCACGCCTATCGATGTTCACGCCGACATCGACTCGCGTTTGTCTCTCTCTCTTCCCCTCTCTGCCTCTCCGTCGCTCTCACTCCTTCGTTCATGTATGCCCACACCACATATGCACATCGCCGCACGAGGCCCCCCCCCGCATTCTTGGGCTGGAAGCTGGGATGAGACAATCGACAATCGCCGATATACCTGCCGCTCTCGCACGCTCGCAGCTATACACATACATGCACGCATGCACACGTACACACTCGCACACTCGCACACATACACACACACCACACGCACACGCACACATACAGAACCTAGGTATGTATGTATAGTACAGCTACGCTACTCCATAGAATCGCAATCGCTAGACGCGCCTCGGTAGACAGGGGGGGAGGTCGAATATGTTAATTCCCCTCGATCTATCTGCTCGGTTAACCAGGGGGGGCGGATGGGAGCCTGACATCCTGGATCATCTATGGTCTATTGCTTGGTATAGGTGACATCGCGCTCTCTTACCAGCACTCCATGCCACGACCTACCCACCACCCTTTTTACACTTGTCTCCTCACTTATATACCTAGTAAGTTCGACGATGTACGCCTTGCTAGATAAACGTCACCCCTCGGATTTGCACGTACCTGCCGATCCAATCGCGTTCGCCCAATTCGACTGAAATCCCCCCTGTTCCTCCATGACCCAAGCCGAGGTGTGGGGGGTCACCGGTCTAGCAGACAGACATGGGCAGATAGGCTAGCTTCGTAGCTGGATCAATTCTCCAATCCGGAACCGTGCTCTGACTTCTTCGATTTTGGCAACTCTCGCAGCGCATCGCCAATGATAGCCGTCGCCTTCCGAAGCTGCGCCTCCGATATGACTAATGGGGGCGCGAATCGGATGATGTTCCCATGCGTCGGTTTAGCCTGAAATCTCCAAGTAAGCTCCTATCCGACCAAAAACAGATCAAACAAAAACTACGCCAAGGGTATAGGCAAGGATGGGGAAATGCTCAGCATTCTTACCAAGAGTCCCTTCTGCTTGAGGAGAATGCAGAGGTCCCAGGCCGAATGGCCATTTGTTTGCGATTCGTCTATGACGACCGCATTCAGCAACCCCTTCCCGCGGATCGTCTTGATGACGGGTGAGTGAAACGCGGCCAGTGCGTCGCGGAAGACCTGGCCGAGCTTCTCAGCCTTTTCGGTAAGCCTCTCTTCTTCCATGAGCTCGAGCGCGCGAATCGAGACGGCGCACCCTAGGGGGTTCCCGCCGTACGTCGAGCCGTGCGTCCCGGGCTCGACGACGAGCATGATGTCCTTGCTGCTGAGGACGCAGCTGACCGGATACATGCCGCCGGAGATGGCCTTCCCCAAAGTAACCATGTCTGGCTTGATGCCGGCCCACTGCGAGCACAGCATCCGTCCGGTGCGACCAATGCCCGTCTGGATCTCATCGCAGATCAGCAGCACGTTGTGCTTCTTGCAAAGAGCGTGGACCTTGGCCAAGTAATCATCGTCGGGCACCACCACGCCCGCCTCCCCCTGTATGGGTTCGACGATGAACGCGGCCGTTTCGGGCCCGTGGGCGTCGAGTACCTCCTCCAAGTCGGCTACGTTGTTGTACCGGATTGGCTTGCCGGTGGATGGGGAAGTGGCGCCAATGTTGGGTACGTACGGCCCGTAGTTGTCCTTGGACTCTGGATCGGTGGACAACGTCACCGCTATCATCTGACCATGGCATTAGCACGGATCGCCGTCCGTCGACAGCGTGCATGCCCAAGCTTACCGTCCGGCCGTGGAAGTTTTCCGCGGCACCAAACACCAAGGCCTTGCCCTGCGGCACCCCCTTGACTTTGTACGCCCACTTTCGTGCAATCTTGATCGCCGTCTCCACCGCCTCGGCGCCGGTGTTCATTGGCAGAGCCATGTCATACCCGAACATGGACTGCACCTTTTCCGCCCACTTCGGAAATACGTCATTGTGGAACGCCCTCGAGCTCAAGGTCAACCGCCCGGCCTGCTCGGTGAGAGCTTTCACCAGCTCCGGGTGGCAGTGGCCCTGGTTCACAGCACTGTACGCGGAGAGGAAGTCGATGTAGTGCTTGCCCTCGGGGTCCCAGACATCGGCGCCGTGCGCGCGAGCGAAGACGACGGGGAGGGGGTGGTAGTTGTGGGCGGCGTACTTATACTCGGCGTCAATCGCGTCCTGGGTCGACGAGGAATGGTACCGGGCCGAAGCGGTCGAGTCACCCGGGCGGAGGGTTGGACCATCTGCGTGAGGAGCCATAGCTTCGGAGAGAGGTAAGCATGTAGCGGAAGAGCGATAAGAGCGAGAAACGAGGTGCCGGGCTGGTTTATTGTTTGGAAGCAATAGATGCGGTGTACGACGAGGCGATAAGCAGCTACAACACGATAGGATCCAGACGACAGGGAGTGATGATGCTTCGTCCTCATAGATAATAATGAGATGTGGGTAGAAAGTGAGTTGAAATAGTTATGGGATAGCCTGGATGGGAGGCAAGAGATGAAGAAGATAAGAGTTGGAAAAAAAAAAGAGGAAAGGCGGAAAGACGCGGGGTGAATCTGAGATCAGGATGTTTCGGTACGTAATATGAAAGGCGGCGGATTGATAGCCACTAAGCCCCTAAGTGCAAGTCGAAGCGGCGCACCCAGTCAACGGCGTCTGAGACGATAGCAACGGGGCAAGCGGTGCCTAGGTGGCCAGGATTCGAAGACAGTCCACGAGGTCACATGCGGTGGAGGCGGCCCCGGCGCGGCGCCGTGCCGAAGCAAAGCGAGTGCCCTTTTTTTTTGCCTTCTTACCTTTCTGTTTATCGACGTAGACTAGGACAAGGAGGGACGAGAGAGAGCGTGCGAGCGTGGTTGATGCCGCCTCTCGTCGTCTCGTCGGCCAGTCTCTCTCTCGACCCCTCTCCGCTCGCGGATACGGCCCAGACTCCTTCCCTTGCTCTCTTCATGATCTCACCTCCTCGCTTCTGGCTTGGATGCCGGCCGTGTACCACGCAGAGGTCTGGGCAGGGTAAGCAGACGGCGAGCATCGGGCCCCCCTCCGGTCATCATCGGCGGTATTAATCAGGATCAAATTTGTAAGTGCAGGCGGCAAGGACAGGAATTCGCTGGGCAAGGCTTCGGTCAGCTGCGGCGATTGGGCGCGGGAGTCAGGAATGAAGGAAAAATGACACAGGCGGCTGCAGGCAAAATGGAACACTGCAGCGCCTTCGCACCCGCCGACCCCGGACCAGGTGGCCGCAGCCGTAGCATCTTCAATTGCTGGCCAATCACGCACGGCGCATTGTCAGGCCCCGGCCAGCGGCTTGTCGAGGCGCCGTGGGGAGGAACTTGGTCGGTCGTGGGGGGGTGGTATCCGACGCTGCTGGTCTCTCGCCGTGATGCTGGTCGCGATACCGCACACTCGCTGCAGACGGGGGGCGCGGGCCCGGACGTGCCTAGGGATGCGGTCATGTGAAGGCATTCCACCCGTCGAGACGATGCGCTGCTGTTGCGCCGGTTACCTCGGGTACCGGTAGGTAAGTACAGGTACCTCTGATCGGGGTTCGAAGGTACCTCCTAAGGTAGGTACAGACGCTTATGTACTGGCTTAGGAGAGGTACCTAATGCAACAACCTGTACTCATAATTAGAAGGTAGGGTGCATGTAAAGACCTAAGGTACCCCAGGTACAGATGGGAAGAGAGGAGATAGCAAGAGGTACCTATCTAGGTACCTATTAAGCCTAGCTTCTAGCGCCTCTTAGGTAGGGAGGTACCCGGCTAGTACAATCCCCATCCCCTGCCCTGCCCGCCTCCACGTCTTCCGCTCCCCTTCCTCTTATCTCCATCTAGACAGCTCCGAGGCATCCCAATCTGGCTGCGGCATGTCGCCTACAGCCTACAGCTACCGCGAGTACACGCCAGCGTGTGCCCATGCATAGTAGATCTAACAGCTTCCCCCTTACCGTGGCCAGACGGGACGGACTGCTTCCGCTAAGAAACCGCCACGAGATGACTGCGGCACGGGCCAGAGATAGGTATCTAAGACAAGACTTCCCTGCCGGCACCGTCCCGTCTCGCGTCTCGTTTCGAAGCTCAACTCCTTCCCAGCGCACCGCGGACTGGTCGCATGAGAGTCCACGATGAGCGCGCCAAAGCGAAGCGGCAACGAGGCGTCCGGCGCAAGCAGCGCGCCGAGTCCTCGAAGTAGCCCCTCTGCCTACGAGGCCCTATCTGTCCTCTTCGCTGTCCGCCTCGTCAACGCGTTCTGCGTCCGCACCTTCTTCCAGCCCGACGAGTATTTCCAGGCCCTCGAGCCAGCATGGCGCATGGCCTTCGGAGAGGACAGTGGAGCCTGGATAACCTGGGTATGTTAGCCTGTCCGAATCATCCCATCGCTCATCGCGCCATGCAGTGCCACGTGCGTGCGATGCCGTGTTCTCTACCCTCGCCTCACCGCCGGCTCGAGCTGATCTGTCGAGTGAAGGAATGGAAACACCAGCTCCGCTCCTCGCTCCACCCGTCCATCTTCGCTTTCGCGTATTGGATCGTCCACAATGTCTGGGGCGGCATCGGAGCGCCGACGGTCGAGGCTCAGTGGCTCGTCGCCGCACCCAAGATCTTGCAGGCCGGGTTTGCTGCGCTAGGCGATTGGTACGCCTGGCGACTCGCCGAGAAGCTGTATGGCCGTGGCAACCCCACCGCTTGGTCGGTGGTAAGTGGTCGCCCGCCGTCCCTAAGCTTCGCCGATAGACGGAAATCTGATTAACCATGGCCACGTTGCTAGCTGTTGATGACCCTGCTCAATCCTTGGCAGTGGTATACCTCGACGAGGACCTTCTCAAACTGCTTCGAGACTACCCTGACGTCCATGGCCCTCTACTATTGGCCTTGGGAGCTTCTTGGAACCGAAGATGACGGCAACGCCGAATCTCGGCACTCGTCGATTCCGCTCTTCGACACTTGGAGCCAAGTCAACAGGTACGTTAAGGTCAACCACGGGCTTCACGAGGATAAAGCGTGCTAAGACACATCCACATAGTCTCCGGCTGTCTCTGGCGTTAGCTGCCTTCGCCGTCCTCCTCCGGCCAACCAATATCCTCATATGGCTGTCCATAGCTACTCTCGTACTGACTAGGGCTACCCTCGGCGGAAAGTCACCGCTTACGCGGGGCAACCTGCTCGTCGTCTATAGGGAGATCATCCTCTGCGGGTAGGTAAAGCCATACACGTCTAAGTTCCTGCCGACGTCTTACTCTTGTCGCAGATCGTTCGCTCTCGGCGTATCTATGCTGGCGGACCGGCAGTATTACGGCGAGTGGACGTTCCCCCCGTTGACATTTTTGCACTTCAACGTCGCCAAAGATCTCGCCAGTTTCTACGGGGAGAATGACTGGCACTACTTCCTATCTCAGGGCATACCCCTGTTGTGCACCACGGTAACCCCCTTCGTCCTCGCGGGGCTCTACAAGTCGTTGGACGCGGAGCGATCTAGCTGGCCCGTCGCGACATCCAACGCCCTCAAGGCGCTGTCCTTCACGGTCCTCACCACCATATCGGCGCTGTCCCTCATCTCCCACAAGGAGGTCCGCTTCATCACGCCCCTCCTCCCGGCATTCCACATCCTGGCCGCGCCACATGTCACGTCCTTTTTCACGACCGTAGCAGCGGCCGCCTCCGCCTCTACCTCCGCCCCCAGCCGGCCGATTGTCGGGTGGAAGCGGACCCCTCTGCTCGCGGCCGGGCTCGCCGTCAACGCCGTCGTCGGCGGGTACCTGTCGTGGTTCCACGCGCGGGCGCCCGTCGAGGTCGTCGGCTTCCTGCGCTCCGAGTTCGAGCGCGTGCACCCGACGCGCCTGGCCCTCGCCGCGCCCGCCGGCAACGCGACGGCGGCGGCCGCCGACGCCGACGCCGACGCCGACGCCGACTTCGCGCAGGAGCTCTTCGCGCTCTTCCTCACGCCGTGCCACGCGACGCCGTGGCGGTCGCACCTCGCGTACCCGGCGCTGCGCGCGCGCGCGCTCGGGTGCGAGCCGCCGGTCGACGCGGCGCCGGGGTCCGCGGCCCGGCGCGCGTACCGCGACGAGACGGCGCGCTTCTTCGCCGACCCCGTCGGCTTCCTCGCCCGCGAGCTGTGGCCCGCCGACCGCCCCGGCGAGGACATGGCGCGGTACGTGGTGGCGTACGACGGCGGCGGCGACGCGCGCCGGCCGGCCGTCCCCGCCGCCCTGCGCGAGTACTTCGACCCCGCCGGCCCCGGCGCCCGCCACCGCGTCCGCCTCCACCAGGTCTGGCGCAGCTCCTGGAACGGCCTGTTCACCGACGACGACAGGAAGGCCGGCCGCATCGTCGTCTGGGCCACGGGCTTCTACGACACGGCGTCTCCGATTGAGCCCTGAGCTGAGCGTGTGTGTGTGTGGGGGGGGGTGCGTGCTGGGAGGGAAAGGGGCGCGGGTCCGAGGGGAGGGGGAGAGAAGGAGAAAAAAAAAGAGAAAAGGCTAGGAGAGGGGATAGTGAGAGAGGATGAAAACAAAAAGGAGGTGCGGGAGCTGAGATGAGACCGGTATATAAGGGCAGTGGATACATCTAGTATTGTTCATACACGTGGTGGTTGTATATCCCGTAGCGAAATTTGGTCAGGGCCCAACTACACAGTTATCCTATTTACACATGCATCCCATTAGCTGTGGGTACTCTGTCTCTGCCTCTGCCTAGATATGTAGGCGACGAGTAGGTGGGCAGGCAGCTCTCGAGATGATGACACTGTGCATACCCCGGGCCTCGTCCTCGTGGCGCCAAGGAGGGGGCGGCTCTTGTAGATGTTCTCTCTCTCTCGCCCCCCCCTCCCTCTCTATCCTTCTCCCTCTTCTAACATCGGGGCTTTCTACCTATTCCAACATCGGAGACGTCTAGTAGACCCAACGGCCCGAACGCAGCCGCCCTCTCACTAACTACATCGAGCAAGCGCGCATCCGCCGAGTGTATTCGGCTCCCGTCCTCCGCGATACATAGGTCCTTCTCCCGCGCGCCCGTCGGCTGGCTGGCCATTCCCCCAAGGCCAAGGCTACCGCGGGCGGGCTCGCTCGCCGCTGCCCGCCGACGGACGCATAGCTATAAACGTGCACACTGCCCGCCGGCCGGAGACTAGGCTAGGTAGGTGTACGAACTGCCTTCTCGCTCGAGATAGTCTTTCTCGATCAGCCTATAAAAACGCGAGTCAGTTCCGCGATCAGGCAGCATTCTCGAAAGGGAGAGGGACTTACTTCTCAATATTCTTCTTGATTTCCGACGGCTCGATGGCGCCTCGGCTCTTGGTCTGATTGATGACCTCCGCGACGAGGTTGGAATGGGCCATGGTCTTTCGGCTCTTCATGATCCTGACTATCGCCGCCTGCGTCTCGAACTGCCTATCCTGGGCGACCCTTTCGTGTGTTTCTTGGTTCTCCTCCTTGGTTTCCTTCAGCTGGATCTGGTTGATCTTGACGCGGTACTTCGGGTCCGTAAAGGCCTTGTTAACGGTGAACGTGTCTGTCGGGTTGACATCCCTCCCCTTCGGATGTTTCGTGAGAACTCGGACCTTCCCACAAGCTAGGGACTGCAGCGTTCGGGTAAGGTCTGGTCCGCTTAGGCCAGAACGTTCCACGATTTGCTGGTAGGCAAGGAACTCATCCGGCTGATCCTCAATCTGGTTGAATAGAGTCAGCACAACGGCCTGGTACGCGCTGACTAGTAGCTCCTTCGGCCCCTTGTTGAAACGCGCTTTTATGACGCAATGAGCAAGTGAGTGTTTCCAGGTGAGGCGCCGTCCCGTGTGCTTGTTGACGTAGTACGACTCAAAGTGCTCAATCTGCGCCGCGACAACGTTGGGCAGCAGAAGCTGGGTATCTTGGTAGGTTGGCCAAGCCGCCGCGGAGAGGATATTGACTGTCAAGTCGAGGGTGCTCTTCGCATATCCGTTACCTTCGCACCAAGCTTTGTACGAAGCCATCTCGTCACGGGCAATCTGCTGGTCCTTGAACATCTGTTCTAGGTTGTGAGTGAAGTTCGATCCGCACTCGTTCTTGAGTTTTGCCAACATGCTCCTCTCCGCGTCGGCACTGGCACTACGGCCCATGAGGAGACGTCGTGCCAAATCTTGTTTGTAGAAGGCCTCAAAGACATCTTTGCCTTCGATGAAACGGAATAGCTCCAGTGCCCGGTCTAGCTGTCGGTCCAGCTCAGCATCCTCATCGCCCGTACTTGCATGCCCGCTTCTCTCTGCGTCGATTCGGTCCTGAACATCGGAGAGCAGAGACTTTGGCAACGTCTTGAGGCCACCCCGGAGCAGCATGTCGATATATTTGGCAATCATTTCGCCGACCTTGGATGTTCCGGTCTTCCAAGAGGTCAGGACCTTCCTGTCGTTGATGAAGCTACCAAATGCTTGCCGCATACTATAAGTAAACTCGTCGTCTTTATTGAACGCGTCCCGAATCATGAGATCCAAGGACCTCCTAAACTCGAGCAATCGGATGACCATCTCATCGCCCCTGGAGGTATCGTTGACAATTGCAGAGCCTGCCTCCCGGATATACCTCTCCCACGGTTTTTTTAGCCTCTTCTGTATGCCCGACAACTGTAGGAGGTCGTACAACGCCTTCATAGACTCAACCGCATTCTCGTCGAGGAGCTTGCCAATGCTGCCGCCGTCGAGAAGCTTCTCGGAGTAGTTGTCAATCAGGATCTGATGCGCGTCTTCCATGAGGTGTTTCTTGGTGGTGCTGTCGAAATTGAACGCGTTGCATCGGTAGCCCTCGCGCTGGAGCAAGGTCTCACAGCTAGAGATGTAGCTCTTCAGCGGTGCGGTGCTCTGAACTTCGGCAAATTCCCTATAGAAGACCTTGGAGACCTTCAAGATGCGTGGCTCGAATGATTTCCCGTAGATGTTGAGAACATGTAGCATCGTGATAGAATCACGCAATAGGGCGGCGTCAAATCGGACATCCCCCCGACGGTCGTATTCGACGAGTTCGCATAGGCCAGCAAGCGCGTTTGCGCCAGGGTTGAAGTCTGACGATTGGGAATGGACAAATATCGTCCTTCTGAACAGCGTTATAGCCATGTCATTGATTCGTGGGAATTCCTTGTTGTTCAGCAGAAACGACCGGTCGAGGTAGCTGAACACGGAGCGGATTGTCGTCTAGAGAAACCACATCAGCCTGGGATCATGTTGCCTACCGTGCCAAGGTAACAGCGTGCGGGCACACTTACCGATTGTGCGTTCCAAATGACCCAGTACTTATGGGTGCTCGCCAAAGTCTCGATGTTGGAGGGGCCGGACTCGTTCTTTATAGATATAAGGAGGTTGTTCTTCAGGTATGTGTCGCATTTCTCTCGCAGCGTTTCGTAAAGCTCCTTGGACACCCCATGTCGGCACAGATCTTCAACCCCCCTATACAGCCTCTCGAGCGGTTGGCGTGGTTGCTTCCGGTCGAATATGGCTTGCAGAGCCTCGGCTAGTTCCTGTTTCGTAGCTTCATAGTATCTGGCGAGGTCGCTGGCCCGCGAAGTCGTGCGTAGGTTTTTGATCACGAGCGTCTTCGCGCCCCTGTGCAGCTGGAATGTGGCAGGAGGTTTGGTCAGATCGACGACCTCCGGCCGCTTGCCCAACGCCTTGCTCATGGTGGCGGCGGTGGTGGTGGAATAGGAATCGGAACGGTTGTTGAACTTGGGACGTTTGAAGTCGGGACCTGACAACCGATCGTCAGACTGTGATCGCGGATGATTGGCCGTAGCACCGGTAGGCTTGCGCTTCGACGGGGCCGCTAGAGAGGTGGACGGTCCGTCTAGTGATGGGCTTCCCGGTGAATGCATGGACCTGTGGAGGCCCTGCAACTACGTGAATAGTCACACAGGCCGGGAAACAGGCGGGGAGGGGGGGAGGTTGTGGAGGATCGCTTGTTGGTCTCGAGATAGGGCGGAACAGGGCCTGCCCCTACGGGCTAGTGCGCGGCTAGTACGTCGGCAGCAGGATCTCGAGAGTAGGAATGGATGTGGTCAATGTCAAGAGAGGGGAGTTCGAGTGTTCGCGTTGAGGAGGGGGGAGGGGAGGCTGTGAACAATGTGTAGGTGTAGGTATGTGGCAAAGAGAGAGGAGAATAGAGGGAGGGAATGGATGGAAGCGAGAGACAGGGTTCCGACGTGTTACCACGCTCAGGGTTGTATCTACATATCTCGTCTTATCGACCTATCTAATCGTTTAGGGTGGCAGATAAGAGGTCGGCTCCTTTGCCGCCTTCCTACCGCCGTATCTATCGACGAGGGAGTTCGCGTCGATGAATGAAGAAGTACCTCACATACCGACCTAACCTAACCTAACCTAACCTACCTACTTAGGTACCTGTAGATAGGCGCCTGCTTCATACCCTTCCTGAGCAGGTTGTAGGCTTCAAGGAGGTATGATAGGAGGAGATAGGAACCCTCCTGTAACCTGGGGAATGGGAATATAGGGGGTAACCTAAGGTTAGCGTTTACTGTTCGTATACACGGATGTACCTAGGTACCTACCTACCTACTTGTATGATGTGTTTACCATAGGTTAGGTACCTATTGCGGGGTTGGGGTGACAAACGGGGCCAACTGCCATGGTTAGGTACGCGCTACTCATATACCGCGGGGTTACCTCGCGCTTCCCTAACGGGAGAGGAGCTTAAGTACCTAACCTACAGGTAGCTAAGAGGCAAGAATGGACGCGATGCGTGTGGCTTCAGCTGACACCGGCTGTAACCTGTCACCGTCACCCCGGTGTCATGGCGGTATCAAGGCAATACATATAAAATGAGGTTTCTGGTTTATACAGTTTCCAACGTTCTGTTGTTGTGTGGAGATTGGACAATGGATGCCTCCCACATATACATATAGGTACATATTAGTATAGGCAGCTAATATCGACTCGCTCTTGATTTTGCGCATGGAACGCCAATGCTTTGTATGTCCCGAGGCATGCATTTATCACCGCGCGTTGGATAACCTTCGGTTGTCTCAAAATCGTGTCTTAGGCAGGCATTGATGGTACCCCGAGCACAGCATACGCGTATGCGTGACGGAATCGAGTCCGTTCCCCTCGCAACGCGAAACCGGGATGTGCTGTTGGTAGATCGCAAAGCACATATATACTCGCGTATGTTGGGAGGTAGCGATGGATCCCACAGCGCGCGCTCTATTGCCTCCGCAGGCTTGTCTAACGTAGTAAGTATGTACGCACTTTATGACAAGCATTGCGGCGGTTGAGCCCCGTAAATGCCCGCATTCCTATGCTCGCACTATAGTCGAACCGTGTCCATTGGCTTTCGCTCGATTCCTCTGCGTTCCCGAGTCCCGCCGGTCGAGATTACACGATTAGGTAACGTCGCGAGAACGACATCTGATGGGGGCTCCGCTTCCGGGATAGTCGAGCAAGCCTTACTTCACTTACTTACTTATGCCATGCAATGCCATGCCAACACCTACCGCCATACCTAACACGGTCGCGACGCGGCAAGGCCACGCTTAAGGCGGCGTGAAATACGTGCCTCCGCAACCGACATGAGCACACGTCCGGCACGTTCTCCTATAGGCCCCGACGCAGCGCCGTCCTCGCTCCCTGTGGGGATGCGGCTGATAAGATAACAGAAAATGGCCTGGGCGCCGATGACCGAATGTTCTCTCTCTCTTTCTTAAACTCCGGTCCCAAAGACCCGCCGCCACTGGCCCAGGTCATAACTCTCGACCGCGTCGACCGAACGACCAACTTTTACCTGCCATCACACCTCCCTTCTTACTAATCAATTCCTCTTGTATTTTCTTCCTCGCCCCCTACACCATTCCTGCTCAACCCTGCCGTCACCCTCATCTCCAATTGCGCAATTGGGGTCTTACCCGGCTTATTTACTATGATCATTGCCGTTCCGAGCTCAACCTGACGCCGTCATGCGATTCGGCGACCCTTCACAGCAGGTCCTCCAGTCGACCGGGTCCTTCACCGGCTACCGGCCTCTGCACCCGCTCGGAAAGGGTTATCTCGATGCCGCCGACGACTTCGAACACCCCTTCTGCGGCAACGAGGAGGGCTGGGGCCCGCTGAGTCCCTTCCGCTATGATTTTACGCCTTGCTTCGTTGACGTCTGGGTCTTCGCCGTCGCTGTCTTCGGCATCCTCTGCGGCGCTCTCGCCGTCTGGTACGTTCTACGGCGAGAGAAGCCGAACGTCGCGTCGAGGGGCTGGCCCTTTTGGATAAAGCAGGTACGCGGCCAGAGGATTCGGCGAGCCGGCCGCATTGGGTCCGCGGCTCTTAGCTAATTCGTCTTCGCAGTCCCTACTGGCCCTGATCATCGCCGACGTCGCCGTCCAGCTTGCTATCCAGATCGCCAACTTCCCGAATATATGGTTTGGTGATTTTCGGGTCATTACCACGCTCCTTACCATCGTTTCGCTCGGAGTTATCTTCGCTATTCAATGGCTCGAGCACGGCCGCACGAGGAACGCCAACGGCGTCGTCTTATTCTATTGGCTCCTCCTCCTGGTCGCGTACGCCGTCAAGCTGAGGTCCCTAGTGTCGCAGCAGATCTACGATAGCAATGTCGCGTACTTCGTAACATACACCGTCGGGTTTGGCCTTTCCGCTATCGAATTTGCTATCGAGTGGCTCTGGCCTGGGAAGACCGGTGGCTACGAGGTCTTGGTCGACGAGGATGGAGAGGAATGCCCGGCTGAATATGCGACCATTTTCTCTCGTCTCACCTTTTCGTGGATGACACCTATGATGGCATATGGATACAAGCAATACCTCACTGAGAATGACCTTTGGAGTCTGTCTCCCAACGACAAAACCTCCGCGGCCGGAGATAGGTTCGAGGAAGCGTGGAACTATCAATTGAAGCACAAGAAGCAGCCTTCCCTGTGGCTCGCTCTATTTCACGCGTATGGAGGGCCGTACGTGATTGCCGGTTTTTTCAAAGCCGTCAACGATATTGCGGCCTTTACGCAGCCACAGCTCCTACGCTACCTTATCAGCTTCGTGGATTCCTATGAGAAGGGCATTAACCCTCAACCGCCGGTTAAGGGCGCTGCCATTGCGCTTGCCATGTTCGCCGTTGCAATGTTGCAGACGACTATGATCGTAAGTTCGCCTGCGAGACCGGACCAGACGCTATTTACTAACGGACTATATAGCATCAATATTTCCAATTTGCGTTCACCACGGGCATGCACATCAAGTCGGGATTGGCTTCGGCCATCTACAAGAAGTCTCTGAAGCTCTCGAACGAGGGGAGGTCCACGAAGACGACCGGCGATATCGTTAATTATATGGCGGTTGATGCGCAGCGCCTCCAGGATCTGACCCAATTTGCGCAGCAGCTCTGGTCCGCCCCGTTCCAAATCATCATTTGCATGATATCGTTGTACCAGCTCGTGGGGTGGTCTATGCTCTCGGGCATTGCGGTGATGATCGTCATGATTCCCATCAACGGCTTCATCGCCAGATTTATGAAGCGCCTACAGAAACAGCAGATGAAGAACAAGGATGCGAGGAGCCGTCTCATCACCGAGATCATCAACAACATGAAAAGTATCAAGCTCTACGCTTGGAGTGCTGCTTTCATGAACAAGCTCAATTACGTTAGAAATGACCTCGAGTTGAAGAATCTCCGCAAGATCGGTGCCGGTCAAGCCTTCGCCAACTTCACCTGGTCCACTACCCCGTTCTTGGTGTCCTGCTCAACCTTCGCTGTCTTCGTCTGGACGCGCGACGTCCCGTTGACCACCGAGATCGTGTTTCCTGCGCTCACTTTGTTCAACCTCCTCACTTTTCCGCTTGCTATCTTGCCCATGGTCATCACCTCCATCATCGAAGCTACCGTTGCCGTCGGCCGTTTGACGGAATATCTTGCCGCCGAGGAGGTCCAACCTGACGCGATCGCTATCGACGCCGCAGCGGAGGACCGAGGAGACGATTCGGTTGTCATCAGATCTGCGACCTTCTCCTGGAACCGCCATGAGGCTAAGAACGTTCTGAAAGCCATCGATTTCACCGCTCGCAAAGGGGAGCTTACGTGCGTAGTCGGTAGGGTCGGATCCGGGAAGTCGTCCCTGTTGCAGAGCGTTCTCGGTGATTTGTGGAAAGTGGATGGTCAAGTGCACGTCCATGGCACGGTGGCGTATGTCGCTCAGCAGCCGTGGATCATGAATGCAACTGTAAAAGAGAACATCATTTTTGGACACCGATATGATTCGCTTTTTTATGAAAAGACTGTCAAGGCGTGTGCGCTTGTTGCTGATTTCGCACAGCTGCCCGATAGGGACGAGACCGTCGTTGGTGAGAGGGGCATTTCCCTGAGTGGTGGCCAGAAGGCCCGAGTTGCCCTTGCGCGGGCTGTCTATGCGCGGGCTGATATCTACTTACTCGACGATTGCTTGTCCGCGGTAGATTCTCATGTCGGTAGGCATATCATCGAGAACGTACTGGGCCCGAACGGTCTGCTCAATTCTAAGTGCCGAGTTCTGGCTACCAATGCCATTACTGTTCTCTCGGATGCGCACTATATATATCAGCTCAAGGACGGTGAGATTACGGAAAGCGGGACGTTTCCCCAGCTAATAGCTATGAAAGGGGGTATCGCGGAGCTCATCAAGTCTACCGGACAAGATTCTAGGTCAGCATCCTTAGAAGTCAGCCCCGAAGGCTCGGGCAGCGAGACATCTACCTACATCGAACAGGAGAACGACCGGGACAAGGAGGAAATAGAGGAGGCGCAAGAGAACATTTCCGAACTAGCACCTATAAGGTCGGGGCCGTCAAGCTCTGCACAAATTCGGTCGGGAAGCATGTCCACGTTGAGACGTGCGAGCGCGGCCAGCTTCAAGGGCCCCAGGGGAAAACTTCACGACGAGGAAGAACCGAGCGCCAAGACCAAGCAAGCCAAAGAGCACTTAGAGCAGGGAAAGGTCAAATGGGATGGTACGTCTTCCCTATCTCCAGGACGACGCAGATGCCCAGGATGGAAAAGCTCACTACGTAACAGTCTACATGGAATACGCCAAAACCAACAACCTGGTAGCCGTTAGCATCTACCTCCTAGCATTAGTCGCGGCTCAGACAGCACAAATTGGTAAGCTCAGATCACGGATCCGACCCCCGTAGCAGCAAGTCGCTAGCATGCTGATGTTCAGATAGGTGGCAGCTTCTGGCTCAAGAATTGGGCGGAGGCGAACAGCAGGGCCAGAGGCAATCCTGATGTTGGGAAGTATCTGGGCGTCTATTTTGCTTTCGGAGTCGGTTCATCTGCGCTAACCGTCGTCCAAACTCTGATTCTATGGATATTCTGCTCCATCGAAGCATCGCGGAAGCTGCACGAGAGGATGGCGACGGCAATTTTCAGGTCGCCAATGTCGTTTTTCGACACCACCCCAGCAGGGAGGATCCTGAATCGCTTCTCGAGCGACATCTACCGGTTGGATGAGGTTCTGGCCAGGACCTTCAACATGCTCTTCGTGAACGTGGCCCGCTCGGGTTTCACCCTGATCGTCATCTCCGTCACCACACCCGCTTTCGTGGCGTTGATTATCCCTCTGAGCGCAGTGTACTACTGGGTACAGCGATACTACCTCAGGACGTCACGGGAGCTGAAGCGACTGGATAGTGTCAGCAGGAGTCCTATATATGCGCACTTCCAAGAATCTCTTGGTGGTATCAGCACAATTCGCGCGTACCGACAACAGGAGCGATTTGAAAAGGAGAACGAATGGCGTGTCGATTCGAATCTGAAGGCTTACTTCCCGTCGATCAGCTCCAACAGGTGGCTGGCCATTCGCCTAGAGCTTCTAGGTGCCATCATCATCCTCGCAGCCGCCGGATTTTCCATCATCTCCGTCACAAACCATGGCCGCCTGACTGCCGGTATGGTAGGCTTGGCTATGTCGTACGCTCTGCAAATCACGACATCGCTCAACTGGATCGTCCGCCAGACGGTGGAGGTGGAGACAAACATTGTATCCGTGGAACGAGTCCTCGAATACGCCCGCCTACCAAGCGAGGCCCCTGAAATTATCCCCAGGCACCGGCCCCCAGTCTCTTGGCCCGCAAACGGGGCAGTCCAGTTTCACAACTACAGTACCCGTTACCGTCCCGGCCTAGATCTAGTGCTGAAGAATATCAATGTGGATATCCAGTCTCACGAGAAGATCGGTGTCGTGGGACGGACGGGGGCCGGCAAGTCTTCCTTGGCGTTGGCACTCTTCCGTCTGATCGAGCCAGCTACCGGAAATATAAGCATAGACAGCCTAGACACTTCTACGATTGGGTTATTAGACTTGCGACGTCGTCTCGCCATCATCCCCCAGGACGCAGCTCTATTCGAAGGCACGGTTCGGGACAACTTAGATCCAGGCCACGTTCATGACGACACGGAGCTCTGGAGCGTGCTAGGTCAGTGATGCGTGATTCTTGCTCACCCCGATTCGCGCCGCAGGGCCACCGGAACACGCGCTCCCGCGTAACTCGGCGCGGTTCCTCCCCTGCTCGCGGTCTTCACTTAGCTGACACGCCGTTTCTTTACAGATCACGCACGGCTAAAGGAGCATGTCACGAGTATGGATGGCGGGTTGGAAGCAAAGATCAATGAAGGAGGTAAGTTCAGAAGCTCTGCGCCGCGCTTTATTTCGGCTCTCGAAGATATCCCTCGCGATCGTTCTTTTCTCGCGTGTCCGGCTGTCTGCATGATGTACGAGGGCGCACAGCGGCAACCAAGGCCGTTTTTGGCATGCCGAACCTTCATCGTCCGACCTTGCCTGTTTACCGATGGTTGACTAGTTCTCTACGAAATCTCTCGCAACAATATCCTCTCATCTCCTCCCTTGTCTCTCGGGCCGTTTGATCGCGTATGCAGGATGGACGCATTGGCTAACGCATCATTTCGCATAGGATCGAACTTATCGGCGGGCCAGAGACAATTAATCTCTCTAGCTCGTGCGATGCTCACGCCGTCTAACATACTCGTATTAGATGAAGCGACTGCTGCCGTCGACGTCGAGACGGACGCTATGATCCAGAATACGCTACGCTCTCCGCTCTTCTCACATCGTACAATCATAACAGTAGCTCATCGCATCAACACTATCCTCGACAGCGATAGGGTAGTGGTTCTCGACAAGGGAGAAGTAGCCGAGTTTGACACGCCGCAGGCTCTCATTCAGAGGAGGGGCGCATTCTACGGGCTCGTTAAGCAAGCCGGCCTAGATACAGAGTAATCGTGAACCGACGCCCTCAGGGTTAAGGCAGAGACTGTTTGCAAATTGTCGGATCACTGCCTGTCTCCAAATGAGCGCCAGGCCACGTAATAAAATAGCCTAGGATACCCGAGTGGCGCTCAAAAGCCCAGCTGAATTGGTTGTAGGGCACGTCAGGGTAAAAGTAGCAGCCAATAAAATACAGGTGTTGAGGGAGAACGTATATCTTCTGGCATTCCGAGATGGTGATGACAACCAGGGCGATGATGTCGGCTGTGCTCGAGAGTGACAGTGAACACGACTGGAAGATATACGCGTAGCGGCAGGTATGTAAGCCGCCCCGTGGTATTTCGAGGCTCATCAAGGACGCACCACTCTCTCTCTCTAGAACCAGACAGGGGCAATGTGCACCGTTCACGCCACCATACGTTAATACGTCTCGCGCGATGCGATCTAACTCTGCGGGCGTGTATGGGAAGCGGGCGGCCTTACTACAAAACCGCTAGGGCCGACAGTGCTCGTATTGTTACTGGCACAGCGTGGCGAGAGATCATAGACATATAGGGTCCTGTTTGACCTGGTGATGGGCTGGCTGGCTGATCAACCGTTTGTCTACCCCTATCTCCAACCGACACAGCCATGTCGTACGTGGACTCACTCGCAATCGGCCCCCTGGCCCTTTCTTTTCTTTTCCAGTCCCAACCCGTCCTGCTCTGCTCATTTCTTTTCCCTTCTCGTGCATTTCCGCGTCCCTACGCCCCTCCACCCCCCCTCTTCCTCCCCTCCGTCTGCGAGAACAAGAGCCCCGACACGCCAGTCCCGCCATCTCGATTGTATCCGACGCCGGCGAGGCAAGGCGCGAGGTGTGCGGCGGCCTGAGTTACCGCCACCTCTGGTAGCTAATTGCGCGGGCGTGTGCCACATCGTTGGCATACACGATATACAGAAAGCTGAACAAGTAGACAGACAGGTAGGTGGGCAGGTCGGCCAGCCTAGCGCTGTGTCCCCGTCGCACAGGAGGGGGGTGGGTGAGAAGGAGAGAGGAGTAGAGGAGGAGGAGAGAGGGGGGCAGTTGTGGTGGCCGTCAACGGCGATACACGTTCGCCCCATTCCCTCTGTTTCCTTGCCCTTCGCGTCGCCGCTCGCCGTGTGCGCCCACGTACAATCACACAACCACACAACCACAGCACGCGCACACGCACACGCACGCACACGTATTGGCGCTGTGGCAGAGTGTGGTCGTCGAGACAAGGGAGCGGGAGGAGAGGAAAAATCTTGTGACGGTGGCATTCGAGGACCGTATCTGGCGGCGTTACACGGCGGCGCCGTCCGCACATGGCTAACCCGGTCGAGCTCACTGCATACATACACAGATGCCTTAGAGGATCGAGCTTCCCGGGTAGATTAGCAGGCTAGGCGCGTAAGCAGCCCGGACTTGGACTGCCTGCTAGCTCGAAATTGGGACGTAAGCTGACAGGTTCCCGCCTCCCGTCTCTCAGGTGGGCCGCCATCGCCAGAAGGGAAGGGGAGTCAGGGAGGGAGGGATGTTGCTGTCCGCCTGACGTGGGGAGGCGAATGCGGAAGCGCTTAGAGAGTGTGTGAGAGAGAGACAGGGCGGCTCATGACGACGCCAGGATTTTCACCATCACTTACTAAGTCCGTGTACGACTCTGCGAGGTAGCATCTAATATTATCGCGGGCCCCCCAAGACTCCCACAGCTCGAGAGGGGAGCAGTGGCTTAACGAGGTGCCTATCTATCTCGGGCAGCAGATTTTGACCAGACGTCTAGCAAAACAGCCTTCCCGGCTAACGATAGGGAGGGAGAGAAACAACGCCCAGGCGCCTCGGACGGTTGGAATTTCCCTTCGACCCGCCGTGACCCGTCGTCTTCTAGAATGGAACTTCTGTCCGTTCCACTATGTACGAGGCGCCCTCCTCGGATCGACTTGCAGAAAATTCGATGGTAAATTCCGATATATTGCCCACGTTTCATTGGCCTACTGGCGGGAGGGGGGGACACGATGAGAGGGGAGGAAGGGGTAGAGATTGGGACGAGATGGCTGGCTTGATCTGCCGTCTGCGTAGTTCACCGCCCAGTGATTAAACCACAAGCTCGCTTCCCAGCGCCATCTCAGACACGGAGTCATGCAACTGCGGTCTAAAACGGACTGGCGAATTTCTAGGCAGGCTGCCCTAGGTAGACGACCGATACATAGCATGGGAGTGCCATGCCGTGTAACCTCCAAGGGTAGCTATCCTGTCCTATCCCGAGGAGGAGGAGACAGCAATACGTGTGGGAGGGGTCCCTGTCGACGCCGCCGGGTTGCAGTTGTAGGTAATTCGGTCGCGAGAGGGGGACAGGGGGGGAGGGGGGGTCACGTAGGGAGCTGGGGGCAGAAGGAAGGGGGAAAAGGGAAAGCCGAAAAAAGGAAAAGAGAGATCGCAGGGAAACCGAAAAGGCAAGAAGTACAAAAGGACATGAGAAGGGGGTGCAGAAGAGGAAGGCAGACAAGCGGGCGAGGGAGAGGGAGACGAAGACCAAGAAAGGGGAGAGAGGCGTGCTAGGAAGAGACGTTGGTAATCCATGCGCCATCCAACGACCAGCTTAGCTTGCACGGATCGAACTCCGAGGCTATAGATCAGGTAGGCGTCGTAGAAGTAGGTAAGCTCAGCCACTCGATGTCCCGGTATTTTCGCCAGTAGGCGCTGCTCGCGATTTATTAGAGCAGCAAGACGGCAGACACGAGATAAGGCAGTAAAGTAGTACATTTTACACATATAGACATATCTATCGGACTACGTTTACAACGCATACATACACACATGCCTACCCACAAGGTCGTATCGTGCGGTGAGCGAGTCTTCATCCCCATCCAATATCGAGGACCTTATTAGTGTGTGCGTACATGCGTAATACGTAGCACACACGCACGTACGCCTCTCCGTCGCGAGCGAGCGAACGAGCAAGCAAGGGAGCGAGGCCCGTTCTCCAGCCAGAGGCACGCGGGCGAGCTGTGTGCGTGCGGTGGTGGGCAGCTGAACGACGCCCACGAAAATGACGAGGTCCCTGCCGATCAGCGGGTAAGTGGGCACCCCGGCTCCGGAGCTTGGATACGACGGCCAGCGAGACGGAGATAGAACGAGAGAGAGAGAGGCGAGGAACGACGTCAGTATGTCGTCCGATGGGGGGGAAGGGGAACGGAGGAATAGCCGTCGAGAGAGGGGAGAGGGGAGAAGAAGGCGCGTTGCTGGTTGGCGCCAGGCGATGACTTCACAAGACAGACAATACGAGTGCCAAATCTTGATGGGCGTAGCTTTAATAAACGCACCTTGGTTACGCCGGTACGTAAGGTGGGTGTGGTCTCTATGAGGGTGTGGTCTGTAGGTGGATGTGTGGTGGTACCCAGCATTCGGTGCCCAGGATGTAGGAAGAGGTTATCTTGATGAGGCAGAGGCATCGAGCAACCCCTGGTGCCGTCCATCCCGGCCCTCTGGGTACCCTGCCCTTCTCGAACAAGTCACACGCCTGCTGGTTTCTTTTCCTGTCTTTACTTTTTTTTTAATCCCCTGGAGATGCTACGCACACCACTACTACGTCCTCCTTCCGCCGCCGTTGCTGCTGCCGCTGCCACTCGAGACGGCCGGGGTGCTCGCAAAGACACTCCTATAACGGCAAGCTGGAGGGCACGATGGCGGACGAGGGGCCTTGGGACCTAGCATGCTTCCGAGCCTTCGCTCAGCTCATGTATGCCATGTATGTTCCGTATGTATGTATGTGCATACCTACATACCTACCTACATACATACCTACCTACATACATACCTACATACATACCTACATACATACCTACATACCTACATACATAGGAGGCAGGTATGCCATCACATCCATGTCCGGTATCACAGATCATACCCTTACCACAGTAAGGCTAGGTACGTTGTCAAGGTTGATCCCGGCTAAATACATACACGCGGCTATATATATGTATGTAGATGTATAAAATAACCAAGGCCCATCGTTAGATCTAAGGAGGCAGTCATCTTCCCCCCTAGCCAGTCAATCTAGACGCCGCAGTCTTCTCACACAGATACATTACATTACCGATCTAATGCGAGGAGTCACAAGAAGAACCCCTGCAGGATCTCACCTTAGCAATTCCTCGTTGGACAGGTTAGGCCCCGGTCCAGTCCTCCCACCACTACATACCACCTAGCGTGTAGCCTTACGGATTGGACCAGGCACGATGGGTCTCTCGGGTGCGTGAGATGGACATATGCCGGAACAGGTATCCCAATGGCACCGTGGAACGCCACGACGGCTGGCGCGTGCAGCATCTGACGAGGAACAAGGGAGTTTTACGATGGTGATTAGATGGCCGGTCACTACCCAGTGTTACCTTATTCGGCTCGATAGCCTAGGTGTTGGTGGCCTGAATCGATGCTACTGCTACTGTTGCTGCTACCGCTATTAATAAGTGCAGGCCTATCTATGTATGGGGGCGGGAGGAGGAGGGGGGCGAGACAGACATAGAGAGAGAGAGGGCGAGAGAAGAATCGTACGGCTGGGTAGCTCTCTGTCTCATATTCTCCTGCCTTCTCGCCGAAGATTGCACCGGTCTACCCTGGCGACGTCCGAGGTTGTAACGACATGTTACATCATGGGTTCCTTCCATGTGGCGATGAAGGCGATATTGAGAGCTGAAGACCGGGACTTCTACACGATGGGAAATAGGAAATCTAACCTAGTTCTGTCTTTGTCTTCCGCTCTCTGTCTCTGTCTCTCTCTCGCAGCTTTTGTTTCTCTTCAGCTTCTAACACCGCGAGGAGACGCGCCCCCCCAGGATTCGGGCGAGAAACAAGGTCCGAAAGGGATGGTCCATGGTTGGCGGAAGGTGACCCGACAGCTCGGGAGGACAGGCGGGGCGGAATCCCCGAAATGCCAGGCAATTTATTTGCAAACACGCCCAAAGGAAGGGCGCCGGGTAGCCGATCCTGAAAGAGGTGGTGTCGTGGAGGCACCGGCCGGTGGCGATGATACAGGGGTTTGTTAACCAACGGGATCCTTCTGCCCTCTCTCTCTCTTTCTCTCTCGCCGACGCCTCCATGCGAGTCGCGAGCCGCCGGCCGTCACAACACACCCAATGGGATGCGTGCCCTTTACGATCTACCATAACTACCCTTTTCATATTTATAAAAAAAATTATTTTCCCTCTCAGCAGGACTAGACCGGTAGATCTCAACCGACCAATCAGCCAACTACGCCTCGCGATTGCCATACCGATCCGAAGCCTGGCAGGCCTCCTCCTTCGTGGCGGGCGTCGTGCCGGCGTGGAGCCGGACCTGAGGTTGTCCGCGGTCGTCGTGGGGAGGGGGAGGGGGGGTTACGAAGTCCAGAACGTCGGTGGGCTTTCCCCAAAGACCCCTACCCGAACAAATATCCCAGACGGGAAGACAAGTTTCATACATATGGATCCGTTTCTCCCATCTGTGTCCTTACGTAGCGGCCTGAGAGGGAAAAGAGAAGGGGGGAACCAGCCAAGCGCAGCACCGCCCGTCCAGAGACACGCATAATCAAGAGCAGAGGCGATTCGTGGGGTTGGGGCTATCTCTGTAAGACATGGCGAGGCGTCGCTGACATTATCCCGGAGGCCTGGTCCCTGTTCGACAGCATGGTACCTACAGTATGTATGCCTGGAAGAGGGAGTGTGAGTGTCAGCGTAGAATGCCCACGGTACTCTCTGTCTAATGTATATCTCCTGTGTAAGTGTCTGCCTTACCCTCCCTTCCACGCGGGACATTAATACGTGGTTGCTTTAATTAATCTAGGTATATGTAGTTCGTCGACCTGTGGACTAGGTCGCTGGAAACGACACGCATGTGGAAGGCCATAGGTCGCATTGATTCGACCTGGTTGAGCACGCAGAACACCAAGACTAGAGCGGACATCATCCACTCTCCTTCTCCTATTACTCCCCCCTCCCCCCCGGCTCCTCTCCATCGCCCCTCTTTCCCCCTCTCCTCACCCTTTGGTGCTAGCTAGGTCATGTGTTATGCCGAAGTCCCAACCTATCCGTGCTTAATCGGTTCCCGAATCGACGGCATAACGCGGTCGGCCCGAGGCATAGGCGAGCCGAATAACCGGAGAGCTATTGGGTCCGTTCGGTCTCCATAGCGCCCATGTCGCGCCAGCGCGCGACTTGTGGCGAGCTTGCCGTACCGCTTCCATATACACCTCTATATGAGTATAAACATGCAACGAACCTATGGAGAGACCTCTTATTGAGTAAGGTGTGGTGGGACCTGGGCGGAGGTAGCCGGGGGGGAGGGGGAGGGGGGAAGGGGACCATATACATACCTACCTATATGTAGGTGTAGTATCGTCGAACGTATGTGGGTACATATATATACATTCACGGACAGGTGTTGTGAAGGGAGATAGGTACTCACATACATACATGCCTCTCTGTAATAAGTATAGAGCAGGGTTGTACCGCAAGTCAAGGGATGTTGGTTGACAGCGGCTGGTGGCGTATGGAGAGGGCAGGGCGAGGAGCGAGGCCAGTTCACCCGTCCAAGCGCACGATACCATCCCTCACCTGCGCTGTCGCGGGTGGTTTTGTCATTAACTGATCTCGTCGATGCGATACGATACGATGCGATGCGATGCGATGCGATATTACAGCCTTACCCTACCCTTCTGCCGGCAACGCTTATTTGGAACATTCCCACTCCAACAGAGCAGACCGACGCACGTACTCGCATCTCTTGGTCAGCACCTGATATGTCCGTCGCGCTCTCTCTCGACGTCGCGCCAGGGTCTCCCTGGCGCGCCGCGTCCGCGACCTAGCAGCGTGGACGGTTGGCAGCTTGTTCTCCAAAATATACGTGATGTAGACAGACATGCACCCATGTACGGCGTTGTAAGTTGGGTATTTGCATTTATCTATGTAGGTATGTGCGCGTTATAGGCCCATCTCTCTCTTCCCCTCTCCGTTCCCATCTCCGTCTCCGTCTTTTCGTCTCTGATTCCACTCCGTCTCTCTTCCCTTCGTGCAAATCGACGATATATAGGTAGGTATACCTGTCGTATGTCTAGATGTATGTAGGTAGGCGTGTCCGGCTGAGATGGCCGTCTTCCTTGACAGGATCCGACGAAGCAAACTATGCTTGGATGATCCTTGCAGTACTATTTAGCTTCCGCGAGCCTGACAGGTCCTAGGGGAACCTGATCTTCCCCCCAACCGTGTATACAAATTGTAGATCTCATCCTTCGAGCCCTCTAGTGACCCCCACATGGGGCAGCCGCCGTTAGGAGCTTGTGCGCTGTGTGCGCAGGTGTGCGTGTATGTCTGTGTGTGGTGTGCCTACTATGGGGAAGAGAGAGGCATGCTTCATCTACCCGGATGTGTCTCACTTTTTCGCCTGCTGGCTCTGGAAATACGGGTGACGGCCGTGGAGATGTTTGATGGCGTATCATGATGGTAAATGGAGGCAGGGTGGAGCAGAGGGAGCCCGTTAGACTTCCTCTTGTGTGTGTGTATCTAATATACCAGACCCAACGACGGAGGGATCTTATTTTACGCGTTCCAGGTTTGGTTATTACTATGTACAGCTCGTACAGTACGTCTGTTATGAGCTGCGCTGGCAGTTTTGTACTATATGTACGCGTGCGGGTGTGCGTGAGTGAGTGTATGTACATCCCTCACGATCAACACCCCCCAGGGCCTCGTTCTCCCGGTCCCCCCCCCCTCCCAAGGGTACGGCGGGGAAAAGACCAAAACTGCTCGTGAGACCCTGGCGATCTGGGGCGCGCAGATGGCCCAAGCATGCGAAACCTATCTGGACTCAATGCTTACTCGACCAAGGACAATCAACTGCTTATGAGACGCGAGAGAGATGATGATGAACGAACCCGTCCACTGTGGTTGATCGTTGGATTTGAGATCGGACTCAGACAAGGGTGGCACGATGTGGGGTGGTAGGACGGCCAATATGTGCTCAATATCTTCAAGTCAACGAAACATACCGGGGAGGGGGGAGGAGAGGGGAGGAGAGGAAGGGGGGTTAGTAGTTGGCGTATACGTATGATATTGACTTGCTGGCCTGCCTGCTATTCTATTGATATGTATTCGCGTGGTCTTAGCGACGGATGTGGCGAAAACTCTCTACGACGGGATAACATCGCTCAACATAAGCCATGTGGAATATGTCAGGGGCCTGTTTACGTCTACAACGCCTCAGTCTCTGGGCGATAACGACTAAAAACTGTGCCGTGTTAGGGTATTTTTACTGCATGTTACCGTCCGTAGGACCCGTAGAAACCTTGGCTCTCTGACCGTAATAATAAATCACTTCGGACCAGGCACTCCTTCGCGGAAGTGCGATGTGAATCCTGGGCAGGGAAAGGGAGGAGGAGTCCACTCCTGCTATTATCAATAGTCCTACTCACTCAGGCTGCTGAATAGGCCCCTAGAAGAATAGAGAGTCGGGTGAGAGGCAAGAGAGGGGGATCGAGACTTGCAAGTTTGTTCTTCGTTTCGCGGTCCTGGAGAGATATTGCGCCCATTATTATACACCTAACCTAGGTTTATGTCTACGTATATATGTAAATGTCTCTGCTACCCCGGGAGGTATATGAATCGACCACCTGCTACTACCTGCCTACACATACATACTACATAGTTGATAATGGATGGGACTCGTCGTGGGTACGTGCGTGAGTACACTACTCTACTACTCTACATACTACGTCGTATACGATCCATGCTCGCTCATATTACTAAATGGGTGTTGAGAGCACGGACATATTAGTATACTATGCTTTCCACGTAGGCATTGGTCGACGACTACATACACTGTACCTACCAGCTTTCGTGGTTTTTGAAGAGGGGGGGGGGGGTGACAGGGGGACAGGGGTACGAGAGAGGAGGAGGTCGACGCTCACACACACGCACACGCACACGTACATATATACTACATCGTGATCTAGCCTCTGTCGTGCTATAAAATTTCATCTAAGTCTAGGACTGAATCTCAAGATCGTTTGAACAAGGAAATGACTCGTAGAACCGGCTGGCCTAGGTTGGGGAGGCTCTCTCCTCCTCCCCTTTCTCCCTCTCCCTCCCTACCCCCCAGTTCTCCCCGTCCGGGTTGTTCGGTTCGATCCACCCAAGGACTCCACACGCTTCGCCCCGGAACCGCCCTTCTTTGGTCTTCGCTACACTTTTTAAGACTACTCTCCCCGCTAATAAGCTACGAACAACCAATTCTTGCCCTGTCCCCTTGCAACCATACAGGGGTGTACTCCCACACCATCATGCAGAGCGCTCCATCTATCCACTATTTGGATCTCTCCCTCTCTCCCTCTCTCCGTCCCTCTCTCTCTCTCTACCCTCCTGCTTCTCCCCCTTCCTCTACTGAGTATGTACATACACATGCATATGTACATACCATACATATGACACACACACACACGTACACACACTCTCTCTTGTAGATACACATGTATGTGTGTGTGGACGTGTGGTGTGTGTAGTGGGGGTATGCGTGTATGCATGTAAATGTATGTGTATATATGTGTGCATCTCTTTTCGTCTTCTGTCGACCGCCCCTGTAGCCTGGATTCTTCTCAGTGGCCATGGCGGGAACAAGACGCTTCCTGTTGTGCTTTAAGCACCACCTGGTGCAAGCTCGCTGGTCAGCAGCCACCCAATACGCGGCAACCATAGCGAGAGCCTATTAGTCGGTCAGTCTGCCAGTCTGTCCAGGTGGCTCTTCGGCAGAGCGTGCCCAGGTTAGCTTATTATTGTTGATATTATTAAATATTATTATTATTGCTATTATTATGAGGAAAAGACAATGCCAAGCTTCTACCTCTTCCAAGTTTGTGTATACGTACAGATGTTAAGAGCGTTTTCGAGCAGCTAAACCGTTTTTCGAAAGAGGGTTACGGTACGCCATCTCATTAACGTGAACACTCTGCGTAGCATGCTTGGAGGTGTCCACGACACCTCCCGTCGCTGTGTGCCGTGTACGTGGGAGTCTAGTAGTTCGCTCGGTGCACCGTCCATCTGAGCGAATCGCAGGCACAGATATATACACGCCTATATACATATGGGCCTCGATATGCACATCCTTTTCACAGATGTACGCCTGATCGGATACCCAAGACCATCTTGGCCTGTCCATGTGTGTGTGTGTGTGTGCGTACATCCTCAAGTCTCCTCTCTCTATTTTGTCCCCCTCCCTCCCCGCCGAGTATGTAGAGCATTGGTCAATAAGCCGATCATGTACTGTACATACCTACCAGGCCCTACCTACCAGGCCCTACCTACTACATACATACTTATGCCGCCATGATCCATCGACCCCCGGCCTCTTTGAACATCTCCGGGCCTCGTGGGTAGTGTGGTGGTAGTGGATATGTGTATATGCATGTATGCATGTAGAGCCCGAGAGCTTCTCCCGAATTCTTCTTCTGGCTGGCTTTGCCTTCCTTGCCCCCTTAACGACACGACCTTGTCAGAGTCTATTCCGCGCAGCCATATACCTAGATCTATATTATCCGTATCTCTCTTTGTATATGTATACTGAGCATGCTATTATCTGGTCGCTAGCTAGGTAGGTGGGTACTTGCTATATTCTAGCTGCGTACATACACGCGCATCCGCTCACGCTGCGAACCGACCCGTGGGAGCAGAGATTCAGTCTTAAGAACCCCAGCTTATCGTTGGAAACGAGGGGCAGGGGTGGTCGCGAAATCGCTTCGTCCTAATCCTTGCCATCCGTCTGTGTGGTGTGTGTTTGGTTGATTAGAACTTTTATTTTTATTTTTATTTTTATTTTCCCCTTCTCTTCCCTTCCTGCGAGACTCACTGCCGCCACTCTACACACAGTATTCTTCTCCACAGACCTTGCCGCTTTCCATCGCCGATATCCCTTTCTTTTTTCTTTTTCCTCTACCCTGAGGTTATTAGTGGGAACCTGGGTTAGTCCAACGACAACGGTGTATGAAGGGTGTTGTCGCACTTCGATTCCGCTCAACAAGCCGGTCTAAGTACGGCCTTCAATACCACACAACTTACTTGAGTTGCCGTTGTAGAGCTCTCCCTCCATCTTCCCCTTCTTCCTTTCTGTGGTCTGGCCGTTTATTTTCTTTTTGGTACCTGTCTACTTCTGCCGCTTGCCGCACCAGCTGCGGGAGCCACGGTATTACATGGTAGTCCTACGAACAGAACACCACCACAGCTTCGCCGCATCGCCTATTCTCCCTCGCATAAGACCCTCGGCACGCGTGGTGATGGTCTAGCTGGCACATCGCCTTTGCTCGGTCTCGGCGCTCAAGCTCAACGAGCCCTTGGCTCTGAAATTGGGCTCTATATATCCGCTGCGGCCTTCTCCTGTGTATGTCCCCAGCTTTTGCGGCTCCGAAAGTCGCGGGTGCGCATCACATCCCGCCCACCCGATGCGATCTGCTTCGGGGACGAGCCTACAGCAGGTCTTATCATCGCGGCCCTCACTGATTTCTAAGACAGCTGCAGACGCCTAGACGAGGTATACGGCGGACAAATGAGGGGGCTTCACTACCCGGTGCCTAGAAACTTGTCGTAAACGGCGTTAAAAGAGTACATCCTGCCATCCATCGCGACCAGAGTTGATAATCCCGTTTGAACCCACTTGGCGTATTTCAGCTCATTAAACTGAATACACGCTGCTATCCAGGCCTGGCACCACGATATATTGCCCTTTCTTTGTTGCTGTTTGCGCAGGGCCCCTGTCCAAGCTGCCCTGGCTCACACAGCCGCGGACTCCTCACACGCATATCCCGTCCCATCCTGTCTATCCTATCCTATCCCTCCATACATATCTCTACATCCTGACCTATCCAACTACTGCGTCCATATACTTACACCCGTACCTTCTCATACATATATACATATACGCAGCACACCTATACACGCCTAGCCAGCACCTCTACCTCGCACTACTTGATATCCCGGCCGCCCCGACTGACCAGCCTCCTGAGGAAGCAAGCTCCCGCTGCCGCTCCTGGACAAAGAAGAAACTGTCTCGCCTGAGAGCTCCCTACCCTCGATGCGCGTTTTGCCTTCCCGTTCGGCTTCTCCACCTCGATAGGCCACCACGGGATTTTCTCTCTTAAGGCTTGGATCTGTCAATACGAAGTACTATATTACAAGCTCCTCATACATACGCACACACATACACACACAGTCTCTCTCTCTCTCTCTCTTCTTTCTCTCTACCTCTCTCAACTTTCACCCCTCTATACTTACACCCTCGCACATATATTGGACATGTGCATCACCTCTGCTTGAATCGTCACGACATATACTAGCTCTGACAGAAAACCCTCCTTGGACTGCATTTAACCGGTGTCTTCTCTCTGCATCGTCGTTATCCAATATAGTTTCCGCCATACTACTTTTCTGTGGGACGTATATTCGGACATAAATAACATCGAAATCGGGAACCGGCGCCGCTGTAAAGATTCCGAACGGAACTTCTCGACAAGACTGGACCAGTTCGCATGTGACGGAACTGCAGATCAAATAACAAAAACTCAGTCGCTAGCAAAAGAGAGGTTCCGCACACCTCGCGAATTGGCCGCATCCGCTGCAGAACGAAAACGGCGAAACCCCGTCCATCCGCCTTCGCCTCGAATAACCAGCTTAGGATCCTTATTTAACGTCGCCTGTCCGCTCATCTCCTCAGGCTTCGCTTCTCCTTCGACTATGGTGCAAGACGCCGGTCACCCCAGGGATTCCTTCCCCTCTCGGCCAGCCTACTGGCCACCCCAGGAGAGGTTTCCTATGGAGCCGATACCCGATGAGAGTCGTTTCACAGACTCGCCAGACGTGCGGCGACCACCCGTGGTAAGTTGAAGCCTGAGCGTCCTCGGAAGTCTATTGTACTGAGTTGGCGGGGGGATAGGCTATTGATAAAGCTCTACGAGAGTACTGCAACATCTCGGCTGAGTTTTACGTGCTCATATCCTTCATCGATGGGAAGCCCCATATCTTCACGGCGCCGAATAGCATAGCCACCTTTGATATAAAGAGGTTTTTGAACATGAACGCCCTCACCCGCGAACTGCAGCGCTCACGGTCTAGTAAGCTCTCGAAAACTCGGGTTAGAGCCCGTGGCATGAGTTTCACTAAAACCTCTGTGATCTAGTTTCCAACCCAACATATGGTGAGCCAGAGTATGGCTATGACTCAGAGATGAGCCGGTACCCTCTGGAGCCGGGGAGGCGATGGACCCAGGATCGGAGGTACGGCCAATCTATAGGCTTGGCCACTTTCGAAGAAGACGGCAACTTCAAAGCACGAAAGAGGCCAAGGGCGAGCATGGTACGGCGTGAGCTGGACAACCTCGAAGACGAGCCCTCAGCGTCGTCGAGCGCCACCAGGAGAGGCATTACGATCGGCGACGAGAAGGCTGTCTGGGCCTTCTACGAAGAGCGTTTCAAGAGCTGCCAGCAAACGGCGTGTAAACTGATCGCAAAGGCCTGGGTGAAAGCCGTTGAGCCGAAAAAGCAGTCTACGCACCCGTACACGGGCTCGGATGAGAAGGCGCCTGATTGGTGGCCGAAACCATGGGGGCCGAACAAGGAGCACAAAGTCAGGCATAAGGAGCCTGATCACCTGTTGAAGCGCGGTAAGACAGACGCGAGCCGAGGGCACAGGAGCCATCTAACGGTATTGCTAATATCGACGCCCGTCAGAGCGAGTACACCTTCTCAACCACATCCTCCGCATGATCGTCGAACCCAGCCATAGCCAACACCCCACCCTCCAGAAGCTCTTCCTAAACGTGAGTAAGCTGGAAGAGATCACCAACGAGGCGCTATCGGCGTTCTTCGCCGACAAGGACAACCCCAGCAACCTGCTGAAGAAGCCCTATCTCAAAGAGATCTTCAAAGTGGCCAAGGCCGAAGAGCGGTTCAAGGATGGCCAGATCGGTGAGTGGGAGCGAAGCTCCGTTCCGCGTGCGCCTCGACCCGCTGCTAACCAGGAGCCGTAGATGGATCGACCGTTGTCCACGTAATGGCCAACGACCGGGTCGGCCAGAGCTATGTGTCGGATGCCGAGGACGTAAGCCCCGGGCGGGACGACGGCGAGCACAACCCGACACCGGGCTCGTCGAGCGTGTCGCCGTCGCGGCCAAACATGCCGCCGCCGCAGATGGCACTCGTGGGCCAGCAGGCACACAGCGCGGAGCAGAGCCCGGCGATGCAGATGTCGAGCGACGCGTTCGGCGAGATGCAGGGGCGCGGGACGGCATACCCGCAGCCGGTGCTGGGGCAGGAGATGGTGACGGCGGAGCGGTCGGCGTTCACGGTCGAGGGCGCGAGTCTGTCAGGTCAAGCGCCGGCGTTGCACCCGACACCAGGCCTGGGGATCCACGAAATGTACGCGAGCCCGCACGAGTCGAGCCGGCGGTCGTCGATGTTCGCGTCGCCGTCCGAGTACACGAGCCCAGCGACGCCGAACATGTATCCGCAGTGGCAGGGGCAGGGGGTATCAGCGCCGCCGAGCGGCTCGTCGATCTACTCGTTTCCGCAGCCGCAGCCGCAGCCGGCGGGCGCGCAGCACCATCACCACCACAACCACCAGCAACCGCCGCCGCCGCCGCCGTCCTTCGTCGCGCACACCGGCGTCGCGATCGCGCATAGCCAATCCTACGGTAGTCCCTCGTTCGACGGCTTGCCGCGCGCCGCTCACGACGCGCAGCAGCACAGCGCCGGTCTCTACCGTCCCGCGCCCCTCGGCCAGGCCTCCCTCCCCCATCCCGGCTACCAAAACTACCTGTCCCCCCACGAGTCCGGTCCCATCTCGGCCTCCAGCATCAAGCCGGACCCCCTCCCCAGACACCCTGCCCATTAGGGAACCCCCTCCCTCCCCCTACCGCCGCACACACCGGCTCGACACGAAATTTATGCACCACCACCCCCTCCTCCTAAAGCGGGACGAATCCTACCCAGCGATACCACCCCCCGAAGCAAGCAGCAAGCAAGCACTGGTTCGCTTAGTCTGTATGTAACACGCACCGCGCCACATCGAACGTATCCGGTGTGCGCGCGTGTGTGTTCTACGATAGCTCAACCGGTGCCGTTGACGAGTTAGATGGCTCTAACCATCTACCACCAAACGTTACAAGTTAATAGATATCCTTTTGAGAGTCCCTCACGGCAGCCACCCTTTCTCTTTTTCTTTTTTTTTCTCGCTTCTGTCTTTTTTCCGGGCCGGACTAGCGAGCGATTGGGATGTCATATACGTTTTATTCCATCTTCTACTACCACTACGCGTACGACACCTCTGCTCTTTCGGGACGCTAGGCGTCCATCCATTGGGACCGGTATTGGCGTGCGGCGGGGGGCAAGGCGAGGGGGGGGGGGGGGGGGGGGGCTAAGGGTGTGGGGGAAGGGGACTATTATATACGTGCGACGCCGAAGAGAGAGATCTATGTCGTCCCCTCGCACGAGCATATAGCAGACTGGTGGGTGTGTCGCATCCTTTTTACATCATCTATTTGGGCTCTTCAATCCCCAAGTTCGGCGAGAGAAACGGCCTCGTCTCGTCTAGGTTTTCCTTGGTTTCCGTATTGTTTTCGTCTTCTGGTTTCCGGGTTGTCGACGCGAACCCGTGCCAACCCCCGGGTCAGCAGTGGTCTGCGAGCTTGAATCGCACTGCACACGTCGCGGATGCAGGGAGCGCGCGGCGCGAGTGAGAGGGAGGGAGGGCAGGCGGAGATAAAGGGAGGAGTGCAGCAAAAAGTCAAGAACAAGAAGCATCACCCGAAGGTTGGCGGCCGGTCAGCTGAGGAGGCCCCTATCACCGATTACTGCTACTACCACCTATCACTACTACCACGACCGGGTGGTGGCTTCGTTTTGTCGTTCTCACGAATTCAATACCACAGACGCAAAATTGGCCAACTGATCATTGCATAGCTCGGGCGCCGTGTGTGTATGGATGCTTTTATCTGATTTACTTTCCCCTTTTCCCTCTCGTGACGAGTCCACGACGCGCAGCATACCGGGCGGCCTTGTCTTCTTACCAATCTCTCTCACGGGTTTCCATCGTCGCGGACTTTCACCACAGAGCGAAGTGGACGGGGAGGTTTTTGTTGTCCCCTGACGCTTGTTTATGCTTATATTATGCTAACCATCACCAAGAGCCGAGTGACCGGAGACGAGACGAGGGGAGGTGTAGAGGGCGGAGGAGTCGGAAGAGAGTAGCAAAACGACTCAACTTGGCTAGCAGCGTAGTGGAGAACAGCCGAGCCAGCTCTGGAACTTCTGAGATTGTCTTGCTTTTTTTTTTCTTTTGGGATACCTGGGACTGGTTAGTGGGAGAAGGGGTTGGGAGGCCAGGAGATGTTGGGAACCATTCAGGGCGCGGGCTGGGATATGTCGTCTACGTGTTAAGGCGCTGCGTATTTCTTGCCGGGATTAATCAGTGAGCATCTTCAAGGAAACAGTTGAATTGCAATTAACAGTCAACAACTCCATACCGGCTCAGGATTGGATTTCTGGCTTCCCCATAGAGACGGACATGCGCCAGCAAGACAACCAACTTGCCATGATCTCGATCCCACTATTTACCCCATCTCGACCTCAGGAACTCGACTGACCTAGCTCAACACGTAGTTTTCCATAATTCTTTTGCGCGCCTTCTCATTTTTCTCTCATTTGCCCACCCGTGGAGTGAACCCGAACACACATGCACACTAACAAATTTGGCCATATATGATCCTCAACAGCGCAGCATAGGAGGGCGTTATGATTGGGCATCATGTAGGATAGGAAGAGAGGTCCCGTCGACTCGCTTTTGCGTCAACAACGACTCCACTCTCTTGCATTGGCAGAGGATGCCACGAAGCCGACACGCATATGTTTTGACATGCGGGTGTCCTCGGGGGCCGGCCGACGGCTGAAGGCCCGTTCCGCCCCTTTTCTAATTCCTATCTGTCTAGTCAGGTAGAATGTAACATGCTGTGGTGAGATTAAGTTCTGAGAGAGTGAGATCTTGCCAAATAAGAAAAGAAGAGGGACGGGAAATATGATTCCATCGACATAAGCAAGCTACCGTCGGCATGCGCATTACATCCCATCTCATCTAGATTACGCGAATAATACTACGACCGCATATGCATATGTACAATACATGGCTGGCGCACACACACTTTGCACGTACGCACACGTACACACGTATCCCTACATGGATGCCCCTCTATCGTACCCGAGGCGGTGTCCTCTGGATCTTGAAATCTTATCTGGAGGTGAAAAATGACATGAGAGATGAGAAGGCGGCGGACCCGCTGACCCGGCACACCCCAGGCCTTGCCGCCCTTGTCCTGCTGGCTGGTCCATGTACATACCTACATACGGTACCAGCCAGGTCCCACCGCCAGGAGCAAACCCCGGGCCAATCCGAGGCCATCGTGATCCCACACGCCGCTGGCTCGGCTGGGGAGGGATGTGGGCTGCCAAGGCTGCCGCCCTCCCTCCAGGAGAGTCTTGAGACGAGATATTTAAGAAACGGGCGTCTGGGTCTGCGGAGTGAGACCCTTCAGCTCGTACGCACAACTGACTGATGTGGACAAAGAAGGTCAGAGACGCCGGAGGGGAAGAGGAAAACAGAAGATGGAAGTGGGGAGGCGGGGAGACATCGTACGTTCGGTAGGAGAGGAGGTATCTAGATCTGACTGATGACCCTAGAAGAATGGTAGACAAGATCACGCAGAGCTAGGGCCAGATGACGCAGAAAACCCCCCTTTGATGCTTCGTGGACCACCCTGGTATGGGGTTGTGGTGTGGTCCTCCTTACCACGCCTCTCCATGCCAATTTACTACAGGTCACAATCCCACACGGCTAGAGGGGTGTGGAGGACGACGTGGCCAGCACCATACCGGTGCAGCGCCATCGAGATGGTGTCGAAGAAGGGCAATTTTCTGTCTCTTTTCGCTTCCCTCTCCCGCACCCGTCGCCGACGCCTCGGGACACCCACCCCGTCCATCCAGTCCTACGTTTCAGCAGAATTCCTCTCCTTTCTCCTGTTTTTCTCACTCTCCCCTTCCCTCCCCCCCTGTCCCATCGGGAAGCAAGGATCGCCGGTCGCTTGAAGTTGACCCACTTGCAATACATACGCCGTCACTACATACCTACATATTCACTCTCTGCCCAGGCAGGGTAGGGTGTATGCGTGGATACATATGTATATACATACTTATAGACATACAGATGTATACGCACCCACACCCACACCCACACACATATACTGGCAAACACTACCAGAATACATTGTTATTTTCGTCTTCAAGATTCGAGAGCTGATAGCCTGCTCTCCCCTCTCTCCACTTGCATCTCCCTGCCCTGCCCGTTGCCAGCTCACGTCAGAATCGTTCGACCCCGTCCGCATTTCCAGCAGCCATAACGAGACATGCCTGCGCGCCAGGCAAAGGTCTTCTCCGGTGAGGACGTATCTGGCCATCTTCGGGAGACTTTCCCACCTAGTCCACACAAACACTGGCAAAACAAGACCTCCTGGAAGGCTGTTTCCTCGCGCCTGTCTCTACATATGGTGTATGCAATGTGCTCTGAACCGCCAGATCATCCTCCCCGTCGGGTCGGTTGCTGGTTTGACACCGCCGTAGCGACGTGACACTGCAGAGAGAGAAAGGGAGAGAGTGTGTGTGATACATAGATAGCGGTACGATGGAGGAGGGTAGCTAAGCCAGTCAACCCCAGAGTCTAGGTTACCCAGATGCTACCGAAAGCAGGGCAGCGCATTCCAGCTTTTTTACCCTCTCCCATATCCCCTTTTTTGTTGGTTCCGACCTGGTGGCAATGGAGAATCTGCGCCTATGCTGCTTGGTTCAGCCGCAAAAAGCGCCTAATAAATCTTGGTCTAATGAAACGAGAATCCTACCATTTTGCCGCGAAGCCTTAAGAGGCAGACAGCATATCCGCAATTGGGCTATGGCTTCTGGAGTGGCGTGTAGGTTAGGGCGCTTCCATGTTCCCATGGTTGTCTAGGGCAAGGGAAGACGGCAGCGTGTTGTCAGTCGTCCATTCGGCCATTCTGCTCATCCTACATGCCCACATGCCTACATAATAAGTATGTGGTCCGGATCTTCGCCAGGTGCAGCAGCTAGCGTGAAGAGTCCGCCGGATTCCTACTAGCTATCTGCTCATTGTCCACCTGTTCTCCATGCGCTCCGCCCAGGGCCTTCCTATAGGTATTCCCTCGTATGCCTCCCCGTTAGTCCACCATCCGCTGAGCCTCGCCTATTCTGCACCCCCACGCGGGCTATAAAGTTTCAATGCCCCGGAGAAGACGGGCAAACCTGGGGCAGGGTTCTTCCAGCAGCCGGGGAACGCCCTTGTCTATCCCCCCTCGCTATACCTGTCATATATCATAGCCAGCTAAACGGACGGTCCCGCTCGACGCTTAACGTGGTACGCCACCCGGTCGTTTAGTAGCTGCGGGCCCCGTTCCAAGGGTTGCGTACATGCCCAGGCCACAGCTATAGCTGCATATATACCTAGCTAGGTACATGACGCGTACGTATGTGGGTATGTACGTACGTCGCGTAGAGGCATACAGAGTGAGTGAACAAGGTAACTGACGCGATATAGCACGGGGAAAAAAGATACGCGAGAGAAGAGGCCATCGTTTCGGGATCCACGTGCAGTTGGCATGCATACTCGATCCCTGGTCGGTCGCCGTTTATCAATGTCACACCTCTTCGTTTTCGCGACTTTCTAGAACATCGGCTATCTCGACGAGACTCTTTCTCCAAAGCTGGCTTCGCGCTCTCATTGGGGGGAGAAGCTCCTAGATCTCTGGCCAACCGCGCGGCGGTCCCCATGTGCTGCTGGACGGGGGCGCATATGTGTGATACAGTGCTCACAGACAACATGTACGCAGGTGGCTATGCAAGACGGGATGTCCCAGGCGGGCTTGCCGACAGCAACTTACCTACACACATACACACATACACACATACACACATACACACATACACACATACACACATACACACATACACACATACACACATACACACATACACACATACACACATACACACATACACATACACACATACACACATACCTATGTACGTACGTAGTCGTGGAGCTTCATATCGCCGCAAGCCGCCTTTCGGATGGCTTGGGATCGGGCGCTTGGGATCGAGCGCCAGTCGGACTTCGTAGCAAGGAGAGTGATTTGCTCCTCTCCCCCTTGAACCGGTTCTCCAGTACGGTCCAACACGGCACCGATTCAACAATCTAGGCAATCTAGTCACAGGGGGGAGGGGGCCGCTGGTTGGGCGTCAATAGACTGACTACCTATCTCAAGGGTCGTAGTCTGTCTCTCTGTCTCTCATGCCAGGCGGTAGGCTCAGGCGAGGGAAATCGGCGGTGAGATGGACACAAATTTCACGCACGTAGACACGAAGGCTCCTCGTCATCAGAAGTCTCGCCGAGGGAAAAACTGGCAGGACGAGTGAATTCGTACTCCCTGCTTCTTCTCCTCCATAGGTGAGATCCCCCCCACCATGCGGCTCATCGTCCTGCGTGGTACCTAGCGGCGCCAGTGTCGGGGCCGTCAACAGTTCTCGAGCAAGTTAGCGTCAAACGAGAGAAGAGATTGATGGGAGGGGGGGGGGGGGTAGATACTCCCCGCCGAATAAGGATATGACTGTGATGATTCCTACCAAGCTAGTAACCGGTAAGCAACACGAGAGGTCCGTTCATGACGATTACTAGGTTCAAGAGCTTGACCGAGCTCCCTAGGTCTCCCGTAAGCTTCGCTAGACAACATGGTGGGGGGAAATGGGGGTTAATTTCGCGAGACGGGTTTACTGCGGGTTTACATAGTAATCGTGACGGTGAGAGACAATTCCCTAGGCTTCAGCGTGGTCGTGGCACCGGTCAAGACCCAATACACAGGGGTTTCGAGCCGTTACTCGTAGAATTGTACGTGTTCATAATACCCGCACATGCATTGACCGAGACGCCCCCACGAAGGACGACTGGGACAGCCATGTGCTGTCCGACGCCAATATCGTACGAGAGGCGTACCGGTGGGCGCAGGAATATATGCAATATATGATACAAGCTCTCAGCATCCCGGACGATCTTCAACGCCTCCTTCGGGACCCTGATCCAACGGGATAAGCCTCAGTAGGCACTTCCTACCCCTGGGCTGTGACGAAATGAGCTGATCGGCCATCTCCATATCCCTGGCGGTCATGGATGGATCAGGCAGCGTAGTAAATCTCGAGTAGACATCCCTCAGCAGAACCTTCATCTCGGCGAGCGCCAGACTAGGAAAAGCAAACAGTGCAGAGGCGTTAGAAGCACAAAACCGTTTCGTGTGGGACATGTTTATCGCAACACAAGAAAAACAAAAAGGGGGGGGGAAAGGCGAACGGGACGATGGCGTGACTTACTGCTTACCAATGCAACCCCTGCCGCCGCTCGCAAACGCGAAGAAGAGGCGCTTCCTGTCGAGGTCGCCGGGCTCGCGGAGCCAGCGGTCAGGGTCGAACGCGTCGGGGTCGGGGAAGACGGCGGCGTCGATACGGTGGGCGGAGTAGGCCTGGCAGCTGACGACGGCGCCGGCGGGGACGAAGCGGCCGTCGATCGCGCGGCCGCCGGCAGGGACGCGGCGCGGGAGGGACATGGGGATGGCGGGGAAGCAGCGCAGGCCCTCGCAGACGACGGCGTCGAGGAAGGGGAGGCGGTCGAGGGCGAGCTCGGCGCCGGCACGCAGCTCCGCCTGCAACCGCTGCTGAACCGCGCGCGACCGCGGCTGCGACAGCTCCCACATGAGGAAGCACAGCGCATCGCCCGTCGTGTCTATCCCCGCCGCCATGTGATCGAGGCACTCGGCGGCGACGTCGAGATGCGCAAGCCCCCCTGCGCCTACCCCCGCCGACTGTAGCCGGCTCAGCAGCGTGAACGGCGCCGCGCTTGCCTTCGCGCTCGCCGATAGCACGAGGTCGTCGGCTAGCGGCGTCTGCCGCGGCTTCGAGAACAGCGAGAGCACGCTGCCTATTACCCCGTGCAGCACTGGGCTGTAGTGCTGGATGAGGCGATCTGCATCGCTTTTTAGCAGCTGGAGAAAAATAGGGGAGAAAGCAGGAGAGGGAAGCGGAAAAGACCGACTCTGGAGACTATCGTCGAGAGTTACCTGCATCATGACCTCTTCGTCTCTCGGGTCGCGGAGGGAGTCCGACCCGTAAGGGTGGAAGAGATGATGCGTCACGCAGTCGAACGCGTAGTCGTGTAGGCCTGGTAACGCGACGTCAGCGCAAACGGGCCTGCTTTGATTGTGAATCAGGGGTAGCTCTACAGATCTACGACACGGTTAACGAGCGAACATGGACAGCGGCGCTGGGGTGCGAGCATCCGTCCTTACAAAGATATCGATGCTCCCACCGACCGACTTGGAGCATCTTTCGATGAACCGTTTCGACCGCTCCTTGATCCCGCCGAGAGACTCCGGCTTTAAGATATTCGAGTTGGCATATCGATCGGCGATGATCCTCTTCCTCCTTGCATGCTGCAGATGTCGATGTTAGGTTTACTTCCCCTCGACGACAACAAGCTAGCTAGCTAGCCAGTACGGGGCGATGGCCTACATCCTCTTTGTTTAAGGTGGTGAACGTGGTCCTATACAACGGCTGGTAAGAATCGACTCATCCATGTCTCCTGGGAGGGGGGCGCGCGAGCCAGTGACTATCTCTCACCTCCTGCCGTAGATCTTGAACAGATCGTAGAACTCGGTCTTGTCGTAGCCGCTGCCACCGGAGCCGTAGATTTCCTTGATGCCCTCAGCGGACGCGAACGACACCTCGTTAGGCGCGATGCGCACGACCGGCCCGTACCTCAGGTGCAGGCCGTGCACGTACTGCGTGCGGTGCGCGCGCAGCTCGTGGTACTTGAGCATCCACGAGCTGAACAGCGAGACGGTCGGCCCCGGCAGCACCCTCAACGGAGAGGTCACGCATCGCCACACGTACAGGAGGGCCAGCACCGCGCAGACGCCGCCGAGAACGAGGGGGTTGAGTAGTAGCATATCGGACGAACGGTTGGAATATAGGTAGATAAACAGATACGGCGCCGGACGGGAGGACCGGCGTGCTATTCCCAAAATCGAGCAGGTACGCCCAATAGCAGGAATAGCCGAAAATCATCTAGAACGAAGCAGCAGATGAATGCGAAGCAACGGAGGAATTCTAGCTGTCCTGTACGCGTTATCGTGTTATCGCGTTATCGGGCGAGGTTGCGGTTACGCATTCATTCTTGGAGATAGTATCCTATCTGGGTGGGGGAGGCCTCGAACGGGGAGGGGAGGGGGAGGCGGGCCGAGTCAAAGCGAGAAGAGGAGAAGCCATTCGGATTACGGAGAGCCCAATAAGCGGCTTATCGTCATAGTAAAATGAGGGAGGGGGCAGAGAGTTTACGGCACACTCGATAAGGATCCGGTTCGGTTCTAAATTATTTCCAAGCTATCCGGCCGGCTATCTCTCCTACTACTGCTGCTCCCTCCATCTCCAATATCTTTTACATCATCCAAATATTCGTAGGGAACGGGTTGAGTAGAAATTCCGTAGACAATGGTGGTTATCTAAAGCTCCCCCTTTCCCTTTGTTGTGTCTTGACCAACGCTTCCGCCACCGCCGCCGAACATGCTTGTCAGCCATGACAACCCGGGCATGCTCATCTTCGCCGCTGGAGGGTATTGTTTCCCCTCGATCGTGACTCGCGGCCCGCAGGTGCACCACTTATCCTCCGGCACGCCCGCGAGAGCCGCAGGGACGTGCGAGCCGCAGCCCCGCCACGACTTCTTTGCTGTGACGCCGTTAGTATATTGATCTGTTGTGTAGAGTCACATATCATCTCGGGTGTTGGAGAGAGAATGATGAGTTAACTAACAGCAGGTCGAGCACGTTGCACCGAAACACATGACTAGGATCGCGAATAATGGTCGTCGACGGGGTCGATGATGCAGTTGAGGGTTGCTTGGTTAGATTTACTTTCGATCAAACCTCTAGAGGAAGAGAGAGAATGAAGGAAATTAATTTAGAGCGAGCCCCTTATAAGCCGATTCCCCGACCTCCCTTGCGTGACATGCCGGTGTTCAATTCAGGCGTGTCGGCGACATCAATTTTAAGGAGGAAACCGAACTGGGCGCGGTCGCCGACCTCTACTCATTCCCGCCGAAGCCGCAATTACGGCCCCGCTCGAATCCCGCTCCCATCGAGATTAGAAATAGATAATCCAGCGTAAATGTCATTCGCCGTGGATACTGAGCTATTTAATAGTTCTCAGAAACTCAACAACGGTATTTACTAACCACTTCTCTGCCTCTGGCTCCTCTACTCTATGATCGGCGCCTGGAATGACACCCGAAAACTCGCTGGCGATGCCTGGCTGGCAGAGTGAACTCCAGTGCCGCACTAGAGCATCCTTGTCGACGGAACCGGGCATGAACTCGTCGTCTCCAGAATGGAGGATTAGGGTCGGTTTGTCCACCCGTTTCCAGTAGGGCCCGGCTACATCGTCTGGAAGGTCGGGCGCAAAGTAGTTGTCTTCGCCGCTATCACACGCACGGATTAGACGTGGATATACAAGCAACAGCTTTAGGTGACGGGTGGATAGCTCACTCAACCGCCCCGAGGGCATACCAGCGCGAGGCAGATATCGGGGTGTTGCGGAAGGAAACCGGCAGGTCGTCGGGGGACATGCGCTGGTAGCCCCTCCCAGAAGCGATGAGCTCCTTAGCGATCCAGAGGCTATCATCCAGCACCTGCTCGCCCACCTCCTGCGCCACCGCACCCCGATCGCAGACAGGCGCTTGCAGGATGTACCCTTCGACGGGCGCAAGGCTGTGAGAAGGGGATGTGTATTCCATGCAGTCCTACACATAGGTTAGTTATTAGACACATTTCGCGCCTAGATAGCGCAGGTGCTGTCGCAGAGGCACCGCGATAGTGGGGCGCATCACAACGCCAAGCGACGGCAAGGCGTACCTGGCTCCCCGTAGAGTGGCCCATCAGGACTACACGCTGTCTCCCGATGCGCCGGAGGTAGTCGACGAGAGCCGATATATCGGCCACATCGTCGGCAAGGCGAGCAAACCCGAACCCGGAGAAGGAACTGGTCAGTCGGAATTCGAAGACCGAGTAGCTTAACTCGCTTTCGTCTTCTAGACGTTTGGCTATGGCACGGGGATATGGCACTATGCAGAGGGTGTGAACGAAGGCCCGTGTTATCTCAATTCACGAACATCGCATCGTCGATGGCTAGGTATTACCTGTATGAGGGCCATCTCCAAGCCCGCCGATAAATACAAGTGCGTTTTTCGCATCCGCTAGGCCGACCTCGTAGGCGCAGGCGTGAGACGTCGGCGATTCAAAGGGATGAACCGTCGCGGAGAAGGTCCCCGGCGGCGGGGGCATTTTTTGGCTTCTTGTTCTCCACGAGGAGTCGGCGAATCCCACCGGACAGGTAGGTAGGCACGGGTCTCTGGCTTAAGATCAACGGATCTAGATATCGCCGACTGCTTCGGATACCACTTCTGATATATAGTAACGCTGATTCGAGGTTCCTAGTCCATCTAGACAGAGGGTCTCTCGGAGATTCCGAGGAGAATCAGATAGAGGGATATCCATCCGCAATGCTGCAATGGCACGGTACCTAGGTACTTACCAGGTACCTAACCTGCGCCTAGACGTGTTCTTATCTTATCGCATCATGCCTCCTCTGTTCACGTAATAATTGCTTACATAACGAACTTTGATATGCTAACACATAAGCTCGCATATATGCATTGTATCCATTTATGCATAGCTACCTCCCACCTTCTGCCTACGTCAGTGGAACAAATGGGATTTGCCTACTACTTTTCGTCTCCGACGGTGCTCTTCTTGCTGCCACGTTTCGTAACATCTTCGTCTTCATCCGAGACGGACGGAATGCCTCGAGATGGCGACCGGATCCTCCACCGCGAGAAATGGCTTTTTCCAAGAGGTCTGATGATACCTCTCCGCTCATATTGCGGATGCTGTACCTACCTATTACTTACTAATCCCTGGCGTAGCTGAAACCACGATGCATCGCTATCAACAACTTGGCTGTTCGTTCTCCGGACAAGCGAGCTGCTGCTAAGGACCTAATCGATGTGGTCGGCGACCTCTCTGCGGTCTTAGACCGGCAGGTATCTTCCAATGCTTCGGTTCTGGACGAAAAGCTTGCCGAATACATATTCTTCCCGCTTTCCAACATCCTGAGAAACCAGCAACATTATCCTATCCGACTAACCGAGCTCACCATTAAGTGTCTACGCATATTGATCGAGCACGGCTGGAAGGCCAAGATCCAGAATGATCTGTCTCAGCAGCTTCTCATTTTTCTCACCTTCGTCATCGGCGGTGTCCCGGGCCAGGAGAGGAGAGACCTGATTCCCGAAGAAACGGAACTGGAGACATTCAAGGCCTTGGCGTCCTTGGTCAAAGCGGTTGGCTCTTCGCCTACCGGTGCAGTGGCGTTGGTAGACGCTAATGCGATCCCTACGTTGGGCCATGCCATCAGTCTCGTACTAGATGGTATCACAGATGGTAGGACGTCCGAGATACAGCTCGAAGCACTCACGACGTTGAACGCACTCCTGGTTGCCATTCGGGACCAGGCGGCCTTGGCGACCTTTTTGCCTGGGATGGTGTCGTCTCTAAGTAAACTGCTTACGCCTCCTGCGGCACTGAAAACGCAGAAAAGAGTATTGATTGGTGGTATCAACACGCTTAAGAGCGTGCTCACTAAGGTCATAGGAGACTTGAAGGTAACAGCAATACTGATGGCAAAAGCCGCGCATGACGGCAACAATGCCGCAGAGGGAAGAGTTCTTACCTCCCCGTGGCTGAGGGCGACAGTGGCTAAGACAAAACTTGCTCTTGCTGGTGTGCTAAAGCTGCGCAACATTGATTCTGATGATGTTCGGTATGCCCTAGAGAGGCTATGCGTCACTCTTCTAGACGAATGTCACCAATCCCTAGCTGATTGTGCGCCTATACTTGTCGAGTCTGCCATGATCCTGACCGACGATAAAGCCGAGAAGTCTTTACTCGAAACGAGCTTAATCGATCTGGCTACGATCTACCCAGAACTTGGGGATACTATTAAGACTACAGTATACAACTGGGTCACCAGTCTCCCCCGGTTGGTACAGTCTAGCGACGATAGGATAAAGCAGCAGGCAATTCGAAACCTGATGAAGGGACAGCAATTCATTGCCACTCTTCATATTGATTCGTCCATCCTAAATGATTCGTTGGCTGCGTCTCTCAGAGATAGTGCCGCCGTACTCATCCTAATGTCAAAACCAGGCGGCATGTCGGAACTCCCTCTAAACGCGGTCGAGTTGAGGATGGACGCGGCTAGAACTGACGGTCCTGGCGCCTTCCCACCTGTTCTGTTCGCGCAGAAAGCGGAGAGGCCGACACGGAACGCGCTTCTCAGCTTGTTGTCGAGGGCTGGCTCGGTTCCTCAACGGGTCAAATTGGCGAACGACCTACTTGGCTACATCCGAGAATCGACCGGCCCCAGCCAGGTTGCGTCGTATTGGTTGACGCTAGAGCTGGTCAAGTCGAGTTTATCACAATCCTCGGAATCTGATGACTTGCTTGACTTGAGCTCAGCAGCTGACGCATCCGACGACAGTAACTCTACTTTTCAGGAGTTATACAGTTTCTCAGTCGCCGTCCTAGATTTGCAAGCCGATGCCGAAGAAGTCGATTGGCGCCTACAAGCTCTGGCCTTAGAAGCTGCGACTTATGCAGCATCGAGGATGAAGGAAGACTTCCGCCCCGAACTCATCGATGTGTTATACCCGATCGCGACGTTCCTCAGTTCCGAAATTCCCCAGTTACGGGACCATGCTATCATAGCACTTAATAACATCGCCGCTTCGTGCGGTTACTCCAATGTTACAGAGCTGATCATTGACAATGTGGATTACATGGTCAATTCGGTATCCCTGCGTTTGAACACATTTGATATATCGCCGGCGTCCACCCAGGTATTACGTATGATGATTAGACTAACCGGTCCGAGATTGATACCATACCTCGACGATGTGATCGCGTCAATCTTCGCTGCTCTGGATAATTATCACGGATACCCCCTATTCGTGGAGAACCTGTTCGGCGTCCTCACAGAAGTCGTACACCAAGGGTCGCAGTCTGACAGCCTACTCCTCGAAGCAGCGAAGTCGTCGGCAAAAGACCATACGAAGAATGGCCAATCCGAAGTTACCGTCGATGAAATCCGTGACGTGCTCCTTGGCCGTGTAGAAAGGCGAGAAAGGCGACAGTTAGAAGACCTTGGCAATGAAGAAATTGCTCATCCGAGACGCCCTTGGAAGGATGTAAAGCCAGTCGAGGCTCTAGAAGAGACGAATGGAGAGAATGAGGAGCCTGGAACCGAAGTTGAGAAGCCGCCGCCGCCCAAGACACCAACCTTCAAGATACTCGCTCGTATCACTGACCTTACGCAACACTACTTGACTTCTCCAACGCCTGCGCTGCGGAAGTCGCTCCTCGACCTCTTAGCTACCGTTTGCCCAGCCCTTTCGCCTGATGAGGACGCCTTCTTACCATTGGTGAACTCAGTCTGGCCAGTTCTCATCGAGAGACTATACGACCCAGAACCGTTCGTAGTCACTTCGGCTTGCAAGGCCTTGGCAATATTATGCCAGAGCGCCGGGGACTTCCTTAACACGAGGATCAAGACCGAATGGTGGGATAGCCTCGGCAAGTGGTGTAGGAAAGCGAAAGCAGAGGCCACCCAGACGAGTAACAAAGCGAAAACACACGATAGACGAACACGTGGTGAGCGGCATAATTACGATATCCTAATACCCCGGGACGGATTTGGGGGTCAAGAGTCGAGCAAGGCGGCGGTAGCCGTCTCGACAGCAGCAGGGCTGGGCAAGTTTGCTCAAGCGGCACAGATTTGGGAAGCCGTGCAGGAACTCTTGGTTGCGATATTGTCCTTCGTCCAAGTCGATGATGCCATATTTGACCAGATCCTCATGCTGCTACAGGACACCCTTGCCGTGAAGCCGGCGGCCAGAACCGCACTCGAGGCGGTTGACCCCGACGCCGTGTGGTTGGCGATGTATGAACAAGGGATGGTGGAGCCAATCCCTAAGCCGGTCCTGGCCGGGACAACTTTCGTGGACGTATGGGACGACTAAATGGCGTGTCTACGTTCCCGAACACGCCTAGACTGGTATATGTGACCGTAGATCGGCGTATGCCTTGCGGTGTAGGTATTGTCGAAGCCGACGATTATGCCCCTAAGCATCTGATTTTATTCCTCCGGCATCGCTTATGGGGCAGCCTACGCCGCATTCCCGGCGCTATCGTATGACGTATCAGGTGACGCGACCAGCTAGAGAAAAGGGGAAAGGCAGAACACGCTGGGGATCTACACACAATCACGATATCACATGACGGACAGACCATCGGAATCAATAATACTATACCCCAAGTCGGCACATCATTCCTTCCAGAAGAATCATTCTTTCTAGAAGGCGAATCGGTATGATTGTCGTACGATCGAACCGGCATGCGGCGACTAGACGGTCCCGAGACATGCGGAGCGAATACGGATGGGCCCGAGATTCCCTTCCATTCACTACAGACCCATGGACGACACATACGCATACGGGCCACACCGGCCGTCTCTCTCCGACGCTTTCCCATCGCGACGATCTCGCAAAGCAGTCGGAATTCGGCGACAGCGGACGAGAATCTGACGAACGACGAACAACGCTATGATGGCATCATTACGTATCTGCCCACTAAGTTGGGAGCCTAGGAAATCGGAGCTCGGAGTGTATTCCACGAGTCACACGACGATAAACGCTGATCTCCACGGGAGGACTTGAGCTGTGGTGGTAGTTGGAAATGGGGTGATGCCACTTCGTTTACCGACGTACACACTACAAGTGCATAGAGCATACCTACTAGTGGCAAGAACCGTCATGGGGACGTTGGGAAAAGGTCCCATTTGGCACCTCGGTCTTCACATCCAATAAGTCGGGATACCCCAGAATATGCCTCAGATTCTCAATTTCATCTCTGTGGTTTTCTTCGGATGAAGATTCGCTTTGCTATGAGGTGCCGTCATCAGTTCACCTGAAATTATTGCTTCGAACGTTGCTCAGCAATATGGCTATCGACCGAATCTAAGCCTACCCTTGGGATGATGCATACGTAACAGAAATTAACGGGTAGCCCGCACGAAGACGCGGAGGAGTCTTGGGCTTTCTCTACCTCGATCCCATACCCCTGTTAGAAACGACATCCAAGCCCGATAGTCAAACCCTCTCTTCGACGATATGACGGTTTAGGAGCCTGCGTGCCCAAGTTGCTAGGGCCCCATTAGGTTTTAGGTACTGCTAGCCGGTTCGCTAACTAATAATTCATTCATAGAGGACCGCCCGACTTTTCGATCACCGCGAGTCACTTGCGCTGACGCCATATTTTGGCCGAGAAGCCTTGTTCCTCCATCCTATCCGTAGATCGAAACTCCTGCGACTTCACTCCACATATGGTCGAGACCCCAAGCTACCGTGTTGGTAACCAATCTCTCGTCCCATGCGGGATCCAGGGATCGCGGCGGGCTACCACGATGAGGGAGCGGCGGCAAGGCGAGCTTTCGAGAACTAGACCCTCCCTTTTCGGTGTGCCGTAACGACCACGTGCCGAGTCCAGCGAAATCCGGATGATTTCTACCATCCGTACCACCGATTCAGCCAACCCTCTCTGATAGGAATGATCCGCTACCAAGGCTGTCCTGATGAGGAGCGAGGATGTTGGACGGAAAATGACTCTGGGAATCTGGAGGCGTTGTCGATGCCATCGACTGTCTTGACTACAATTATGGTCCGCATTTAGACAATTTGAGCGAAGATCGTCAAGTATATCGCAACTATCGCAACAGTGTCGCTCTGAACCTCTGCTCAGCTCAATCCGGCACCCACAAGTCGGATCGATAAGGAACGAACTAGCGCTTCGTTCTACCACCCGCGGGTATTTATCGGTTTAAACAAGCTTCCTCACAACCTCTCTCGAATCTTGCGGGGGATACAGTAGATCGTGGAGAAGGTGATGCGGGCTTGAGATGAGACCATTCGACGAATATTACAGTGTTCGATTACAAGAACTTGGCCATAGATCTTGCGAACCTCAGGAGTCGTTGATGGGAATAACGAATGCTACACATATTTGCCTGTGTGCACGCGCCAGGCTAGGGGCACCTACTGTTATCTACAGTAGAGCAATGAGAGTTGGCACCTTTCCTACCTCTGGTACAACTTGATTATCATACATTGGGCCGACCGTCAAAGCATTATTGCATAAGGGGTTATCTTGATGGGATTTGGCTGCAATAAGAGTTGTCCTTTTTCATCTCGGTGCTCTGGTCTTGCACATCTCTGCACGCTAGTGGCTGGTTGGTTCGCAATATACTCGCTACCGAGGGAGTGCTGTTGACCCCCCCTGAAAGCCTCAGTTTTGTACGGGATTTTCCCACCCCCGCGGGGACAAGTCCGTTACGAAATGTGGAGGCGAGACAGGCAGAGCGTCGTTAAATCAAGAGCCGACCCGACGAGCCGGGTTCGGTAGCTCTCTGCAGCTGGGCATCGGAGATCAGGATGAATATAGAAAGATATATCTGCATCTGCATCTATACATATCTTGGCGAAGGCGGGGGCCCATCTTCCCCGTGGGGATACGGGGCCCGCCGGGGGGAAGTTGGGAGAAACTATAACAGCGCCTTGGTATTAAGCTACAGTAAGGGTTGCATCCCCTTCTCTTCATCAGACCCGGCATTCCGGATCGGAGGGACAGAGGCCCTGGACCTTGTTGGGTTGGTGGTCGGCAAAGGTGTGGTATAGCCCCTATTTCCCCTTGTCATCTAGGCCTCTTAGACAGCAAACCTATACATACGCGGAGAGAAGGGGGGAGTGGGGGAAAAGGTTAATGTACTGTTACCTTGGAGGGGGTCTTACGACAAGTCCTGCACGTATACGCAGGGAAAGGAATACGGGGAGAGCGTGAGGCTCAACGGAGATAATTTCAACGGAGATAATTTCTCATTGCCGCTGTCCCCGCCACCAGCGTATAAGAATCGAAGAGCCAGTAATAAAGCATGACACTGCAGATAGTAGCCAGGAATCTATTGCCGCTGTAACAGCTCCTTGGAAGTCGGCACCTACAGAGACGTCATTTAGCCCTCTGTGCCTTGGTCTCTTACGCGATGGCACATAGTCTGTCTAGCCACGGCTCCATAAACAATGGGCATGCGTAGTAGCCTAGGCTACTATATGCCGACGCGGATGGCCACTCGACCCGATAACGGTGATTTCAAACGTCGCCTCGCCGCTACGTCAGGTTACAAGAGTATGGGGACCTCGTGGGTAGAGGGCTGAAACGATCCCCCCTTTTACGTCCCGTTCCCTGCCTTTATCCTCCCTATCCATATCCATCTACCCCGCGGCCTAATGTCGTCGAGACATAGCTGCCCCTGCCCCCTCTTCCTCTCCTCGCTGGGACCTGAAGAGTAGGGCTGATTAGTATGTACGGGTTAGCTTGCAGTCACACGCGCGGCCTTGACTAGGTAACTAACTAAATGGCTGCCGCCGTGGTGCTGAGGGGCCTGCTCTACGGCTGGCTAAGAGGGGACGTCGTGTATCTAGCTTTACCGCACACCAGACGGCAACAGAAAGGGTCCAGCGATTCTGTCTGAGCGCCTCTACTGTTATGGTCACCTCATCCACGGGCCAGTGCTCCCTTTGCTATATCGAAAGTATCGAGGTCTCACTCATAACGCAACACCCCCATTGCCGCTAGCAGTTCCCATCGTACGTCCTCGCGAGACAAGCGCCTCCTCTCCGCACCGCTATCGAACAAGGTCCTACTTAACCGCTCTTTCTAGCCACGGCTTCTTCGCCCGCCGGTCGGCGGTGCTCTTGGTTTCCTACGAGCGTCGGGGCTACCTGCCGGGAGATTACAGCCTCGGCGGGGAGCAACGAAGAGACGAAAGCGGTCCGGCCTGGACGGCCTGGAGGCTGGAAACCTACCTACGCTTCCAGCGGAAATCTTCTTTCACGTGAAGGAAGACAAGGGGAGCCGCTAATGCGGATTCTAACCTTGCCTTCGTAGAGAACCCCCCCCGTCCCCCCTCGCCCGTTCTTCCGCGGCTCGATCCCCCGGCGAAGGCGAAGGTGGAGGAGCCGGCTGGACGTGCCGCCTCGCTCCACTGCCCTGTCATCGCGACGGGGGATGCCGGTGAGCACTCGCTCGCCCCCCCAATCCCCCTCTCCCCATTAGACGGGCGGGCAGCCGAGGGAGTCCCTACTCTAGAGAACCCCCCCCCCCCCCCCCCCCCTCCCCCTCCCCGCGCGGATTAGGGCCACTAGCTACCTAGTCGCCGATGGGACCCCGGTATTTGAGAGCGCATTGCCTTATTACCAGCGCCTCGCTATTTTGAAGGTTTCCGTCCCTCTTACCGCATACACTCTCTCGAACGATATACCTTTTTTTATTTTACATTCTCGTGGCCGAGGAACCGTGGCAGACCGGACGCAACGTGATTACTTTCACAAAAAGTCTGTCGAATACAGACAACTACCACTACGGTCTCGCACCACGGCGAACTTATATATCATGTGCGCGGCGCGCGGGGATGTACATGGACATCCTTCGCTTTCTTCGAGTTTCTTTATCCAACTACCTATCCGCCAACCCCTGCATACCGCCCGCCCTTCCCGGGCGTGTCTGCGATCGAGATTGGTATACCTAGATGACCGGCCGCGTCGGCCCTGCTGCTGCTTCCGCCACCTCTTTTATTCGTGGCCGATGTCCGTGTCGACCATGGTACGCCGGCCTGGTGCTCCTGATATGTTGCTGCCCTTTCTTGACTCCTTCGCTGGCTCTTACCCTTTTTTATAAATACGTAGATAGGTAGACAGATAGATGAGTCGGTAGGTAGGTTGGCATGCGGACATACTCGGTGCTCGGAGGACAACGAAGGGGGGAGGAGGAGGGGTGGGGCGAAGGAATCAGGATGATGGGGAACGAGGAAGATTTATCTGTCCGTCTATCCTGTCTATCTATCTACGGGCGTCTGAGGTTGGTCGTCTCGACGATGTGCATACATACATTCCATACCCATACATGCGTATATATATGGCGTTGGGATTTGGGGGGGCCGGGGGGGGGGGTGTCCAGACCTCTCATAGGGCGGGCTTGATTCGTTTTAATTCGGGCAAGTTGGGCTGCTGCCTCCTTACATACTCGCGTTTCCTTTCGCGTCTCATTTGTTTTCCTTCGGCGTGTCTCGGTTCGTATCTTGTTCTTCGGTCCTTTGGGGGGTAGAGACGGACGAACACAAAGCGGGAAACGAATACTCACCTTCTCAACCCCTTCTCGCTTATCCCCAACTCACCTCTCATATTTCGCCTCCCCATCCTCTTCTCATCGTCTCACCGCCTTGCTGCTGCTGCCTGCATCTACCTCGGCGTCTAGGTCTCGCTCCACCATCTCGATGGAGCTTAGGCTGGGGAACCGCTTGGAGAAGTCTTGGATGTAGTCTTCCTTCTCCTTGAAGCTCATCTCGAGGATCGGCCGGCCAGGCAAGCCCACCCCCGCGAGATGCTCTGTCGAGTTGCGCTGTGACGGCCCCCGTGGCTTTGGTGGCGACCGAGCACGACTGCTACTGCTTCCACCACCGCCCGCGCCGCCACCCGTCGGTAGGCTGTTTAGGTGCGTAGGTTTAGGTGGGAGAGTAGGCTTAGCGGGGGAAATCGGGTCGGGAGCTCGTCCTCGAATTGCGGGAGCCTCCGCGGTGTTCGCAGGCTTCAGGGGAGTCGCACCCCCTCTACTGCCGGTGACCGTCTTTGGGGGCACCTCAGGCACCTGCTTGTCCGCGCGGGTCTTCGCTACCGCTGCGTCCGAGAACCTCCCATAGCCCGATGCCGTGCGCTCGACCTGCTGCGAGGACTTCTGGGATTCGCCCAGCAGATTCTGCACACGGTTCTGAATGCTCACGGCCCGCGAGACGCCGCCGATACTTTTGGGGAGCGAGGCCGAACCTGCGGCATCTCGTGCTGCTATCCGCTGTTTGTATTCGGCAGCCGCAGCCTCCACGCGCCGTTCCTCCTCGGCAAGGCTCTGCGCCTCGAGCTCTCGTCTCATCTCTGGCGTCAACTCGGGCTCTCCGACGTGGCCGTCGTCACTACGACCATCGGTTGCCTCCGATCCGGCGATAGGGGTCAGATCGTGGCGTTCGGCCTCCTTGAGCGGAGACGATACCCGCGCGGTGGAACTTGAAGTATTACTCTCGAAACGTTTGAAGGCATCACCAAATTTCCCCGCTAGGATGTTCTTGGTACCCGCTAGAGACGTGAGACTAGAGCGCTTCGAATGCTGTTTTGCGCTCTTGTCTTTCTTCTTGGAATCAGAGTCCTCCATCGACCGGAGGAAATCGACGTTTGATTCTATGGTCGTGTCGTCTAGTAGATCAAATCTTGGTGCCGGATCTCTGTCTAGCGAATGAATCTGGTATGCCGGTGAGCGCAGTGGCCTGGGGGCCGCTTCCCGCTCTCGAAGATAATCCATATCGGATTCTAGGTAAGTGCTTGCCGGCCTGGGACGTCCGGTCATAGATGATGCCTTGGATAGTGGCTCGAGGAGTTCGGCACTGGGTCGCCCGCCTTCGAGAGAGGGGCGTGACGATGACGAGTGCCGGTGGTGTCCAGCCTGCGGCTGTATAGGGTCCATTCGAGGACTCGCTGAGGGTCGTAGTGCATAGCTGAGGTCTGGCCGTTTTGGACCCGTGCTCGCCGACTCCTGCTTAGGCAAACTCGATGGGCGGTGCTGGTCGGCGGGAGGGAACCGATGGATGGGAGCGTAGTCTCGGGGTTGCCTCTCAGGAGGTGGAGGCGTGCTGGTCATGGTTCCGGTTGAAACCATGACTGGTCTACTCAGAGTCTCTTCGGAAGATTGCGGTAAAATGGAGGAAATTGCTTGGAGCTCAGGGTTGCTGGAAATTATAAGCGAAGCGCGGCTCATCTCTGTAGGCGGTTTAGGAGGCGCGGAACCGGGCTTGTTAATAGACCCAGGCGGCGGTGATGACCTCCGCAGCTCAGTTGCCGCTGCTACTTGGTTGACTCTGCTTAGATCTGCCGACTGCCTTTGACTAGACGAAGTCGCCGTTGCCGTAGTCTGAGGTCTTACGAACGCGCTATCTGCGAGCTGTTCAGTGACGCGCTGGCTGAGCTGCTTTTGGGGATCGGTGGGAGATGTTGGACTATCGAAGTCAAATTTTGCCCCCTGATCATGTAGAAGAGCGAACTGGTCAAGTGTCGGGAATCTCGACGATAGCTCATCTTGTCCGAAACTCGTCCCTGTCTTTGTGTCGAGCGCGGCGAACGGATCGCCGTCTGTCACTCTCGCCGGGGATGGGCTGGGTTTAGGTCCGTGATTTGGAGCTGCCTGGCTAGAAGCGACAGGTCTTCCACGCCTCATAGGCGTGATGTCGGGGATGGCTTGGACTTGGGGTTGTTGTGGTGGCGAGTACACTGCGCCTATGGCTGGTGCGCTTCTACCATCCTTCCCTGGACTTGCCTGCTTCTCGCTCCCTTTCGACTCTTTATTGGAATAAATCTAGAGTCCGATTAACATCACGAAAAGCATACCACGTGGACACCTGTCTATCTTACGTCATGTATGGGTACCTCGCGACCCTGCATCAAGCAGCTCTCCCGGAGCACTTGGTAAATGTTTGGCCGGGCTCGCAAGTCTTCCCGCAACATGGATGCTTTATAAATTTACTCAGCACGCCCGCCCGGACAGCGATACCACAGGTCCACTTACCAATCAGCTGTTTCAGCCTATCCGAGAAGACCGGATATGTTGGGTATCTGAAGCTTGCGTTCAGGATAGCGAGTTGCCCCTGATCTTCAAACGGCGTAGTGTAGTAACAGAGCTTATAGAGAAGCACCCCAAGCGCCCATATGTCTGACTTCTCGTTTATAGGCTGTTTCCGGTACACATCGATCATCTCTGGACTTCTGTACTGCAACGTAGTGTGCCTCTGAACGTCCTCGTCTATCAAGCGACACTCCTGGACCGTTTGAGGGGCAGGTCTTGGCGGCGCCGCCGAGCCGAAATCGCAGAGCTTGAACTTCCTCGCCGAGCCGTGAACCGTGATGAGGACGTTTTCGACCTTCAGGTCTCGGTGTAGCAGCGGCGGCTTAAGATAGTGCATACAGGCGACGCCCTCCGCAACATCTGAGAAGATGCCGAGGATTTCGGGCTCGGTGAGGCGGTGCTGGAGACGGGTGTTCATGAAGTCGATCAGTCCTCCGCCGTTGCAGTATTCCATGAGCAAGAAGACCTCGTATCCACCCCCTTTCAGCTCGGACGCGTGCGAGTCGATGTACGTGACAATGGTTCGGTGCCCCTTAAGCCGCTTCATCGTCTCGACTTCGGTCCGCATCCCGCGGAGGGTCTCCTTGTCTGGAACGGCGACTCTCTTCAGCACAGCTTGGTCGGTTCCGTTGACGGGCTGCGGCACCTTGACAAGATAGACGTGTGCGAAGCCGCCCTCGGATAAGTACTTCTGAATGACCACCCTATGGTCTCCGACCTGTATCTTGGTGCCTGGGGCGAAGGTGCCGGCAGGGGCAGAGGGCCCAGGAATAGGCGGCTGCTGGTGCACATGCATCGGCGCGCCGTAAGCGACCTGTTGGCCAGGACGCGGAGCAGCCATTGGCACGCCGTGGCCGTACGAAGTCATTGGTTTGGCTCGAGAGGTCTATCGTTCGGGAGGGGGACTCAGAGTCAGAGACGGCAGAGATAGGTAGAGTCGGTCGGTCGGTCGGTCGAAGGGGGGGATCTTTACGGTTGTGACATGGGAGGCGGAGGACATGCGCTTCACAGCTACAACGGACGCATATCTGGGTCAGGGCAGACTAGTAGCAGGAGTATATTTGCGAGTATGGTCGAAGACACGCTGCGAGGCGGTGTCTCGGAAACGCTTGGTGATGTTGGGATCAGGACCACCCACACTTGTAGGTGACGGTGGCAGTTGTAAATAGTAGCGAGGCAGTCCCTAGGCTTGCAGGCATACACGTATTGTGCATACCTACAACGGCTAAAAGGCATGGTGTCGACAAGGCGGACCCGTTTCCCTACCAGCTCGTGCCATCTGCAGTCACTCCGACCAGGTTCTCACTGTAGCAGCTATCAGCTGCCGGCCAGCCAGCACCCAAGTGCCGGGTCTCCTACCCCTTTCCGTTGGCTGACAGGCATTACCTCATCGCGAACCTCTCTAACCCAACGTGGTTTTTTTTATGCGTGCCATTTCCACTCGGCATCTTACCGCTATGCCTATTCCAGCTTAGCCACCTTTTTAACGCATAACCTGTGTCTGGTCTGAAGTTTTATGCATACTTACATACCTCCTTATACACATACTGCCTACCTACCTGAATCTCCTACATAGGTATATGCACACATACCTACACCACATGCTATTTGCCTCCTACCCTCGATACCTAAGGCATATATAAGTGTATATATGTAAGGTGGGATAACACGCGTGTGATTTGGTGCTATAGGCATCATTAGTGCTATGCTTCAATCCTGTGGATGAGGTATGGATGGAGAAGCAACAAGGAATGGTCAAGAGTACATTCAGGGCCCAAGGCGTGCGTCCATGTGTATGTGGATTGACCAGTACCTACTTATTATATACGTCCACGTGTGCCACGACCGTGTGCTATCAACATCTATTGCTTCCACATACTATGAATCCTGCATAGGTTACGTGCTAGACGACGACGACGACGACGACGAGGCCTACATTCCCCGTCCTATCCAAGCATGTGTGATAACGCCAACGGTGCGGCCAGATAACGGGTCCACATCCCTACTACATCTACATCCTTAGGCCATGCTGGATAGGTTGCAGCGTGTTTACGACTGGCAGGGTAGAATGCGCGGCCTCTACGAATCCGGATCATGCTGGAGAAACCTGTTCCCTCCCTTCGTCACCACGCGCTGTTTGTTTACGGCTGTCTATATAAAACATCAAGGCTCCCCCCCTCCCCCTCCGGAGCAAGGAAATGGCCCGCCTGCCACGCCCAGCTCTACCCAGAGCTGCCTTGCCCGTTCTCTCGATTGCTCGAACCCGAGCCGCCACCATCGAGCAGCAGCTTCGGCTTAATGTAATCCTCGTCGAGCTGTCTGAACAGCGCGTGGGGGTCTTGGGAACTAAGTAGTTGCCTGAAGGCGGCTCGAGCCGAAACGGGCGCTCCCTCTCGATGACCCGACGTCGGGTACGAGAATACACCCTCTTCTTCGGCCGCCGCCCCGGCTGCTAGGGTAGAGCTCGACTTCTTTTGCGAGGACTTGCGCGCAGGAGGCGGGAGGTCCGACGTATCAATGTCACTTCCCAGGTCTGAGTCGGTCACGCTCCCGCCGTGTAGGAGATCTGCGCGTTCGATATCGTCCCCGGTGACTTGGCGGGAGCCCCTGCGAGTCGAGCTTGCAGCGCGCGAGGTTGGGAAGGACGGTGAGCGATGCCCGGATACATAACTTCCGCGTTCCGGTCCTGCGTCTGGCCGAGATCTTCCTGCCTCCACTGGGTCCAGGCGCACCGACCCATTCCTTGCCCGCGGGGTGTATCCGATCCCGGTCCCTGACCGTTTATAATAAGAGCCACCTGGCGCGGCTTCGATGTCGAACTCATCGTCACTGTCGACCTCTTCCACCACCCCTGTTCTGATACCTAATATCTCCAACATACGGGCCGTGGTGCCGCCAAAGATGATCACCGTGAGCACTACCACGACGAGCACGGTAGCCTTGAGAGCGTACGAGTTCTTACCCGACAACAGAGCAGCCAGTGCCACACCGACGGCACCCCGTAGGCCTGCCCAAAACAGCATAGCTTGGTAGCTGTAGGGCAATTCGTCGCTGACCTCCTTACCACGGCGCCGCGCCCTATAATGGATGACCCAGTTGATGGCCTTGGACAGCGGAAACACGGCTACCCATCTCGCTGCGCAAACGGCGATAATGGTAACAATAATTAGCGGGGGTTGGAACTGGAGGTCGTTGTCCGTGAACAGTGACAGTCCTAAATATATGAAGATGAAGTTCTCCGACAGCTGAGCCAGGATCTGGAAAAAGTATTTTGTGCTCAGCTGCGTCCGCCGCGACATGTTGAAGTATGCGTAGTGTTTGAGGGTGATGCCGCAGAATAGGAGCGACACGATACCTAATGTTCCCGCGTCAGTATCTGGACCGTGAGAGTGGGATACGACGAGACGCGCCGCCCGAACGTACCCGACATCTTCAATCCTTGCGAGAAGAAGTAGCTCGAGTAAGCGATCAGCACAATCAAACATGTCTCGATTTGAGGATACCGCCTGATATAGGTGAACTTGAGGGCAAGCGCGGTGCCGACGCCGACTAGGACGCCAATGACCAGGCTGCCAAAGAATATGAGCAAGAAAATGCCCACACCCTCGAAAAAGCTGAAAAAGCCGTAGGAGGCGGCGGCCTCGCTCTTGTACTTCTGCGCGGTCTCGAAGATGACAATCGCGATGGCGTCGTTTAAGATCGATTCGCCAAAGATGACTGTATATAGTTTAGGGTCCACCTTGTAGGTGTTGAAGATGGCCAAGATGGTGACGGGATCGGTAGCGGACAAGGTGGCGCCGACGGAGATCGCATCGACGAAGGTCATCTCTAGCCCTTCTAGCGGTATGCGGGTATACAGCCAGAGCAGCAAGCCTATGACGACGGCAGAGAGGAAAGTGCCGGCAAAAGCAAAGGTCAAGATGGTGCCGATGTTCCGGAAGAAGTTGGCCTGATGCAGCTCGTATCCCGAATTCAAAATGATGGGCGGCAAGAGGAGGTTAAAGAAGATCTGGTAATCGAAGCTCACGAGCTGTCGGATGGAATGGCCGGTGCTCACTCGGAGGATCAAGCCAACCGTCATACCTGCTCGTCGTTAGCATCTGCCGTCGGCTCGCGTTCTGCGAAGGTAGGCGTGGCGCACGCGGCGCGGCGCAACGCACCGGCAAAGATGGAGATGACAGTCTCGTGGACGGCCTGGACCTTCTTCTGCTGCAGCATGTAGCTGGTGAAGAAGGCGATGATGAGGAGCACGATGGATATGAATAACGCCCACGAGGCAAATATCTCCTTCTGACCCGAGTCGGCCTCTGTTACGCACGGTTAGATCGCTTCGACAGGTACAGCGTCGTCCGGCGCAATGAGGTAGCAAGCAGTGCCCTACCATCGGGATCAGTCTCTTCGTCGGCTCGGCCTGCAGGACGGAGAGAGGGGGAATAGTTAGCAAGACCTCTCGAGAGTCGGGCTAGAGTCGCAGTTTAACGTACGGGCAAGCTCGACGACGGAGCTGGCAATTTCTGTCCACATGGTCGCGACGCGCACGGCGCGGCGGGCCTCAGGTCGGGAAGGGATGCTTCAGCGGGGTGTAGGCCTTTTGCTCTTCGCTGAGCCTTGAATATGCGACGTGAGGACGCATTAACTACGGGGGGATCGAGAGGGCTCGATGCGATGATGGCGATGGCAGCGGGAGGGTTCGGCGATGGTGCGACGCCGAGGGTGTTGTTGGGCCGGGCAGTGAGGAGGGTTTGGTCTGTTTGCACTTGGGATTTCGAAGTCGACAGCTTGCAGGCTCTGCTCTGCTACGCTATTCCAGGCAGTTCCGTCAGGCAGGTTGCCACTACTACGTAGCGTGCAGCGTAGTGCTGTGCGTAGTGTGCCGCCTCCGTCGGGCGGGTCCGGGGCCCTGTCGCCGAGCGGAGCGTCGACCCGTTACAGCGCTATTCTATTTCGTGTGCTGGTTGGCCCCACACGGATATTTGCATATGCGGGCGCGTTATGCATAGGTATGATGTATCTAAGATTAGACACGTGTGCGCTTCCAGGGCCGGCTACCACGGCTAGTACGTACCTAGGTACCTACCTGCCTGAGGAGGTACCGAAGGTAAGGTCCCTAATGAGGTACTTATATGTACTTAAGATCGACGGACCTCCACTATTTCCTGTTGATGGATTTCTACATATGTACCTAACCTACCTCTCGTAGCGTCGGACGGTACTAATGGGAGGACGGATGCTAAAGTCCGGAAACGTCAGCACGGGTCTACGTAGTTTTTATATAACTGCGAGGATAGATTCCCCCGGATATACTGCCGCCTTTCTTTGTTGTTGAAGTGAGAAAAGGTAAGGTTAGGTAGGTACCTCCCGCCTGACGAATCTGCCTGGCCTAAGATGGATGTGTACACCTGCTGTGGCTAGTTGTGCTAGGCCGTCTAGGTATAGGTATAATAGAACCAAGTACCGCGGAGGTCGGAGGTCGGAGGTAGCATCTGCTGCAATCGCCGTCCTTTCCTTTACGTAAGTCAAGTGCGTTAGGTGCACCTGATGTCATACCGGCCGGCCACCATCCAGTCCTCACCTTCGTCGGCTTCCTGAACCTGGTCTCGAGCCTCTTGGTCTCCCGGTGGCGTGGTCGTGTGCGCCCTAGCGGATTCTCTTCCTGCGGTCATCAGGTACATAGGGGGATGTATCCTCTCGACAATATCCGGGATCCCACGATGTCCTGCCGGTGCTCCCGTCTTCAACTTCCTCTGCCTCACTGTATGCCTGTCACGGGTGCGTATCGCCAGCCCACTCACGCCCTGTGCGCCAACTAGCCCGTTGCTTCGCCAGCCTGTCTACACCCAGGCATAACAACATTACGTCCCGTGGCTGCATCTCGGCGTCAACACCAGCCTGTCGTCGGGGCTTTGCTCTGTATTATCTATCAAACCAATTACGATGCGCCACCATTCTCGCTCTGCATAACCTGTGTGATCTTGTGGTTGTCTTGTCTCGGTACCAAGACGCGTGACAGCCGCTCTCGAGTTCCTCCCTTCCCCCCCCCTTGTACGTACCGTCGATCGCGATTTGGTCTTAAAGACGGCTAAATTGGCACGCTCCCCAGATCTCTACACCATCCGTACCACTCGCGCGCGAAACGCCCGAACGACCTCGTATACTCCTGCATCGCATCGCGTAGTTAGGAGACTACGACCCGATCCCCGTCCGACGTCTAGTTTCTTCTCGCATACCTTCCCACTGCTCCGAGCCACGAGGCGATTCCTCGAGACCGTGTAGGGCATGACCTCGTCACCGTTGCGCCTGTCCTCGGACCGTAAACCCTCGCCCACCCGCCGCGATGAGTCGCCCACGAACCCCGACAACGACGATCCCGCCTGGTCGGAAAGTACGATAAGAGCCGGCGCCGCCGAGCCCTCGGGCCTAGACAGACTAAACGAGAGCTCTCCCCTCCTCTCCCCTACCGCAGCCGCACACGATGATCTCTTCGAGCGCGCCGAGGATAGCGAACACGACAGGTTTCAGGCGACCAAGAGCATTTGGTACCTCCTGCTCTTGACCGTCAGCATCGGAGGACTCCAGGTGGCGTGGGCTGTAGAGCTGTCCAATGGCACTCCGTACCTCCTGTCTCTAGGCTTAAGCAAGTCGCTGATGGCCCTCGTATGGGTCGCTGGACCGATAACGGGCACGCTGGTCCAGCCCTACGTCGGTATGCTGAGCGACAACTGCAGGGTATCATGGGGGAAGCGCAAGCCGTTCATGCTCGGCGGCGCTATTTCTACCGTGCTGTCTCTCATGTTTCTCGCCTGGATCCGAGAGATCGTCGGGGGCTTCCTCAGCATCTTTGGAGCCGATCGCGAGTCAGACGGCGTAAAGACGACCATTATCGTCATCGCCGTCATCTGGATTTATGTCCTGGATGTTGCTGTGAATACGGGTTCGTATAAGAGCCTCCCCTAGATGTGCTCTAGAGGTAGGGTGGTTCAAGAATGTGCTGATTAGGTCCCAGTCCAAGCATCTATTCGTGCTTTCATCGTCGACTGCGCACCCTCCCACCAACAAGGTGAGTGTTTCAGATGCCGATATTTACGATCATTTATTGAGTCCCTCAAAAGAAGCCGCCAATTCCATGGCTAGCAGGCTGGTGGGTGTCGGGAACATCATCGGTTATATTGCTGGCGGTATCGAACTTCCCAGGTACGTGTGGTGGTTTGGAAGCACGCAGTTCAAAGACCTCTGCGCCATTGCTAGCATCGCGCTTTTGTCGACGATACTGTTGAGCATTACCGTCATTCGCGAGCGAAACCCGCAACTCGAAAAACGTCCTGCTGCCAGTGGGCTCGGCCTGGTGACCTTTTTCGTAAAGATCTTCGCATCTATCAAAAGACTACCTCCACAAGTTGCCAAGGTCTGTACCGTGCAGATCGCGGCCTGGATCGGGTTCTTCCCCATGCTGTTCTACACCTCGTCGTATGTCGGCGAGATCTACGTCCAGCCCTTCTTGGAGGAGAACCCGAATATGACACCCGAAGAGTTAGATGAGCTGTACGAAAGTGCTACCCGAGTCGGCACGTTTGCCCTTTTGATATTCGCCATCACCAGTCTAGCGACCAACGTGCTACTCCCCTTCTTCATCGACCCGACATACGACAACAATCCCGTCATTAGCCACACGCCCGATGATGCGCCTAGCCACTCCCACGGCAAGAATTTCCTGTCTCGCCTCATCATTCCCGGACTCACATTACGACGAGCCTGGCTACTGTCCGAATTCCTTTTCGCTGGCTCCATGTTCTGCACCGTCCTCGTCCGAACGGTTGAAGCTGCGACGGTACTCATCGGCCTTATTGGTATTACGTGGGCTCTGGCACTCTGGGCACCCTGGGCCATCATTAGCGCCGAGATTAGTCGCCGCGACGTCTTGCATCGAGCCCGGAAGCAGCAGTTAGCCTCTCTCACGCAGGCCGCGGACGAGTTCTCCGACGAAGAGACTCGCCTCTACGCCGACGACGAGGATGAGCCGGACCAAGCCGGCGTCATTCTCGGCATCCACAACATGTCCATCGCGTCGCCGCAGTTTATCGCGACGCTGGGCTCCAGCATCATCTTCCGCCTTTTCCAGAAACCGAGGGGCGTGCCCGGCGACCACAGTATCGCTATAGTCCTGGCCTGCGGGGGTTTCTTCGCGCTCATAGCGGCATACTTCATCCACAGGATCAGTGACGACATGTCGATACCACCAGCCGCCATATTCGCCGCAGAAGAGGGCGACGCGATTTATTCGCGGCCGGGCACGTCCCAAAGCAAGAGAAGTGTCGACCAGCCGCGAGCCAGCTTAGACCGCGCCGCTGTGGCTAGAAACAGCAGTTTCGGCGCCGGGCTGGAATATTAAGGGTGTGTACGAAACCCCATCCATATTTATTATTTACGAAACCCGTGAATGGGAGTTCGTTAAGGGGTAAGTTGGCATCATTACTGTGTCTGTGCACCTCCATCTTAGAAGCTGTCTACGTAATAGTATGTACTTATTCTGAGAGTCAGTTGTAAAGCTATCCGGTCGGTTCTTGAGGATCTCGAGTCTCCTTGTCATCACCTATCCCTGGATAGTTTCCGGAGTGGGCGGACAACTCCCTGGTCATGTCTTTCCCGTTAGAACTAGATGCTTTCGCTATCGGAGGTGTTGGTTAACATACCTTAATAAATACTTGTTTGAAGTTGAGACACGTTTCTCTCCACCCCCACAGCCCTCTCTCAGGGAGGTTCATATGGAGAGCGAGGACGGCTCACAGGATCTACACCGCCCAATAGGCTAAATTCGGCCATGCGGTTCGTCTTTCCCCCCTCCTCCATGCGCTCAATATCGTTCCGTGCTCTCTAGGGCAGTTCGTCGGAGGCTCCTGTCCGCGATTCACTACTGTCTTCTTGAGAGAGCAGAATTTCCTCCAATCGCCCCTACCGCGCGCGGTCCGGACTGTCACCTTTTAGATTAGATGTCCTGCCCTCGTTCTTTGGAACGGTCCACCCAAAATGTGGTTCCCCCCTTGGTGGCCCTCGTCCGCCCCCGTCATTGCGCGGTGGGTTAGGATGGTACGACGGAAGATTGCAGTCCCGTCTATCTTTACAGAAGGCGTGCATATATAGATGACTCGCCGGAACCTAGGTTCGTGTGTTGGGACCTCACCACACCAGCACACACACACACCCCTCTCTCGCTCGACTTCGGCCGGTGCCATTCTTCCTCTCCAAGGCAGCGCGGTCGTAGGGCGCGCACACACACATAACTAGGCATACGCAAGGGGGGGCCTTCTTCAGGATGAGGACGACGACAGTACTAGCGGCGCTGGCGGGGTGCGCGGGGGCGGCGGTGCTGTGGGACGGACGGTTCAACGACCTGACGACGGCGGCGGACCTGAACAAGTGGTCGTGGTCGAACCAGGTGGGGCCGTACCAGTACTACATCCACGGGTCGGGGGCGGTGGACAAGTACGTGAACCTGTCGCCGGAGTACAAGAACCCGGCGGACACGGTGTCGCGGCAGGGCGCGCGCCTCACGCTCGACAGCACCGCGTTCTGGAACGGGCAGAACATGCGCCGCATCGAGCTCATCCCGCAGACCACGGCCGCCATCGCCGCCGGCAAGGTCTTCTACCACTTCAGCCTCATGCGCCGCGACGTCAACGCGCCCTCCAAGAACCGCGAGCACCAGATCGCCTTCTTCGAGAGCCACTTCGTCGAGCTCAAGTACGGCTGGATCTCGGGCGAGCAGGGCGCCGAGAACCCAAACCTGCAGTTGTGCGTAGCCTTCTCCCCCCCCCCCCCTTCCCCCCCTTCTCTGCTCTCTCTGCCCTCGCTAACTATAACCCCCTAGCATGGTCTCCCAGAACTCGAAGTGGAAGACCGAGTGGAAGGCCGACGTGTGGCACAACGTGGCCTTCGAGATCGACTTCGGCGCGCGCACCGTCGGCCTCTGGCACTCGGAGGGCGGCGACCCCCTCGTCCAGACCGTCGCCCCCGTCTCCGCCAGCACCTCCTCCAACGGCCAGGACTGGCACCTCGGCGTCCTCGAGCTCCCCCGCTCCGGCTACCCCGACACCACCGAGGACTTCTACTTCTCCGGCATCTACATCGAGAGCGGCCCCATCACCACCGCCATCGGCAGTCCCAGTTAGTGCCGCCCTACCTTTTCTTTTTCTTTTTTTTTAAACCTCCCCTTTGTTTATGCCCTTCTGGTTCCGCGCCCACTTACTCTTTTACCCCCTCCCCCCCCTCATCTCCCTCTTCTTATTTTGGGCTAACACTTCATGTCTCCCTAGCCGCGTGAAATATTCCGCAGCAATAGCAGCTCCGGCACGTCGTTGAAGTGCTCCCCCGGGTATCAACCATCCGATTGGTAGAGGAGGCGGACGGGGAAGCACGAAAACTGGTCAAACTAAGCGACGACGGATGATAGATTCACAGGTGTTATTCTTGTATTTGGGCAGTCATGCTCGCTTGTACATACATCGAAAGAGATGCTTAAAGCTTCGCTCTTTTCTCTCTCTTCTTTTCGACCCTTTTTCTTTGCCCTGGTTGTACTGCCGCCCCGTCACCAGCGGCCTAGATGCCTCACCCTATCTCAGAATCAACCACCCGAACAACAACCTTCGCTCCTCGCGGCCGATTCACTACTGCAATTAGCCGGCTATCTCTACGCCGGTCGCCGTACAGCCGAAAATCGAAAGGATGACAGTTTCCCTCCTCCGCGGGTCCCCTGGGGCGCGCAGGCCATCAGGTAGACCTCGTCGAGCAGGGGCCGAGGACGGTCGGTATCTCGCCGGGTATGGGGCCGCGCGAGACGTCCCAGGACGTGTAGCCGGCCCAGTAGAAGCAGATGTCCTTGCCCTCGGTGCAGAAGCGGTAGTCGCAGTGCCTGCTGAAGCTCGGGTCGGGTGCGGCCGACACGCTCGAGGCAGGCGGCAGCGGCGGCGACGGCGGAGTAGCCGTCTCCGCCGGGATCGGGGCTGCGTACGGAGATCCGGGGCTCAGCAGGCCGGTGCCCGAGCTGGCGGTGGTGGTGACGCTAGGGACGGCCGTAGACCAACTCGCCGCATTGTCGTGGGGGCGCGCTCCCGTCGCGGGGATGAGCAGCCCGATGGCCACGATTACGCCGAACGGAGTCTTCATCGTGGGTAGGGTACTGCCGGATGGTGCGGACTGCCTCGGAGAATAAGTTGAGGTCCGCGGGGAGAAGACAGTGGGCGAGAAGAAGCTGGTATTTATAGTCCAAGTGTCTGCCGTATTGCTATACGAAGGATTTCGGATGCTAGGAGACAAAGGCTCCCGAGGCTTCGACTGCGTGCGCTTGGCGTCCTTTCATTTTTATATCCAGGAAGCCGCGGCCGAGAAAAGCGGTGTTGCGAGGCTGGTGATATAACCTGTTTGCCCGACGCTTTTGCTATCCATCCCCTCCGCCACCACGCCGACGATCTAAGCCCCGGTCAGCTCGTCTCAGCTGGGGGGCACCGGAGCAGGATTCGTCACCAGTCAGACGATGCGATGAGCTACTGTGAGTTAGCAGGCCATCCATGCGGTCGAGTCATAGACGTGTATCGCACACGCTCTCATCATTTGTTTGTCCCCCAGGAACCACGAGCTTGTTAACATGGGATGGCACCGATTCGGCGATCCAGAAGAGTCAGCATCGCGCTGTGCCACGACGATGATCCGGACAACACTCCAACCGCAGCCCATACAGTGAACACACTGACAGCTTACCCCGTATAGAATGGGGCCGTCACACTGTACTGGGTTCTGTTGCCTTCTTAGGAGTCAGCTTCTCGTAATGGATAGCTGACTGGCGCTGACCGTTGAGAGACATATACGACACGTTCTAACGTGTCGTCAACGCTGCAGCCACCCAATATTAACAGCTCCCACATGTGCGTGCTGCATATTCCTCGTGTAATGCACCAGCCAGCCTCACCTACCCCGTACGAGAGAATGAAGGAGAAGAAGCATCTCTCGACAGGTCTACATCCTGGAAAAAATTCGACACTTCACGACGTTGCCACCCTGTTTCGTATTTCGAGGTACCACGGCGAAGGGCGATTCTCGGGCTTGCGGTGACGCCGAAACAAAACCTGGGGCGAGCCGAGAGAGACAGGACGTATATGTGACGACGCAGCCTCACAGGGGAAGAATGAGGGAAAATAGGTAACGTCATTTACTGTCATACGAGACTGAATCTCGTCCGCCCTTGTACTCATCGGCCGAGATCTTACTGGCAAACCTCACGAGAACCAGGCTAGTCAGTTGGACAAACATGCGGTCGGCGGTTCCCGGGCTTTCGCCGGGTCTGTAACCAGAGATGAACTCGATGGAAGGACGGCTGGCTACTCACCCCCATGTGCCCAACCAACTTGGGTCCGTCGGCGATTTGAAGTATCGCTGTGGCTAAACGGGGAGGGGAGCGGTCGAGATGGCAACAAGCTTCCGTCTACCCGAGAGTGTTCATGGGGTAAATCACAAAGGCTAGAGATCTCCGTTCGCCACTTGCGCCTGGCCGGTCTTCGATAACATGTCGAATTGGCGACACGTTCCACTGGAACAGTCGAGGGGTGTCGCGTTATCGAGCACATCAGCCCAATGGATACCAACGACACGCCTTCAGTACTGTCGTTAGCTACTTCGGTAGGTAAGCGGGGATATACCTACTTGGTGTGTGACCCGCGGACGTGTCTGATTCCCGAGTATTACCCACATAGTCGGGCCTGTAGAGCGAAATGGATGGGTCTGCGTGTAAGTGGATGATGGTAGGAAAATAGAAGTCCTCACTCAGCTGTCCAGTGCTTACATAGGTGCGGCTTCAATTAGGTACTGCGTACGAGAACTGTGCGAGCTGGATATTCGCATTTCAGGGGTTCAACCCCCCATTTATCTCACTAAAGCCCTGATTACCGGTAAGCAAGATCTTTGGACAATATGCTGGCATTTTTCTATCAGTGTTCTTTCGCTTATTTACATATTCATGATCCGCCCCCTGCAAGCAATTTTCCCGACCCTTTTCTCTATGATACCTCCTGTACTACTGTCGACGTTCAATCTTAGACGTCCATCCGACCGACTGTTTCCTAGGCATCTGGAAACGCCCTCAAATGACCGGACACTAATACCGAGAGATAGAGACAGGGTAGCTTCGGAACTAGCCCTTACGAGGGAGGAAAGACCTGGGTGATGTCGACGGGCTCGCAGGTCGGGTTGTGCGGCGGCGTGGTCTGGGCCCAGCCGATGCTCTGGTAGTAGTAGCCGGTGAAGTACTGCCAGCAGACGTGCCAGTGGTAGTACGCCGCGCCCTCGGCGTTGGGCAGCGGGTTCGTGCCGGGCGTGAAGGTCGCGTCGTCGAAGTAGTTGTAGGCGAAGAGCTTGCCGCCCTTGTCGAACCCGACGGACAGGTACGGGTAGCCGAGGCCGAACATGGGCGCCGCCACGTTGCTGTTGACGAGGTACTGCAGCCCGAGCACCTGCTCCACGTACGCGTCGCCGCCGTTCTCGTCGCGGTAGCGCAGCCGCCACGCCAGCTGCCCGACCTCGTCGTCGTTCACCGTCGTGTACCCGGTGTAGTTGAAGTAGTACTGGAAGGACGTGCTACCTTCGGGAAGCGCCCCACCGGCGTAGCAGAATCCCTCGATGGCTGCCCCCGCGTGGCAAGATCCGACGTAGCCTGTTCGTTCCCAGTGTCAGTTATGCGGTCGTCGGCGGGGTCTCCGGTTAGACAACTCACCGTCGAGAGTGCTGCCCTCTTTACCCGTTACGTGGAGATAAAAGGGGCCGGTTTGGTTACTCTCCTGAGCAGACACCATACCCGCGGCAAGGCCAAGGAACAGGGCTGAGAGCTGGAGCTTCATAGTGGCGATGTATAAAGCGGAGAGCTGCTAGTACGATGTTGACAAGACAAAGGCGGTTGGAAGGGAGATTCGGATTGTCCTCGGGCGATGGCGATCGTCTGCGAGGTGAAGTCGGGCTAGCTACTGAGGCGGAACTTCCCTATTTATATATCACTGGCGCTTCAGTCGAAGTCGATGTCACGATCATCACGAGGTCGTCGAGAAGCCGAAGAATCGCGTACAAAGTCCGTCATCTAGACCGGATATCCCGTCCTCAGGCGGCAAGGATCGCCATATTCTCACATTATTGACGGTATAGCGTCAGCCGCTCTGCACGTGGCCGTCGAGGCTCCTCTCGTGAGGCTTAGTGGCATCTCGCAAGGGTCGCTGCATACCGACTTCTCTGATTTCCTCGATTCCGCGCAGCGCGTCTGAAGATTCGCGGGGTCAAACGGGCACAGAAAATTCTCGTATATGCGATGTGACGCCGTAAAGACCACGAGCCCGCGCGCTCTATTGGTCTACCGGTCGCATTACATGCTCACCATCAGCGGCCCGTCCGGTAGTCTGACCGTCGACCCATCATAAGCGCGATCTAGGGTCACCGGTGAGAAGAGCCGAAGCTACTCGGCTCGAGACTCGCGTAGCTCTAGCGATATGTTCTTCTCTATGCCGGGTGAGTGAAGCTGTCGATAGAACAAGTTGACTCCTGAAACTTGTTCCCTCCGATATTCGGTATCCCCTTATCCGGCGGGATCCCGTGGTATGAGCCAGTGTGGCTACGAGGGGATATTGCCATTGTTACCAGGTTGCACGTATCCAGGAGGGTAAGCGCCAGAACGGATAGGCATCGGTTGGACAGATCCTGTAACGTTGTAGCAGGACACACCAGCCTGGCTCGGGTATCTTGAAGACAAACTTCTGGGATATCAGATTAGGTAGCCATTGCAAACACACATCACCCGGAACTCGTGCACGTATGTCACAAATAGGGACGTAGTACCGAGAGTCGATGATCCTCGGGATTTAAGGTTGAAGGGATATCTCCCCTCCCCATCTCCGGACATAGCCAACTCACGATCCATCGTGGCCTCACCACCACAGACCCATCTATTATTAAGACGCCTCAGGGTAGATCTATGATCCAGAGGAACATTTCAAATCAGTTACCTGCATTGCTATACCTCGGCGGAAGCGACATATCAGTATACATACCCGTCCACCCGGGACCAGCGCCCCTCCCCACCCATTGCGGTCAGCAATACGATACCTATCTCCTCCAGGCTCTCTTCCTTCTGGCACCCAGCCGCTCAGAGAGGCCGCTGGGGTCCTCGTCGAACCATGCTCGTCTCCCAGCCAGGAACCCCCGCCGTACCGCTCCCTGGCGGGAGAGGGGGACTCTCCATCTGGCTGACGCCAGCGGGCGAATACGGGGTCGAAGTGGCACGTATGGGCCTCGAGGGCCGCCAGGGCTCGCGCGGGATACGACTCCCGGGCTTGATCTCTCGCATGTCGACTCAGTTTCTGACACCGCTTGTCTGCCCGCGGCTTGTTCGGCTCCCGGACAGACGGTTTTGGGGGGGGGTGAAGTCGTCCATGATCAGGCGTCGTACGGTACGCCCGTGTGTCGAGGAAGAGGCTAGCTAGTAGAGAGGGAGAGAAAATGGGAGGGAGAAAAAAAGGCCTGCTGCGGCGATGCTTTAGCACTCGTCTGGCAGTGGCTTGCCGTCGTCTGCTCACTCCGTCCCTGCCCATGCCTCTTACGCGCCGCACCGCGCAGGCAAGCCGATATTGGTCGCGTCAATCCCCTCGTCCAACGCCCTCTGTCCCCGTGTCGTTTGCGAATGCGTGCGGCCTTGCTAAAACTTCGTTCGTGTAGACAGACCATCGAGCGATCCATAGAGTCCCACCGACTTCTGGGCGCTGATTCCGCCTCCCCCTTTTTTTTATTTTTTTCCTTTCTTTTTCGTCGGCTAGTCAGGGCCACTACGGAGTCGCATAGCTATAACTGGGAAAAAACTCCACTTTTCGGTACGTATACCCTAGGGGTGTGGTAGGTAGGAAGGTGCAGGTTGAATATTTAATTATACGTAGGGAAGGAGCTACCCTCTGGTTAGGTCGGCTAATAGGTAAGCTAGACTACCCTTTCGCGAGCTAGGTATTTTATATAGGTTTATATACAACCGATTTATCCTCGTAAAAAACCGGGAAAAGATCGGAAAAATCGGAAATTTACTTACGTAATTTATTAGCTTAATTAAATTAATATATAAATTTTTCTGATTTTTCGCTTAGTAACATAAGAAATTATTTACAATATAACGTTTTTTTAAAACTATACTAATAATTTACCTTATAATGTATTAATAAATCTATTAACTATGCTTTATATCGGCCTCTTAACTTATTTTTTTATAGTAATAAAGTAGGTTTATTACCTAATCCTTTATACTATAGATAAAATAATAGTTAAGATTACGTAAACTTTTTTCTTTTTCTTTTTTTAATTTTTATTAAATTAATTAAGTCTTAAAAACGTTAATTTTTAATATTCTTTTTTAGAATCTCTTTATTTGGAAAAATAGGATAGTTGGAAAGGTAGAATTCTTATTATAAAAATAGATACGATTTTAGAAAGTTTTAACTTATTTAAAAATATAGTTTTCTTTAAATAATAAATTAAATAAAAACGGAAATAAAGAATAAAAATATGATTACTTAATACTAGCTATTTTTCTATTTATAAAATAAAGTATTAAGTAATAGACCTACTTTATTACTATAAAAAAATAGGTAAACATATCGATATAAGTATAGTTCATAGAGTTATTAATAAATTATATAGGAAACTATTAGTATAATTTCAAAAAAACCTTAAATCGTATATAACTTCTTATATTAGTAAGTAGAAAATTCGAAAAATTTATATGTTACTTTAATTAAACTAATTAATTACGTAAGTAAATTTCCGATTTTTCTGATTTTTTTCCAGGTTTTTTACAGGGATAAATCGTTTATATATAAACCTATATAAAATACCCGGCTCGCGTAGCCTATAACTCGATTTGTATATATATAAGCTACTACGAATACGATATTAAGCTATCGGGGACTTGCATTAAATATATATACCTCCTCCTATTGGGGGCGTATGTGTAGACGATAAAACTGGGGCGTTCGACCGAAAAGTGGAGTTTTTTCCCAGTTGTAGCTATGCGACTCCGTAGGCCACGGGAGAAGCAATAAGATACAGAGAGCGCATGTTGGCATACCATACCATCATGATGTCGGCGTATTATCTCTAACTTACTGTCGTTTTCTTACGAAGTCCTCGAAGGTTCGAGGAATGCACCATCGTTACGGATGACCAAGAGCGGATTAAGTTACTCTTTTCATTTACTCAGAGCAATACTGATCATGCTAGCAAAACCTCTTACTCTAGTCACCTCCCGTACAAGAATCTCCAGAGAGCGTCTTGTCAGTGTCGGGGAGGGTACGACTTAGAAGAGAGGGTGGGTATCTCAAGTCTCCGTCTTTCGCCGTGCCGCCATCGCCGCACGCAAAACAGTCGCCCAAACTCTAGCGCGCCCGCGCAACCTCCCGAGACCGGGAACGCGCACGACGCCTCAGAACACGTTTCGGAACCTGGAGCCGTAGTTCTCGACGGCGATGTCGTCGAGCTCCACGCCCTGCTCACCGTTTCCGTCTCCTTGCTCTCCGTCGCGGGGGGCGCCAGCGCCAGCGCCAGCGGGGCCGGACTGGTGGTCGAGGCGTCCGTTCTCCCAAATGAGGAACGACCGCTGTATCATGACCAGAAGGGCCAGGCCGAGCATGGCGATGGCGCAGAGCGACATGCCGTTGATGTAGCGGGGCCCCTCGCGTGCCGGGAAGATGTTCGTGCCCAGGAACGGTCCGCACTGGCCGACCAGGTTGATTATCACGATCGATAAGCCGCGTCGCGTATCGCTACCCTGGTTGTCTTCGTAGCGTAGGCACCGTCAGCATAGGTAAATAAGACTCCTACGAGAAAGAGAGAGAGATGGAGAGACACGATAGGTACTACCGGTAAAGGGGTGCGAGGAGGCGGGGCGAGGAGGGGGGGTTAGGGGGTTACTCACTTAGCGTCAATCCGAGAATGTTAGGAATCGTCGAGAAGACGCCGGCTGAGGCCAGGAAGGTGGCGAAGTAGCGAACCGCGACGGACTCGACAGTAGCCAGTACGATGTAACCCGTAGCTCCGACGATAGCGGCGGCGAAGATGATGAGACATCGCTGCTTTGTCCTGTCGGCGATCCAGGTAGTGACCAGAGCGGATACAAATGCGGCGAACGAAGGAGGGGCGGACAGGCCCTGCGCGTTGATGGAGGTGAAGCCCATGTCCTGGAGGAGAGCCGGGAGGAAGATGGGCAGGCTGGAGTAGCTGACGTTGCCGCAGAAGTACATGAAGGCGCAGATCCACACCTTCAAATCCAAAATGGCGGGCAGGATATCCCTGGGGTTGAACGCTCCGATCCTGGCGCTGCCGACGGTGCCGACCTGGCGCACACTTCTGGCCCTCACGATCTAGCGCTCCTCTAGGTTCAGGAACACGGCGTCCTCCGCAGAGTCGGGCAGGTAGTAAAGGGCGGCGATGGACATGGCCATGGCTGGCAGGCCCTCGACGACGAAGAGCAGACGCCACCCCCTGACGCGTGTGTATCCGTTGGTAATACCGTAGGCGAGGGCGCCCGCAAAGGTCGAGGCCAGCGGCGCGGCAGAGGCGAAGATGCCGCATCGGAAACCGATCTCGTGACGCAGGTAGAAGAACGACAGTAGATAGATGGCTCCGGGTCTAGGTTTGCTTCTGTGTCAGCAGCGAGAAGAGAGAAACGAGTTTAAGGGGGGGCGAAGCATGATCGTAGTCTTGAGACACGAAAAGGGGGGTGGGGTTCGTAGCTTACACGAAGCAGGCCTCAAGGATACCGAGGAAGAAGCGCAGTGCCATCAGGTCGGCCCAGGAGTGGGCGCAAGACTGGAAGATGGCGAAGCTAGCCCTTTATATAGCAAGGTCAGATACGACACGGGGAAGGTAATCCATGATAAAGGGGTACGAGGTTTCCAACTTACCAGCAAAACACAATGGTGGCTGAGAGATGGTGCGGCTTGACGATCTTCCAGAGCAGAGCGGTGGGTTCAAAGATGACGTAGGCGATGTAAAAGATGTTAAACAGCCACTGGTACTGCTCCTCGTTGTCGAAACCGAGGTCCTCATCCATGCCGGCGATGTGGGCATTGGCAATGTTTCCGCGATCAAGGAAGGTTATCATGCCTACACATGGCAAAGTGAGGATTATCGGACCGCCGTCAGCGCTATTCCATTGCAAGGGAAGGAGCAGGAGAGGGAGATGGGAACTGTGGAGCAGCAGTGCTTACAAAGGACGAAGAGAAGCGTCATGAGGTGACGGTCCAACTTGCGAACGACCTGGGCCTCCTGCTGAGCCGTGAAACTGACGACCGGAGCGTTATTCTGAGAAGAGGCTGGAGGCACATTCGCGCCGTCATCAGCCTCTAAGCGGCCCACCATGTTGAATGCCACACTGGGTGCATGTTCACGGGCCTCGTGATGGTCCGGAGTGTCATCACCACCAACCCTGTCGTTGGCAGACATGATTTGTGCAGATACCAATCATGGGAAAGGGGAGTGTTAATTAATTGGACGAACCGCGGCGAATCGCGAAAGTAGAGTTGCGGCGGATTGCAAGCACGGCGGTCGAGATGGAAGAGGTTGTCCAGTCCTTGCAGATGAGGGAGGAAGGAGAGAGGAGGGAAATAAAGAGAGGAAGACGGCAGCCAGACGGGACAGTGCAATATTGAATGAGATTCGGTGAATAGCTACTAGAGGAAGGAAGTAATCATAATAAAAACACTAAGTCACTTGTTCAGCTGGATATCACGACCGCGCCGTCGCACAGCAACAGAACGAGTCTGGGACAATGAGAAGTTGAGAGCAGCGACAGTAACAGCAACAGAGATGTTAACAACTCAACGACGTGATTCAATTCTCCCGTTGGGATTTTTCTCAGGAATTGCTACTAATATCACTAGGCCGAAAGTGATGATGCTAACAAATAGAAGTTTTACACTATCTGGTATAACAACTCTGCTGTGATATTTTGTATATTAATAGTTGTTGTCTCCGAGTTACTTACCAATGCACGGACATGTATCTGAGTTTGCTACCGCCTCCAATTTCAGGTCGCCGGCCTCTCTAAATGCAGACACAAATGAATCAAATAGCTACTGAAGTTATCCCATAATGTTGCTTGCTAATAATATTCCTTACCGCCCGCAGGTGAAGTGGGAGTGAAGCTGTGAATATGAAGCAGGTAAGAAGGAGATGGGTATAATAGTTTATAGCTACCGCTGACTGAGGCTATAGATGTGTATAGCAGCGCAGCGTACTAGCACATACCTAGGTACATTAAGCTAATCACAACATATCTCTCAGCAAGGAGACCTAAAAGCTGCAATACTGGAACACGGAGGTCAATAACTATCCGGTGTTAGCGAGTTAATGTTGGCGAGTTTTTATTGTCTATAACTACATAATTTGCCTATATTAGTCTGGAGTCTATTATCGTCACAGACTTGTCAACTCTCGGATAAACATTGCTGATACCACCAACCCGGCATAGGTACGTGCAGCGGCATAGCCAGGGTAGTCGAAGGAACCACACACCAAGAGACACAACTGCAAGACATACCCTTTTTGATCGGATACTGTGTGTAACGTCCTGAATAGATGCCTCTTACCGCTCGCATGTAATACCCAATCCTGCCAACCGAGTAGGAAACATGGCCGGAAGAGGTAGGCAGGCATACTCCCTCAGCCCCCCCCCCGGCTCCCGGCTCCCGGCTGTGCTATTACTGGCTTTGGGGTGTCTGCTCCCTCGAGTGATGCAGGGAACATGGATGCTCAACCCCCCTCCCCTTCAAGAACCAACCCCGGAGCCCGAGTACAAAGACCCAGGGCTCGTTTCCCCGAGGTTGTTTAGCAGCAGCAGCAGCAAGCATATTATGATGGAGATACTACGCCAACCTGCCTACGCTTACCTACCTGCCTACATACATACACACATACACACGCACACATACATATTACATACGTACCTACATAGGGAGCACAGCGGCACGGGTGTTGTGTTCTTCGGCCCACAGTGGTCCGAGAACCATTCCTTCGCAGCTACAATCTAATCTGATCTGCGCTCTGCATGAGGACATAAGTACACCCACCTATCACGTCGGCACCCTCCGCCGGCAGAAGGATGCTCTGTATGCCGGTGTGTGTGTGTGTATCTGTGTGTGTCTGTGTCTGTGTGTTTGTGTGTGTCTACGTGCGTGTCTGTGTCTGTGTGTCTACACGCATACGTGCGTGTCTGCGTATCCGCGCGAGCGCGCGCTGCGGGCGTTGGGCCGGCGGTGGGGGCTACAATACCACACCGTACCGGCAATCCTTCTCATATAACGCCCAGTTGACGCGATCCATAAGCGCCCCCATCGCCATTGGATCTCCACGTACTCGGTCACCAATCACAGCCGCGGCGGACCTGCTACCGTCGTATCCTGTTTCTGTTATCCTGAACCTGCTCGTCCCCCCCCCCCCTCCCCCTTATGAATATAGCCCTGATTTTTTTTTCTTTTTTTTTCCTTCCCGCCTTGGCTGAAAAAGCTTAAACCAAGCCTGCTTCCCGTCCGGGCCCGCAAGCGAGCCGATCTCCCATGTTTCTTGTTGTGCTCACTCGCTGCGCTGTACGGTGCGTTGTTATGCCTGGCCCGCCTGCGTATAACCTACCTACCTACCTACATACAACCTACCTGTGTACGGACCTATGTATGGACCTACCTATGTAATACCTGTATGTACGCGTATGTAGGTGCCTACACAGTGAGTATGGCCGAAAGGTGCGAAGCCGTATGCACCCGTTCAGAATTTACCTGCCCCTTTCAAGCGCTGCCCTGCCCTGTCTTCCCGTCCTCGGTCGTCTGCTCCACTTCCTATTCCTTTCATCCCTCCTACCCATCTTCCGATTGCCCATGTTTTTCGCATGCTGTGTTGTCCGTAGGCAGGCGGGTGGGTAAGGTGAAGGCGGATGTTCAGGTTTCCAAGGAACTCGTAGCAACAGGAGCCGAAGACAGGATAACTAACCACCACCACTACACCTCCCCCCCCTCTCTTCCTCCCCCCCTTTTTTTTCCCTTTTTCCCTCTCTCTCTCTCTCTCTCTCGCAGTTCCCGGCTTGCGCATCCGTTCGCCAGGCGCCGTGACACAGAGAGATCCGTTGTTAAACCACCGGCTGCAGCCTGCGATGCGTCCGGCTAGGAGCGGACATGCGCGCGCTGAGTAGGCAGTAGGTAATAATACCGGCATAATCCAGAGGACAGAATAATACCGACGGCCTTGTTGCTTGCTGCCATGATATGCCAGATGTGCCCCAACTTCTGTCGATAGGCACCGCCTGCGTGCCACACATTGCACGCTACACGCTAATACCTACCTACATGTCTGGGATGCATGTCTGACCTCGCCTTCGGTTGTTAGCTGCTCGCGCTCGATTGCATCAACATCCGGAGAGAGCCCAATGGACCGGCTACGTAGCCGTGCGTGCCCTGTATTATCCCGCGTATGCCATCATACGCCGTCCTTCTGCCCCGTGAAGCCCAAGCAAGCAAGCACGTCAGGCAGCTCGCTTCAAAAGGCGTTGCGCCGCGGGTATTCTGCATCTGGGGAGAGAGTTTTGTCTTGCCCACCCCTTGGCCCGTACCTGACCTACACGAGGTTCGGTAATGGTGATGAAGATCGCTTCGATCAACGTACGAGCCAATGGCGGCGGGCATTTCCCCCCCCCCTTCTCCTCTCCCCCGTGGCAAACGGTTCCCCGGGAGCGAGGCACTTCCCGCGGCCCTCCACCAGGCAGAATAGTGCCTTGTGATACACCTTCAAGTAGCCATGTCATCCGTCGCGTACAATCGTACCCTCCGTAGACGCCGGTCCCTCTTGAAAAGGCCACCCGCATCCCCCCTCTTAAGCTGGATGGGGATGTTAAACGCGAAAATCACATTTAACAACCCACCGGGAGTTCGGAAACGTTCGAGCTAGTCCCCTCTTCCTGTGTAAATGCCTTCCCGCCTCCGCTGGAAAACCTAACCGATCCTGGTACGAGATCTGCAGACGTTTTTGAGTGGCTGCGGGGATCCTCGACAAGGTCGGCGACCGAAGAAATGTCTTCCCCGGCCCTCGAACCAGAGCGGGAGCCACCGCTCGACGGAACCAGGCTGCCTGAGCTCTGGGGGGGCTGCCTGATCGCCTTCCTCGTCATCAACGATGTATCTACTACCGGCAGAGTATGGGGCACGTGGAAGTCCGTGGGGAGCCGCCGGCTGGTCGTGGCCGAGGAAGTCCTGATCATTGCCAGCAGAGTCAGTTCTGGTTCGCTATTATGCAGGGCAACACCTGTCCGTCGAGAAAATTTTCACCTCTAACAGTGGTGGTCAGGTGTTCGTGAATGTTATCATGGCAAATCTCCCGGTATCGACCCACCAGTTATGGACTCGGCCTTCAGACCTGGACCATCAACTTCCGCGATCCAGACCATCCGGCGAATCTATCCAATCCTTTCGAGGTAATTGAGTACGTGAAGCGGAGCAAGAAACCCGTGGTTGGCTCCCTCCAAACATATTAGACGGCTAGCCGAGTTGTCCGCGGGTTAAAAAAAAAAAGGATGTCTGGATTACCGCGGTTCTCATGGCAAGCTTCTTGACCTGCGTCAGGATGCTACTGCTCGTCCTCTATAGGCTGTTGTTCCTGGTAGGAAACTCGAGACTAATATTACGCGTCTTTTAGTGGTGCAGCTTCGTCGACATCGTCCTCTGGTTCCTGAGTGCTACAGCGTTCTACATCTCTGAGTGTCAGCCGGCGCAGTGGTGCTTCCCGCGTTGTTTCGCCCAGTAGCTGTGTTTAACGTTTTGCTGCCTCTAATATTCAGTCTCATCTCGGACTTTAGCCTCCTGCTGCTGTCGATCTGGGCTATCTCCATGTTGAGGCTCAGCCAGACTAAGAGGCGGCCGTCTTCGGCATCGGCCTGGTTGCCTGGTTGCTGGAGCTAGCTCGTATCCTGGTGCTTCTCATCGACACAGCTGATAAAGAAGACCCAGGCTGTGGGTCGTATAATCATGTTGTTGCCTCCCCTGCCCGGCCCATACGTAGGGTTATAATAATAATACGGCTACTTACCGGCGCGCCAACAGACGGTGTCGCCGTGTTCCTGATATCTATGGCTGCCGCGGAGGCGACGGCAGTGGTGTGTGCATGCCTGCCCATAATAGTCACACCTCAGCTTGTCTGGAGACTCGGAGGCAAGGTTCGAACCAGCGCCCGTAAGTATTTTCAACAAGGACGCGGCCTAGACGTCGTCTAAGAGATGTGACGCCCGTAGGTTTGAGCGCGCCACTAGTCTCACTCGCGTGTGCCCCATATTATTGGTGGCGGTCGGGCCCTCCGAGATCGATGGTGTCCGCGATGACGATGTCCCCCTCAACAGCGTCAAGATCACGGGGAACCCGGGTTTGCAAAGAAGCAGATGTGGTGGCACCTCCGGCGACGCACGACGCCACCACGGAGATCTGGAGGACAAGCCCGAACACCCATATTTGCTACCACAAACCCGCGATGGTAAGTAGACTAGTCGACCGAGGAGCTAAGCTAGCCTCAAGGCTGCCGGGTGATATCTACGTGCACACCGATATTCAGGTCCAGGTAGGGAATCTGATGTAAGAAGCGGATGCTCGGTAGAAACGTTGTAATACCAGCAAGGTTGTGATACGCGTAGTATTTCCCTTCTTTAATAGTCTTTCCCGCATCGCGACGAGTTCGATAGTAATTCTAGGCCGTCCTCGTCATTAACGAGACCACAGCCGTTGTTCCGGCCTAGGTGTGATATCTTGAGTAGAGAATCCATTACACGTGTTATGTCGCGATATGTGGTACTTACGCCTAGCATATTTGTGTTCTACGAAGTCAGCATATTGACCTAGTGCCTATGTTAGGTATGTTATGGCCGACATGGCTCCGTGAAATCGACGGGCAAGACATCGTACCTATCGGATCAAGCCTGCGGCCATGCCTATGGGCATTTCCGTCCTAGACGCAGTCGTCAGTTGTAGCGCTTAGCGAGTTAGTAGGCATTAATATTTCCTTAGGGCCTGAGACATAGGTAGCATGGTCTCGGTGTTGGTGGCCACTATACCTACTGCTGACGGGCCTGCCGCCTGGGCCGAGTGCTGGCAGAGTCGTGTGCATGTGAAATTTGGGCGAGCGCTGCGCAATGTCATGTCCCGGACCCGTCGTGGCCTCGGTGTAGCACCCATCCGCTGCCGGTAGGCGGTCAAGTCATTCAATTCCACATCCAGGGGACAACGTTGAGCGTTGCAGCTCCTGCAGCTGACACTCTGCAGCATCCGTGTCATTTATGATGCATCCTTACGCCTGATCCGAGCGCGGATACCTGTCCTTATCTCTCGGTTTCCGCGCGAGCTCTCGATGACGCTCTCCGGAGGCTCGTAGCCCTCGGCGGATATGCTTCCGGGGAGGGCGCTCTCAGGAGCGTAGTAGCCGGCGGCCTTGACATGGTCCCTGCGCGCATTGTGCTGGGCATCTTCCATGCTGGCGCGCACGACCTCCCTGCTCTCGGACATGATTACGTCTTTGTAGTTACGGCCGTCTTCCCACGGTCGTGCCAGTGGCGTTCGTGGACCCAATATCACACTCCCGGGCGCCGGCGGCGTCGAACTTGTCGATTCCTCCGGACGCACGACCCTGCTGGGCGAGCTCGCATGTGCCCTGGACCGCCGACGTGCTCGAAGTGCTGGCCGTGGGGTTGCCTGGCACGTCTCGTTGGCGGCAGTGAGGCGCAAGAGAGGGTGGAGGGGGTGGGCCCTCGTCTGCACCCATCCATTACCCGCTACGGGAATCAAGGTCACCGCCCTCCTGGGGGGGGAAAGGGGGGGCATGCCCGCCGTAGCCGGCGTTGGCACTTGGAATCCTTGTCGTATCGAAGCTCAGCGTCGGGGAACTTCTGGTCAACTCTCGTATCGACACCAGATTCGTCATTCGGGGAAGTCTCATGCACTCCGGTCTTGGCTTCATACGTGTTCAGGTCCTTCTCGGCCTGGTTGGCGATGTCGCGCAGAGTTTCAGACGACGGTGGTATCTCGGCTTGAGAATGTGGCTGGGGGTTGGGGCATCCGGTTGGATGATGGTCCTGATGGCTTGGGGCTGGATAGTCCTCTTTAGGTAGGCAGATGTAGATGTGACAGACGGTAGTCCCAGAGGGTTAAGCCGCGACGGGCTGCGTGGGCTTCAGCAGCAGACCTGTATTTTGTGCAGCTTCCCGCTTATCATTCAACTCGCCCGCGCTCGCCTCGAGCCTGGACAGATGACGTCACAACGGCCATCGCGATCGGAACCGCCATCGTGAAATCGTCGGGTCCGATTTTCCAGCGGCTTAGCACCTGAAACGGCATTCCGAGCGCCAACATGGGCAGCTCCGAGTTCAGAGGCTGTTTTGACCACATCACATCGCACTCTCTCTCAGGCACACGGACAGGGCATACACGGCCTTGCGCTAATATCGTCGCTCTCTATTGTAGTCAATTGTCTCCCAGGCAATAATAACCTCTGAGTCTGTCCGATTTTCCTACTCTATCTCTTGTCCCATGTCTGATATGCCCGTTCCTCGTCGTTGCGATTACGGGATCAACCGATCTAAGTCAATTCGGTCTGGCTTTGTGACCACCTTGTGGCCGGTGACTTGGTTACTGAAGTTCCACCAGCCGTTCAGGTGCCGAGATATCCAACCCCTTCCTACATGCGATGACAGGTCCACCCTGATAGAAAACACTAGGTAAGCTGATCTGTGTTGCTCTCTTATCCCCCCCTCCCCCCTCTCCCCCTTTCGCCTACCATCGCGTACCGGGGTCTTATACGTAGGTAGGTAGTTCACGCCCAAGAAAGCCCTCTCTCGCTGCGCTGACACTTCACCGCGGAACTAAGAGGGCGTTACCCGGGATATAAGTTGTGCTGTGCCGTTGTCACCGGCTGCGTATGAGGTGCGAGTTTCCTCTCCGGCTCGTGTTGTGTTATTCTGAAATCGTCTACTGAGAAAATTCCGAATTACTTAGGCCGAGCCAATTAGATAACAGGATTCTCCAAGCTTGCAAAGAGCCTCGTGTCGAGCATGACATGCCCCCTGGCGGTGGGATGAATAATTATGGCCTGACGTAGCGAATGGGGCGCCCCATAATACGAGAGACATCGTTGTCGTGTCCAAGGTTTTATTCCTCGCAGCCAATCGGACTTCCTACAGTATTAGTCCCTGGTATTCGAGGATGCCTTTCACGTCTCGGAGACAGTTGCTATAGGCTTTTGAGGTTTCAGAGCATGTAAGTTTATCAAAGATTACCAATCGAGTACCGATGCGCGCCTCTTGTTTTTCACAGCTCGCTATAGAGCCGGCGGCTGCTTATTTCGAGAAAACAGACCTCCGTAGGCCTTGGCTGTAGACCTTGGTTGCACGAGCGTCGTAAGCTATCGCAGGATTAAATTATGTGACTTAATAATACTAGTAAGATAGCATACCTAGGTACCGCCGATTACGCGACGCTGTGTTGTTCTTAAGCTTCGATGATGACAACACAAGTCTTAACATTGAGCAATAGTTGTTCAAGGCCAGTCTTGTGTCCAGAATATATTAACAAAACCCGCCTCTCCTTTTCTGAAATTCCATTTCGTTGCTTCCTGCCCTGCCTGGTATCTCTGCGTCTTCCTGGGTTTCTCTTCCCTTTGTGGTATTATCATTAATATTGGAAAACGCACCCTCCTCAATCTTGCGTCCTTGGAACTCGTCTCATCAATGTTAACTCATAACTCGTTGAATATGTATTTACGTGCGGTATTCGCCGGGGACACCAGGAATACCGCTGTGCGAGTCTAAGTCAATGCCCAACCTTTCCGGATCTGCCCGGCAATGAATCCTTCCTCAGGGGGTCGACTGAGGGCGAAGAGCACGGCCGCGTGGACTCGGAGCCGAAACACTCAGGATTCGCCAGACGTCGCATCTCCGGAATGCAGCTCCCGGAGCAGCGGGCATGTCGGGATAGAGATCCGCCGAAGGTACCGTAGCGTGGTCCCTGGTTCAAGTGTAGCTTCTTCTACGGCTAGAGTCCGATTGTAGTAAGGGGCAGCTGAAGAGAAATATATTATAAACCGCATCTCCTCGACGGAGGATTCGAAAAGGCTCTTCTTATTTCGCTAAAAGTTCCTACCTAGGTGCATTGCCGAAAGGTCTGCAAGAAACCAGTCGTGCAGGGTCCTTCCCTAATATACCTACCTATAATAACCAGGTACCCTAGACGCTATTAATTCTGCTTTTGGAGTTGATCGTGTTGAGAGTGTCAATATCTTCTGGAACCCATCCACTGGCCCAACCGCAATTGATAGAAATCAAAAGACATAACATTTCCCGATCCGACAGCCCGTCGTTCCGCGCCGAGATTCTCGGCCGCGGCCCACTCACTAGACAAACTCCGAGACCCTCCTGGCGTATACTGAAGAGCAATACGTAAGATATTAGGCATCAATCCCGACGGTGTTTTTTTTCCTGCGGCCACCGGCCATACGCATCCGTCGCTCGTCGCCCTGAGGCCCATCGACTCGCACCCTCCCCTGCCCATGAATCCAGGAAACGATGCATGCGGTCTGATTTCCCGGGCGAGACCGAGGACGGCTGAGAAATTCGCGGGGGATGCTAAAGAGGATTGGCATCAAAGCAAATTTCTGGCCTTGGTGATCGATCCCTCATTCGCCCGTAGCCGAGAGAGAGGCCGGCACATGACCCGATGTGTCTGCCTGTTGGATGGAATATCCCGATATGACGCCGAACCGAAGACCTAGCCAGCCCTGGCAACCAGGGCCCATAGATTTCGCAACATTTTCACGTCCATGTAGTGGGCGGTTCGGCATTGGCTAGCTTTCTTTTACACGGACATTCCGCGATGACGGGAGGCGTGAGCACCTCGTGGGTTTTATCCGGATTATCTTAGTGGTGGCACCCTTCCACGGCTTAGCCTAGACCGAGTTAGTTAAAGGAGAAAGTGATAGATGACATCCTGGCAAAGAGGTGCCATGATAAAAGGGGGGAAAAGCTTCTTCTCGGCTGCTACGCTGGTATGTAACAGTATCGATGAAGCGTAGGTGAGTTGCATATTGGTTTGTTGGACTAATGCTGAGGGAGGCTGGCGCTAATACGACCACCCCCTCCCCCCTTCGCGATCACTGATCTGCAAAGGCCGGAGAAACGTCAAATACGCCAGAAGGGCTTTATCCCGATCCCAACTCTTCCGCCACGGCTCCTCGGCTCCACGATACCATCACAAAACGACCCGATAGGTGATGCCGTTGTCCTCCTCAGCCACGGTTCGAAATCTTCGGGTAAAGAACCGCCCCTACAGTGCAAATTATCCGGGAGCTAAGCTAAATTTGAAACTGGTCCGGCCACAACCATAAAAGAAAAACAATGCGCCTATGTACCTAGTTGTCCCGACTATTTAACCAAGAGTGCGCACCGTTGGGATTTGAAGCGCGGGTGAACGATGCCGTCATGCAATGAGGCGCTCCGTTTCTACGAAAGCCAGCCCTACCCTCAGCTAAGCCTGCCGAGCTCGACCTCGAGCTAAGCGTGAGGCAAGCTGGTAGCTGAACTCGGTCGCTGAGTCCCTACTGTATAGCAGATCTCGATTTCGAGCAAACTTTTCTTCGAATCTGCAATTCAACTGGCCTCTCGCCGATGAGCTTGATAGCAGGCGACTAGGGCAGCGGTCGTCCTGGCTTGCGGAGCTGCGAATCAAAGCGTGGGGAGTCCTTACCCGCACCCTGGTGATCGTCATAAGAGCTCGACGACTAAGCACGACGTAAGCTGGTACCCCGGTGCTGGACCGCATTCATTTATCGTACGATAGCGACTGAGCTGTGACTTGTCAACTTTGATCCTGAGCTTGTAACGACCTCAATGTTTGCCGGTCCTATACCCACCGTATACTGCAGCCCCTACTGCGCAGTCACCTCGATCCGAGCATGGCCCGACCCGAGGGCTTACGAGCGAAGTCCTAATGGTTGGTCTCGTAGGTCCATCCTAGGGAAGCACAATGCCTTTCTAAGAAAAATACTGGCAGAGAAGGGCAGGAGGGAGGGGAGGTCCGGGGCCATTTCTCCGTGTGCGGCAAATGAGACTCGGTGGGGAGGAAAGGGGGGGGGGGCGAGAATGTTTGAAGATGGGAGCACTTCGATGCCGCCTGCTTTGCGAGTTTGAGATTCGCCCCAAAGTCTCGGAAAGTAGGCGGCGTCGAAGTGCTCCCATCGACATCGCAGTCCTACGGACGGACGATGGGACCCCCTTGGTCCGGCTGGTCGAACTGGCAAGAGAAGGCCGTGTGCGGGGGGGCATTTTTGTCAATCCTAAACCCAATCGTAATCAGCTTGTCAGATCTGCAACAGGGATCTAGAGGCGTTTTAGCCGGAGTCGGTTGGCTCTGTTCGCTTATATCTCGTAGACTCGTCCAGGTACTTGGGCATCTTGGCTACGCTGCTGTGGGGCCAGGATGGAGCGTGGCCTGCCTATCAAAGCACACTCGACTCGCCGCCAATGGCACGGGTGTGTCCTCGACTTGCTTGCCGTCTGCGTACATACTGTACTTGAGATACTGGGAGGGCATTGGGGGGGGGGGGGGGGGGGACTGCTTGACCGGTCTTCCGCTGTGGATGGAATCCCTAGGTAGCTCGAGACCACACCAGACGGCAGCAAGCGACCTATGGAAGCAGGCAGCCCTCACAGATCGGTCGGTTTACGAGGCCTGGGCAATCGAGGGAACGAGCGGTATACGGAAAATGATAGCGCCCCCCCTCCCCTCAGTGGAATGATATTCCCAGGAAAGGGAGGAGGAGCCTCTGAATCACCGGGGTGTGCCCATGCCAAAAAGAAAGAAAAAAAGAAACCAATACGCATGCTATATGTTGGGGAAACGCGTATGCTGCACGGCTGGTCAAAAATAGAATAGCGGGCTGGCTCGAACGAGCTGGAAGACGAGGGGTGCGTGATCCAGGGAAGAGTAAGATTAGCATCTGCAGAGAGGACCAGGAGCATGGCGGCTTGGGATTTGGACACCGGGCACTTGGGTTTTCTATAGGACCGTAGGAGCCGAATGGGATGAGTGTTCGGCCTAGAACCTGCAGGACGACGGCAGCCACGTTAGCTCGGCGGATCGATGCTCTCTCTCGCGCGTGCTCACGCTCTCTGTAGTAGGCAGTCTAGAAGCCGTATCGAGGGGGTCGGAAGCGCTGCGGGACGCTTCCATCTCTTAGTCTGTTTTAAATCCTAGGCGCAACCTGCATAGGCGCACCGCCGTGCCGTGTCTTGGCGGACTCGATTCAACTGCAATCGGCCGAAAATGGGTACGCAGCGGCGACCTGCGTCGGGCTGTAGCCGACTACGCCACTCTAGCCGTTCTAGGTATCCTGATAGTATCATCGATTCCTTCGAGGCACAAAAGCCCTCATGGGGAGGGGAGGGGAGGGGAGGGGGACGGCGGCCCGGAGGAGAGGGGGGGGGGAAAGGGAGAGGGAGAGGTATTTGGGGCTACGATATGTACCAACTCCTTAATCGGGAAGACATTACGTTGTCATGCGGCCAACTCTCACTGAAAGGAGACGGGGAGACGACAAGGAGAGAAGAGGCAAGAGAGATTGGAGAGACGCAGAGGCAGAGAAGGAGAAAACTCCCCCATCCATGAACGGATATTTAGGTCTAAATGCACGTCCACTCATCCACTCATCCGCCCTCAATGCTAAGTCCCGGGATTATGCGTAGAGCGAATTGTTGTTTAGCAATATATCTGTCATGTAGCAGCCGCCGACGCTCTATGGACTCGAGTCGGCGCACGAGGGCGGTTCCGAAGCAAATGAAAATAGCAGTAACCACCACCGCAGCGAGGCCATTTATTCTTCGCACAGGTCCGGCCCACCAGACGGCGGCCATTTCGACTGTTGCCGAGTGCGTGACTTCACCACACCCGCTCGACTTCGAGGACTTCTTGCAGAAAAAAATGACAGAGCGTGCAGCGACGGTCTAGGCCCTCCTTCGACTCTTCGACGTTACTCTTTGACGTTACTCTTCAGCGTGCACTGTTTGCGGCCGAAGTGGTAATCAGTCGGGCAGCGCTGGTAGCGATAGATGCTCGTCGATCGAAGAGGCATGTCGACGCCGAGAGTCGCCGGCCAGATGCTAGGCTGCCCAACGTGGAATGTCGGGAAATCTGCCGCCACGGTCAGTGGAGAATGATGCTATCTGCCGGGAGTCTGAGACAAGAGCCAGGGCGCGAATCGCTATCCGGTAGAGATAGATATATACGTGTGTGCGCGTATGTGTGCGTGAGTGTGTGTGTGCGAATACATAGGTAGGTAGGTAGGGAGGCAAGCAGGTATGGAGGTAGGTATATAGGTAGGTGAAGCGGCGGAAGATGCGGAAGATGTGATTTAGAAGGGCGGGGTTGTTTAGTCACTTAGCACGACGAGCCGTTGATCTCTCGTGCTGCTCGAGCATCTCCGGCGTTGTGCTGTGCGGTGCGGTGCGGTGCTGCGCTATGTTGCGTTGTGCTATGTGTAGGCATGTGCTGTGTAGACGGTGTGGTGAGGACAGTGTCGTGTTCGGTGCTGTGAGGCGTGCTACGCGCGGGACACCAGGAAGCTGGTTGATAGCAGACTCGCTCGGTGCTGCGTGTGAGACGCGAAATAGGTGCCGATATATATCATGATTTTCATTTAAATCGGTAGTATTTTGCAGGCTCGTTGTTGTGAGACCCCGTCGGGTCAGATCATGAATAATAAGGCAATCTACAGAATGCTGTTGCGGACCCCAGGAGGTACCTAAAGGCAGGTAGCGGGAATGTAACGGCGGGAGAGCTCTTATGTCGGCCAGGACGGGTTAGGATGGGGAAGTTAGGTATGTGAAGCCCTGCGCTGTTAGCTGCCGTAGGTACCTGAGCTTAGGTACCTACTTAACCTCCATCGTAGTAGGCCGCTGCTGTGCCGCCTCCTCCTCCTCCCTTAACCCGTCCCAGTAAGTGCCTAGATAGACGCCCGCCTTAGCTCTCTACACCCCTACCTACCGTACCTACCTCCTATGAGAGGTAGGTAACATTGAACCTCGACGTACGCCTCTACGTCGGTACGTAAGCACCCACGGCAGGCAGGTCATTTACATCCACACATGACGGGTACTACCTCATCATCAGCTAGCTTATAGATAGGTAGATAGGCTAAGTAGGTAGACGTCTATCGTATATACGTGCGCGTATATAATAAGAGGTATATATGTAGGTACATATGCACCAAGGTTGTATACATATCCCGTGGTATGATGCTGCGAGGTTAGGTACCTAAGGCAGGTTAGGTCGGAGGTAAGGTAGGAGGTAGGTAGCTACCTAGGCAGGTAGGTAGGTACCTAGGTTGGTGAGGCATGTGCAGGCTGCTGGTTCGATGCTATCGAGGCAGGCAGGTAACGGTATGTATGAGTATGCAGGTTCGAGTTATGTATGCATAGGTACCTACCTACCTCCTATATACCTAGGTACCTACCTACCTACTTACGTAGGTACCTACACATATACCTAGGTATATACCTTAGGTACCTACATACTTACATACCTACATATACGCACACATACCTACCTACATACCTACTTATGTATGCACATACCTACCTGCATACCTGCATACAGTGCATCCATCGACTCCGCCGGTGTTGCATGTATGCTGCCATGGATGGCACCGTCCACCCTCAGGTACGGGTATTGGTTGCTGGGCGTGTGCTGAGGGCCCCCTGTAGTTGCGCGGTCTGGGGTGCCGGAATAGACTAATAAGAGCAAAACCCGGATTTCAGGGTAGCATGACTATCCACCGGGCTGCATCTCTCACCAAGGCGCCCTTCCATTCAACCACCATCCTTCCCTCTCACCCTTCTTGGCACAGCACCACGGCTCCTTTTTTTCTCTCTTTCTTCCTTGTACGCCTTTACACACAGTCCTGGCCGGCCGTGTCTCGAGCGGCTGGCTGTCCGGAGGATGAAGACAAAAAAAAGAAAAAAAAAAGAGGGAAACCAGGCCAAGCCGTCACCCATCACTTTGACGAACCACTCGCACATAATATTACCGTAAGAGTAGTTTCCTCCGGCCGGCGACGTGTAGCCCAGGATTCGCTCGCACACCTCGCAGAAGTTCGTACCCTGCGATATTTTCCTAACCGATTTTTAGGAGCGAGGGAGGGGATCGAGACGGGGAGAGAGGCGGAGGGCGTGTGGGCGGAAACCCGCCAACTTTTAATATGCTTCCACATCCCATCCCGCCCATCCTCCCGTACATACACATACGCATACATATACGGGTATGTATGTAGGTAAGTAGAACCAGGTATGTGTGTATGTACCTGACACCGTCCACATATGGTACCGCATGCTAAGGGGAGAGGGGGAGCGAGCGAGAGAGAGAGAGATGGGGCGAGAGGGAGAGAGACATTCGACGCTATCGGCATCGCAGAGTGCGCACGGAATATGCAGGTGGGCAAGCACTTATATTATCAGGCGACTAACAAGTCAATCAATTTTCATATCAGGCCTTCCAATACGGTGCATATAGACGAGACAAGGCGGCACCTGCATCATGCACTCGACCGTCTAGGTATTCCAGAATCTGGGATTGTGTCGTGCTTACGGTGCTACAGTGTCCCTCACCCTTTTTCAGCAGTCCGGCTGATGATGATATCTGACACAAGCTGGACTCGGCTAGGTCGTCTCTGTTTTGTCTCTTGGTCGGTCGGAGGAGGCGAGAGCGAGAGGAGAGGAGAGGAGGAGAGAGGGACAGAACGGCGTCCCGCACCCGCACCCGCACCGCGCTTTGCCTGGCCGCCGGTCGCTATTTAATAAGCAGCAGTCGAGCGCGGTAGGGAAATCCTCGACTCCACCACAATGCTACCGCGGTTGGTGATGCAACCGCTGCTGTACCAAAATGTGCTTGTGGATGGGTCATCAGCAATTTTTTTTTTCTTCGAGTGCAAGGTCAAGTTCCGGGCTCACAACCGTTCGAACAGCAAATTGGTCCGAACCGAGTGGTACGGGGTGCGTCGGCGCCCAGACTTGTGATTCGTGTATTACGCTTCCTTCGGTACACGATCGTAGTGGTTTCTTACCACGACTCGCACGCCGACCAGAGAGACTCGCTCTGTTAGCGTTAGGATATCGTGACGCCATCGACCGTCGTGAGAAACCAAGCTGGCTGTCGTCGTGGGACTCGTCTCGGTCTCCCGTTCCAGGCCGCCGGTGACAAGGAAGTCGACGATTCGCAGCTCCAGCGGCCCGACAGATACATACATAAGTAGTGGTGCTTCGTGATGCTCGGCTGCTCGCAATTCCTCATGGGCCTAGTTACGCTGTGTAATTCGATACCTGCGCTGGGATCCAGCGCCATACGGAATTTGGCGCTCTGCCATTAGTGGTCCCTTTACGAAACTGTCGAACGAACCGACGAGCTTCTGCAGAGGTGGAGGAAGCTGACTGACAAGTAACAGCAGAAGACGGGCGACGGCGACGGCGACGGCGACGGCGAACCAGAGGAAGACGAGAAAGGGGAACCGATCGATCATGTGTATTTTCTACCCCTCCATCCTTTCTCTCCCTCCCTCCCTCTCTCTCTCTCTCTCTCTCTACATCTTTCTCTGTCCTGCCTCTGTATCTCGGTCTGTCTGTCTCTGCCTTCTGCCTGTCTCTCCCTACCGGTTATTTGTCACTCTCGCTACTCTGACCCGGTCTCTCTAATTATCTCTCTCTCCCTCTCTTCACACTCTTTCCTCTCTCAATTTCTGCTCGCGGTAGAATGCCGCAGACCACTATCCAGGCCGGTGGATAATGCGCCGCGTTCATGTCACGAATTGTCCCGGCACCCACCGGCCTACAATATAGCGAATGGCGGGGGCAGAGAGTAGTAGTAGTAATCAATGTCGCGCGTGGTTTTCAGGGCTGTCGGAGCATGGATCGTAGCACATACCCATGCTATGCCATCACCCAGAGAGCCCATTTTTGGTGGAGTAGAGACGGCACGGATATTATTGACGCTGGTATGAGCAGCGAGGGAAGAATGTGGAAGAAGCCGTGGCTGAATCGGGTTTGTTTGGAGTTCGTTCGTCCCGCTTTACCCTTACCACTCCCTTCCACCACCCCCCCCCTCCCCCCTCCCCCCGAACGTACAAGGGGCAACGCGGACCTGGCAAGGGCCAGGATGACCCCCCAGTTCGCTAGATCGCGAGCAGGACCAGCGATATCTGTCGCTTTCTGGGTGTGTGTCCCTCTCACGCCCCAGGGGCCAGGACAGCGGGCTGGGAAGGGGACCAGAGGGCCCAAATACTCGGTTTCCACGCCTCAACCGGAACTCGCTTCCAGTTCCACTCCTGCAACTCTGCCGCTCCCAGCTTACTATTTAGGATTAGTTCCCCGGGCCCTTGTTTGCGTGCAACGTCTCTGTCTCCTGTGTTCTATCTGCCGTGCGCCGGCCATTCTTCTCTCATTTATCATTTTCTCCAGCCGAAGTGTCGTCGAGGGAGAGGTCGATCCCGACTTGTTGCTACTGTTCCGCCAGCTAGATCCGCCAGCTAGGCCCGCCAGATTGAGCCCGGCAGCTCCTCTGAGCGAGTCTGTGTAGGTGTGCGTGTGCGTGTGTGTGAGAGCGAGAGCGCGCGAGCGCGTGTGTGTGTGCGTGTGTCGTTCTGTGTGTGTCCTGTCCGTCCTGTCTGCGTATGCGTGTGCCTGTGTGCCTACCGAGTCTTGAGCCAGAGCACTCACAAAAGGGGCTACGCATCCTTTGCTACCGTGATATTCCTCTCGAGGGGATATGCATGGGAAGGACGTGTCTTTACAGCTCTAATATAATCGAGCCAAAAAGCCAGGATCCCGCTACCGTCAGCAGCAATACTTCTACACAAGCTGTTAGACACACGCACTCTCTCCTTTCTTCTCGGCCACCCCCCCTGGCACGCTATCCCTCTCTCTCTTCTCTCTCTCTTATCCGCAACCTCCGGAATAGCCTCCCCCTACTCTCTATACCCACGGCCATCGGGGTATACGCCATTTTTATGTCAACCCGCATCTGCGCTCTCCACCCCCCGCCGAGCTTACCTACCCACTTGGATGCCGATAAGTCGCCTATATCGCAGAGTCGAAAGAGTATAATGCTATAGTTGCACTGCATCTCTAGCAGTCCTTCGGCGGCAAGGATACTCCTGGCCAACTTCTCCCGTGTCGACCTCTCGATACGTTCGTTGTCAACTGCAGATATGTAAATATCCGCCTCCCACCCCAGGAGTTTCCAGTTTGCCCTCCCAGCGTCTCGCCGGGATTCGGGGCCCTTCTAAGCCCAGCTCTGCAGTTCTGGTCGCTACCATACGATTCAACCATCGTTGTCTCAGCCGCCCCCTCGCGTGCATTGAAATATTGCTTGTCGCCTGAAGGTTTTTTGGTCTCGCTTCCGCATACTCGGTATCACCAACCCACTCTGATCAATTCACTCAGCCCACACTGGTGGCATTGGGCCTCGAGGTTAATCTATCTATATAGTCCCGCCGCGGCCTCCAACTGCCAACTGCATACGCCGGCTTCTGCCTTTTATGTCGTTTGCTGTCGTCGAGGTCCCATCGCACGGCGGCGTCTTTTGTAATACCATGGTGGACACTATGGCCAGGCCACCCGACTCGTGGGCTCAAGACCCCTATACTCCACGATATGCACCCTACTATTCCCAAGAGCAGCGCGGGCCGGCGTTGCGTCTGCCTCCGCCATCCAGCCTGGTGACCGGATCACCTACCACTCCGGGCACCCCGAGCGGGCGACAACCGGCAGCTTTCAGGACCAGTCCATACGAAGGCCCGTACGCCGCTTCGTCGCCCGTTCACCAAAACGCACAATCGCCAATGCTGGGCCCGGAGCCGCATCCGACGGCATCGAGTCCTTACGCTAGACGGCCGGCAGAACCGATCAGCCGTCTCCATCCTGCGCTCTCGCCACGCTCTCCAAGCGCCGGCGACCGGCCCGGGGAATTGCCAGAGCACGCCCTGTTTAGGCGACTGGGCAACGAACCGAGTCCCCTCCAAGCTCCCAGGTTGCCTCTGCAACCAAGGCAGATAGGGGGTTCTCCCCAGCAGCACCACCGCTACGCGGAGATTCAATCTGTCAGGCACCATCCGTCGGCGGTTGCTCCTCCCGCTCCCGCTCCCCCTCCTCCGCCAGATTATCAGCACCGAGAGCCCCGCCTCCTCCGGTCTCCGCAAGCGCCAAACCCTCCCCGACAGGTTTGGACGCCTCAGACCGAGTCCCGCGCTCCTGAGCGGATGAAGATATCGGAAATTCTCAGCGACGAACCGAAGACAGGGGACTCGGGTTCCTCGAAGGCTCCCGTCCGTAGGAGGGCGGCGGCGGCAGCCGCCCTAACGTACAGATTGCAGGTGCGGCAGCAGCCGGTGGCGGCGCGGTCATGCGGATTCGGGGAGCGGGACAGGCGCGTGATCGACCCGCCGCCGATCGTGCAGGTGTTCATCGAGGATCCGAAGGCGACGCAGGAAGAGATCCGATCGCAGCCGAAGTTCCGGTTCTCGGTCATGCACTGCACGATCTGGAATGAGACGGGGGACCAGGACTGCTCGGGGATGCCGGACGACTACCGGCAGCAGCGGCGGCTGATGGGGACGATCGTGTCATCGCCGTTTGTGGGACTGGACGAGAACAACGAGGAAGGGTGCTTCTTCTGCTTCCCGGACCTGTCGTGCCGGACGCCGGGCACGTTCCGGCTGCGCTTCAGCCTCGTCGTGCTCGACCCGCACTCGGTCCCGGGATCGCGAACGCCGGTGTGCGCCGTCGCCATGAGCGACGTGTTCACCGTGTACAACGCCAAGGACTTCCCCGGAATGCGGGCGAGCACGGCGCTGACGAAGCGGCTCAAGGAGCAAGGCTGTCTCATCTCGATCAAGAAGGGCAACGAGCGGAGCCACGCGCGCGACGACAGCGAGGAGGAGGAAGACGACGACGACGACAACGGCGGCGGCGGCGGCTCGGGGTCGGCGCAGCGACGGGCGAAACGAGCGAGAAAAACCTGATCCAGCTCGAAGAGAGAGCCTCCCCTATGTTGTTCATCGCGGGTTTAGACATCAGAAGGTGTCACTCATTTTACGACGGCGTTTTATTCTATTGCGTCGGTTCTAGGCAAGACGGCGTGGTAGCTGCACCAGTGCTCCCTCCTTACCCCCCCCCCCCAACCCTATCCCTGGAGGAGACATATCACGCAGTTGCTACCACGCAGTTACTACAGGATCTGGATATATTGGCTTCCGGGGGGGAAAAACACGTCGGTGGATATACGGAAGCGTTACATAACGTTAGGGGAAAATAGGGATATATATACACTACGACTGTTCGCATTCAGGGGTGGACAGCGGCGGCAGCGGTTGAGGGGGGGGGAGGGGAGGGGAGAGCAAATTGGTGGGATTTCTGGTCTGAACAGCGAAGGGGAGGGGGGAGGGTGGCCGGCATGTTTGATTTCTTACGTTGGGACGACCGGGAACTTCTGGACAATGCCTTAGACTCGCTTACCAAATACCCCAATCTCCACGTCACGCTCTGGATAGGCACTCTTGACGAGGGCAGAAGGTGCGTGGAGATGCATGAGAACTGGACGAACAACGGCGGCTGGGACGGGACGGGGAACGTGGCGGGGGACCGGACAGATAATTTGGAATCGAGACGTTTTTTTTTTATTAAAAAAAACCCCTAGCCGTGTTGATCGATAGACTCTACGGCGTACCGTCGTCGCTGCTCTCGCGCCGTGCCCGCCGACGACGACGACGAGTCGACGCTCGGCGTAGGGGTTGGTTGCCGTATTAGGGACTGGGAACATGCGATATACATGTAGGCGATGCGTATGTGGGCGTTCTTCAGCTGTACGTATACCCGGACAAGCATGCAGAAGCAGCTCCTGTCCGTATCTACACATGTGTCTGTATGCAGGTGAGAATACGATTGGACGCCCAGGTCGGCATCTCCCTCTGAAGAACGTCCGACAAAAGTGACAGACGGAGGGGGGGCGGAAGTGACAGAATCGAACGAAACAGAAGACAGGATTTGGAATACAACGAAGAGGGCCGGGGGGGGGGAGGAGGAGGTATGGAGGCCAGCGTGCTGGGCAGAGCAGGACGAGTTGGTGCGTTCCGAGTTAGGTATATGGCATGCTAGCTATAGTCAGCCTGCCTGCAGGGGCGGGCACGCAGGGAGCAGAGAGAGGAACCAGAGCTCGCGAGCTGGCGGCAGCGTTGAAGGAGGGATTGGCAACTCGGAACCTTGGGTGGAACTCCATCACGGTATGACTACCTGATTCCTGGGCAGGGCTGGGCACCGGCCTCAGGCCGGTTACCTGAACGTGCCTAACCTCCAGTGGGAGGAGGGGACCTAAGCTCGCTTACTCCGATCCGTTCCCTCTAGGCGGAATACCGCGCTATCGAGGACCGCGCTCTGCCAACGAACAGATACCTACAGTATTATTGTACCCAAGGTACCTACCTGCCTAGGTACCTAAGATAGAGGTAGGTGCCGTAGGTCTAGGTAGGTACCTCCTCTAGGTCCTGCTGACTGGCTCGTCGTCCCCCACGTAAGATAATATATTAGGAGGTACCGAACCTAGGTCGGTATGTATGTACCTGTCCACCTCCTGGCACGTAGGTAGGTACACCTACGTATGTAGGGAGGGAGCAGAGAGGAGGTATGTACCCGGGTGCCTGCCTAAGGTACCTACATAAGTCCAGCCCAGGTCAGCGAGCCCAATTAGGTACTTTACGTACCTATAAGGCCGCCCAAGAGGCTAGCAAGCGACCAGTTGTAGCGGGCACCCCCGTAGGGCCCGTCGCAGTGCTCGGCGGCCGTTGGCGGGGGGGTGGGGGCCAGGGCAGATTTGGGGGTTCAACGAGGGAAAAAAATAATCGGGCGGAAAATCCCAACATTGAGTTTTTTGAGACACTTTTCCTGTCCGGAGCTTCTCCAAGCCCAATCGCTCCCCCCATCTCACGCCCAGCCGCCACAACGACCTCTAAGGGAAATCCCGCTACCTCCCTCCCCGAGTGGACTGTCCCTAATATCTTCAGATTCCATATCCTTCTCCTCTCGTCGTCCCTCGTCGCAGCCGCATCCGGATCCTCCCTACCCAACGACGGCGCACACCCACGCCATGTTCTCGCGTGCTGCCCTACGAGTCCCGAGAGCGGTAGCGCCTCTGGCGCGCGTCCGAGCCGCCAGGCCCGCCGTCGCCCTCTCTCCCTTCCGTTCCGTCACCACCAACGCTGCCGCCTCGTATGTCGACAAGAGCTCCGTGCCCGATGCCGACGACAAGCCCTTCCAGGTCACCCTGAGCGACGAGAGCTTCGAGACCTACGAGCTCGACCCGCCGTCCTACACCGTCGACGTCACCAAGAAGGAGCTGAAGCAGATATACTACGACATGGTCGTTGTCCGGTATGTGTACCCGCTGCTTGGAACCGGATCGTAGGCCCCGTCGCCGGTGCTGACCGTTTCGCTCGCAGCCAGATGGAGATGGCTGCCGACCGGTTATACAAGGAGAAGAAGATCCGCGGTTTCTGCCACCTGTCCACCGGCCAGGAGGCTGTCGCCGTCGGTATCGAGCACGCATTGACCAAGCAGGACGACATCATCACCGCCTACCGGTGCCACGGCTTCGCCCTCATGCGCGGCGGGACCGTGCGGTCCATTATCGGCGAGCTCCTGGGTCGCCGCGAGGGCATCGCCTACGGCAAGGGCGGCTCCATGCACATGTTCACCAAGGGTTTCTACGGCGGCAACGGCATCGTCGGCGCCCAGGTCCCCGTCGGCGCCGGCCTGGCCTTCGCGCACAAGTACACCAACAGCAAAAAGGCCACCGTCATCCTGTACGGCGACGGTGCCAGCAACCAGGGCCAGGTTTTCGAGGCCTTCAACATGGCCAAGCTCTGGAACCTGCCCGCCCTCTTCGGCTGCGAAAGTACGTCTCGGCGCCCGCCGACCACTTTCTCTCGCGAAGTCGCCGCTGCTAACTCGGTCGCTCAGATAACAAGTACGGCATGGGTACGGCCGCGGCCCGATCCTCGGCTCTGACCGACTACTACAAGCGTGGCCAGTACATCCCCGGCCTCAAAGTTAACGGCATGGACGTGCTGGCCGTACGGGCCGCCGTGAAGTACGGCAAGGAGTGGACGGTGGCCGAGAACGGGCCGCTCGTGCTCGAGTACGTGACGTACCGGTACGGCGGCCACTCGATGTCGGACCCGGGCACGACGTACCGGACACGCGAGGAGATCCAGCGCATGCGGTCGACCAACGACCCGATCGCCGGCCTCAAGCACAAGATCCTCGACTGGGGCGTGTGCACGGAGGATGAGCTCAAGTCGATCGACAAGGACGCGCGCAAGCACGTTAACGACGAGGTCGCTATCGCTGAGGCTATGGCCGTCCCCGACACGACGCCGCAGATTCTGTTCGAGGACATCTACGTCAAGGGCACCGAGCCGCAGTACATCCGCGGCCGCACGCCCGACGAGAACTTCTACTTCAGCCGTTAGATAGTAAAGGGGGGGAAGAGGGGATAAGCAGCGAGGAAGAAGCGGATGGGGCTTCTAACGCGGAGCACAACGACGACGAAACGACACGAGCGAGGGCCGGGGGAGTAAAGGGCAGGGGGCTAGGCGGGGCTGGTAGCCAAGAGGGCAAAGGAGCAGGGAGGGTGAAGGCAACCCTTTCTGGGTCATAGCAAGACTCTGTAAAGTATTCTTTTTATTTTTATTTTTTTTATAGAAGGGCTGGGCTCGTACATCTGGCAGGGCCCCGGAGTCAATTACAAGTGGTGCTTTCGATCACGCCCCTCCACCCCCCCTGCGCGCGATTAAACTAGCTAGGCAGCCAGCAACGAAGAACACCTCTTAGATTTGTTACTAGCCCCCACCCCGTCGCGACGAGCTCAGGAAGGGATACAGAGAGAAGGACGGAGGGTAGCATAGTAATATCAGATTCACCATCTTCCTTCCTTAACCTGTCCGCGACGCGCAAGTTGCAAAGCCCCGTCATCCTAGTCCCCCCCCCGGATAAGCCGCGGGTAGGCAACATCGTGATTCCCGAACCGTAGCATAATATAGCCGGCGCGCGCGCAAGAGGCGCAAGCCAGCCCCTCTCCTCCTCCTCCTCCTCCTCCGTCTCTGCACATATGCACACGCACACGCACACGTACCCCCGGGGGCGGCAGCGGACAAAGCTTGGCCAATTCCGGGCAAACGCCGTCCCTCCCCCGCCCCCCTTTTCTCCCGCACCGCGGTCGTCAGCGTCGCACGTCGTCCCAGCTGCCGAGCCAGCGGCAGCTGCGCGCGACGGCGGCGACGTCGCGCAGGGCGGCGCGCACGCGGCCCTGCGGGTCGTCGGCGCGGTGGCCCTCGAACTCGGCGAAGAAGACGTACTGGAAGGGCGCGGGCGCGCCGGCAGCGCCAGAGCCAGAGCCAGAGCCAGAGCCAGAGCCAGAGCCAGAGCCAGAGTCAGGGCCCAGCGCCGGCCGGCTCCCGATGCTCGTCAGGTTCAGCCCCGCCCGCCCGAAGCACGCCAGCACGTCGGCCAGCGCGCCCGGCGCGCCGTGCGGCACCGTGAACGCGACGAGCGACTTGGTGCGGGCGTAGACGGGCGCGACGGCGGGGTCGTGCGGCGTCGTGGTTGTTGTTGGTGGTGGTGGTGGTGGCGGTGGCGATCTGCGCTCGCGCAGCCACGCCGGCTCCTCGTCCTCCTCCTCGTCCTCGCCGCCGCGGCGCCGCAGCACGAAGAAGCGCGTGGTGTTGTCGGGGCGGTCCTCGATGCCGCGGGCGAGGACGGCGAGGCCGGCGGCTGCCGCCGCAGCGGCGCTGCTGACGGCGGCGCTGGCGCGCGCAGGGTCGGCGGCGGCGAGCGCCGCGGCGCGGCTCGTCGAGCTCGTGTCGACGCGCTCGGCGCCGCGCAGCCGCCGCGCTAGGAACGCGCCGACCTGGCCGAACGCCTGCGGGTGGCTGTACACGCGGCGGACGTGGGCGAGCGACTCCTCGCCGCCGCCGCCGGCGACGGGCGACGGCGCCGGGTCCCGGTACCCCGCCAGGCAGTGGCGCACGGCGACGTACGTCTCGGCGCACACGGCCAGCGCCGCGTTCGCGCCCTCGCGGTCCGCGAACTGCTCCAGCGTCGGCACCACCGCGCCGTTCGTCGAGTTCTCGAACGGCACCACCCCGTACGTCGCGCTGCCTGCTCGCGTCGTCGCGAAGACGTCTTGAGTGTCCCCCCCCCCCCGGTGTTAGTTACCTAGTCCTGGGGCGAGAGAGAGAGAGAGGCGGAGGGGAGACAGGCCGGGAAGTGGCAGAGAGAAGAAGAGAAAAGAAAAGGGGCGCACCTGCGATCGTCGCGACGGGCTTCAGCTCGAACTCGTCCGCGGAAAACACTTGCAGCGTGGCCTGCGCCGCCGTTAGCTCCGCGTCTGCACCCGCGTGCGTTCCCCCCACTTGGGGGTAAGAACTAATCGCCGCCCGTACCTGGTGCGTATAGGACGTCTCGGGCCCGAGGAAGCAGACGACGGGCTTCTTCGCGCCCGGGCTGCTGCTGCTGCTACCCTCCGGCGCTGGCGGCGGCGGCTCGCCGCTGGTCGACCCCATCCTGGCTCCCCAACCTGCGTGGTCCTCGCGCGCGTCGTGTTCGGCCGTGCGAGCTCGGAGAGTAGCGCTGGCCGGTTCAGGTTCACGTGTAGAGCGGGAAATAAGCGCCAATCGCAACAACCTGCAATCGTGGCGGCCCTGCTCCGTCTGTCTGTAGATGCAAAGGTTTGTCGTCTCTCTGGGGACGACGGGGCGCAGTCGGGCTGCTTGCTTTCTTCTCCTCGCGACGGCTAGTTGCTGTGTCCCATGGCATATGCCCCTTTTTCTACCCCCCCGAGGCTGCGGCGTGTCACAAAGAGGAGGGCTTTCATGGGGGTTTTTTTTGTGGAGGTGACATTTCCGGTGGCCGAATTGACGCCGAGGATTGACTAGACGGCCCTAACGTCAGGCAGGTATACGAGCGGTATTCCCGATGATATCACGCTACATGGCCCGAGTCCGCTTCGCTGCTAGTATCTAAGCGTCTCAGCACCCCGAGGTAAGTCACTCGCAATACCACTATATTTATGGTAATTAGCACACGTAATTGTCCACTCCCTCCTCTCCCATGGTTTTCCCCCCTCACATTTGGTTATTAAGAGGACTCAATTTGGTCGACAGGACTTGTTGAGAGAGAACTGAGGGTGGACTTGGCTTTGCTGTCACCTACACGTACCACTATGACATTTACGCATTGCGATAGATAGCCGCGAAAAGCACCCGCCGTGATTACAAGCATCTGTCTGTCTTCCTGCGTAACGAGCGACTGGTTTGGTTTATTGCACTATCTACTAGTCATCCGTCTCACACGGGCCATAACGAGCGGAACGAGTAGCCGTGGCTGCTCTAAACCCATTTCGCAAACACTGTGCATCCCGGAGTGCACACACAACGCCGGTGCGCAAGCGTCCGGTATGCGAAGAAGTAAAAATGTTTCTGTACTCTCATGTCAAGGAAGTAGTGAGGCTCCAAATTGGCAAGTCGAACTCTACTACTTAAAAGGGTGACGCCCTATGATGGAGGCAGGCCCAGCATTCTGGATTTTTGATAGACCCCCGGTATAGCATCTTCCCAGCGCTGACGTTAGTTTCGAGTGATAACAGAGAGGCAAGCAAGGGGGGGGGGGTGAGGGTGGGGGGCCTATCATTATCGTACCTCCTTTCTGTGCCATCGGTCAACTCAAGCCGTCATCATAGAGCGAAGCGGACTGGGTGTCGTGACCTGGTTCGCCGGGCCGGATTTCATCAGGCGTCGTTGTGCAAACGAAGCCGCTGTTGGCTTGCGCGCCCGTCCCGGCGCCAGCTTGGGCTTGGGCGCGGACGCGGGCGGTTGCGGCAGAGGACGCCCCGACTCTTTCACGACAAATGTCTGCTTAGACGGGACTGCTTGAGCTTGCCCCTCGTCAAAAACGAGGGATTCCTCAAACTACGCCGAGATCTAGGTCAGCCACACGGCACGTAGGCATAGAGAGAGAGGAGCGGGAAGCGAGAGTACTGAGCAACGCCCTCTTCTCTGACCGTGCGATATTTTAGAACATAGCACGATGAGGGAGCGCGCAGCATATATCGCTGTAGGGGTCATACCGAGGCACTAGGATGGGTGCTCATACCTGTCAATCGTCATAGTAGTCGTCGTCGTCATCCACTTCGGCTAGCTGCTCGAAGTTTACCTTGTAGCGCAGGATACCACCTACGCCACCGAAGCCCTTCACGAACTGATTGCCCTCGGTCGACCTATCCGATACGAACTCTAGGTTCGTTCCGAAGTCCTTGTAATGTTCGGCAATCCACTCGAGGAAGGACTCCTGCGCAACCGCCTCCATTTCCTGACCCGTCTCCTTATCCATGAAAGGGGTTCGGTCGCCCGTCTCCTGCTGCTTTGTCGTGTGGAGGACGATCTCGGAGCCGTTACTGTCCTTGAGGACCCAGCGTGTGATTTCGAGGTTCTCGAATACGATCAGAGTCTCGACGGCGCCGAGATCTAGTGCCTTGAGCGTGTCCTCGATACCGTAGCAGACCTTGCCGGTGTCCTGGCTGATCTCCTCGAAGTACTTCCCGATCAGTTTCTTCTCTTGGATAAACTTGACGTTTCCTAGCGTTTCGGAGGACAACTCGATGGCCTGGTTAAAGCCGTTCTCGCCACCGTACGACACGTCGACGACCTTGATGACCTTGGTCTGCAATCGATTATCGAACATGTCCGAGGCATTGAGGTCGTTCTTGAAGTCGGCAGAGCCAGCGAGGATGATACCAGCAACGTTGACCTTGTCGGCGGTAATGAAGTTCTGGACGGCCAATTCGGCCACCTTGCGGACGTAGTTGTGGCGCTTCTCGTCACGGAGACGAGCGAACCGGAGGGCGGACTGTCCACCACGGCCGTGCTTTTTAGGGAGATCGACAGAGAATTTGTGGACCACGTCACGAGTATTGCCGCTAAGCGTGCCGAACAGGGCTCCGTTGCCATCCATGACGATAAAACCAAACTTCTGATCGGACTCGAGCAGTTCGGCCAAAGCCTCGGTGTGGAACTTGTTGTCGCAGAGGTACAGGGACGTGTTGATAGGCTTGAAGGGTTCGAAGTCGATGTTGACCTTCCTCTCCTTTCCTTCTGAGGTCAAGATTTCGCCGCAGTAGACGACGAGACCGTTGGGGGGCACCTTGTTGTACAGCTTAAGTCGCTGCTGGGTCGACGTGATGGCGGAGAGGACGGATTGTCGGTTGACACGAGACTTGATGTTCGAGGCGGTTCCCTAGTAGCACAGGTCGGTCAGGCTTACGGTACCATCGACGAGCTAGATGGGCGCCGACGAGGCGAGCAAGGGAGATGGCACGTACGTATTCTTCGGCCAACATCTTAGCGGCGCGTGAGATCTGATCCTTGGGAGCTGTTTCCGGGCGTCAGCCCCGGGTTTCCTCAGCCCATCGTCACGACGGGAGGGGGGGTAAAGGCGCCGCGTACGGATAATGAGGGAGATCATGCTTGTGCCGTTTCCTCTAGCGGCCTCAAGGCGCTTGATCAGCTTCTTCACCTTCCATATCTCGATCTGCGCACGCAAGAATAGTTAGATTGCCATCTACAGGCGGGAGAGGCGACGGGGGATATGGTATTAAATAGTTGGTAGGTGGGGGAGGAGTGGAGGAGCGGAGGGGTGACGATGGTGAGGCTGCCCCTTGCAGGATGGCGAAGAGGAGGATTATGATGCTGTGCGTACGTACGTTCTTCTCGGCCTCGGTCGCCTGAGCGTCACTCATCTTGGTTTGAGGGTAATGAGCGATCTACGATACGGTCTTGCCTGCGTGGAGTGGTGCTTCAGTCGGTGAAGATCGTATCTAGGGGGAGAAGGGGGGGTAAGAAGTTGGGTGAAATTTTGTGGTTGAAAAGGAAAGCGAGAAAAACGCAGGCAGCGCCAGGGCGGGCCCCTCTGGGGGAGGTTCCAGGCGAGGAGACGGCATGTTGACAAGGGATTGGCCGATGATATTATGTAACCGGGGGAGCCAATCACGGGGCCCTGCAGCCCCCTATGCTAGGTACCATACAGGGAGGGGGGGGTCTACGGACAGTATGTCAGCCATAGAGTCGGGGTACCGACACGGTAACAAAATCTAGTAAGGGTTACCTTAGCTAGTCATTCTTTCGGAAGGGCTAAAAGAATTACAGCAAGGGTCGCGGTACCGACCTTATTACCTTCCCTTCTTATAATTTCAGGATGGTTTTTATAACTACGTAGGAACCAATGTCCAGACGGATATGACAATATCCAGACGGATATAATGTCTATATATTCCATAGGTACCTACCTACCTACCTACCTACCTACCTACCTACCTACCTAGACCTACCTACCTAGACCTGTTGTCTTCATCTTTTTTCTACATACCATGATCTACTACCCATCTTCGAACCTATCTACGAACCTATCTACGAACCTATCTACGAACCTATCTACGAACCTATCTACGAACCTATCTACGAACCTATAGGAGCCAGTTCGGGCGCGTAGAATCTATCTATCTTCGAACCTATCTACGAACCTATCTGCGAACCTATAGGAGCCAGTTCGGGCGCGTAGAATCTATCTATCTTCGAACCTATCTACGAACCTATCTGCGAACCTGTGGGAGCTAGTTCGCGCGTGGAATCTATCTATCTATCTTCGAACCTATCTTCGAACCTATAAGAGCTAGTTCAGGCGTATGGAATCTATCTATCTTCGAACCTATCTGCGAACCTATCTGCGAACCTATCTGCGAACCTATGGGAGCTAGTTCGCACGTAGAATCTATCTATCTATCTTCGAACCTATGAGAGCTAGTTCAGGCGCGTGGAATCTATCTATCTTCGAACCTATCTGCGAACCTATGGGAGCTAGTTCGCGCGTGGAATCTATCTATCTTCGAACCTATCTACGAACCTATCTACGAACCTATCTACGAACCTATAGAAGCTAGTTCGCACGTAGAATCTATCTATCTATCTTCGAACCTATCTGCGAACCTATCTGCGAACCTATGAGAGCTAGTTCGTACGTAGAATCTATCTATCTATCTTTAAACCTATCTTCGAACTTATAAAAGCTAGTTCAGGCGTATAGAATCTATCTATCTTCGAACCTATCTTCGAACCTATAAGAGCTAGTTCGCGTACGTGGAATCTATCTATCTTCGAACCTATGGGAGCTAGTTCGCGCGTGGAATCTATCTACCTATCTTCGAACCTATCTTCGAACCTATGAAAGAGGTAGGTAGGTAGGTAGGTAGGAGGTTAGGAGGTAGGTAACAGACGTAAAAGATACAAAGGTACAAAGGTACGTACTTAGTAACATAGAGGTAACCGGGTAATCCTATAGAATGTACCTTTTTTTAAAATAAAGACATTATATCCGGATGGTAACTATGTCGGGAAATGGTAATAATGTCAGCCTAGAGTTTAATTCACTCTTATCACGAGGCAGACACTATGTCCAGTCATAGAAAGGGTTGCTGACATAGTGTCAATAGACCCCCCCCTCCCTGTATGGTAGGTAGGTAACCTGGTAGGTACCTGGGTCTGCATGTAGGTCGGGTTAGGTACCTGGTAGGGTAGGTACTTTATTTTAGGGCACCCTTTGTGGGCGAATGACGTGTGTGCTCGAGTTAGAGCGTTACATGAAGCCAGGTATCTCGTAGCCTCGTATTGTGGTGTGGGTGGCTCAGGGCATAGACCCTGGGGGCCAGGTGTGGCGCAAGGACCATGGCTGGCCGCCGTTAGGGGCCGGCGCCGGGTTAGTAGCAGCCTGCTGACTAATCCAGACTTCTCTCTTGTCACTTGCCCCATGCCCGCACTGACCCCGACACAACCGCCGATCTGGCTGACCTCTTTGACTCGCCCCGAAAAATGGACCTGCTTACTACCTCTGACTGCTCTTTGGGCCAACTGACCGAGCCATTCACCACGCCCATCTCGAAAACAACACTTCAATCGAGATTTGCTCGTGAGCTTTGGCTGTGAGAAGCGGCCCCCCCCCCCTTCGCAGCCCATGAGGCCCGGCAAAGCTACATACATATATGATCTGGTGGAGTAGGCGTATGGCGAGAGGAGGCCTTGCATTCATTTCCGCCCCTTATCGCAAGCATCGTACCGATCACTTCGTCCGATCTGGACTGAATACCCCGAGACTGGCTCTACCAAAATCCTATTTAGTCGCGTTGGGTTTCCTTTTTTTTATGGAAAAAATCCCTCTTCACAAGCCCGGTTGTTGGCATGTCGGGGGCCTAGATGTGATGGCCCTATACGCGTGGCGGATATGATGGAACTGTAGCCGGACGCGGTCGAGCGACCGCTCCCAGTTGTCACCCACCCCTCCTCCCCGTCTCGAGGTCTGCATCGCCTCTAACTCATTTCCTAAGCTGAAGATTAACTCGGATATCCTTGCAGCCTCGTGAGTAACTAACGCAAAGTATAGCGAATGTGAATTTTTACCGTGTGGGTGTATGGGATATGCTACCAGCGGTGCAATCCCTCAACCCTGCTCGGCCTGGATGTTGTCAATAAACCCGCCACGTTAGCGTTCGCTGGCCGTGCAAGCCTAGAGACAAGCCCAAAAATCACCCCTGAGGCGGAAATCCTGCCAGCAATGAGTCATGGCATGGGGGGGTTCGGCGCATCTCCAGGTGCGGAAGTCCCCCGCGTGTGTGCCGTGGGCAGAGGCCGGCAAATACCCAGAGAAAATGGCATTTTTTTCGACAAGAAAACGGCCATCTGCATCGAATTGCTGCCGAGCGACGCGGTAGAGCGGTTCGTGCCTGAGACTCGCTCCCCGAGGCTGCTAGGCCGTGGCCTTTCCGGCGGCCTCTCTTGCGCGGGTTGGTCTGAGCGTCTGCGAACAGAGTCGTCATCCTCGAAGGGCACGCTTCGGGTGGTTTTTGGTGGTTCGTAATAGCTTCAATTTCGAGGCGGCCTCGGCAAGAAATCTGCCGGTGACGGCCTCCGGCTCCAAACCGAAGTGGAGCTAAGCGACTGGGCCAGTCACCGCAATGTAACGGCAAGGCACGGAACGTATGACCACACGCCGGAATACCAACACGATGCACGATTGAGTCAAGGTAGGGCTTGTTGTGGTGGGATCTACCCTTTTTACCGGTCACAACTTACTGCACAACATAGTGGTGGCGTCGCTGCCCACCGCTCTGAAGCACCGGTACATCGACTCCATCTCCCGGTGCGAATCGATGTTCTTTCGTGTTTACGATGCTAAGCCTGCCCAGCCGACCAAGCGACGGACACAGAGCGAGAATTTGGCGGTAGGATTGCCAGCAAAATGGCTCGGGTCCCGGCGATGAGGCTTCGAAGGCAGTTCTTCTCCACATGCGGGACTAGCAGTCGCATAGATACGCTTATGGCTGATGCTAGCTACGGATGGGGAAGACTGTGGCTGGGTTGGACCGTAAGACACAAACGGGCTGGCGTGCCAGAGGGAGGGGGCTAGAGGGAGGATGACGATGGGAGACGGGCAACAAAGAGGTGGCTCTGTGTGATGCTGGCGGTGGGATCTATCCGGGTGCCCTCGACAGCGTTGACGGGGGGATGTGCGGAGAGGATAGGCTGGCTCGGCTCGGGAGAGGGAGAGAAGGCGGAGAGGGAGAGGGGGAGGGGAGAGGGCTTGGAGGCAGACGGGCAGGTCGAGCGCGTATATGTAGGTATGTGCTGTATGTAGCTACATACATAGGTAGATAGAGATGTTTTGTTATGGCTATACATGTTCCCTGCCCGCTGGGCTGCCCGACAGCACTGTCGCTCCCACCTATCAGATCCGATCCTCGCCCTGGTTGACGTGCGGCTCAAGCCTAATCAGGGTGGATTTTTTAGCGTTTTCCCAATTTCCTGTGCAGCTCGACCTGACAACTCGACCTCGACCTGCTCAACCTCTCGATGCTCCACCACCCACCACCCGTCCATCCCACCCACCTCGCCCATCTTCCACCTTGCCCTCTCCCTCTCTTCCCGCAACCATCGTTGCTGCTGCTCGCCTCACCCCTCGCACGCCTTTACACGTACACGCACCCATACCGTCCACGTATATACTCAGCACCTCCGTATACGGCCAGCCATTTCACCGCTCCGCATTGACGCCGACTGCCCGACACGATGGCGGACGACGACTCGAGTGAGCTCTCCTCCATCTCGTCGCTGTCGTCAGCCCCTTCCCAGGAGGATAGCGATATCCAGCTGAAGCGGGAGAAGGGCATCCTCAAGTTCTTCCACAAGCTGCCCCCGGGAACGAAGCCCAGCGAGCCTGAGAAGGCGGCGTCCCCTCCGCCGCGCAAGCGATCGCCCTCACCGCCGCACGAGTACATATTGGCGGACAATCCCGACATATCAGTACGTGGCGACGCCGGGGTCGCGTCGAAAACGCGACATGTCGCGTGAATTCACGAGCTAACCGTGTCCTAGTTCATCGTCATGTTCCGCAGCCGGTTCAACGACGCCCTCCCAAAATCTCTAGCCAACTTCGGCCCTCAAGAACTCGAGCGCGACGTTACCGAACCCATCCCTGGCGAGCGCGTCGAACACTTCCTGTGCGCTGTCCTGGGCTTGCTGTTGAACCGAAAGCAGGATGTCAAGTATGGCTTCCCTCCCCGCCTAAGACACCCCAACCGACCCCTCAAGCTAAGCATTACGCGAGAGCACGGATTCTAACACGATAATGCAATTAGGCCTGGTCATTATAATCGCGCCTTGGAGGATGCCATTAGCTCCCATAAGAACCAATGGGCGCGAGATTGGGAGGATACCAATCCCCTAGCTGGGGGGAGGACCTTCACCTCCATGAACCCCACCGAACGAGTACGTTTTTCTTCTCGGTATTCTTTTTAATACATCATGACGAGATGTTCTGTGTCGTATTCATAGAAGGGGATCGCGACGAGAACTAACGCGATTAATCGACATAGCTTGTCCTGCTGCGAACCCTCGTTATGTGGACGCTGTCGTCCTCCGAAGTTATCAAGGGCATCATCAACCAATCCTACAAGGGCCAACGCCATGAAGACGACCTCAACCAACCCTTATCAGTGCAGCCGTGGGGTTCGGACAGCGACAGGCGCCGCTACTACCTCATAGAAGGCCTTGACGATACCAATTTTCGAGTTTATCGGGAGAGCAACCCTGCCGGCTTCAGCAGGACGTGGTGGAGCGTGGCCGGGGACATCGATGAGCTCAAGGCGCTGGCGGACAAGCTGCAAACCGCAGATGGCGGCCCGAAGGCCAAGAAACTTGCGCTGAAGATGCTCGCAGCGGTGCCCCGCTTTGAGGCCACCGAGGAGAAGCGAAGGCGACGCGAGTACCGACTCATGCGCAAGGAGCAGTTCAAGCGCCCTGAGCCTGGGTTCTCCATGTATGAGGGCCGGACGAGAGGCAAGCGCATGAAGTATACTTATTCTGATGACGAGGACTTCTTGTCCGACTCTACGTCCGTGCGACGATCAACGCGCAACACTCGCACCCACACACCGGCCGACCCCGCCCCTCCTGTCACCACCGCGAGCGGCCGCCAGGTCAAGGCCCCGTCGCGTATGACGGTGGATGCATCCAACAACATCGTCACCACAAGCCCTACCGCAGCCGCTATCGAGAACGGCGACGTGACAAGGGCGTCAGAGGAGTCTTCGGCCGGACCCGGTGGCCGACCTCGTCGATCCGCAGCCGTCCACCACGGCACCAACGGCTGGGCCCCGTCTTCAAAAAAGAAGGGGAAGAACTACGATGCCATGGATGAGGATGAGGATGAGGATGATGACGATGATAGCTCGCCCGATCTAGGCGATGATGAGGATGACCATATCCCTGACGGGGAAAGTGAAGAGGAGGACGAAGAGGAGGACGAATTCGATGAAGACGAGGAGATGGTCAATGACGACCTCGCCGATCACAACGCCGGCCCCGCGACGGATAGCATGATGGTCAAGCTCAAACTGCCGTCAAAGAAGACGCCAAGCACCAGTGCCACCACTACTACTGCCAACGGCTCGGCGATCGACCTCAGCGAATACCGATATAACGGCGGCGGCAAGAAGGAGACAAAAGGTTCGACGGTGTCACCCAGATCACGATTATCCTCTGACGAGAAGGACGAGAAGACTGAGGAGGTGATATCGGTGGCGACAACCAATAAGGACAGCACCCCGAAACCCGCCCGGTCGTCTTCGTCTCCAGCCCCTACCTCCGCTCCCGCTTCGACGGGCGAGAGCGGCGGCAAAGGCAAGGAGCCGCCACGAGAGCGCCGACGAACGCCGTCGGCCCCCGCTTTGAACTCCCTGCAGCAGTCGACCTCTCTGGCTTTTAGAGAAAGCCCGGACAAGGCTCAGCAGAAGCAGGAGCAGCAGCCGCTGCCGAAGCACGTTGACGTCGGCGCTGGAGATTAGATTCTTCTCTCTTCGTCTCTCTGCCTAGGGATCACCATGCCCATTTCTTGTTTTCGAATGGGTGCGCAGGGAACTGCCAGCCTAGCCCTAGCAGCAACAGGCGTATACCCGTATGGGACACATACACTATATTCGTTTCCCTCTCTCTCATATATACATCCTGTATCCACCCATTTTACGCACCCTACTATTCGGATTGGACCGGATTGTCAAGAGTGGCTGGTATAAAGCAGCGGGAAAGCAATGTTACATTGAAATAAATGAGAGAAGAAAACTCACAGAGAAAAAAAGGAGGCGTAGGAAGAACGTGCTGAATGCATAGACCGTTGAGTTGAAGAGACGGTCTGTTTGGAAAAGCGGCCAGTTCTGTTCCCAGCTTGTCCTCGTGAGCATGGAAGGAGGGAGCAAGGCGAGAAGAAAAAAAGGTGGACGGTCAGCGGCTACTACTACTATTACTACTACTAGGATATGGTTTGTTACCGCTGTCTGTGCCTTTGGATGTTCATTCTCCCAGGCCACAGCATGGGCGGAAAATAGAAGGGAAAGGGGCTGGAAAAACAGGCAGGCAGGCAGGACTATGTGTGTTAGAAGGCCACCCTCAACGCCTCCTCGCTTCCGTGAATATGACACGGTTAGGGGCAAGGAGAGCCAGGGAAAATCACAAGCATGTACTCAAACATACGGCGTGTATGCTACCGCCCCTAGACTAAGCGACTTGTCCATTCAGCCTTCTATTGATCTCTAGCCGTGATCCCCCAGTGCGCATTTGTATGTAAGGCCACTACACACCCACTCTCTACATGAATAAATTCCCATAACCCAGCATTAGGTACCACCCCTCCTGTTCTGTTCCCTGCACTCGAGCGCCAACCAATCTAGTCGGGCAAGTTTCGTGTCGTCGGCAGCGGCGGTGTCTGTGGATGGCAGTCGCAGGCTCGGAGCGTCGGGGTGGGGAGGACAGGACAAGGAGACGGATCCCGGAGGGAGGAGGGGGGCTGGCTTCACGGGTTGCTCCGCCTGCTTCCCTACTCTTCGCGGGGCAACGCACGCCTCTCCCTCGCTGGGCCGGCGCGCGGCCGCAGAATCGGGTCGAGTTCGATCTCGCAATCCCTCTCGATGCGCCGTACGAGCCTCTTTTCTCGCTCGGCGAACAATATGCGTGAAAAGCCAGTGTCAGAAACGCGTCTGTTCTCTCTATTTTCGATCGTATTTTTTTTTCCTTCTCTCTCTCTCTCTCTCGGTCTCTGTTTCTGTCTACTTCTCTCGCCTCGCCGCCATTTTGTGACGGGTTTGCGTCTTGCGTCCTCGTCGCTACCAGCTCCGCTGGACGAAGACCTCCCTCTTGACGCCGCCCGAGGCGTGCGACGCCCGCGGCAGGGTCCAGTTATTCACCTCGTACCACCAGCGGCGCAGCCGCGCGCCGGCCGAGCCCCCGCTGAGCTGCGCGTGCCGGTTCCAGTGGTGCCACCCGCAGAGCGCGAGGTTGTACAGGACGCCCTGCGCGAAGGGCATCATCATCTGAGGGGCGGCCGGCCGAGCGGTTAGCCCTGTACGAGCGGGGTGGGGGGCGAGGGAGGGAGGGGAGGAGGGATGCTGTGCGTCGGTATAGTATAGGTGGGTATATATACCTGGTCTCGGACCGTGATCCACCCAACCTTCCACCACGAGTTGGCCTTCGCGATGCTGTGCAGGTAGCTCTGTTCGAACCGGAGATCGGGCATGGGGCGGAACGAGTGTTGCGGGGCGCGCGGGCGCGGTCTCAGCACGCTAAGCGGGATGTCGTCGTCGTCGTCTTGGTCGAGCGCCTCGCTATCGCCGTCGAGGTCGTCCTCGCTGCTGCTCGCCAGCTCCGTGTCGTCGATGGAGCCGTGTCGGCCGTGGCGCCGGTGCTGGCGCCGCCTCAGGCGCACCGGCTGGTTCGTGGACGCGGCCGTCGACGGGTTCACGCCGTGCTGCGCCGACGGGTGCCGCCGGATGTGTGCCGTCTGGATCGTCTCCGCGACCTGCGTCGGTATGCTGCTGCCCGACATCGTCCGGCGCTTCGTCTCCGGGGAGGAGGCCAGAGGAGGGAGGCGGTCCTGTTGAATTAAAAAACGGTCCCCTGCTACGTAGACAGGCAGGACGAGACCTTGGACGGGGCGGGTGCAAAGAGGGCGGGAGGATTGGGCAGTGAAGAGGGGAAAGAGATGAGCTTTCAACTCAATATGTGCCCGTTTTCTTCGATGGTTCACTCGGTTTCGGGTTGGCGGAGATGACGACAGACTAGTTGAACTTCTCGATAGACGCATGCATACTTGAGCCTTGTAAAACGGTACACAGAGATCTATGCATATAAGCCATACTTTCAATTACCCGAGCGATAGGAGCCCGACTACCTAATTCACCCCTTACGTAAGTACAGTACGGTCTGGTCAAAGGTGACTGTCCTTCTACCTAATCGTAGTGCTGCACTCTCCCACGTCAAGTCGTATAACGGCCATGTGGCTCCGGCACATCACGGTCATCGTAGCTTCGGAGAAAAAGACTCTGTTGTCTACCTACCTATAGTTTGCCTATCCTCTGCTTCGTCCATCCCCCAGCTGGTGCTGACCCTACTAATAAACCCCCTTACACGAATACCTAAGCGAGAGCCAGATCGTGCATACACCGAGAGGGGACAGCCCGACGAGACAAGACAAGAGGCAAAGGCTTAACACATAATATTATCAGTAGTTCCCTTGCCTGCGGGGAGCACCAGACTACACCGTCTGACGGCATCTCTCCTGGGACGAAACCCAGGCGGGGAGGTCGTGAAGCCACATCTACGCAGCGACCCCCCGTTTGCAGTGACTGCTCAAAGGCCTCGGGTCGAATTTAAGAGGTTCTACCTCTATAGGCTCATCGGAAGAGTGTTCTCATCGGCCGCCGGGGAGTGCTTAGGTTCCAGTGTATCGTGGTTCGACTCTGCCCCGTCTTCCGCCGTTACCGTCGTAGATTCTGACCCCACAACTGTCGATTCCCTGCCATCGCATTCCTCCTAGTGCTGTGCGAGATTGGGCACCTGAGATTTCCAGCCTTCCATCGTATCCTGCAGCGGGAATATAATTATGTCCGGACCGTAGTCGTAGGTTGGTACGACCGAACCCATGGGGAATAGTACGATTGCCCGGGTTTGGCGGATATACGCGGCAAAGGGCGCGAAGTACGGGTGGAATCGCCCGCACAAGTCGGTGACGGCAGCCTTGAAATTGGGATAACATAACTTCGACCAGGGCCGTTGCGTGTCTCGAGTTTCCGGGACGAATACACATACCGTCTCGGCGCTAGGCCGGCCTCGCTCTTCGGCGCCGGGGCTAACGGCTGTTTTAGCTAACTGGGACACCGCGCTTCGCATAGAGAGAGACGTTTCCAGGATGGTGTCCAGCCACTCTACCGGAACCTTCGATGTGTCGGTTGCGTGAGCTGTATCTTTGTCGACTTCATCCAGACAACCAAAGCATCCCGAGTCTCTCGAAGGTGCGGGATTGCCGCCGGAAGCCCATGCCCGGATGGTCTCTTTTTCTCTGCAGCCTTCCAACTCGAGACCCTTGCGACCGGCGGGCGAATTCTCCACGGTCGTGACGGACTGGTCGGCCATCTGCTCGTCAGCCCCTCCTCCGACCTGTTCTAAACATAGGGTCAGCATTAAATAAACAGAGCACCCCAGTGCCGTGCCCCCTAGTGAGTACGATGGGCCTCGCATCCGAACACGCCTATACAAGGAGTGAGAATACGAAACGAGCAAGTGGCTCTTACCAGGCGTGTTTACGCTAAATGTGGCATGAAACCCATCGAATATTCCCATATCGAACTGCCTGTCCGGCGATCGGTCTTTGACTGGGATGCCCGTGTTCTTACCGGCGTCTACAGCCATGTCTTCCAGCCTAGGTAGTTTAGGGATGGAACCGTCGTCGTCGGGCAGCTCGAATATCTGGCCGAAGCTATTGCATCGTCTGCGGCCGAGGCCATTGCCACCGGCCCGTGAAGAGCGGCAACACTGCACAGTAGCGTAACGTCGCGATCTGCTCGGGGACAGCCGAGCGTCCACGGACGAGCGAATGCCTCTGAGCGACGACGACACGTAGCCGATCTTCTTACTAATTTCCCATAGCCGCGAGTCCTGGTCCTCGCTTTCTCGACAGCGGGGACGGTTGGCGGAAAAGCGGTTCTTCACCGACGACGAGATGCTGCTGATGCTCTTCCGCAGCCGAGACTGCGGCAGCTCGCCGGTTTCCAGGTGAGCGGCTCCGGATTCGCGCGCCGCCAGATGCGGCAACCTGCGGCTGAGACTTTGAGCGAGCCGCTGGCGCAGGGTGCCCTGATCGTTGGCCGTGAAGTTGCACAGAAGCCCAACATGTCGGGACGCCGTCGGGTCGACCCAAGGCTTCAGCGACGCCGGCCCCGGGGGCAACTTAGAGCGCCTGTCCGCTCTCGCTCGGAAGTTGAGCATCCTTGCGAAGTGCGACCCGTAGCCGGAAGGCGAGGGACACGGACGAGCCGGGTGAAGCTACTAGGCGCCGCCGAATAGGATGTTTCTGGGCGTCCGAAAGGGTAATAGCGACGAATACCAGCCTACGGATATAGACGGGGACCAAACGACGGGAGGAGGGATGAAAGCGAGCAAGCTCTGTGGGCGTTGTTATGCTTGGGTACGCAATCCGCCAGCAGGACACTTCTATTACTGACTGGGACATAGGTAGAGATTTGGACCAACTCGATAGTCGATACTTCCATACTTACTCGCCGAGTTCTACGATAGCGGCGACCGCCTTCATTCGGGACGCAGTCGGGCCTGCCTACTAGCCGCGCCCTCATTATATATACGATGCCTCCACGTAAGTAGCGATGACGGCCGCGTCTAGGAGGAGGTAGGTAGGTAAGTAGGTAGGGTTGGTATTTAGTAGTGACTTCCGCTCATAAGAGTGTTCTTCTACCTAGGGGGTATTCTTTTGGGCCTGTTTCTCAAGGAACCCATATATATAAATACAGCTGATTCTTATATTAATCTAGATATATAAACGTGCGTGCGTATGCTGGTGGTCCACGCTAGATACGCGTGCGCATCGCCGTAGAAGTCGGATAGATGGAGAGCTACCGGCGCTTAGCTGCCTCACGGCCTTGTTCGTCTCGACTTCTCTCACTCCCTTGTGCGGAATCCTTGTAGCCACGATCGTTCTTCTCGGGGTACCAGTCCTCCTCCTCCTTCTTTTCGTATTGGTCTTCGTCTTGCTTGTCGAAGCCCTGGCGGAATTTGGGATACTCTTCTCTCATATTTTCGAAGTGGTTGACGACGACCCTGGTTAGGCTATTCCGCCTCCGACCGATCGTCTTGTTCGCCATACGCGCAGGTATCATGTTGTCTGTTACGAGCCGGTCGCAAACGGAAATCATCTGCCGAGCGAGAGCGATCACGTCCATTTTCAAGGCCGACCCGGTCCGTTGATCCTCGCATCTTCTGGCCAATAACATGTAGTGCTTCCAGACGGCGTCGATAGCTTTGTAGAGCTGCTTGCCGTATGCCTTCAAGGCAGCCTCGCGGTCGCCTTTGGCGTCCAGGAAGAAATGGCGTTTATTGGCTTGCGCCACGATGAGATAGGTCCTAAGGGTTGGCGCATCGGCATCTCGAAGCCTCTCAACCATTATGTTCAGCACCTCGGTGGCGTGACCGAAAGCTAGCCGATTGAGATTGTTCCTCATACAAGTGTTCATGGGCAGCCGGAACGTTCTCAGCCCTACGAATTCGGCGGGCATGGCCCGTAGCCATGATATCACCCCGGCGCTATCACACCCGCGATGGAGGGCTTTAAATAGCTGACGCCAGTTATCGGCATCGGGTACGACCTTGTGATGATGGATGAAATGCCCCCAGTAATGCTTGGTTCTGGAAGTTCTGCGGCTCCTCTCGAGTGCTTCCAGGATAAGAGAAAGCGAGTTGTTGCCCGGCTGTGCGTAGGGGATATTATGTAAGTTGGTCGACTTCGAGCCCCCGGGGATGTCGGCTACCGGCATCGCAGCCCTGCCTACGGAAGGGATCATCATCGTTTGCTCTAGCAGCGACTCGACGGTGAGGGCCTCAAAATAGTCACCCAGCAACAGAATCCTTCCCATCTCGCAGACTAGCGGTTCGTCGACGAGAATATTGCCTGCTCTCCACTCTAGGATGACAGTCTCCCAAATCCTTTTGGCCGTCTTGATCACCTGTTCGACGTCTTGTTCGATCGGGATGGCAGCAAACTCCGGCCCAGCGCGCTCGGGGAGTTTGCGGGAGGCTCGGCGCCGCAAGGCATGTAAGAGGATATTATACGTCCAGCAGTTAGCCGCTCTGGCGGTTTCGTTTGCGGTCTCGGAGATGCGAAAGAGCGTCTCGAGATCGCCAGCATTGGAGCAAACTTGCAGGACAGCGTTCATGTGGATGGTGTTGGGTTCTATGTAGTTGCTACCGAGCATGTTGAAGTATATTTTGGAGGCTTCGGACACGGCTAGCTCGGTGTGGCTGGAGGCGGCGAGGCCTCTGAAGATGATGGTGTACGTCTGAGCGTTGGGCATCTGGTTGCGCTTCTTCATCTACGGGGTGGTGAGCGAGGCAAGGGGCGCGAGCGAGCAGGGAGAGGGCTAGCGGACCTCATTAAACAGCTTCAGCGAGGCGTGCACCCGGTCTTGCCGGATGTGGTAGTCGATGAGGTGATTCCAGCTCACGACCACCTTGGACCTTAAGCTGGCCTGCCGCGTAAACTTGGCAGCCTCGTCGAATTTACCCGCTTCAAGCGTCCGCTTGACATGGTTGGCGATCAGAAGCGGGTCTGGATCCTCGTAGATGTCGGGTTTCGTGGGTCTCCAAGGGCGTGATACCTTGCGCTGCTTGGCCTCCTCGTGCGGCTCGCTAGCGGAGGCGGCGACCGGGGCGGCGACGACAGAGGCGTACCGTCGCTGGGGGCTTGGCGTAGCCGCGGCGCCGGCAGGCAACGGTATCGGAGTGGGGTGGGTATTCTCGTGGGCAGGGCGCAGGCTGCGGTTGGTGACGGTAGCGAATGCTCTTCTTAGACACGCTCTGCGAACGAACATGACGACTCGACTTGGCGGGACAGTTCGGCGAGGGGGGGAATGTCGGTAGAGCTGGCTGCGATCGCGTACGTCTGCGGTATCATAGCTGTCATGCTTGTGCTCGGCTCGTTACGGATGCGTATGCTAACATGTCGAATGGCAAATGAAGGGCGAGGTGAGTTGCGCTTCTGGGTGAAGCCGTTGATTTTTTATTTTTTTCCTCTGTAGCTCCAAAAGCTGTCGCATGCGCAGAACCCCACCATCGGCGGTCGGGACTTGCGTGCACTTGATGCCAGCTGCCATGTACGTCATGCCCCTCCCTCCAATGGGACGGCCCAGCGTCTTATCTAACGTCAGGTACCTACTACGTACCTAATGTGTGGGCCCCCGACCCGTGCCCCTGTTTGTGGGGAGTCCTCCGTGTCGGGTACCTTAGAAATACAGGCGTATCCGCCTCTAACATCGCTGACAAGAGGTACCTCAGCGGTACTGACAGGATAACTTGCAACGGGATGAAGCTGATTGGGTGTTGACAGGCATTCGCGAAAACGCGCCCGTCCTCGGTGCCACTGTAAAGTGTCGCGTCGCGTCTGGCGGGAAGAGGGAAAGTAGAGTGGAAAGGACCCTCCTCTTCCCTTTCCACCCCCAATCCAGCATAACCTGATGCCTTTTTTCTCCCACGCTGGCCAATTGCTTGACCTCCTCCTCCCCAACAACAACAATCCTTATCCATCCGTCTCCCTACTCCCCAGCTTCCGTATTCTACCACTTTTTGAGCATGCTCTCTTCTTCCTCGTGAATTCGGCCTAGAGAACGCTCCCGTCTCCCCCAGTCAACATGTCCAAGGCCGCTAGCAAGCGGAACAAATACGCCGAGCTGCGAGCTCTACGCATCTCGGGCAAGAAGGCGTACGACTCGTACGAGGTTGAGGAGAAGCAGGACCTCTACGACGAAGTCGACGAGAACCAGTACAAGAAGCTCGTCCGCGACCGCCTGAACCAGGACGACTTTGTCGTCGACGACAATGGCGAAGGCTACGCCGACGACGGCCGAGAGGAATGGGACCGGGTGCAGGCCTACGATTCAGATTCCGAGGTCGACGTCCCGCTCCAAGGGAGCCGCCACAAGTCAGGTACCGTGCTGTCGCTCTCACTCGGCCGTCTGCATTTCGTTGGACCCGCGCTTACACCCTGCTGCTAGATAAGAAGAAGCGTGACGAGAAGAAGGCGAAGCGGGACGCGGACGACCGGAACATCGGCGAATATTTCATGAAGGGCCAAGCCGCCGCTCAGCCGAAGCCAAAGGTTTTCCACATCCCGCTGTCGGGCCGCACCCTTTCCTGCCGGCTAACGTTGCTAGGTCGTGAAAACCGAGGATGACGATAAGTTCTTGGCCGACCTTCTCGGCGAAGTCGATGCGAACATTCCCGCCCCGGTCTCGCGAGCCCCTAAGCGCCATAGATCCCCGGAACGGCGTCGACCTCCCGTCCTGTCGCCTGTCCGCGGGAGTCGAGCGCCGGCTACCAAGAAGGCCAGGCTCAGCGAGGACCCACTACCGCCAACACCTCAAGCGCAAGATGCCCCCGCTGCTGATGACGATTTTCTCCCAGATATAGATGACGATGATTTCCTAGCGTCGACTGCCGATATCCCTATGAGTGATGCTGCCCCCGTTCCCTCGTCCCCTACGGCAGCCGTCCTCTCACGCAAGGCTCAAGTTAAGACCGAGCCTGCGGATGACGAGGTCGAGGAGATGATGGAGGTGTCTCATTCCGGCGCGATCAACGTCGCGAGTGTCAATCTGTCCGCGTCTCGACCCGTCAAGAAACTTCCTAAACCCGCCCCGTATCCCACCCCTGCTAGTTCGTCGCCGTCAAAAGCTCCCGAGGCCGCCATCGACCCCTCGTCTTGGAATAAGCTTACCAACAAGCTGAATGTCGTCGATAGCTCGCCGAACGAGACTCGAAGTATCGCCAAGATCGACTATAGATGTGCCATCGAGGAAGACGGCAGCCTCAACATGTTCTGGACCGACTATACCGAAGTCGACGGCTCGCTCTGCTTGTTCGGCAAAGTCCTCAACAAGAGGACTGGGGCATACGTCAGTTGCTTCATCAAGGTCGACAACATCTTGAGGAAGCTGTACTTTCTGCCCCGGACCTACCGTCAGAAGAATGGACAGGATACCAGCGACGAGGTCGAAATGATGGAGGTCTATTCCGAGGTTGACGAAATCATGACCAAGCTGAAAGTTGATATGCACAAGATCAAGCCGTGCACTCGGAAATATGCTTTCGAGCTACCTGGAATTCCCAAGGAGGGCCAGTACTTGAAGCTGTTATATCCCTACAAGAGTTAGTCTATCCCACCTCAGGTGCGCGCGACTGTAATACTTATCCTGTATAGACCAACAGATCCCCTCCGAGACGACAGGCGAGACCTTCTCCCACGTTTTCGGCACAAACACGGCGCTTTTCGAGCAGTTCGTGCTTTGGAAAAACATCATGGGCCCTTGTTGGCTGAAGATTAGAGATGCCGACTTCACGACGCTGAAAAACATCTCACACGCGAAGCTCGAAGTCCTTGTCGACAATCCCGACACGGTATCTACGTTGAGCGATTGCGATAATTTGGATGCGCCTCCCCTCACGCTCATGAGTATGGCGATGCGGACGACATTCAACGTTAAAGACAACAAGCAGGAGATACTCGCGATCAGCGCCCGTATCTACGAGAATGTCCAACTCAGCGATACCACCCCGGCGGAGAAACTACCTTCGAAGATGTTCACGCTAATCAGACCGGTTGGGTCTGCTTTTCCCCTTGGCTTCGAAACGCTAGCGAAGGGGAGGGCGAAGGCGTTCATAAAATTGGTGAAGCAAGAGTCCGAGATATTGTCTTTTTTCCTGGCGCAGGTTGACCTCATCGACCCCGACGTGATCGTTGGCCACCAACTTGAGGGTGTCGACTACAGCATCTTGGTGAGCCGGCTACGTGAGAAGAAGACACCCCAATGGTCACGACTGGGGCGACTGCGCAGGACACAATGGCCGTCATCCATAAGCAAAGCGGGTGGCAACGTGTTCGCGGAACGCCAAATCATGGCTGGCCGCCTGTTATGCGACCTGGCCAACGAGGCTGGAAAGTCTGTCATGTATAAGTGCCCGTCGTGGAGCTTGACGGAGATGTGCAGCATCTATCTCGGCGGGGATACTCGAAGGCAAGAATTTGATAACGACACCGCTCTCAAGACCTGGGCGACGGAGAAATCGGGCTTGATGGGCTATGTCACCCATATGGAGGCCGACACGTATTTCATCGCCGCGCTGGCCTTGGGCACGCAAATGTTGCCTCTGACAAAGGTCCTGACAAATTTGGCGGGCAACTCGTGGGCTCGCACACTGACCGGTACGCGAGCGGAGCGAAATGAGTACATTCTGCTCCACGAATTCCACCGCAATAAATATATCTGCCCGGACAAGCAAGTCTTCAAGGGACGAGTAAAGATCGAGGAAGATAACGACGCCGAAGAAGCTGCCGATGGCAAGAAGAAGGATAAGTATAAGGGAGGCTTGGTCTTCGAACCGGAGAGGGGCCTATATGATAAGTTTGTGCTAGTCATGGACTTCAACTCGCTGTATCCTTCCATCATCCAAGAGTTCAACATCTGCTTCACGACAGTTGAGCGTAGCTCATTGGTAGGTCACCCTGGTGCGTCTTCTCACTCAAGTTACACTTGGCTAATGCTCGGCGTAGTCGGAGGATGACGAAACAGTCCCGGAAGTTCCTACGGGACAGGAGCAAGGTATATTACCGAGGCTCATCGCAACTCTTGTCGGTCGGCGGCGGCAGGTCAAGTCGCTCATGAAGGATAAGAACGCCACCCCTGAGCAACTTGCCACCTGGGATATCAAGCAGTTGGCCTTAAAGCTGACAGCCAACTCCATGTATGGTTGTCTTGGGTATACTCGATCCCGCTTCTACGCTAGGCCTCTTGCCGTCCTCACGACCTACAAAGGTCGCGAGATCCTGCGTAGCACCAAAGAGCTCGCCGAGTCGAAATCCCTCCAGGTTATTTACGGCGATACCGATTCGGTCATGATCAATGCCAATGTAGACACGGTCGCGGACGCTCTCAAGGTCGGCGCGGAGTTCAAGAAGGCCGTCAACGCGAAATATCGCCTACTCGAAATCGACATTGACAACATCTTCCGACGTATCTTGCTCCAGGCCAAGAAAAAGTACGCTGCCATCAACATGGTAGAGGTGCCTGGTGGCAAGTTCATCGAGAAGATGGAAGTCAAGGGCCTCGACATGAGGCGTAGAGAGTTTTGCAAATTATCAAAGGATATTTCAGAGCGCGTCCTCAACGAAATTCTGTCTGGCGATGACACGGAAGTCTCTGTTCAACGAATACACGAGTACTTGCGCGAGATAGCGGGGAAGATGCGGGGGCACAACATTCCCACCCATAAGTATATCATCTACACGCAGCTGGGCAAGGCGCCGAAGGATTACCCGAACGCAGACTCGATGCCGCAGGTCCAGGTCGCGTTGCGGGAGATCGCGCGCGGCAAGAATATCCGCCGCGGGGATGTCATTTCTTACATCGTGACCGGGGACAGCAAGACTACCTCGGAGCCGGTCGCCAAACGCTCGTTCACACCGCAAGACGTGACGAAACCGGACTCGGGTCTCCAAGTGGATGTCGAGTGGTATATGGGCAAGCAGATTTTCCCACCCGTCGAGCGTCTCTGTGCCAACATCACCGGAACCTCCACCTTGCAACTCGCGGAGCAGCTCGGCCTCGACATACGCCGCTATGCGAATAACCCTACCCATAGCCAGTCAGGATCCAACGGACCCGATTTCCATCCGCTAGAATCTCAGATTCCCGACGACGTCCGCTTCCGCGACTGCACACGCCTCTCGTTGCGCTGCCGCAAGTGCAAGGCCTCGGCCCCCTTCGAGGGCCTCGTCTCGCCGGCGGAACCGAACCGCGTGACGCCGCACGGGGTAGCCTGCCCGTCGTGCGCGGCGGTGATCCCGAACATCAGCATCGTGGCGCAGGTCGAGCGCGCGATCCGGACGGAGACGTCGCGGTACTACGAGGGGTGGCTGGTATGCGACGACACGTCGTGCGGGGCGCGAACGCGGCAGATGTCGGTGTACGGGTCGCGGTGCCTCGGGCCGAAGGGGCTCGGGACCGGGTGCACGGGGCGGATGCGGTACGAGCGCGGGGAGCGCGCCGCGTACACCCAGCTGGCGTACTTCGCGTCGCTGTGGGACGTGAAAAAGGCGAAGGAGCGGGCGACGTCGGGCGCGGCGGGGCTCGGCGGCCAAGGCAACGGCGGCAGCCTCACCGACGGCGAGCGCCAGAGCGTGCTCGCGCTCGCGGAGCACAACCACACCCGCTTCGGCACCGTTATGCGCGTCGTCGAGAGCCACCTCGAAAAGTGCGGCTACGGCTGGGTCGCGATGGACGCGCTCTTCGGCAAGGTCGGCCTCGCCGCCGTCTAAACTGCTTGCTGGCCGAGCCCCCTCCCTCTCTCACCCCGATCGACCCCTGTCGACGGCTGCGGTTTTCGCTCGTCTTAATTAACCCTACCCACTAGTAGCGAGCGAGTTGTCCGTGCTGGCGGACCGCGAAGGAGTGGAGAAAGAAAAAGAAGAATCAGGCCCCGAGAAGGAACGAGAGCTAGGTACCCAAATTCAGTTGGACGATCATGGCGGTCGGCGTTCTACGGTTGCGTCTGCCTCTTCTTTTCCTGTCTGTTTTCGTTTGCGTACGCCTCGCAGAGAAGCTCGAGGGCTGTCGGGTGGGATTCCCGGGCGGGATCGGATGCGCTTTCGTAGGTAGTAGCGCACGCGGTCGACACGTGTATATATGTACGTACCTACGTATGTGTGAGCTCAGGCTTGCTTGTAATGAAAAAGGGAACATCGAATCACGTAGAGAGATGCCCTCAGCTGCCCGGCTACCGAGACACGCGAGCCCCCTCCGTCGAGCGCAAAACGGCCCGGCTCCGTCCTCGCCCTCTATCTAGCTAGCTTCGTTGAGGCTCGTGTTGGTCGACCTTGACCGGGGGGCGAGAGGGCTACGCGGGCGGACACACTGTGCACTGTACACTGCACGGTAGGGACGTGACGCTAATTTGCTGTGCTAAGAGTGAGTGCGTGGTGACATATGTACGCGGTGATACGGGACGGCCTGCCAGTGATCTTCCCGTCATGCCGACGTCTACACGAGAACCTTGACGCGGTTACGTTATTACATACTACAACAACGTGCCCCCGACACGTTTCACCATCCCACCTACGCGGCAAGGCGGGTATGGTCAAGACTTTCATGACTACGGGCGATATTCACGAAAAGGAGACACACAAGAGCCCGCAGGCCAAGGAACTTGTCCAATAAGTTGATTTTCATGGCTGCCACTGGCTTCCTCTCTGTCTAAAAATTAATATAGGGTTCGTTCGCGTGGCAGTGGTCGTGACTTTCCCTCCCTATCATATACGACATCCCTCGTTTTCGCCCTCGTTCCTCCACAACCCCGTGTCCCGTCACATTCAACCCTGGGGGAAAACGGAGGACGACCAAGACCAGATAGCCAGAGAGCAAAGATTCGTCGTAACCCATACTCCGGATTTCCGACATCAAAACCGCTAGCGAGGAAAACGTAGCCAGTGGCCAGCCATGACCAAAAGTCCAAATGCAATCAAGAATACCCCAACACTGGTTGGTGGTAGTGGCCTGTTGGGTGTGTCAGCAGCCTTACGCTTCCTTCTATCACCCCAGTCCACACAAAGTGCGCGCGACTCGACCCTCAAATCCGGGCCGGCAAGTGGCTGTGTTCGTATCGTAAGGCCCTGCCCATCCATCCGTTTTATCTACCCAGCCTCTCACGCTTTCACATCCGCACCGATGCCGCCGCCTGGCTCCACCCGCCAGAGCCGGGCCGGCCAACAACGGCGTAGTACTAAGACGTAGCACCTATTAGGAAATGACCGCCCTCGCAGGCCAAGCCATATACGGGCTTATGCCATCAGAGGTTGAGGGTGGGGGGGGAATGTACCGAAACACAATCTCAGAAAGGTGAAGACATTTCGGGGGAAATGTTGTCTTTATGGTGACAGGTCATGGGAGGGTGGTAGCTCTATCCGGCGCGAGGTATCATAACGATGAAAGGGAAACCTGAAACTTTTTAAGACACATTTTGTGAGCCCCCTCCCGTAAATGCAACGCAGCGAGCCCGGTCCTGGTCTATGCACAACGATACCGACCGCAAATGCAAGGCGTTTCTATGATCATGGAAAGCGGATAGTCTAGCTGCTCTCCCTTCCTGATGCAGCAGCTGCGGTGTCTGGGACAACCTTGGATAGCGCGGGCGACGCCGCCGTAGAGGGCGGGGATGCCGCGTTCTCCGAGTCCATGTTGGCGAGTAGACTAGGCCAGTTAGCATACCGCTTCTTCGCGAGAGAAGGGGAATATCCGCTGGAGAGGCTCACCCGAAAGAATTGGTACTGCTCTGCGTCTCCCTCACGGGGGGTGTTCCAGTTCTGGAAGCAGCTCCGGAATCCTCAGTACCTCTGCTCAACGAACCGCCCGGGCCAAGACGGCGGCCGCTGTTACTACGCGAGTTGAGCATCGACATTGGGCCGAGAGTGATGTTCGAGGTCGAAGTGCGGTTTGCGCCGCCCTTGAGACGACGAAGGTCGTCCATGCCGACTTGGTTCTGGGCCTGCTGCGCGTACCCTGAAAAGTTGCGTGCGTCACCGCGGCCCATCTGGGGCCGGCCGCCGAGTCCGCCGCCGCCGCCCCTCTGAGTGCTTCGTGCCGCGTCGGCAGCTTTCTGCGCTGCCTGGGCCTCGGCCTCGGCCCGCACTTCCTCCAGGGTTTTGGGACCCTTATTGGCTTCCTTCGAAACCCAATTGGCCCTCCTCAAGTCGATCACGTCCATGAGCATGAACTTTAGACGACTAGGCAGTTCCGGCAGGTCAACCATGCTCTGGATTCTGCTGAAGTAGGCGTTCATCATGGCCTTGCCTTTCTCCGCTTTATCCAAGTTGGCGCCGATAGTTCGGAGTAGCTTACAGAGGGACTCGACTTCGGCCTCGTCAGGGATACCCGAGTAGTCCACCAATTTCTTCACGCATTCGTGCATAATACGCTCGGTAAGCATGCCCAATTTATACAGCTCGCCGATGAACTGCACTAGACCGAGGCCGCGCCGTTTCGCAGCGGCTACGATGTAATATTCGTCTGACAACATCGCGGCCTCCTGCGCCTTCTTGTCATCGCCCTCTTTGGGTAGCGGGAGGTCGACCTTCCAGCCGCGTTCGAATTCCTCTTGGCATCGGTTGAGGAGGTACTTCCGGAACAATGCGCCTCCGCTGACGACCTGGCCATTCCGGTCTTTGATATTCTCATCTCGGATTTCGGGGCTCATCATCTCCAGCATCCTGGTGCAAAATTTGGCATACATCGAGGCCCAGTGCGACTCGTCGGTGGCTTTCTCGAAGGTGAGCTGGATAACCTGGCGAAGAGTCCTGCCATCTGTCTCGTCCTTCGACTGGGCGGCAATCTGAAGGATCTGATCCGAAATTTTATCGAAGTTTTCGGGCGTCATCTTGTTCAACGCCGCCTTGACTTTACGCTGAACCATCGACGGGTCGAGAAGACCACCCGAGGGAGGAGGACCACTGTTCTGAGATGATTTCCCGATACTGGTCGGCTTCCAACCGGACGACGAAGTGCTCAGGGCTTCGATCTTCATGCCTTGGGTCAGCGGCATCGTCTTAGCTGCCTGTGCCTCCACCTTGGCACCGAATGTGCTTTGCTTGCTGAGGTTGCGACGGCTTCCTTGGCGCGGCGAGTGAGGCATGCTCATGTTAGAACTAGAAGGCGTGCGGGACATCTGGGAAGTGCCTGGGAAAACACCACCTGGCCGTGGGAAGTTCGCCATGGGATTTACCGAAGGGCGCGACATCGACTTTTCATGGCCCGCATCAGCCCGGGAAGTAGTCCCCGACGGTAGGGGTCTGCCGGGAGTGACGCCGAAGCTACCGAAGTTGTTGAGGCCGGTGGTTGTCCTAGTCTGTCGCCCGAGTGCACCAGAAGGCGGTCGCGCAGGGGCAGACCGCGCACCATCGCTTTCGCCGATAAGCGTCTTGACCTGCTGGTGGAAGTCAAGCGATGGTTGTTCGGTGAAGACCTTTTGGAACTGAAGTAGGAACGCTGAGTCGTACTTGAACGAAGTCCCTTTTCTGGCGACCGCCGCATTCAGGGCTGGGTTGGGAGACAATATCCCCGGTGGGTAAAGGTCTGACCTGATAGAGCTGGAGCCCAGAAGTCTGGCCGTCTTGAGAGACTGGAGTGCAGCACTCGGCTGGGGAGGTTCGACTGAATTCGTCTTGAGGGGTGCTAGATTTAGAGCAGCTGGCGGCCTGGCGCGCCCGCCTGAGCTTGGCTTAGCTTGGCTAGCAGCAGCCGCGGCAGCGGCAGCAGCAGCAGCGGATTTATCGTTCAGGGACAGGCTAGCTAATTTTGTAGTCGCAGTCTCAGTGGCAGACGGAGGAGTATCCGTTTTCTCAAGCTTCTTCTCAGGTCCCGTCTTGAGAAGCTGATGAACGGACTGGCTAGCTTGAGCGGCCCGGCGCTCCCTCTCCTCTTCCAATCGCTCCATCTCGGCCTCAGCCTCGCGAAGCTTCCTGTCGTTCTCACTGGCATTTGCTGCTCGCGCCTCGTCCTCGGCCTTTTTCTTAGCTGCCTTTTCGGCCTCGACTCGTGCGCGGTGCTCTTCCTCCTCTTTTTCGCGTCTGGCATCTTCCTCCTCCATCTCGCGAATCATGCGTTCATACTCTTCTTGCTCGTCCGCCTTGGCGGCTTCTTCTTTCTTGGCAGCGTTGGCAGCTTCTTCTTCCTTCTTGGCGGCTTCTTCCTTCTTGGCGGCAGCTTCCGCCGCTTCCCTTTCTGCCTTTTCCCTTTCTGCCTTTTCCTTTTCTGCCTTTTCTTTATCCTCTGCTTCCTGGCGGGCCCTGGCTTCCTCGGCAGCTTTAGCTTCTTCCTGTGCTTTCTGTTCAGCTTGCAGCCTTTCCTCCTCTGCGGCCTTCTCGGCCGCCGCCTTAGCTGCCTCTTCGTCCTTGGTCTTATCTCCGCTTACAGCTAGCTTCGCCTTCTCCTTGAATTCGTTTCGAACCTCCTCTGCGGTCTTCGATGTGCTTACACTTTCGGTTCTCGAATGCGTAGGCGTAGACACTTTTGGAGTCGATGTCTTGGGAGGGGGGGTAGGGGTGCTTGCGATAACCGGATGTGTTCTAGACGGTTGACTGCTCGGTGCAGGAGATGGTGGTGCTTTCAGATGACGTAGGTCCAAGGGTTCTCCCTGTGGATTCGTAATCGTGATAGCCGCATTTTTAGAAGCGCGAATGAACTGCGGAGAGGCGGCGATAGGAGGCTTCACCTGCGCGGGCAGAGGCTGTGGCGTGCCCTGGGCAATCACGGGTGTTTGTCCTTGGCTGGTGCTTGATGCTGGTCGATGATCTGTCGACAGCTGAGAAGAGTTTCGGGACATCGGCTGCCCGCCTGGCACGTGGTATGGACCCGCTGTGTAGGGCTGTTGGAACGAAGGCACGGGGGATTGGCCTTGTCCGTGCATTGAGTACATCGGAAACCCCGAAACAGGCATGGGCACCCGCATGCTAGGATCATAATGCCCATAATAACCCTGTTGTTCGGCATTAGTTAGCAACCAGTCATAAGTGCCATTCTCTAGTGAAAGATGTTGGCGTCCACTATCCAAGAGGGCATCGAGGGCGAACAAGGGGTGTCGAAGAGGGATTATAGCGAGTTCTGTAGGGCGTTGTCCTGTTGGACTACGGGGCACGTCGCCGCAGGCTACCAATGAACACTCGCCGACCCCAGCGTCTACATCTCTGATCGGTGTCGTCGTCGTGTCCATTGGTGGAAGAGCTGGTCTGCCAATTCGGATTGGGAACTTATCGACCTTCCTACGGCGCCCTCTTCTCGTGCCGGACATAAAGGCAGGATCCTTGTGGTTAAGGGGATTAGGGGAGGATAGACTTCTTACCTGAGGAACTTGTCCCGGCATGGCCGGGGGAGGATAATAATAGCCTGGCATGTTAGACGGAGCCATGTTAGGAGGCTGCGGCATGGCCGGGGGAAGCGCCGGGCTTCGGTTGTGTGGTGGAGGGGTCCCAAAAGGCTGCTGGCGATTGTTTCCGAAATTGGGAGGCATGCCTCCCCGGCCGGGGTTTTGGGGCCCTCGACCGTAGTTATTAGGCGGGTATCCCATCGGTTGATTGTAGGAATTGTTATTGAAACCTCGGCCGCCGCGGGCAGAGGGATAATTGCCTCGACCTAGCTGGGGCGGGCCGGCTTGGTTGCTCATGTCGCTAACATTCGAGCCCCGTCTCATGTGAGGCGAATGTTGCGACCCCAGAGAGCCGTGATCCTGGTTGGCAGAGGTCGTTCGCATGTGGGAACGCTGTATCGTGGAATTAGTACCACGGGTCCACGACGCAGCCAGGTCTGGGCGGAGCGGATAATGGGTACTCACATCGCTGTCACCACCGAAACTGCCGAAAGTCATACCCTGCTGGGCAGCCCCGGAAGGAGGTCGGCCGCCACTAGCAGAAGGCAGGGGGATGGGAGAGGGCGAGTTTTGAGGCGATGTCACCCGCGGATTGCTGTCGGGAATAGGGATAGGAGCAGATCCCGGTTGAGGGGAGCTGTGGGACACAGCAGGCGAATCTTGAAACCCAAATTTTATATTGGCCTTTCCTCCGGCAGGGCCACCGTTCGTAGAATAGCTGTTGGGACCATTCGCGCTCATGGTCACGGAGCTCTTTCGGTTGTGGTCCGCAAGACCGTTGACGCTGGATGTGCCGTGGGCCACGGGGGGGACGGTGGGTACTGCAGGCATGATGTTGGGTCGGCCGTTCACGTGCGATACGGAGGACGACTTAGCATGGTGCGACGTAGACGCAGACGACCCGGTCGCAACAACAGGCGGGTTCGAGCCGGTCGCAACCACTGGCGTCGACGGCTTCTTTACTGCGCTGGCAGCGGAAGCGTAAGACGGTGCCGAGGCGGCTGCGGTGTTGTTCGACGCCGGGTTTTGGTTCTGGTGCGTCGCAGGAGAAGTCATAAGTGACAATCTGTTCCGAGGCGGATAGGGCGGGAATATATGTATATGTGCTCGACGATGACGATAACGTACTTCTTCTCGGTTTCCGTATGCTATCCACCAGCGGAAGCCTTTCTCTGGCGCCTAGTGGTCGGAAGAAAAGAATACAGAAGCGGATGCTGAAGAAGGGTCGAATGTCAAATCCGAGGTCGGGACAACGAGGGCAGGCAGGTCAAGCCGTGCGGTCGAATCCAGAAGTGAATGACAATCTCAGTTGACGAGATGGAAGATGCTCGATTAAATTAGGTATACGCGAGGTCGTTGCTCGTTGTGTTTTGCTTTATCCCTTCGCACCGACAGGAACAGAAACGCAAGCGTCGATGGCGAGGCCAGGCCGTCCGTGCAAGTGATGGAAAGAGAATGGCAAATGGGGGTATCTGTCAAACTAGGGCGGGAGAAAAGAGCGTAGTCGCAAACCGGGGAAGAAGGGTAGGGATGTCCTTGAGGATTCGAGGCGGGGGCGACGATGGGTCGCGGAGACTCTGGAGAGAAGAGATGGGGATTGACGCCCGTCCTAGTCACAACACAGGTTGCGCGCGGATTGTCGGTCGATGCTATCTCGCTGGTCTCGGTCGGAGAGCGAGACAGGGAAGCGGAGAGGGATTAATTGAGTGGAGAGTGTATTATTCCCTGTCAAGAAAGACAGAGAGCACACAGGGATGGGTTTTTCCGTCCTCGATGCAGATGTGCCAAAGAGGGGGAGAGAAGACGACCGTCAGAAGGGAGTTGAAATCTCTCTGAGGTCGCGGGTTGATGATCGATGATCAAAAAAGGTGGCGGAGGGAGAGGAAAAAAAAAATTATGAAATTTTTAGGACGGAGAAATAAGGCTTGGGGTCACGATTGGGTTGGGCCACGACCGAGTGGCCGTCTCGCAACAATCCGGCTTGTTTCTGCCTTTCGCACGCACAACATATCATATACATAAGGTTAGGTAGGTATACGGATATACAGGAGGTACCTACCTACCTCTACATTCAATTAGGAGGTACCTAACCTACCCACCCACACCAGCCCGCCTTCACGCACCGATATATTCACATTCTGGGCTGCGGGCGCACAACTGGCCGCCGTGTGTCTCCCTCGAAGTTGATGATAGATTGAGCCACGCCCAAAGTCACGCATGGAACACAGTCAGTGCCTGTACCTACGTGTAAATTCCATTTCAGTCGATGTACCCGAACACCTGGTACGATGAGGAGGGGCAAGTATGAGTACATCCTACGTCAGGCACCTGAGGCATGTTAGGCATGGTATTGGGTACCTACCTAGGTACATGTCTACCTAGGCAGGTACCTTGACGATGGGAATGTACAATCCTACCTACGGACCCGCGTTTAGGACTTTAGGTGGGTGCGCCTTAACTCCCCTGCTGACATACCTCCTACCTACCTCTCCTAGGTACCTACCTACCTAACGTTAGGGAGGTACCTCCAGGTCTTGTGGGCGCCTGATACACCTAGTGGTAAGTTACCACTGGTAGCTAACCTGGCGTGGCCAGTAGTGCACCACGCCGGGGTCTCCCTCGATGTATCATGCAGATTCCCGCAACCTACATCCAGTGGCAGTAAGGCAGGTAGGTACATCGACTTCCTAGGTCTGATGCCCTAAGGCAGGTGGGAGGCCAGACGTCGAACCTATCTGCACTAGAGGCGAGGAGCCTGGCCTAGAAGGCCTCTCCCCGCAGGTTCCAGTGAAGTGCGGTCCTCTTATTTAAAATTCGCCCGTGGCCGCTTATGCGGTTTTCTCGTCTCTCAGTATACGTAAGTGCCTACGGTAGGTACCCAGGTACCTGACCCAGCCTGTAGTCTTCCATAGGTGGGAGGTAGGTACCTGGAGGTACGTATTACTCATATCCAAAACACCGCGAAGTATATAGGTACGTCCCCCCTGCCTTAGGTACCTGATCCTCTAAATACCTAGGTAGGTACCTCCTAGATAACTACCTAAGGTACCTAACCAAATGTATACACACAAGGCGCCGATTTGCCCCATCCCATGAAGATTTTATTAAGTGGGCTCCTGCCGCGCGCCCGGGTTGTCCCATCCTAGATCCCCAAATCGTCTTCTGGGCATATGTTATAGCCTCCGTCCAATCGTAGGCAGGCCGGGTACCTCCCCTCTTGGCGAATCGAAGGTCTATTCTCCTATGGCGATTTCATAATAAGAGCTAGAGTGCATCCGTTATACTAATCAAATGGAATGTCCATGATGCTACGATGATTTAGCGAGCAAATTCGGCGTATATTCATCCATCGTGATGATAGGCACCTAATGTAGCTACCCGCGTTGCAGACGGCATTGAAAATCGCCACCTATGTACCCTCTCTCGCCTTACGCTGCTGCTAAGTGCCAGCCTTTCGGTGTACCTGGCATATCTTAGGTACCTAATAGGTGATTGCACTCTAAGATACGCGCTACTATTTGCACGAAACAGAAATACCTTCTTTCGGTATAACAGCCCAAGTGTACGGCCTCTTCTTCTGCTTTGGAATCGACCTCCCCGTCGACTTGCAGGCGGTTATCGGAAGAAGTACCCAACATACGCGTGCAGGTACCTAACCTAACCCTCCTGGTAGGTACGTACATACATTGCCCTCCCTCCCCCCCCACCTTCTAGAATACTACCTGCTTGAACCCGTCTACATCATCACGCTTCGCCTTGCCTCCTAATTCCGAGTAAAGCCCAGGGCCCTAAGCGTGCTGCCATGTAGGAATCGCACCACAATGGTTTTGTATGACCACTTAATTCACCGCCAAGGTCTCCATCATCGCCTCTAGGACGTGCCGGAACACGTTCTAGGATCCCCGAAGATAGATAAGTGTCTCTAGGCAGGATATGATGTAGGCAGGTAGGTGGGCAGATAGGTAGGAGGTAGGTAGGTAGTAAGCCACTCCCACTTGAGATTTATCCCATCCCAGAACGCAGACACTGCCGTCCGGGCCAGGCCGCAAAAATAGCACGGAATTTTGATTGCACATGTAGGTATTGTTGCGTTGCTGCAGAATGTGCCCAACTAGGTGGCTTGAGCAGCATACTACTCGTGGGGACAGAGAAGCCAATCTCTCTTCGTAGGTAGGTACAGCAACAACACTCTACACTCTCCTCTCTCATTACATCCATCTTCTCTTTGCATACCTAATCGAGCCACATACATATATAGATACACTACGGAGTAATATGTTCCTACTCCCTCGCCAACTTTCACCAGCCAACACGCCCAATAGCAGAGGTGGTAATCGCACGGGTCGGCCCATGGATCACCTACATTCGCACTCGCATGCATACCTTGGTCCGCGTGTGTATATCGAACCAGAGTGGTGCCCGTGGGAGCTAGTCGCCTTCGCCACACACAACTGACCTGACATCTCGTGTGGTAGGCGCAAGAAGGAGTCGCTCTCCTCGTTGGTGGTCGGGTGCCGGCCGACCCTATCTCCGCTAGTTGTTTCTCCAAGGGGGGGGGCTTGTTCTGCGGCCCTTCTCTCGCTCGACGCGACGTACGGAACTCGTCGAACCTAGGCCCGTGGTAAAATGAGGCATCGCTCTACCTTCCGTCTGTTCTCATTTCCGTCTCCCGTTTCTTTCGCTACTTAAATGAGCCCATTTAACCGCAAGGCTGGGAGTGGGATCGAGAAGAAACCCGCCTGAGATAGATATCTGATAGGTATATGGCACCTACCTACCTTAGGTACCTAGGTACCTGCCTACCTCCGGGAGGGAATAGAAGTTCGGGTTGGGTGCCTTGGGTGCTTCTTAGGAGGCGTGTTGGTGAGCGAGGTATTATACCTCTTCCTCCTGCGTGTCCGGATGTTACGCACAATACCTTTATTTACATAGGTATATACCAGTGCATTATCGCATAAACGTAGGTAGGTAGATATTTGATCGAGGCCAGCGTCTTGCATGCCTGACCCACGTTAGGTACCTACGCTTGATCCTATCTCTCCTTGCCCCTGTACCACCCGTACGTAAGGTACCCTGCTTAAAGAGGGTAAAGGCGCACATATATATAGGTATCACATATATATAGGTATGAGGAGAAGGGGGGAGACGGAAAGGGTAACTAGAAAAGAAAAAGAAGAAGAAGAAGAGGTCGTTAGCGGCTCACTTCCGGGCCAAGTGACTTGCTAGCGTAGGGCCTTTTCATCTCCAGCCGCCGCATGTAGTTATCCACACAGCAACAGGATCCTGCATACACATCCACCTATCGATCTCGCTGCTTGCTCCTGTCCGCTGGACGGCTTCGTATCATATGCGCACGCGTCCATGGTCGTCGAGGCCTACGCCCCCTTATCGGCTCGGGCATTGACTCATCGCTGAGCGTTTTCCCGGCTTCGATAGCGTAAATACGAGATCAGGTAAGCCACCTATCTGGTGGTGGTCTCTGCGGGGTTCGTTGGTCTCAACTCCCCCCCCTCCCCCCCTCCTCGTGTCTCCTCCCCTACGACATATTCCCTCCGCGGTTTAGGAGAACGTCTGTTCCGAGGAACCGTCATTATTCGCAACCCCCACACGCCATGCCAAAGGTGCCTGCGCGGATAAGAGTTACCGATCCGCTGGGAATGAAAAACGAGCTCCTGTAAGAAGAAAAAAATTAAAAAGTTTCATACTATAAATGCGTACCTGCAGTTAGGTTGACCTAGATGAAAAGGTAAAGGTGGTACCTGGGCACTTAGCATTTCGAATAGCGACCACCGCTTACCACCCGATCCCTGACCGCGACATTCTACGCCTAGTGATAGGTAGCGGGAGAAAATGGGCATGTATTCTTGATTGAAAATGGAAGAGAGATAAATGGACGTACCTATACGGACATGATCGACGGAGTACAGAGCCGCTCGGAGATCACGAGGTTGACAGCTGCATGGTTCTGCCTTTAGGTACCCAACCGGATGTCGTGTGGGCAGGTCTATGACGGTGTGTCCCATTACCTGCCTTCGTGTAGGTACCTCGTAACGTAGCCGTTAGTGATGAGTGTGAGCAGAGTATACAGGTGAAGGGGGTCTCCATCTCCACTTGCCCATCTCAGGTCCCTCCTAACCTCTGCATGTCTGGCTGCGTATGTTACACAAAAGCACCCTCCAATAGCCATCATCCATTAGTACACATAACGTCGAGAGGTTCCCTAGTAGTTCTCTAATATACGCATACTTGCCTAACCGGCACCTGAGTTATATGCATACAAGTAATAATAGGTAGGGTATATCACTTGCCTTCTAATAATCAAGTGGAAATGCACTCCACGCGCTCGCTGGCACCACCATGTACGTAGGTACCTACATACCTAGCCCCTCCCGCACAAAAATTCAAATGAAGTAAAACAGTGAGGAATGGGGGGGGGGGATTATACGAAATAGGCAGTTATCTAGTAGCGCCACCGAACACCAGAGCGGTAGAACTTTGGGCGCCCACCTGAGACTTCCTAGGGACTCCGTACCTAAGCCGGCTAGGAGTCGCACATCCATCCTCCGGGCGTCTATGAATATCTATCTACCCACACATGCATACACACGCTACGTGAGGTCCTCCCTAAAGCACCTACGTGCGATGACGGAGACAATATGCCAGCAACCAGCTCGGCGCTCGCCACCGCACCACGGAGGCATAGGCGAGCTCTGTCTGTCTATCCGCCTCCTCCGGGAACCCTGCCGAGGCCGGAAGTCGAGCAGACGCACGTAGCCCACGCCAGGTCGCTGCGGCACTTCGCAGGAGAAGGGGGCCGCGGATCTACCTCCTCATCTCGCTGAAGTTCGCTGGGCGTGGCGCGCCGAAGGTCGCACTGACGCAGCGCGACGTCAGATCTGGCCCGTCATGCGGTCAGTGAGCAACGGGCGCCAGAACCCGGGCGTGCACTGCGGGCGAAATGCATAACCCCCCCTTTCCCCCCCCCCCCTCCCGGGCTCACCTAGAGTGAACCTGACTGGTGAACACACACACATCATCCATCGCCCGTGGCCTCCCGTTCCCTCTCCTCCCCTCCACTCCCCTCCACCCCCCTTTTCCCCAGCTTCTATTCCCAACCCTGCCACCCCTCCCCTCGCACCACAGTCATGAAGCTGGGAACGGCCGCAAAAAAAAAAAAAGAAGGGAAACGAGACAGTTGCACGAGCGAGCGGCCTCGTACGCATGTACCGCCACGCAACGCTCCCCCCCCCCTCCCTGCCGGGGCCAATCATCCGCAATCCGGGCCGCTGCAAATGATTTGCGGCCGTCACGTCACCTCGCGTCACCTGGCGCGCGCCCTCCCCACCGGCGCCTTTCGCAAGCCCGCACGGACGCCGCAGAATCACCAGCGGCTTGTGGGAATATCGAGATTCTGCCTCTCGCTCCCGACATGCAGACGTGCGCGCGAGACCCGGCAACGGATGGACAGTGCCGCTGCCAATCATCTCCAGGTACCTACAGATGCGCAAAGAGGCAGGCGGGAAATACCGTGTCCCCCCCTACGCAGCCCGCCCAGCGTGGACTGCCTTTGGCTCCTTACCGGGGAATCTCGCCCCCTCTCTCTGTCTGTCTCAGTAGTCAGCATTATCGTCATCACCATCACCGTCAACATCGCCATCGCAAAATCGGTTGCGGCTCGCGCCTTTTGCTCTCATTCTCTTCATCTTCTCGTCCTTTTCAGTTCTCCTCAACGTGTATATGTAAAATATCTCTACCGTATCTCGTGCCCACCCCCCTACGCGTGATAGACGATATGTATAATTACCGATAGCCTCTCTCCATTTTGTGTGTGTGTGTGTGTGTGTGTGTGCCTGGCGTTCCGCTCGTCGTCGGTCGGTGACGCCGTAGGTACATCCGCCCGTCCGCCTTGAGGCTATCTCCCTACTGCTGTGCCTCTGCAGCGCCCCCGATCTCGATATCGTCCGCGGCAGACTCGTCGCTGGCATCTGTGTCGGGGGCTATCTCGCCGCTCTGGGCGGTGTAGCCGACACCTTCGTCCGCCTCATCATCATCATCGTCGTCATCGTCCCCCTTATCCCATACTTTCTCCGCAACCGGCTCCAGCAGCAGGGCATCTTGCTCGTAGTCCCCGACGCCGGGTCCCTTCCCCTCCGACTGCCCGCGCTCCGCCTGCTGCTGCTTGATTCTCGTCGCCGTCATCTCGTAGACGAATTGCCCGAGGTGCTCGACGCCCTCCATCACCGCCTCGCCCGGCACCGCCGTGCCCTCTTCCCCCGCTTGCGCCCGCTCCGACGGCCACATCTCGCCCGTCGCGAGCACGAGCTTGTCCGGCCGCTGCAGGAGCAGCTCGAATGCTGGCCGGAGCTCGTAGCACGCCTCGAACACTTCTCGTCGCCCGAGGATGTACAGGCCCAGCCGCGCGCGGGAGAGCGCCACCGTGAGTCGGCGTATGTCTCGGAGGTAGCCCACTCGCGATGTGCGCGTGAGCGAGAGTATGATATCTATGCCACGTTAGTTAGAGCCCATCACCCTGGGGGGCGGGTAGCTAGGTGCTCACAGTCGTTTTGTTCCCCTTGGTATTTATCCACCGTTGTCACGATCTTAGGCAACCCGAAGATGGCGTTCCTCCCACATCGGTGAGCCAAGACTTCTTTGATCAGGGTTCTCTGGCCGGCGTAAGTGGCAAGGATGCTGATTTTCGACGCCGGGTACCCCAGGAGCCGCATATACTGGTATATGGCAACTGCGTATTCGGCCTCGCCCACGTTGTGGATGAAATGCGGCGTTGGTTCGGCTTCGCCACGGCCCTCGTAGTCCGGCACGTTGATGAACTGATATTCGTACTTGAATCCGGCGTTGGCGCTCTGGAACTCCTTCTGGCTTTCGACGTGCAGCAAGTTTCCGAGGTTTGGGTACCTCCACTGGTATAACGCCGCAATGGACGGGCGAGCGCGGCCTTGCTGGTCGAGCGTGATCACCGGTATACCCAGACGGACGAAGCGAGAGAATAGAGACTGCTCGAGGTTGGCATAGTGCCTAAAGGCGAGACTTTGAATCACGGGGGAGTTTTGGTAGTGATCGCCGCATAAGACGACCCTCTGTAGCGCCATTTGCCCATTCTTGGGCTTTTGCATGGCTAGAGGAATGAAGCTCTCGACCTCGGTGATCTGCGCAGCCTCTTCCATGACGACATTGTCATAGTGAAAGCCGAGGGAAGCGATCTCGGTACGGCGCATCGCGGCATGGGTCGACGTCATAGCAATGATGCGAGCTTCATTCGTTAGAAGATAGTTGGCTTTGTCCCGATCCCTCCGTAGTATCTCGAATGGCAGAACATCCTCTAGCTCAGAGAATATTTTTGATATATGACGGTAACAACCGTTGGCCACGTCCAAGACCGTTTCTCGGTCGCCCTCGGGTGGGAACAGAGGCTGGGGCGCATCAGAGAAGTATATATGGAATGGAAATGCCTGGACGATATCCGCTGCCGAAGCACCATCTGCCCTGGCCACTTCGGTGAACTTGGCCCAGGCTGGCTGGATGTAGACGGAATTGAAGTACCCTGCCGTCTCTGCCGAGTTCCCGTGAGCGCCGGGGGCCCCCAAACTGGCCGCCAGCCGGTTAACTTCCTGCAGATACCGATCTCGGATCTCGAGAAAAGACCCGACTCGCCCGTGTTTGCTGAAGTTCCCGTCCGTGTCGAGATCTTCTTCTCCGTGGCCGAGCCGGAGAAGATGCCGCTCGTCTATGTCTAATGCCACTATTTTCGCAAAAAGTTGATTCAAGGCCTGGTTAGAATGCGCAATTAGCAGCGTTCGCTGCTCGGGAAAGTTGTGGTAGATGTTGTTGATGACTTGGGTTGCGACGTCTGTCTTGCCCGTACCCGGCGGGCCCACGATGACGGTGAGTCCGGGCTGAGTGCCGGATATTATGGCATCGATTTGGGCCGGCGTGAAGCGGACACTATTCAGCTTCGGCGCGTCGATGGGGTAGGGCCCAGTACTGGGTGGCTTGTATGTCGAGACTCTATACGTCTCAATCTCAGCGTTTAGGGCAGGCTCGGCACCTCTTCTTCGCTTTTTAGAAGGCTTGGCTACCTGCTTCTCCGGAGGCTTATCTACCGTCTCGAGAACGTAAGGGGGCTCGAAGCTCGAAGACACATCGGCCTCGGGTTCAACCATTTTCCCAGGCAGACTCTCGACGAGATGATGCCAGTCGAGGAATGTGTCCCTGAAATCGAGCCTTCTAATGCGATTTGGCAGATGCTTGTAGGTCGCTCCGGCAGGGTCCCCGTACCCTAGGAAATTCTCGTGCAGCCAAGATGCCAGGGGAACTTCCGACAGACACAAGCTACGAATGGACTCGAGCACCGGCTTGAAGTTGTTCTCCCTGCCACTCCGTCGGATGACGAGATTGATGCGTTCATAGACGTCCGGCTTGCCCCTGGAAGCGCGATCCATGTCTTCCTTGTAAGTCCTCGGGTCTAACCTAAGCTGTAATTTCCTTGTTGGCGACCGGTTTTGACCACTGAAGTAAGCAGCTGGATCCCTAATTATTTTGCCCTTGTCATCTAGGGTCTGAGCGATCTCGGCTGTTCGGACGGAGACGAGCCCTAGCTTCTGGGCCTCAGATATCGCGTGAACGCCACCATTAGAAACGGCATTTGGCAGAGAGGCGTCTACCGCGACAAGAAACACGACGTCGTCGGGACGCAGCGAATCCCATTCCCTTCGAATGTTGTCGGTAAGTCTACGCACGTCGAGCGAAATCTCGGCGTTCACGGCGGACGGCTTGTCGTCGCCAACAAGAGCCGGCACAACCTCTAGAATAGATGGGCGAGATATGGACAGTGCCATTTTCGAAATGCCAGCAAATGCCGTCTCACCGGGCCGCTTTGATTCCGGCCGTAGTCGCTTCAATGTATCGGTGATATCCTTTCTAATGCCGTAGAATGCTTCACACCGGTAGAGAACCAGAGCCCTCCAGAGGAAGTCCCCAACCGACAAGTATTGTAATTTGAGCTTAGGAAGCGCGAGTGGCTTTGAGCCATCGTAGTTATCCGTTCTCAATAGGCCTTGATCGAAGAGGCTATCCTCGGTCGGAACGATGCTCATATCCCGCGCAATCTCCTGGAATGTCTTGCGCTTCTCGTAAGTCGATAGGAGAACCTCCATTAAGAAGGGTCGATCGATGGAGACCTTGGCCGATTCCGGGTATTCTACCCTAAGCTCAAGCAAAGTCGCAAGTCGTCGGATCTCCTCATCAGTCAGGGTCTCGAGGAGATTTTCTAATTCGTTTCTTTGGTCTATAGACCCGTAATTGGATAAGGCGAGCACCGTCAGCTTGTCCTTGAAGTGCTGAAGAGACACCCGTTGGAGTTTTGCGAGGTCAGCACAGTGCCGGTCATATGCCTCAGTGGGGCTATGCTGGACACCCGTCTGATCGTCGATAGCGAAATGAGCGTAGTGGCTCAACAACGAGCATTGATCGCGGAGCAGACCGTTTGCTTCGTCATTAAACATGGGCGAGAGTCGCAGAGCAGGCAGGACATGCAGATCTTGAAGCAGAGTGTTGACATATCGCCTAGTGGGAAGTTGACTTAACAGGTCGGAGATGAATTCGACAAATCGTTCGCAGTAGAGCACATGCTCATCTTCCCTTTTCTCGGCGTAGAGCAGCCGTAGGAAGTCTAGAACTAAGGTGTAGAGCCAGGCCCTCTCGAAGCGTAATCGTGCCTTGGTCTCATCATCGGCCGAGTCATACCTCTTGCCTGCTGCCTTCCAAGTTTTCCTGAGCTGCAGCGCCTGGGCCAGCTTCCCGTCTCGCTTCGACTCGGTCGATAGGTTGTGCCAGATGCCTATGGACACCAACGGGGCGCACTCCTTCCTTACGCTGGCCCAGTCGAGGCTCTGAAACGCATATATGATAAAACATAGCAGATGTGTCCGTACGGTTTGGGATAGAGTCTGGTCGAGGCTCATCGATAGGATGCGCGTGAACAGACTCGAGAACTCGGCGGGTCGGTTCTCAAAGATGCCCCAGGTCTCGAGCTTCTCCCTAGCCTTGACATTCGTGATGAGGACGATCAGGAGGACATGGAAATTCGACGAGTCTTCGGAGTAGCCGGGCCAAAGATAGCTTTCGAGGGTCTGCAGTCCTTCGAGAACAAGCAGTAGCTTGTAGGGGAAGCCATCCTTCTCGAGCACATCCCAGATATCGCGCTTCAGCACCTCGTTCTTGACTTTAACCCTAGCAGTTCGGCGAGTAGGCTTGAGCCAGTGCTTCCTTGCAAGCTGGGCGAATTCGCTCTCGCCCTCCAGGTCGGCGATAGTCGGTCTTGGTTGCGTCTCGCGCGATTTCGACTGTGAGCCGCTCTTCAACCGTTTCGCGGTAGGCATGGCTTATAAAGATGATCCGACTAGTCGCCGAGGGATCTCGGCCTTAGCTTATGAAGGTGGGCGTAGGCGACGCAACCATGCCTAAGGGAACCAAAAGTTGGATTCGGGCAGCCGTGGTTCTTCGGATAGTGGTAGGCTTGGAAGTAGGCTTTGAGGACGGTCTCGCGTTGTGGGGGGTTCGGGTTTACTTCGTCTTGGGTATGCGATCGACGGATAGGTTCGGCGGATATGGTGTTACGGTGTTGTCAAGCTTCCCATCTCAGCCTCGTCGCGTGCTGTGTTGATGATGGGTATGATGGGTAATGCGATACTGTCGTGTCCACAACTTTTTATCTCTGTACTGCTGTTTACATACCTCAGGTATGATGGTTATTACCGACGGATGCGTATACGCGGGTTCCAGATCTATGTTTTTTTCCTAGTAAGTACATAGTGGATAGTACGATTGTATGCGCTAACTATGTATCCGTTAATCTAGTATCGATATGTATATACTAGGGTTTCCACAACAGCCTTACATTTAGGTACCGCAGTACCCCCAAGATCTGCTCTGCAATTGGAAGTAGACAAGACTTGCCCATCACCAACTCGCTTCGTCTACCGCGTCTGTCTCGTCGCCTCGACTTTCACCTCCTACCTTTTCAGCTTCACCTTTTTATCCTATTCTAGACCGATACCACCTCTAGCCGGCGCCTACCTACTTAAATAGGTATCCCTTTGGTATCCTTTTCGCGACACAAACAACGACCGAGCCGCTGCCGACCCTCCAAACCCCGACCCTGGCCTCGACATCCCGCCGTAACCAAGTGCTCGAAATCGTCCGACATGCTCGCGCCTTAGATAGATATGACCGAGTCCTCCTGCTCTCCTTCGCCCGCACCAAACTCGAGTGGCCCTCATGACCCGTCAAAATAGTTGATCCGCCCATCTGACGAGAATCTCGTTGCACCCCGAACCTCCTAGACCACGATAGTCCTCTGCCGATCGCCGGGTTTCATGATGCCTTCCGCAAAGACGCCCGACCAGGACGTGCCTCAAGTAGATGCCTTCGCCGCTCTCCTCAAGAATGTTTTGGATCATGCGCGATCCGCCAAGCCAGATGCATCTATCGAGCCTCCTCTCACCAAGGCCGATTTCGACAGCTTACTTAGCCAGCTTCCCACCATATTCCCCTGCGCGTCGCCCAGCTACGTTTCCGAGAGTCTGACATCCGAAAAAGCTCGGCAGTATGCTGTGGTGGAAACTGCGGCGCGAAACGTCTTCAGCAGCTTAGTGGTTAGTAACAAGAGACCCCTGTGGCCTTGCTGGATGGTAAACGGCTGACTCTAGCTAGGCCGGAACCTCTATTAATTCGCCTGAGTTTGTCCAAATCTGGAACCTGTTCGACTTCTTGTCGGTATTGTCTGATAGTGAGCAATGCGACCCGGCTCTCCTCTTCTGGCTTGTTGAAGAGCTTCTCGACAGCCAGACCACCGAGGGCTGCCGCAAAATTTTCGATTTTCTCGAATCGCGGAGAGAGCAAATCATCGCACAGAACCTCAATCAGAAGAAATTGGTTATTCTCAGGTCATGCAACGATCTCCTCCGTCGGCTGTCGCGCGCCGAGGACACGGCTTTTTGCGGCCGAGTTTTCATATTCATGTTCCAATGCTTTCCTCTGGGAGACAGAAGTTCGGTGAATTTGCGCGGCGAATACCATGTCGAAAATGTTACGGCATTTGACGAGACACCGGCCCCGGAGGACGACGCGGGAGATAAGATGGTTGTCGACGTAGAACCTGACGCCACCAAAGACGAAAGCAAGGCCACTCCCAAAGCAGTTTCATTCGATGCCAAGAACAAACCGACGCCCGAGAAGCCCCTCGATACTAGTGCATTATATCCTATTTTCTGGTCACTTCAGCATGATTTCAGCCAACCGACGACGCTTTTCGACCCCGCGCAATTGGCCAAGTTCAAGGCGGGTCTGGAAGCGACCGTAGCCGCGTTTGAGGCAGTCGAGAAACTTCAGAGAAGTACGAAGGGTTCCGACGAGAACAAGACCATCCCTCAGAAAAGAAAGAATCCCGAGGGGGACGATGATCTTCGTAGTAGTACCAATAACCCCAAGTATCTTACGGGCAGGGAACTTTTCGAGCTTGAGGTATGCTCCACCCCCTACTTACGCCTTCTATTGACTGAGTTTAATCATCTTGTGGTGGTATGCAGATCAGCGACCTCTACTTCAGACGGCACATCCTCATACAGGCGTTCATCGTACTGGATTTCCTCCTCTCCCTCACTCCCCAGGCTAGGGCCAAACTTGCGAACATCAAGTCTCAAAATAGATCCGTGATATACGGGGACCAAAAGTTGGGAGATGAAGACGTGAGTTCCGATAAGAGCTCAGGAAGGTATAATTATTAACCGCATGTAGGCGAAATGGGCGAGGACCATGAAGGACAGGATCACCACCTATATCCAAGCAGATAACGATGGATATTTCTTCTTTCGCGTGGTCGAGAGCGTTATCTCGAGAGACAAGGGCTGGGTCCGCTGGAAAGTGGAAAGCTGTCCGCCGATTAAGAAGGAGCCCGTTTCGCCAGCCGACTTCAACGAGGCAAAAGCCAACGCCCGGCGTATGGCCACTAATAAAAGGCTTCGATCTGTCCCCATGGGCACCCTTTCGTTAGAGTTCTTGAGGGAAGAGGATAGCGAAACCGCCATGGAGATGTTGAAGGATCCATCGAGGTGCGAACTTCCTCGTTTGGATGTCTTCAAGACCAAAATCGCCTCCGACGATCTCGATTTTGATTTTGCCAAGAACGAAAAGGAGAAAGCACAGATACTAGAATCTAAGGCTAGCAAGACCTGGAGAGCTCTAAGGATTGCGCGGAGATCAAGGCTGGCCGTTTTCGATAAGATCGAGGATTGGCAAAAAGTCGATATCATCTTCCAAGATGAGCCGAACCCCGGCGAAGAGACCCCGGGAGACTCAGAGGCAACCGTTCAACTCCCAGAGGATAAACGGCCGATCATTTTGACGGGGCCGAGCGATGTCAGCCGATCCACGCTAGCCTCGATGCTTTTCGAGAAACATCCCGGCGCATTTGAAAAAATCATACGCCATACCACTCGAATCCCCCAGGACGGCGAGGTCGCCGGCCAAGATTACCATTTTGTGGATTCCAAAACCTTCAATACGTTATTAGATGGAGACAGTTTCTTCGAATTCGCCAACCGAGAAGGGTTCGATTATGGAACGAGCCGAAGGCTAGCGGATGCCGCGATAGATTCTGGAAAAGTCCCGTTGATCCTACTAGATCGCGAAGTAAGTCAGAATGCACCTACACTACACTTTCGAAGCTTACTCACCACTCTCTAGGGCGCCCAGATGGCTAAAGATAACGGCTATTCCTCACGGACCATATTTATCTCGCCTAGCATTGAGCAATTCGAAGCCGAACTGAGAAAGACAGGAGCCGTACCGGAAGATGTCATAAGGAGTCATGTGAAGTCAGCACAGGAAGACCTGGAACATTCTCTGTCCGCGGATCTGTACGATACCACCATTCCGATCCACGATATCGAGGAAGCGTATAAAGCCCTAGAAACCTTCATCTACGGGGCACCCGTGCCAGAAGGAACAGGCAACGTTAATAGCAACGGAACTACCACAGTGGATGATGCCACAATGAGGGACGCAACGAATGGCAATGCAGTATCGTAGGTAGTATTCAACAGCACGAAAGAGTGTCTGGTAGTTCTACGGGTTCACGAGAACGCAGCTAGGCATGGTCAATCCCCCTGTATCTTCAACCTTGCGCCCGAGCGCGCATCGATAGGATCACAGCAAGAGACGTAGATATTTATATAATCATTAGATGCTTCGGGTCGGAACATTAGCATGTATTCTGTCGAGATACCCATATACAAATATATATGATGGTTGCGAGTCCATTTATGTTACTTGTCTGTAGAACCTACCGCCTACCTAGGCCCAGCAATTTGTGATGCGTACCTTAATATAATACGCCGTAGGTAATGTGTCTACATGATCTCCTATTCCTATTCATGTAGTGTCCTAGACCTATAGCTCTATGTAAATAGCATCGTATCCTAGATCAAATGGTAAATATGCCCCAAATACATATTCATGCACACGTCCGTCTTATATAGGCGCATCCATACACCTGCCTACATCTCCGATCCCCCTCTCCCTTTTATAACCAGCCAATCGAACAAATAGCTACCATGCTTTTCTTTGATGTCCAAAAAGCGGCCAATCCCGAATTTTACGTCCAGCCATCGCAAAGGAGGCGATGATTATACTGTGTACCTCGCCGCAAGTATATATTGTATCACCCCAGGCCTCATTTGCAGGCCACATGTATCATACAAACGTGATCTAAGCCATCTTTGCTATGGAGTCTAAAGACCAAGGCTTCCTGTTAGGAGACGAAGCAACAACGGGAAGTCTAAGCAAGAGCTTATAGACACATCTACACGGACCCATAGAATGAATACAAGTTTCTATATATACACAGTGTATTGACAAACAAACAGCAACGTGTAATTTTTCCTTAGGCCAGTTTGATCATGATCCAGCACTGGGTACATTCGTTACCCCTAGCGACAGAGCAGAATTTTTATACTTGAACAATACATAAACCAATATTATACCACACAGTAAATATATTTACTGCCGTTAAATTGTGTGACTGATCCTGACTTGTGATCTTGTTTCCAAATCACGCCGTTGGTAAAGTATTAAAGGACCCTCTTCCCCAACACCTCTTGAACAAAACTCCCTTCTTCCTTTCAACATCTTGCCAGACGCCTCCCAGCCATTACCACCACCCCTGCTACCATGGCCACCATCACCATCATCACATCCAACCGCTCTTCGTATCATCATCGCCTCCCACTCTTACCGTTCTGGATTTCCCGCAATCCTCTACTTGTAAAGGATAGAATGCAGGATCAAGGTCCTCCATCACCAGGATCCAAAAGGTGGCACATGCAGATATGTTGTGCCATCGGGCATCCTCCTGGTAGGTCACCACCACACATCCGGGGAGTTCAGTGGCCACAAAATGAAGAACTCATCACACCACATGGTGAGTGTTCTTAGTTGGAGTCACTGGCCTTCTTGGCTGTGTGGCGGTAACCTCCCCTATTCCCCCCTTTCCCCCCTCTCCCCTCCCTTCTCCCTCATCCTTTTTCTCCTCAGGCATCCCGTCACGAGTCCGCGGTCTACAGATATCTACTGATCGGCGGACTGCCATCTTCGTCATTGATTCAATTCTTTATTTTGCCCTTTCAATATTCTTCTTTGCCTCCTCTCTTTACGTCGTGCCCCTATCTTCTTGTTTCACCCTCAGTGTTTGAATAGGCCCGTCGCTGTGCTGTCGAGTCAGCTTCATCGAGATGAGTCACAACCAGCTTACGGACTACGCTACGCCGGCGGCCAATGCAGATCTTCCTTGTATGATCTGTTTCCGACACCATCTCAAGCATTCGAGGTGCTGTTTCGCTCTGTGCCTTGGCCAACGCAGCATCTTCCAAGTGCAGTCTTTGCACCAGCCGACGTAAAGAGTGTACTCCTCAAAGTCACAATGTCTTTACCACTCGTCTCCAGAATTCCCATCCCCGCTTCTGCCCCTGCTATCCAAGACAATATCATGGCCGACTTCTTCTGGGAGCTGGAATGAATGTCTTGTTTATACAGCTTGATGAGGAGGCAATGCTCGAATACCGTTGCGTAAGTTAATTCTCCATACACTGTTGCTCAGAGCTTGTTGTTAACAGTCTGTACTAGCTGAATGATCGAGGTCTCGTCAGTATGGGAGCGATCCCAGAATTACGTATGTCTACAGGGCCAATTTGGCCAATCTCTACGAACTCCCGAGGGAGATCCATGGTGCAGAGTCCTTGTCCGGAATGTCGTCGCTCATCCGGAACCTGTCCGCCCACCATCACAACAGTAATATTTCACCTAGCCTGGATTCCAGGTGTTAAAGTAGGCGCTGGTGGCAAGATGATGACTTGTCAGCCTCCATCTGCCTTACAACCTGCATCCAAATCCAGGAGTCCCAAACCTCCACCAACCTATTTTAGGTCCTAGGGGATATTCGCAGATACTTCTCCCAGTACATGCAGCATCCAGGGGATGATGTGCTTTTTCCTCCAACTTGCCACCATGATTGTGGCGACAAGAACCCTTCCTGGCGCCCCTAAGGAGATCCCCAACACGAAGTATTTCGACTCGAATCTGAGTACAAAAGCACCCGGACAAGGCCACAGCAACCAGCACCAGCAACAAAGCTATCTCGTCGCACCCTCCAACGTATTATCATCCTTGATGTCTGGAGCTAGGATACCTGCGGTCTAAGGAAGAAAGACTATCCTGCTTACGAGTGCTCGCAATACGGAAAGCATGTGTCCCAGCCTGGAACGATCTAGCACCGCTAACGGGCCGACATTCACTCCAAACCGGCTCTATGGCTGTAACAACAATTTAAAGCCTTGTTCACATCATACTCTGCCCTCCCAATGGCGTGTGTCAGCAGCTCAGTACAGGACATGTGTGAAGTCCGACTACCACCTCTTATTCTACCGCCTCTTCTTTTGTCTCGACATCGACACCGACGAAGGGCAATAGCTATTTCTCCCTTTTATCTCCCACGGGAGCTAGCTCAGCTCCCTTAATACTACTCTCCTCTCAAGGCCGGCCTCCCACAGAACCTAATGCCGCCCTAACCCTTATGGGGGTTGACCAACCCCCTGGGTAGAAGCACAAAGGCCCGGAAGACGACAAGGAAGATGATAACGTCCATGTACTAGGCGTAGTACTCTACAAAACCACACAGTTTAGCAACAATCTCTCTCTCTTCATCCTTTGCAGTCGGACTATGGAGCACCGCGCCTGGAACCTAGGCGTCACTCTTCCCTGCCGCTTGCTAGGCATGCTGCGATGGCCATACGCAGGGGAAGGCAGGCCACCGCTCTGGCAGCCCTGCACGGCAATCGCCACTTGCCACTATTACAGGCTGTGCGTGCGGCCCTGTGCTGTCCTAGTAGACACATGTAGGCAGGAATAAGCAACCCTATAGTCCCTCTCCCCTGCCCTCCTCCGTCTGGGGCCTCTCTGTCTAAGGTGTGCAGAGGGGCCCCGGATGGATCAAGACGACACCTCGTCTTGCTGGTACGAGGGCCTGTCCGCGTACAGGGGGCCGTCGTCACCGGGACAAAGGCTGCGCGGGCGGCTGACAGCTGGTTATATCAGGGCTCGACCTTGAACGCCAACAGCATCTGGCTGGCAGCCACCCGCGCTACCCTAGTCCCGGTGCTGCGAGCCTATGATAACGGCAACGGATCCCCCATCAAGCCATCCTCTCCAAACCTGGAGGTGGAGGGGGGCAGACGCAACCCCAAGCATGAGACTACGTCAACCAAGTAGGGATGCGTGGAGGAGGGGGGGGGACACCATCGAAACCAATGAGAAGGGAGATGATGGACGGGGCCGAAGCATGATATTAGGGTGTCTTACTGTGGTCTGCTCTGCTATGCCTGGCGGCAAACGGGAACAGAATGGTTAAACCATTGACAGATTCCCCAAGATTGAGTCTACACTGGACTCTCTAGGGTCCTGCTACCATCGAGTCATCTAGGGTTGAGCTCTCACCAGACCCAGCATGAGCCTCCAGCACTCAAACCACGCCGCTTGGCTCTATTTCACCATCACTATCCCCTAGAAAGCAGCCACTAGTGATAGCAATAGCACCGGAGGTTGGGGAGGGATTGCCAATGCGCCGCACCTACCGAACCTTGCCCACAAAGCCGGCAGGCTTCTTAGCCGCCTCCACCGGCCGACCGCTCAACGGCCACTCTGGCGGCTGGGTGGCCCACACAAGGGCTGGTGCTAGGCATTAGGCCCGGCTTAATCCCACGACCTTGTTAGAGAGGGAGCCCGATCATCACAGTGGCTGGAATTGCGATGGGGGGTTCCGGAAGCAGCAGAAGCAGGGGCAATGCCCGGCCTACTGATTTCGACGCAAAAAAAGAAAGAAGACAAGAGATGTGGTGGAATACCTGTCTATGATTCACTTGCCGTCACGGGAAAATGTAGACGCCTATACTCCTCCATTTGGATATGCAGGCTTATATATAGCTTTCTAGCGTTCTAACAGACACAAATCAACTTGCAAATCAACCTAAGCCTCTAGACCTCCCCATCCATGCTTGTGAAGTGAACGCTGTGATACGTGCTAGTGGCTTGCCAGAGCGATAATTTATTAACGGCCTTGCTTCTTTATATGGTAAATCATACAGACTGATAGTACCTATCTGCACCGACAAAGGCCTACCAGACAAGACAGGAAAATCAGCCGCCGAACAAATCCACCCCGCAAGAGCTTTGCCGCCTTCTTCCATCTTCTCTTTTCTAGGGCATGAATGCAGCTCACTGTACTAGTCTGAACGACCCTTCTGTTATTGGCCAGGGAATCCCTTCATTCTATTCCATAGCGGCGCCGAGCGCTCGTCGCCTGCTAGCTATCTAGCCTACCTGTTAGGTAGTGGTATATACACCCGTATCCCAGCTGCAGTACGCAGTTGCCCAGAGGTGTCTGGATCCGTACCCGCCAAAGCCCAGCTCTCTTTCTTTTTCTCCTGAGATATTTCTCCTGCTACGCAGGCCCTCCTAGTTCCTAGGCTATGTGTATATATATACATCTCCTAGATGATGCTACCACTCACTCAATATGGAGGGGTAACTGGAGGCAGATTGCACCAACAAACGGTGCCTTTTTAAAAATGAGAACCCGACGCCAGTCGCTATGCATGTACACAAGAAACAAACCGAACCCGATCCATCCTCTCCCCCTCCCCTCTGCTCTGAGAGCTAGGGGGATCCTGGACTCGTTATCGTCAAACCAGCACCACCATAGCCACCACGCCCGCGATAAAGGCGGCGGCGCTGCCTGTCCGGGCCGGGTTGTAGCTCGGGACGGCGGCCCCGGTGGCGACGGCCTTGACCTGGCCGGCGGTGGAGCGGCCGACGGGGGTGATGCCGTTGGCGGCGTCGGCGGCGGCGACGGCGGGGCCCTCGCTGAAGAAGTCGACGAGGACGAAGGTGGGCTTGGTGCCCCACTCGCGGGTGCAGAGCTGGACGTGGCGGCCGAGGTTGCCGTCGGCGGCGGTGGCGGGGCTGTTGGTGGTGGCGATGAGGGTCTCGTCGGGGACGAGGATCGACGCGGCGAGGACGTCGTACTTGAAGTGGTTCAGCAGCGGCAGCAGACCCGCGCCGACGGCGGCGGCGGCGGAGCTCTGCGACGCCGGCCGGTCCAGCGTGCAGTTGAAGCCCGCCAGCGACGTCACCTCGAACGCCGTCTCGAACACGTGGTCGAACTCCGACAGCAGGTACGGGTACTGCGCGCTCGGCGCGATCGACGCGATGAAGGTCACGAGCCGCGTGCCGGCGCTGATCATCGCCTGCAGCGTCGGCCACCCGCTGCCCGAGGGCGTGTACCCGTACTTGGCGATGCCCGACTGCGCGAAGACGGCGCCGAACTGCGCCGCGCTCTTCCCGTCCGAGTTCACGATGAGCAGCGTCACGACCTCGTTCGGGTGCGCGTCCATCCAGGCCCGGATCTGCCCCAGCCAGGTCTCGAGCGGGCCCGCGTCGAGCAGGCTGCAGGACGTGTGGCACATCTGGATGACGCCGTTCCTGTCGTGGACCTGGACCTGGAGCAGCCGCAGCCCGGCGTCCAGCGCGATCGTCGCGTTGAAGTACTGGTTCCCGGCTATCGAATTTCCCGTGCTCTCGTCGCGGAGGAAGGAGGAGTCGTGGGCGCCCATGTGGGTTATGTTGGCGTACGAGCGGGCGCACAGGTCGGGCGAGTTGTTGCAAGCTGTCGTCGAACCGGTGCTCGATATCGTCGAACTAGGGCTTGCGGCGACGGCCGAGGTTGTCGAGAGCAGCGATACGCCATTGCTATCTTGTTGCGGCAGGGCCTGAACAGTGGCGGATAGAGCGGCGGCAGCGGCAGCTAGGAACGTGCATAACGAGGGAACCATGTTTATCTCTGGTTATGTGATTCTCTAATAGCAGAGATGGGAGAAGCGAATGTGATAAGAGAGAAAAGAAGGGGACCGACACAGCAGTCTTATAAAGTAGAAGGATAGAAGCAAGAACGGGAAACGAAGAAGGTATGACAAGAAGGGAAAATACGAAAAGGTGAACCTGCCATTAAGAATATGGGGAGGGCAGTTTTTACCTTTAAGGGAGGATGTCCGAGGCTCGAAGTAGGTTAAGGGGAGAGTGAGTGGTCACGGCTTTCTCTCTCTCTCTTTCTTCGGGGGCCCAGGGGTAGCGTACATAATACCCATTGGACCAACCACAGCTGCACGGAGACAAAAGGGAATCTAGCAAAAGACGACAGAGCCTTTGATAACCTCTGCGCCCCTGTCCCGGCGGCACGGCATGAAAAGAGCCTCTCTTGTCTCTGAGGCGAGGGGAGAGGCAAGGGGCCTCCAGGGGAAGGGTCCCCCAGGTGGTTCGTATCGCATGGTATCTTGCTGTGGAGAAGCAGCTCTCGAGCGTGTCGCATGGCTGATCGGCCGGCTGCGCCTCCATGGCTTCGTCGAGACGCGAGAGGGACGTCGTCAGCGCCGATCCCCAAGGTGAAACAAACAGGGCAACGCAAGCCAGCCAAGCCAAGGCCACGAACCCACCGCTAGCCCCCCATCCACCACGGTGGGCCTGGCTGCGCTGCTGTTCGAGCCGTGCGCGACGGGTCGGTTTGAGACCCAAGTGGCCAGCCGGGTTGGGGCTTGGCTGGGCTGGGTTTCCCGACGTCGCGGACCCGATCAGCTCCTGGTGCCCGACAGGCTGCGTAGGTATATGTATGTGTGTATGTGCTCTCGCGCTAATTCTGAACATCTGAACCGGATTCTCGATCTAATCCTCCGTCCGAGACGGCTTTGCTCTACGTTAAAACGCTCGGCAGACTAATCGACGATCTCGCCCCCGTAAACCGGCTATTGTTACGCGTCGTCGAATACGTCCCGCTCCTGTTAAAGAGACTGCACGGCACCTCCTTTTCCTTAGCCTTCGGAGGCTCCTACGTTTTTGCCCATTACACAGCAAAAATGTGCCTCAGGGGGAAAAGCGCAGAAGTGCCTCGACGTACAGCAGTTGGTGTAGGTAGGTACCTATATCGATCGGTAAGGTCTCACGTCTTATCCGGGGGCATTCGGGATCTACTAGGTAATACGGCCTTCGCGGCGGATGCACTTCACATCGAAATACCTATCTAGGCCTATCGACACGCATCTCACCGTCGTAAATCTGCCGGGCCTTATATCTATGTCAAGTGAGAAAGCAAGGCGACGGAGAGCAATGATATAGCGAACCAAAGGCATTCATCAAGCTAGCACGGGAGCATATGATCCTCGTGGCCAACGAACTGCCGGAATCATCAAATTGAAGCCGCGTTTCTTTCCCTTGGAAAACTCGAGCCGCTCGGCACCAACGCGAATCGGGCTTCTTCTTGGCGCCTTGCCCGGGCAGACACCAATGTCTAAAGACAGGTACTTATATAGTATTCCGCTCACTGGCCTAGCTTCTTAGGAGATCCAGTATCTTTGCCAAGCCCTGCATGTCGCCTTCCACAGTCCCAGCCTTCTCCGCGTCCACCCAGCCTGGAGGAGTATAGCTGCCTCCAAAGTCGATAACCCAGGCGTCGTCGTTCCTGTCGATCAGGACATTCTCGGCTTTGACATCGCCCCAGACGATGGCTCGTTGGTGGAGATATTCCACCGACCGACCGATCTGATTCGCCCAGCGTTGCTTTCGCAGGGTAGAACTCTTCGCTGCTAGGCCCTTTGATAACACGGCTTTCTTTTCAATCCACGTGAACAGCATGCTATAAAAATCGTTTCCATCGCGAACAATGCCACGAAGGCGACAAATCGATGTCTCTGGGAAAGGGGGTATCTTCGCCTTTACAATTTCTTCGTGGGTTCGGAGTTCCTTCCTGGCAAGAACTGGGCCAAAAGTGAGCCTGAAAGGCTTGAAGAAGCATGTTACTTCGCTGCCGCCGGGACCCGCGACGACGACTCGTGTTGGGTCTTTAATCGAGACATGTTGGGGGCGATCGTACGATATCTCGACATCGGCCGGATGATACGACTGAGTCCACTGGTCCAGACTGGCCACGAAAGCGCCGTTCATGCGAGTCTTGGGGGTGCTCCAGCCGCTGTCTTGGGTGTCGAGTTGGTACGGTTCGGGTGTGTCATCGGTCGCCTTGAGAGCGCACACAAAATAAAGCGCGAAAAGATATTGAGAGATAGTTGGACGTCTGGTAGGCTTTAGTTGCAGTGGAGCGGTGGCTAACTAGGCAACTATTAGAGGTTGAAATGGCTCGGCTTAGTCACTGGCACGCATCTTCGACGTAGAAACCGTCTATTTCTTCTTCCTCGGAGCGCAACGTATTTAGGCATTTGAAGTACAACTTAGTCGTGCTCGGGGAGCGATGAAATTGAGACGGATCAAATCTGCAATAGAAGACCCGTCCATTACTGGTTCGAATCGCTAACTCGCAATCGTCTTCGGTTCTGTGTGTCTGCCAAAACGCAATGCCATAGTAGAGGAGGTTTTCCATGTTCGATCACGGACTTGGTTTCTACTCTACCTACCTAGGTACCTAATTGCACTGCGACAATACCTACCGTTTGGCGACGGCTCCATAACACCACAAAAACACCAACACGAGCTCGCTACTTACGTAACTCTGCATCGATTAGACAAGTCCATATGAGTACCTGTATGGTACAGAGGTCTGGCCCTGTCTATTCTTAGCGCTTCGCATCTTTCGAGAACCCACCGCAGCGCCACGTACTCACAAAGCCGCGCAAGCACCCGTCTCCACCTGGATATGCCTAGACAATATCCATGCAGCGCGCTCTCATACAAGCATGAGCGGGCGAGAAAGAAAGGAAACCAAGCGAAGAGAAAAAGGAGAGAGGAAGAATGATGTGGACAATCGCTATTGTGCCTACGGCCGGCATAGCTTGAAATGCCGTTTCCCGGCAGAGTCGACCCCTATCAATTTCTCAGGTACCTAGGTACCTACCGAGGTGGACATCGTACCTATATCCGTCGACATCCCGTCGCGAACCAAATAAATAACCCAAGCACTAGCCTCCAACGATGGCCTCTGTCGGAGATCTAGCCTCCGGCCTAGCATGCCTCCAATCGTAACACACCTCTGCGTACGTGCCTACCTATATATATACACACCACATTCGAAGATCGGAGTCCGAAGGCGACCGACGCGCTCGCCCAGCACGGGTGAAACTGGTGGGGGCAAGACGGACGGCCTGCGGCGCGCGGCCACCGAAGTGTCCCGCCGGTTCCCCCTGCACTAACCCTACTTAGCATCTACAAGGGGGTGGGTCGGGACGTGGGAGAAGGACAAGAGGCGTCCGGCAAGGCGAAGCAAGAAATCTACGAGATTCTGCCGTGTGAGGTCGAGCTGAGCGACACACCCGCCGTCTCAAGGTGTAGCATGAATCTAGGCTCAATCACATAGGTAGGTACTCGCACGAAAGGGGGGATGGTGCGGGAGGTGTTGGCGCTGCTTTTCTCCCTCGCCGCCGCCAGCTTCGTCTGGTAGGTAGGTAGGTAATACCTAAGTGAGGTCGGCATTTCGGTAGGCACGGCAAAGGGGGCGACGAGCGCACAATGCATTCACCTTCAGCCGAGCGCAAGTGTCTCACCGTACGCTTACGCCACCCATCGTACAACAGTCGGGCGGCTTAAAAAAAGGACCACACGCCGAACTCCTTAATTCTAAATACCCGCGGTTGTGTCTCTATGTCGGTACTCCCCAAGACAATGAAGTTGGCTTGTCCCCTCGCCGGAACCCGCGACTCTCCCCAGACGAGAAGGGCGCCGGCGTCGAGGCAGCTCTGGAGGGTGGCGCATGTATACAAAATTCGGTAACCTACAACCGAGAGGGAAGGACTACAAGCACTCTTCCGTGTCCCGTTGCGCGCGCGGTCTCGACGCCACGGGCGGGCACATGGGTAGGTATATGTCATAATCATGTTGGTGGATACCTCTGTGTAGGTAGGTAGGTAGGCCCCTTGTATCATCACTCCGGGTCGTCGGCATACGACTCCGACGCCGCCTTCTTCTCAATCTCCTTGAGGTGCTCCTGACCCTCGGTCGTGGTGGCGTCTATTATCTGCTCCTCGAGGCTGAAGATTCCGGCCTGCACAGATTTCGTCAGTCAATCGTTACGCACAGCGCAGCAACAGACATGCTCGGGGGGGGGGGGGTCATCTCTCTCTCTCTCCTTACCTCGCTTAGGAGACCGACTACCTCCTCGGCCTCCTCCACCTTCATCTTGCCGAGCACCGCGTTCACCTTGTCCAGGCTCCTCGAGTTGATGGCCTCGCGCATGTCCGGCGCGAAGCCCTCGAAGATCTTGCGGGCCTTCTGCTCGTCCGGGTCCTCGCTCTGCTCGGGCGGGATCGTGATCCTGATCTCCGTACCGGGCTCGACGGCGTGGAGCTGGATCTGCTCGACGCCCTCGCCGGACGCGCCATCGGCTGCGCGTTGCGCGTTGATCTCGGCGGCCCGGTTCTTGATCCGGTAGTAGGTGTCCTGTACATCTTTGAAGAAAACATCCTGCGCCTGGTGGCCCTTCGTCGTTATGCGCTTGAAGAACAGCGCCACGCCGTCCTTGCCAAGCGCCCGGCAATACTGGAGAAGCAGGGCCTGGTGCACGCACTGCCGCGCAAAGTCGTCTTTTCCTTCGAGCTGCGCGTCAAAGGCCATGATCAAGAGACCGTCCGACTCCTTCTCGGAGAGGATGTGCGGGTGCAAGCCGATGAAGGTGTTGCTTTCCCGGTACTCGCCGATCTTGATGCGGGCGAATTTGCGCGCGTCGGGCGAGGCCTCGACTTCTTTGTCGTCGTCGTCGTCGTCGGCTCCTGCGGACCCCGATCCCTCCGGCTTCGACGTCGAGAAGTTGGGATTGAGAAGCTCCACTTTCGAGTCATTGGCCTTGTTCGCAGCAGAGGATGCGGACGGCGCGGACTTGTTGACGTACGAGCTGTCAAATCCGGTGTGGATGCTCTCGCTGGTGATCTTGCGGCTCTCTTCCTTCTCCAGCTCGGCTAGCTTCTTGAAAAGTTCTTGTTGTAGGTCTTCGACTTTCTTTAGGTGTACACCGATCTCGTCGACCATGGCGTTGTAGCGGTTCTCGGGCTTCTTCTCGTCAAGTTCCTTATTTACCTGATCTAGCAACGTTGCCATCATCTTGGTGTAAGTCGGCGGCTGCTCAACTTGAGCGTGGACGCCTTCAGGCCTCGGCGGCGGCTTGTCCTCCTGCGGGCTCCCTGCAGACTCCATGACGGCCTGGAAAGCAACTTCGGCAGGGTTGCGCGTCTCGGCCTCGGCGGCGTGGGCCTTGAGCGCCCCTAGGAGGTTGGATATGCGTTTCATCAAACCATCGTTGATCTGGCGCTCGTACTTGAGGGTCTCGATCTGGAGCTTGCGTTGCTGCCGCTCCATGTGGATCTGGTTCTGCTTCGCGCGGATGAAGGAGCGTTTGTCGACATTAGGATGGACTTCGATATCGGAGTCATCGCTGAGCTCCAAGGAATCCTAAAGGGGGGAAGGGGGAGGGTTTGAGATCAGCGATACGAGGAAATCTGTCGGCGTGTTTTGGGGGCATAGAAACATGGCAGTTCGTGTGGAAATATGGACATGGTGGAATACGAGGCGGAAGAGGTTATACTCACCCACTTGCTGTAGTCGACAGGCATCTTGACTTATAGATCTGGAGTGTCCAGATAGTTGCTGTCGGTGTCTTCTTAGATCAGTTCGCTCTGGCTCATGGGTACGGAGTCAGTTTAAGAGAGAGGGAAGGTGGCTGGGTAGTGGAAGGTTGTTATTAGACGGTAATCTGGGAGCTCTCGGCCATGTTCGTGAAGTTGTCTCCCTTGAATGCCGTGGATGGGGGGAACAGCAGATGTGCTAGGCGTGCCCCGCCATCTATAGAGGGGTTGACAACCTGATGTAGCTTCGTAGCTTTGTAGCTCCGCAGCTCCGTAACTGAGGTTGGCGGGTATTACCTAAGCCGTGGAACGTTGAGGGAGGTTCTGGCGCCGACTGTGGTCTCCGAAGTACCTAGGTACCTGAGGTAGGTAATCAATCTAAGTCTAGTGACGTAGATGACGCGACGGCGGTAACAAGATCTCACAATGTTGTGTTACCCGCCCATTCTATTCTGGGGTGACGCGCGGAGCGGAGGAAATATTGATTAATGCATCAAGTGCGTGCATGTAGCGAGGCATGCCATTACAAGGTAGGCCCGCCTCGTAATAAGCCATGGTTATGATGATGAACATCGCGTTCCGTTCCATCTTTTCTTTCCGAACTCTACGCGCCCTGGAACACCTGTCTTCTCCTCGGATCCAAGCATGGCAGCGAGAACTAGATAAAGCACTTTTTTGCTAGTCGTCGACTTGCCATGTACCTATGGCTACCGCATACGGACACTCTGTGTGGCGATGGGCAATGCCTACTCCTTTTCGTGCCCCTGTCGCTTTTGCGTCTTATTGCTATTGCTTGAACTACGCGCGAGGCGTGATCTGCAGCAGCACATCGTGCGAGAGAGACCACGGGCTGAGGCGACCACGAGGATTTGAGGAATTCTCTGCACAGGCATCACATTCGCTACGCCCTCTACAACTGTAAGCAGCGTTTAAACTTGGCCTAGGACAAACGCACGACGCGTTTCTTTTTACTAAGAAGCAGCAGTCTAGTACCGCGACGAAATGCTTATTGTACCCGTACTTATACGACCGCCCCTGTCTGCGAGCAACAAACCCTCCCTTCCTAATGCAGCACGCAGCCGGGCACGCCATACCGTCCGCCGCTCTCGTCCCGGACGGGGCCCGGGATCAGAAGTGGCCGGAGATCTGCTTCGGCAGGTAGAGCTCCTCGAGGAACTTTTCCTCCTCCTCGGTGAGGGTCTTGCCGCGGGCGGCGACGGCCTCGTCGATGCGGGCGACGCTCGAGAAGCCGATGATGGGGCTCGCCACGCGGCGGTTGATCCAGGCGAGCGCGACGTGGCTCATGGGCCAGCCGTGCTTCGCCGCGAGCTCCTGCACGCGCCGGATGATGGTCAGGTCCGGCTCGACGGTGCCGTGCGACCCGGGCTGCGCGTCGCGCTCGAGCCGGCTGCGCTCCGTCGTCCCGAACGCCGTCGGCGGCCGCGCCAGGTGCCCTCGGCACAGCGGCGCCCACGGGATCAGCCCGACCCCTGTGTCCCCGCAGAACCGGTTCATCTCCCGCTCCTCCTCCCGGTACAGCAGATTGTAGTGGTTCTGCATCGACACAAACTTGGTCCACCCGTTCTTCTCCGCCACGAACTGCAGCCGCGCGAAGTTGACGGCCCCTGGGGAAAGCGGTTTTGTTCTCGTGTTAGCGATGCTTGCCTGATGGTGGCGATTGGCTGGGTAGACCCCCTACTCCTCCTTCTCGGCCTCACTCTTCTTTCTACCCACCCTTGTTCTTCTAAGGCGAGAGGATTTCGCTCAAAACAGAAAACGAGATGGCTATCTATAGGCAGGGGCTGAAGGTGAGAGTGAGACGTACACATGCTACTGGCGCCGATATACCTGACCTTGCCGGACTGGACAAGGTCGTGCAGAGCCCTCATGGTCTCCTCGGGGGGCGTGTTGTAGTCGAAGCGGTGGATCTGGAACAGGTCGATGTAGTCGGTATCGAGGCGCTTGAGCGAGGCCTCGACGGCGTTGAAGATGGCCAGGCGCGAGAGGCCGTATTGGTTGACGTAGTCCTTGGCGCCGGCGAGGGCGTCGCGGTAGATGAAGTGGCGGACGTCGGGCGTCTCGCCGACGGCCCAGAAACACTTGGTCATGATGACGACCTTCTCGCGCGGGATGTTGTACTTCTTGAGCGCCTTGCCGACGATGACCTCGCTCGCGCCCTGCGAGTAGACGTTGGCCGTGTCCCAGGTGTTCAGGCCCCTGTCGTAGGCGTACTTGAGCAGGGGCAGGGCCTATATGGCGAAGAGTAATCGCTAGTGAGCTCTCGGCGACGCCCTGGGCCAAAGGGGGAAACCTTGGGCCCTGCTCTCGTGGGGTAGTATCTCACCTGTTCTTCGTTGAGGGCCCACGATAGCGCCTTGGTGTCGCCGAAGCTCATGCAGCCGAAGATGGGGACCGAGATCCTAAGGCCGCTGTTACCGAGCTGGCGGTAGTCGACCTTGGTGGCCGCGATCGAATCCTGGAGAGACTGGGGGAGAGCTGGAGCGGCCATGATGAGCTGCGGTCAACAGTTAGGTGGAAACAATCCTAGCTGTGTCTGGGTTGCTTAGGCGTATCTTCCAACGTGTCTCGCGCAAGAATGACTCGCATACTAGACGGAGAGGCATGTAATGAATAAGTAGCCATCTGAGAGATCTCCCGTCTCTTTCACGCGGGTTGCGTGGCCATGCCACTCACATCCCCCCGCACGAGCGACCGGCTACCCCGCTGACGCTTGTCTTGGAACTTCGGACCCGCCTTTCCGGCATGGGAGGTGAGGGAACAAGGTAGTGAAGCGAATGGGTGCTGCAATGCGAATGGCGTCTTGACTATACTTGACCCTCGGTATTAGCGCACGCTGTGATCCTGCGCAGGGTGGCAGCATAGCTACCCGCACGCAGAATAGCCGATGGGGCCCGACCATCCATCTACCGTCAACTCGGCTCACCTATGCGGGTGTTGCTGGTATTCCCGATGCCTTCTTCTGCATCGACCAGATCCCGGGTCGGACATAAGCACTCGTCCGTCCTTCCTCAACCCTTCTGCAGCACATCCTGTATGCGTCCGCCTTTGTCAGGTCTTCGCTGGCGGTCTTGGCCACTCCACACTGCTCTGCCCTACTCAAATTAGCGTAGCGCGAGATCGATCGGGCGTGCGCAGCTTTGGTATCTCCCGTCCTCCCACCCGTGTCACGCCAGCGAAAGAAGAGGGCGGAGGTAATGCGAAATCGTCTATAAACTAAGTACGCGCAAGGCAACACACGCACACGCACACGCACGCACACATATAAGCCTCGAACCTCGAACCCGGATTTTGCATGCGCCACACCTTGCACGGGTCAGGCCTCCCTCTTTGCAGCCCACGCCTAGCTTCCGTCCCGTCCCGTCCCGCCCCTTCTACCGGGTCGAATCGAGCGCCAACGCTCGCCGGGCGTCCCGGGAAACTGACTTCTCTATCACGAGAAGTCGGTGTACATGGTGCAGAGGTCGAGCGTGTTGTTGGTGTTCGGATTCTTATAGCCCTGGGCGGTACGGTGTCTGGTCAGCGACGGCGCGCAAGCACAAGTCGCCTCGGCTACGCGCGCGGGGGGGGACTTACGATTCCCTGGCAACATCCCGTGATGTTGTATACGAAGAGGTTGCATTCCCAGATGGGATTCGTGGCGCCCAACTGATGCGCCGGGATGCCTAAAGGAGGAGAGAAGGAAAAGCAGCAGGTCAGCATTAGTCGGCCAGTGAGTGCTCCCCCTCCCCTTCTCGCAGTTATTCCCGTCTCCCTGGAGGGGAGGGGGCTCTCATCTCGTCACCGTCCCCGAGGGAGAGGGGAGAGAGAGGGTTGGGACGACCTACAATTGGTCCCGACTTGGCCGTCAATGTTCATACAGCACTTGGGCGAGTACCCCCAAGCCTGTCGCGAATGGCAGCTGAACTGGCCGCCCGCCAGCGCCGCGGCCGAGAAGAGGGTGGCAACCAGCAGCGCGGCAGCAGACTTGGAATGCATCTTGGAGAATAAGCGAGCGTGGTGTCGACCGTGTCGGGCTGGGTATCTCGAACGAGAAAAAATAAAAAGCGAGCGACGAGAGCGGAAGGGGGTGGGTTATCAAGCACTCTTCCGCGAGAAGCACGCCGAGGGGCACGAGAGTCGCAGCTTGTATTTGTACTTTACCCGGCCCTGCTCAGAGGAGAGAAATCCCGAGCGAGAGAGAAAGAGAGAGAGAGAGAAAGCCCGCCGTCGGCCGTCTCCTCCCCCCTCCCCACTCACCGCCTACATGCGCTCTTCTGCTGCACCTCTCCGGCCCTATCTCGCTGGCGCCGCCGCCAGATGTGACGACGATGGGCGACGTTTAGGTCCTTAGGCGCGGTGGCGGCTTCTCCCCGTTCCCGTCTGCCTATACGATCGGATGCAACGCGGCGGACACGAGGTGGGCATACACACACTCCACGCCTACTACGCCTGCGCGCGCGCGCAGCCACCCACCCACACCCGCACGGCACCTATACGCCCGTCGCTTTCTCCCATCTCCCACCCCCGTATTGGGCCTCTCTGTCTCGGGCGCGTCGTAGCGAGCTATGTGCAGGCGTCGAAGTTCGCTTCTAAGGGCGCGCTCGCCGGCTGGTTGGATCAAGATTTGCCATCGCAGCCACCGGTCTCCCCTCCTCCCTTTTTTTTTTCCCTTTCTTCTTATTGTCCGCGTCGAAGATCATGCCCCTCCTCGGCCGTGGCTTGGCTTTTTCGTATTTGCCGATCACGATGCGCTGCCTGCATTACATACAAAACATACATGAGCGAAGAAGTGGCGCGCGATTAACTGGCCTATGCCCGCCGTCGGTTATTATGTTCCTGGGCGCGGCCCCCAGCCAGTGACACCCTGCCGCACACTTCGTCATGACAGACGAGAGGCGCTTTATAAATGGCACCCAGATAAGTCAAAAAAAGTAGTCTTCGATCCGCTTTGGGAACCGTCTGAGACCAATTGGTAATGTACCCACCTATATACGTCTATATATAGAATCGTCTGGCCGGTGACGATGGCGAGCTCGATACGACAGCGACTCAGCCCTAAATCTTCCCTCCCACGACGACGTCGATCGCTGGTATACTACGTAGTGTGCCCCCAGGCCGGGAGCACGGCATCCCCAGTTCCCACAGGGGAGGGCGAGTAGCAGCAGGCGAGTGCCGGTTGAGCAGGGGTCCATGGAGCGTCCATGGCACCGAAATCGCGCCGAGGCGGTTGACGATGCATCTACTTTGCATAGGCGGTATTCCTGTATTCCAAGTTTAGGCGCCCTTTTTCGCCCGCGTGTCTTCATACATTAGGTAGGTAGCAGTCTTCCTACCGACAACACACACGTACACACGTCCGGTTTCCAAACGAAGACCCCAAGTTACAGCAAACATGCGCCTGATCGCTTCCGCTCTTTAGCCTCGCCTATTATCAATACAGAATTAGCCCGCGAGCGGAAAATTAAGTGTCCCCTGGGATACTTGGAGCCTATCGGTGAAGAGGGGATGATCGGGCGGTATCGGGTGAGAAGTAAAGGATTTATCTACCTTACGGTATATATACCTAGGTATATATATATATATATATATTTAGGCGCTACCCGTCGTCGTTAGCCGGAGAAGGTATCCGCGAGGTCATCATCCGAAAAGTAGTCGTCGTCGTCGCTATCGAACAAGCTGTGGCCGTCAGCTCTAGCAGCTAACATCCGCGCGTACTTCGCATCTGGGCGCGACCCAGCGTACATGCTGGAGGCCATGGCTACCGGCGAGGCGCCTGCCCTCTGACTCACACGCATCGACTTCAAGAACGCGAGCTGCTTGCCCGCGACATACCAGACGAATTTAGGAGACCTTCTGTAATACATCTTGAACAGGCACGACGCTTTCAACAGGTCCCAGTTCGAAAGCTCGGCGTTGACTTGGTCCTCTTGCTGTAGGGCCGAGACGGTATTCTCACGGGCCGTAGGGGTGGGGGGGATTTCCCGCCACTTGTCGTAGATGTTGGTTATCTTCGCATCCCATGAGTCGCTCGATTCATGCCACGCTTTAGCCAAGGCATCGATGTCTTTCCTCAGCTGCTCTAGAATCCTCTCCCACGTAGATTTCTTGAAGCTTGCGCTTCTTTCGGCCTCCTTGCGTTCGTTTAAGGGCCGCTGAAACTTCTCGTAGTGCTGGTAATAACTGACGAGATCCTTGTCAAAGTTTTCGCCTTGGTCGAGGGACTCATTCAATGCCTTGAGCTCTGCCTCGATTAGAGGTTTCCCCACGCCGAATTTGACGTAGTCTATTATGTGGCTAGGCTCCCCAATGCCACTCCAGCTCTTCTTCTTGTACGCGGGTTCTGGAGGGTCCATCCGGCTTAGGGACTTGCGTAGGACAGCCCAATCCCGGTCTGTGAAAACGATCCCTTGCTTGGATCGATCTACTAGATTACTGATGAGCGTGCTTAAGAGGATCGCAGAGTCGTCCTTAACAGAATTCCGTTGGTAGCAGAACTTCTCCTTGTAGTTTGTGCATGTGCCTAGGAGGTTCTGTTGCATATTGAACCGGAATGCCATCGAAAGAAATTCCGAAGTAATGTCTTTCGAACCGGGCAGCTTACCAAGCCTGCCGTAAATCTGGCTCTCCTTGCGTATGATACCACGCTGGAACAGATCAGGGATGGGCGGGACCTCTGCGTTGCGAAAATTGTTTACGATGACAGGCTCCCAACAGACCCAGGCAATATCTCCATCGTAGTCGCCGCCGGAAAGCTTGTCAGCGAGTGGTATGTCGCCCTTGGTCGGAAAAATGATCACGTCCTTTAGAGAGCCTAATTCCGGTTTGAAAACCGCCCTAACCCTTTGGATATCGCTGGGGTAGTGGGCAGGCGTACGGGCGACGAGAACATCCATACCATGAAGGAAGGTTTCGGAGAAACCGGACTGCTCGTCGATAAATTTCGACGAGAACCCCAGATGAACTTCGTCTTCCTCGAGAACTCCGAGAAAGTCGACAACCATGTAAGCGTATGCTGAGCGCCCGACTCTCACATTCAACCGCTCGACGAGCTCCGTGCATTTGTCCCTCCGCAAATTCCAAGCCATCTCTCGAAGTAACTTCAGCTTAGTGGGCTCGAACCCACTATCGACGAGAAAAGACATAATGTCTTCCCGGTTCGTCGGGAGGCCAGCTGTGAATGGGACCTGCTGGTTTTCGACACGGGCTTCCCGGCGATTCGAGGGGGAGTTTTCGTAAACCCATAGCTTGAATTGGGTCGGGTCCTGCATAGCGGCTCTTTGGATGTCGAGGTCTCTCTTGAGGCTGTCCCTCATAAATTTGCCAATCTGGCTCTTCATCAGAGTCGCATCGATGGCTCGGTCTTCTAAGATGGGGAGAAGCTGGAGATTGAGGCTGGCAGCTCTCAGCTCTCTAGGTGCGTTTCGGACTTCAAATGTGCGATGGTCATCCTCGATATAATCGCACTTCCATTTACGCTGCGAAGGAAATGTCTCTATCCAAACATCGTCGCTACTATCGGTCGTATCGCGGATCCAGACGCCTTTCGCACTGCCAAACCGGCCTTGAAAGCCTGCCGGAACATCTACTAGACCTAAAGAGTTGCTTATGGCTTTCGCGAGAGCGTTGGACATACGAGCGATGCCATCGTTCATAACTTTCCTCGGCTCCCCGTTCCCTTTTTCTGGGGAGAGGATATCGGATTCTTGATGCCGGATTTGCTCCAGCTCAACAATCACTGTAGGCTGCGTACGGCTAAGACCTGAGAGCTATTAGCGATGCGCAGGGGTGAGGCAATGTTGATGGATAATACCTAGTGCGATGCGGGAGAAGAGTTTAAGCACTGTCTGCCCTTGGTTGTTAGAAATTTGTAAGAGCCAGTCCAGAAGGCCTTCTCGTCTCATCTTCGTGTGCGAGTCAGCAGATTCACCTTTTGGTGAATACTGGAGGTCTGCGTCTAGACGATGAAATTCATTGCCATCCTCGGCGAACATATAGATTCGCTCTTGGTATATCGTCTTAGTTTGAGGCCTGAGCGCATTTCCGCTTTCAATCTTCTTCGCCAGGGCAGGCTTGATGAAGAATGATGTCCACAGACGACCCAGGAGTACGTGGGTATTGTCGACTAACCATCGCTGGATACTCTCCACAGCAGAATCTAGGCCTTTGAAATCCTGTGTTTTCATCGACGGTATCACGACCTCAAGAAACCTGTCGGGTCCAAACCGACGATTGAGACGATGAGGGAGATCAAACTTGAGAGGATTGAGCTTGAGAGTAAATATAGGTCCCGTCGGTGCGGTATTCAAGTCTAGACAGGCGGTGAGAACAATGACCTGGCCAGAAGTAGAGAATTTGCCATTCAGAGCAGCTGCCCAAGCGTCGGGCCGGGATCTTTCAGGGAAGCTCTTGCCCCTGAACACGGATAGTGCCTGAATTCGTGCCCAGAAAGTTTTTTGATCAGTCCACGACGGATCGTACTCGAGCCGTAAAGCGTCCATCTGTACACCGCAGTGGAGAGAAATGCGCATGAGTTCCCATCGGATCGCAAACGGGGCACAGTCATAATGCGGAGGAAGTGGAGCTAGAGATAGTCAATATCGGTCCAAGCTTGAGGAGGGCTGAGCTTACGCCAAACAGCATGAAGCCGGTCCTCGAAATCCTGGCTGCCCGTGTAAGTCACACGAGGTGGCGTGCTGTCAGGGACATTTTCCTCTATGGACGAGAGAGCAGGAGAGGCTGGAGGAAGGACCGTCGCACGCGAGGGCGTGATAGGACGTTCAATTTCCTGTTCGACTGGGTAACTGAAATCCGAATAGGTCGATGACCCGTCATCAGCCAACTGTTCTGATCTTTGTTGGAGCAGGAGCCGCTCGACATTGTCAAGTGATATCTGAAGGGCCCGTTCGGTGCCAGAGGAGACCCCAAAGGAGTGCGAATCCGAGCCAGCTAACGAGGGCGGCGGTAGCAGTGGAGGCTTCGTATTCCCCGCGCTACTGGCAATAGCGGTGGTCTGCGTCCCCTGCGATGTTAAGGGCGTATCGCCGTCGGGACGATCCGAGAAGACTCGCGACGCATGGGTTGACTTGCTTATGCTCGTATCGAGGGATATTTCGAATAGACGCCTACCTTCTCTCGACCCTGGTGGCTGAACCGAGGCTGCCCGGCTAGGCAGGGGACTCTCCGTACGCACGCGTCCCCTATCAAGAATCGACAGCACGCTCGGGGGTCTCTCATCTTCAGGGTCACATTCAGTGTTGGCCTCCGACAGGACGCCCCGGTTTCTCTTAGGGGACGGGCTCAACTGCCACTCACGCGGTTGGCGTTTAGAGTGGTGTCTCGTAGAAGAAGGCGATTCAGACGCATGATGCGAGGACGAATCCGAAGTGAAGGAACGTGAAGACACGCTCGCCAAACCGACGTCGTCTAGGATAGCTTTGAGAAGATTGAGCAACTGGCATCGCTCGGGCTCGGTGGTCACTCGGGGTAGCTGAGTGGGAAAGGGGGTAAGACCGAGGGCGGCATGTGGTTTCTTCACCCACCTCCCGTGGATTTCTTTAGCCTTTTGATCGAATAAGGCTTGTATCCCTGCATGATTGCCCCTAAAATACTGGGCCTTCAGGCGCTCGTAATATTCCAGCTCCCGATAGTAGGGTAGATCCCGTTTCTTCTTGGGGGACAAGTTCGGCGGAGACCGCCTAAGGCTGAGGCTGTAGGCGTTGGAAAACTCTAGGAACCAGATATCAAAGTCGGAGACACTGCGATGCTCTCTCCCGGGCGTCGAGGGCACAGGGAGCACACCCGGGCCGGGATCAACGTGTCGGGTCATCTTGCATGCCTTAGCCCGCTCACCAGGGCAGACCCGGACGCTCCGCGATCCGATTCGACGATTCCCACGCAACCGACGATGACACCACCCGATGCAACTAGGAGGCTAATGTCGAACAACTACCTAGGCCCTCGCGAGCTGGCGGGCCAATCGGACGCTTGGGTACTAGTAAGACGCAGGTTCTGCAATGTACGATACTAGAGACGGACTAAGGGACTGGGGGAGGACCGGGGCAGGCCAGGACAGGGTAGGCCAGAGAAAAGCCCAAACCGAGCACCAAAAGCCCGTCCTAGTCTTCCTACATACCTAGATGCCAGATCCCGGGTCTCCACTGTGGAGGAGGATGTTCGTAGTCCCGCGCGTTGTCGTGGCAGGACCTCAGATAGATAGCGCCGACCCGGCCGCTCGGGGTCTGTGGGGGGGGGGAAGAGGGGCGGGGGAAAGGGTACAGCGAGTGAGACTGGAGATAGAGAGAATGGGGCAAGATAGCTAGCTAGCTAGCTTGGCAACGAGTTCGTTAGAGTGAAGAGCAGAGTTTTGATTTGTTTATTTATTAATTTTTTTTTTTAGGTAGAGATGAGTTTGCCGTCCATGATCCTTCTTTCTGCCCTCGTCGACGGGGACGAGACGCGAGATGTGGGGAGAGACGGAAGAGAAGGGGGAAGAAAGAGAAGAAGAGGAGGAAGAGGAGGCGCAATTTTGCTGTCGGGCTGAATATGCGAAGGGCTGCTGGGCATCCATGTCGCATTATCGGGAGGTTTGGGCAAGTTTGGGCAGGGTTTGTTGCTGTGACGAGCAGCCAGCCGGGCCACCAACCAAACGAGTTGGTACATATCGAATCTCGAATACGACTCGAGATATCATCTAGACGCATTCGCGGATTGCTTGCTTTAGTCGTCGGGTATTGAGCTCTGGCAGAGGCCTGCCTGTAATGCAGACGAGTGCAGACGCGATCTTCGTATCGCGTTCCTGTTGTGAGGAGAGACATGGGCAAGGAGGGCAGGTTACCCCAATTTACCCAATATAGGTACGCAGGTACCTGATGCGATTGAATCTGCTCTCTTGGAGACAGAGGTACCTACTGCAAGTTGGCGGGTTGGCCCGTGCGCAGTCTCTCCCACCTGATATTCCGTATACCTCAGGAGGCTAGGTACCTAAGGTAGCTGCCTGTATGGTAGGTACCTTGGGAGGTACCTAAGAGATAGGCTTAATAATAGAGACTACCAAGTAGCGCTGTCAGGAATCGAACCTATCCTCTATTATCAAACCTACGGAGCTCTAAGGTAGGTAGGTAGGTAGGTAGGTACCTGTATGTAGGCAGAGGATGGAGGAGACACCTAAGGTAGGCTCCATGCTGGGTACCTCCTGTTCGTCGTGTACGTACCTGATGTACATAAAGGGAACGAATCGCCGAGGTCTCTGATCGCCGAGCTGTGATTGGCCAGATAACCCCCCCCCCCCTCCTCGCCGGGTCACCGCCCAATCGGTGCCGGAATGTTTTTCCGGCCACAACTCGGCAGACCTGACCTCACCAAGGCGCGAGACCTCGGAGTGCTCGGAGTCTCAGCCCAGGCTTGGCCAGCCCGTCTTCCCACCCGCAGATGCAGCGAACACACACACCAGCAACCTGCCTATCGGTGCCATCAACCATCCCTTCTTCTTCTCCTGCCCCGCTCCCGTCAAACAGCGGCTCAGACCATCTTCGGTTTTCGGCATTCCACTCCCCCCTACCTGGCTGCCCGCTCCTTTGCTTCTTTCCCTTCACCACCTGTCTTCTGCTGATCTGCTCGTGCCGGACGCTGTCTTCCCGTCACCTCGCACTAGTTTCCACACCCCTGAGCGGCCCCTATCGGCTCTTGCAGCCGCTACGAGCCCTCGAGCTCTCGAGCCCACGCTCTGCGCTCTGCGAATCCATTGGAAGCCTTCCCGAGCCCTGTTGGTCTGGGCCCGAGGCGGACGAGCGCGTGCTTCCCCAGGTCCAACCCGGCTACGTTCTCCCATCCTACTCACGCCTTGTCCTGTGGCGGGGCCTGCTGAATAGCACCATTGGAACCGCCGCTCATGTCATCGGATCAAGACATCAATCAGGTCCCTATCCAGGACCTGACCCCGGAGCAGGCTAGCCATATCATACACTCCCATCGCAAAGTTCGCTATGGTATGTCCGCTCCCTACTGGCTGTGCCCGCTCCGTCCGTCCGTCCCCCTCTCTCTCGCCTCTCCCCGTTGTCGTACTAAGTGCTACTCTCTAGGTACGGCCTGTTGGCCATGCAGGTGAGTGCCAGCCCAGCCACTGGTGCAGTCGGTGGCACTTCCATACATGCGCGAGCATGCCCTTGCCGTCCTACCTTGTATATCCTACCTAAGACACACCGTGTGTAAGTGGCCGCCCCGGACTAAGCCCTCTCTTCTTCTCCCCTTTTAGGCAGCGGAAGGTGAAGTGCGACAACAAGCAACCTTGCGAGAACTGCGTCAAGAGGGAGCATCCGCAGCTGTGCTCCTATAAGCCCAACCGCTCGAGCGCTTCCAAGCAGACGTCCGTACCCGATAGTAGCCAGGGGAAGAAGAGACCCCACTCGCCCGATGATAGCATCAGCAATGGCCAAGGTAGTGATCATCAGCCCGAGGGGTGGCCCCAGACGTTAGGTACACCTTATTACCGCCCTTTGGGTAGCTTACCCAACGTGCTGACCGGTATCGAACCAAAGATGAGCCCGACACTGTAGAAATGTCGCGTTACGTGGGCCAGAACAGCATCCCTGCCTTATTACGCGACCAGCCGTCGCCCATAGAGACCAAGGACGGCGTCGACATACGTCGCGATATGCGTCCGATCCTGGGGCTCGACAACTCGGCCCCGTTCCCGCTGATGTCGTCGAAACACCTAGACCGCCTTACCCAGGATATATTCACCGAGCTTCCCTCCGACAGAGAAGTGATGATGTGAGTGATGGCGGCGCGCAACCGATGCCTCCACCAACTGTATTCGCATTTGATGTCGCTAATCCGCTTGCTCGATAGTCTGTTTAGAGCGTACAAAGAGATTACGCATCCGTTCTGGGGGTTTGTCATCGATATCGACGATCTCGAATCTCGCATCATGATATATCTCGAAGAGCGAGCGAAAGCAGCTAGGGAGCACAACAAGTCGAATCGGCCCGTCTCCGCATCGTGGCTGGCCATACTCTTCTCCGTCATGGCCGTCGGCTCGCAGTATCGCGACTCGCCATACCACATCCGCACGAGGGATGCCCAGAGATATGTCCAGATCTCGTTCCACTTCCTTCGCCTAGGAAACTTCCTTCTTCGGTAAGCCACGAAGCTATCGAGACCGAGTCAGGCTTTGAATCTGACGAGTTTTATCGTAGGCCAAATCTTGATTCCATCCAAGCGCTCCTCCTTACCGGATTCTGCCTCCTGAACGACATGAAGGCCGAAGCGTCTTGGGCCTTGATCGGCATGACTTGTCGATTGGCACAGTCTCTCGGGCTTCATCGCGCGACTGGGCAGGAAGATAACGGCTCAAGTGAGATGACGTTGAAAACATACGTGCGGCGCAAGCTGTGGTAAGAGAAGCTTGGGACTATCCTATACCGAACCTGTACGGCCAATTAACATGATGTAGGTGGACTTGTCAATGGCACGACACGTTGACTTCGCTATCTTTCGATCGGTAAGTGTCTCCCGGAAGTCGAAAGAGGGTGATCCTCCTCTCATTGAAGTATAGTCCGAACATGACGAACATCCAATGCTGCCCTATCCCGGTATCTCCTAGCTCTAGCGTCGAGGGCTTCTCGTATCTCGAGGTGATGTATCACCTCTGCCAGCTCATTTCGCAGAGATTAAATCCAGACGCGACGACTGAATATTCCTACCAGACGATTCTCGACAATTGCCGAGCCATCGAGTCTCTTCGCGAGAGAGTATATCCTCAACTACGCAGCAAAGAAGCCTGCAAGAGTGTGGTCGACAAGTTGCAACATTATGCGATACGGCTTCATACTGCTTTCGTGGTTTCCGTGTGCTGCCGGCCAGCCCTCCGCCGGGATTGCGCGCAACTAGGGCCCGCTGAGAAGAAGGCTCTGGCCGAAAAATGCAAGGATAATCTAACCGAAACTGTCCGGATGTTTCTGTCCATGCACCAACTGTCCTTTATCCCAACGCGCAGCTGGGCTTTCACTTACCATGGACTCTCCTCCGCCGTTCTCCTTGGGATACTGTGCGAAACGAAACTAGATCCCGAGGTTAGGCAGCTCCAAGGCGATCTCATCTCGGCTCTATCGGCCGCGGCAGCCAAGGAGCAGACGAGTCCTGCTCCCGACCATATTCCCAAAATTGACCGTGATATCGAATTATCCGGTCCTCTCGAGAGAGCACTAACAGCCCTTAGAAACATATATGATTATGGGTCTCTTCATGGAGCTTCGGCGATCAAGAGCGAGAGCGCCTCGGGTACTCGAACGCCTACCGGAGCAGCCCTCCCGCAAAGCCACCAAAATGTTGGCCATCAGTTCCGGATTCAGCCTGGGTTTGATAGACATCAGGACGCCGCTCTTGCTATGGCGGAGCTACAAAATGGGAATAGTCTGTCGGACTTCCCAACGTAAGCCGCCCTCCGCACGCGCGTCGGGTGACTGTAAGAAGCTGACTAGCGTAGAAGCATGTCTTACCAGGCGCCGATGCAGCCATCCGTCGCGATTCCGGATCTAAGTCAGCTGGATCCCGCGACGTTGGCACCGATGGAGCTCTACGATTCCATCTTCTGGGGTAAGTCGTGGCCTACAGGAGCATCCTCGAAGCTAACGAGTATCGGCAGAATCGCCAGACCCTTTCTACACCGGTGCCGACATGAACTTCGACTTCCTCCCCCAGGCGCCTCCGGGGCAATCACAACACCAATTTCATTTCTAATCGAGTTGCGAGGCAAACGCTGCCATGTAAACAGCCTCCGCTACTTTGGCGCTACCTTGGACTTCTTCCACAGGGGACTTGCGACCGCGATAGCGGTGGGATTCTTCTTTGAAATTTTGATTCGCAAAAAAGTACTCGTCTCAAACCCGTTTAAGCGTAGTTGGAGTTTATTCTTGTTTTTATATAGGTATATAATCAAGGGGATCACGACATGGTGTCAATGATCGGTAGCTACGAAGTAATGTTTCTGCCCTCCGTCAGATATCCATATTTATTGCCGGCGTTTATATATACCTACCTACCTATGCTCATACCTCGTACTTAAACAGGCGGCCTATCATCTATACTACATGTTTTCATACCAGGAGACTATTTCGCCACCCACACCTTCCATGGAGTTGATAGGTATAGCTTTCTATGTGACGTGTCTATTGTATAGGTATTCTAGCCGTCCTAGATCGGTGTCATATCGGCACACGTTATCCTTCTAACGGGGTAGACCACACCATGTTGGGTGTCGCTACTCAGGTATCCTACCTACGACAACGCGTCGAGCACCACCTTGCACATCGCGACGCACTTCTCCTCCTCGAGCCGCTGCGCCACCAGCTGCAGGTTCACCGGCATACCGTGTACCGCGTCGGGGTTATCTGGAGCGGGAAGAGGGTTTTGCCGTAAGTAGCTGTCCGCAGTGGTTGGGGGGGGGGACGGAGGGGGGGGAGCTTCGAGGAAAACCCACATTCGGCCTGGATCTGGCGGTCGAGATCCGAGAGAGGTGTATAGGCGTCGCCGAGGGCGACGTCGGCGGCCTTGTCGACGGTGACGCCCGAGGGGAAGGAGATGCACGAGTAGTCTAGCACGTTGTAGACGCCGGTGTAGCCGACTATAATAATATTGGCGCGGGCGCGCACGCGATGGTCAGCATTCGCCGCCTCCAGCGCTTTGGATCTCGTAGCGTGAAGAGGGGGGAGAAGAGGGGGAGGGGGAGGGGAGAAACTCACCGTGGCGGAACTTCCCGTTCTCGACGCTGCTGTAGGGCGTGGTGGGGCAGAGGATGGCGTCGATGCCGGCGGCGAGCCAGCGGTCGAGGTAGCGCTTCTGGTAGGCCTGGCGGTCGAGGTGGAGCTGCCAGCACTCGGAGGCGGAGAGCTCGCGGGCGTCGGCGTACATGCGCATCTCGGGGCGCCAGGGCTCGCCGGTGCGGGCGAGCTCGCGGCGGATGGCGGCGCCGCCGTCGGCGACGAACATGCGGTCGAGCAGGCGCTGGCCCTGGGGCTGGTCCTCGGAGGACCAGGCGAGGACGTGGTGGCCGGCGGCGCGCAGGGCGGCGGCGGCGCGCCGCAGCGCCCGCGTCACCGGCGGCGTCGGCAGCGCCATCCCGTCGTCCCACATGACGGCGACGCGCAGCCGCGCGGGCAGCGCGACGGCGCGCCACGGGATCGGCAGGCACCGCGGGTCGAGGCGCCACGGCTCGGCGCCGACCACGGCGCGGCTCCACAGCTCGACGTCGGCCAGCGTGCGCGCCAGCGGGCCGTTGACCGACTGCACGGCCTCCTGGCCGGGCATGCCCGAGCGGCAGCGCAGCGTCGGGAAGCGGCCGAAGGACGGCCGCAGCGTGAAGATGCCCGTGCAGGCGGCGGGGATGCGCAGCGAGCCGCCGATGTCGGTGCCGACGCCGAGCGGGCTGCCGCGGAAGGCGACGAGCGCCGACTCGCCGCCGGAGCTGCCGCCGCTCGTGAGGCCGCGGCGCCGCGGGTTGACGGTCCGGCCGAAGACGTGGTTGACGCTCTCGGCGATCATCATGGCCGTCGGCACGTTCGTCTTGACGTAGAAGACGGCGCCCGCGCCCGCGAGCAGCTCCGCGAGCACCGCGTCCTGCGCCGCCGGGTCCCCGACGTGCGACGCGAACCCGACCGTCGCGTCCAGCCCCGCGAGGTGGAAGTTGTCCTTGAGCGACACCGGCAGCCCGTGCAGCGGGCCGGTCGGCTTGCCCGTCCGCGCGAGGTGCGCGTCCCGCTCTCGGGCCGTCGCGAGCGCCCGCTCAAAGCACGTCTCCGAGAGGCAGTTCGTCTGCGCGCGTCGCGGGTGTTAGTTGTGGAGAAGAGGGCACAGTTGGGCAAAGGAGAGAAGAAAAGGAGGCGGGGTCGGTATGTGTGTATGTAGGTATGCATTACGCACCAGCTGGTGAGCGGCGGCGGCGCGCTTGCAGAAGGCCAAGGTGACGGCCTCGGACTTGAGCTCGCCAGACGCGAGTTTCGGCAGAAGCTCCTCGGCCGTGAGGTTCGTGATGGCGAGCTCCTCAGGCGTAAACCAGCCAGACGTCTCCGGGAAGCCGGTAATGTCCTCCTGGTCCTCGGGCGGCAGGAGGTGACTCGGGATGCGCCACTCCTCCGGGATCGAGCTCGCCAGCTGCTGGCGCTTCTTGGCGGCAAGCCCCTCCCAGTTGCCCGCCGTAGTCGTCGTCGTCGTCGCCGTGGTCGCCGTCACCGTCGCCATTTTGACCGCTTTTTGAAGAACCCAAAATTAACCTCCCAAGCTCACTTTGCGCAACCCCCTCCCTGGTCTGATAACAGGAATTTAAATCTTTTTAGGCGGCGTTGGAAAGCCCTCTTCTCCTCTCGCTCTTTCTCTAGGTTTATAGAACAATACCCGCAACACCAATCGCACGACGCCACAATCAGTAGCAGCTGAGAGCAACGAATAATAATAACAAGTGTAGGTATTGCGAAACACGGGGCAGATGTTCCTCAAACTTATCGTCATCAAAAACATCCGATATCGTCGATGCCATTACCTCTACGCCCTCATTCAGATCCCTGCGTTGCGCTAATTGAGACCTATGACCCGGTTGCCGGGGCTGTTCGCTGTCTCCGCCCGCCAAAGGGGGGGAAAGACACGTATGGGAGTTTCTGGGACGTAATTGCGGCAACGCAGGTCAGGCAGTCGGTGGTTGCGCCGAGATGCCACTTCGGGGCGCGAGCCACGCTTCCCGATCACACGGGGGATGACATTGACGCACAGGAGAGCAAACGCCGAGATCGACTTGAGAAGGTTAGGAAGCAGTAGCAGACCAGCCTCTACCAGCGATATCTTGACAGAAACGTCTGATACTTATCGCTAAACGGGTCCTTGGCTCCGTATGGGATGACAAGACGGGGGCGCGATAGGAGAAACATCGGCAGCACGCAGCCGAGCTATCGTGGCCGCGGCCCTCGTGTTATCAAGTTGCTCACCCCCCCCCTCCAATGCCCACAATGGATTGGCGATAGCAGAGGGATCGAAGTCCGGTAGCCCTGTTAATCAACCCCCTCGCGGCTGCAAAGCCGAATAGAGAGCAACCGAAGGGAGTAGACGAGGTCGACCAAACCCTCCTCAGCACGGCCTTTACCTACGTATCAATTCGTTCTACCGCAGGCTTGCTGGGATCTTTCGCGCCACCCGTATGGGCCCCCAAGATCGGAAGTGATCTCCCCTCGCAGTCCGGCCATCCTCCGGTCACTCTCTTGGCTTCATCTCATTTCTCCCCCGAGACCCCTACCGCGTTATCTCCCCTTCCCTTCCCCCGCAAATTCCAGTTCCGACATCGTGGCCCATGGGCCCATCTTGCAGATACCACCAGTAAAAAAGCGACCAGGGCCAGGGACAAGTATCTCCGCAGGGGATATTTGGAGATTTGGGGGGACAAATCGGTTAGCCAGCTCGAGATCGTATCGTCGTGCCTGCGCGCGCGCCCACCTACCTGGCTGGTCGCCCTCAGGCATGGCATAGAGGTATAAATAAATAGGATCCAGACATAGCACATACCTCTACTCACCAGACGAGGCTTCCACCTAACCCAATCCTAGGTATCTGCGCCCTCTTTTCCGCTTCTTTACCGCGCAAGGAAATACACTGTTCTCGTGCCCTGTCTGCGCTTCGCCCAGGAGTAAAGAGTGCCACGATGACGGCGACGGCGACGACGACGACGGGGAGATCGAGGCTATGGGAGTATTTCCACACGGAATACCAGCCTGGCGAACAGAAGCTAGTGCGCAAGATCGACTTTTTCATCTTGAGCTTTTGCTGCCTGAGCTATTTCACCAATTACGTATGTGCGCCACGATCGCCTCCAAGCCAGCCAGGTAGCAGCTAAGTTGCTCCGGGTTGTATATGGGTGGTTGTTCTAATCGATTCGGCGGAATTTTGTCACTAACGCGCAGACGGCAGCTCGACCGATCCAACCTCAACAATGCGTACGTGTCGGGTATGAAGGAGGACTTGGGCTTCGTAGGCGATCAACTGAACCAGATCAACACCTGCTTCACGATCGGCTACGTCGTCGGCCAGATCCCGGCCAACCTGTCGCTGCACTACCTTAAGCCGCGCTACTTCTTCCCAGCCTGTATGGTTATCTGGGCCTGCCTCACTATGGTCACCGCCTCCGTGAACAAACCCGAGAGCATCATGGCCATCCGCTTCTTTCAAGGCATCGCTGAAGCCACCACTTTCGTCGGCACTCATTATATCCTCGGCTCATGGTACACGGAGAGTGAGCTGGGGAAGCGGTCCGGCATATTTACCGCGTCTGGCCTAGCTGGAACTATGATCGGAGGTTTCATCCAGACGGGCATTTATTCCAGCTTGCACGGTAGAAATGGCCTCCCCGGTTGGCGTTGGCTGTTTATTATGGATGGTCTTGTAAGTGGCGCCTCCGTTCTCGATTCCGACTATCGGCGAAATGGGCCATTTCTGTGTGGCCCTCCTCTCCGACCTTGTACCCCCTTAACCAACCCCCTTTCCCCCCATGAGACGGCGGTTCCGTAGAGTGCTGCCGCGTACGGGCTGTTAATGCATCGTATCTAGATCACGATTCCGGTCGCGCTCTACGGCTTTCTCTTCTTCCCAGACACGCCCTCGACGACAAGTGCATTCTACCTTACGGAGTCCGAGAGAGCTTTAGCCGTATCTCGCGTGCCGCCGGTGGAGGACCGGTCTCCCATATCTTGGACGTTCTTCAAGAATTCTTTCTCGTCTTGGTTCTTTTGGGGATTTATGGTCCTATGGATCATTGCCGGCGAAACCGAGTCTTTCAGCACTAACGCCCTGTTGGCGCTGTACATGAAGAGCCATCCGACGATAAAGTATTCGGTGGCCCAGCTAAACAACTACCCAACAGGCGTGCCCGCGGCTGGCATTGTGTCGACGCTCTTCTGGGCGACGCTTACTGACTTCCTTAGAGGCAAGCGTTACCTAGTTGGTTATTTCATCGCCATCACAGGCGTAGCCACCTCGGCCATGATCTTAGCGGCCTCCAAAGACCCGACGAATCCGGCGTCGACCATGATCGTGTTCGGCGCCTACTACTGGGCGGGCGCCGTCTATGCTTGCCAAGCTACCTTCTTTGCTTGGGCTAATGATGCTCTTCGCTACGAGCCGCACATGTTCCGAGCCATCGTGCTCGCCGGTATGAACCTCGGAAGCAACGCCGTGAATGCTTGGTGGAGCATCGTATTTTACGGGGCGTCCATGGCGCCTTGGTTCATCGTGAGTCGCCAAACCACCCTCTACCCCCCCTACTTTTTCAAAGGTGCGCCATACTTACTGACGGTACTAGAGGGGTATGTGGGCAATGATTGCCACATCTATCCTGCTAGGTATCTGGACTGCTGTTTTATCATACTCAACGGTTAAGTATGAGAGGGCGCGAAGGGCAGAGCTTAGCGAGGGTGTCGGAGGCCTTAAAAATGTCAACGATGAGGCATAAATTTTGGTAACTCACTTGTACAGGGGATAATTAAAAGCTTGTAGTTGTAGCTTGAGTCGTGGGGTCTTCTTGTGATCGGTAACTCATGAGGTTGCCTCCCCTTTGGTCCAACTAACGCGGATATATTATGAGGGTCCTCGCTTTCTAGAACCCCGAGGCACATCGGCCAATGCATAACAATAAGAGACTCAGGTTTGACTGGACGAAATTGGGTGTATTGGGGCAAGCCAGGGCAGTGCTGCTCGTTCTTTTGGACGCGTGGATTCGATACCTAGATTAGAGTGCTCAAGGGCTAGTCACCGCCGACTCACTATTCCTGCATATTCACGATTTTGTTGTTAAAAAGATCCAATTATGAGGCATCATCGCTGATGATGTTCTTGTGTCTTTCGGCATATTTCGGCATATTTCGGAATACCTATAATGTGAATCACAGACCAACGATATCGAGGCCACGCGATAATGAGTAGGGAGTGCAACCATATCCCCGTGAGACACCCTCCGTACTCTCCTGAAAGGGTCGACGAGCAGGTGTGGCCAGATGGTTGGGTGTCAACAGCTGGGATGGGTGGTCAGCGAAAAACGAGGACGGTGGCCTCACTGGACATCCAGGGGGGGGAGGGGTGAGGATGCCTCTTAGCTTCCTCTGGTACACAACGGCAAATATTATGGACGGGGGGCAAAATCTTGGATCGGACAGGAAGGTGAGCATCTTGGTGCCGCCCAAGATCTCGATCGAAGGACAAGCCTACGTTCGGATATGGACCATGGGCTTCTGATACTCGTTTATAGACCTCGACGATGCTCGGATGGCGGCTATATAGCACGCCTTCACTTTGCTCGACGTAAGATGGACGAGGGAGCAGCGGAGCAGCACGCGAAGGGTATGCGTGGGTGATGATTCTCGTTAGCTGCCGTGACGACCTCACGAAGAGCGGCTTGGGCCAAGTTCGTGGCGGATAGCAGTGGCGAGAAGCCCGGCAAGCCTCCTCTGTATAACACAACAGACCCGGGCCGGGGCTATGTAAAGGATGTAGACAGAATGCCGACAAAACCCTGTCCCGTCACGCATTATTGGACAGGCTAGCTGAGCACGTCGCTGTAGCACAATCAGGGGGGGGGGGTTCGGCTCAGGATTTACTCGTCGAAGTAACCAGAGCTTAACGGCGCGGCAATGTTCTATCGGCGAAGGTGAAGGTGATGGCGGATGCCGACGAGATCGCAGTGTTGGGTAATGTATGATGCGGTCGGCAGCCAGGGACCTCGACGCAGCGGGTTATTCAAGTTGACTACGACGCTGTTGTTGTTGCTCGTGATCGACTTAAATCTCCGACCCGGGCGGTGACAGGTGCCCACTTATGCCACGGTGCAGGTATTCCTACCTTAGGGGGTAGGTACATACCTCCTAAGTACGTCAATGCATCAAGTAGGTACATGTATGTAGGAGGTATGCATGGATGTATGTACCTACAGAATATGAGATACATATCTCGTGCCCACTACATACCTGTACTTAGAGGTATCCGGACCGCATCAGCTACCTACAGTTAGGTAAGCTAAGTTAGGAGGTACCTAACATACAAGAGCAAGGGACCATTACACATTCACGCCTACATTAGGTACCAAGGTACTATGTTCCTCGGTGCCTGGCTACCTCCTCTGGTACTGGGTGACGATAACACCGCATGGGAATCACTACCTAATAGATGACCCGAGATGCTAACTGAGGAGGTACAGGCTGCCTGGGGTTGCAGGTATGGTTACATACATCATAGAGGTACCTATATCCGATACCTTAGGTACCTGTCGCTACTTGCATCGCTGGAGCTAGCCTAGGTAACGTTGTCGTGTGGGGCATACATAGGTAATATTCTCGTTACCATGCACATTATGGGCCATCTCGGCTGCCCTTTTACCCTAGGTACCTGCCTACCTACGTAATAAGCTACGCAACTTCTCCGGGCAGATTTGGACCCTTTCCAAGGGCGTGGTTGCGTGTAATGTAGGTATGATATATATTACCTACCTAGATATATATGAATGAATATGAACGTAGGTGTAGATATTTCACCGACCAACATGGCGATGCTAGAGCGGGCACAAGCACTAGAAATTGCTCCCTCTACTCCCTCTACTTAACATCCATTCTTCGGTGCGGTCGAGCATACGTAGGACGCTTAGGCATAGAAGGTATCCGTAGGCACTGGTACTATTAGTACATTGAAAGCTACCTAGACCTAGACCTACCTCGAGGTTCCTATCTTATGTATCTGACTGCCGTAAAGGTACCTACCCTAACCTTCGGACCTACCTTAGGAGGTACCTAACTTACACCTCGTGATTTACCCTAACCCTACCTAGATTACCTGGATAGGCGTGTAAGTTTACATGCCTCTAACAAACTTACACCCTTCATCTTACGCCAAAGCGGGCGGTCGACAACACCCATGTATAATATACGACAGGCGTAGGTATGCCTGCGCGTTCGCGGTCCCCAGAGGTAGGTATTTGCATATCTCTCAGAGGTCTTGGCGTCTGTGGATATGTACACGAGCCTGCTGTCTCATAACAGATCCCGAAAGAGGGAAGATGTCTCTCAATGGTCCGGAACGTGTTCCAGACGCCTTCTCATTGGATGAAGAACTTGAAGACACCTAGTGCCCCGACTCTCAAGCAGAACTCGTGATACTCTCAGTAGGCCGGATCCGACCAATGGCAGTTCCGTTCCGATTACTCGATTTGGGTCCTCCGTTTCTCGAGAATGCCGAGTTCCATCTTCCACGAATGCCTCCCTCTGGCGACAAACGCGACGCGAATGCCAGAGGCGTCTGGAGGCGCAGGTGTACGGGTGCCTTACGCGTAGGTACTCGGGCCGGTCACCTAAGTTGGGGGGAATCCATGTGTATCGTGGACGGGAGAAGTGGTATAAATACCTACCTACGTCAAGGTAAGGAGGAATGGGCTATGCAAGCCTATCTAGGGGTAAGATGGATGCTACCCGCCTACCTACTACATAGGCACCTCTTACCTCGGAAACCGCCTAGGCAGGCCCATCAAGTACCTACCTCACCTACACATGAATATGCCTGGCGAGTAAGCAGGCTAGCAGAAAATCTGCCATTCGTTCTGTCGCCCTCACGCAACGCTTAGGTGCCTTGCTGGTGTGGACAGGCTGGTAAATACCTCCTACTTATCTCCTCCACGTCCCAAGCTGCCGACGGCAAGTACCTACGAGGTGTTACCAAGGTATATCAGAAAGCCGAGGCGCTTCAGCGTCTGAGGATGTGGACAAGTGCGAAGAAGCTCCTATACACCTCCCCGATGGTTTTATACACCGGGGCTGGAAATACGGAGGGGCAGGAGGCGGTGTTCGCGAGGTAGCTGGATAGGATGGTGGGCTGGCTACGTGACCCGACAGCTTCGGGAGAGAAGGAGGCAGCTGGACTGGGAGTTGTCGGGCAGGCGGAAAGGGGGCGGGCAGGCGGTAATCGTAGACACACACTCTCACAGACCGTCACTTGCGCACACTCGCACACCTCCTCCTTACATCTTACTCGCCTACGCCCGTCAGAGTCCAGATTACCTCCTTGCCTTCACCACTTCACCACCTCTTCCCCTGACTCCCTCTACTCACCGCGTCGCCAACGACGCGCCCTGTGCTACTTGTGGTAAACACGTCTGGGTCAGGTATCCGTCCCACGCTTCCGCCGAGCCACGACTAACACGCTTCGGCTTCGAAGGCCTGATAGATCCCCTGCCCGCCACGGAGGAGAGCCCGAATCCTTTCCGTAGCCTGATTGGCCGCATTCGGTCCATCGTGCCCGCTGTTGAGGCCGGCTGTTAATACTCCTCTTATACTCGTTTTAGCGTCACCAAACACCCGGGCTACCATGTCCGGTTTTGACGGTCGGCGGGAATGAGTTTTGTTTGGTCTGCTATGGAGTGTTTATTTGAGAGATACAAGTACGCGCAGGAACCGGTACCGATGCCTGACAGCTATAAACGCTTGCTTCCGGCACCTATGCCTCCTGGATCGTCCCAGGCAAGTCTGTCGGATTATTCTCTCCAGAGCGAAAACGGTCGGCCTGTCAAGAAACGCAGTGTCTCCAAGGCCGCCTGTAACAACTGCCGTCTTAAGAAAACACGAGTAAGTGCACATCACAGCTGTCCCATGTCCTCGGCAAAGCTTTTCTCCGGGTCGTTGACCTGTCTATAGTGCGATGGGAATAGGCCGGCCTGCACGTCGTGCTCCAGAGCCAGTATAGACTGCAATTATGTAACCGCTAGCAGTGACGAAACCCCCTTCATGGCGCTTAAGAGGGAGGTCGAGTCCCTGAGGAGGTCCACCGAAGACTTGTTAGAGCTGTTCCACTTGCTAGAATCGGCGCCCGACGTAATTACTATCGATATACTGAGACGGATAAAATCTACCGGAAATCCAAACGAGGCAGCGAACGATCCTTCCGACGTTTTGTGGGCTGTCAAGAAAGTTTTGGAAGACGAACCCCTTTTACCCGTGAAGTTGTCTAACCGACAACTCGTGACCGGCCTCATCCCCGAGACCCAACAAACCCCCGAATACGAGCTCATGATGCGTTGTCCTACCACATACCCCATGCTGGTTCCGATAGAGGCAGCTTTCCTCAACATTGCCGATCTCATCCGGCCCGCTACCTTCGAAGCAGAAAAACACCCGAGTTGGTAGGATACACTATTCCTATATGGACATTTTCCCAAAGCTTTTTCGTGGGCTCGCAAATCAACCCTGACCCGCCTTACCGCGCGAGCTGCCACCCGGCTAACTGAGACGAACAGCGCGGCCCAGGGAGACACCCTGTCATCCTCGGCTGTCGTTGATTTAGGCCACGAACTTTTCCCCAATATCAGGAAGCCGGTGTTTCTAGGGACAGATGGATCAGATTTGGGAAGCTTTGAGCCCCTGGTGTCTATGTACACGGTAATAGATGACCGACTGAAGGACTTGGATATTCAGAAGTGGACCGCGGTGCCTATCGCGAACGAATTAGCTGCCACGCTTATCTCGCTCCACCTCGAGGTTGAGAACCCGTGGTGCCCTCTGTTCGATGCCGATCTGTTCCTGGAAGATTGTTTGCAGGGGCGGACCCATTTCTGCTCTCGTCTGCTCGTGAGTGCCCTGTTAAGTTGGGCGTGTGTAAGTCGAAACTTATACAGATGCATTCTACAGTGGCTAACAAGTCATATTAGCAATGCTACGCAAGCCTACAGCCAGAGGCTGCAGGCTTTGTCTCGGCCTTCGAGCTGGAAGCTGAACAGTTGTGGTCGGTGGAAAAGTTCAATAATACGTTGACCGCGGCGGCAGCATCCCAACTGCTGAGCAATACGTCGGAATCCCGAGGGCGTGGTGAATTTTCGAAGCAATGTCGTGAGGAAGGAATTCAGATGGGGAAGCGAATGGGCCGTGAGTTCGCTCCGGGGATTCCTGATATATTTGCGTCCTCGTCTTGCCGCAAGCCGTAGGCGGCTCCAAAGCAGTGCTGACCCTGAAAACTGTAGTCTTTGGAGTAGGTTCTGAGAATGCATCTGCCTTGACTTGGTGGGACTATCATCAAGATTGGTTGAGAGCTGCTTGCCATACCTCGTGGGGGATATTCTCGTGCGCCTGGTAAGCCGTTCTGCAGCGGAGATATAAAGCTGATTCCTTCCCATTTACCAAGCAACTACTCATAGTCATGGATGGCAGTACGCGTTCTCTACAGTCTTACCGAGCAGAAATTGAAGAGCCGCCTCTGCTTCCTATGCCCGGGGAGTATCTTAAGACGCGTGGATTTGCCCACGGTACTCGAGCTCAACCACCTATTCAAGTTGGAGACACCTTCACCATTATATGCAGACTCAGCCTAATCGCGCACGACATTATTTGGACCTATTTCGGCAAAAATGGCCATGTTCCTGCTGATCGAGCCACGGTTGACTTTGCTGAAACAGCCTTCCAGAGACTATTTGACTGGGCGATCTCACTTCCTGTCGAACTTTCTCCAGGGAGACGCAACCGACATTCTGCTCTAGCGTTACAGTAAGGCCCATTCATCGAAGAGGGTGTTCCTAACACCATTCCACCGTTCCGAATATTTCCGTCGGCCACACTACATCGTTCTGACTCGAGTTCTTTTCCCTTAGCCTTTACTACCATTGCATTGTGATGCAGCTATTCTGGCCGTTTCTGCAACAGTCCGGTGATAAGGCGATCGTGGTGAAGCAGCTTACCTCGGGCGTCGTTACCGTACAAGGCATCCACGAGGCGTCGGTGAATCAACTTAAGAGACTTATTCTTATCTACTGCATCGACCTGGACAAAGCGTGTCTGTCGGCATTGTGGAACACTGCGCTTCTCTACCTGGCGAACGCCATGCTCTGCGAAACACATCGGTCAGGAAATATGCGGGACCCCGAGTGCCGATTCTACTTCGCGCTCTGTGTAGCCGGCTACGAAAACATGTGGTACGTGACACGGGAACGGCCCCTCTCATCTTTTACCTTGAAGGCCTCCTCCATGCGGTTTGCTGACCCTCTCACAGTATGTGGTTCAGTCTTCTCGTTTGTGCCTGATAATACCCTCTCCGTTGTCCGTCCGCACTCGCGCGGCTATACCTGTGTAATATCAGGCCCGACGTTGGCGGTGGTCGTCAGGTTGCATTGCCCACTCCCAGACGTTAATTCGATGGCAGATTGTGTTTTCAGAGTGGTCGAAGTGACTATACTTGGGCTTCTCAGTATGGCGCTACGCAACGGGTTTTTGTCTACTCCCGAGGCCAACGCCGTCCTGAATTCCATAAAGGCCATCGGCGGTCGATACGACGCGGACACTGCCGCTCGAGGGACATTTATGGTGGACCTCGAACTGGCAATGACGAATCCGACGGAGGCGCAGGTACAGACTCTGGCAAACGCATTCCACGAGATGGCAACCTTTCGGGAGTTCACCACTGGTGAGCTCCGGTAGGCGGGGATCGGAAAAGGTTACGAAGGGATTTAAACAAGCACCGGCATCGTACCGACGAAGGCTCGAAGGCGCCTCGATGATTGCCTAGCGACATTTTAATGCATATAGAGCCTGGAAAGGACTTGAAGGCCTAAATGGGGATATGTATTGGGGCCGATGATGCCCGAACCGGCTGAAAGGGAGACCCGGCGTGGCCAGGGATCTCAGGTGCCCGTTTCTAATATGGTTGGTGTGCGGTGATTGCTGGCTGATGCTAAGTCTCGTTACCCACCCCCTTGCGTAGTGTAAAAGCGAAGTCTCTTCTCTCCCATTACCTGGTGGGTGAAACGAAAAGAGAGGAATTAGCAATAGCTATTACCTAGATAAGTCGCACGCATAAAAGAGCAGCGGTGGTATGGACGGGTAGGAGCGGCGTTATAGGCAAGCCGGGGTTTTTTTATATATTTACCCCTCGGCGCCGATAATGAATAAAAGATAGCCGTAATGGCGGGACTCCCAGGTACCTAGATACCTCGCACAATCTCGCCGCAGCCGCCCGCCCGAAGTACCTCGATTCTACTCGGACGTACCTGTTTCGCTCTGCGATAGGTACGTCCACAGGTACCTAATGTACCTACCTAGGTATGTATGTACCTATGTATCTAGGTACCTCAGGTGCCTCTCTTGACCTCCCTATCTCGGCTTGTTGCTATCTCCCCCGCCTCTCCCGACTTCTCTCGCCGCCTCCTGGCCCGTATCCGCCCCTCCTCTACCTGTCTGGACCCCTACTATCTATGGACGTGGGGTGACGCACCTATGCCACATGCACCCATGCATCCATGTGCGTATCCGCCCACAGAGAGACGAGATGGTTACAGAGATGGCTGGAGTCTATTGTGCCCGCAGGGGGAGACCTCGAGGCGGCGCGGGGATGGGACCTGTTCGTGGCCACCCCGTCCTCGTATCGCCCCTCAACGCCCGTAGGTACGGCGCCGTCCGTCCCCGACTGCTCTCCCGCGAACCTCGAATCGTGCCGAGATACCTCATCTAGCTCGAAGACGTGTCTTTGTGCGACAGCCCAGTTGGTCGATTAGCGGGTGGATAGTCTACCGGTAGGTAGGCAGGCAGGCAGGCAGGCAGGTAATTATATCACGGCACTCTGGGCGCAGCACACCTTTCTCTCCGCCGCTGTCCCGCCCTCTCTCGAAGGACGACCGGGAACGCTGGACACCTATACCTAATCTACCCTCTCCTCCCCGCTTCCTCCAGGACCCCGAGGCGAGGCGAGGTCGCCGTGATGGCGTGGCTGCTGTCGCTCGAGGGGCGGTTCAAGGCGCTGCCGGCGGCGGTGGTGCGCATCGTCGGGACGCTGGTGGCGGCGAACGCGGTGGTGTGGGCGGCGGTGGCGGTGGTGCTGCACTACTACCCGGCGCAGATCGGGCCGGCGGTGCTGGCGTACACGCTGGGGCTGCGGCACGCGCTCGACGCCGACCACATCAGCGCGATCGACCTGATGACGCGGCGGCTCGTCGCCGCCGGCCAGCGGCCCGTCACCGTCGGCACCTTCTTCAGCCTCGGCCACTCCACCATCGTCGTCGTCACCTGCGTCGTCGTCGCCGCCACCAGCGGCGCCCTGCGCGACCGCTTCGATGGCTTCCAGTACGTCGGCGGCATCGTCGGCACCAGCGTCAGCGCCGCCTTCCTCGTCCTCCTCTGCCTCGGCAACGGCTGGGTCCTGCACCGCCTCGTCCGCCGCCTGCGCGCCCTCCTCCGCGAGCCCGACCCGCACCACCCGCGCGCCGACGCCGACGCCGACGCCGACGCCGACCCCGCCCGCGGCGAGGACCACGCCGTCGCGAACCTCCAGCTCGAGGGCGCCGGCTTCCTCGCGAACGTGTTCCGGAAGCTGTTCCGCATCGTGGATCGCCCGTGGAAGGTTCGTACGTACGTGCCGTGGGTGGTTAGCTATACAATGTGTGACGATGCGCGCCATCACGGCAGGGGGGAGGTGAAAGCATGTTGCTGACGCTGCGACCGCTGGTAGATGTACCCCCTCGGCGTCCTGTTTGGACTCGGGTTCGATACTAGTTCCGAGATCGCCCTGCTGGGTATTGCGAGCCTCCAGGGGGCCCAAGGGACGAGCCTCTGGATCATTCTCATCTTCCCACTCCTGTTTACAGGTACATTGCTGCCCTATGCTCGAAGCCATTTTTTTTTTCTTGGCCGTTTCCTTCTGACCACCCCCCGCAGCGGGCATGTGCATGCTCGACACGACGGACGGGGCGCTAATGATGGCGCTGTACACGTCGAAGGCGTTCGCGCGGGACGCCGTCGCCGTCCTGTACTACTCGATCGTGCTGACGGCCATCACGGTAACCGTGTCGGCCTTCATCGGCGTCATCCAGATCCTGTCGCTCGTGCAGAACGTCGCCGAGCCCGAGGGCCCCTTCTGGGACGGCCTCGACGCCATCGCCGAGCACTACGACATCGTCGGCGCCGCCATCTGCGGCCTCTTCCTGCTCGTCGGCGTCGGCTCGGCTCTCGCCTACGGACCCTGGCGCCGACGCGCCGACGCCCGACGCCGGAGGCGGCTGGGGCTGGGCGCAGAAACGGGAACGGGAACCAGGTTACGCCAGGAGGAGGAGGAGGGGGGGGACCGGAGCGGCATCGAGGGCCCGGTGCCTGGTAGGTCTCAGTCGGATGATACGCAGACGAGGTACCGTGATATAGTCGACTAGACCCATGGCCTTCCATGGAGGCCGTCGAGTCATCGGGGCTACGTTGTGTGTTGCGATGGGATCACGGGAACATTTGTCTATTATCTGGCAATACCTGACTCTAGAGGACGGGGAAGAAGTTAGTTTGTTTAGTTGGGAGGGAATAACTCAAGTAAATATGGAGAGAGCTGCTCAGTATTCGAACAACAGCTTCACCGCGAGCACACGGATTTTTGATGCCTGTCGAGTAACCCTTTTTTCCATATATAGGGAACATATCACTCACAAGGCCCTTTTAGAGACGATGGAAAGGACCTGCTCTATAATTTGCCTAGACCCGGTCAAATTCGCGATCCTCGTCAGGATCAGAGGCTACGGAAGTGACTGTGCAGCAATCTCAAGCGTCTACCCTAGATAATATCTAGCTTCCTGACCTTATCCCCCCTCTCTCTACCGCACTCGGTACTCTCGCCCACCGGACCCCCCTAGTCCGGTCGCCTAGCCATCCCCTGCGGATGAAACATACCCGGAAAAGAGAACAGAATGAGAGGAGGAGAGACCGATTCGTTACAGGCGTAAAAAGGGGCAGGCACGTCTAGAGGAGAGAAAGAAGAAGACAGAGGAGAGGAGAGGAGAGAGAGAGAGGAGAGCCGGTGGAACAGGGACAGGAACAGGAACAGGTCCGCAGTAGGCGGGTCGACAGCCCCACCTACCTACCTACTGCTGCTGCTGCTGCCTCTACGAGCGTCTATAGCAGTACTATTCGAACTCGAGCGGGGGAGGAGGGGAGGGCTACGCGGCGCGCGGGAGCTGCGGCTTGCACTCGACGCTGCGGTCCGAGTCGGGCGTCATGATGGGCGCCGAGTCGTCGGCCGACTCCTCGGACGCGTCCGACTCCCCGGCCGCGTCGCCTCGCTTCTCCTCCTCCTCCTCCTCCTCCTCCTCCGCCGGCGGCGGCTGGCTTTCCTCGCCGGCTTCTCGCGCCGCCGCATCCTCGTCTTTCCCTGCCTCCTTTGCCGTCTCGTCTTCTTTCTTCTCCCCCGCCTCCTCCTCCTTGGCTTCCCTCTCTTCCTCTTTCTCCTCTGCTACTTTCTCTCCTTCCGCCTCATCCTCTCCCGCCTTCTCATCTTTCGCCTTCTGCTCGTCGTCGTCCTTCTTCTCACCATATTTCTCTTCCTTTTTCCCCTTGTGCTCTCCCTTCTTCCCCTTGTTCTCCTCCCCCTCCCCCTCCTCCGGCATCTCTTCCTCGTCGTCCCCTTCATCGCCGTCCGCCTCGCCCTTCTTGGCCTTCTTCTTCCTCGGCTTCTTCCCGCCGGCCGTCCTCTCGGGGGCCTCGGTGTCTCCCCCTCCCTTCTCGCCCTCGTTCTTCTCCTGGTCGCCGTCGCCGTCCTTGTCCGGCGCGACGACCTTGTGCTTGGTGACGGCGACGCCGTCGACGATCTCGACCTCCTCGCCGCCGTCCTGCGGCTCGCCCTTCGTGCCCTTCTCCCGCTCGCCCCCCGCGTTCATCTGCGCGTTGTCGATGTCGGCCGCCCCCTTCTCGCCCATCCCGTTCTCCGCCATGTCCCCGCCCTCGACCACGACCCGCAGCACGAGCCCTTCGTCCTTCGAGTACACCCGGAACCCGGCTACGCAGACCGCGTTCCACGGCTCCGGCAGCTTCGACTCGCCGTCGCTGTCCTGCGCCGCGTCGTTGCCGCTCGGCGACGGAGCCGGCGACGGAGCCGGCGCCGCCCGCGGCTTCTTCGACATGTCGTCCGACGAGTACAGCAGCTCCCAGTCCTCGATTGGGCTGTCGGAAGAATCGCCGTCCGACGGCTCCGGCGAAGGCGCCGATTTCTTGCGTTCCTTGGCGGCGATTTTCTCCGTAGGCTTCTTGACTTCCGAACAGGCGGGTTCTGGTTTGGAAGCGTCTTCACCTTTCGCCGCGGGGGTATCTTTGTCCTTTGAGGCTTGGTCATCTTTAGTATCTGCGGCCGGAGGTTTGTGGGCATCTCCAGACTCGGTATCCTTGGCCTTGCCGGATGGCTCAGGACTGTCTGGGCTGCCCTCAGTGCTCGCAGGATCCGTTTGGCTGCTCTTATCCTCGCCGGCTTGATGCTCGTCCGTCTGCACGGCCGCATTCTTCGGCTTCTCCTCCTCCTCCTTCTTGCGTTCAGCTTCTTCGGCTTTCTTAATCATCTCTTTCTCGGCCGCCTCAGCCTCCTCTTGCTTCTTCTTTGCGGCAGCTTCTGCCTCGGCCTTGGCTTTCTTTTCCTCCCACCGTCGGTTGCACTTCTCCTGGTTCTTCTCCTTCTGCTTCTTCGTGATCTCTCGGCGCAAGTGTCGCCTTTCCCACTGCTTACGTCGTTCTTCCATGCGCGAAGAACTCGCCTTTTTCTGATTGGATGTCTTGCGAAGCTTTGCGACCTGCTCCAGATGGGCGACCCCTTTACTATGAGCCAAGTCATACGCGTACCCGACTTGAGCCAGTTTCTCATTTTCTACCCGCTTACGGCATTGCTCCTTGACCACGTCTTCGACGGCTTGCAGGTGGGTGTTGCGCTCTCCCTCGATGCTAATGAAGATGGAATAGTTCCCTGGTTCCATGGACGGTATCTCAACCGATACGGAGCGATCCATGAGGTAATTTCCGTGGGAACGGACGATGTAGTCCTCGCTATCCGGCCGGCCTTGTTCGTGCATTCTGAAGTGTAGCCGGAAATTGTACTGGCCGTGAAGACCTCGGTAGTATCGGTTATCAAGCTGTTGCAGCACAAGGACGAGAGGAGACTCTTTGGTCAGCTTGATGTGAAATTTCTCATTCCATTGTGATTTCCACGGGACTTCGACGCCGATCCATCGCTGGCAGCATCGCCAGTCGGGGTCACGGAAAAGACGAGTTCTGTCGAAATGCGGCAGTTTCTCGAGCATATCCTCGTAGGGGATCCAAAAAACGGAGTCATTCCCGAACTGGTGATCGAGCTCATTTTTCACATCGTTGTTCCACTCTTTCGACCCATCCGACCACGGGCCCTCCCAAACGCCTTTACGGGTCTTCCCCCAGGGGTTGCTAAGTTCGCGATGTCAGGGCTGCGAGGCACGCTCAGAGTAGTAGACGCCCAAAGACTTACCGGAGCTTCACCAGGCGCTGGCCATTCTTCAACGTCCGAGCATCCATGACGACGTACGCGTGTCCCTCTCGGATGCCATTACGATCACCGTAACCGCCATCGAGTAGGCCAGTTGCACACCCAAAGAGGAACTCTCGATTCACCTTGCTCAGCTCATCGTCCCAAAATGCGTCGATATCAAGAATATCGGAGGTGAGAAGCTCAGTAGTGACACCGCCAGAAAGATCCTCCAGTCCCTCGCCAATCCATCCTCCGGCCAGAGAACCGTAATCGCCGTGAGCCTTCGCATACGCCTTCTCAGCCAGCGCAACCCAGGTTTCATGCTGGTCCTTGCATTGGCCGAAGAAGAGAGCCTTAGATCCCGTCTGGTAGGTCTTACGGTATATCTTTTCCGTCTCCTCCCGATCGTCCTGCTGCAGCATCTCGCGCTGCAAGCTTGGCGAGTCCCAGCACGGCGAGGTTAGATAGAGCTTGTCGTCGATTATAGAGTAAACCCACTCGCCGTCTCTATAGAAGACGAAGCCGTAGATGCCAACACCTTTGGCTTCCGGGTCAGCGCTACGGGAGATTCGGCGAGAACGGGGTAATTCTTTTCAGTCTTACGAGTATCATATTCAACGCACATGCGTTCGATCCCGCCTTCGACATTAGCAAGAGTACTGAAGCTGGCAATGAGCCAACAATCGCCGAGCGAGCCCTGCTTTATATCCCCAGCGCTGATGTTCTTCATGAACGTGGGTTTCTCGAAAATCTCGTGCACGCGCTTGACAGCCTTCGGAACAGTCGTGTTTGCGCTCGAAGTCACGTTAGAGAGGTCGAACTTATTCGATCCTAGGTAGTTGAGGCAGTAACCCTTCGACCACTTGAGATCCCAGTCCTGGTATCAAGAGCAACTGTCAATATACGCGGGTTTTCTTTCTGTGGTTAGAGCAGGATAACGGCAGAGGTAGGACGCACCAGATCGAAGCCAGGGTCTCTGTAGCGCGTGTTAACACGCTTACACTCACTGATGATTTTCTTCACTTTGCGGGAACATTCATCGCGAGCCCGCTCATACCCCGCCCAAAGCAGCTCGTTAGGGCGCTCGGGCGTGCTGGGGAGCGGGACCGGATCGAAGGGGAGAATGGCCAAAGCCTTGGTGAACTCTTTGGCGGTAAAACGTCTCCATATCTTGTTGATGGTCTTCTGCGGGGGCGACTTGCGCTTCTTTTTCTTTTTCTGGCTATTACTACTACCGCCCGAGTTCGGCTTACGCATAACCTCGTCCTCGGAGTCGCTCGAAGAACTGTACCCGAATCTTGTAAGGTCCGGTCGAGACAAGGGGGCTGCAGACATGATGAGGTGCGACAGGGCTGATGGCGCGGTGGGACGAAAATGGCGAGTCAATCAGAAAAGCACCTCGACTATGTTCATATGCCCTGGAAGAACCCGATGCTGCTTTAACACATCAGCCTAGACGAAGCGGACGAAATATATAAACCACGACATATAGTTCCGAGAAACTTGGGGGGTTGCCTGATGAACCGAGAGGAAGCTTCCAGGGGACCTCGGGTGTTGGGGCGCCTCAAGCACCTACAGGGATGGGAAGAGGGTCTTATAATACGGCGGGGGGAGGTCGATGGAAGTAATCAGAAGAAAGGAAAACGCCTAACACCGGCTAGGTTGTAACAACGGCGGGCTACACCTATCAGCGAGAGAAAAGTACAGAAAGGCTTCCCGATCCTGGCTTGAGGTTGTGGTGTGAGTGCAGTGCAATGAGTTAGAACCGACCTCAAGAACCCGGCTGGAAATGAGGCGCAGGCATGAACAGGTAGGGAGTAGATACAGGATAGGAAAGTCGCCCAACCACTCGCTGAGAGTGAGGCAGTCTTAATATAAGGAAAAGAAAAGGAGGCTCAACAAGGTAAAGCACTAGCGCCAGGGTCGCCTTTATCGCCATGATTGGATGGGAATTCCCTGCACCAGGTACCTACCAAGATACAGATGATAAGTAGGGTCTCTCTTTAGCATGGAAAGCAAACCCATACATCCCCAATTCACTAGAAACAACTGGTCAACTAAGTCCTAACGTGGGTGTACATGTGAGCATCGATTTCGACAGGGTGAGAGTCACTAAGTATCTCAGGTCAGGGGGTAACTTGCTCAGTGACTCTCAGGTTGGCAAGTTGAATAGGACGAAATACGGGCCGGGCTGAAGTAGGCTCGCCCAAGTCAAACCTCCCATCATCATCACCAGCAGTGCCCCACAGCAGGGAGGTCTAGTCTACCAGGGCTGACCAAGGGTCAAGATCCATGTGGAGTGACGACGGACGGACGCTCTCGTGCGCCGATTAGAGTAAGCCGCATATACAGGGTACGTGTGCATGGACACGCACATGTAAGCATATATATACCTGCCTCTTACCGCTGCTAGGTACCTACCGCGTATCAGGTGGCAAAAGCCCAAGGCAGCGGAGAACCTCTTGAGCGTTAGAAGATCCTGGGTGTCCACAGGAAGACTTGATGACCGGGGAGCGGGTGAGGGGCAGAGAGACAACTAGGAGAAAGTGGACAAACAAGTACCAGGATTGCCACAGTCCGTTATTTCCTAGCTCTGGTTTCCTCTCCAGGATCCCCCTCCTTCGAGATTCCTAGCAAGGGTTCTCGAAGCCTCTATAGCGCGGTCAGCAGTATGAGTAGAGCAGACGTAGTTCCGGTTGGAGTGGGGAGGGGACCAGAGACAGACAGACAGACAGATAGATAAGAGACATGGAGAGAGAAAAGGAACTTTACACTTTTCCGAGCCTCTCCGCCGTGTGATATTATGAGACGTGTTAATATTCTAGGGGCTGAAGGGTGGGTAAGGAACCCGTAGACATGTAGGTATCGAGATGGAACCTTCAGTAAATACCAGTCTCCCCGTACATGGGAGCACAGCCTGCCTATGGTCTCTAACTTGAGCATAAACGGGAAAGATTCGTAGGATAGTAAGGACCAACGTGCATAAGCGAAGCCACTGCTTACTTATTGAATGGCATATAACGACAAGCCTTCTATTACCCTCAACGTCTTTTTTTTTTTTTTTTTTGCCCGGGGGGGAGGGGAGGTTATGTAACCGTGTTGGGTAATTTGGCTGGCCCAGTTAGTCTACTCGCGCATCACGCACTCCGCGAACCCAGCTACACACCCACATCCACACACCCACCACAGCCCCCAAGACAATCAGGTAAAAAAGGCGTAGGGAGACAAGCAGACGACCCCGGGCTGCTGCGTCTTGGGAATGGGTAATCGGATGTTTGCCATAAGCCCGGATCCAACACCGGGTTTGCCTGGTGTCGGTCGGCCCTCTGGTCTTCTTCCATCGTGACGACCAGGAATCGCGGATTTGCGAAGTGGGAAGAACGTAGTCCCTGTCTTGCAGGCGCAATTCCGTACGGCATGCCACGGCAAACCAATCGACTACGGCCATGTATATCCGCTTCTGCATCCAAACGAAACACATGCCGCATGTCGAACCCGGGAAGCCAGGCCATAAACAGCCACGGCCAAAGGCGGGCAGACGCTGGAACCGCACTCGGGCCTTGCTCAACGCGCCGTTCGATTCGCCGTCAACCGTTCTCCCACAACCCACGTAGCACAAACAGCCAAGGACCGTGGCGCCCACCGCAGCATCCGCTCTTCCACTGCGTGCGCCACGGCGGTCTAGTGGTGGTACACAGCAATGCCATCGTGACTCGAGAGCCGGGCGCCGGCTATTGACTGGGCTACTTCAGCGCTATGTGGGGACATTTCCCGCTTCCCCTCCCCCAGACCAGCAGCTTGTATGTATGTATGTATGTAGGATCGAATAGCGCACAATACAGATCGTGAGAAGGGCAGCGGGACTCCCGGTCTACCGGGTGCGAGGATGCGGGCTACGTACCCCGGCAGTCGATTCGCTCGAAGTCGTCTCTAGAAAAGCAGTACCAACCTCTGGCTTCGGCCAATCTGCTCAGCCAGGGCAGAATACGAATCCGGTGCGAGAAGGTCGTATTATAGTACATCGCCGGCGCACCCGGCTTTATCGATTATACGCATGGATTCTAACGTGCGCATGGGTGGGGATACGGTAGAAACCAGGGTGCGACAAGGCGAGCTGCACAACCCTCGTCCGTGATGGATACGATAGGCCGTCGAGTGGCAAGTGGGTAGTCGCTAGCATCCCCGACGTCTGCCCAGCCGCGGCGGTTACATTATCGGGCATCGTTGGCTGGCACTTGTTAGCCAGATCGCAACTGATAACGCTTTTTTTTCTTCTCTTCTTCTTCCTTTCAACCTTAGAAAATGGCAAGTTGCACCTCTTCCTCAGCAACTAGAGGGGGAGCGTTCTGGGCTGTCTAGTGCGGGACGTGCCACCGCTAAGGAGGACGATGAGCAGCGATGGTCGAGGGCCGACGCGTAGCGAGGTTCCCCGATCAGGGCATATGGCGTGACACCGATACTTCCTAGAAACATCTCAAGAGACAGAGTGAGGCGAAGGACAAACCGGAAAGGAACGGCTAGGGTCAGTGGTCAGATTCCCAAGAGATACCGAAAGCGGCGACGACGCAGCGCAAATCACAGCCGAGTCAGTCAGCTTAGTAGTAATCGGGAGCACTTCGTCGGCGTAGTGATACCCTACCTACCTAACGGCATCATATCCAGGTATGCATTAGATACCTACCCAGATAGCTACGGTACCCGACCTGTCTCTGTCCGAAGATATATAGGTACAGTGGAAGCACGCCATCATGGACAGGGAGCCAATCGGAAGGCCGCGGGCTGCGAGCCAAGAGACCCCGAGACCAGGCGGCTTACGAGCCTAGGTACCTCCTCTAGGTGAGGTCCACGGTACCTAGTGAGGCTACCAACAATGCAGGAAAAAAAAGGGGAGGGGAGCGGAGCGGTGGTTAGATAGGACTCAGGAGAGAGACTTACCACGTGCGCGGAATCTCAGTGACGGCACTTACAGGACCGCGCTCCGGCAGATAGGGAAATCCGCTTACGGCAGCAAGGCTCCCCCGTGACCCGCCCATAGTCTCTACCAGTTATCGCCGCCACTGTCCTAGGCATACCTATATACCTACCTCCTCTACTATTGCCTACCTACCTATATTGCCTATAACTAGGTGGGTATATCCATGGGTACACATAGACTAAGATCTCGGCGCGGGTCCGGCGCAAATCGTCACCAACATCCCCCCCCCCCCTCCTCCTCGACCCGCTCACCGAAACGCAGTCACCCGTCAGCTCCTCGTGGGCCAACCGCGCCAGAGCAGCGGCGCATTCCGCCTCCTCACCGAGAGCGCAACTAAGCGGGACACGTGGGGTCGCGTTGACGCACCGGGTCTCGGCATCTCCGCGCTCAGCGCGGCCGTCTCATGACTCGATTCGCAGCTATCCCCGGTGGTGGCGTCGAGGTCGGCAACGCGATGTTGATGTCCTGCGAGAATCGCGGACCCGAAGGGCATAGCCGAGGCAAGGGGTAGTAAGACTTGTAGTCCCCGGCTTCCCACCATTCCATACGTACCCTCCGTGGTGAGTAACGCGGCTGATCTGTGGCGTGAAATCTCTGATCAGGTGCTTGCGTACACGGCGATAGGAGTAATACCAGCACCCATGCCGCGCTTGAAAGAGCCCTAAAGGTGCGAGGCCGGAGATGGTACACCTTTCTTCGACATACACATATACGTGTGTGTGTGTGTGTGTGTGTGTGTGTGTGTGTGTGTGTGTGTGTGTGTGTGTGATATCTCAGTGTATGAAGGGGCTAAACTCGTCTACACGGGGCGAAGCCATCTCCCGTCCTCTTCCTTATAGCCTATACCTATATACGCAATAACCTAAACTACGATAGGTGGAGGGATATATATATATATGGACACAGAGACTCGCCTTGTTGATTAGCACGTATTCAGCTTCGCTCGTGTTGGTATTGCTCACAACTAAGTTAGCAACCAAAACGACTGTGATCGCCCTCTCTGGAGGAAGGATTGGAGTACTCTCATCAACTTCGAGCTCCAAACCGACGTCAATAGCCACTAATACCTACCATATCCATACCGCAGTCCCGCCACCCAGTCTCTCTCTACATCAACACCGGGAAGAACACACACCCCTGACATGAACAAGCATACACTACAGAACCACACAAATCCCCACGGCTAGCAGGTCCAAGTATGAAATAGGGGACCAGTAATATAAGTTCGCCCATCCATCGGACTCGAACGGAGAAACCAAAGAAACCACAACGTGGCCCTCGGACGGCTCCATGTCTCGGTCGTCCAGCTGCTAGTCCGCGTGTCAACCAATGCACCCCGGGGAGGCTCACTCCCATACTCTTTAAACCCTGCGCTCACAGAAAAGCCCCTAATATCTGGCCCTATGCCCAGTCCTCCAGCCGGGTCTATCCCTCCTGCCCATGAACTAGCTCAGACGGAGACATTGGTACGTAGGCTTGTCGACGATTATTAGCCTAGGAACGCCTCCCTTTGCCGATTCTCGTGTCACCGATCGAGGGGCAGCGGGTGCTTTCACTGGCACGTATTGGGTATTGGTAGGTGAGACTTGTCGTGTGCGCGTGTGTGCGCGTATTTGTGACCGCCACAAGTCAACTGCGGCTACACGAGAACACAGGCGGCGGCCAGCAACAGCACCTACCATAACCCCGGCAGCTAGCTAGCGGGCGGGCGCGATCCGGTAGATACGGTATGCCAGCAGACATCCGGCACATCTATAAATACCTGACACTATACACGTAGACGTGGCTAGGTATTCTATGCTCGAAACACACGCTCCCCGCCCCTTGCCTAAGCACCCAACGACCTCAGTTCAGCAGAGCGCGAGCCTCTTTTCTCTTGAGCCCCCCCTTTCCTCTTCCCTCCTCCGCTAGAGAAGCAAGCCTTCGTAATAACAGAATTAAGTGTCTCGGCCAGCTCAAAAGCACGCTTTTATATATAAAGCAAACACCTCCCTCTCCAGTTCAGACGCGATTACCCCTTCGTGGTCCGTCTGTGTTTCTGACTCAATACTTTTTTTTGTCCTTTTTTTTCCGTTCCGATGAGATGCGATGCGATCCGTTCAGTCCTGTTGTACCTGCCCCTTTCCGGTTTTTGTATATAGACCAACTTTTCGTAGAGCCAAAGCCATGCAAAAAAGACAAGTTGCCGCCCGGCCCCCGTCCCCTGTCCCCCGTTCCCTCTTCCCACTCCCTCCTGCCCCTCTCGCGGCTAGACCTAGGACATGCCCGAGCCGGTGCGCTGCAGCAGCGGGGTGTCGTCAAGCCTCTCGTCGTAGTCGTAGTCGTCGTCATCCTCCTCGACCTCGAACTCGTCCTCCTCTTCCGCATCCTCGTCTCTCCTCCCCTCCCTCTCACCCCAGCCCTCCTCACCGTCCCCCGCCGTCGAGCTCCCGCCGCTGTCGCCGTACGCGAAGAACTGCGCGAAGATGCACAGGTCGAGCAGCAGCGTGCCGGCGCTGCCCGCGAGCCAGGATAGGTTGACGAGGACGTAGCGCGCGTAGACGTCCCCCGCGGGCCCGGCCCCTGCTGGTGGCTCGTAGGCCAGGATCGACAGCACGTACGTCAGGTTGCCGACGCACGCGAACAGGAAGAAGAGCACGCTGACGCCCTCAGTCGATCGCCGCCGCCAGTTGAGTAGCAGCTGCGGCACCCGCGACCCCAGGTACAGCGCCGCGCACAGCCACCCGAACACCTGGCCCCAGAGGTCGAAGGTCGGGAGCGCCGCCGCTGGCGGGTCTTCCCCGGGCTGAGACGGGGCTGACGGGCTGGAGCGCCCCTGGCTCAACGCCCACCCCAGCACACCCGCCCCGCACACCATGAGCACCGCCACTGAATTCCAGATAGCCGACTGCAGCCGCGTAGGCGGCGGCGGCGGCGGCGCGGACGCCTGCTCCGACACTAAGGGTACGGCTGGGCTCAGGTGCGACCATCCGCTGTCTCTCCGCTGCCGCTCGTCGGGGTAGTCCTTACCAGTCAACAACAGGGCGGTCCTCTCGGTCGGGCGGTCACCTCTTGTTTGTCCCCCTCCTCTTGCCTCGAGATTGCCGTTCCTACCATTCGGTTCGGGTTTCGGCGTCGTCGGCGACAGGTTCTTCGAGGCCGCGGTGGCGGAACGACGGTAGTAGAAGCACTGAGCGAGCAGGACGAGGTCGGCGACGGTGTAGTAGACGGCGAGAACGACCATGGTGGGTAGGACGCGCTGCAGCAGGGCGCCGATGATGTTGAAGACATCGCCGAGCAGCCACAGCGCGACGAAGGGGACGGACAGGCCCTCGGCCGACCCGCGCCGGAAGTTCTCGACGATCTGCGGCGAGAAGACGACGACCCACGCCGCGATGGAGATGGACCTGTATCACGAGAACGGCCCGCGGGGCAGAGTCGGTAAGCTAGGGCCCCCCTCCTGGCTGGCAGGTTCGCTCGCCCGCTCATCGAGACGTATCGCCATGTGTGGGGGGAGGGGTGCGTGCTTACCCGCAGATCCCGGATATGGCCTCGACATCGAGGTTCAGGGGCCCCGTGGGAGGAGCCATCCGAGCCGGTACGTCGAGCCGGGGTAAGGGGGTAGAGTTGGTGAGAAAATATGGGTGCAAGGAGAGATTCGAGCTAGCTGGCTCTTAGCAATGCATAGACGCAGACCAGAAGCAGGTCGCCCAAGAGGAGCGTTTCGGGATGTTGTCGGAGGGATAGCCGTGCCGTCTTGGGCACGTCGATTGGACGCGGCGGTCTCGGAATTGGTGTTGGCTTCTCCTTCTCTGGTTCTTCCGAGTCGATTCAGGGTTGTCGGCGGCGGAAGAGAGATCGTCAGAGAAAAAAGAAGTTGTAGCGGGAAAGGTTTGGGGATGTTGTTCCCCCGGTCAATTTACTTCCTAGATCCTTTCCCAATTTTTTTCCCTAGCTTTCTCTGTTGCTTTTCTTGTTTTTGTTTTGCCACACTGGAAAATGTAGCTGAAACGGGGCCGGCCTCAGCTGCGCCCATCTAAGATTCGCATCGTTCCACCTCCACCTGCGACGGCGACGGATTAGATTGGCCTTGCCAACACCTCGGGACAATGAAGACCATCGCTTAGTCTGTCTGGGCAATGACGTCTTATACCCTGTATAAAATGCTTGAAAAGCTCCCCACGTCCACCTCCTGATCCAGGTACGTTGCGGGGCGGCATCCCGTCGATGGCTCCTGAAGGTAATTTTTCTTTAACGCGCCTACAAAGTCAGCACCACGTCGTTGTGCCCAGGCAGGTACAGGCATATAAGTAATTCCCGTGTAGATTTCCGAAGAGATCCGCCGTTCGTGTCTATATGATTATCGGCTCTGGATGTGGGTATGTAGATGCGTCGATACGAAAATGCCCATGGCTGTGCGATGAGGTGGAGAGGTACCGACATCCTCTTGTTTGGAATTTTCCTGCTTCGGCTTCAGTGACCGGACGTAAACTAGCCGTCGTCCCAACGTAAGCACGTGGGTTTCTGAAGGTCGAGACAGATCCCGAGCGAATGGGGGAATGGAGTTTGGCTGAAAGACGAAGTCCTCGTTGGAAGAACCAACTGAACCGGTCCCTCCAGTCTCGGATGCATACAGCCTAGGTCTAAATGCGTTCTCCTCCCTTTGCATTACTCATCAACACCCCCCGTTTCGCCATCACGATAAGCCCCGCTAAGCCCAACACCGAGATGCCCCCGGACAAGCAGAGACGCAGGGAGGAATTGTCAATTCCGCCGTATGCTCATTAATCAGCCGACACCGACCGGAACGTGCTTACACCAGCACCCTCATTACCACGACTACAAAGCATTGAAGATATCCGTGACCACCCACACATGGTGTAGCGAAAGCTATACGTGAATAGGCACAACCCGAAGCTCCATCGTCTCCGGTTCCGTACTTTCGCCTCGCCGGATCTGCCCGCGCTAGGTGTTGGATTCGCCCCGCCCAGTAACATCGCGGCCTCGAAATTACCAGCGTGGGAGTGTTCCCCGAAGCGGTAATGGGACAGCCAATTCCGGACTTGCCGATCCTCGCCGACGACGACTCTATGTTGTCCAGGAGGTTCGGCCGCGAGGTCGCCAACTACTTTAGCGGCAACCCGCTGAACAGAGTCGCCTTTCTGAGAACCAACTATGCTTTCCTACACGCCGCCTTCTCCCACGCCGCTACTCAGTTCCTGCTATTCGAGAGCTTGTCGCCCCTGTCAAAGGATGCTTCCAACTTGGCCTACGTCACCAGGGACGTCGTGGTTCCGCTGACTGGGGAAGAGCCGTTCAAGAAGCCAGAGGGTGACCAGGTAAAAGAGTACAACTCGGCCCATACACACCCCATCGTCGTATTCCTCGGCATCCACGAGAAGCAAAGAAACGGCTTCGGGTTCGGCGAGTATCATGGCACCCCGTACTTCGCCGTTGACGTAACCCCGAGAGGCACCATCGCAGATAAAGCCAACAGTGTGATAGATGCCGTCAAGGCCACCGGCGTCTCCTTCACCGGCGGACCGAGGGTCATGACTCTAAACGCTCACGAAGGTCCGTAGCGGCGTTTTGCCCCCTAGACTTGCTAGAACAAGAGTCGCTAATCGTGATATAGCCGCGATTTACGCCGAAGCCCGTGCTCTGCTAGATTGGAATATTCGAAACCCGTTCTGCGCCGGTTGTGGCAAGCCGACCTTGTCCATCAATGGCGGGTGGAAGCGAGTGTGCCCGCCGCTAGATTTCGCCGGCGTCTCGGAAGGTGGTGCTCCAAAGGAGCGAGCAGATTGCCCTACACGTCACGGCATTAGCAACCTCTGCTTTCCACGGACAGACCCAACTGTCATCATGGCCATAGTCTCGGTCGATGGCACGAAGCTACTTCTAGGCCGAAACAAGCGTTTCCCCCCGTATTGGTACAGCACGCTAGCAGGGTTTCTCGAGCCCGGAGAGGGGATCGAGGAAGCAGTCCGGCGCGAGACCTGGGAGGAGAGCGGCGTGACAGTGGGCCGCGTCGTTATCTACGGCTCGCAGCCGTGGCCCTTCCCCGCAAGCTTAATGATCGGCGCTATAGGGCAGGCCGTCCCGGGAGGCGAGACCATCCACCTTGGCCACGACGAGGAACTGCACGACGCCAAGTGGTTCACCTTCGACGAGGTGAAAGAAGCCTTGACCATCGGTGTTAGCGCCCTCGGAGAGCCTGCGCCGCCGACATACAAAGAAGGCGGTTTGAGGCTGCCGCCTAAGACAGCTATCGCGAATCAGTTGATCCAAGCGGTTCTCCGAGACTTCCCCGAGAAGACACCCAAGATCTAAGAGACCTCGCGCCGCCATCATAGGATATAACCACGGCTCTCAGAGAAGAGGGGAACTTGGCGTGGGAGAGGCTAGATACGGTTGGGTTGTATGACGTATTGCCGTCATCCAGGGGGTAAGGGGATTCACAGTTAGACGGGTGGAATCTCTAGCTCGGGTAGTAGAGCCGAGTTATAGGAGGTCGAGGACCCCAGTAAGCCAACCGGTACAAGAGAAATAGAACGATTGCTTGTGGCGAATATGCAGATGTAGGCAGCTCCCGCAAGCAGTGAAGTACGGTAGTGGCGCGATCCGATTCTAGCGGATGGCCAACCAATACTCGGCTTTCCCAACTGCAGCAGATGAAGCGACACGCTCTGTTAAACAGACGATGTCTCGCATCTCGAGGGAGGCAATCGCCGCGCCCTGTCTCGCACAGACGAGCCGGCGTAAGACGTGCCTCTGGATGCCTCTTTCGTGAGAGAGAAGGATTGCTAGAGAGCGGTTGAGTTGGAGGTTGCTAGAAGGGTCACCGGAAAGGCCAACACGACATGGTGATGCATTGAGGTACCTACTCATAGGGGGTAGCCGGGTCCCTTCTTCCGATGAGGGAGGTACGACGAGTCATGTACCTACGTAGGTCAGCAAGCAGTTCCGCTACCACGTGACCTACTCTAGGACTGCGTATTGATTGGCTGCTCATTCACGACGGTCGGACCCACCGAGGCTTGGGGGGTTCCTGTTTAAAAAACTCCTCTCCGTCCCAAATTTCTCTTCTCTCCTCCCTTCTTTTCCTTCCTCATCATCAGTATGGGTTAAATCTACATCGTCAAATGTTTATTTAATACCAAACAATGGAGGCTCCACTACGGTGGCTTGCTGAGGGTTATCTTCTCCTTTACGCCTTGGGTTTCCTTCCGTTCCCGGCCTCCTCCAGCAAACCTCGAAAGCGCCCTTCCCAATACAGCCGCCGACGCCAGCTCCTCCTGGTTCGCGACTGTGGGGTGTTTCCTACATTTACAGACGAGTCCGTCCTTGCTTTTCAACCCATAGATCCATCGCTTGGTCTCGGCGGTATATGTGTACTCGGCGATCCACCGCTCCTAGTAGCCCGCCCCAAGTAGCATCGAGGAAAGCTCAAAAGCTGCCTGATGAGAAACCTGCCCAACTCGAGGGCAGGTAAGAGCTTGAAATTTTGTAGCACATCTTGGAAAGAGCAAACAGTAATGAAGGCCTCGGTGAGCCTTTCCACGAGGTTTCAATGTTACTTTGCCGCACCCTTGGGTCTGCCTACCATATTCTTGTGGCTCCTCGGAGCATGTTTTCAAGTTGGGTGGGGTCAGGATAGTGCGCGCGAATACGTAGGCAGATATATCGAAGCAAGCACTTCGACGTCTTATAGCATTGTGGACGACTCTGTATTATTCACTGCCTAAAGGCCGTAACGGAATTCCCAGTACCAGCACCGCTAGAACCTCTAGTAGATATTCCACCTAGTAGAGCCGTTTGGGGGGAGACATGCTGGCCTTGATAGTCAGGCCACCGACATTCTGCCAGCCCTTCTTCAGCAGCGAAACGAGATAGTTGATGGCCAACATGATGTTTCCGACTAGCTCGTCCTGTGTCATGCCGACGTTTCCGACGGCGACACCCATGCAGAGAACCTTCTTGAGCTGGAACTTGATCGTCGACTTGACCTCGTTGATCTTGCCGGTAAGATCGTCGGCGTGCGAGACGGGCGTGGGGAATTTCCCAGCTGGAATGGCATAGTTAGCGCAGATGGCCTTGACGCGGACGCAAGATATCATCCTTACCCTTAGAGAGACCAGGACCGAGGAGACGCGGAATCTGCCTGATCAGCGCCTCCGAGGCGACGAAGGCATCGTACTTTCGAGCGAGCTTCTTGATCAACTTCTTGTTCTTATTCAACTTCTTGAGGTCGTCGGCGGACATGGCGTCGACACCGCCGTGTTTAGCTCTGTCAAGGTCGTGCTGGTCGCCCAGAATGCTACGCCGGCGTTAGCCACAGCTCGTTCGCAGGTCTCGGTTTGCTGAGAAGTACCAGATGGTCATGTTCGGGCGCGGAACCGAGGGCAGCTTGATGGTGCCAGAGAAACGCTTGTCACGCTGAGGGTCATAGTTCTTGAGGCCGATCTGGAGCTCGACGGTCTCGAGGAAGTTGCGCTTCTTGGTGTTGAGGGAGTAGTCAAGCAGTTCGCTGACGTTGGAACGCACTCCGGCTATAGGCGGGGGTCGCGGTCAGTGCCGAATTGACGAAATCGAAGGTGCGGTTCGCTACCTACCGACTGTGATCTTGGACATGGTGACAGTCTTCCAATAGAGATATGCTAGACACTCTAATGGTGAGGATTTTCGCGTTCGTGAGGACGGTGAGGTACGGGGGAACGAAGTCGCCGAGTTGCGTCGCAATTTGATGATTTATCAGATGGAGGGAGAGAACCGAAATAAAAGGGTGGGGGGGTTTTTGTATTCCAGGCCCTATTTTTCACCATTGTGGGCAGGGAAAAAAAAGGGTAGGTACTTAGGTTCCTACCGTCGGCACCTCCTAGCCTCCGAAACCTCCGGTAAGGTGCCTGGGAGGTTACTGTAAAGCACTCAGCCATGGGATTTGGAATGGGTACCCAGGTACTAGGGTAAATTACCTAAGGTGGATTCAAATTTTAAATCCGACACTCCACGCGCCACCAACCCAGGTCTGGACGTGGCTGTGTTAATCCGATTGTTATTCTCTTCCCGTCACGTGCTGTCGGACTTACTGCCATCACGAGTCGGGGCCTCTTGGAACTGCAATTCGATACATCTCCCACTCCTCGCTTACGTCTGCAGATATGCAGTACCACCACATGCGAGAGCCGACGTTGACAGATACTTGATGTGGCTGTTTTCTGGAGACGAGATTGCACCCACCTCACCCTGTCCTGGACATCTGGGACGGGACCTAAACAAATGCCCACGAGCCACGCCAGACCCGGTTACCTCTACGTCTTCGCCCTCGAGGCAAACGTTACCTGGTCCCGTCCTCGCATTTTATAACCGCAAGCGGGGCCAATCGGGTTTGTGGATCGAAATCCCTGCGTAATCATTTCTACCGCTCTACACCTTCAAGAAATCTGAGAGGGTGTGTTGTTTGGGCGCTCCCGACGTAATCATCGCGATGAAACAGGGCTGGACACCAACTTGCCGTTGCCGGCTGCCGCCGATCCGACCCATTCTCGGCCTTTCGATGCCTTCTGGTCCACATACTGCCCCCCCTCCTTCGGGGGCCGGGGGGAAGGACCTACAGCGTGAGCCCGCTGCTCTCTATAGCGGTTCCTCCTGCGGCGCATACGACCAAAAAGTCCGGCATCAGGCCCCTGAACGGCTCGACTGTGGTTGAGCACCGTTAAAACGAATCACGCGGCGACGAGACCAGGGCCATCGCAGGAGGGAAACCGCCACTCTCGTTCAGTCCCTAGTAGACGGCGTGATACCGTAAAGTGGGCAGAGCAATGCGCTCTCTTCGCAAACCGAGCCGAAGAGAGCATACGGACAAGGCCCCAGGCGCACACTTGCGGCTCTCTGAACTCCTTCTGACGGGCTCTGCTCCCTCCTTATCATCTTGTGGTCAGCCCTCCTAGACAGCTTTAGCTTCCATTACGAATTCAAATTTCCCAAAGTCCGGCAAGCGCGGTTACGCGTCGACATGACGAGCAGAGGCGGCACCTCTCCCAGACCCAGAGCAGATTATGCGAAAAGCGATCTATACCTAAGCGCCATGATCATGACTGAAAATACCATGTTGGAGATCCCGGTCTAATTTTGAAATGCCACATGTCGGTGATAGCACCCCGATACGCGAGCACGTCTGGAGCCAGTGCGAGCCAGTGCGAGCCAGCGCGAGCCATCGTGAACCCGCGTGGGCCAGCGTGGGCCACTTCATGCAAGCCGCAGCTGATTTGTAGCATTGTCGCCCCCATATATGTATAAACCCGTCATTTCAAGATCTAGCCCTCCCCTCCCCTCCCCTCCATCCTACTCCCTCCCCCCCCTCCGGATAGCACTGATTACGCTCCCTTAGAGTGGGGACAGGGGCAATAGGGCTTCCCGTACAAGAAACAGACCGGCATCCATAGTTGCCTCGGCCCGTTTCCGAGTGAGCTCATCTGTCTGGGCCGTCCCAACGACCCTGGCGGCCGTCATCGAGAAGTTTGTATGTAACCACACAATGGGTAGTGGTTCTAAATCTCGATCGTGGCAACCCCGTCTCTACGATCACTGTGTTAGGTGGCTTTAATGCCTGTCTCACTTAAGACGGCAACGCCAGCCTCTACCACCCACGTTTCTTTTATCTAAGCTTCTAGCTAACCTCACCTTCTCGCGCGGCGCAGTGTGTCGTGTCCAAGTTCTCCATGTTGTGCTAACGAGCTCGATGCTCTAGACAACCTTCTCTTCTTTCTGGACTGAGCTGGCCTCAAGGCGACCCGAGAGTTTACCTAATTCGTTTAATAACTTCAGATATACACTTCGAGGCGTCGTGTATCGCCCTGGAGGCTTGCCATGACTATTTACGAGGAAATTCGGTAATTTGGACCTACCAGGTCTCCCATAATCTTCAAAATGCAGCTACCTCCGCCTTCAGTTATCGCAAGCTGGCCGGAGCCCAACTTTGTCGACCCGGTGGTGAGGGGCGAGGCGGGAATGGTTGTCGGTCTGCTAATATCTGTGCTCGTCACCGTCACCTTGGCCATACGGTTTTATGCACGCAAATTTCTTACGCGGGGGTTCGGTCTCGATGACATCTTCATATTACTCGCATACGTACGTTCGGCCGCAGTGTAATGGCATCTTACCGAGTTCGCTGACATCTATCAGCTTCCCGCCACCGCGTTTACCCTAATTGGCGTCATTGAAGAAAAAACGTCCCAGGGGAACCGTCACACCTGGGACGTGGAACTAAACCCTCTTGTTACCATCTTGAAGCTGGCGTAAGGCCCTCTATCCCCCCTGGCACGCGCATAAACTTACTAAGTACTTAGGCTTGCGAATTCGATACTCTTCGAATTGGCGACTAGCTTGACCAAATTGTCGATGCTAGCCCTATTTTACCGGCTTACCACTGCATCGAGGGACTGGAAGATGACCATTATCGTGTTGACATCGATCGTATTTATCAGCTTGAACAGCCTGATCTTCATCATGGTTAGCATATGCCAATGCACGTAGGTTCCACCACAACTCACGAGTACAGAGCCAGACAGAATTCGGCTAATTCCCGATAGTCCCCTGTCAGAGTACTGGAGGCTTTCGTTCGAGCCACAAAATTGCATCAACCGGAATGTTCACCTGATGGCTGCCAGTATCATCACTACGGTGACTGACTTTCTTGTTGTGCTCCTGCCCATCAAGATAACAACTGGCTTGGATTTGCCTCCCAAGCAGAGTAGAGTTGTTATCTGTCTCTTTGGAATCGGATTCATCGCGAGTTCCGTAGGTATTGCAAGAACCTACTTCACCTGGGTTTTAACTACTGATTTCGACCTCGTCTGGAATGCTTGGGCAGTCTGGTTTACCAGCACTGTCGAGTTAAACCTTGGTATAGTACGTGAGCCGCGGGTATTCGCTCCCCTCATAACATGGCTATTTCTAACAAATGTTCAAGATGTGCGCTTCCATTCCGGCCACGAAACCATTCTTCGCCAGCATCTTACCAGGTATCTTCGGGTCTCCATTCAGACCACATTCATCCTCAAGTTCCTCGATGGGTATCGACTGGGATGCGAGACCTCTCAAAAGCTCGCCGACTTTAACCACCTTCATCGACCATACGTCAACGGGGTCATTCATACCGCAGCGCCCGGCGCCTTCCCCCCCCCCTCATCGCTATGTCAACCTCAACAAACCGCTACCCCTAATATTATGCTCCCGGCGCAACAACCCGGAGGTACGACAGGTACTTTCAGACGATCCAAATTCATACGAGCGTTTGCCGGAAAGGTCACCGTCTCTACAGCGCGGCATGATATATAATAATCGTTGTCCGAGTCCAATTTTGAGGGAATCGAGGCCGGAGCGAACTACAATCTTCATCATGTACCAAGAGGATGACCCGGTGCAGATGCGACTCGTATCGAGTTGCGGCTCATTGGTCTAGCTTCACGAAACGCGTAAGCGCGAGAGCCACAATTTCTTCTAGGCCTCCCTACGTCTCTTTACTTTACCTACCGATTTCCCTTTCTTTAACCCTCATTTCTGGTTGGCGTCTGCGGCAGTGGTCAACATAGAATGGGCACTTATGGTTTGAACGCAGTTATTTTTTATCAACATGGGCGGCGTTTATCCATGGTTTGCGATGTGCCATGTCTGATGGGGGTGTCAACTTAGGCTAGGAGGTTAACATCGAGCAGGATCTACGGGGTAGAGTCACTGCTGTAGTGCTACTATTGCCGTTTCTTTTACTGGGATATGCATTGGGAGGAGATGGGCGGCTACTACGAAGACGCCCCTACCAATTCGTGGAGGGCCCACGGGGGAGTTTGGTCTGATATTTTGACAGGAAGGGTCTTTTTTTTTTTCCAGCCCTCGGCGGGTCTGGAGGTGAAAACTTGAGGAATTATCAGCGATCGTGTAGAAATGGCAATGGCAATCGTTTCCCGAACCAGTATGGCCATCTCACACGATTACCGGCCTGACCAGGAGGGAGAAGGAGAGGGGGGGGGCGGTCGGTACGCAGGACGACGGGATTTCTACGCTCGCCATCCTCCTCGACACACCTACCTACGCCCCACAGAAGAACAGACAAAGGCTAACATGGGAGCAGAAGGACCGTAAGAGTCGAGGAGGGAGCAGGTGTAGTGTTTTGGGGGGGGGTTGCATAACAGGGCCGAAACAAAAAGAGAGGGAGAAACACCAAACGCCGAGGTTGCAAATCATCAAACCCGAGCGAGCGCCTTTCGATTTGTTTGTCCTTCCCACACAGAACCGCGCTTGGGCTGCGGCACATCTACGTCAATACCCGCGGAAGTAACCTACGACTCGACACAGACACGACGCGCGCGCGAGGCGCGGGTGTAATGCGCACATCAGGTTGATCCGCCGCTCGCGGGGAGCGGTGTCGGATGCTATTTATAGGCGACGCCGCGGCAATGATGCTCTGATCGTCTCAGCGGCTCTGCGCCGCTTGGCTTCGCACGCGTACCCGACGTCTTCTTCTCTCCGTCGACCTGCGCGCTTTCACTCCCGGGGCGAGGGCTCGAGGTAGGATCCGACCCCGCAGTAGTGACGGCGACGGCAACAGCAGGATGTTTGGTTTTGAAACGCAAAGCGTGGGACCTCACTATCATCACGGGTTTTTTTTCTCTCTCTCTCTCAAGACCTACGAGGTCTCGTCCGCGTGGGAGGTGGCGTGAACTAACCTCCGACTTGTCGAGATTCCCGACAGCCCACGCCCCTCTCTCGGCCCCCACCGGCTCCCCCGCGGCTTCTTACCTCTTCTTCGACCCTCCTCCACCTCGCCTGCTTACCGTGATATACTGCTACCCCTAGACCCTTCGTGCCACGAGAACTAGCGGGGTATCGGGACTGGGGACTGGGCGCCTATCCTCCTTGGCGATAGACAGGCCAAAAAAGCGGGACGGCCCCCTGGGTTACCTAGTACGTCCGTTGGCCATGCGTACAGCCTCCGCGTCCTCCCCCCCCTCGTAGGCTCTGCATGGGACCAGAAGGAGGGGGATTTGCAGCCAGTAGGCCGTTTCAAGGAGCCAACGTCCCCTCTCCTTTTTTCCTCTTCTGCGTGCGTGGCATCGATTCCGAGGTCAGGTTACCTCCCTACCGGCTGGTAGGACGAACCGCGGGAGCACAGGCCAGGAGGAGCGGGAAGAGGGAAAGAAAGAAAGTCCGCTTAGAAGGTTGGAAGAGGAGAGCATCACCGACTGAGGCACCTAGTCCTCCTCTCCCACCTCCCCCCTCCCCCCTCCCCTCTCCTTCATGCCACGCGTGGGTGCGTCCGGAGGGGTGACTGGGATCCCTGCGTGATTGGCCCAAGAGAGGATTCCCGCGGGCAAGTTAAAGCTACGACATCTTACCCGACGTCCGTCGCTCGTCAGTCAAGCCGCAGCAGCCCTGACGACTTGCACCAATGGGATGTGCCTACGTCGCCGGGGTCCTAGCGACTGGGCAGTGAGAGTGGTCCAACTATGTAGGGCTTGTTGGCGATGGTGTCCTGCTGGATCCGCTGGCCAGACACGAGAGGGTATCGTGTCGTAGATTGGTAGAATTACAAACAGAAAAAAGACAGAAGTACGAAAACCGGCGAGGGAGAAAGAAAGGGAAGATAATAACAAGGCAGAAGAGATAATACTTAATCAAAAAATAACCGCAGGACTCCCTATCCCCCCAGCCAACCAGCTAAAACCACCCGACTCCAACGCCGTCTCTACCTTTCTGCGAGTGATATGGAACCATATTCTAACTATGAGTAAAATACTGTAGAAAAAAAAACACTTTTAGTATCAAAAGCTGTGCAAAGCTTGTATCCTCCCTAACTCCAATGCCCGATATCCCAGTTCGACAAAGCAACAGACGGTAGGATCACCGACGACGATAGCACCCAATGCGACAGCGCAACTCCCCCCCCCACACGTCCATCCTCCTACGATGGATCGCCCCGACGAAAAAAAAACCCGAGGCGCCGCTTCGCATTGGCATCCACCACCACATAGCCATGAAATGGCTCGCATGCACCCTCTCGTGGCACACCCCTCAGGCACACATGTGTCCTGGAAAAAAACGACTCTCCCCACGCACTCTTGGCATGTCCTTTAGTCTCTGGTTTCAAAATCCGGGAAAGTTCTACAATCAACGAGACGTAGCGCCGGCAGATCCCTGGGTCCAATGCCGGGGGCTCGGCTCGGAGTTCTCGGCCTCCTCTCCGCGCAAAAAGTCCAAAAGTCCTCACGGGAAACAGATATAACGCCTCGGCTAGGCTCTGCTCCAGGCCTCCTGGCCGGCGGGAGTGGCGGTGGTATAAATAATAAAAAAATAATTGCACTTGCAATTCCTCGACTTGTAACTAAAATTCCACACGCCTAAAGACGCACTCTTTACTGCGATGAAATAAGTCAGCCTTGTTAGGGAAAGGGGTGGGCGTAGCGAGGAGCCACGTTTGTTCATCACCTACATTCTTCATTCAGCGAGAGTGATGTCCGTGCGACCGCCTATACGAGTCGTGGGTGCTGGACCCTTTGTTAGACTGCAGCAACTTCGAGGAGATCTTCCCCATGGCAGCCAGGTGATCCCTGGCCTCGGTGAGTTGTTGCAAGTAATCAAATGCGTCCGGGACGCTGTACTCCTGGAGGTACGTCTGGAGGGCCTTGTGGTGCTTGTACCATTCATCCACCATGGGTCGCTCGGCGGCCCTCATGGCAGCCTCTGCCTGGGATAGCCTTGCCGCATGTTTGCGGCTGCTGGTGCTGTCTATGGAGTCCTTGCTCTTCCGCTTCCGGCCCTTGGCCGACTGTGCGGAAGATCCATGCCCGGATGGGGGGGACCCGCTCGAGACATTGAGGACATTTCCGCTGTCATTGTGGACGCGTCTCATATGGTCCTTCAGGTTCCACTGGCGTGGGAATCCATTGCCCGGAACCGCACGGTCGCACCCATCCCAGGTGCAGAGGTAGGGCTTGTCGCCGTGGCCGTGCATGGCATGAGCTTCCCGCTCGTGCCGGAGGAGGCATGCGGTAGAAGAAAACCGAGCATTCTCGCACGACTCGATCTTGCACCGGTAGGGCTTCAAGTGCGAGTCCACAAATTTGCTGCACGTTTTGGTTAGATCCGAAGACAGGGGGGGGGGGGGGGTGGGGGGGTTATGGCATTGGGATCTTACTCATAGTTGCACTTCAGCTTCTCGGGCTTGTGGTTGCAGCTGTTCTGGCCCTCCCACGGGCAGTGAAACAACCCGTCGGACTTGGGGTAGGCATTCTTGTATAGCGGGTGATCCCTGGCGGAAGACTCACCATCACCACTGGAGCGACGGGTGTAAGAAGGGGGGAGGACGAAGACGTCATCCGTAAGAAGAACTCCATTGGGATCCTCTGTAGTCATCATGCCCATCTGGCGGTCGAGGCTGATGGGGTTTCTCTACGTCAGAGTTGCTCCGAATGTCACGGCGTTCAGTTTTACATACCTTGGCGAGATGCCCTCTATCATTGGTGACGAGTTGTTGGTGTGCGTAGGAGACGCATTCATGGGGACAGACCATCCGTCTTCAGGCAGACCGGGAGTGGAAATCCGGGACTCCACGGGGCTCAACGAGCTCCAGGTGGTAGCAGCGGGCGAGTTTCCGGTCAAGTTGGCGTCGAAGTTCAGCTGCATGTGCGTGGGATCGACATGCTGCTGGGCCATTCCCTGCGGGAGGCTCGGGAGCATGCCAACAGGAGAGTAGGGCAGTCCGTCCGCGGATAGGCCTACGCTCAGGGGCAGTGTGGGGTAGAACATCTGAGAGGATACCGAGTGGGTATCCGAATCCTGGAGAAGATATGCGTCCATCTGGTGGTTACCTGTCATGTCAAAATTCGACATGCGAGAGCCTTGAGACACAGGGGAGAGCAGCCTCGGCCGACTCTTGTGCGCGGAGGCTTTGATAATTCTATTCTTGTGGCTCCCAGAGGAGCCTCGAGAACTGAGTCGCCGCATGGGTTCCGACGTGTGAGCCTGGGCTTGCTCCGTAGCGATCCACTTGCTGGTCATGTCATCCACGGCTTCAGTCTGGTCCTGTCCTCTGGGAGTAACCTGGGCATATGAGAAATGGAAATCCTCATCTGCATTGAAGTTCTGTGTTCCTTCAGCCGTCGCCGCATCCCATACTGAACTATGAAGGTCTGCATGTCCGGGTTGAGAGTAAAGAAAAGATCCGGAACTGGCAAGCATGTTTCCTTGGGAATAAGAGCTGTAGTCACTGAGGTTGAGGTTAGTGTGCTGTTTTCCACTAGCCAGCGGCATAATCACGAGAAAATGCATCAAAACCGAATACAAAAAGAAACAGCTTCAGCATGGCACAACTTTGTTCCTGTTCTCACGATACTGGTCAGTCTTGGATATACTATCGAGGCCTAACGACATAGGGGGGGTTCATATACAGACCAGACTGAAGTATCCCTGGCGGACCGAGTCCGAGGAAATACTATCCAGGGATGGCGACACGATAGGGCGCACATAGCTTCAAAATTGGACGATCCAGAGCGCTGATCCAGGGGCGGCTTGAGAAGCGTAGAAAAGGAGAGAAAACAACCAACAGAAAAAAGAAGAAAATGTATTTTCCAAGGAAGGAAAAAGGCCAGGGCGATGTCCATGGTAGGGGTGTGGTTATGGAATCAAACACGTGGAGGCGGTGGGATGGACTGTGGTGGGCATGACGCTGAAAACAGGCGGGGGACCGACTGGTTCGGTACCTATGACAAACAGAATCTGCCCGCAGTCGAGACCAGAGCGAGTCGTTGTCGCGTAAATTGGTGATAACGCGAGCCCACGCGTCTGGATCGGCGAGCTGGTTCGAGATCCGGGATGCCGACTCAGAAATCAAGACAAACCATCCTTAGGGATATTCCAGGGAGCACCGGGACCATGGAGCGTCTCTGTATTCAGGCCAGGTCAAAGCTCGGCTATGAACGGATCCAGGAAATCGGCGCACATTCTTGTCGTGTTGGGGAGTTTCTCCACAGCCAGGTTTGTCGTGGTTCCGGAGGCCATGCCAGAAAGTCGAGGAAACAAGGTCTAAGTGGTTGCCCTACAAACTATTGAATATGCGAAGCACCACAGCAGAAACGAAGGAAGCATCGCCCACCGACAGGCCCGGAAAGTGTTGCAGTCCCGAGAAGAGAGAAAATCCACGGATCGACACGTCTGTCCTAGTTCAAATCCCGAGTTCGAGAACAATCCACCTGTAGTTCGTCAAGGGTTGGGTTCCGGCCAGTCAGTGTGCATCAAGTCTATTGGGAATCCTAGAATCACATCCCGGGTCGCTGTCGTCACTATTTGTCGCTGTCGATACTCACCGTTAATCTGATGATATTTCATTATCCATCTGAGAGACGTGGCGGGGTCAAGCACGGGTGATGAGCCCGGCTGCCTTGCTTCGCACGCACGCGCACGAAGCAGAGCCTCAGAAAACAGTCCTGGGAGGGAAACCGGGGAAACGTAACCTGGGGCGAGTATCCATTGGCTCCATCCAGTGTCCATATCCGGGTATTCTTGTCCTGTTCTGGGGAAGACGGAGTCCACGAGGCAAACAAATCCTGGTCGGGCACGTAGAGCCTGTGAAGGGGAAAACGAGCACTTGCGACAGAAGCTCAACACGACGCATACATGACAGATCACACAACAGGCCATACGCGAACGATTCCTCGCACGAAACCAAAGAAAAGCAACCCCCGACTCCGGTAGAGAGAAAGAGACGAAAAACGAACGAAAAAAAAAACAATGCAATATACCTCGCAGGAGTGTGGACATCTTCCATGTCTAGAGACGATGAGTTGAAGCCGGACATGCTGTCCGGGCGGGTAGCAACCACGGCTGTCATTGATCCTGGGTGGAACGGCGCGTGGAACAGAGCAGGCTCTCCGGAGTGTGATCCCTTTGAATCCTGTGGCAGCTAACAATAGGCAGTGTTATCCCTGCGGAGCAGTTACGAGACTGGTTCTCAATTGGGGAACGGTTGCGTGTTCAGTTCTCTGTCGACGGGGCGCGCGAACAGGCGGCGGTCCTTGGGCTGATAAACAAGCGGCAAGACACCAGACGGGCAGCGATGGGGTACGGAAGAATCCTCAGTGGAGAGCGAGAGCTGCGGAGCAGCGGGAAGAGAGGCTTTGACGGTCTTGGGTGTAGCAACGAAAAATAAGCCGTGGGACGTATTGTGCGGTGTAGGTGAAGGTTGATATGATGGGTCTCGGGTTGGGCAGAAACGCTTGAGGTCTTTGGGCAGGAAAATAGGAGAGAAGAAGGGGTGTTGGGCAGAGAGAGGAGACATTCGGGGTTTTATTGTGTGCTATAGGCGACACCAGAGGATCGGGTTGGCCAGCACACACGGTGCAAAGGGATGACACGACGCCAGGAAGCCTGCCAGGCCGAGCCGGGGTGTGTGCAGGGTGATGAGGCTACTGGCGATGCGGTTGGTCGGCGACAGGCCTGCGCTGGCCTGGCCATGTTGGAGAATTGCGAGTCGCAGGGCGAGACGACGCAGAGAAGACACAGGAAGAAACAGGGAAGAGGGAAAAACGAGGAAGGACGCCGAAGGAGATGGAGGGGGGGGGGAGAAAGCGAGAGGGATGAGAGGACGAGAGCGACGGGGCCGAGCTGGCAACGACCCCGCTCTCGACAGGGATGTGTCAGCAGCGGCTCTGATTGGGCCAGCAGGGCGGTCGTAGTGGGCTTGGAAGTGGACCCAGCAGTAGGTCTAGCACGCGGTCGCCTGCGGGCTGCTGGCCAACCACAGCCGGCCGTTGCCAGAGCACAATCTGCCCGCCTCTATCACCGCCGCTCGTCCACTGAGAGACGGCGGCCAGGCCTGCCCCTCTCGTCCCATGGCTGCGTCGTCAACAGGCTGCAGCGCTGTCGGACCGTATCGTGCGGGGGTTGCTGAGCGTTGTCGACAGCCTATTGCACGAGGCCGACCGCGCAATATGCACCGTGACGACACCACCGCGTGAGCAGCGCCCGTGGCATGTTGCGGATGATGCTGCTGCTGCTGGCTGCTGCTGGCTGCTGCTGTCCTCACGTCTGCTGCTGCGTAAGCGGGAGCGGGAGCGGGAGGTACTGCGGCAGGCTGGCTTGGTGCGGGCACATAGGCCGACAGGTACCCGTCGCCGGCCCTGAAGTACCCGACCCGGGCGATTCGCGGGCACCACGACGGCGTAGGGACTGCCCAGTCCGCCTGCGGTACGCGCGCACTAGCAGTGGGCAGAACGAAGTCCTACGTGCGGTACATGGGGTGCCGGTAGGGGCCTGCCCACCAAGGTACCTCGTGGCCGTCGCAATTAGAGGCGCCGAGAGGGATGGCACCAGCCAGGACCAGCCAGGCCCCAGCAGGCACAATTACGTCCATAGCAGGTAGCCAGGTACCTGTCGGGGGGCCGCAGGCGGCGCTGGTGCCGTGGCCAACGCATCGCTGCATCGCTACATCGCTGCAACTGGTGCGTCGCTAGGAAATTCCATAGGCCGTTATAATCCCGACCTGGTGCGCGAGCCGCGGGAAATTGTGTAAAATTGTCTAATGTCCTGTAATTTTGCACCTCTCTTTTTTTTTTTTCTTTCCTCTCCCATCCCCTCGCACCGCGCCATCCCGGGTCGCCATTCCGGGTCGCCTTCCCGTCCATTTTCATTTTCGCTGTTATTATTATGGTTATTGCCTAGCAATGCCTGCTAGATGCTCACCGGTAGCAGCTAGCCCTCGACAAGTCTGATCTCGTCGCCGAGCATTCACCTAGTGCCACAGTAGATGGTGATTGTCGGTGTAAGTTACTCGTTTCGACCGAGCTGTCATCAATGGCCCCCTACGCTATGCCCAGTGCGGCCGGTGGGCGAGCGCCGGCGACGTGCGGAATTCGCGGAACGACGTCGACTACGTTTTGTCTAGGTATCAGATGGCGGATGAGACCTCTCCAATAATAATGAGAATTGGCGTGCGACACAATCTGCGCCCGCGAGCTCAGCCTCTCTGCAAAGTGATTTGCTGTCTGCTGAGCTGGCCGGTCCCTTGCGCTGACGAATTGGCGCCCGGATATCCAACCGACACGACCAAGATGAGGGGAAGAAGAGGAGAAGATGGATGCATCGTCACACCCGCCTCCCGACCACCCCATCATGGTGTGTAGGACTCGCGGTTGTCACGGGAATCTCGGACTCTCTTATCCCCGCCCTCCATTAGAATGGTAGAATGGCAGCAGAATGACCAGACCATTAGAATCGCTATAGTGGGAGCGGGTATATTGAGTGACAAGAATATCAAAAGAGCGATCGAGAAGAAAAAAAAAAGGCGAAAAAAAAGACTGGCTCGTGAGAAGTGGGGCAACGATAGGACCGTCCCCCCGTACCCATCCTCACCTATCCCGTCATTCCTCCAACACCACGGTGGCAATTCCCAATGCCGAAGCTGCCGCGGCCGTGATGGCTTCCTGCCAGCCAGGCCGCTATATGATCTATCTACCTGTGTGCATGAGCAATGGCACGGGTCGTGGCACAGGTCCGGGTCTAGCGCCGTGTATCCGGCCGGTGTTAGCTGTGTAGTAGCATAGTATATACGCATACCGGCATTCGACCCAGAGACGACGCTATATGCAGGACTAATTGCACAGGCACGCCTAGGCACATTCTCTACAGAGTGAGTCATTATCACACATTTGACACTCGTCGGGAGCGCTACCTGACTGTTTGATAATCGACGTGTCCCACGCCGTGCCCTCCAAGCCGTCTCCCGTCGTCTCCCCAGACCGCCTCTTCCCAGAGTGCCTTCAGCTCCATCTCCCCGTCGAAATCGTCCTCCCAGGCGAACAGCCTCAGGACCGACTTGGCCGCTTCCCAGTTCTTTATGCGCAGCACCTCGCTCGCGAGGCTGACCTTGCTCAGATACTCGTCTCTGAACCTCTTCATCTGGCTCCGCTCCAGGTCGTCGCTGGTCTCCGGAGTCGTCATCATGGCGCACGTGCCGAACATGACGGACCAGAACCAGAGCGGCTGGCTGTATTGCCCCTCTTGCATGGGCACCTCGGTGCGATAGACGTCGGCTAACAATTGCTCGATGAACCAGCTCAATATGAACGAATCGACCGTGCCCTCGCGCATGATTACGTAGAGGTAGAAATAGCACGCTATGAAGCCCGACCTGGTGTCGTCTATCGATTTTACAGGCGCTACGACGCTGCTATCGCTGGCTCGAGGGTAGGGCGACTTCGCGGTCAAGACCTCGAAGAGTGGCTTCTCGCAATCGTACGAGCTTCCTAGTATGCATAGACTATAGATCGGCCGAAGGGCGACTCGGAGCAGGGATATGATCACGGATTGATGGACCGAGTCCGTTCGGCTAATATCCAGGATATCCCAGACCGGTCGACTGGCCACGGAATTCGCTGCCCTACGGAGGGGGGGGGGACGTCAGCCTCACTCGCACTCGCAGGGGGAACATACATGCCTAGCAGAGAGGCGCACGCACATCAAGATCATTCGCTGGAGTAGGCCCATCTTTACGGGGCGTCTCTTTTCGTCCCGCTGTTCTTTGATGAACGCCAGTACTTTTAGATGATGCTTTACGTCGTCGATAGACCCTAGGGCATTCTGAGTCGTCGTCAGTCGGCACACGGCCGGAGCGGGTGGGGCGGCCGAGCAGCAAGCTGTTCTCTGGTGGCGGGACACCTCGTGCTTACCTCGACCAAGGCGAGACTCCAGACGGCCGCGATGGTGCCATCGTGGACGGTCTCATTCCGGGAATAGAGCTGATGCGTGACGAACTTTCTAGCCTGCGCCTTGTGATGCGAGTAGTGAACATGGAAGCTCTCGGCGTCGTCGTTGGACCAAGCCCAGTGCAGGATGGTCATGAGCAGTGCGGCATGGAGGAAGCCGGGATGGGACAACGCTTTGCGTACGCTGACGAGTATGTACGAGTTAGGGCCGACCAGGTCTCCGTCCGCGATCCGCTCTGCGGTTACGATGGGGGTGGCCCTCTCACTTACAGGAACGAGTCGGTGCCTCTTTCGACACGGGTCGTGTATAGCACCCTCGTATTAGTGACTGGATATCGGAAATCGATGAGTGACTGTTCCCCACCTCGCTTGGTGCCCGGTATGGGCCGGGGTCATCACTTACAGAACCGGAATAGCCACTGGGATTCGCGGGGGACGTATGTCGCTAAGAATGGGTCGTTCGGAGTGGCGTCCACTCTACGCAGGAAGGGCTCGGTGGGCTGGTGAGGCTCTCGAGATCCAGCCCAAGATCCGGACCTGAACCCGGCCTCGGCAACGTGGAACCCAGCGTCTCCGTCCGGGTAGCCACACTCTCCACCGTGACGGAGGCAGTACGTGCTGCAACGCGCGTCAGCATCCCTGAAGAGAGAGTTCCGATGAACGCGTCGATGGTGCCATCAGGCAGAAGTGAGAAAGGCCAGTAGTGGCGCAGGACGGATGGGCTGCTCTCTTGCCTCCCGCTAAAGAATAAAAAAAAAGGGGGGGGGGGGGGGACGGGGGAGGGTCTGGGATTCCCTCCCTGTCGGTTGGTGTCGGGCACCAATTGCTTGCATGGCTCGCCGCGGCACGTCTCGTATATTCACATCCAGACGCAACTCTCGGCCAGCCAGCAGGGCTGTGTCCTTTTTTCTCTCCTTTCGGGTGACTTACCAGAGTGGTTTTCTCTCGTCGCACCGGATGTGCTTGTTCTTGCAGGTGGAGCATCCATTCCTCGACCTGCGGTGGAATTTGCGCTGGCGCTGGCGCTGGGTCTGGAATATAGGCGCGGCTTCGCCGTCGGTCCTACCCATACGCATTTCCCTCGCGGGCGACATATTCTCGTAGTTAGGCGCCAGTGGGCGGTGTCACGGAGGAACGAGAGAGGGGGATCTTACGGCTCTGAAGTGCTAATTCTTAGTCGATTCGCAAAATATTATATGACCAGCGATCGCCTGAAGCAGATGAATTTCTTCGTGTTCATGGGTAGGGCGCACGTCCTGATCTGCAGGCTATGATTATGATGGAACCGCTTCTGGCTTGGATCCTACCCTTGTGTGGCATTGGCCGATGGCATTCGGGTGAGAGGCCCCACCTCTGCCGTCGAAACACCTACTCAGCTCAGAGCCCATTCGACCTCAATCATGACGACTCGGTCCCGTCTCGTCCGCCCCTGTCCATCGAGACTCCCGCGTTTTCCCTGTAATCGCTGGCGTCGCTACGATGCTGAGCCGTTGTAAGACGACGACAGCCCGTGTAGCGTAAATCAACAAGAGAGGTTTTTTTTACTGAAACGAGAGTGGCGGCCCGGCCTATGGAGAGAGAATCTAGGCAATCCTTCATCCAACAGCATTCGGTTATAAATGGACATAATTCTAGAATTCTCACGGCTTGGTGATCAAGTCCCGGGCCCGTGGAGAGGCAGCGTGAGCTTGGCCACTGGTGCTCGGTCCCGTGGAACCCATGAGAAGTATCCCGGCTGGGCCCCCCCTTTAATCTATGCGATTATGTAGGAGTGCTGTGGGGGGTGAGATTGGTTGGTTGGAGATCCGAACGCTCGTGGTGGCGAAGGGGGGGATGTCGTGCGGCCCTCGCGGGAGCGAAGGAACGCGGTGCCATTTTCCAGACAATGGACAGCGACGAGTGTGGAGAGACACGGTCTGGTTTCGGGCTGCAACTATAGGTGGTGTGTAGGTTAGGACAATACCGTGTTGCCCATGGTGAATGCCATGAAGGCACCCCCCACGTCCTGATGGATATCGTAGAAGCCAGGCTTGCAATCGTCCAGTCGCCATTGCAGCCGACAGTCGCATGTGTCCTCTCTCACCGGTCTCCTGCCTTTCTACGAAGTCTAGATGGCCAGCTCGTCTGCCCCTTAATCTGTGGCGTCGCCCAAAACATGTAGATTAGAAGACTCGGATGCGTAGGGCGAGCTGTCCGTTCGTCCCAAGGCCGGGATGGACCACGTGTGGGCAAGCATATTATGCTCCTGCATTCTCAACACCAGAACACCGGTTCTCACGCCCACCAACTCCGTTGCCCCCCTTTTCTTCCGCCGCCAGCCAACTAGGGGTGCTAACCTGACCGCCTCTATAGTCAGGGATATTCAGATAAGAGTTCGCGACGGGCCGCGTGCTCCTCATCAACTCGTGCCAATCACGACGACGGGGACGGCGCGATAGCAACCCAAAAGGCCTAAGGACATGATGAGCGTGCTTTGGAGCATCGAGCGGCCAATCGAGGATCGATTACTGGAACATCCCACCGCCTCTTCCTGTGCCGCAATCCCCCCCCTCTCCCACCCCTCGAACGCGATAAAGCCATTGAAACGGCCACGACGCCGGAGAGGTTTAGCTGATTCCGCTGCAACCCCTTCAGCCCAAAGGATGACATGACTCCCGGGGCGCGCGCTTTTCTCGCAAGCCAAAAGCGATATTAGATGTTACGCAGCCCCAATTACCGGCATGGAACTTCTCTGAACTGCTCGTAGGGCTGACGTACGCCGGCGCTAGAGATCCCATTGGCGCTGACGCGATCCCGCCTCCTCGGCCACCATATCCTGCGATGTTCAGGCACGGCAAAGCTTTTTTTGGTTCTTTTCCTTTTCTCTTTTCTTTTTTTCTGCATCCCATCTCGTGCCGCTATCCACATAAGCTAGCTGGCTATCCGGTCTGCGCTGTAGTTTGGTTCTCCGCTGTACGATGTAGCACTTGCTTTCCTGTTAAGGCTGCAGATACATGTCTCCTAGGCTGCCCAGGGACCTCTACCTACATCGACGGAATGGTGGGCGATAACATGCGGTGGGGAACAGGTAGATTCCTACATACCTACACAAATCTGCGAATGGGGTGGTAGAATACCACCGCCCATCACGCGTTACTAGTCGCCAGCGTGCCTATGTAGGTAGGTATGTACATACATACGCATATGCCTTCTTGGCGATTCGCCGGCTATAATATGATCTGTCATGTCATGTTATCTATCGGCAGGAAGAGATCAGAAGCGGAAAGTAAGGTTATCAATGTATGACCAGTCCACCCGTAACGCTACCCCGATGGCAATCCAGGTAGACGCCCGCTTACCTTGCGGTAGGGAGGTAGGTAAGGCAGATATGCCTACAGGTGAGTACGAGGCTTGTCAACGCGGGCGACGCGCTACACGAAGCTGGCTATTCCCGGGCCGCAGCCGTGCGATTCTAGATACCCAGAACCACAAGGTGTCCATTAATGGCGCTGGCTGACCTGAACTGCCCTCTGTTCTTAAGCAAGGTAGCAGGCACCCGCCTACCTACCTACCTAGGTAGGTGGTAGGTGATGATAAGAGGGTTCCAAGTGACAGGTAACTCGTTAGGTGTTCGCTTCGGTCTTCTCTACTCGTAATCTTCCACTTCCCTACACCTTGCCCTAACCGACGACGTGTCCTGGTACGGCGACGGATCCTCAGTGAGCAGTTATGTACCTAAGGTAGGAGGGAGAGTTGACATGTGGTAGATATACATCCTAACGTGGTAGAGATAGGTACCAGGATACGTTCTGGCCGTATATTGTCAGGTGCGTAACCAGCTGATATTAGGGATATGGAGATTAGGAAGCACGTATGTGGCCATGTACCAGGTACACAATACCTGAGGGATGGTACGCGTACAGACATCGTCTCAGTCTCAGCACCGCGCCTGGAGAACCTTAGGTAGCCGACAAAATCACACCTGACGACCAGCCGCCGGCGCATTTTGACAGCCGGTAGCAATAGAATCATTCCTAATTAGGACTAGTCCAAAGATGCCGACCTGTGTATGTAAGCTGGTCAGAAGCGTCCAACCAACATCCTCTCCGTCATTCTATTTCCATCCCGGCGAATAAATAAAATTTTAAAGAAGAACGTCACCACCCACGACTTTCGGCTCCTGTTCCTACTGCTTGACGATGGCTATTACCCTCCTGACGTCGTCGCGAGTCCTGCACGCCCACGTGCTATAAGCGTCATAAGGGAAATGCTGGTACGGTTCCTTGCCGAAGCAATTGAGAGTCGACCGGGACCAATCCGTTCTCCCATTGGGGTCTGCTCTATAAGCACGAGATGCCGGAGGTATCAATACGTGGTGAGCAGTTGGGCAAGCCACCTCGACGGTTAGGGGGTGAGGTCGCTTCGCACACGTCGGCACTACCACACGCGTTATTTGCTTTTCCTCGCTTGGTCTTGCTTCCTCTCTTGTCCCTCCTCGCTCCGGGATTGCTTCTTTAGACAGAATACGTGACCGCCATGGACACTGGATAGGAATGACCCGGGCAGCAAGGCGTGCCCGCTTCATTGGGCTTTTGTTCTCGTGCAACCTTTTTATGCCCAATCTAGTCGGGTGCTCCGCCTGGTAGAGTCACCGCTATTCGTCCGCCGGGACGTTCCCTGCAACCACCTAGGCTAATACACCCCCCTCCTTAGGGATGGTAGTCCTCGCGGCCTTTGGGGGAGGCTTGGGAGGCTTGGAGGGGGGGAGGAGGAGGAGAGGAAACTCTCGGGCAACAAGATGGCAGGCAGGAATGGGACGGCCTCTCGAGTTCTCGGCTGCCCAATGCTGCCCTACCGTGATTGGGCTTCAATGGCCAATAACGACTCCCTGTCCCTCCCGCAATCCTAGTGGGCGGCGCTGCGATGTATTATTGTCATGGTCCGGAGAGCGTGCTTTCTGTTCAGCGTCTGCACTATAGACAGGGTGTTCCTGGACATCTGCGGCAGCTCCCTTCAAACCGTCGTCGGGCCCGCGATTCTGTCAAACTGCTTCGCTGGTCGATCTTGGCTAGTTTGAGGTTGGCGACACACCCAGCCCCATCTCGAACCGGTGGTAGACGCCCGAGTCGGCATCGCCAGCTCCATCCCTAAACCGACCTCGCGTCGCCTGAGGACCGCCTCGGGACTACGTTACAGCCCCAGATTTGGGAATGCGAGAGAGCTGGGGCGATCTGTCCCCTGATTCTCTTTCCGGAAAGTGCCCTTGCTCGGCACGGCTCGCCATCTCTCTCCCTCACCACCAACATACCTTTTGTGGCAAACTGGAACCGAGGCCGTTATAGCATAAAATGTCTCCCTTTCTCGGTCTGCGAGCTTGAGCGGGACACTTCAACGAGGCCTCGCCTTCTACAGAAAAGTGAAGATACCTCATACTGCCATCCAAGGTCTCTCTCTCGTCTCCATCGGAGTATGCGAAATTGCTGTCGCATCTAGGTTTATGTTGTTGCCTCCGGGCTGTTGCTACCGATTTTGTCGAGCCATTTTGCACCCGTTTTCCCTTCCCGGTCTGCAGCGCAGTGCTGATTCACCACTCCAAACTCGATCCAGTATAAACCGGAAAGGAATATCGACCGCGGATTCTAGAGGCCCAGATTTTGGATCCGTGTTGAGAGAGCCTATTCCCGGGGCCTTCGGACTCTGAAAAGGAACCCGAGAAAGAAGATAGGTGTACATCGCCGGGAAATTACTAGCCATAACGAGAGCGAGTGCAGCTCTTGTTTCCTCTGAGCACTGTCCTCCCTCGTCCTCCCGGCTCTGCCCTTTTTTGTCTGTCATCCTGGAAAGCCGTAAAGATATGGCACAACAGGATATAGTGTACAGAGCCTCTACGATGTCGAACGGACCCTGGAACTCCCCGCGCAGGTGCGATCACTAAACCAGTCTGTCGGTCTATAGCGTTGCGGTCGAGCTGACTTCCTCCAGCGTCGTCTATGATGACAATGCATATCTAGGTAATGCGCGCGACAACGGCTACTCTAGGTCCAGGTGAGGCCGAATGAAGAAATCCCCTCCCCCCTCCCCCTCCCTCTTTTCTGTAGACCATGGGAATAACAGTGGCTTCTGAAGCGTAATATACTCGCCCGGGTCTGGTCCAACGTACAGCCCACCGACCAGCGCATCGGTAGTGGGGACCAGTGGTCCGGCGGTGCGGCACCAGCCCGCGTACTCTCCGTCGCCGATTTACATCTCGAGAGCGCAGCCCAGACCGCACGGGAACTCTTCCGGGAGCATGTATAATACGTACAACGGTGCGGCATCGCAGAGTTGGGATGGGCCAGGAAAATACTCTCCATCGGATTCCGTTGAGGATATTATTGCCTCGTCCAGTGTGTCGGATTTTGCTTTGGAAACTAGTGGTATAACCACCGCTGCTGTGCCGGCAGGAAAAGCCCGGAGCAGTGGTAAAAGCCGCACCCAGAGACGTCCGTCTAATAGGGATGAGTTTGATGGACCGCACCAGTTTCTAGCCAGGCCCACGCCGGACTATGTGGCCATGCAGGAGAGGGAGCTGCCACATCTCCCGACTAATCTCCTGGTACAGGAGCAGGATAGTGTCCTGACGCAGGTCAACGATCGACTCTCGCAGTGCGCGTTCGACTTTGTTGCCAAGTATCAGTTCCCGATCCCGCTGACCCAGGACATGCGACCCGTGGAGAGGCCTCAGGATAGGGAATGGACCGAATGGGTGTACTTGCTGAAGCGCCTCGCGACGAAGAGGAGAATCCCGGCCCGAGTGCTCTACAACGGGCAGATCAAGCAATTTGTAACAATTTTGGAGAATTCGCTGGAGATGCGACATGCCGCGAAGCATCAGTCGCGTCCGTTGAAGGATGACCGCAACATCCTTCAACTGATCAGCGCCGGGATCCAAGTTGCCAAGATCCTCAAGGACGCCGCGGCGATGGCCTATCTTGACAGACTATACGTTTCCACTGAACAGCAGATTCATGAGCGAAGTGCCGCAGCGTCAGCACGGTTCCGCTAGATGATACAGCATTGGGATATAACCGATGACCAACGTTTTTTTCTCTTTTTCTCCCTCTCCTCTCGGAACTTCCTCAGCGGACGAGAAACTGCCCTTTGCGGTGCTGGGCGGCGCCCAAGCCGCCCCCAATAATACGTTAACCAAGAAGATACATGTATGAGACCGACTGGTATGTGGGACGGAATGAGTCACGACTTTCCTTGTACAGATTGCCTAGGACTGCATGAGCAGAGAGGGCGGAGAGGAGGCTCTTGTGCTGAATTTTTTTTTTCCCCTCATACCGGCATAGTAATGTTTTTTTCTTGTTGCAAAGTTCATGTTTCGTGAAAAACGGACGAGTCTAGACTAGCAAAGGAGAGGGTGGGTTAGATACATGTATGCCACATTTTCGGGCGAGCGAGCGTGTTGATGTATCGTTAGTCTTCAATTTTCGGACGAGCACAACCAAGCGAGATATACCTTCGATCGAATCACCCGTTCCCGGCGCCCTTCGTGCTGTCCCGACGGTAGTGCTCGAGGCGGACAAGAACAGGAACAAGCTCGGAGAGATTAGACAGACAAGCAGCGTTGGGCACGAAGGATGAAGAAAACTCGGACGGAAGAATTGCACGTCTTCCGTCAGCTCGCCTAACGGCACAGCTGTGCCCTCGGTACGACACAACTCGGGCGCGAACCCCGCAGTAAAAATACCAACCTTGACGCTTCATGTCTCCGCCCTTTCCGGGGTTTCAATCTCCTTCCCTCGCTCCCTCCTCCTCTCCGGCAACGGAGCGGGAATCGTCGGGTTGGCGTGAATCATGTCTGAGTTCACCGTCGCGAGGACGACGGCGTATTGCTAAAAGAAGAGGGACGGTCTTATTGACCGATGTCCCCGCCGACCCAGCGAGATTGGGGGGTAGGGGTGGGGGGAAGGGGGGTGATGAGAGAGAGATGGGGGAGAGATGGGGGCGGGGTCGTGGGTAGAAGATCGAGAGGGAAAGGAGAGAGAGAGTCTACTCAGCCTTTGGCATCTGGGTGCATCTTTTTCATTATCATTCATCTTCCCCGATCTATGCAACTCACACACAGACACACACAGAGAGAGATATATATATCCCACATGCGTATACCAATATGTGTATCAACATAGGTAGGTGGGTAGGTATATGCCGGCGTATATACCAACATCGGCACAGCACACCTACCTATAAATAGGTACACCAGTACCATAGCAATACGAGATAGGCATGCCGTACCTACAGGCGTATATCTACCACATGTTCCCCTGTTACCTAGCACAGACATCCGCATGCTTCCACGCTCGCTTCCCTGGCTTCTGCTCGAGGCTCACCAGCGGGCTCAGTTGCGGTGGATGCTACATGCCGCCGGTCTTGGCACTGGAGGCGCTGCACTGGAGGCGCTGCACCGCATGGCTGGACGGTTGGATGGGAGGGGCTGAGGGCGGACGACTTGTGCGATCGACACCGAAGCCTCGAAGGAGTCTAGCGCCGTCTGCGCACGCACACAATCAACTCCTCGTCGGTCATCCGATCCAGCCTAGTCGTCTGTGGCGGAGCGGCCGTCTTGGGGCGCCCTTTAAACAGGCGGGACCCCCCAACTCCGCGCGGCTGGCTCGATGATGGGACTCCTGGGTTCGAAAACCTGCTTGTCGCGCCAATCTGTCACCGAGCCGCTGGTTTTGGGCGAGGCTCTTTAAAATACCATCTCGTACGATCAGGTATCATCCCGGCGGGCTCTCTCCCTTCTTCGGACCGCCGTTTGCTAGACGAGCAATCTGGCACCCCGCTGATTAGGGTATCTCGAACTCGGCGCACCTGGATTCCAACACGCGCATTGCCGTTTCGCTGACGGGGTTGGGGCTCGGTCCTATAAATAGACGAGCAAGTTAACTTTTTGTGCTCCTCGATACCACCGCCGCGCGGGAGGGAAAAAGTCGCAGCCATGGCCTCCGTCGCGTCCGCCTCTCCGTCCTCCAAGTACAGCTTCCTCCACCCGGAGTCGGGCGACGATACGGAATCGTGGCACTATGTAGATTCGTGCGACCCAGCATCTGTCGGCTTAGTGCCTAGCCCAACGAGCTCGAGCCTCAACGGCTGGGGGATCGTCGGATATCCCAACCAGAACCAGATTCGCAACTCGCCCGTCGCCATGTCGCCCTTGCAGCTAGACCACGATCTACCCCGCGGAGTCCCGCCCACTTCGTATCCAGACCACACCGCGGGCGCGTCCGCGATGGCCTCCACCCGAGTCGACAGTCAATTGGTGTCGGGCCTCGACGACCAGCAATTCTTTGACAGCCAGAACCTGTTCTTCCACGATTCATTTCCTGGTAAGTCCCGGCGCTAGCGAGGGTTCGGCATTGAGAGGTCCAGCATTGATCGTCGGCATAGGTACTTTAGATATGCCGATCTATTCTTCCGCATTCCACGGCGGTATGGCCGATATGTCAGGGCTCGGGGGGCTCGGGATGGCGTCGGCGACGCAGCCGATCGACCTCGGCATCCCCCAGCAGTTTCGCAGCGACAACAACGTCCCGCCTTGGGTGCCGATGAACCTGAAGAACCAGGACTTCTCGGTTGGAGCGGACGAGAACAACTTCGTCACCCAAATCCCCCCACAGTCGTCCCCGGCCCACAGTTCCCTCCTCTCGAGCCCGAGGTCGCCCCCGCGCATCAAGCAAGAGCCTAGAAAGAGCGTAAGCCCCATACGGAAGGTCAAGAGCGGCGGGAAGGTGGAGAAGAGGCGTGCGGAACCGTCGAGCAAGTTCGTGATCATGACGCCGAACCTCATCAGCCAGCAGTCGGGGAAGCCAAACCCGTTCGAGTGCTTCGAGGCGATGCGCACTACGCAGAGGGGGAGGAAAGGACCGCTGGCACATGACACTAAAGAGAGCGCGCTCCAAGTCCGGAGGTTGGGAGCTTGTTTCTGTTGTCACAGGTGAGAGTTTCCTACTAGACCTCTCCCTCCGTCCTATCTATCCTTGCCCCAGTCTCGTTTTGCTGGGCGGTATCGGACTCGCTGACTTTCCCATCACACCCGTTGCAGCCGCAAGGTCAAGTGCGATAAGGAACGGCCATGCAAGAACTGCAAGAAGCTCACGGCTCAAGTACCCCAGATCATGTGCTGGCAGTTTGGGGATTTCCTGCCTGTGCTGTTCCCCGACTTCATCCGGAGCCACTTCAAGAAAGACCAGATGGCCAGCTTCCTCGGCGAGCATGTGAAGAGCTTCAGGGTGAACGGCGCGGAGCTGACGTGCTCGGTCGAGCTCTTCTCGGGCGCACGCTTCGCCTCGACGTTAACCGTGCCCGCCAGCTTCTTCACGCCCCGGACGGCCGAGATACTCCAGCACTGGCACATGAACATGGGCATGAACCAGATGGACCTCCAGCCCCGCGGCGCCGCCCCCATCGGCATCGACCCGGATAACGCCACCCAGCGCGAAGAGCTCAAGCGCCGCGCCCGCGAGTACATTCAGAACCTCGTCGCCGAACCTTTGTACGCCGAGCAGGTCACCGACTCCATTCGTTCCACACAGTTGCCGCGCAAGGTTCTGTCCATCGTTCAGCGCTACGCGCAACGGTCTCAGGTATGATAAATTTGTCGCCCCTCCTCCTCCTCCTCCTCCTCCTCCTCCTCCTCCTCCTCCTCCTCCTCCTCCTCCTCCTTTTTCCTATCACCAGGCAAGGGCGAGGAAATATAAGACACCCTCGATAGGCTAACGATATCGCTTCCTGCAGTCTGCGATGGTGAAGCGCGCGCTGTCGATATACGTAGCGCATTATGTTCTGACGCGGCAGCTGTGCCTTACGGCGGGCACGGTGGTGAACCTACAGCAGCAGCAGATCACGACGGGCCTAGTGCCCCGGGACGGCGGCGCGTGGATGACGGCGCGGGTGCTCAACCGGCAGATCAAGGCGGTGCTCGACGAGCTGCTGCTGCGCGAGGCGCAGTCGCTGTTTGACGGGTTCGCGCGGTCGCTCAAGCCGAAGCTGCGCCGCGAGTGGGCGCCCTGCGTCGCCGCCTTCCTCGCGTTGTGCCTCTTCATGGAGACGGTGGAGACGGCGGCGGACACGTTCGTCATCTCGCACAACGAGATCGCGCTCCGGACCAACCGCCAGCACCAGCACCGCCACGGCCGCTCCGCCCCTAGCATGCCCTCGTCATCCTCCTCTTCCGCAGCCCCGACCTCAGCCCCTTCTTCCACCGCTGCCGCTACGTCGGCGGCGCCGCCGACGACGTATCGCCGGGACTTCGCGCTGGCGCTGGTGCGCGAGATCGACAACTTGCCGTTCAAGCAGTTCGCGTACCAGTTCCACCAGATCTATCAGACGCACACGCGCGACACGGGCGCCAAGGCGTTCAACCCGCTCGTCGACGCCGACGGTGGCGACGGCAGCAGCGCCGACCTCGCGGCCGAACTCGACCCAGCCGCGGCGGATATGGTTGCCGAGCTTAGGGAGCTGCTGCAGGGAGACAGCTGTGAGTTTTTTTTCTAGGCCTTATTTTTTCTCTTTCCTTTGCGCCAATCCCCCTCCCACCCTCCCCTCCCGATACGTCGAGACGGAGACCTAACCGGGCAAAACGAAACAGGGCACGAGCTCGACTTCCTCGTCGCGGACTTGATCCTGCCGAACCAGGAGGGCCACCCGTTCCCGCGTGACGTCTCGCACAACTACACCGGACGCCTCGTCGCGCGGTTCCTGCTGTCCTTCACCGACGAGCGGTACTTGTTCGACGGCCAGTACTGAGCTTTTGTATCACCCTCATACGACTTTTCCATCTATCTACGCCTTCACGTCTGCTAGCCTGGGTTCTTTAGGGGGAGGAGGGGGACGGGGCTTGAGAGGACTTGTCCGAAACAACGTGCCTAGTTCTTCTCGGGTAGGCCGTTGTGCTCTTTCTTTTGTCGGAAGGCAAAGCAGGGCCGCGCTGTCTATGATTATGATTGAACGGATATATACGTATATAGAGGGAGAAAGGGGAGTGAACTATACGAGGGCTTTCAAGGTGCGTCGGCGGCGTTTGGGAGGGATGCTTATGCGGGAACGCTGGTTGGGTTGTCTGTACGCAAGAGAAGCGACGATATGGACAGGTGAGGTGGACAGGCGCGACTACGTCGGCATCGTAGAGAGGAATGGGTAGATGTGTACGTCTAATACTTACCTCCTGTATATCAACCGCTCTCAGGTGTATGCGTACTATTGGTATGGGATCGGTACGCATCTCGTCGTGGCCGATACGGAGGTGCTGTTCTCTCATGAATAGATGGTTATACACGCAACGTACATGCATGCATATAAAAGCCAGCTGTGTAATTTAGCGTCTTCTCGACACCTAGGTGGGCAGGTAAACACCTAAAAGTAAGGGCATTGTTGAATGATTACCTCTACATACAGGTATCTAGTTCAGTCTCCTGGTGCGAGAAAGAATCCCTCCCCTTTACACTTCTTTCCTTTCCTTTCTGAGACGCCCGCCTCGTGTTCGTCGAAACTATCGCCATCGGATTAGCCTCGCCGGGAACGGCGTGATCTTCCCTCGCTCCCGTCGCCGCTCCAGCTATTACTCGGCGCGGCCAGTGGCCTCATTGAACCGAGTCGCCGCCTCCTACGAGACAGCGACACCGTGTACGTAGAAAATTCACCCGAGGCCGTACGAGCACAGCGCTATATACCTCCACACCACGTAGAGTGTGTATATAGGCGAGAGGGGGGAGGGGAGCTTAATCCGGGAACCCCCCCCAGGCTGGGGTACTTTATACGTAAGAGGGCTTCGCAATCTGCCTCCCGATTAGGTGCCCAGCCAAAGTAATAAGGGGGAGTGTTTACGAGGCGGCAGCCTTAAGGCCTTCTTTACTACTTTACCTTATTCCTATGCCTCTGCTCTGCTCGCCTGCGTAACTCGTCACGTACACCCCCTTCTCTTACAGTTGCATGGCATCCTGCAGGCTTCGTCAGCCGTGATTCGAGACCCCGCAGATAGACGACCGACCAGGCGGCCCAACAGTCGACTGAAAACTTACTTCTCCCGCCCTCCGCCTTGTCGCTGGAATATTTATGGGACTCAGTTTCAAGCTGGTTTGAAAACAAAAAGCTAGCTCTTCTCTCCTCATTCATGTTTCTTATAGGTTTCCCCCTGTCACGCCCGCAGAGCAATATGTCTGCCATTTCGTACGATCGGTGGGTAAAAGCTCTGTCAACGGTGCTCGTTTTCCTGCCGGCTAACTCTTGCTCCCTCCCTCTCTCTCCGGCACGCGCGTACAGTATCGTGGCCTCAAAGCCGTTCTACCTCTATGTGGGCCCGAACAAGAAGGAGTTTGTGATGCACCTCGAGCTCGTGGCTAGCCTGTCGAAACCACTCCAGACCTTGGTGAAGGGCAAGATGAAGGAGGCTCGAGAGAGCGTCGCCGAATGGCCCGAGGTTGACGAGGGGACGTTTGTACGGTTCTGCGAGTTCGCGTACACCGGAAGCTACAAACCCGCCGCGCCGATTCGCCGGCCGCTGCCCAAGAGTACGTGAAAAGGACCAAGCCCTACCACTCTCTCCCCAGACATAGGTACACATGCATGAAGGTAATCGGAAGGGGAGGATGAGCCGGGCGATTCCAAGCCGAGGATGCAAAGACGAGCGAGACCGGTAGCACACGGTGATGGCGACCACTCGGTCGATGGCGAACTAACGCCGGAGTACTACGCAGGCCAGGAATCGCCGACGTCGCAGCCGGGGCAGAAGGGCCCCTTTGGCATATACGACGATTTGGGGATTGCGATAGAGGACGGCTACGTCTACGAGGGCTGCAGCATGCGCGGCAGCTACAACTGGCAGAGGGAGACGAAGAATAAGTGGAAGCTGTTCCAGGCGGCGGAGGTGGGGGCGGGGGCGGAGGCGGCGAACACGGAGGCGGAGGACGACTACGGCGAGACGCTGCTGTCGCACGCGCGGCTGTACGTGCTGGCGGACATGTACGCGGTGGAGCCGCTGATGGCGCTGTGCGTGCGGCGGCTGCACCGGACGCTCAAGGTGTTCCGGCTGCACGGCGGCGTGCGCACTGCCGACCTCGCCCAGCTGTTCGAGTACGCCTACCACAACACCCGCCCCGACACCCCCGGCCCCCCCGCCCGCGTCGACCGCCTCCGCGAGCTCCTCGCCGCCTACGCCGCCTGCCGCATCTACGAGCTCTGGGACAACCCCCAGCTCCGCGCCGCCCTCGAGATCGGCGACCTCTCCAAGAACATCCTCGCCCAGCTCCTCAACAGGCCCGACTAGCGCGCCCGCCTCCGAGACGGGTTCGTGTGCGCGCGGGGATGGGTGTGTAGCGTGAAAAAAGGGGGGGGGGGGGAGACTGGCTGGGAAATCGGAGGACTCGCGGCGGGTCGGCTCGGGCCGGTTGGATGACGATGGTAGCCGAGGGCTCCCTGTAGTAGGTAGGGGTAGGTAGAGAGAGACTTGCGCCCGCTCGCGCCATCGCCCGCGGAATGAAATACCAGGCATAATGACAACCCACGCGCTTTTCTCTTCTGACCGGTGGCGCGCAAACGGCGGGTACTAGCGGTCGCGGAGTCGTGGCGTAGGGACAACCTTGGGCGAAAGCTGGAGGGCGCGGGGGGAAGGGGAGGGGACGTTTCCTCCCATGACGCGGCTCCGTCCCATTATTTGCGCCGAGGGCGGACGCCGGCTGCGGAGTCTTGAGACGGGGGACGGTCGCGAGCGATGTGCAGCAAGGGCATGCCGATTCTAGTCGACGTGGAAGGTAGTTCGCCCGGCCCCCTCCCCCCTTAAACTCGGTCGCCTCCTATTTCTCGGCGGTTCCGACGCGCCGACCTGGCAGACGGCGTGTCGCGAACTCTCCTCCCCTATTCCACGTGCGTGCCTACGTAGTTGGTGATGACGCGACGGACAGGCACGGTACGGCTACAGCATATCGCAGCAAAGCACGGCGTGGCATGGCATGGGAGGTGTCATCGTGTCGTGTGTGTGGGATCTATTAGCATTATTATGACCGTATGCAGTGTCTAGACTACGCATATGTATGTACCGTAAGCTTTATATTCTACCGTCCCCTCACCGCCTTCTTTTCTTTGTCGTCCCTTCGTCCCTTCGTGCGTCGCGGTTGCGAACCGAGTCGATCGAGATAGCGCCAGCCCGCCCGTATGCGTGTGCATCGTATGGTGGGATGCGGTGCCTATAGGCGCGGCACCTATGAAGCATGGCAAGCGTTCACGCCTCGAAGCGCTGGCGGCCGCGGTCGATGCGGTTGAGGCTGAACTCCTGCGTGAGCAGCGACGTGAGCAGGCCGAGGCCGGCGAAGCCGATCATGGCGTAGAAGACGGCGCGCATGGCGGCGAGGTACGCGCCGAGGACGGGCGCAAGGGTCGCGGGCGGCAGGCCGAGCTCGCGCAGCGCCGGGATGAAGGCGATGGCGTCGTGGGCCGAGCCGTCGGCGCCGCCGGTGCCGCCGAAGAGCAGCGGCGCGAGCCCCGCCGGCGCGTCGCCGCCGAGCCGGGCCGCGGCCGACGCGATCGCCGGCGCGAACGTGCTGCTGAAGATGGTCGACCCCACGGCGAGCCCGACGAGCCCGCCTAGGCACCGGAACGTCAGCTGCAGCGCGATGGCGTGGCCCGTGTCGTTGACGTCGGGCACGCTCGCCTGCAGCGGCAAGTGGAGGAGGCGCAGCAACGCGCCGATGCCGGCGCCCCAGATGACGGGGACGCCGCGCAGCAGGTGGTCCGAGGAGTCGGCGTTCATGAGGGCGAGGAGGCTGGTGCCGAGGGTGACGAGGGCCCAGGAGGCCCAGATGCGGTAGCGGTAGCCGGCGAGGCCGGGGCCGATGGCGATGACGGAGGCGATCGCGGTCACCACGGAGATGACGCAGGTCGGCAGCAGCAAGAGCGCGGCGCCGATGCGCGATTCGAGCGAGACCGCCTGGAAGAAGAGCGGCAGGTACTGGAGCAGCACGTAGAGCACGGCGCCGTGCAGGAAGGCACCGCACAGCGTCGCGGTAAGCGTGCGCGAGCGGAAGAGCTTGTGCGGCACGACAGGCGACTCGGGCCGCGACTCGTAGAAGGCGAAGACGACGAGGACGGCGGCGCCGAGCAGCAGCGGCAGGATGGTCTGCCACGAGTTCCAGGCGAACAGCGCGCCGGCCCAGCTCAGGGGCAGGACGAAGACGGTGCAGCCGACGGTGAAGAGGGCCATGCCGCCCCAGTCGAGGCGCGAGGCCTTGTCGGCGAGCGAGCCGTCGAGGGGCCGCAGGTGGAGGAAGAAGACGAGCAGGGGGCAAGCGATGCCGAGGAAAGGCAAGTTGATCCAGCCGATCCAGCGCCAGGTGACGAAGTCGCTGAACAGAGCGCCGATGGTGGGGCCGATGATGCTGCCGATGGCGATGGGGAGGGCCATGATGCCGAGGTAGAGGGGGCGCTCGCGGAGGGAGGTCATGTCGGCGACGATGATCTCGCCGAGGACGTCGAGGCCGCCGCCGCCGAGGCCCTGGATGATGCGGCCGGCGATGATGGCGGCCATGTTGCGGGCGAGCGAGAAGGTGAGGGACCCGGCGAAGAAGAGCAGGAATGCGAAGTAGAGGGGCGGCTTGCGGCCGAAGACGTCGGACACGCTCGCGTACAGCGGCTGGCTGACGACGAGGCCGAGGAAGTACGCGATGCCGGCCCAGAAGGACTCGAGCGTCGTGCCGTGGAGCTCGGACGCGATCGCCTAGGCCGCGTTAGCAATTCGGGAAACGACTCTTCGTCGCCTTGACCCGAGGCCATCGAATCAATGACGGGCCGGACGGGGGGCAGGGCGAAGAGCGAGATAGACTAAGAGACTAGCACGCACCGGAATCGCGACGGCAAGACTGGTGGCGTCTAGCGAGTAGAGGAAGACCAGGATGTTGATGGCGAAGAAGGAGAGCAGGAAGGACAGGGGCTTCTTCGCCGGCGTGCCCTCGTCGGGTTGGGCGTCGGTGTCGGCGTCAGTGACGTCGGCGGCATCGGGGCTACCGCCACTAGACCGCTCATACTTGGTCTCTACCGGATTGGCGAACGCCGGCGCCTTATTCTCGGAGCTGTCACCGTCCCTCGCGCTCGAATCGCGGGAGGCGTCTGTGTTTGGGAGGCCCATGCTGCACGATTGCGGTCCAACACGTGTGTCTCGGTATCCCATCTACGAAAGGCAGGTCGGGCAGATGAGTAGGTAGGGAAGGAAATTATGGGTGGGGGTGCCCGGCCCAGGTGATGAGCAGGAGGCGAAGAAGGAGGAAGAGGAATGGGGAAGGGAAGAGGATTCCCGAGATGGTCTAATCGTTAGCGGTGATTGGGTCGGGCGCGATCTGCCTAGAAGACAGTTGAGCAGACGCCTCTTGTCGTAGAGGAGGCTGCCGAGTGTTTAAGCGGACGAGTCATGGTGTAGGGGATTGATCGAGTCGCCGGTTAGTTGAAGCTCGGATGGTAAGGTGTTTTTGACGTTTTTCTTCCGAGTAGGAGGTGAAAAGTGTTCAGACCGGTTGTCGGTGTGTATCGCAGGCGGCCTCCAGCGGGGTCAGCGCTTACCTACCCCAACGGCTCGTCACTATGAGTAGACGCACGGCAACCGGCTCTCAGCGTCTTAGGGGGCACCGCACAGGGCACAGGGCACAGGGCACAGGGCACAGGGCACAGGGCACAGGGCACAGGGCACAGGGCACACTCACTCCACTAGGTATGTTGAGGCATGTTTAGGTGCTGGCTGCCAGCATAATTACTAGGTACCTACCTACGAGTATTATGTCGGGCGGTCGGCAAGCTCTTCTTCTACCACATCTCTCCCTAAGCTACCGATTCTTCAGCTATAGATCCCTCAGCTACAGGCCCTTGCCCTTACGCGACAAAAGGGTTAGTCTGGAGGTGGTACGTCCCTATCCCGAGCCTTCGCGGTCGGCCAACGCGCACGGGAACGCGCACGGGAACCCGTTGTAGCATCGATGGGACCCTAGGTAGATAGAAGCGTGCTTCGCGGACGCCTGATGCCTGAGGAAGGAAGGGGATAAGAACTTGGCCAGCCGCTGTGCGCAATCCACACAAGGTACCTACTTAGGTACCTCCACTTCTACCTCTGCGCACCTCTAAGGTACCTCTAGGTTATCGCTTAGGGTACCAGCCTTAGGTCACAATAGGCACCCATTATAAGGAGAGCCGGGGCACCAACTGAGAAGCAACAAGAAAAAAAAAAAAGGTGGCTAGTCAGCCCTCACGCACCAGCTCACCCGTCATTCGACCCAACCGCGCCCAGCACCAATGTGAATGTGGCCGCGCCGCCGGGAACGGCATCCCTGTCGTCCATAGCCAGCTGCCCCCCGAAGCCTGCTGTCGTCGCCGCCAGGAGGCACCGAAGCTACGCCCTCGCGAGGTTCTGCCCGATGCACGCCCGCGGCCCATGAAACTAGCGAATTGCTCGTCGCCCTGCCCGTGTGGTTCGGTCGCCCGTCCGCCTCGATCCGCCGCTCGAGTCGAAACTCCTTCACCGACGGGTCCCATTATCGCGCGAGACCGGTTGAGAGCACCCAGGGCGACACCAGAATCTCCACGCCCCGCGGGATCCGCTGACTGCCAAGTAGGTCAGAAGCTGATCGCAGAGCTGCGTATTCGAAAAGTTCCCCGTCCGGACTAGGTGCGACAAGACGTCGACAAGTTACTTCGATAGTTCCGACTGTTCTCTCTCTGCGTGCTCTTGGGCCGAGGGAAGGTCCGTAGAGGACTCATAAAAGGCGGGTATATGACGGCAGAATACGTAAACGGGACGGCATAATTACCAGTAAAGGAGGTATATACCATCAGCTTCACCTAACCTCTCAAGCCGGCGTCGCTCGAGTACCCAGGCACGCCCTTAATCCTATCCAAAGGATAAGTATAGGTAAGACGCGAGAACCTCGTCGAATTGTGGAGTTTTGCTACGGAGTTTCCATTTTCCTATTCGTGTGCTGATTGGCTCTGCTAAAGGTAAAGCCTGCGGTTGGTTATCCAAAATCACCTACTACATGCGCACGTCGCCTGCTGATCTTTTGGATCCTCTCCCTGGGTGCCAATCGGACGACCTCGTCGTCCGTATTATTTGTGCGTGGCAAGATGCCGGATCCCGTGAGAGCGCCTTTCCGTTCGAATCCTTCCCCGCCTCGTAATATAGGGTGAGAAGACGAAAGCGGGGGAAAAGGAAAACAGACTACTCATAACCGAGCAGCGCCGAGACATAAAAAAGCTTGAAACGAGCGAAAACGTGCAAATACACGGTTTAGGTATAACAGCGCAGTCGAATCGTCTCCACTGCCGCCAACAGACCAGGTTTCCTTCGTTACTTTACAAGGGCACACCCTCACTTGTGCACCAGCTCGGTGGACCTGCAGGCGGACGACGGGGTGCGGGATCCTGCGTTAGCGCCTACTTTAGAGGCCGCGGCGCGTTCAAGTACGGACGAAAGGCTCGGAAGTCGAGTTTGTTTACCTCGACTTGAAAGCCTATCTCGACGGGTCCCTTTACGTAGCACCGGGGTAATTGTTGGATTCTGACTTAGAGGCGTTCGTCCAACAGATGATTTGGACAGCGAGCAGGACTAATATAAATGCCGGATCCCGCGCGGCAGACCAAACACCGGGTTCCGTCGCCGTCCCCACCCGGCCGCGCTACCGCTCTACGCTGTAAGGGCATATGTCCACCGTAAGGTGACCTATCGAATTAACGGGGCGTGCTCGCCGACAAGATCACCAGTCTTTATTGTCGTTGCCTACGGGCGCAGAGGCCGATCCTGATACTCGGCAACCTGTGAACAGCACAGCAGCAACAGAAACTACGACAATTGTGTTTCCTTTCTGGTTCCTTTATGCCTTGTATTCATTCGAAGTAGCTTTCTGGTTCGAAGGATGCTCTACAGGTAGGGAAAGCAAAAGCGTAGGTATAGCCTGAATCAACGCCGCCGATAGGAAACAATTCTACGTGTCGACTGCTTGTCCTGCTTCTCCCCTGCATCCTACCCTCCCCCTGTGCGCGTCCACCCGTGCACCCGTCTACGCTCAGGCGTCGGCCATCAGGGCGTAGATATGCTGGGCGGCGCGGGGGATCTTGGACTTGCCGTCGGGGCTCTTCTCGATGTCGATCATTTCGCGGACCCATTCGCAGATGGTGTCGACGAGGCGCTCCACCTCGGCCTCGGTGTTGGCCGAGTGGAACATGAGCCGGATGCGGCTCTGGCCCTTGGGCACCACCGGGTAGTCGATGGGGAAGGCCGACAGCCCCGCCAGCTGCAGGTGGAACACGAGCCAGAAGTTGTACCGCTGCCGCGTCCACACCGGCACGATGTGCGTCACGAAGTCCCGCGTCTCCCAGTTCTCGCTCAACGGAATCGACAGGATCCCCAGGTCGTTCGCCTCATCCCACACGTCTTTCGCCGTGATCGTCTTGAGGAAGTGCTTCACCAGGTGTTGGATCTGGTCTTGGTTCTGCGCGAACGGGGAAAGGGGGGGGATTGGCGTTAGCAAATGGTCAGGTATTTTCCGGGTAAGTGGGTGACTGGGTAACTAGATAGGTACGGGAGGATGGTGGACTGGCTTTTTCACTCCGGCTCCCCCTTTTTTCTTACCTCTTGCGTCTCTCCCGACCTGAGCAGGTTGTACGCCGCCCGGATCGCTGCCACCGTCGGGAACGAGGGCGCCGTCGTGTAGATGACGGAGCGCGCAAAATTCATGAGCGCCAACCTCACGGATTGGTTCCCGAGTATGACAGCTGCCGCGTGAACATTAGAATCGTGATCTAGCTTCAAAAGGGGGCAACGCGGCGACTCCTTACCGCCGGTCGAGGCCATCGCCTTTCCGAAGGTATGAACCCGGATAGCGATCTCGTCCTGGATCCCGAGCTCGGAGACGAGGCCAGCCCCTTGCGGGCCGACGATTCCCGTCGCGTGGGCCTCGTCCACAATGAACGCGACGTTTCCTTTCGGGCAGAGCTCCTTGGCGATCTCGATGAGCTCCTCGATCGGGCACATGTCACCGTCCATGCTGTAGACGGACTCGACCGACACGAGCACGCAGCGTGACCCGTCCTTAATCAGAGGCTGCGTGTCGAGGACCGAGGCCAGCGTCTCGCGGAACGAGTCGACGTCGTTATGGCGGAACGGCATGCGGCACAGGGCCAGGCTGTGCGCCATGCCGTCGTGCGTGCTCGCGTGGACGAGCTCATCGTAGATGATGGCGTCGCCGGGCCGCGGGATGGCGGCGAAGAGAGCGCTGTTAGCCTCATACCCCGAGTTGAGGATGAGCGCGGTCTCGGCGCCGTGGAAGTCGGCGATCTCCTGCTCTACCTGCTCGATGTAGTCGTAGTTACCGTCCATGAGCCGCGACCCGCCGGCGTAGAGGGGGAAGTTCGGGTGCCGCGCGAGCTCCTCGAGGAAGGCGGTGCGGATCTTGCCCGTCGTCCCCAGCGAGAGCAGGTCGTTGGAGCAGAAGTCGACCGCCTCGCCCTTCTTCCACGCGCTCTGCGTCCGCGTCATCATTGCATGGTCGCTCCGTCGCACGTCTAGGGCCTCCTCCAGGTTGCGGTAGAACGGCGGGGCATCCTTCATCCGCGGACCGTTGAGCTTCTGGGCCTTGATCCAAGAGGCCAAGAATCCTGCCGACATTTCGACGGGGAAGTTGGTCAAGACTAGGCTCGAAGCGTGGCACGTGTATGTGAGTGAGTGTGTGAGTGAGTGTGTGAGTGCGAGTGTGAGTGCGGGTAGGGTAATGGGTAATATTGGCTATGCGGCAGCTAAAGGTCTTGGATGGACAAGTCGGGAACATAAGCGGGAGACGAGTCGCGGAAACCGGCAGTTCTTGTTCTACCTTTGAGTCTCATTCTATTACACCGAAAAGCGGCAAATTCGGATGCATCATACCGGGGTGTTGCGATCTGCGTAGGAGCTACGTGGCGCCCGGGAACGGAACCCGGCGCGCTTTAATACGGCACAGCCGCCGCGGCGATTCTCCACTACGACTGCGATACGATCGTCCCGGTCAACGCACGAACCCACGAACCCAAAAATGTTTCGTCGCAGCTCGTGAGGGATCTTCCTTAGCCATACTTCGCGTGAGAGAACGAACGCGACAATATGGGTGCCACTAAGAGTCTACGCGGAAAGGTGATGGTCTCTTCATTCGAGGTCTCCGAAGACGCTAACATGAGGAGCAGACGGTATTCGTCACGGGAGGCTCCGGGGGACTGGGCAAAGCGATATCCAAGGAACTGGCGTCTAAAGGTGCGCATTCAAAGTGTTTATGCGTACGCGCTCCTGCTAACTGGGACAGGCGCCCACATCACGATCTTTTCGAGAAGACAGGGCGCTCTCGACGAAGCAAGACAAGAGATTCTCGCGGCTCGCTTGAGCGAGGATCAGGAAGTCAACGCCGTGTCGCTAGACTTATCCGATGCATCGAAGGTCTTCTTCTTCTTCCCTAGAACTCTCCGGTCTGGGACATGAGAGAGCGGTTCTGACAGTAACTACCAGGTTGATGAGGCATTCAGAAGCCAGCCTCTGATTGCAGATATCTTGTACTGTACAGCAGGCGGCAATCACGCCGAAAACGGATTTATCGTAGACATTGGGGCGCAGCAGATCGAGAACTGCATGAAAAACAACTACTATTCCGCAGCCTATCCGGCTAAGTCGCTGCTGGACATATGGACCGAAGATGACAAGAAGAAGGGGACCGATGGGACAACGGGGCCGCGACTCCGCCAGATCATTTTCGTCAACAGCGCCGCGGCCTTCCTCGGCATACCGGGCTCTATTGCTTACACACGTACGTCCTCCATTGCATGATGGTCGCGCGAGCCAGATAACTAACACTCTACCCGGCATGACATAGCCGCCAAAGCCGCCGTGCGCGCTCTCGCAGATACCCTGAGGATGGAAGTCCTCCGGTACAACGGCCCGGCGTCTTCGTACAGCATTCACTGCGCGTTCCCCGCCGACTTCGTGTCTCCGGGATTTGTCCTCGAGCAAAAGACGAAGACACCGCTGACCAAGCGCATTCAGGGGCTCGACCGCCCCTTCGAGGAGCTCGTGGCCCGCTTCCCAACGAGCGAGAAGGTCGCCTCGCTCATCATCGCGGCCGTGGGCCGGGGCGACTTCATCATCTGCGAGGACTCGTTTGCGGCCTCGGCCCTGTTCACCAACATGATCGGGCCCTCGCCAAAGAGGGGGCTCGGCATCGTCGACTCTCTGCTCGGTCTCCTGGTCGGGTGGTTTGTGTGGCCCGCGCTGAGACGAAAGTGGGAGGGGATGTGCAGGCAGGATGGCGAGGAGCTGCGAAAGAGCGCCAAGTGAACACCATCTTGAGATCTCCATCATACTCGGTAGTTTATAACAGCGCTCTGCACTTCTGAAGCTCTTTATTCCGATTCACCTTGGAAAATCACACAAATACGTCTTCTGAGCCCTAATGACTCTGCTCTGTGTTGTTCACCGTGGTGGTGATAGCGGGGCAACCTCACAACTTCGTGCCCCGGTACGATTCGTGTTATGACCTAGGTATTGCCAGGGTTGTGAGAAAGTTTTTTAGTTGAGTTTCAACCAAACTTAACTTAAAAAAAACTTGACTCGACTTAAAAACTTAACCTTTTTTTTTTTTTTTTTTTTTTTACAACTCTGGGTATTACACCAATTTCTATCACTATGCCTTATGTTGCCACACCATATTATCTACCTATAGCCTCATGAGACTCACCTGGCCCCAACCTCCCTCGCCGCTTAAATGCATAATTCCTAGCATTCGCCCCCGGAGCGAGAGGCCGGCGACGGAACCCGCACTAGTAAGCGCGGAAGATCTCCATTGCGGCACAGGACCCTACGCCTACATGGGCTCTCCCTGTGAGGCCCAGGGTCTAGTTAGTATAGATCAAGCGGTCCCGGAGCGTAGATCTTTCTCGCCCGGCCCCTTTGCTCGATCAGCTAGGGCACTCCTTAAGGTCCAGCATCCGGGATTCACCTCTCTTATACATTTCCATATCTCATAGGTCCGATCGACTTGAGGTTCGGATCGCATTGCATGGCCTAGGATTATGATTCCTGCTCTGGATGTAGAGACTGCCGACGGCCCGGGCATCGATGGCCACAGCTCGACTAACGGGTCGTCGCGCAATGGAGAGGTCGTGGCTAACGGGTCGGCGGCGAATGGGAACGGGGTGGCCCCGAACGGACATTCTGCCAACGGGAATTCTTCAAACGGCCGCTCCGCAGAGACGCCCTTGAGCAACGGCCACCATACCAACGGCCACTATACCAACGGCAACCACACCAATGGGCACAACGGCACCAGTGCGCCGGTTGACGGCGCCATACCCATCGCGATTTGCGGCATGGCTCTTCGCCTACCTGGGAAGCTGACGACGCCCCAGGAGTTCTGGGAGTTTCTGCTCGCCAAACGCGACGCGCTCTGCCGAGTCCCCGCCAGCCGCTACAACGTGTCCGCTCACTACTCGCCCGCAGGCAAGCCGGGTCTCGTCGGGACGGAGTACGGGTGCTTCCTCGACGAGAGCGTCGATCTGGGAGCCCTGGACACGTCCTTCTTCACCATGCCGCGGACGGAAGTGGAGCGCGCAGATCCCCAGCAGCGGCTCCTGCTCGAGGTCGCTAGGGAGTGCTTTGAGGACGCCGGCGTCACCGGCTGGAGGGGCAAGACTATCGGCTGCTATGTCGGGAACTTTGGCGAGGATTGGGTCGAGATGTTCGCCAAAGAGCCCCAGCAGTACGGCATGCATCGGATTGTCGGCTACGGAGACTTCGTGCTCTCGAACAGAATCTCATACGAGATGGACTTGCGAGGCCCCAGGTACGTTTCAACAGAATGGCCTACCCGGTGTTTATTCTAATCTCGTTACCTAGTATGACCATCCGTACAGGATGTTCGGCCGCCTTGGTCTGTTTGAACGAGGCTTGCATGGCCATCTCCAGAGGTGACTGTGAAGCCGCGCTCATTGGCGGCGTCAATCTTATATTAGGCCCGGGTATGTCGGCTGCTATGACGGAGCAGGGCATCAATTCCAAGGATGGTACGTGTAAGACCTTTTCTGCCGAGGCCAACGGATATGGTCGTGGCGAAGCTATTACCGCCGTCTACATTAAACCGCTGAGCGACGCTATCCGGGACGGCAACCCGATTCGCGCCGTGATCAGGGCTACTTCGCACAACGTCGACGGGAAAACCCCCGGAATGTCACAGCCGAGCACCGATGCGCAAGAGGCGCTGATGCGGCGAGCCTACAAAGTTGCTGGTATCACAGACTTCTCGCAGACTGCCATGGTAGAATGCCACGGAACGGGAACACCTACTGGTGATCCTATCGAAGTTAAGGCTGTCGCTCGCGTTTTCGGCGAGTCTGGGGTCTACATTGGGTCCGTCAAGCCGAATATGGGGCATACAGAAGGGGCTTCGGGCCTGGTATCGTTAATCAAGATGACCATGGCCCTCGAGAATCGCATCATACCGCCTAATATCAGATTCATAACCCCCAACCCGAAGATTCCTTTCAAAGAAGCGAAGCTCACGGTACCTTTGGAACCGACGCCTTGGCCGAAGTCGCGCCTCGAGCGCGTGAGTGTGAACTCCTTTGGCGTCGGCGGCGCCAACGCCCACGTAGTTCTGGACTCCGCTGCTAGTTTCAATGCCTCGCCTGTGTTGTCGGCCGCACCGTCGACACCTCAACTCCTACTGTACTCAGCCAACCATGCCAAGTCGCTTGCGAGAATGGTTGAGAACTACAAGCAGTGGATAGAGAAGAATCCCGGGCGAGTTGCAGATCTAGCCTACACCTTGGGTAGAAGGAGAGAGCATCTGCCGCACCGTACATATACTATCGTCAATAACGGGGTAGCCGAAAGTGCGGCACCGCCGACGAGAGCGGGCCAGAAGCAGAACGTGGTCATGGTGTTCACGGGACAGGGTGCTCAGTGGCCGCTCATGGGCAAGGAGCTATTGCAATCTAACGATACTTTCAAGGCTACGATCCAATCTCTAGATCGATACTTGAAAGAAGCATTGGGAGATGCACCACCGTATTCCATTGAAGAACAGCTTCAGCTGCCGGCCAGGAAGAGCCGGCTCAGCTCGGCAGAGCTGTCCCAGCCGCTTTGCACTGCTCTTCAAATCGCGCTTGTGGACACTCTCAAGTCCTACGGAATTACGCCGAGTGCCGTGGTTGGGCACTCCAGCGGCGAGATCGCGGGGGCATACGCTGCTGGAGCCCTGACTGCAAAGGAGGCGATCCTGGCCGCTCATCACCGCGGTGCTGTGACGTCGAAGCAGAAGAAGTCGGGATCGATGGCAGCTATCGGCATGAGCTGGGAGGACACTGAAAAGTTCCTGGCACCCAACGTTACTATTGCGTGCGACAACTCGCCCAAGAGCGTTACGGTCTCCGGCGATACCAAGGACGTGAAGGCTGTCGTCGCCGCCATCAAGAAAGCACGCTCGGATGTATTGGCGAGACTACTCCAAGTCGACAAGGCATACCACTCGTACCATATGGCTGAGATCTCAGGAGACTATCGCGCGTTAATCGGCGAGATGGAGAAGAGGGACCCTACCATCCCTTTCTTCTCCAGCGTGACGGGAAAGCTGCTAGGCAAAGACCGGGACCTCGGGTCGCAGTATTGGCAGGATAACTTGCAGTCTCCAGTGCGATTCAACGAAGCTGTAACTGGACTCCTCGAGCATGAAGTTGGACAAAACGCCGTTTTCGTCGAAGTTGGGCCGCATTCCGCTCTCGCTGGGCCGCTGAGGCAGATATTCACCGAGGCTTCCTCTACTGCCCCCTATGTCTCGTCGATGACGCGCAACCAGAATTGCATCGCCTCTATCCTGACTGCTATCGGAAAGCTCCACTCGTTGAATGTGTCGGTTGACCTGGGCGCAGTGTTTCCGACCGGGACTTGTCTCCCAGACCTGCCTCGCTATCCGTGGAACCACGAGGAGAGCTACTGGTACGAGACTCGCATTTGCAGAGACTGGCGTCTGCGAAAGCACCCGTATCACGACTTGCTGGGAATCCGCTCGCCCGAAAGCACAGATATCGAGCCCGCTTGGCGGAATTTGTTCCACCTGTCCAACGCGCCCTGGGTCCGCGACCACAAAGTCGGAGACGATGTCGTATTCCCATTCGCAGGCTACATCGCTATAGCTGGAGAGGCTGTTCGACAGATCAGCGAAGTGGAGGAGGGGTTCAACATCCGAAATATTATTGTTAGCACAGCGCTGGTCCTGGGTGATGGGAAACCTACCGAGATATTAACCACGTTCCGGCCGCATCGCTTGACCACTACGCTCAATAGTCCGTGGTGGGAATTCTCCGTCTCCTCCTTCAACGGCCATGGGTGGACCAAACATTGTGCAGGCGAGGTATCGGCGCTCTCGTCACCTATCGAGCCCTCGTACGAGCCGGTCCCCGACGAGCTCCCTCGAAAGGTGAATGCGCGGAAGTGGTACGAGACCATGCGCAAGTCTGGCCTCGATCTCGGGCCAATGTTCCAGACGCTCGACACCATAGATACCTCCGTGGACGCCGAAAACTGGGCGATAGGGAAAGTGGTCAACAGTAGACAGGGCGACGAGGCCAACTATCACATTCACCCCACGGTCATCGACGGAACCCTGCAGATAATGAGTGCCGCTGCCGTCAACGGCTATGCCCGCAAGGTAAAGAATTGGCTCCCTACTGGTATCGACAAGCTGAGCATCGTTCGATGCTCCTCTGGTATGGTCACGAGCGTGTCCGCAAAGATAACGAGTAACCACTCTCTCCTCGGACGCGGGCGTTGCACCTCCAACGGCGTCATAGTCATACAGGCCTCAGGTATTCGGATGTCCTTAGCAGATGGTGGCCTCCCCGGTGAGATACCTGATACTCACGCGGCGGCTCGATACGAATGGGCCTCCGACATAGACTTTTTGAAGATACAAGATCTTATTCGACCGCCGACGGGCCGCAAAGAGCACGCTGCCCTCCTTGAAGAACTCGGCCAGCTCTGCTTGGAGTCTTCGAGACGAACACTCTCTGGACGACAAACATTCCTCGGCCATATCAAAAAATACATAGCGTGGCTTGATTCTCAAGTCCAAACGGAGGACCTGAAGCAACTCGATAATGACACCCTCTCCTCTCGAATCGAGGAGCTTGCCGCCAAGCTCTCCGAAACTCCGGCGGCACCCGCGGCCACAGCCCTTCACCAGTTTTCGACGAAGATCGAGGATGTATTCTCGGGCCGAGGCCTGCCGGACGTATTATCGGCCGACATACTCACGAGCCTCCACCAATTCCTTAACGGGACAGATGTCTCTCAGTTTATCCGGTCCCTGGGGCACTCGAAGCCGAACCTGCAGGTCCTCGAGATCGGGACGGGGAGAGAACCACTAGCAAACGGCATTCTTAAAGACCTCACCCGGCCTAACGGCCAAGTTCTGTGCTCTAAGTACACCTTCACGTCAACGGGCTTCATCTCGGCCAAGGACCAGCAGAAGCCGTTCGCAAACATGGAGTACGCCACCCTGGACATCAGCAAGGACCTCGGCGAACAGGAGTTCGAGGGCCGCCAGTACGACCTGATTATAGCGTCGCACGCGGTGCACGTAGCCAAGGACGTCCGACAGGGTCTGAAGAACATCAGAAAGCTGCTCCGTCCTGGCGGACGACTACTGTTACAGGAACTGTGCCCGTCCTCAAAATGGATTAACTACCTATACGGTGTGGTGCCGAACTGGTGGCATGGTAGTACCGATAACAGGTCCGACGGGCCTTACTTCGATGCCGAGGGGTGGAAATCCGAGCTTCAGGTTGCCGGATTCGATGACTTTGAGGGGAAGATCTTGGACGCGGAGGAGCCTCATCAGCAAACTGTTGTCATAGTTGCGAGACATTCCCGGTCCGAAACAGTTCCCCTAAAGCGGGTGACCATCCTAGGCGGAGCAGTGGAGGACGGGCTTAACCCTATCGTCTCCCAACTCGAGAAGGAAGGATACGAAATTACCAGATGTAAGATCGAGGACACGCCGCCACCGGGACAGGACGTCATCTCCCTCCTCGACCTGTCCGGGCCGTACTTCGAGACGGTGGACTCGGCCCGCTGGGACTCCTTCAAGCAGTTCCTGCATAACCTCCAGGACGCGGGCCTCTTCTGGGTCACGCCGCTCTGCCAGATCGGCTGCGCGGACCCTCGATACGCGCAGGTCATCGGGCTAGCGCGGACGGTGCGCACGGAGCTGACGATCGACTTCGCGACATGCGAAGTAGACGACTTCAGTGCTGCGACAGCCGCCGGTAGCGTCGTCCGGATTTTCGCCAAGTTCCAGCGGCGCGAAGCCGACGAGGTCCTGAACCCCGACTTCGAGTACGCTGTCCGCGACGGCGACATCCGCGTCGGCCGCCTGTACCCCTTCGCGCTGCGCGGCGAGCTCGTGACGTCGGGCCGCGAGGACAGGGCCATCCTCGACGTCGCCACCCCCGGACGTCTCAATACCCTGCGCTGGCTCCGGCTGCCGCGCGAGGAGGTCTACGGGAACAAGGTAGAGATCGAGGTCCACTCCGCCGGGCTTAACTTCAGAGTAAGACTACGGATTGCCCCCCTCCCTGCGCTTCTCGGTTGCTAATATTTCTGCGAAAGGACATCCTAGTCGCCCTGGGCATCGTCGAACTCCCCATCCGCCAGTTCGGGCTCGAGACCGCCGGCTTCGTGACGCGCGTAGGCCCTGACGTCAAGAATGTCAAAGTCGGGGACCGCGTCTGCTGTCTGATACAGCAGGCCTATTCCACCTACGTCGTCACACCGGATTACTTCTGCACCCGTATCCCCGATCGGCTCAGCTTCGACGAGGCCTCCTCGATGCTCATGCCGTTTGTCACGGCGATCCACTCTCTAATCAACGTGGGACGTTTAGAAAAGGGGCAGGTAAGTCGGAAGTGTTGTCTCCCCCCCCCTAATTCTCCAAACCGCTACGTTACCTCCGGCTAACAACGTTTCTCTCCATCGTTCTCAGTCCGTTCTAATCCACAGCGCGTGCGGCGGCGTCGGCCTAGCAGCGGTCCAGATCTGCCAGATGCTAGGAGCCGAGATCTACACGACGGTCAGCAACGAGGAGAAGACGCGATTCTTAACGGAGAACTACGGGGTCCCTAGGGAGCGGATCTTCAACTCGCGCAACGCCTCGTTCGTCGAGGGCATCATGCGCGAGACGGCGGGCCGCGGCGTCGACATCGCCCTCAACTCGCTGTCCGGCGAGCTCCTTCACGCCACCTGGTCCTGCGTCGCCGAGTTCGGCACCATGGTCGAGATCGGGAAGCGCGATCTCATCGGCAGCGGCAAGCTCGACATGAGCCCATTCCTCGCGAACCGGAGCTACTGCTGCGTCGACATTGACCAGCTCTGGAGGAAGCCCCCGCTACTACAGAGGTGAGCACATCTTCTCGCATGAGCACGGCCTGTGGCTTCGAGCTGCACCGATCTAGATTTTCCCCGGCTTTCCTTTCCTTATCTTTCTCTCCCTCTCCTCTCCTGTTTTTATATTTCTTCTCTCTAGTTGGCTTGCTGACAGAGGCGCACGCAGCGTCATCCTGGCAACGATCGAGTACTACGAGAAGGGGCTCACGACGGCCATCCGCCCGCTGAAGATGTTCCCGGCGGCGGAGACGGCGGACGCGTTCCGGTACATGCAGAAGGGGCAGCACATCGGGCGCGTCAGCATCTCGCTGCGCGCGTCCGAGGCGGACCGCGAGATCCGGTTCGCGACGGCGCAGCGGCCGCGGCCGGTCGCGTTCAGCGGCGCCGCGTCGTACCTGCTCGTCGGCGGGCTCGGCGGGCTCGGGCGCTCCATCTCGACGTGGATGGCGGACCACGGCGCGCGCGAGCTCGTGTACCTCTCGCGCAGCGCCGGCGCCGGCGCGCAGGACGCCGCGCTGGTCGCCGAGCTCGCGAGCATGGGCTGCGCCGCGCGGCTCGTCGCCGGCGACGTGACGCGCGCGGAGGACGTCGCGCGCGCCGTCGCCGCCGCCGCGCGCCCCCTCAAGGGCGTCATCCAGATGTCCATGGTGCTGCGCGACCAGAACTTCGAGGCGATGACGCTCGGCGAGTGGAGCGCCGCGGTCGCGCCCAAGGTCCGCGGCACGTGGAACCTGCACGAGGCGACGGCCGGCGCCGCGCTCGACTTCTTCGTCCTGTTCAGCTCGCTGTCGGGCGTCGTCGGCCAGCCGGGCCAGGCCAACTACGCCAGCGCCAACACGTTCCTCGACGCGTTCGCGCAGTTCCGCGCCGCGCGGGGGCTCGCCGCCTCGGTCGTCGACATCGGCGCCGTCGAGGACGTCGGCTTCATCGCCCAGAACCCGGGCCTCATCGGCAAGATGAAGGCGACCGGCTTCAAGGCGGTGTCGGAGCAGGAGCTGCTCGACGCGCTGGCCGTGGCCACGGCGCCACCGCCGCCGCAGCAGCAGAAGGCCGCCGCCGCGGGCGCGTTCGCCGACCCGCACACGTTCGTGCTGGGCCACGGCTCGGCGACGCCGCTGGGCAGCGCGGGCAACCGCGCGGTGTGGCGGCGGGACCGGCGCATGGCGGCGTACCACAACCTAGCAGCGGGCGCCGGCGGGGACGGGGGCGCGGCGGCGTCGAACGAGACGCTGAAGACGTTCCTGGCGGGGGCGCGGGCGGACCCGGCGGTGCTGCGCGGGCCGGAGGCGGCGCGCACGCTGGCGCTGGAGATCGGGCACAAGCTGTTCGACCTGCTGCTGAAGCCGCAGGACGAGCTCAACACGTCGTGGTCGCTCGTCGACCTCGGGCTCGACTCGCTCGTCGCGCTCGAGCTGCGCGCCTGGTGGAAGCAGGTCTTCGCCTTCGACATCAGCGTCCTCGAGATGCTCGGCATGGGCTCGCTCGACGCCCTCGGCCAGCACGCCGTCGAGGGCCTGCTGCGCGCCGTCGCCGAGGAGGAGGAGAGGAAGGCGGCCGAATGAGAGGGCCGTGCGAACGAGAACGAGGATGGCGAAGAGGGTGATCTATAAGTGATGACAGGGGAAGCGTTTATATATTACTCTGATTCCCTTTTGGTGTGTTCTCTATTTTCCTTGTATGTATGTATCTCAGTGCGCATGCGGGACTCTATAGCCTCAAGTTTTAGGTAGCAATCAATTACCTATCTTTCAGGGGTCCGGCTATAGCCGTCGATCTTGGTGCAAAGTTATACTGTTCGTTAAAGGGGATCACGGGCTGAGTAAGATTGGCATAATATTGGGCTGTTTCTTCGATCCGCATCTATGTTGAATTCCCGGGATCGCCTGCGTTGGGATAAAACTACAGTATATCGATACACACTTCTGATATTGTCTGACAGAGTCTCCGACACCCCGTTTCCTCCTTGAACCCGCCTTGATTACGCTGCCTCATCTTGGCGATCAGGATTCTGCCGGGAGTATACCTATACATCAATGTATATATATTTATATACTCATCTCGTACTACCTGTTATCCCTTGTCTCCGGGAAGCCCCCGTATTAGCTAATTATTCTGTCCCAACCTCGGACTCAGGGGCGAATCCTCCCTTCAATTCCACCACATCTCCTTCTCGGCGAGGTTCTCGGTCCTCGGCCGTGATTGTGACCCGGCGTACGTAAGGAGATCAAATGTTTCGAACGGCCCCTTCTCAAATGAGCCCCCTATTATCGTCGCTAACCCATCGTCCGAACACCCCACGGAACTTCCGGCCGCCCTGGAATCAGCCGGCGACAGCAGCGGCCCGAAGTTCACCGCCGGAAACTTGCCGGGAGTCTGGCTGCTGCATTGCACTTGCGAGGACATGTTGTTGCTTTCGGCGGTTACGGCGGGATACATATCGGATGGGGGCGTACTATAGGACGATACCCGGCGTGTGTGTGTCGGAGATGTCAGCGATGATGGTGGACTGCTCTGTTGCGTCCTCCGTCTTTTTCGCTGCGTCCTTAATGATGTTATAACATCTACTAGGATGGTCGAAACCTCGTACAGTCGCCTATTATAACAACCCTCATCTCGTAGATCCGTCACATTATGAAGCATCTCGGCAAATGATTGCAGCAAGTCAGCGTCCGAATCGTGGCCTTGCTCGGCGACTACGTTGGTAGCGATCTCGTGAAGATACAGAGGTGGGTGCGATGCTATCGCTCTGCATTTTATTAGACCATGCCCCGGTCCGTGTGTAAGTAAGCGGAGAGCGAAGGGATAGAATTAAATAAAACGAATGCGTACCGTGGAAACACGCCCTGGCGTCCCAAGTCCGCCGCGGAGCGCCATAAACGCAGCAACAGCCTGATACACCTCCTGGAGATCTCTATGCGCTGGTATACCACATCCGGGTGTTCTCTAAAGGGCCACAAGTATAACAATTGGGTGCAGGTGAACCCGACGGATAACTCGATTGTCGACGTAGAAGTCGGGGAGGCCCCGTTCTCGGCTTCTTCGAGGTCGATACCCCAGTCGGCTAACCACTGCTGCAGCCGCTGGTCGAATTTGAATATCAGGAGGCGAACTTGGGTTTCGGTCCTGGCTGGGGCGCGAAGAGCGTAAATCTCCGAATGAATGCTCTCTTGGATCTCTGCCAATCTCGCCTTCGCGACTAAGTCGTTCATAGACGGGTCGTGATGTATGCCCGGGGCTGGCTTTATGCTCACGTCAGACGCCAGGATGCTGGGGGATGCGCCGACGGCCCAGCACACTGCCTTGTCCAAGACGTAGAGGCAGTAGGAGACGCACTGTCTTTCTCTGCTCTCTTCGTCTCCCCCCTGGCCTTGAGCGCTGCTCTCCCAGTCGTGGAGCCCGATCGACTTTGCGCACTGAGAAGCCAGGTTGAATAGCTTCGCGAACACGTTGAGTGACATGTGCTCTTGAGCGACCACGCACTTGTGCGATATTAGCAATTGTTCGGAGAGAGAAGCTCCGCTTCCATTTCGTGACATACCAGGGATAAGAGGGCCTGGACGTTGATAAGCCGGGGTGAGATCAAGAGCTCCGCATGCTCAATTGCCCTCTTGGCGTTGGCGAGGAACCCCTTGGTGAGATCGAGGTCGATAGTCGAGCTACCGCGGTGCGCCTTCGACGGATTGGGTTTGTGAGGGTGAGGAGGAGGATGCAGAGAATTGGGCGCCAATGTCATTAGAATGAGATTATTCGAACACACTACCTGCGCCAGGTCTCTTTCGGGTGAGTCCAACTCATGTAGCGCCGTGGTATGTTGTATGAAGGATTCCTTCGACCATATTGGGAAGTGCGGGTTAATGGTTGCGAAGTACGGCTCGATCATCGCCTTCAAGATAGAAAGGGGCGGGCCCGTAGGCAAGGACCCATTCTGCAATATTTCCTCGTCGCGGGATACTAGCAGGTCGAACTTGTGCTGGGCTAGAAGGGCGCATTCACTCAGAGTCGGGTTCTCCGAGCTTCCTATGATCAGGGGCTCAAGGACGCGGCCATCCATGTCGTGCAGAAGAGACTCCAGCGACGTAGGACCGAAATACCTTTCGCTTGCTTTGGCATGATGAATTTTGAAGTGACCGAGAGGCCTCTTGAACACTGGCATGTCATAACTCACGGGGGTGTTTTCCTCGGGAGTAGGCCAGTTAGAGCCCGGCTGGAGTCTAGAAAGGATGTCGGCACCGGACGACGATTCCGAGACCAGTCTTTTTACCGTGTTCTGTGTCTCTGCTAGCGCAGCCTTCGCCCATGTCGTTAGTCTGGGTGCTCGATGGGGGAAGAAAGGGGATTCGAGGAGCTAACCTCTAGACTTTCGAGGCGCTTGCTGAGCCTTACGATTGTATGGCTCCTGTTCCCGGTCAGTCTTTTGATCATGGTACCGCGCTGCCTCTGAAAGATGTCTCACAGGAGAGCTGTCTGGTTGCATTTTTTGCCGTGGCCGGACCACTCGCACTTCTGGCCGAGGCGGACGCAGTTGGAGCAGAACGGCTTCTCTCTCCCGCATCGTATCTTCTTGACGCGGCATTGGTCGCACACTGTTGCCGTTCGGTAAGCCTCGTCTTTCGAGTCGAGCGTAGCGGGGGGCGGTCCCTCGAGGGTCCCTGCTCACCTGCGTAGTCCTTCCCCGCCGCCTCCCGCGACATCTGGGAGAGAATGATTTAGCTGGGTGTTTCTGGCCGACTTGAATCGCGAAGCTAGGCTCAGGAGGCGATGAGACAAGTTTAGCATCTTACCTCATCGTATGACCGGGGATGCTTTTCTGCAGGCATTTTAGACGGAACTAGACCCCCAGCATATAAACTACGAATGTCGATGCGAGACGGGCGTCTCTCACTGCCGTCGACGCTTAGGGTCCAGCGGTTCGTTTTTGATCAACGATCAGGGGGATTTAGGCTCCAGCGATGAGGAACCTTAATGTTCCTATAACTTAAAGTCCCAGCTCCCTCTAGCAAGGAATTCCATCTTCGTGGGATCAGTATCGTGGTGTTGTATACCCGCCTTGGCCACTGTACGGCCTAAGCTTGATGTAGAGCAGATCTATCTGGCATGTTCGTGATCCGGTAATAGCTTACTACTCCTTCTAGTGGGAACCCCCGAGCGCTACGCAAAATGCCTGCCGTTTTCTTTCACGTCCTTTTGAGTGAGCCTCGGGGGAGCCCCTGCTAGCGGCTATGCAGATTGGCTTTACAATACGACCACGCCTCGAGCTTGAGAGCCAGACCCCTAGACACTAACTCCGCGACGTTACATAAGGGCCAATCGAGAGCTTGATCTTGAGCTCTTTCCACCCTTACCTGCGTTCGCTCTGTTTATCCGATATATGATACCGGATGTGATAGGGCGCGTAAGGAAGCTCTCTTGTGCGGTGGGCGTACGAGACGACGCAGACTGCGGAGACGCCGAGCTGTCTGTAGGACTCACCATGAGACCTAACATGTTGGAGGACAAATCGAGGATTTGAATCCATTTCGTCGAGTCTTATAGTCGCCAGTAGCAAACGGAGTCCGACGCCACATATGACATCTGCCAGGCCGGCGCTGGTTGTTACCAAGTCTCTCGGCGTTGGCGTTTTCCCTCTCGCTGCGAGGTTCCGATAGTCTAATTGGCCATGATTCCGACTTCATCAGCCTACCTGCTATATAGGCATCCTGAAGGACGAGACTGACTCGTCTACGAGGTAGTGGGTATACAATAGCTGGGGACCCGGCCTATCAACGGAATACTCGGCCCTACTTTACCTGGTTCCTTGATCGAACGTGAACATCTTCGCGCCGCCTTGCGACAGGAGCCCCCCGCACCTTGTTGGGGCCAATCATGGCGGGAATATCCCGGCTGTGATTGTGACCGGGTCCTACCGCGGCTCGATTGTGGTGCGGCAGGGGTGGTAGGCGAGCAAAGCCCCATCGATCAGCAAGCCTACTCATACATTGGAACGGCAGAGCTCGATATTCGTATGTGAACAGCAATTAGGTCTGCGGAGCCTCGGGAGGCGTGGTGGTCGTGTGTTATCCTGTGACATAAGACTAATGCATGTTCCTCTCATGTAAGATACCCTGGAATGCCCTGAGCTGACGTCCAGATACAAGCGTTAGCGAGGAACCATCGACCGATGCTCACCAGGAAGGAAGCTGGCGAGTCTAGCAATCTAGGGCGGTCTTAAGTCTTGAATAGGAGTCTCGGCCCGAAGGATGAGGTGGCTCACCTGCAGCCTCATCCTTCTGTAGTCGGCAGCACGTCGACCACACTCCTCCCCCTCCTGCCCTCCACTCCTCCCCAGAGCAGCCTCACGTAAACAGCAGCGAAGCTACGGAAGTCTGTGGATGTAGGACGCAGTCTCCATAGATCAGAGACTACACTATTTCAAGTGCCGTGGCAAGGAAGCTTTTCCCGATGACTATGGTCGGTAATTGGCAACGTATTTGTAAACGTACCTAACGTTTTATCCATCCTACAGGATCCTTCGTGGTCCGGGTTTGAGGCTGAGGCGAAATACACACCGAGGACTACTTTAGGGTAGGGTACGGACCACCGTCTTGGGTCGACCTGAATATAAACATCTCTCATCCCCCACGTAGAGGAAAAGAGAGGGTTACCGATGTTGACGCTACCACGTGCTCGCTGCCATCTTGAAGCCAATGAGAATCCGACAGCTTTGAGGTCGTCTCCTCGCGTGGCGTCGACGGTGCACAGCGATGTATCCAAACTCGGACACGCAGAGGTCAATTTACGGGTTGGCTAGTGAGCTCGCATCCCTCATGTAACTTGGGGTGACATCGACAATGGCTATGGTGCCTTGAATTTTCACTTTCTAGCACACCATCAACTAGATCGGACGACCCGCTGCCGTTTACAATTGGACGTTTTTCGCAGGATCTGGGGTTTGATGCAACGAGGGTAGCATTCGCAATCGGCGGTTTACAGCTAAGAAGGGATAAAAGGGGGGTGGGGGGAGCGTAGGAGCGGAATACAACCTGACATATATAAATGTACACATTGGTGGACTCGAGAGTATGAGTTTTTCGGAGAAAAGTTGAGACGGCTTCTAGAAGCAGCACGACCTAGGAAACACCGCGAGTCGATCCCGCCAGCTGACCTGGCCCTATTCGGACGAGATATTGTGTCGGGAATTCGTGAATAGCCAAGAGGATCCGGGTGTAACCTCTTTAGGTAGCTAGACTGGGTACGAGCAGTGGGAGCTGAACCCGAGAAGACCGTAACAAGTAATGTTTTGACCGAAAGGAATCCTCCAGCCCGAGAATAGCGGGCAGCATAGGTAGATCGAGGTGATATACACATGCATATTAACTGCATATGCAGGCCGCTTGGGGGCGGATAGGAGCTAGGCTACCATTACGCTTCCGGGATGGATCGGGGACGCCATATTGCTATCCCCCCCTCTCGTCTGAGGTCTGGCTCTTCCCGGGACGCATGTGCTCGAGTACATACCTCATGTCTTCGTTACAAGGGTCTGGTGGTTCCCGGAAATACACACCATCAACGAAGATTTCGATAGCGAGGCCGACAACCGACTTGTCAAATCTCTTACCCTTAGAGTCTTCAAACCGGGCTCCCTCGGCTAGCGACTCGACGATGGACAGTACCTTCTCCATCGAGGTTAAGTATTGCTGGGGATAAGCATCCCATAATTCCTTAGCTAGGAGATTCGTTCGCACAGATCCCGGACAGATAGCGTACGTCCGGATCTTATCCTGCTCGTGGAATATCGGGGCAACCGAGCGCATGAAATTGAGTATCCCGGCCTTGGATGCGGCGTAGAGAGGCGTGATAGCTTGAGGGTACTAGGGACGTATGAGATATAGAGTCGACCGCAGCTGTCACTTTGAGAGGCTTACTATGCCAGCGATACTGGATGTCATGACTAGCACACAATCTCGGTCATCATGCGTGTTGGCCCTAAAGTAGTGCTGCGCCAGGTAGCTCGTCTTGACCACGCCCTTGAGATTGGCATCGATGCTAAGCTCGTCCGGCTCGGGTGGCGGCGAGGAGAAGTCGCGTCTCTCGAAGAAGTTCCCCCTTTCCATGACACCGGCATTCGCAAAGACGAAGTCGAGCTGGCTCTCGGCTGCAAAGACGGCATCGAACGCGGATGACAGCGAATGCCAGGCGGTGACATCTACCTCGTGGAAGACACATCTGGTTAGACGGGCCGCCGCCGCACTCCCGCCGGCCTCGTTAATATCGAAAATATGCACTCGCCAATCCCTGCGGCAGAGGGTTTCGGCAACGGCGAGACCAAGCCCGGAAGCGCCGCCGGTGACGATGGCGACTCGAGGACTCGACATCGTTGAGGAAGCGATGTTTGGGAAGATGGGCTCTGCTTTCGATGTCGTTCAGGAGGGTGGTCAATGTAAATACGGCCGGGGCTTATGAGCTCAGCGGCGGCGCGAGAGGATATTTCGTAGCTAAGAATTCCCCGCACCGGCACTTCGCCTTATAACCGCCCTTATCACCTGCCCGGCTAGGTTGGGGTGTCAGCCGGGAGATGCATCGCTATGCGCATCTCAGGAGGAGCGTTGCCATCGCGAACCCGTATGCACCTGTGATATGTGACACGAGCATCGCACCGTCAACCGGGACCTAGAATGAAACACCACTGGAAGCGGCTCTCCGGCCAGGAAGTGTCGCTCAAGGCCATGCCAGGACGGTATACCTAATGTTAGGCTGGACCGTAGAATCAATATTCACGCTTCATATTACTTGGATGCCGGTCCACCCCCCTCTTTACACGGCCACGGAATGGAACACACCGAACCTTCGGGCGTCATGAGGTTATGATTTTGCTCGTCGCGCCGAAGATATGTGCTGGCGATGGGACGGGAAGTTGGATATGGGAAAATCGACCTTCTTGGGTCTAGAGGTACATGGTACCTATGTAGTGGCGTGGGTAGCAATTAGTCATCCTGTATCCTCAATACCTGAGGCAGGCATTGACGCAGAAACCGTAGTAGTAGGTACCTTGCAGGTACTACTCCAGATACCTTGTAGGTACCCGTACTTGGGTACATAGAGGCACGCAGGTACCCGTACCTGTATGTGCCCAGATACCTACCTAGGCAGGTAGGTGTAGGTACCCAAGGTAGGCAAGGTGGGATCGCCTCAGGCTCACCGCTTTCCTTTTCGAGCGACGGGAATCAACACGCCAGCTCCGCGGGAAGTCGCGATGGCAACTCGATGTGCGTAGATCCATCCTGTCGCTCCGGCCGGTGATGAGACGGACAACAACAAGCTGCCATTCCTCGCCATCTTCGACTCTTCACCCACCGTCTCTCCTCGCATCCTACTCCAATCGATTCCTACCGACCCCGATACCTAATCCAATACTCCCTCGGTATTGTCAATAGGCTGACGCCACGCCAACTCGAACGTGTTTCTCGTGTCCATCTTGAATTTCTACTCCTCTTTTCGTGCATGAGCTTCTATACAACATGTACATCGAGTCCGTCCTAGCCACCAGCGTAATCGCCATGCAATTCCGTCATTGAATTCCTTAGCATTCACCCCGTCGTTCTCGTCACCCGTTGCCGAGAGAATGGACCGTGGCAAAGCAGACACCTTGGGTGCTCTGGCAACACGACCCAACGGAAACGCCTCCAGCAGCGGTCGCGGAAATCTGGCACGGCCACTATTCAGCACCCGACAGGCCTCGCAACACGACCCTTCCAAGCCCGACTCCAAAGAGAATATCATATCCGATACCGATGCCAGCGTCGGCACTAGCGCTCATCCCAGACATCCGCTCTACTCTAGCCCTAGATACGTCCGCCACAGCGGTAGCTTAAGCACATCGACCCATCAACGTCCCGAGTCGCCGCGCGAGACGCGAATACCCCGTCCGAAAAGCACAGCATCAGTCACCCCTTCTCCCGTCCAGCAGGAGAGTCGGGGTCTATCTCGGAAGCAGTTGGTCGACATGCGACAGCCCATGAGCTTCAAGTCTGCCTTCGAGCTGGCGAAAAAACAAGAGGCTGACGACCAACTGGACGATGACACCTTCGACATAAAACAAGCCTTCAACATTGCTAGCGCCGAAATGAACGGCCGTATTCACGGCTCCCCTAGCCCGGCCCCGCGGAATTCCTACGCGAGACGCGAATCACACGGCGCAGCCTCTCAGAGGCCATCGACCAGCCGGTCTACAAACGACGATCTCGGAAGCCACCTGCGAAAATTCGATCGATCCCACCAGCTGAATGTGGGCGATGGATCGCGAAATAACCTATTCGGCAGGACTAGACGTGGGCCAAATGCATCCGAAACCGGTGATATTCCTGCTATGAAGAACGTTAACGGCGGCGTTGGGGGTCTCCTTACCCGTCACCGGACAAGCCAAGCGGAGATGTCATCACGAAAATCGGATTCGGCGGTTGGCTCCGTCGGCCAGGATCATGTACGTGAGGCCACGCCTGTCCCGGCAATCGAGTACAAGGATGTCAGCGACCACCAGGCTTCCCCGGTGGACCGGTCTGCGCACCCATCACTAGAGAAGAGTTATAACTGGCAATTAGACGCAGACTTCACAGCCGGAGACCTCCAAGTATCCGACAGCCCTCGCATACGAGCGGGTCGTTCTAATGGAACCTCTCTCCGGGCACCGTCGAGTGCTACGAGCTCCCCGGTTAGCGGCACACCAAACTTCCGCCGTAGCAATAATCGTCTCGATCAGATTCGGCAAAAGGAAATCGAAGCTGCAAACGCTATCTTGTCCGAGGATGATCCGCCCCTATCTAAGCGAACGAACAGCCGATTGGACGAGTTACGTATGCGAGAAATGGAAGCTTTATCTAAACGATCCGTAGCGATTAGCAGGCTCGACGAGATACGCATTAAGAATTCGGAAGCACGTTCGGATCAGCCGGACACGGGAAGAGAGCCTAGCGGGAGGAGTCTACGGGGAGGTTCGCTCCAGATCGAAAACGAGCACATGAAGACGTCGGAAGTTAAAGCAGAATCAGGGGCGGGCGGAGAGGAATTTCATGACCCGCCTATTATCATCCCCCGAAACACGAGCAATCATAGGCTTAGCGATGTATCTAAGGAGGAAAGAGACAACCCTAATCCCCGGGAGAATACAGCGGAGTCTCAATTACCGCGAAATGACTCTCACGACTTGCTTCGCCGCCTCGCACGAGCGACCAGCAACAGCCCGCCCGCCGAGAAGACGACCGAAAGACAAGCCGCCATAAATGACGGTCTCCAGACGAGGGACTCTGGAAAGAGAGAGGAGAGCCGCCCACGCTCGAGGCGAGCGGAGAGAATATCTAAAAACCTGGAGGTTAAGAGCTCCAGAGAGCGGCCGACGGTCGGATTCGTAGGATTAAAGAGAGAGGCGTTCAGCGAGTCCTCCAGAGAAAAGCGGCCGAGCCGATCCGGTTCGGAGGCGGACCCTACGGACCGTATCGAGGCCGAGATGAAACTTTTTGCGCCTCTCGACAACATGTCTGAGAAGAGCTCCCTCCGAGCGCCTTCGCCCATTCTGACAGAGTTGAACGATGAAGAGACCCCACGAGCCACCAAAGTCGACCCCCTGACGCAGCCGACACCGCGTGTTACTGGCGCATACGTCGAAACCCCCGCCACTGTGAGAGTCAAGCAAGAGTCTGGTAGTCTGGACGACAAACAGCGGCCGGGCGGCCATTCCAAAGCGTCGGACGCAGCACTATCTGAGTCGCGCAACAGAAGCTCTAGCGAGCCGTGGAACAGAGATAGTGTTGAGGAAGAGGACGATGCAGAGGTTTCGGCAAAGCCACGTTCCTCCTCAGCGCCCACGTCTTCGCGACGCATTAGATCCGCCTCCAGGCGTCGCCGACCTCTCCGTAATTTGACAAACACCGCCAATCCACCGTCAGTCAAGGACGACATTCGCGCCATTCTACGCATGAACCAGATCGACGACTCAACGCTGGACGATTTCGACTCGATTCTCGCCGACCAAAACATTGACGACGAAGAATTGGAGAGGATGATGAATGACACCATGCACAAGATTGACGATGATCTCGAACTTCCGGGCCTTTCGGAGCGGGATCGCGAACTTCGCGTTTACGATAGAATGAGCAAATCGCTCAAGACTGGTCTTCTCGGTATCCGATCCGCGAAGAAAGGAATCGAACGTCTAGAGGATAAAGTCACGCACACCGACCACAAGGCAGGCCGGACCAACACTGCTGCCCCGGATCCGCCCGACCCGAAACCAGAAACGCGCGCCTCGACGAGGCCGGATGGCCCGGCTCCGGTTTTCATTTCGGTCCCCGCGCTGTACCGGAAGTCCCCCAGGTTTCGGCTAACGAAAATGGGCCTGTTGACAATCGTTGTTTTTGTATGGTATATCGTCGAGTCCATTTTCTGCTCCTTGTATACCACACAGTATCTCTGCACGCCGACGGTACCCTGCGAATGGTCGCCAAACGAACCGTATTTCCCGTATGCGATGCCATTTATGCTAGATGAGTGGACTACGGGGGGGAAAGGGCGAGAACTCACTTGGTGGATCGGGGAGCAAGTGGGAGACGCCCTGGCTGAGGCCTTGGATTGGGTCACAGACACGGATTTCACCCAGTTCGATCCGCGGTATATGAACGTCTGGCAGCGCAAGCGGCATTTGAGACGGCTGCGGAAGCACGGCTTGAGCCCAAAGTGGGTGAAACCGGCCGATTACCAGCTCAAATTCCCAGCATGGAATGCCGCACGTCTAGCTAGAGAGGCCGCTGAAGAGTTCGGGTACGGCTACGAGGAAGAGGACGAGATGATGAGTGCGGACGAGAGGGTGCGGTAAGACTAGTGCTACGCTCTGCGATCGTGCTAAACTGCACGTATGAAGGTCGGTTATGCTTCTGTCACCCGGAATCTCCTCTGTTTCCTCGGTTTCTAGAAGCTACGTAGCTTTCAGTAAGCGAGCGTGGTGTGGGCATGGTGTGGGCGTTTTAGTAGCTTCGGCAGGGGAGAGCCGTCTTCACTTGGGCGGAGTTAAGGTGCATGGACTACTCAGGCACTCTGTAATAGTTGATCAAAATGCCAATTCATGACACACATTACACAAAGAAGGGGGCGGTAGGAGGTTGCTTGCCTGTGTCGGGCTCTCGGACATCACCATGCTGAGTTTGGCTTTCGCTTTGGCTGCCGATATCGTCATCAACCAACCCGAGCGGTAAGATGCAAGATTACCTTGTAGCATTCGGGTTGTTTACATCCCATCATATCCGATCCTTTGCTATCTACCGCCGCTGACGCAAGCACGTCTACGGAATAGGAGACGATCAAGATCTAGCTACGAAGTCTGGTGCGTAGACAAATTAGCGGGTATGTCTGTCTGGGCCATGAATCGCGGGCCACTATGACGAAAGAAAGACCGTTAGTCCCGAGCGATTCGACAGCTCCAGTCCTAGTTGGCAAGAGTTGGAGGTATGATTGGGCAATGGGGACGAGTTGGAACAAAGGATCTGAGACCTCGACGTTGGTTCCCGTATCTGATGTCATGGCCGGCATTGCGGTAACGGCCTTAGACGGTTATGCAGCCGTGGCGTAAGGGATCTGAGTCACATCTTCGAATATGAGCGATCGACCCACCCAGCATCTCCCCGACGTGTATAAGAGTGCCAGCTTCTCTCGCGAGGCGGACCAGAAGAAGGTTGCCATGGATTATATACGCTAAGCGTACCACACAACCATATATTGGCGCAATATACATATCCGGTGATGGCTTCGTACACCACGTCCCAGGATGCCATGCCTCACCCCCCGGGGTCGTACCCAGCAGACACGTCAACGACCGCAGAAGATCCGGGCCTAATTCTTTCAGGATCCCGCCGTCCGCAAGATTCCAACGTACAGGCCGGCACAGAGAAGGTCACTCGCGGACACATGTACAAGGACTCTGGAATTGGTCTAGAAGACGAAAGCAAGTATTCGAACCCGACGTTTAGAGCCCATGAGCCTGTTCCCGCGGAGGGGGCATATAACGTGCACAATAACAATGCGGTCTTAAAAAACCGAGACACTGTAGCTGCCACAGTACCTGCTACTGCCGGCTCCAGGAGTGACCATCAAGACCAAGCTACTAAGCCCGGTATGTTATCTAGCACATATGGCGGCAAGGATGACAAAAATGGTGGTCATGCTATACCCAAGCCCGCTACGTACAACGGGCCCAGTATGCTCCATGATACGGCCAAAGGGCTTAGCTCTACTGGCCCCGCGACCGACACGGCTTCGGCAAGCGCAAATACTCCCTCTGGTAGCGAATCTAGAAGTGGTAGCGATGGCAACATTATTCGAAGCGGCCTAGGGCAAAAAAGCACTTTCGAAAACGAAGAGCCGTACTGGGGGGATATTGCTCACGGCACCGGGATATACAACACCGTCACCGGGCACGGCAGCTCAGAAACGCCCGTTGGGGGATCCGTCCACACTCGTGATCTCCCCTCGGTTGCGGGGCAACGGCAACCAAATCCGCCCACATCTTCGGATGCTACCACGAGAGACGAGGCCGCTCATCCGCCCGGATCACGGTTCAAGGAAGGCATAGCTGCTTCTAGCGCTGTCGCGGGTGCGGGTACTGCTGGATCCATGATTGCCAGAGGCCGAGACAAGCCTGGGGAAGACAGCGTAAAAGAGCCTGCCCCTCGGAAATATAACGAAGCAGAAGTCAAAAAAGAGGGCAGGCTTGCGAGCTTATTCCACCGCGATCATCATAATGAGAAAGGAACCGGGCTTGGGAAAATTCACAGGGGAGAAGAAGGGAAGAGTCAACAAGGGCGAAAGCCAAGTCAGGAAGGGAGCCATCTAGCTAGTAGGGATGCTGGCTCTGCTGCTGCCGCTGCGACAGTGGCAGTGCCGAATTCGAGCCACGATGTCGCTGAAAAACACGACAAGAAGGACAGGGAATTTAAGCTCGATAATAACCACGGGGCAAACAAGCTGGCAAAGGACAAGAAGACGCGAGCCCAACCTCAGGGGTTCAAAGATCCCTTTCTCGCCACAGGGTACGCCGGGCCCAACAGCCAGAACCCCACGATGACTACGGAAAACGCCCCTCTACCCACTGGGAACACGCACTCTCTACCGACCAGTGGGATTCACACCAATCATCCGGGGGTCGGCGACTCGACCTCAAACTTCGGCGCCGGCGGCCATCCTCTTCGAGACACCTACAACAAGCCGGTGTCCGAAGGCACCACCGGTCACGACAACAAGGCAAAAACCAGCCACATCGGCGCCAAGACGGCCGCCACCGGCGCCGGCCTTGTCGGTACTAGTCTTGCGGCAACCCACTCCCTCGGCGGACGGAAAGACGGGGATCGGGATCGGATAGCAAGGCCCTCTAACACAAGCGAATTGGCAGGTAACCCTATTGCCGGGCCCGTTCATCAACCCCAGCTCGCAACGGCGAACCCCGACTTCGACAGCCACACCCATGGTAGCTCGCAAAGGATGCCAGAACCAGGCACATCATCGGGTATGGATATCGGAGCCGGCCACCATCTGCAAACGTCTCGAAGCGGCTATGAGCCTGCCGCCGCCACGTCGTCTATATCCCCAACGGATACTTCCTTCAACAACAGCGCGAGGGGCAGCAGCCAGCGCAACGGCCTCAGCGCCGCCACTACGGCCGCGGGTGCGGCTGGCGTGGGCGCCGGAGCCATCGCGCATCGCACGGGGCGCGGCAACAATGACCTCGGCGCGGGCAACGGTAGCAGCAGCAACACCAAGGGCCTCAGCGCCGCGGGGACCAGCGAGCCGCCACCCAATGCCGCGGCGAAGGCGACTAGCGCCGGCATGGGCCGGCACTCGCTGTCGCCGTCGTCGGGCGCGAGCGCGCACAGCGGTAAGTACAACGTGCTCGCGTCGGGGACGCCGTCGGGGATCAACCTCGAGGAGCGCGCGCGCGACCACATTGCGAGCGCCGGCCAGCCGCAGCACTGCGGCACGGGTGCCGCCGGCAGCCGGATGCGCGTCCCGCCCACCGCAGAGCCTGTGAGCACGGGACAGAAAGGAGGAGGGGCAGCTGTCAGCGCGGCGACGGCGGCGGCGGGCGCGGGGATCGGTGCCGGCGTCGGCGCGTTAAGGAGCCAGACGGGCAGGATCATGCACAGGTGCGCGAGGTGCGGCGCCGAGGAGGATATCAGCGGGTACTTGCACCAGGGGAAGTGAAGGAGAGGCTAGAGGGCTGGTGGTGGTGGTGGATGGGTTTCGCGGTGTCGCGAGATATTCTGGACTCGGGCTAGAGGCTCTATGATATCTCATATGTGATGAACGGAAGCCCGTTCCCGGTGGGCGGCGTTTATGGGCAAGTTGTGTAAGGGTTCGTAATAGGCACGCTGCCTGTAACGTCTCTCTTTAACTGTGATGGTTGCCAATGCACTCGCTCAAGTCGAGGGAGAAATATGAATATCGTTAAATTTTCACAGTTGTTTTAATCTACGGATATTCCGTACTTGCTCGCAATCAACTGAGTAGTCTTCTGTAAAGGGATCATCGTGAGTAACTCGCCGTCATACTTACGAGTCAAACTCGGTGTATTAATGATGATAGCGGGTAGCCTATCCTCCACGAGTCTAGATTTCTTGCGGTAACATGAATACTGATAGAGCCGGGATAATGGGTCTATTGTTTTGAGAGGTTGTTTGTCGATATGTAGAATTAGCGAGGAAACCAACAAACTGGCATTGCCTATATTATGCCCTGAAGGAGATACGCACCATTCATAGCTGCAAACCACAGCAACTCGACGGGCTCGACAGATGGGAATTCTTTCGAATTGGGCTACCCGGATGAAATCTCTGCAGTCCGGCGGCAACAATGTACCGCAACTTAAGCAAACAGCATGGGTTTCTCGCCTCCATATAACCGGCTTCCTTGTGTATTCCCTCCTATCCCCCTTCCTCTACCACTCCCCCCAACCTCACACCCCGCCAAACCGCCCCCCCCTCGTGCATCTCGCAGCCATGTCTACGGACAACGACTCCGATGGCGGATTCCTTCCGGACCTGTCCGCGAACAGCACGTACAGCCAGTTCGTCGGGATGCTGCAGGCGGACCGCCACCTGCAGCCTCCTCCTAGGGGCGGCTACGACATCGTCCAGCACAGCCCCGGCGGAATCCCGCCGGTGATTCGAGACTCCCTGTGCGAGGGCCTGTACGTCGACTTCCTGCCCGCGCCTCGAGCGGGAGGAGCTCACGACGACGATGACAACGACGACGACGATAACGAGGACAACGACAACGACGACGACGACGACGACGACCGCACCGGCAACAGAGTCATCATCCGGCTCGACTTCGCGGACCCGGTGCGCCACCCCGCCGGCGGCGATCTCTACTCTAGCGCCGCGGTCGCCGCGCGCGTGTTCGACGGCTGGCCATGGGATCTCTACCTCAGGCCCAGCCAGCAGCCGCTCTTAGTGCCGGCGCGGCTAGTCGTGCGGCCTGTGGCGCGCGCGGCTGCGGCCGTGGCGTCCTTCCGGCTGCCGGTGGCGCCGGGCACCACCCTCGGCGCCCTGGTGCGCGTGCTCGCGGATTCGAGCATGGGTTGGTTTAGCTTCGTGCGAGACGCGGAGGGCGCGCGCCGCGGGAATCGCGATTTCATGTGAGTCTGGCCGGCCCCTGAGCGCGTCCGACTCCGACCGGAGACACGCGCGCAGAGAGAGAGAGGGGGGGGAGAAAGGGGGGACACACCGCTAACGGCAGGGGAATTGCTCCCCCCGCAGCGCGCAGGCCGTCCACGAGCTGACGTCGCACCGCCACCGGCTCGCGAGCGCGGCGCTCTGCGCGCCGCTCCCGCCGTCGGATCCGCCGCTGCGCTTCGAGAACATCTTCGAGGCGCTGCCGTGGCGCTACCGCGCGACGGCCGACGGCGCGCGCGTGCAGGCGACGCCGCGGCCGATACGGCGCGGCCGGCTCCGCGGCCCGTATGTGCGCGCGCGCGAGGACGACGCGCGGCTCGGCTACGCGGAAAGCGAGCCGCCGCCGGACTTGTTCCATGCGTGGTCCGAGCCGTGGGAATACACGAACATGGACAATTGAGGACGCAGCCACGCGCTGAGTGCGTCTTTCTTCCGCTACGTGCTGCCCGGCCTAGGGCGCTTGGGCGCTGTCATCGCCTCCGCACTACGTACTTGTGTTCGCCTGCGGCCATCATCGGACGCCGTGCATGTGCACAGCCAAGCGTCCCAGAAAGGGAAAGGGAGCCGGAAATAAGAGGGCGAGGAGAAGAGGCGTCGGTCGGTACCAACTAGGGAATGTGGCCGGAAAAGGGGGTCACTTAGGTATCCCGGATTGCAACCCTCATCTGCAGATCTTGCGAGGCTTCTCCCGAATGCGGCTGAACGTCTCCTGTTTCGACTTCGTGTAGGACTAATAATACCTGCGTAACTGATGAGCACCAACGGGATATAGGCAGGCGCCTATACATACCTACGCCTAGGTATATGTAGGTATGGCGTTGTCTTTCCGAGGCCCATCCCTAAATATAGCCGTAAGGAGGTAAATCGCGTCGAGTCATTCGGTGATTTGGCACTTCGCCATTGTTGGCCGGCTGTGGTTCTGGGTACAACGGGGTCGCAAGGGGCGGCGTTTCAGAAAGCAGAATGAATAATAATCCATGTACCTAGAATGAATATGAGTAAACACGTAATCAAAACACCTCGAGAGCGAAAGCTCCTTCGCGATACCTAGAACCCTGTCAGTTCGCCTAATGTGGCTGCTCGATTAGGTATTAGAGCCGGCCATCCCGCATCTTGTTTGCGCTGTGCCCAGGATCGCCGTACCTCGACTCATGGTCTCGCGCTCTTGAGCTAACTAGCCTGGTAAGGCTATCCTGTTGTGGAGTTTGCCCGGCTGAGAACAGCGAAGGATCCACGGTTGCATCGTGCCCCGTAGGGTTGGGATGGAGGATGGGGATCGGCAACCTAGTGCTCGCAGACTCTTCCACCTCCTGCTAACGATCTCCGGAGAGGTGTATGCATAATATGCTGCGAAGGGGGGAGAGGGGGGGTTTTTTCGCTTTTCCTCCGCCCTCCCCTGGCCGCGCACGGTGACGTGGTGGGCGCAGCGCCAAGCGCCAGTGCTGCGGCAGTGAGAGGCAAGCAGGTCATTGATACTCATATATAGACCGCTCTGGTTTGGTGGCGTCTTACGATCGGCCTGCGATCCGCCAACGTCTCGGATGCCTATGAGTACACCTATTATATAGTACATACTACGCACGTAGCAGGCCGTCGTTCCCGTCTAAGCTGCGCCGAGCAAAGCCGGCGGCCGGTTTCGAAGGACGCGAGGGGCTTTGCTGACTCGGCACGAGCAGAGACGCCGACACACGGAGAGCGACCGAAAAGGAAGCAGGGCGACCCAAAGCGGAGGACATGAGACATGGCTTGTGCCGCTGGCTATGGACTTCCCGGCACTTGCGTGGCTTGACTACATACATGGGGTTGGGGAGGAGGAGGAATATCCCGGCGCGATGCACACACCCGAAGAACATCGTAACGTTCTAGATAAGAGGTCGCGTTTACAAGGTACCTGAGCATACCTTAGAGGTACCTACCTACCTCTTACACAAACCGTGTGTTATATACACCTCCCAGGCATGTACAATGTCTGTATTCGTTTACCATGTAATAATACGTGACGTGTAGCGTGTATGACAGTGAAGGATCATCGCCTTCCACACCGTGTATGAATGTAATAATGGGTGGATATGCTGTGGGACGGGAATCCGGGGCCGATTCCACTCGATACTGTACAGCCCAGGTTGAGCCATCCATTTATTAACGTCGAGCGGCTCCCTCGAATTATTCATGCCGACTGACCTTTCTTTGTGTCGATAATAATTCTACTTTTCCTTTCCTTTCTCCTCCTTTCTCGACCTGACCCATCTGGCTTACCCCCCTCGGGATTCCGCGTACCAACCGCTCGTTACCCCAGCCAGCAGGGACCAACCGTTCCCGGTCTGTTCAGAGCCGAGTTCTTATCGTCGCGACCCAGAAGATACCCGCTTCTAGCTTCCCAAGCCAGAGACAGGCGGCAAGAGAAAGAACAGAGGAAGCCCCTTTGTTGGCCGTCTTCAGCACTCGCCGCGCCGAAAGAGAGAGAGAGCTGACCAACACACACCGTCCTCAACCATGGAGACCCAAGAGAAGTTCCTCCACGAGCAGCCTCAACACGTCCCGCCCCAGCCGGCATACTACCAGACGATGGACGGACAACCGCCGGTGGGAACGCCAGTGGGAACGTACGTGCAGCCGCACCCGCAAACGCAGCCAGAGCAGATGGCGCGAGAGCAGCACCCTCACCTGGGGCCGACCGCGTTCGGGCAGCAGGGCGGCCCGTGGCAGGCGGGGCTGTGCGAATGCACGCCGTTCACGAGCTGCCTGCTGGCCTGGTGTCTGCCGTGCATCCGTAAGTCGATCATCGGAGCGGGGGCGCCTCTTCTCTCTCGACGCGACGCTAACACGGCACGCGTTCTCGCGCAGTGCTCGGGCAGACGAGCGAGCGGATCCGGGACCCGTCGATGCAGACGGCCGACCTGATGAACAGCGACTGCATGCTGCACGGCGGCATCACCTGCCTGACGGGCTGCGGCTGGATGTGAGTCTCTCTCCCTCTCTCTCTCTCTCTCTCTCTCTTCTCCCCGGCCGGGCGCCGCTGACCCCCCTCGGCGCCACCCAGATACGCCATGCTCAAGCGGTCCGAGATCCGCGAGCGCTACCACATCGAGGGCGGCGGCATGGGCGACTGCTGCACCTCCTACTGGTGCCCCTGCTGCGCCCTCATCCAGCAGGACAACGAGGTCAAGCTGCGCCAGCGCGCCGCTACCGCCGCCCTCGGCCAGCAGCCCTACCAGTCCCAGCCGCACATGCAGATGCCGCCGCCCGCCCACCAGCCCTAGCTCGCGCCGTCGAACTAACAGGCCCCTCTCCCCTCCCGATGCGAGCTATTGATGAGGTTGGGGAGGAAGGGGGGTGGATGCGCGCGCGTGTCTCGAAGGATCGCGACGGAGGCGAAAACGCGGAGGAGCGGCGGGGGCGACTGGCGAAACGGTGTTGGTGGTATTTATGGAACTCGAAACCGGCGAAGGATCGATTCCCTTTCTCTACGCGACATGGTACGACGGGGACGAGGTCAACGGGTGGGACGGGGTTCCGGCGGCCTTTTTTCTCTTCAAATACCCCAAATAAATATTGTCAAAGACTACTTTCTGTAGGTATGTATAGGTATAGACTCCATGTCCTATTAATTACGGACAACCGGGACAGACAGACGAACGAACGAACGAACGAACGAACGACTGCAGTCGGACGAGGGCTATTTTAGTTCTGTTTAAAAATAGAGGACAATTTTTTTCTAGTTTTCTTTTCTCCCTCCTTTACTTCTATTCTTTTCCTACTTCCCATCTCTTTCTCCCGCTCTCTCACATATTGAGTCCCTTTAACCGTAAATAGCCAACACTGGCCTTCCCCCTCAGATCTCCTCGTCCGCCTTATCCTCCAGGGTTACATAATCCTACATGCGGTTCATTACACGGGGAATAACCTCTTTGGACCGACAGCGCGTGATCCGCAGCGGCATCCCTAAGCTCATACTGATCCATATACGTTGAGGTTCGTGACGCCAATTCACCTCCCATCCATACCTCGGCCTGCCGATTAATGGGGTCCAATGAACAAAGAGTGCCTCAGTGCTGTGAACAAGTATCGGAAGAGCCCAGTCTCGAAATATCCGTTTACTTCGTCCCTGGCAGAGTCGCAGCGTCCCCGACCGAGAAGTCGTTCGACTACGTCTAGGTATTTGTAGACTAGTATCGCGGGGATGCTGTATGTCCAATGGAATACTATCCTCTATGCTGGCAGGGCGCGGCACCGTATCCTAGAATCGAGAGGCGACGAATAGCCCTCGCTCGTTGCTAAGCTACGTCTGCGCGTTTGGCAGTTTGGGTAGCGTGGTCCATCTCCAAGCCTTGAATTTTGGTTCGTCCGCGATCTTGTAAGCACGGATAGTATCACTCAGCAACGGCGCCTCGCTATGCACGATGAACTGCGTGTTGCCTTTGAGGAATTCAACCCACCCCTCGCTCTCTCGGTTCTCGAGCACCCGTTCGCCGATGGGGTCGATGGTGGCGGTACCTACGCTCCCACGCCAGCGTGAGTAGTATCTCGTGTGCCCTGCGGGGACGTCCGGCATGACCGGGCGCATGCGCTTGTTGCCAGGATTTGGTCCGGAACCGGCATTCTGACCCCTCTTCCGCTTCGAACCGGCCCGGGTTCCGCCTCCTGTCGCATCCCCGCCACTACTAGCCGGAGGCTCCGACTGGCTAGGGGGATCACATTGATCTATGTACTTTTGGATCTCTTCGTCGTCCCTTGCGAGAATCATGACCCCCTTCATGGCTGGCATGAAATCAAAGGTTGCCTCGTACACGTCAGGCGAATCCGTCTTCCTGATTTCGACCCATTGGTGGCCATCTTGGTACGACTCGCTCGGGGCACCCTGGATGGACATCTCGACTATGTAAGAGCCCGCAAGGCTCTGGTTCTGATTCAGCACGGCGACGTAGTTGCGATGCGGTCGCAGCCGCCAGTTCGATACCTTGTCACGGTTCTTGTCGGCCGAGAGAAGGGAGGTCTGCTGCTTCAGAAGGCGGCGCTCGGCAGCATTCCTCTTGGCCTGCACTGCGTACTCCCTACATATTTCTTTCACCTCCTGCTTGTTCCACCCGATCCAGAGCATCCTCTGGAAGTCGGTGCCGACCTTCTGGGCGTACAGCCCGGGGACGCGCGACACAGCCTCCATGACGAGGTCAAAATTAACGCCGCGAAAGGGCATGGGATGCGGGATCGTTGCACGGTCGCTATAATAGGTCTCCATGAACATGTCGACGTCGAAATTAAGCTTCTCCTCCAAGGTGGCTAGGTTATCGAAGTCCGCCTGTCGACGGCCAGAGAAGCAGGACTCCTTGTAGGCGGCGCACTGTGCCTCCCACTCCGCCTTAATCCGTTCAAACTGGCCAGCTGGAAAGGCTTTGTACTGCCTTTGTAAGTCATCGAACTAGCACGTCATGGTTAACGACGCCCCTGCGCGAGAGATCTCCGTGTCGGTATTGGCATATACGTACATCCGGCTTCACGGCTTCCCGACGGAGGAGCTCCCGCAGCTCGTCTCCCCGGTACTTCTCGACGGGGCCGAGAACTAGGCCGTAGTGGCGGGTCTGGGCCTCGAGCCACAGCTTCGTGACCACGCGGAGGTTCTCCTGGCGCCACTCATGAATCTGCTCCGCCGTCGCGCGGGCGGGCTCGAAGATGAGCCGCTTTAACTCCGACGGCTCGGTGCGAGGTATGCCCCTAACGGTGAGCCTGCCATTATACCAGAAGCCTTGGCCATACACCGGCTGCGGTTTCGGGGCCAAGGGCTCGTATTCCATCGTATACGGCCAAGGCGAGGGCTAGGGGTGGGAGAATATAGCGGGAGGAAGCTCTGGTATTTGGAATCGGAGTGAGAGTGTGTGAGGCCGGATGTTGATTGGGACCAGACACGAAATTGTGGGTTCCTCGCTCTGCGCGCAGGGCCTGGGCACTTGGGCCGGAAAGCTTTCGATGCCTATAGGCACCTAAACCCTACCCTGAGGTACGGTGGTGTTAGGGGAGAGGTAGGTACCTAACCTGACCCGGGGCACCTGAGAAAACCACCTGAGGTACCCACCTAGGTACGTGCCAGCCACATATCAGGCTTGGCCGATTTAGTAGAGGACGGACGGTGTGGCTGGGTATCCTTTTATCCGCACCGTAGGTACATAACGCCCAGCTACAAGTAGGGACCTCAGGTACCAGACCCCTCTAAGAAGCCTCAGGCAGAGGCACTTATATATAGGTACCTCTAGGTAGATGTACAGGTATAGATCAGGTACTTAACGGAAGAGGTATACAGCGGGAATGTCTTCATGAGGCGAGAGATCTCTCAAGCTTTCGTCTCATCTAAGTACCAGCTACTTGCATGATTGACGTATGCAACAATACGTGGTAACAGAATTGTCCAAAATTTGTCGGCACCTTTCTAATTAGTAGGCCATGGAGAGGATCATATAAAAAAATAAAGAATATAGAAAATAAAAACAGCAGCTAATATGCCATCTATGCCGGAGAACGCCTATCATCACATCAAGCCACCCTTCATGAACTCCTGTCCTCATGCTTGAAAGATGGTTGCGAGTACACGTGAAAACTCGTTAGCGCGTCCAAAGTCGTCAAGAAGATACGAAAAACGTAGACGGCGCGAAGCCTTCAGACCGTATCATTCATCCAGTCCCGCCTCCAGAGCCAGAAAAACCCGAGCGGCCCCGTACGCTGAATTCCGACAGGAAAGTAAGCACCGCAGATGCCGAGGGGTGTCACCAGGCCCTCCCAGTCGAAGCCGTGTGTGGGGTACCGCTTCTTGAGCCGAATAGTGCACGCCTGCCCCGACGCGTTGACCTCGCCGCGCAACGTAAACGGCGCGATCCCATCTTCCGCGTCGAGGGCCTCAACCGAATACTTATCGCCGTCGATCTCCGTCTTGCGGAAACGTATCTTCTGCATTGGGGGGTCCATCCGCCCTCCCAGGTACAAGCCGTACGTGTAGGCGCCGCACCACCTGAATAGCAAATGTTAGTATGTGCTGCCTCTGAACGGGGAGGGAGGGGCGGCTATCGGAAGCTCGAGAATGGTAGGGCAGCAGCTAGAATACGCAGGTAGGTATTGGGCAGGTAGATAGGGGGGCAGCCGAAGTTACATACTCTCCCTCGTCCAGCCGTCCTACGAGATCGCGGACCCGTGTCGTATACCACGACCACCATTCATCGCCAGCGAAAGGGTAGAAATAGCGGCCCCTTTCTCCGCCGAAAGCAATGCGGTTAGGCGTGAGGATGGGAAACCGGGGGCGGAGAGATCCGGCTCCTGCGAAGGCCTCATGTTCGTCATCGTCTCTCTGGTCGCCCGCAAAGTACCACGAGCCGATGTATTCTACCTTGCGCGGGTCCGGGAGTTGGGGCCGCACTATCGAGTTGCTGGTGGTCAACGCAAAAGTCAGCAGGCAGGGGGAGGAGGCGAGCGCTCCCACCTTGCGACACATGGTATATATTCCGAGAGACGAGCAGGATGAGCAGAAGTGCATGCGTCTGTTTGCCTATCCACGACCCCCGGAACTTCTCAAAGTCGGGTCCCAGCGCCGTACCTTCGTAGTGGCGCTTGACGAGCATAAGGAGAAGCCCCGAGCTGACCGGAGGCAGGCTGGTGCGTCCCGGACCATCCTCGCCGGATATATGCCGGAGGCTGCACAAAGCTAAGCAGAACGCGAACTGCATGGGGAACTCGTCTCGAAATGCGCGATTGATCCTTAGCGGCTCGTACTGTGCCGATGGCGAGAAGAAAAGAGGGCAGAAGCCATCGAGAATGGTAGCAATTTCCGAGTTACACGCTGTCGGGTCTGTGTGCAGGTACAGAAATATCAGCAAGTGCGGCTAATTAGAAGTTCGAAAGGCGGTCTGAGGAGGAGGGGGAAAAGCAAGACCTACAACCCCAGATCGGAAGAGTAGCAAGGAAGCCGACGATTCCTTGAAGAGATTCTTTCGTGACCTGGTCCAGCTGCTGGGGCTCGGGCTTCGTGCGAGCTATGACACTCGATTGCTGATGTTCCAATTCCTGTAGGACGATGGGAAGTCGGCAAATGGCCACAGCCAAACAGAGCCAGGTCATCTTCGGGCCCTCGAAACGCTGGCAGGGCGTGCGTGGGCCGTCGACATATTTCTTCATGAACCGCACCAAGGCCCTCCCATCTTCGAACGCAGTCGAGCTAAGTTCGGGAAGCTTTTGATATTTTTCATGTTTCGATCAGCCAATCGCCGGCATGGGCAGAGAACAGCAGGCTCGCGCAGCGTCACACACTCACGTGGTGTTCGAAGGACATGAGGAAGACAGCAGCGCTGTCGCACGCGTCCCTGAGACGTCGACATGTCCTACCGAGGGCTAGGATGTCGAGGGCGGAACACTTGCCGGCGATGAGCTGGAGCACCTCGTACGGGAGATCGACAAGCGCTACCATGGTGAATACGACAGGTCTATTCGGAGAATTATGGCTAGGTAGGCATATATGAGTGTAGAAAGGGTCGGTTTACTTGGTGTTAGTGGCCGAAATTAAACCGACAGACGAGAGAGGGCTACGAGGGTCTATCACAGGAGAAGAAGGAAACACAGCCGAGATGCTTGAGGCAGCGATGGGCAGACTGAAATCTCGTGTAAAGCCGTAGGACCATGGCAGGGTTACAGTAGCTAGGCACCAACAGGGCCTCTCCGCCCCGCCACTTTGGAACCCGACGCCATCGTCCGTCCACCAACTGCGCCAGGAGGCACGTATAGGCCCATAGTATTGTGCGATAGGCACCCGTTGTCCGAGTAGGATGCATCGCCGTGCTTGTGCCGAATGACCGGGGGGAAAGGGGGGGGTTGTAACTCGCTCGACGACGTGTTCCTACATGAGACAGAGGGTACGCAGTACGACCGATAAGCGTAGGCGATTTGATAGTGTCGAAGATTTTTCAAGACAACCAAGCTTAGTACACAGCTCGTCGATGTACTCCGGATCTGGATGGTTGATTCCCGTTTTCGGTATCGCCGTCAACCCACGAGAGAGACTTGTGCGCTAAATATAGAATTAAACACGAGGTCGGAGGCAGGTAGGGTTAGGGATGATTTTATGAGTATGTGATCGACGACAAGCAGAGGCGTTGCATGACATCGCACACGTGAGGAGCCTGGAGTTAATAGAGTCTTTTCACTCTTTTCAAGGGGACCTTTGCGAAGAGCACGGGGTGGCCCGTAGTAACACACACCTAATCGTTCTCCCATGCGGGCGCTGATGCGTGAGCAGAACAGGCGCCTCCTTAGGAGACGCGGAAGCCAAGACTAAGCTAAGAGGCCAGGTCAACGAAGAGGAAGAGAACGAATGAACAGAATAGCGAAACAAACTAGGGGCAGCCCTTACAAGGAGGAGGGAGAATGCAGTGGGAAAGGCGCCCTCGCGCGAAGCGATAATACTTAGGTATTGTAAGAGCTGTTAAACAACAGGCTGGGTACCTAAGGTAGCTAGAAAGGGGACCGGGGGGGGACGGGGGCAGTTCTAAATACCCTACGGGCGCCAATTACCTAGCCCTACGATTATTACCTACTGTTACCCAGGTATTACGACATTACATGTGGCGCCAAGGGACTTCCGCGCAAGTACCTAATGTATGAGGCCTGGTATACGTATGGGTTCAGTCACGTGAGGTTATATTGGCCCTGGGATGATAGGAGTATGATATAATCCACCGATAGTAGGGTATTTGTGGTTAATTGAATTCCGCCGCCGACGCCGATATGCAGGTAGGTACTTATCCTATTTCAGCTGAAAGTCTTCGTCGCAGTGCGGTTCACTACCGGCAGCCCAACGTCGTAGCTCATGGCCACCATAAGCACAATATCACGTCGCCTCCACGAAATCATATCAATACCGATTACCAAAAATGCCAGGCCCTCTTCCCCCTCACCGACTTACCCTACCGCCTGGTTAGCAAGGCCGCAATGCCGAGTCTCATGAGTCTACCCAACGAGATCCTCATAGAGATTCTCCAGATCGTCGCGGCCACCGATTTCCAAGCGCTCTTCGTCTCCCAACTCACAAACCGACGGCTCTGTGCCCTAACCCGGCATATCCTATCAAACGGCCAGAACCCGCCCTCGGCTCTGGATCTCGGGGACCGGGAGCGGATACACCCGTTTCTGAAGTCCAGGTTCGGCCCGTTACTCAACACGGCCGACTGTTTCACCGATGAAAAGAAGGCACACGCATTCCCGACCCTCAACGGCGACTACACCCTCCCTTTCTGCCGGCTACCGTGGGCACGTACCGAAAGTAGGCGTAGTGCATACCTGCGCCCGGAAGCGAGCTGGCGGAACATCAGCCTGACTTTCGGCCACTCGCCCATCACACATCTCGACGTCGTCAAGAGCTACTCGGCTCCCGAGGGCGATTTCATACAGTACTACCAAGCTGACCTGGAGCCTCCCGGCCTGACGATGGGCCACCTCTTCAACGCCTTGCTCTCCGACCCGATCACGCACGGATGCGAGACCGACAGCTGGCAGCTGATCGCGGGACGCCGACTGCACAACTTCGACGCCATCGCAGGCTACGCATGCTTCTTCCCGGACGGCCTAGACCTCGTAGATATGGGCACGGCAGCATCTCAGGCTGCCGTATTGTATATTCGAGGCGGCCCCGTGAGCGGCGGCTCGAAACCAGAGGCCCTTGTCAATGATTGGCTAGTCAAGGATTATGATAAGCCATGGTCTCTATCGTGGCAGGCGCCCGCTCACACCTTTGTCTTTTCGGGCTATCTCGAATAAGGCCATGCAGCCTCGTTCGCGGTCTGTCGCGGAGCAAGCTACGTAATCCTACGTCTTCAGATAGGAACCAGTGTCGGCGTCTACAATTTCCTCAGGGGCACGATGATTTACCCCAGCGATTTCTTCTTAGACGGGGGCAGGCCGGAATGTAGGCGTTAACGCGACAGCCGCATAATTTATAAATTGTGCAAATCACGACATTCTTCATTTCCACCTCCGACTGGAAACGATATGATCCGTCGACGACTTCCGAAAGGTGTTCCGGTTAATCATTACCGCGATAGAAAACATGCCGAGTAGTGGAAATGAAGCTCTCGCGGATCTATAGGCCAAGCACACAATTCTGGTAGGCATCCCTACCTCAGCGCACAAAACATCTAGGTGGCTTACCAACGTTTCCTCCAGGCGCGATGCTTCCGTGATGATTGCATTTGTCACCTTAGGGATGGATGTAGGCCCCGTCGGCGTGATTAATGCCTCGGGTTGCCATCCGCTTATTTAACCATTGGTAATAGAGAAGGCGATGGTGATCTCTATTCGCTATTGTCGACTTCCCCCCTGTCTCACGGAGAGCGGAGAGAGAGGAAGACCGAGGAAAACGGAGTGAACGAGATTTATAAGGGATGCAGGTCGGCGCAACCCTGGGCGGCACCTGTGCAGCACTTCGGGGTCCAATGCAACCTCGATTTGAAATTGACCACTGTTGTTCGGGCACCTCTTGGACGATGGCCGCAGAGGAGAGAAACGCGATGGTGCTTTCGTAGTGGGAAGATGCGTTTCGTACGGCTATAGATTGATACCTAGCAGGTTCTTTTATGGCTTTATTAGCCGTAACGGCGGTTTTCTACACGTTCTAATGCTAGTTAAGCCACTATACCTCAGTGTGCAGGTGCAGGTGTAGGTAGAAGACGGTGATCCGGCGATGGTTCAGCACTGCTCCATACTGCTGAGTTGGTTGGATCGAGGACAGCACCAGCACTACCGGCTTCTGTCTGTACCTAAGGTATGCGCTGGAGGTGCTGGTACGGATTCGAGCCGGCAGCCGTTTTGGGTTACGGAAAAGGCGAAGTGCATTCGGGGTCCCTCCTCGGCCTTCTGAGCTCCTGGATCTGCTGCTACCCTACCCACGACCAACTTGACACCACAGCGGTCCAAGACACCGACACGTTTCAGAGACCCGCGAGTCTGTATCCACCTCGTCCCATCCGAGCAGGTTTCGATCGTGGCACAGAAACCCGAATATGCATTGGCAGGGTAGCGAGAAGTCTTACTAATGCACGAGTCCTCAAGGACCCTCACCCGAGGCGACGTCGTGGGTGTTCCATGCCCTTCCACGCGACTATATATAGCGTGTTAGTCTCGCAGACCGATCGGACGGGTCGATGAGGGGTTGGTTGCTCTACCCACCAGAAGTAGTTATTAAATCACAACAGCCTCACCCCGTGATTACAACATCTCCCACATTTTCCTCTTCGTTCTGGAGAAACCTCGCCAAACAATCTTCTCTCCACCACGCACCAGACGAGCCCCCTTTGTCGACAATATGGCGCCTTTCGGCAAGATCTACACTTACCCGCAAAACTTTCGCGCCACCCGGGTAGGTCTCCCTTGTACCCATCAGTGTAGGCCCCGCTCGCTAGATCGCTCGGTGTCTAATCCGTTCCACAGGCGCTGGTCGTGGCGGCTATTAACGGCCTCGAGGTCACCGAGGCCGAGAATTTCACCATGGGCGTAACCAACAGATCTCCCGAGTTCCTCGCCAAGTTCCCCCATGGTAAGGTGCCGGCCTTCGAGGGCGCCGACGGCTTCACTCTGTCCGAGGGCGCTGCCATCGCCATATACCTCGCACGCTCCGGCCCTAAGGCGGCCCAGCTACTCGGGAGTGACCCCAAGACGTCTGCCCTCATCGACCAGTGGGTCTTCTTCGCCGAGACCGAGCTGGTCTCCAACGTCATGACGGCGTTCGCCACGACGATCTTCAAGATAATCCCATTCGAAGAGGCCAAATTCAACCAGGTGGCGGCCAACACAGAGCGTGCTGTGAAGAGGCTCGAGCTTCACCTCCAGGGTGGCAAAAAGTTCCTCGTTGGCGACAGTGTCACGCTCGCCGACGTCTTGGTGGCCGGGCCGCTCTTCGCCGGCACCACGTTCTTTATCGACGCCGAGATGCGCAAGGACGCCCCGAATGTCGTCGCTTACCTACAGGGATTGGCCGCGTTGCCTGAGTTCAAGCCACTCGGACCTCTGTCACTGTGCGAGACTCGCACCAAGCCGTAATGAACGAAAGTCTGGTCGGCCTGGACCGGCACAGAGAGAGGCATAAAACGGGCGGGCGAAGCACCAAATGGTGGCGTAGCCAGAGAACGATATTTGTGCCCTAGGGACTACGTCGCCGTTAGAATAGCTCACGGAAAATATATCCAGTTAAACAACGACCCCCAACGCAACTCTCCTATTCATTGACACCAAGCTCCGAAACCCGACCGCGTATAGAATGCATGGTAGGAACTGAAAGGTTATTCGACTTATAAATCCTCCCCTCCCGTACTACCATTAGCGACCGGGGTGACATGCCGGTAAATGGGATTTGTGTCCACATCGGCCTAGAGAATAAGGCAAAAAGCCACTCACCCATCTAGGCACTCACGGTAGACTTCTACGGAGGTAGGGCTAGTCTTTTCGCGAGATCGATCCTCAGTTACCGACGTCGGGAGAGTCAGAAAGGTCGACCTTCCGCTTCAACGCAGGCGAACCAACAGAGCGCACGCCAACAAAGGTGAATCTGTCGACGTCTTAGGCAAGGACTCAACGACGTCCATCGCGCGGGACCCAGGCGCCCTTCCAACGACAAGACGGCGCGGCGGACCTCCGGTTGCGGTAGAGGGGGAATCGCATGGCGGGCGCCAGGTCCCCGATCAGAAAATCGCTGCACGATAGAGATTAGCATCTAAAGGGGCGAGATACTAGAGGATTACCAAGTTGCCAGCAGAGGACTCCTAAAGTGGCCGATCACTTTGTCCGCATGTTCCTTATATCGTCATGTCCTCCGAGACCTTACGATTTAGACCCCCCGAATCCCCCCGCGCATATAAAACACTGGACCGATGAGAAGTTCTACCGCCAAGACAACTTGTCGAATTATCACCCCTCGTTAAGCTCCTTTCTCACCACATAATACCTCACGTAGAAGTTCCGGCCTTGGATGGATGTCGTGGACGGGGTTTACTTTCTGTTAAGTAACAATCATCCTCGGCTGCTGCTGCGAAGAGCATCGACCTCTCGAAGTTGAAGGCATGCCTACCTACCGTCGTAGTCATCACGGCTGCTCCGCACCGGCGGGAACGCCAATTTATAGGTAGGAGCGCGAAGACAACGCGGTAATCCTTGGCAGGCCACCTCTTGGGTTTCTAATCGTGGGGTAGGAAATTCGTGGCTCACCAACTCGACAACTAGCGACAAGTGCGTCGGCTTCATAGCTTATCTTGACGCCACCGTACGGCTTAGTTGCCGGGCTTAGCTGCTAAACTCCGCGATCGGCTCTCCGTCTCGTCTATATATGGCTGCACTCCCGGCAACTCTCTCTGGGGTGCATCCGTCCCCCTTCAAAAATGCTGCAGAGTGAAATCCCCCCTCCTAGATCAAAAGCCAGCGCAGAGACTGACGACATTGGCGACCTTGGTCATTCCGTAAGCCTAACGAACGCGCAGCGAGCTCTAGCCGTTATCGATCGTCATGGCTACCACCTTTATGCTTCTGCCGCCTTCGCGAAATGGGCTCGTATAGCCAAGAGCTCATCGTCAGCCTCAGAAGCCTTTACGTAACCCGACCTCCCTCAGACACCAATCATCTATCAAAAGCCGATGTAGAAGGCTGCATTAAGCACAGTCTGCTCCGACTATCCCGCCGCGTATATTTCATATCCCTATATGCTGCGGGTTTGCCTTGGATCGACGCAGTTGTTCCGTCCTCGCACCCTCCGGTCAGACCACTCCTCCGTAGTGGTCGTCGAGCGTGGGAGGGCTAATACCTTTCGGGGGCTTGGCAGTAATCGCTCACCATCGATGGGGACGGCGAAGATGAGATGATGTTGGTTGTTGAGATGATTGGATTTATAATCTTCTCGTCGGGATTTGATTTATAAGCAGTCGACGCAGCTCGTTTTGGGAGCTAAAAGTTGAAGCGCCTTTAGGCTTCTACTTTCACGCGGTCCACGATGGGAGAATCGGTAACTTGGCAGACCACTAGCTGGCGGGTTGCTGGTGGACCCGCGCAACCAGGCTCTGTATTCACTCCGCATTCCAATGCCGTTGACGATGCTACGCATAGGTCCGTGGCGTGAATGACTCGTCGGCCTGGCTGAGGGCCGCGTCTATTTAAGCCTCATTCTCTCGTCTTCCTGCCGATGAAGAAAGTCACAGCTATCCACGGCTGCCAAGACATCGTCACCCCAGCGTCTGCTTACACTTTTCTTCTATCAGGCATGCCTCGCCACATCACCGTTGTTCCCGCCTCGACGAAGGCCGGCAGGGAGACGATCCGCGTGCTTTTAGCATCCGAAAGCAAGCCTCTGGTCCGTGGCATATATCGAGATACCTCCAAAGTGCCGGCTGAGTTCGCCAGCCACTCGAATTTTGAGGCAGTCCAGGGCGACGTGGGAACCGGCGCTGGGCTCGACTTCAGTCGCTCGGACGCCGTCTTTTACATCCCGCCGCCGATATATGACGGCACCGATCAGGGAGAGTGGGCGACCCAGACAGCCACTAACGTGAAGAGTGCCCTCGAGAGCGCTCCGAATGTGCAGAGACTTCTTCTCTTCTCTTCCGTAGGGTCCCAGTATAATCACGGCGTTGTATGACCCCGACACGTCCTCCTCGCGACCAGCGTATATCGCGACTAATAGAGGGAAATCCAGGGGATCTTGCGCCTGAATCATATCTCTGATAAGATTCTCGAGAATTCCGTGCCCGAGGTCCTTATAATCCGGCCTGGCTACTTCCACGAGGACTGGGCTCATCTGCTTGAGATAGCGAAGGCAGACCCGCCTGTCCTTGAGTCCTGGCTGACGCCTCTCGAGCACAAGGTTCCTATGGTACGTATTAGTCGGCGGGCCTTAAAATCGAAGCGGCCCGACGTTGCGATTCTTGAGGTCTATACTGACCTTAGGTTTTCTCTAGGTTGGCCTCCAGGACATCGGCGAAACCTGCGCGGAAACTTTGCTCGCTGAATCAACCAAGCCTAGCCCCTATTATTTCAAGCTGTTCGGTCCCCGGCACTATGGCTCCCTGGACCTCAGGAGCGCGGTCGAGGAAATCACCGGAAAGGAGGTTCAGTTGAAAATCGTCGAGAGGGGGGAACTCCCCAGCTTCTTCGCGAAGCTGCTGCCGCCGACGTATGTGCAGGAATTGGTCGACATGACGACGGCTGTATTGCCCGGCGGGACGATGGCGGGAGATTTCGAATACGATGAAGGGACCGTCAGAGGACGAGTGGAGTTGGTTGATAGCTTGCGCAAGCTGTACACTAAGGAGAAATAGGAAGCTCCTGTAGACGCAGCATGCCAACACGTCTAGAATCTGTGAACTAAATACATATAGCAGACATTAATAGCAAGGTAATTATACCGGGGGCAGCGTTCGCGCGCAAACGCACGCGCGATCATCGTCTGGACTGGAGCACGAGGACGACTTAAAAGCGCGGAGGAGATAGCCGAAAGAGTGATAATACGAACAATGCTGGCCCCTAGTAGCCACGGCACGACATACCTAGATCTAGTAACGCTGCATGGGTATAGCCTGGTCCGTTCCGATACGGCATTATCTTGTCCCAGCCATTTGAAGGAGCGCTAAAGCGTTGCATCATACGTAGCATCCCGATACGAATATGTCCACCGACGAGAGCTGTCGCTGATGTGCGCATCCCTACCGATGGAACTCGGCGCGTGAGTGAGGATAGCAAAAGAACAAAAGCCTGGCGACACCACGGCGCCCAGAGCCTTCATATCCAGCATATTATACCCGGGTAGGCAGGTATCCATTCTGATGAGAACATACCTAGGTAGATATTTGCGCGCGGGTCCGGTTGCCCGGTTCTCGTGGGAAACCTCCTACTTCCTTAATCCGCGCCTGGGGACATCGCGATGGGAAGAAAGCGGACTTTAACCCGAGCAACATGGCACGTCGCCTCGTCCCTCTTCTTCCCCCGCGTCGAATAGCCTACCAAGCAGCCCGCTGGTCGGAGCGACCAGACGTCCCAAGACCGCAGGGTGAGAAGCCCTCGCCTGCTATGTCGCCGCCCCGTGGACTCGCCGGCATTCGTCGCCGCCCCTGGCCCATCGCGTCACGGCGGTTCGAACGTTCGAACGACGCGCGACCGGGCTATCAACATGCGCGCGCGATCTCCACCCTGCGCGGGAATACCCTCGTATCTGTGTTCGCGGCTTGGCAATGGAACGGCAATTTCCAGACACCCTGCACGCCCGGTTCGTGGGTCGCGCGCGCGCGCGCCTGGTTACAGCTCCCCGCGCAGGCGACGGCGGACCTTTTGCCGTCATTAGCATAGGCTCCGCCGGGCCCATGGCACGGAGCACGCACCCGCACGCGGGTATAAATACGACAGAGTACGGGGACGACTTCCTCTTCTTCTGCTTCTGGGCAGGGTCTCTGTTCTAGCCCGTACCCGTACCCCCGTCCCCGAGCATCGCGCGAGCAAGGCCTATATAAGAGGATCGCGAGCCTGTCGCGTGTCTGGGTACGGTTCTGAGACGCTACTACTCGCTTTCTCGCCCCGCCTCTCCCTCCTGTCCCCTATCTCTCGCTCCAGCCTGCCCCCCCCCCCCCGAAGCCGCAGACGCGTACAGCGAGGAAAAAAAATGCAGCAGCGAAAGCGGTCGATGTTCGCCGTGGTCCTTGCAGGCGTCCTGGGGCTCGCGCTCCCGGCGCTCGCGGCACCGCTCTCGGATGACCTGTTCGCGGCGCTCCGCGACGGCGACGCCGTGCCGCAGCGCTACATCGTGAGCCTCAAGCCCGGCGTCGCCGCCGCCGACCACCTGGCCTGGGTGCGCGGCGTGCACCGGCGGAGCGTCGCGCGCCGCAGCACCGCCGGCCTCGAGAAGACCTTCAGCATCGGCGACTTCCACGCCTACGCCGGCGAGTTCGACGACGAGACCCTGCGCATCATCCAGGCGAACGAAAACGTAAGTTCGCGCCTGTCCTTCCTTTTTCTTGAGATGCGAGCCCGAGTGTAGTAGTAGTAGTGGCGGGAGAACGTCTCGGGGAGGAAGAGAAAGAAGCCGACCCCTTTAAAAAAAAGGGGGCGGCGCGGGGAGGCGGGTATCGGGGAAATGAATGCGCAAATGAGCAACTCGGACGCAAAGCGATCGCCGCTAACGCCCCCTTTTCGCCTTAGGTCCAAGCCGTGGAGCCGGACCGGATCGCGTACATAGCGGGCGCGGCGCCGCCAGCTCACCAGGCGGCCGGCTCGTCGTCGCGCCGAGCGGCGGCGGCGCGGGCGGCGACGGTAACGCAGACGGACGCGCCGTGGGGGCTCGCGATGCTGTCGTCGCGGGAGGCGCTCGCGAGCGGCGGGACCCGGGGCCACGCGTACACGTACGACGCCAGCGCGGGCGAGGGCACGTGGGCGTACGTGCTCGACTCGGGCGTGCTCACGACCAACGGCGAGCTCGGCGGCCGCGCCGTCAAGGGCTACAACGCCTGGGACGGCGTCGAGTCCTTCGACGACCACTTCGGCCACGGCACCCACGTCGCTGGCACCATCGCCGCCGAGTCCTACGGCGTCGCCAAGAAGGCCACCATCGTCGACGTCAAGATCGTTCGGAGCATCGTGAGGCTTTTCCTTCTTCTTCCTCTTTGCCCCCCCTCGCCCCCCGTCTGCCTGCCAACTATCTGTCGTGCCTTGCCTTCCCGACGCTGGGGCTGGAGCTGACCCGGGCGCATCCCAAATTCGCAGGGCTACTCCACCGTCTCCCACGTCATCGACGGCATCAACTGGGTCGTCGCCAACGCGACGGGCACGCCGGGGCGCGCCGCCAAGTCCGTCATCAACATGAGCTTGGGTACGTCGTCCCCCCCCCCCCCCCCCCCTTCCTCCCGTCTCCTCTCCCCCGTCCCGTCCCGTTACCTAAATCCGTTCGTTCCTTACCCCTCGCGCCAGCCTTCCCCAACACGGCCGCGCTCGACAGCGCCGTCGACGCGGCGAGCGCGCTCGGGATCCTGTCCGTCGTCAGCGCGGGCAACGACGGCGCCTCGGCCTGCACGCGGTCGCCCGCGTCCGCCGCGTCCGCCCTCACCGTCGGCGCCGTCGCCTGGGACCGCTCGCGCCCCAGCTGGAGCAACTTCGGCCCCTGCGTCGACGTCTTCGCCCCCGGCGTCAACGTCGCCTCCCTCTGGGCCACCGACGGCGTCGAGTCCGTCAACTCCGGGACCTCCATGGCCTCCCCCCACGTCGCCGGCCTCGCCCTCTACCTCAAGGCCCTCCGCCCCGACGACACCCCCATCCTCCTCCCCGCCACCCCCGCCGACACGATCGCCCGCATCCTCGACCTCGCCATCCCTGGCGTCGTCACCAACCCCGGCGACGGGAGCCCCAACCTGTTGGCTTATAACGGGATTGCGTGATATGTATGTGTACATATATAATATATAGTATGGGTGTACATAAATATTTGCCCAATGGGTCTTGTGGTGTCAAGGACTCGGCCGCGACACGTTTCACATATTGCAGAAACCTCTATTGTATAGGTAGCGCGCTTAGGCTTAAAGTATCTCCGTGGTATCATCCGCGTCTCTTCCAGCATTTGTCCAAGTCTCAGGTATGCCTAGACTGTTCTTGACATACTTGACGGAACCTACAGTACCCAGTTGAAGAGACGGGCCATCATTCAATTTGTTTAGGCACGAGTGCACAAAGATTTCGCGAGTGAAACTGCTATCATATATCACTCTAGATCAAACACGAGGATAGCCACAGGTTCCCGCATCGCCGATGATAGAACTTTTCGGTATCATCCTATTCCTAGTGTACGTACGCACCGTAGCCGTGGTGCCAGAGGTGGAACCCGTTAAGGAAAACAATCGTACATGCAAGTCGCCCTCTCCCGTACCTCGTAGCAAGAACTTTTCTGGCCTATACCATGCCATTCCCTGCCAATCAAAAAGAGAGTAAGATGGTACCCCCGAGGCTTCATTAAGAGTAGAGAAAGTTGAGTTGTAAACTGACTGTGGAACAGAGGCGGCGTCGTTGGTGCTGTCGAAGAATTATGGGAGCCGGGTGTATCATCCTACGCGCCTTCATCCATTCCCACGTACGTCTGCGATTGCGAAAATGCGTGATGGTTAATGGTAGTTGCCGCCCCAACCACCTTGCTGTTGTCGGCCACCATAGTAATTCCCGAAGCCTTGGTTACCCCCGTAACCGCCATACGGGGTATTGCCGTGACCTTGTCCGGCTGTACCGCCAACACCGTAGCCGCTACCTCCAGACTGGTTACCGTGAAGGCCGTGGGTCAAGTGGCTGGGATACGCGGCATACGCGCCCATGCCTTGGGCCGACTGAGAAGGCGGAAGACCAGATCCAGCAGGAGCTGTGTTAGTCGCCGATCCTGGCCGTGCTGCCGCGCCGAGAGAAGGGCTAGGGCCGGCGGCGGCTTTAGCGTCGCCGTACGGCTTTAGGTCGTCGTTCCCCGAGCCGGCGTTAGACGTAGGGGCGTTCGGGGCGTTGAAGGATTGACCGGCCTGAGATGGGTAACCGGAGCCGCGCCCAAACGTGTCATGCACGCCTCCGAATCCGCTAGCGCCGAGGCCGCTGGGAGCTCCGGACTGCGTTGAGCCTGCACGGCCGTAATTGTCGATGCTGGAGTTCAAGCCGCTGTCACGTCCCGCGAGGGTAGACTGGCCAAACCCGCTGGTTGCGGGAGACGACCCGTGGTCGTATGGGCCCTGGGGCGACATCCCGTATTGGTGAGGCTGTCCGTAAAGCCCACCCTTCGCATACGGGGCCCCGGCGTAGCCACCCTGTCCGTAACCGCCGCCGTACTGGCTCACGTACTGAGCGTAGTACGGGCTAGAGTAATACGGGTGCTGGTAGGGGTATTGGTTGGCGTGCGGTTGATGCAGATTGGACTGAGGTTGGTTGGTTTGGCCGGAGGTCTGCTGGCCTCCCTGGCCGATCGGATTCGGAGTATTGTGTCCGCTGTTGTGAGAATCGGCAGATGCGGCAGCCCCGTACCGGGTTGGCTGGGCGCCACTCTGCGGATACTGACTGAGGTTGTCAGTCTGATTAGCATTGTAGCCACTAAACCCGCGGTTCGGGGGGTTCGAGGGCTCATGGTGACTCTGGCCGCCATGCTGTCCGTACTGCTGGCCGTAGTAGCTCCCATACGAAGTTCGGCTCTGCGGGTCGGCAGTGTTATAGTACGATTGGTATTCGGGCGCCGAGCTGAAGGTGCCGCTGGCTTGAGGTCCCGGTGCTTGTGTGGTGGGAGCGGAGAAGCTGTCTAGACCGACCGTGGTAGTGGCAGTCTGCTGGCCGAAGGTATCGTACGGCTTTTGAGAGAAACCAGCTGGCTCCTGCGCGTTCGTCTGACCGTACCGCCCAAACTGTGGGTTGCTTGAGGGTGCTTGAGGGGCTAGATATATATTAGTGGGGAGACTAATTTGGGGGTATTGCAACATACGCTGAGCCGTGGTAGCCGCAGGACCGGTGGGTGGAGCTACAACTGTCGCTAAGGGATGGTTAGTTCGTTTCGTCTGACGAGAAGGGTCAAAGGGTATGGTACCAGCTGCAGCGGGTGCCGACGGTAACGTAGCGGCGGGTTTTGGTGCTGTCGAGAAGGTGTCGGGAACGGCGGCGGGTTGAGACACCGGGGGTAACGAAGCGCGGGGGACGGCCACGGGGGACTCAGGTGGTGGTTGAGTCCTGGTCTCAGGATCTTCACGGTCGCCGTCGATATCGTCCTCGACCCCGTTCAGGTTAAACGCGCCAAATTGTACAGCCGTACGGTCGACTTCTCGATTACCAGGCATACGGACCGGCTCCTCCTGTTCGAGAATACGTCTCTGGTGGCTTGGCACGCGGGTAACAGGACGTTCGGTCGCCTTGAGCGCGGTCGTCGCGAAACCACTAGTAGGAGTTGGTCGTGCTGATTGGCGTTGAGCCTGCGAGGCTGAGAGCGGGGTGGCGGTCGCGCTTGGCTGAGGCTGCCGAGGATCCCACGAATCTGCAGCTGTGCTGGCAGCAGTAACCGTGGCGGGTGGCTTCGATTCGTCGGGCAGTTGTTCCAGGTTTACTCGCGTCAGGTCGTCTTCGGGAGGGGGCAGCGTGACTTCGGGTTCAGCTACCTGGGGCGGTTCAACGGGGGCGGGTGGTTCGACGACTTCTTTGGGCGCTTCCTCGACTACGGGTTCCGGTTCGGGCTCTGGAGCAGGCTCAGCGGGCGGGAGGGGCTCGAGAACTTCGGCGGGTTTGGGAGCAGGGACATCCTTGGGTTTCGGTGCAGGCTTCGGCGCGGTGGATTGTCGTAGCATGCTGGCCCAAGTTTTCTGCGTGCCCTGGGGGATGACATGGGATTTAACAGGCGCAGCGTCAGTACTCGCAGCAGTTGTGGCAGTCGTGGTAGTTATGGCGGTCGCGGCGGTCGCAGCAGGGGTAGAGGTCGTCGTGGTCTCCGCGGTTGTATCAACGTGGGAATCCGCCGCCGTCGGCTGCTCATCACTCGAGATGGCATTTCCCCAGCCTGACGACTCCTCGGTGGGGACCGAGAGCGGTTGGTTATCCTTGGACCGGTGACCATTAGTAGAAGAGTGGATCGCTGCCCGTCCCCTGCCACCTCCGCGGCCTCTCTCGGTCCCACGAGCACGCGCGCCTCGCAGGCCATCGGAGCGACCGCCGCGGGCAGGCCTACCGCTGCCAATTGTATCAAGAGCTGGTGCGGACGGTTCCTTGGGCTTGGGGCGAGCGGTGGTCCTCTTCTGCTTTGGCACTTCACCCCATTGCGAGATGGTACCTACATAAAGTGTCATGTGAGCAAAACGAAACGAAGAGCAGGCACGAGGCGGCTACGAAGGCGATGCCGAGTTTGAGGGAGCGGGTGAAGCTCCAAGGTTATCATTGCCTACCTTCAGCAATCCGCGTGGCGGTAACCGCAACGTCACCATCGGTTTCCTGCAGGGCATAGAGGATGTCGGCGTTGGACCAAGCCGGGAAAAGTTCCTTGATAGTGTCCAGTTTAGCGCCGTACTGTTTTTTTAGCTGGCTTACATCGCCGTCGTCGTCGTCGTCGAGGGAGGGTGAGTCTGCGGCTGAGGGCTTGTCGCCGTTAGTTCGTCTGTTCGCAGCACCGCGGCCACCAAACCCGGCTCTACCCCCCCGGCCACCGCCTCTGCCGCGAGAGGACGGGGCCTGAGAACGAGCCTGAACCTCAGCCATTTCGGAGACGGGATGAGGCAGGGCGAGAAACGGATAGATATTCCCCTCCTTGGAAGGGCACGTCGATGCTAGCTGTCAAATCGGCGATGGAAACCGGAGTGGTAGGCGAGGTCGAGGTAGGATGGAAAGGTTGGTTGGGAGCGAGGAAGGGAGGGATGATGGTAAGCCGGGGGGGGCGCGTGCGGTACTCGATGCGATTTGACGCAGGGAAGGCTGGCAACGTCTCTGGCGTGTTGACAACGCGATGATGGGCGAATTGGCCAATTGTGCCTGGACAATGGCAACCGGAGGGGGCAGATGCTAGGGAGAAGCCTCTGGGTGCGACGGGAGGGTGGTCGGGAGGAAGGACGGGTATTTTTTTTTATGCTGATGCAGAGACGTGCGTGGGAAGAGTGTGGGATGAGGGTGTGTGGGAGAGGTCAGAGCGAGAGCGAGGGCGAGAGAGGGAGAGGTGGTGTGTGTGTGTGTGTGTGAGTGAATGTGTGCGTGTGAAGGCGATCCAGAGCTTGCTGCAGAAATGGATTGGCTTCGGCCCAGCGAAGGCTTTTCGGCACTGGGATTATCTGATAGTCCAGGGTTAGAATGGCACGCGCTGGAGCTGTGATACTTCCTAAGGAGGCATGATCAGTCCCAGTTGGCTCCGGCTGGCGGCCTAGAGGTACCCCGAAACGACCCAACCTTAGTACTCAACTATGTATCACACGTCTGGGCAGCCTCATGCGAATCGACATCGCGCCCCCAACCTCTTATTGGTCCAGCGGCCGGCCGGGCTGGCCAGCGACAGGGGTGAGTCAGCGGTACCTCTCTAGAAGGCAGGGAAGTGCGGCTAAGCCTGGTACACGCTCTCCCAGCCAGTTAGGAGCCTTCCGTCAGGTACCTGACGCATCATGTGGTCCGGGCGGTCCACTTACGACACAGACCTGACAAGGTACAGTCGACCACCTACCTTTAGGTACCTAACCTAAGTCTGTTGGCCTCTGGCAGGCGCCGACATATAGAGGTACCTGGTGCGCGTTGCGTTAGCCATCTCCTTGCCCGAGCAGACTGGATCCCTTGCCGCGTCGTGGCTGTAAGATATTCGCGGATCATTCATTACCACGTCTCGACTATCCATCACACTATGGATGGCACTATTTATTGGACGTTCCACCGTGTCTGGAATCTGATAGTCGTCTTGCCGCGTACCTGGGGTGGGTGGTATGACCCCTTTACGTACCTCGCCTTCTCGTTTGCGTTAGGTGCCTACCTCCTACCTTACATAACCCAACACATTTGAGGTATACTTTAGGTACCTACCTAGGCACCTAAAGCAATGTACCAGTCTGGGATTCTCCAGATTGTGCTCACGTGATACCTAGATCTAAGATCCCTCCCCCCAGGTTACGGACAAGCCGTCGTAGATCTGCCCTCTATCCCCGGACACTCGGCGACGCATCCGTCGCATACTCAGAGGATAGGCACCGGAAAAGGCTTGGAGATACAAGCTACTTTACGGATGTCAGATCCAGCCAGGTCTAGGTTAGGTCTAGGCAGCCAGAAGCTGGTAACATGCGCAGTTCCTACCTACATCAACCCGCATGTTCAACACTCCCAACTTCAAATGCATACGGCACGGACAGATGGGTGACCGCCCGCCCGAGGTTAGGTACCTCCTACCTACCTATATTGGTCTCGACTTGGATCCTACATACCTAGGTAGGTAGGTACCTCCTATGTGGCCTAGGTGCCTTCGGTGGAATAGGAGTGAATGGTAAGTGGCTACCTCCTCTTGGTAGAGATGTACCTCCCGCGAAAGAGTACCTAAGTACAGGTAGCCTCTTAAGATGCCTCGTCGTCACAAAATAATGGAGGTAGGTATGTGCATGTGGGGAATGTACCTCAATAAAACATACTGTAGGTACCTAGGTACTTCCCTACACCTGCTGACCTACTACAAACACGCCACCGTGGGAAAAGTCGGATACGGCCGTCAACCTGTGATCGCACCCGCCAGATTATTCCAATCCCGACTGGCCATACCCCTCCTAACCCTCTGGTATCGACGTCGGTACCGTTGCTGGAGATCCCGGCTTAAACCTGCCTCTCTGGAAGACCTTGATGGAAGAAAGACGGCCTGATCACTACTGGGACGACGCCTCGTTTTCGACTGTAGGCTCCGCCGAGATAACATGTAGAGTTTGAGTTGCCCCAACCGTCAGCGTCGCCGTCGCATCGCTCCATCTACAGGAGCCGCAGACGCAGGATGGTGGCCGGGACGAGTTCGCGACACTTGCTCAGGAAGAGCCTATTCACCGGGCTACACCAGCCTTTACCCTTGAGCCGCCGCGAAGGCCAGCAGCTGCTCGAAGCCATCACTGCCTCCTTTCGGAAGAATCTCGATAAGGAGCATCCCTGGCCCAGTAACGACGAGGAGCCCGTCCCCTCGCAAGACAACTGCTCCGCATCTGGCAGCCCACGGCGACAGACCCTCCCCTCGTCGCCGTCGTCGCTAGCAGAGAACGCCGCATCCACCACCGCCCAACACCCTGCAGATCGTCACTTACGCGCTATCTTGTGCAATCCTCTTTTCGCTCATCAGCGCGTCGATGACAAGCCGACAAAGAATTTTACCCTCACCCACGTCACCACTCCCGACCCCACTCCCGATCCCTTCGATGTTTTCGACCGTGCCGTTTCCCGAGGTCTCATGACCTCACGCCGAGCCGCGGGCTTCCTTACCGCGGTACGGTCCCGCATAGCCGCCTCCGACTCCGGTACCGCCCCCGACTCGAATATCCGCCAGAGAATGGCCGCGTCTGGGGCCGCGCTGCGCGTCGTCCAGTGGCTGCGCGCTTCCGGTCAGGAGCACAACTTGGATTTCATCTACGACTTTACCCTGATCCGCACCTTGGTCCCTTTCATGTACGCCGAGGGTCTCGAGGAGGTTGTCTGGGCGTGGGTCGCGCGCGGCGCTACGCGTGTTGACGTTTGGGACGACACGGTCGCTAGTGGACGCGCCCTATCTTTTCTGCTATATGCCTTGATGCTGCAGACAAGCGAGCCTCGCCTCGGGGGTCAGATCCCCAGGATCAGCCTCGACGCCTCGTACTCGGCCATGGCGCGGGCGACCAAGGTATTGCACTTCCCAGAGAACAAACAGGGGATGGTTAGCTTGCGCAGGCCGTGGGCTTTCCTCTCGTGGGCTTCGACCGTCGACGCCTGGGACCGGCCGAAGCCGTCCGCGCCGCTTTTTGACGCGTTCGTCGACATCGGCCGGCCCTTTGGCGTCCCGCTCGACATGGCCCATCTCCAACTCCACCACCCTCTCCATCCCAGCCACTCCGCCGCCGTCGAATATATGCACGCCAACGCTAATATGAGCTTCGACGATGAGATTGCGACAGCAAATTTGCCGAAGCAGGCCCGTCGTCGTCTCGTCTGCCTCGCGCTCGACACAGTTGACCGCCTTAAAGAGGCCGGGGACACCACCGAGGTATCCTGGGTCGAACGCTTTCTGACACGGATCTGCGAGGACTTGAATCTGAATATTTTCAATATACCCCCGCTCCCGGGATTGTTGTCAGAGCCACGGGTACGTAATATGGATTGATTAGGCTTTCTCCGCCATAATTGGCCCTTTAATCACGTGTGTTTCCATTGTCAAGGGAAGTTCAACTACGCTGGCGTTCAGCCGGTCGTCCGTGGGCATTTGAAAACGTTGGGATCGGAGGGGGTGTGTGTGTATATACCTGTGTATCAGCGGTCCCAACGAATAAATATACCGTAAATATGAATCCAGTATGTTCTGAAGGTTCCAACACCGTCTTGATATTACATTGTCATGATGGTAATCATGAGCAGCCGTTGCTATATACTCGGAACCGATGCGAGAGGGGAAATGAGCAAGTTATTGCTACCAACTGACCCAAACACCCATTTGGCCTTCGCAAATATCCCCAGAGCTCCTCTCCCAAGTTCAGGCCAACTTATCTCTCTATAACTAGGTAAAGAATAAAGTCTTGCCGACGTTAAGTAGGTTAGTTTCCGTAGCGGACGCTGTTACCCTATACGCAGTCCATGTACCCTATTTAACTAGAGTGCTTCGGCCACACGACGACGACGACCACGACGACGACCACGACCACGACGGAGACGTAGGGTAGTTAGCTTAAACGGGAGATGTTTCAAGAAAGACATACCAATAGGTGCAATCAATCTACTCTGATGACGACGTATACCAACACCCCTCGACACTGCAACGCGGCGGAGTGAGTAATACGTAACCCTGACACCCCCAAATCACTACACCACGTCGTAGCATTCATACGTCACGTCTCGAATCACTCTCCTTTAGAAGTCTGACTGGGAGACTTTTTTTTCACCGGCGTATAAAACAGACCTCTCCTAGCCCCGGACCCAGAGCCCTATCCGCCGTCCCTGGCAACGAAACGAAATCCACAACCAAGAACACGCCACTCAACATTCGACACAACACCTCTCCGAAGACATTCCGACAGAGACAAGATGTCTAGCCTCGTGATAGCCCTGCTGCTTCTGGCGGGGCTGGGGTTCGGCGCACGACCCAAAGTGGCAGCCGTGACGGTGACGTCGACGGTCGAGACGACGGTCTGGGTGGACGCGCCGAGCGCATCCGCGACCACGGCGCCGGGTTGCTGGGAGTCGTCCGAGTCGTCCTCGTCGGCGGCGGTGGTGAATGGCAGGGGGGCGACTACGAGCGGCGACGCTGTGTTCGACTACTAGACCGAGTCCGCGCACCGCGCCTCGACGCATACAGGCCCGTCTTTCACCATACACGTCACCGCCGTCGGCAACGACACGGCGCTTCCCTAGCGGCGCGCGCCGCGTGCGCGGTGCTGCCGATCCTCGGGGATTTGGGGTCGCGGGGAGTTGGAGGCGTACAGAAGCTCTTTGATGGCGGGGAATAGGGGGGAGGGAGGGATAGTCGGGATGGGTTGGTTCGGGAGCGCGGCGCACTTCCCACGTTGTTCTTTGCTTTCTCCCATGTGCCCGAAGACAGTACGTAAATATGTACCATGTGTTACGTAGGAACCTAAGCTAGAACCCCCTTCCCCCCCCTTTTCCTACTTCCTTGGCCTGCCCCCTGGTGTTTTCTTCGTGGGGATGGCTCCCATAACCCGGACTAAAGCCACGTTCTCTGCGGCTGCCATAGGCTGTCGATTCGCTCTGCTGTTTGTAGCTCGGTGACGAGCGCGGAGATCCTCCAGAAGAGCGGCCGCTTCCTTGAGGGAATAGATCACTCCTATTAGCCTTGTATTACCCTGATATACCTACCTTGTTCTCGGATGCTCCCGTGTAAACCTAGATATCTACCCAGTATAGAACTGAAACCCAGATCTCCTCTGCCTCGTTACTCTCCCGATTGCATTTTAAGAAGATCGCGAAGTTGTTGGCTTCTCTAGTGAGCCGCTTTCCACGTCGTCTGGTATTAAACTAATTGTATTCCTATCAAGGTCTATCGTAGCTAATAAGATAGGTTCTGAGAACATGTAGGGGCGCTCTCAGCGAGTTATCCTGATTTTGAGATGCAGCAGGACCGCCCTTGGATCAACCATATTATGGAGAATGATGAACTGGATGCTGCCAACCGAGGCACCACGCATGAGGCCGGGATTCTCTGCAATCAACTTCTGCAAACCCAATACGAAGGGGTTATTCCTACTGGCTTCCCCCCACTCGGTATCGCTAGGAGTAATTTCTAGCCACCGGCCCCAGCCCTTTTCCTTAGTCCTAGCGTTGTAGGCGTTGACCATGGCATTACGCACGTCTTGATTCTGGATTTTGTAGTATATGACGAGAGCCAGCGTTCTGAGGTCCCATTGATCGGCCACGTAGTTGACCTTCAGTATATCGCGGGCCTTCACTCTCTCCACGAGGTCTTCGGTGTGGATGGAGAAGCATACGTACTTTCCTGGCACCGTAGCGTAGGTGGTGACAACTGAATCCCTCATTCCGGCTGACTCGGAGACCAGGCGGACTTTCCAGTGGTTGATGTTGACGGTGGGAAAATGTACGCGCAAGAATTCCCTTTGGTCCCAGTTCAGCATGTCGTTGGTCCTGTGAAGGCGCTGCATTGGAGTGAGTAGTAACCCGAATGTCTCTTAAGTTGAGTGTTCGTGATGGTTGCGAGGCGCGTTACATTCTATGTCCGAACACACGGCTAAATAGTCTATCTACGAGAATCGGAATGGAAGCTAGTTATATAGCGGTGCGAACGAGAGCGTTGATAATGTTGCTAGTCACAGGTCGTTGTGAGATGGGAGTAATATTAGGCCTTGCCATTTTCCGCACTGTCGTCATGGCAGCCAGTTGTCATAAGTGACTGCGGTCTCTTACAACACCGCTGTCAGAACCACGGACGTATTCCTGACAAGACCTCTGTTATCGTGACTCGATCTTCAATATACGTTAAGACCGTCTTTTAGTTCTTAGCGACGGGGTCCCAGTACGAGTTTGTATCGTCAAATTAAGGATATCATTGGCTGTCTTCGGCGTCCTAGGATTACAATAGGGCCCATTCAGCCTAGCCTAGTTGCCCACCTCTAGACGGAGCCGCGAAGGTTCTCCATTGAAGTCCCTATTGGCAGTCTTATATTACTATCCTATGGCATAGCTGGCAGGAGTCTGCCCTTGAGGACTCGGTGCGAGTCATGTACGAGACTTACGGGACTACGCTGTGTGTCTACATAGAAATAGACTGAGTCGCTGAGTTAATGGGACAACAACGGCTGCATTGCGGGAAGTAGGACTTGAAGGGATGAGGGTAAAGAAACCATAAGAAGGGCCTTTCCAGGTACAATATCACATTTTGTTGTCTCATATCTAATATCTTACTTACACATCCCTCGTAGGCTATGTAGGCTAATGTACATAGGTAGGATTCCTTACGGTCCAGCATGTCATAGTTCCTCCGTTGCCCTGGGGAAAATAAGCAAATGATTTCTGGGGAGTTCTGACAGGACTGGCCTATAATAACCCAGGGCATATTCTCATTTCCGTGGAACGAAGTGACTGGCAACAGGACGATCGGTTGATGCTGATGTTGTAGGTAGGTCGCGACATCTTTGCGAACTATGGCCACTGCCTCCTCCCTTCACGGTTGAACCCACCATCTGATATGGCTGCTTACATGCCCTGGTTTCAGGCTGCGCATTGGATGAGACGGGCGCCTCCCTTCTGTTTGCGAATTGGCGATAGCCCGGATACTGGACATGGGGCCCCCGCATGAGAAAATCCCGCGTTGTGGTCCCGGAGGGGCTGGATTCGCGATCTCGATCCCGAGAAAGAGGAGGAGAAAAGAAAAAAGACAGGATAAAAGTAAGTGAAAATCGAAGTAAGGCTACGTTGCGTTCAGGGCCACGGAGCCCACGGGAACCGACACCAACCGCCGGACCACCCCCACTGGCGTCAAGTGGTGCAAAGTGGTGAAGTGAGGCCTCATGCAGTGCATCTGGACGTCTGGACGTGCGTAGACCGCGAACTTACCTACTATCTGGCAGTGCCGCCCAGTGTTCGTGTTCGAAATAGTGCACAAGCGCATAAGCGTATTCGGGGTGGAGATCTCTAAGGTAGGTAAGTCGCTATGCTTGTCTTCAATCTCGCCGGCGTTTGCGACGGTTGATTCAGGGGCGGGGGGTAGAAAGGCGGAGGTAATGCGATCTCCGGGCCCCCTTCGTCACTCGTCCCAGCGGTTTCCTGTCGCTACAAACAGTGGCATCGCGGGCACGTGGGAGACTGAGAGCGAAGAGATCGGACGATGACGATATGGGCAAGAGAGAGAAAGTGTGTGTGGGGAGGGGAGGCGGAGCTGGAGAAGGGGATGGATAACGACGATAGCGGGGGCCTGAATTCACCGTGGAAAAAAAAATATATATATATATATACATATATATACATATAGGTATAGCTACGACATTACGTCGTTTTCGACTTCTTTTCCCCGTTCCCGACTCTTCTTCTCTGATGTTTACTGTCTTCCCACCCATCGCGTAATTTGGCACATGGTAGGGAATATGATATATAGGTAGGTACTTCAAATCTTTTCGTCTGGTGAGAAGGGCGAACCCCTGCTCAGCACCGCGGGAGAGCGCGTGTAATTTATGCACGGGAAACTTCTAGGTAATTATGCTTCTTCGTTTTATGCATTTCGCAGCCCGCTGGCAAGCCGAGAAAAGACGATGACTTACCTACCTGTACCTGTAGGTACCTGTAGGTACCTGGTAGCTGGTCCCTTCGGCGCCGCCAGTCCCTCGTTTTTCTGATGCCAAGGGCCGGCATTTCCGTCATCCCTGCCCGCGTTGTGCGGAGGGCGTTACATAAGCCAGCGCGTTCGCCTGTACCCCCCATGTATTGTACATCTCGTTGGCGGACGGATGGCGTGGGTGTATGTGTGTGTGTGGAGTGTAGTGCCTCCTCCCTCAAAGTCGGTTAAGTAGGTACCTGACTTCGTTCTCCTTCTCTCGTACACCTTCGCTCCCGTTCGCTGCCCCCCTCCCCCCTCCCCGTCCCGAGACCTGCATCAAGGTTGGCCTCCTCGGATCACCGTCTCATCTACCACGTAGTCGTCGCCGTCGTCTGCCGTGGATTGGCGCCTTGTCAAGCTCCTGGCAGCAATGGCATGTGTTACGAGCCGTGTCTCTCTCTTATAGCCCCCAGCAGCACGTAGCCTTCGCCGTCTCCCAATGTCTGGCTGTTCCATCCTCCCTGTACGCTCTATATTGCACGCACAGCACCCCCAGAGCTACGCGGCCTTTTCTTAACCCTCCCCTCCTGAATAGCGACTAGTGAGCAGCCAATGGCAACATGCATCATCCCTGCCCTGGCGCATCCTACGCTGCTTAACGTCGACATCGCCGTTTTCGATACCGGCCGCACCGTGGCTTGGGCATTTATCCCCCTTCAATCTTTGCCCAATCCTTCCACCGACGAACTCTGGACGGCACTGTACCGCCGTGTTACCTGGCTTGTGTCTCCTACCTCGTCTTCCTCTTTTCGCGTGTCTGGCAGCATACCGGTTTCTGCATTCCCCTCCCGCCTGCCCGTCGCTAACCTTACCTGCGCTTCGCTCTCCCTTCTCCGCATCTATCCCAACCGCTGACGGCAGTGATCGTGTGTTGAGGCAAGGCGGGGGACGAGACAACCCTAGCAGCGTGAGGGCAGAGCCGGAACGGGCGTCCGCTTCGGCCGGAGGCACGCGACCATGCCCGAGAAACCGCTTACTGTCGCCACCTATGCCGCCGGCGCGTCTCTCGCTGCCATTACCCTCTTCTACGTCTTCGCCCCCAACTACTTCCTAGACAGCGACTCGAACTCGACCCGTAAGAGGGGCGTGGTGGGCCTCTCGAACCCGGCAAACGACTGCTTCATCAATTCCGTTCTTCAGGCTCTCGCCGGCCTCACCGACCTCCGAATCTACCTGATCCGGGAAACCCACCGACGAAGTATAGATGAGACCTGGGTCTACAGCGAGGTTGTCGAACATGCCGCGTATAAAAACACGCCGGACTGGAAGAGGCAGGGCCTGCAAGCCGGGCTTGTCACGAAGGGTCTGAAGGACATCCTCGACGCCCTCAACGAGCGGCCTATCTATAGGAAGACGATATCTGCCGGTGGCTTTATCCGGGTTCTCGAAGGCGCGTTCAAGCAGCGCATTAGTAGGCAGCAGCAAGACGCGCAAGAGTTTCTACAGGTCGTAGCCGAGCGACTGTGCGACGAATATCATGCCGGACATAGAGCTCGGCAGGCTGCTCGGGAGAAGGGTGGCGACGACGCGGTGGTAGACAAGTCGGCACCTATAGACGGAGATGCCGTGCAAGAACGCTTAGAAAAGTTGGCCACGAACGAGGATGGGAGTGTCGATGCTACGCGATCGGAAGAGGAACGTCCCGGCGCCGAGCCCGGGCCGGCGTTGGCATCGCGAGGCGAGGTGGAAGAAGGCTTTCCGATGGAGGGCACCTACGAAAGCCAGATCGAGTGTCAGCAGTGCGGCTTCAAGACAAAGCCGACCGAGAGCACCTTCTGCACCCTGACGTTGAACGTCCCGCAGTCAAGCTCAACCTCACTCAACGCGTGTCTGGATGGCTTCTTCAAGACCGAGTACGTGGAGGACTTTAAATGCGATAAGTGCCGGCTCGTACATGCGAGAGGCCTGCTGGAAGCGCAGCTATCGCAGGCTAGGTCTGAGAGCGCCAGGGCGGACATACGAGAGGCGATCGCGAAGTTACAGCGTGCCATCGATATCGACCCCGAAAACCCTCCCCTCGATGTCCAACTGCCGCCCCTGAAGGACTCGCCGAAGTGCAAGATCGCAAAACATACACGGCTGACGGGGTTCCCTAAAATCATGGCAATTCATCTCTCCCGGTCGATATACAATAGCATCTCGCAAAAGAACTCGGCCAAGGTTACCTTTCCTGAGCAATTGGTCATGGGCGGATTACTAACTCGCAATAAATACAAATTACTCGGCACCGTTACCCACAAAGGGAGCCACCACAGCGGCCATTACGAATCATTTCGTCGACAGAACATCTCCCTCCCCTATTCCACGCCGAACGCCTTCCAGGCCTCTGGCGTCTTTGCGAAATCAGCTGCGTCCAGCCCCATCTCGACGCCCCGGGTTGCTGCGGCGCAAAAGTCAGAGGATCCTAGCCCCGTGGCATCGACGCCCGACCTAGGTTTTATCTCGTCGCGAGCTAGTTTGTCAAACCAGTCCGTCGACAGCGTACCTAGCCCGTTAGCGGATTCGATGTCTCAAACTTCAGCCACCCCCAATAGCCGACTATCATCGCTTCGCAGTCCTACCTCCACGTCCAAGGACCGAGACCCGGACGGCGTCAGCCTCAAATCAGTGGCGATCTCTGTCCGATCAACCGTGTCGCGAATTTCGAATTCGGCGAGAAACAGCCGGCCCGGTAGCCCATCCGAAAAGACGCCGACGGCACCGACGGCGACGAATGGAGAGACGGCTGCGCCCAAGAAGAAGAATCGCTCCAAACCAAAGCGCCGAAAGCAAAGTGATCGGTGGTGGCGGATCAGCGACGAGAAAATCAAGGAGGCGAAAACGAACGAAGTACTCAACATGCAGCGAGAGGTCTACTTGCTCTTCTACGAGCTGGAGCGTGAAAGTGTGACGGAATCGTAGGAAAATGCGCCAACCACCTAGGTGGTTAGAAATAGATGGAATAACTGTGTGGTGTGCCGTAGCTCCCAGGACCTCGAGAGTCTTAGCAGACGGGTGTGCTGTCCCGGGTTAAGCTGTTCCGCGTGGGGTGGCTATCCCGAGAATCCGGGACGAGGAACTTCAGCGCGGTGAGCTATCGACCTGTCCAACCGGATTTGGACGGGAGGCAAGAGTATGGGGAGCGTAGCTTGGGCCTATGCACGTCATACCCTCATGGGCGTTGGTTTCGGCCCGTCTTCTGATTAGGCGGGCATTATCTATGGGTAGCATTTACGAATATCGTCGGCGGATAAAGGTCACCATCGTTATTCTCACCCGTTTTCCCGGACCGGCTGTGTTGGAGGGAGCCTGCACAGTTCCCCTACTACGAGGTCAGTTCCTTCGTTGTATGAGATACGGACAGCACGGTGGCACGATTGGTTTCGAGACGCAAAGAAAAATATCTTGACCCTACACATAGCCAAAATCATGGAGTATTGGGAAGCCGCATACGGGAAGCGGGCCGGCGGAGAGGAGACATAAAACAGAAATTAGATGCCCGCGGGCTAGCCAGCGTAGCATAGGATAGATGTGCACGCATACTAAGGGCCTGCTTTATAACGGGATTCACAGCAAGGCTGTCTTCCACACATCGCGACACGCGTAGCTTATTATACTTCGACCCGCGCGAATGCAAGCTGCTCGACTAACTATGCACTCGCTCCCTTTCAGACCTGCGCTAGAATTCGACGTCTGGGGTGAGTCGCCTAGATACTTTTCCCTTCCTCCTATAGGAGAACGAGCGAGCAGCACCTCGCGAACGAGAGTCCGGACGACGAGCTAAGAGCCCGCGACGCGTCTCTGAGTTTCTTAGTACTGGCCCTCGACGGTCAGGGTGCCCGTCTTGGTGATGAGGTACTCGTTGATGGCCACGTCCTTGCCCGACTCCTTGCCGAAACCGGACTCCTTGATGCCGCCGAACGGGGCCTCGGCGGCCGACGAGTTGCCTGCGACAGTTCCGGCACGCGGACACGTCAGTCTATGCGTTTGTCGTCTACGCTCGCCCTCGCAGCTTGCCCCTCCTCGCGGGGCTAGCTCCAGGGAATGGGGGGAATCTGCACGATGGGGGGGCAAGGGGAGTGGGAGGGAAGGGGGCAATTCAACGTACCGCTGTTCAGGCCGATCATGCCCGCTTCGAGGTTCTCGAACAGCCGCCACAGCCGGTCGACGTTCTTGGTGAAGCAGTACGACGCGAGGCCCATCTGCGCGCGGCCGGGTTTCCCCCCAGGCGCCATCGTCAGCATATATCTGTGCTAGGCCGGAGAAAAAGAAAAGATTAGAAAAAAGGAGAGAACAACGTACGCTGGTGTCGTTGGCCGCGGCGACGGCCTCTTCCTCGGTGTCGAAGGGGAAGAGGGCGAGGAGGGGGCCGAAGGTCTCCTCGGAGGCGATCCTCATGTCGGGGGTGGCGTCGGCGAGGACGGTGGGCTCGAAGAAGTAGCCGGTGGCGTCGGGGACGCGGGAGCCGCCGGCGAGGAGGCGGGCGCCGCGGGCGGTGGCGTCGGCGACCTGGGCGGCGACCTTGTCGAGGCCGGCGGGGACGGTGAGCGCGCCCATGGTGGTGCCGGCGGCGAGGCCGTGGCCGACGCGGATCCGCCGCGCCTCGGCCGCCAGCAGCTCCGCGAACCGCGCGTACACCCCGCGCTGCACGTACACCCGGTTCGCCGTGATGCAGGCCTGCCCCGCGTGCCGGAACTTGAGCGGGACGAGGGCTGCGCGGCGCCGGGGGAGGCGGCGGTTAGCGCGCGGAGGCGGTGCGGGCGGGGGAACGAACCGTCGCGGGCCTGCTCCAAGTTCGCATCGTCGAACACGATGAACGGGCAGTTGCCGCCGAGCTCGAGCGTGAGCTTCTTGAGGCTGTCGGCGCAGTGCGCCGAGAGGATCTTGCCCACGCGCGTCTGCGCGTCTGGTTAGCCGGCCCCTCTCGAGGAGAGCGAGTTGCGTGGGCAAATAAAGCGAGAGGGGGACTTACGGAGCCGGTGAAGGACACCTTCTTGACGAGCGGGTGCTTGCAGAGGGCCTCGCTGAGCGCGGGCGTGTTGGCCAACGTCGTGGGCAGCACGTTGAACACGCCCTTCGCGTACCCGGCCTGCTCGGCGAGGTACGCCAGCGTTAGCGCCGTCAGCGGCGTCTCGGGCGACGGCTTCGCCACCATCGTGCAGCCGGCGGCCAGAGCCGCGCTCGCCTTCCGCAGGACCATGCTGGACGCGGGTCGGCACGCTGTGCGTTAGCTCGGGCTGTCTCTTAACTATCCAGCCCGGGGAGGGGCACGTGTGTTATCGAGGTGCAGAAGAAGAAGAAGAAGAAGAAGAAGAAGAAGAAGAAGAAGAAGAAGAAGAAGAAGAAGAAGAAGAAGAAGAAAGGGCAAGGCCGACTCACGCGATGGGGAAGTTCCAGGGGACGAGGGCGGCGACGACGCCGAGGGGCTGCTTGATGGTGAAGATGCGGCGGCCGGGGAGGGCGGCGGGGAAGGTGGTGCCCTGGACGCGCTCGGCTTCGCCGGCGAACCAGCGGGTGAAGGAGGCGGCGTACTCGATCTCGCCCTGGGCCTCGGCGAGGGGCTTGCCGGTCTCGTAGACGAGGAGCGTGGCGAGGTCGTCGCGGTGCGCGCGGATAAGCGCGTCGAAGCGCGACAGCAGGTCCGCGCGCGCCCGCGGCGTCAGCCTCCGGAACCCCGCGAACGCCGCCTGCGCCGCCCGCACCGCCCCGTCCACGTCCTCCGCCGCCATGTCCGGGCACGTCGCGAACTTGCGGTCCGATCCCGGATCTGTGCGCGGGCGCGGGCGCGTCAGTTACGACGAATGCCTGCGCTAGCTGGAGGGGTAAAGGGGGAGCCCCGAGGGGACGTCGCAGACGAACCAATGATGTCGAATCGCTTGCCCGACTTGGCCTCGATCCATTGTCCGTCGACGTATGCCTGGTCTCGGAAGAGCTCCGGGTTCTTGAGATTCAGCTGCAGCGTCGTCGGGTCAGCTATCGGTTGGCTGGTCTCGTGGGTTGGGTACATCTTATGCCCCCCCTTTTCTTTTTCTCGCTATTACAAAAAAAAGACGACATACTTTGATCGGTGCTTGCGAGTCCCCCATTGTGCAGTATTTCTTCCTGAGTCCGTATATAGGCGTAGTAGGTCGGTGAAGTAGCTCGACCTTGTTCTCCGGGACGGGCGAGCTGGCGCCTTTTTATTCTGTAAGATGGCGCTGGATCGCAGACCCGACAAGCGCGTCCGCCTTCGCCACCGTGGTCACCCCGCATCGGCGACGAGGGAGCGGCCGCAGCACTCGGGTAGTGTTCGACGACTCGCAGCTTGGCTCTCCCTCCCCTAGCCAATCCTCGCGCCGCCTCTCCGCCGAATCGGCCTGGTGGCTTGTGGGCGTGTCTGGCTGCTCCGCAGCGGCGAAGAGAACCTGGTTATTGATTACCCCCCCTTGCACAACTCTTGATGAGGGATTACTATGGAGAACTGGCGATAAGACGGTTACGAATCCCTGGAAGATCCCGTCCCCTCCCCCCATAGACAGCAATACCAGGACAGGGCGCTACGATTGCTATTGTTAGCGTATACCTGTCCATGCCTACTAGACATTCGCAGCCCTGAAGCTCGAGGTCCCCCTCCCCCTCCCCCCGGGGACCGACCTGCTAACGAGCTAGACCGCCATCACTACGCCAATCATCGATGAGGCACACGTTCCTGTGACTGAAACAAAAATGCTAGGAGGGGCCGCGGTTAGATTGGGCATCGGCCGGCTTTCCCGACAGCCATTACGGCGTGGCGTGTCGCCCGAGAAGCCTCCCTTCTACCTGGCCGCCTCCTAGAGGCTGGCTTGACGTCGCGCCACATAGCCAAGACAAGAGCGCAGCTTACTAACGGCTCCACCAGCCGAACATGGCGCCCGAGAGGTCTCCCTCGCCAGGAGTGTCCCTTGCAGCAGTCTAGCGTTGGTCCCATTCCGATGCGATCCACGAATCCTCGACGCGGTCTTGCAGTGTCAGTATCGGCATACACTACGTAGTATATACCTACCTCTCTGTCTCTCTATTTACCTATATCTATATATGCAGATTTGTCCCCACCAAATCTCTCATGCCTGGTTCGTGGCGCCATCCTCCCCAATGACCACTCAACCGGATTCGATAGTGTCCTCGTCGGCAGTGGTCGGGGCGTCTCCATCGAGAATTTCCCGCATCAAGAGACCGGGTAGCACATCAGCTGGGGACGTGCCGGCCTGCCGACCAACCGATTTCTGCGCATAGCATTGCTATGCGTCTTCGCCTCCATCATCTCGCATCCTGCTGCCGCGAGCGATTTCGAGCATGGAACTACCCGTGCCGACTATAGTGGCGGGCAACGGGCCAAGACGGGCATCGGCCAAAATTCGACAAAAGTTCGTTCTGCTGTGGCGTCTATGGTGATTCACTCGGCGATTTCACTGCATCTCATTATTCCTTCGAAGACCACCTAGAAATTCCTATTTCGCTTTGAGCTGCGGATTTCCACTGGGCGTGTTCCTAATCATTTCTTAGAGAGTCGCGTTCCATGCAATCCTTACCGCGTGACGAAAATGTTTATATACGAACGCAGATCGCAGTCATTTGAGTGAAATTGGTTAGAGTATCCGGGTACACGGCCAGAAGATTGTCGAAAATTTGTTCGTCTCGGTTCTTATCAGGAATGTCGCCGTCGGGCTCAACCGTCTATCTCCCCAAACAGCAACCGTAGCGTTGGGTATGCAACCCGATGCAACCGGACAGGCCAGTCTCGCGGATTCGCGGTTAGGACACCGGTAAGTGCAAGCCGTAGGTACTTTAGCACATATATAATATGAACGTCGAGCGAGCCACGCTAAGTAATCCTATATTCACACAAATCGGCTCTTCTCCCCTCTCCCTTTTGCTCTCCGCTCCCCCTCTTTCTCCGGTCCTGCCCGACACTAACCCGCTCTCCAGCCCACTCACCATCACGACGCACGCACGCCCTTGACCGCCGGTGCCGCCGCCGCCTTCTCCGGGGCGGGCAGCGCGAGGATCCTGTCGGCGGCGTGCTCGGCGGCGGCGACGATCATGGCGGACGGGTTGCCCGTCATCATGCCGGGGAAGATGGACGCGTCGACGACGAACAGGTTGTCGGTGCTGAAGACGCGCGCGTCCGTGTCGACGACGGCGGTGCCGTCCGCCGCCGACGCGCCCATCTTGGCCGTGCCCACCCAGTGGTTCGAGCACCGGAGCGCCGGCGTCGCGGGGATCTGTCCCCGCGGGTTTCTGCGGTTAGCGACGCGCGCTGGCGAAACTCCGGGGGGGAAGCGAAGGTAAGGGAGAGGTGAAGGGGCTCTATGCGGCGTGCGAGGGAATAGGAAGCAAGACGGGAGAAGAAAAAAAAAAACAACTCACCGAATCCACGAACTGCGTCGAGGTCTGGTTCGCCGCCGGCCGGACCCATCTCAGGTTCGCGATGGGCGAGAAGTACTGACGCACGCGCTCGAGGCCCTCGATGACGGCAGCGCGGTCGGCGGCGTCCCGCAGGTACGGCGGTACCGACACGCGCGTGTTGAGCTGCGGCGTGATGACCATGCGCCCGCGCGACGTCGACCCGGTGCCGAGGTACTGGGTGATAGTCATAGAAACTAGACGACGAGAGGGTGAGGGGAGGCGGTCAGCGGAAAACCGTGCGACGAAAACTGAGGAGTCAGAGAAGAGGGAGAGAACGAGGTGTCGGCGTTTCCGACGGCGACTTACTGTTCGTAGTGCCCTCGACGCGCGCTTGCCAGTGGAGGTGCCTGTCGACGCCGTCGGTGCCGGGGATGATCTCCCAGAACTGGGGCAGTCGTCAGTGGCGAACTCCTTGCGCGGGATCTTGCGGGCGGCTTAGTGACTTACGATGGGGCCGAGATTCGGTGCCGCTTGTGCGAGGATTCCTGTCCTGTTCTCTACAGGAGAGTTAGTGCGCATGTCCTGTTCGGCAGAGGGTTGAAGGGCCATACCCAGGTACTTCTCTGTGTCGCTCAGGATCGGCTTGCTCCACGCGCCGTAGAAGTCGTAAAAGACGACCTCGGGGTGGGAAACTTCAATATCGGTCTAAGCACAGATATAAGTATCTATAATGAGCAAGCGGGTAGTAAGACTCAGATCAGACAGGAGCGCTTACGCCAACATGATCGATCAGATTGTGCCCTACAGGGAGGTTGATCCAGGAATCCTCCGAGATCATCGTCGCCGCGTCCAAGGTCGAATTCTGCACGACCTTTAGCTGATCTACCGGGCCAATTCCGCCTATGTTTCCATCTAGTTAGCGTGATCGCCCGCTCTGAAAACAGGGAGGTGTGAGAGGGACCTCACTTCTGAACAGGAGTTTCGCGGAGCCGAACGCGCCCGCGGACAGGATCACGCGGCCGGTGCCGGGGGTCACCGATACGATGCCGGCGTGTCCAGCGGCGTTCCTAGTACATTCGATCTCGACGCCGACGGCGTGGCCGCCATCGCGCACGACACGGCGCGCCGTCGTGTTCATCCAGAGGGTGAAGCTCTCGCGCTTGCTGGCACTGACGAGGTAGGTGGCTAGGGGGCCGCCGCGCTCGCCGCTCGAGAACATGTGCGTGCTGTGGCCGTAAGTGCGGTTCTTGCGGTCGGGGTGGTCGTTCGGCACGAGGTAGTCCCAGCCGCTCGCGCTGAGACCCGACGTCAGCACGTCGAAGCCCTGCTGCAGATACAGCTGACCGTCCGCGCTTGGCGTCGTCGTGCCGGGGATTCGTTTGAACACCCGTTCCGTTGCCGCCGCCAGGTCGGCGCTGTGCCACCCCGCCGGCCAGCTGCGGTCCCAGTCCTCTGGGTGCGGCTTCCACCATAGACCCGAGTTGACGGCGACGCCGCCGCCCAGGACGCAGCCCGCCATCTGATCGACGTCGGTGCAGACGATTCCCGTGGGGTTGTGCCAGATCTCGTTAGCGAGGCCGGGCACGTCGAAACGCGTCAGCGTCGAATTCTGGAGCCACTGCGGCTTCATCGTACCGCCCCAGATCCCCGTCGACGGCGGCCCTTTCTCCAGCAGCAGTACGGTGTGCCCGGCCTCCGAAAGGTGGTCCGCCAACGGGATACCCGCTGCCCCTGAGCCCACGATGATGTAATCCCAAGTCTGGCTCTCGGTAACATTGCTACAGACCGGCGGTGCCAGGGCAATTTTAGCCTTGGCTTCACATGGCCTGAGGAACACTGCAATAGTGTTAGAAAGGGCAATGATCAACACGTTCGTTTTTCAGTCCTATTCAGAGAACTAGACATGCTTACGCAGCAAGGCCGCTGCGGTAACAGCGCTTAAATATGGAGTACCACGCATGGCTATGGAAGGGGACACGATGGTGAGAGTTAAGAGGGAGGACCTCATCGGATCTCAACAGCAGGTAGAGCTGGCCTTCTTAACATCACATGGCAGAGGGCATGAGGTCTCCCCCGCCGTTCCTCGCAAGGAGTATGTATAGCAGCCGAGAAACGGCTCGACGTGCCTAATCAGCATCATCTGTACGCTCAAGCGCCTCCTGAAAGGGCAACTTAGTGAGAACTGGGGAAACAAGCGCGCGGATGCAGGCAAGCACGTTCTTTGACCGGCGGTCTACGATCCTTGGTTTTTAATTAACGCGGCATATTAGCCGAATGTCGTGTCGTCGATCGACGTACACTACAGGCCCTCGCGCACTTAGCCGAGAAACGAGAAACCTGGGGTAGACGACCCTGTGATGCTGAGGCGTACGGCTGGACCGGATTGTCGGCGGCGTGGCGGATTTACGAGGGCAAGTGGACGTGGATAATTACGGACAGGCAAGTATGGCAGTGGCAATATATGGGAGTGTTTTACAAAAGACAAATGGGAAGCCTTTCGCCCAGCAAAGAGGGGGGGAACGACTATCTGTGTCGTAGCATCGCAACTAGAATCGTGTATTGGAGATATCACACCCGGTAGATTTCCCAAAAAGGTGTTGGATAGGTTCACGTTCGTTCCCCTCGCTTCTCGGCGTCGAAGTGGCGGCCAGGCCCATTGCAAAATATCCATAGACCGCCCTCGAGAGCCCGTAGGGCTTGTAGAGGAACTCAGTTCGGTTATAGGGAAGACGGAACATCGAGTTTGATCCCACGAAAACGGATGGGTCCTATTCACATGATAAAATAATTCACGCGGAGAATTTGCCAAAGCTCAATTATGAGACTCATGAAGCAGACCTGCAAGGGGGTAAGGAGGAGGAATTGCCTTAATGGTTGCTAGAAGTCCTTTGCGGGGGCTACCAAACAGCTAGACGAGCGGTTAGAAGCACCAAGTCACCAACTCAGATATGGTATCCTTCAGCGATTGTTTTGGCTGTAGGCAAATACGTGACAGGAATATGAGTAAGGTTCGTCGTCAAAGGTGGTCCCCCCTATTTGACCGACGCTATGGGCATGATAGAGGGAAATTCTTATATACGTGTTGAAGCTAGATGCTATAATCCTTATGTCGAAGCTCCATTATGCATTCATCGGGAATATGAGAAGAGATAAGATAATGGCCAATACCAATGCCAGTTTGATTGGCCGAGAGCTTCCATTCAGACTGGCGATCCGCTGGATTCCCCGAAACCGTCAAAAAATTAATTCGTAGCAGTTCGCAACTCGTTCGCGATAGCCTCACACCAGAAAGCAGCGACGGCTGCTTTCGACGTGCCGATACCCCGACACGTCTACGCCGCAAAACCGTCGACGAGCAGGGCGATTCGCCAGCTAGGAGAGAACGTATACGCAAGAAAGCGCCAACGGGCCTCCCTCCCCGATATCCTCTAGAATGGCTTCACCCCGCCTCGCCCGCCCGCCCACATGTCTCAGCTGCCTGCGGCGCCTCGCCCGGCCCACGCCATCCTCATCTACGACGACGACGACGACGACGACGACGACGACGACGATGCGAGTCTCGCCCCTATCACTAACGCAGACCCGCGGCGTCAGGATGAGCAAGGCCGAGGACGAAGACCTGCAGGGCATCCCCGTGCGCCTGCTCAAGGATATCCACGGATTTGGTCGCAAAGGTACGAGCGCTCGGTCGCTTCTGTTTCCCTCGAGGCATAACATTGTATACACGCGCGCGTAATATCTGGTGGACAGGAGGAGCGGAGAGGAGAGGGGAGGCGGAAAGGAAAGAAACAGGAGGAGAACGACTTTCCCTCACGACCCGGAAACGAGCATAGTATTAGTAGCAGGCTTGACTAAACCTCTCCCGCAATAGATGCCATCATCCGCGTGCGGCCAGGCCGCATGCGCAACGACTGGTTCCCCCGCGCGGAGGCCGAGTACATGACGCGGCGGCGCTTCGAAGAGCTCGGCCTGACCGAGGCCGCCATCGGGCGCCGCGACCGCACCTTCGGCGCGAAGCTGGACGTCCCCGAGGGCGAGGCCGCCGACGCCAAAGCCAGCCGCACGGCGAAGTCTGAGGCCGAGGCGCCCAAGAAGCCCAAGAGGGACCCCCTGCTGCTATCGGTGAGTTGGCGTCTCCCCCCCACCCCGACACAATTTCGAAGCGGGAAAGGGATTGCTTGCCTCCCTCACTTCAGTGATCCGCCCCCCTTCCCTACCCCCTGGCAGATGTGCAGAGGACCAGCGCCGCTGACCAAGCCGCAGCCCGAGGACACGCTGCAACTGCTGCAAACGCACCTCCCGGAGCTCCTGATCTTCACGCGGAAGCCGATCCCGAGCGTCGCCGACTTCTCGTTCGCGGCGCCGGCGGCGCCGGCAGCAGCCGCGACGCCCCGGTCGCCGGCGCTCGCGGCGGGCGCGGTATCGTCGATGGACGCGCCGGCGGCGTCGTCGCCGTCGGGCGAGGCGCCGGGGGCCATCGTGCCGATCTACGGGTCGGTGTCGGCGGCGGACGTGCTGGCGCTCGCGCGCGAGCACGTCCTCGAGCGCGACCCGGTCCGCGGCCCGCGCCTCGCGCTCCCCGACGCCGTCGACGCCGTCGCCATCCGCGGCCTCCCCGCCGAGGGCCGCATCAAGCGCCTCGGCGACTTCCCCGTCCGCATCAGCGTCGCCCGCGACCTCGACCCCGTCGACCGCGTCGTCCGCGTCGTCGCCGAGGACGCCTAGCCCCCCCCCCCCCTCCCCCCCGGGGGCGTGCACACGATGGGCTTAGTGAGTGGGAGAGGGGGGGAGGCGAGAAAGGAGGAGAGGAGGGAGTTGTAAGAGGCTCAGGGAACAAAGGGCGCAATGTGAAAGGGGGGTGCAGTGGAGGGAATACGTCCGCCGAACCAAACTCTGCTGGAAGCTGGAACGGAAAACGATCCATTCGCGGTGCCAGCCACGGGCGCAAACCGGCGGGGGTTGAAAAACTTTAGCGCCGGCGCCGGCGGCTCGTAACTTGCCTCCGCGCGAGGCACGGGGACCTCGTCACGGTTCCTCGTCGAGGAGGACTTGGCGCCGCGTGTGTGCGATGGCGTGTATATAGCGCGAAGTGACTTGTCTACGCACCTCCCCCCCGTCCTACCCACGTAGCGGTAGAGAAGCTACCAGAATCGCGCGTATATGTACATAAAGAACAGTCACGCACACATTTTCTACCACGATTGTCTTGCTTAGGTCGAGAATGCCGGGCTACATAGGGAGAGAAGCCGGTGCGATACCTGCGAACATAGCCCCGACCCAGGAATCGTGAAAGCTTACGAGTTGTCCCGACTCAGGCGGGGAGTTGCTGTGACCGTTTACGCGATGGGGCCGGGGCACATCGGCAGACATCACCGACAAGACAGCGCCAGCAAGACGGCTCAGGGTACTCGATGTGTCCTTCATACCTAGGTAGCCCCCTGGGGCTAAGTACGTACATACGTGGGTGACATACACCTTCTAACCGTCCCTCGCTTCGTGAGTCACCTCTCCACCTCTATTACTGCAATCTCGCCCTTTTCCCGTCCGATCCACACATATAAAAAGACCACGCCGTTGCGGCCAACTGAGCAAGTCTCCTGGCCTCACAACTCGACATTGAACAGATTTGGCAACCTGATCCTCCTGGCGAAGTGATAAAGGCCGTGCGAGAGTAACCCCCAAGTCCGGCGCCACCGTATCTGCCGCATGCCACGGTGCTCCTCGTACCCAGGCTTTCGCCATCCGCCCATACGCCGGTGTTGTGCATCGTAACGATAATTAGGGGAAACAACAGACGAGGAGTAAATGATTCTTTTGGCGAAAAAGGCCAAGCCATGTAGTTCTTGGCCGCGATGAAATCGTAGTCCGCTTAGTTCGCCACCAGATCGTCTATGAAGCCGACAGCAGCCGCTTCCAACGCTAATGCGGGGAGGGGAAAAGGTATATCTAATGCATGCAGGTATGCTTATATGCGGCTAAAGGCGCTGTGATTCATGACTACAGGACCATCATTTGCCGTAGCTGACATCCAGGTTCCACAGCGAGTCCCATACGATACTTCTCCGAATGGGGCTTTCGACAGCGACATTGCTCGCCCCTCGTCGGCGTTGTTGTTGTGGGCGAGCCTGAGCTAGCCGTGGGGCGTTATCGGCTGATCGCCGGCGCTAAATCCCATCAGCGACTGCGTCTCAGGGACCAAGGAGTGTGTCAAGATCGTGACGCACCTCGTCCTGCTGCTCGCCCGTCGTCGTCGTCTGCTTGTCCCTAGTCCCCTTCGATGACGCCTCTAGTGTTGCGCCGACGTCCGGGATTCCTTGTCCGACCGGAGGGCTGGTCCCTGCCGGGCTGTCGGCCGTCACGGCACGTAGACTGTTTGTCTCGCTGGCCAGCCCGCTGCCCTTCCCGACGCCACCCGTACTGGTACCAAAAGGTAGAGCCTTCTTAGAAGCGGTGCTGCTCCGCCTGCTCTCCAAACTTTTGCTAAGGGTTCTGCTCACGCCCTCGATCCCACCGATGGGACCTAATTTGGATTTGTGCTTGTTCGGCCGCCCATGGGCTGGCATGTCAGCCACAGCTGCGACATTATTGGCAGCAACGGTAGACTTGCCAAGGCCGGGAGTAGACGGGGCACCGGGCTTATCCTCATGTGCGTCGATAAGCCACCAACGTAGGCCGTCCGACAGGTCGAAAGGGTTATCGTTCTCGTCGCCGCCGGTATTCACAGAGTCTGTTTCGCCTTCGGATGGCAATCCGGAGGGAGACTGCAAGCTCTTAGACAAGTCTACAACACGCTCCTGGATGCGGGTTATGCGAGCTACAAGCCACTCGCGGCTGCGTAAACGGTGGCTCTCTTGCTCGCGAAGGAAGAAATGCGGACACCCAACGTTAAAAGCGGCCCAGGCGCCCGTCGTCTGGTTACGGGTAGGGAGGAACAGGGCCAAGTCGCCCTCCTTAAACTGTTTGAAGGCAATCTTGTCGCGGGCATCCTTGGCAAGATCATGTGTACGTTCGCGATAACTCCGAGCGTCTCGCGTCATCTTCCGAGCGGTGTGCTCGATTTCTTTCACGCGGCGATACATGGCTTCGGAGAACACGTCGATGTCGAAATTTCCTGGGCCGGCTATGAAGGCTTGATACTGCTCGTCTTCGGTGCTCGAGTCCTCGGCATTCATCCAGTAAAGCAACCTGAGGTCGGCGCTATCGGCGAGAGGATTGCTGATTAGGGATACGGAACGCCGTATCGAGGTTCCGGGGTCGGAGGAATCGTTGGGATTCTGGGCAGACCGCTCCGAGCGCGGGACCTTCTGGATAGCCATCGACCCGTCCTTCCGCGTGACTGAGAAGCCGAGACGCTCGAGCAGCCTGCACAGTCTCTCGTTTTGGGTGTAGAGTCGTTGAGTTAAGTCCTTGGTACGAACATTGCGAACCTCGAATCGACTATTGAGAGCCTCGAGCTTGGAGTCCGACGTCTGTAACTTGTCCTGGAACATACGAACCTCTTCTTCGAGGCTGCCTACCTGGGAATGTTTCGACGCTAGTTGTTCGGAGAGCTCTGCGACCCGTTTCTCTTCTTCCACTAGCTTCTTCCGCAATGTTTCCGATCCTGTCTCGCCCTCGGTCATCTTTGTCCTGAGCTGGTTAAGCTGCTCGCGTCCATCATTCACCTCCATCTCGAGAGTAGCGCATCTGCTCTTCTCTTTATCTAGAGTTTCCCGCAGATGGACTGCGCTCATCTCTTCGCTAGAGAGCTTATCTTTCGCGATGTGTAACTCGGACTTGACCTCCTTCACCGTTTTCTGGGCAAGTTCCATATCAGCCTTCACGAGGGACAGATCCTGCTCGAGGGAGTTCAGTTTTGCCATGACATCGTTAGACTTAGTAGTGACAGCGTCAACAAGGTCTGCGAAGTCCAGGGGGGGTTCTTCGGCGGGCGACAGCTGGCTATGTAGCTCCCTGAGCGAGCGAGCATGTGTCTCCCTGTACTCCTCCGAGGTCTCGGCCCGTTTGTTCAGCTCCTTGATCCTATCGCGTGCCTCCTTTAGTTCCCTTTCGAGGGACACGTTGCGTTCCCTTTGCACCCGAGCTTCGTTGCGCAAAAACTCGACTTGGCCCTGGGTCTTCAGACTGTCTTCCCTCTTCTCCCTTTCAAGCCGCTCCACGTCCGCCTCTAAAGAATGGAGCTTTTCGTCGTACGTGATCTTCTCGTTTTCTCTCGACTCGCCAAAGTGCTCGATCTCGTCTTCGGTCTCCTCGAGGCGAGCTTTCAGGGCCTTAATTTCGTCCTCTAGGGACTTTCGCTCGTCATGGAATTCTCTCTTGAGGGCTTCCATGTTGCCTAGAAGATCTTGCTTCGTCGAGTTAACTTCGTCCATACGACTCTTCATGTGCTCAGCATGCGCGTTGGCTTCCTTCTCTAAAATCGCGGACCGTTCCCGCTGGGCGCTAAGATCTCCTTCTAGCTGCGCAATGCGATTGTAGAGGACCTCGGTGTTCTCCGACACTGACGATCGACGTCGACCTTCGGGAGATCGTGGAGTCTTGACTGAGATGACTGAGCCGTTCTTGTCGGGTTGGAAAAGGTATCCTAGGGGCGACGGCCTTGATGCCTGGGTTTGGCGGTGCAAGAGGTCTTCCAAGCGACGGATCCGACTGTCCGCCGTCTTCAATTTGCTCTCCAGCTTTGATTTGTCGTCGTGGAGGCTCCTAAGAACCTCATCATCGCCGCGGATGAGCAAGCCGCTTCTTCCAAGAGTCGTCTCGTGGACGCTACCGTTCTTGAAGGCCTTTAGCCGTTTTGACTGCAGCTTTGTGGGGTTGTTAAGTTCGTTGATAAGCTTCGTAATATCGGCCAAAATCGCTGCATCTGTATTCTGGTGCCTCAGAACGTTTAAGAATTCGTCAAGCTCCTGCTTCGTCATCTCAGGCCACGCCTCATCGTCACCACGCAGGTTAACTTCGAGACCAAGAACACTGCTCTCAGTCTTGTCTGGGCCGTACGTGCTACCAACCATTTTCTGCCACTTTCGTCGTCTCTTTAATTCCTCGTCTTGGAAGACAGCCATCTCGTTGAGCAAGGTTGAAGAGTCAACCTTGACCTTTTCCGACCATTCCCTACGTCGTATGGCCTCGACGACGAAAGAGGCGTACATGTATGGGAGCTGTTGGATGAGACGCAGATAGTCAAACGTCGTCATCTCTTCCTCGCCCTGGTTAACGGCATTCATCTGAGTCTTCACACTATGGTGGAGACTCGTTATCTCGGCAATTTTGCGCATGAAAGCAAGTGAGTCGGCCGCGATCTCGTTGCGGGCCCGGGTAGCGTAGCGAAGCATCTCGTCCATCTCCAAGGCGCGGTTCTGGATACTAGGTAGGAGCTGTTTTGTGTGGTTGACGGCAGTTTTCGATGCCTGCGGGACATCCTTTGCCTGGTTCATATACGACAACGTGGTTTGGTAATCGGTATCGACCTTTTTCGCAACCGCCTCAATATCCTCCAGCAACTGAGCGCAGTCATTAGTGTGCGATAACACTGAGCGACCAACTAGCTTGTTGAAATCCTCGAACAGTTCGTTACAGCTACCAAACATCTTGTCGGTAGTCTTGTCTAACTCCGAGATCTTGCTGTTGAATTTTCTCAAGGATGTAGCAGCAAGCTTTCCCGCTTTTCGCGTAGGTTCGGGGTCGATGAGGTCTTCCAACGTGGCTTGGCGGGATCTACGGACATCCTGGCCCGTCATGAAGCGCACCATGGCTGGCGAGATGCTGATGCCTCGCGCCAGCTCGAGATAGCGCTCCCAGTTCGACGCCAGGTTCGCATACTCTTCTTGAACCGGCATTGCCCATTTCTTCAACTCCGCATGCTTGGGCTCTATCGGCTTGACGGCCGTATCGAGGTTGGCTACAGCAGCATCGAGACATTTCAACATAATATCGATTTCGCTGTACCGTGCCTGCGCCGCGCTCGCCATAGCACCGCAATCCTGGACAACCCGCAAGGCCCAGTCACGCCGCCTCTTAAAAAGGTCTTGCCATGCTTGCAGGGAGTGCGTATTCTCGATCGAATTCGGGGCGGCGGATACGGCATATCGTTTAGGGAAGGCGATCTCGGAGATGAGACTGTTCGAAGCTCCGGGTGAAGAGGCTTGAGTTATTCGAATATCGTAAATGTAAACTTCTTTCTAGAAAGTGGCCAGGGTAAGCTCCTAGAATGTTGGGGCAGATTAGGGGGCAAAACAAGGGAGACGTCCGAGGACGATGGCTGACTAACCTCTAACTGTATCGTCTGGATCTTTACCGTCTTCCCTTGGGACGTGAGGGCGACGATATTTTGCACAGGTATGGCGCTCTGCCGAGCCACCCAGCCCCTAAAATCGTCGAGACTACACGGGGAAAATGTTATTATTAAAAATCATAGTCGGGAAAGTAGAAGGGGCGTCGTGCATCGCGTCATCGACTCTGAGTAAAGCATAGAGAGAATCGCGAGTATCGGCATGTGAGCCTCGACATAGATGCCAAGATAGATTACGGGCGCAGATACAGGCAACAGGCAAGAACAACGACATGAAAATCGACGTACGAGGAGAACTGAGATATATCGACCTGCAGGCGCTGGCCCGTGTGGGCGATCAACACCTGCGTCTGCGTCGCCATGGTGTGTGCAGTCCATCCCCCGAAAGAATGGAAGGGCACGACGGTGGAGCAACGAAGGCGGATGGCGGTTTAGGAGCAGAGAGAGGCCTCGCACGGGCGGACGCGAGGCAGAGGCGGAGGCGGAGACGGAGGAGGAGTAGGAGGAGGAGGGGGAAGAGGAAGAGGAGGAGAGAAGAAGAGGAGGAGGGAGACGGATGACCAGAGCTGGATGGTGTAGAGAGGTAGGTTCGGATGACAAGAGCGAAGCTCTATCGGCCTCCGCGGTACGTAAGGGTCGGACTGTTGCGGTTAGTCAGCGTCAGCTGGCAGACGGGACAAGGCAGGCAAAGTCAGGCGCCACTTTCTCGCAGCGGTTCGGCGTTCTGGCGCATTCGTCACGGCCTAGCCAAATAAACGCCCCCCCCCCACCGATCCCGCTGCGTGTAGGGGTGTGACTGGCAGCCAGCTACCGGCCTGGCTGTGAATAACGCTATTCGTTATCGACGTGAATGCCGCTGTGGCGCCCTGGCGCTCTGGTATATCTTGCGGTAACGAATATATACGTAACGGGGCTCCCCGAGCGCGGGTGGATGTAGATTTCCCCTTGTAAGAGAGCGCGAGCGAGAGCGAGATCATATCGATCTAGAATAAGAACGTCGAAAAGTAAAAGATTATCAAGGAATTTTAACTGGCCTGGTAGCGGTTCCAGCCCGTTTCCAAAACGCCAAGTGGCAACGCCATGTAATTGTCGTATTCAGCCGAGATACAAGTATGGCGTATATCCTGCCTGCATCGACAATATGTTATACGGCGTAACGGAATGAACATACTGTTTACATAGATATAGTGCCGCTAGATGGCACATCACGGGCGGAGGGTATAAGAGATAAGAGGGGCTGCGGGTTGTCACCGGTGGGTTGGGCAATGAAACAAGGACGACACACCAACCCGCACCGAATAAAACACACAGAGATCTATGGACGGGAGATAAGTTGGGCGCAGAGAACAATATTTCCGGACTTGCTGATTTGCCGGCAATCCGAAGAGCGACCTGGTAGGCAACGCCACGGCCACCAGTCGTCTCCTCTTCCGGCCGCCACGCGCTACGTAATACTCCGACCAAAATCAGGCCATCGCAGCCACGCCAGCAACTCGCTCCAAGCAACTCCAGCCACACCGAGAGGCACAGCGGGCACCCTATCACGGTCAACGGAGCGCCAGACCCAGCATAGCGAAGGCGAGAGATCCATTCAGTCGCTCAGGGCGACGCGATCCGATAACAGCGAAGCGGATACTGGTTGCGGCGCGAGCGCCCGCCTCGCCCGTCGCCAATCGACGCTCTCCTCGCCCATCTCCCTCGCCGGCACGCCAGGCGATACGACACCCGGCTTGCCGTCCGGCACCTATCACCAGACGAAGGCGACGATGCAGGACGAGCAGACCGCATCCGCCGCCCCGGCGCCACTCCCTCTATCCCGCGACGAGAAGCGCGTCCTCGAGCTGCACGACCGCCTCCAGCAGCTTCAATTGGAGATCGCCCTGCTGACCGCCCAGAAGAAATACGCTCCGGGTCAGTCGCCCTATCCAACGGCTGATTTATAGGTGCCTATGTGTTGTCCGCATCCGCGTGTACGCACACAATTTGCCGCATCTCGCCTGGCTGCTGACATCTTGGTGCATCTTACCTGCTCGCAGGCTCAGGCTCGTCCGCCACCGGAGATGACGCGAATGCCGGCGTGGAGGCGGCAAAGAAGGTCCTCCTGGAATCGCGGTCTAGATACGTGCTGCGGAACCAGGTCGCGGAAAGCGTCATAGCCGCCAACCCGATCCTACAGGCGGTGCACAACGGGACCAGGGCCTCCCCTATCGAGCGGTAAGTTTTTTTTTTTTTTGGCCTGCCTCCCTAGTATCTCCCACCCGTACGCATGTTGCATTTATGTATGTGTCTACATACCTATGTATATATATCCACATCCATATCCCACCCCGTCTTTTCCGCCCGCTTACTCACCCGCATACTCACCTCGGGGCCCCGCCCGCAGAGACCTCCTCCCCCTGCTCCACTCCCGCGACGACCTATCCTCGACGCTGGCTTGGCAGGCGGCGGAGCAGCGCAGCCTCCTCGTAGCGCTGACTGAGGTCGAGGGTGAGAGCCTGCGGCTCGGGCGTGAGAACGTGGACCTCGCAGCGCGCGTGCTCGAGCTGGCGTCGCGCGCGGACCGCGAGCGGGCCGAGGCCCTCGCCGGCGCGGGGGCCCGGCCCGGCCCGGAGATCGCGCAACTCGAGGCCGAAGTCCGCCGCAGCCGACGTCGCTGGCGTGCCCTACGCGGCGTCGCGAGTGCCGTCGTCGCCGGCAGTGGCGTCGACTGGGCCGCCGACCCGGTGCTCCGGGATGTGGTGCTCGACCCCGAGGACGACGACGACTTTGTCGTGTGACACCACGGTAACCCCCAGGATCGCGGACGAGAGGAGTCATGGGGACGGGGACGGGAGGGAAACGGGGATGGGCGATGCGAGGGACGGATTTCGCTAGGTGGGACTAGAGCGATAAACGAGGACCGTCGTGACATGCTCTCCAACTCAGGAACAATCCCGCTACGTATCAACGAATAGACATACTGCTCCTGCCGCCGCCGCTGCACTCCCCTTCCCGCCCGTGCGACGCACCTGGCTTGCGCGCGGGTCGCCTCCAGATAGGCGAGTCCACCTGCGCCCGACCGGGTCTTGTTGGTCGCCCAGTAATTAAGCCCATCACCTCGCATGCCACCTCTCCAGCAAACAGATCCATGGCCCAGCGTACTGCCGATAGCAATTCTGCCGTCCGCATCACTCATGCCCTTAGCGAGCCTCGGACGGGAGAAGTAGGTAGTTGGTAGCACACCCATGAGCTCTCATTTCCTGGCTCACCTAGGTTAGGATGGATATGATCACGTGAGGGGCACGTCTGTCGGGGGGTCAATCGCAATTTTCGAAGCCCTGCCCGTCGCGCAGCATGCATTTCTGCGTTGATGGCGCGATCACAGAGACGAGGGAATGATAACTAGGCTTGGGTCTAGGCCAGTCCTCACTTCTCCCCCTTTCTCATGGCCGAGTAGAATAAAGCGCAGCTATCCGAGAATAACACGACCCAATCTAACTACGATGGGATCGTTCCCGTCTCCGATTTGACGTTGAGGGATTTGGTGTGAGGGTTCTGCGAGACCGGCGGTGCGAGGAAAAGAACGCCCCTTTCGATGCTTGCTCCCGCACGTGATGTAAACGAGACAGGTGGGTTGCGCGGAACTACATAGTTCGCCTGGAGTGCCTAGCCTAGAATTAATCAATCTGGGTTCATGATCCTGGGGAAATTCTACGGTTTTATTTTGCCTCTGCCGGAATCATCGATAGTCGCCTTGTTTGGCTATGGTGCGCCGTCGACTGTGGGGAAGAAGACAAAGGGGGAAGGGAAAAAAAACGCCATCCTACCCCGTATGTAAAATCACTCGAGGAGACGCGGGAGTACGGTGTTTGATGCACATGGGCCCATCCCTTTCTCGCTTGAGCATCGCGTTGTATCTTCTCGGCGCAGCTTGTAGCTGGTCTTGCTTGTGCAATAGGGGATGCATGTACGTACCAGGCCCGGGCAACGTGGTACCTAGCTGATGTTGCTTTGATGATTTTGGCCTAGCAAGACATCTGATGCCTCATAATCAGGAATGAGAGACAACACTCCGGCTTGCCGCTGATACAGAGTAACATGATTGACGGATCTGGACATGGTGCCTGTGTTCCATGTGCAAAAAAAAAAAAAGAAGCTGTGTGATGGTACCCATAGTCGCGCCCAAACCTTACCCGTCCCGTCCTATCTTTCCATCCCATCTCGCCTAGCCGAATCCAGGCGAGACGGGAGAGTATAAAAGCCCTCGTCAACTTATCCCGATTAGGAAGAAGGAAGCCTCACCAGTGTTCTATCAGTTTATGAGCCATGTTTTCGGCGTGTGGAAATGACGATGTCCCCAGTGTACTCCAAATTGCTACACCACCGAATTCTGTAGGTAGCGTTGAAACCCCTAGTGCTCTCGACCCAAGGCAGATCGAGATTCAACCCGGGCCATCCGCATGTGTTGTATTCTTCTGGCTACCGCTTGTGTCCGGCAGCGCGTTACAATTACTCGACGTGCCTAACCATACCGGCATGCGCTGTGTCGAGACGGTCGTACGACGCCATAGCCCGCACGGCGGGCATGCATCGCTCACTCAAGTGACAACATTATGAGGGAACGGGAAGGGTCGAAGACGACACGGAAGCTCAAGAGGCTAGCATACGGGATTTTGCGGAGTGGTGTTGCGCTGGTGCAACAACCAGCATGGCCCGAAAATGCAGCATCCTGAACATGATACTCGCGACGTGCTAGGCTATTGGCTGACGCAGGTGCTTGCAGTGTTATTATGTATCGGCCTGTGTAGACACAGTAGCATGTGTGGTTGTCCCAGGTGCCTCATCCGTCTCCAGTCCGCTGTTTGGATGGACGGTAAGAAGCGAGGGGGCGCCATGTCGGTGAGGATAGCCGCTTGGAAGATAGTAATATGCAACTACTGCCGAGTTGTCATAAATAGCAGGAGAGCTGGGATACGCAAGCCGTCGTGGGATGCTAAGGCGGCATATACGGAGGACAAGGAGCAAGGTAGGGAGGCAGACGGGTTCTACGGACGCTCTACAGGAATACCAGCTGGTGAGAGTTAATAGGGCGGAAAAGCGAGAAAGCGCGGGAGGAAAAAAAAAAGATTAAAAGAGCAAGTCGTAGATGGCACGGGAAAACGGGACAGCAGGTAAACGGTGCCTCCTCCTCTTTCTCTCTCTCTTTGTGGTGGTTGACGCCAACGACGATCGTGTGTGGCGCATGGCAGTAATTTGTTCCGCCTCATACGCTTCTGTAGGGGAACGCGCAGGCAGGGGGAGAGTGGCAGCAAGTCGGGAGGACAGTCAGACGGATGTGAAAGAAAGGGGAGAGATGGAGGAACTGGTCGTGGCGAGCAGGAGAGGGGGGCGGCAGACTCCCCAGAAGCGCGCCCGGGAATTCAGTGTGGTTGTAATCACCTGCAAAGAGCCAAACCAAGGAAGGCCGAAAAAAAAAATCATCCAGCAAGGAGTGTTCCTTATCCTCCATCTAGGGCCGATTAACAGGGAGTGGGAGTAGAGGGCCTCAAGTCACGCTAAAGGGGGACGGGCTAGGTACATTATTACATTACATGCCTTAGGTACCTAGACGCAAAATGTACATACCCGGGTAGGTACCTACCTCCTACATACTAGATACGTACATCCCTCTTGCTTTCCCGCGCACCCCGGGCGCTCAACCCAACCTGACCTGGGTCCGACGGATGGATGTTGTAGGTACACCCGAACTGACCATCTCCCTCCCCGTCTCTTTGTACACGCCTACGTAGGTCCTACGTACCCATCGCCATTAGCAGTCACATTCCTTTCGTCTGGTGCTTTCAGCCCTCCGACCGGTTCGAATCCCTACTCGTGTATAGTACAGAGCGAAATCACCGCAAGCGATGAGTACATGCCTGCATACCTACCTCCGAGTAACGATAGGCTGCAGGACGGGTTCCTAAGAATAGACGGAGGAGCGAGGTACGCAATGCGTACGTAGCAGGGCGCACCTTTTCAACTTCGGGGCGACGAAGACGTTGATGCTCATTACCCTAGGGTTGTTAACAGTCTTACCGCTAATGACTTGCACAGCCTGAGAAGTTGCATACACTATGAGTACAATCCCCTACACTCCATCCGCCTAGCGAGCGCCTCCTAACGTCCGTTACTCTACTACCTCCAACGAGTACGCCGTCACGTGATCCCCTCGCGGCCACCTGCCCGCTTTGCTGCCCGCCGCTACCCAGTATTTCCGCGTACTCAGAGAATACAGCCAGCCATACCAGGGCCTGTTTCTCCCTCCTCCATGCAAAACCATGCAGCGATCGATCGGTTTCTGAGCCGCGGAACTGCCCTGCGACAATTCCTTGCGACAGCAGGCGCTCGGCACAGGTAAATATCTGAGCCAAATTGGTATTGGATACACAGTACGCGACCTGAGGGGGAGCGTCTATATTTGGAATCGGCCATGAGGTATGTAGGCACGCCGGACCGCTTCTCTACACGTATGTGTAGAGGGAACGGCCATATATCCCATGTAGGCAACTATATAGGCGTAATGTGCTGCTTGCTGTAGCTATTTCGTCTTATACGTATAGACAATTAAGATGAAGCACCTAGCCATGTAAATATGTACCCATAAGTGGATAACGTCCATCCAGAGTGGACAACAATGGGCTTGGTTGGCTCATCACACATATGGAGAGCTTCCACGCGTTTTTAGTTCTGGGTTGGAGGGGCGGAGGCGATCCAGCAAGTACCTCTACCCATCTCCAACTAGGGATGTATACTTAAGTCACGTCTAGTCTGATCTCAGGATAGGATACGACGGGATGGGATCGCGACCTCGGGAGAAGTACCTATATGGGACCGACCTAGCCTTAAAATAGGACCTCAGCGCATGAGTAGAACATTAAAAAGATGGAATTGATGACCCTACCATGTACTTACGTACCTAGTTCGTCGGGCACGAGCAGCAATCAAACCTGCCCGCCCGTCTGAAGTACACAGTATCAGGAGCTATGCTGAAATAGGTAGGGAGCAGTTAGCACAGTACATACTCCCTTAGCCTGTCCCTTGTCCGGTCCAGTCCTCGTCGCGCTTCGATCGTGCCCTGTGTCATTCCGCTGATTGGAAAGGCCGGACGCTGAGCAGGCCAGGGAGAACACGCAACCATCTCAGGGTGGAAGAGCTTTTCATTGGAACCCAAGGTCACAGCATACATGCCTAGGTAGGTATGGCGGGGGGGGGGGAGAAGGGGAGAGGGGGAAGAAGCCAGCCTGCCAACCCATATGGCCACACGCATACACAAACACACGACTGGCATGCTGGCAGGGAGGGATAGCGAATGGGTGGATTACCATACATTCATACCTTCGCATACCTTACATGGCCACCAGGTGGAGGGGTGTGGGTAGACGGAGTGGTGGATGGCTACATGATGCTAGGAGGTAGGTAGGTACCTAGGTATGTTATCTGAGGCCGGCCAGGTCCCTGTGTACTATATACTCATACAAATTCTGCTAGGAATGATACACGGAAGGATCCCTCAGTCAATCCCTCTGCGGTCCAGGACCCATCAGGGACCGGTATGCATCAGCAAGGTACCGGACGGATGTACTGACATCGCCTCCGGGCAGCCTCCAATCCTCGGGTGCCCAACCTTAGGAGGTACCTCGAGGAGGTAGGTACCTGGGTGGGGTGCCCGCCTACCTAGGTAGGTAGACACCTCAGGGCGATTGAGCGTTGGTAGTTACACTAGGTACGGGCTCTGCGTAGGTACGTCCACGCCTTGCTTCCATTTTTGCCTGTCTGCCGTAGGTACTTAGGTACCCCTATTACCCGTACCGCTAACGAAGCTATACGTGCGCGTCTACTCATGTGGATGGATGGATGGATGGATGGATGGATGGATGGGTGTAATATACTGTAGGTATGTACACACATATATGTGTATACCTAACGTACATACCTATGTACATACTTGAGATGCAACTGGACACGCAGAGGACGGGGCAGCAGGCCGGGCTAACCTTCGATGCCACGGCTGGCCCCTATTCACACAGGTCGGGAAGAAGGGAGGTAGCTGGCTGGCTAGGAGAGGAAGCAGATAGCTGGGAACCGACGAGGCGCCCGACGCATGCATACTGGAGATTAGTACCGCAATAACAAACACCACAAACAACCCCCTACCTGCGCGCCCGCAGGAGGCATCGACCCCAGGTCGCGTTTATGTAATGTTCCTTACGCTCGTTTCGCATCGGCCAGCTGGCTGTAGGTACGTACTGCCTACGTATGAGTACGTGCAGTGCTTCCTACCTGGACGGAGCGGAGCGCAGACGGTACCGTGTGGTGCTGGCCTACACTGTGGCCCTAAGCCCGAACGCAGTCTTTGTATGCACCAGAATTGGATTTCCTGCCTCCCCCCCCTATCCAGGCCACGCACTCACCATGGTGACATGCCTCCCCTTCATAAACGGATTGGTCATGCATCCCATCTGGGTGTACCGTACACACACGAACGTACCAGGGCTTATCCGTACCCCCGTGTGGTGCGAGGCCGGTCAGAGGCAGGCCAAGACCTGTATCGACAACCTACCTTTCGCTCATCCTCATCCTGCCGCGAGTATGCCCTTTACATCAGATCTTGCGAAATCTTCCCCTTTCCCAGCCCGGAGAGAGACTCTTGCCTGCGCGCGCCGACCAGCCGGTGCTTCCAGGTGCCCAGCTCTGCATCCACGAGTCTGGCCGTGAAAGTCCCCTTTCCCTATTCCCTTTCCCCTTCTCGTTCTGGCCCGCGCTCTCTCTTTCTCTGCGGTCCCTCGCCATGTACCTACTAGACCATCGCCCACCAAGGTAGGCGGCCAGGCAAGGTACCGCTATGTGTACGTAGGTAGGCAGGTAGGCAGGTAGGCAGGTCATGTACCTGACGTAGGCGTATACAATGCCCTACCTTACCCAACTGGGTACGGGCCTTGCGCAAGGTACTGTACATATCCCATGTATCGCTACGCCCGCCCTCCCGCTACCTCCTAGTACATCCCATACATACCATGCCTCCATTACCTGCCTCTACATGCCTACCTCCTCTTCCGCCCCCCCTCACACACCCCCCCCTTCTCCCCCCCAGCAGCTGGCAACTAGAATCAGCCGGCCACTGTGTGTGCGCGTGTGTTGTTGTGTGTGTGTTGCGAGTCTGAGTGTGTCTGTCGCCCGCTTGCCCGCTTTTTGGTGCAGACCCCCCCCCTCCCCCTTTGCACCCTCCCTTAGAAATTGGGGCAGTCTTAAAGTCTGGCAACTCACACACACAATCACCCACCCGCAGTAAAAAGGCAGTAGGCCAACGCTCCCCCCCATACAAATTTCCCTCTCTTCTCCCTCATACAAATCTCCCACCCAAATCGTCTCTCCTACAAACGCGGCCTACACACAACCTCAATACCTGCTGCCCTGCGCACACACACACATACCTCGTGAGTACCTCCGTTTATATGGCACAGCACTGCAAATACCAAGTCCCTTCGACCATTTTATCCCCGTCGCCTGTCTCCCGCTCTGCTGTCCCTGTCGATGAGTGCCAGTTTTGCATCAAATCATTTTCCCCCTTTGCATCGCCGTCCGTCTGCCTTTGCAGCTCGTTTGGCTGCCTTGGGTTGGGTGGTGCATCGTCTTGGTCTTCGGCCCCGTGGATCGCCTCTCGGCCATATGCCCGTCACCCAACCCACTCAGCACCTGTGTGTATGGGCGATCCTAGCTAACAGCCGTTCCGCGCAACAGCTTCATTACTCACAACATCACTTCGCCGACACGTTAAAACCCCCCAAGGTATGCATCGACATCTATCCAGACCGATTTCGAGCTTGGAGACGCGGTTTTCACGCGTTGGCGCTTGCAATTGCATTTGCGCCTGGAATACGCCTACCCGCGGATCGCCTTGCGACCGTACTGCCCATTTACCCCTCCACTGCCCAACCAGTCGCGCGCTCGCGACGACGACAAAATCCCCTTGTATCCGCTCCTTGCCCACTCCGGCTTTTTGTGTCGGCATGCCTGCTTCGCCTCGTGTCTAGCCGTTGTGCATACCGCGGAAGCTAACCGTTCGCCTAGTCGTGCCACTATGCCCAAGGAAACCACCAAGCGCGGTAAGGCCGGCAAGGTCGAGAAGCGTAAGGGCAAGAAGGGTAAGTCCTTGCACCGTCCCTGTGCTATTTCGTTGCGTGTTGCAGGCCTTTCAGGGCAGATGCGTCGGTCGGCGCCCTCGATGGTATTCACGCCTCGCAGGCGCCATGCCGCGTGGAGATTGAATGCTATCCGCTGTCGGCGCCCCGTCCTAGTCGCTCCCCGGAGTCAATGCGCATTTGTCGAGACCTGACTGACAGGATAACCCTAGACCCCAACGCCCCCAAGCGTGGCCTCTCTGCCTACATGTTCTTCGCCAATGAGCAGCGTGAGAATGTCCGTGACGAGAACCCAGGCATCTCGTTCGGTATGCTTCACCCCTCTCCGTTCAGAGTGGCCGCGTTTCCTGTAGCTAACTCGTCGTAGGCCAAGTCGGCAAGATTCTGGGTGAGCGATGGAAGGCCCTGAACGACAAGCAACGTGCTCCCTATGAAGCTAAGGCCGCGGCCGACAAGAAGCGGTACGAGGACGAGAAACAAGCCTACCAGGTAAGGTCCCCCCGTTCTGTGAGATACCTGGAAAAGCCATGCTGAACGTGGCTGATTAGGCCGAATCCGACTAGGCCGGTGGTGATGACGAGAGCGAGTAAGGTCGCCTCATCTCGCTCTGTCCGCTCTCGGTGGGGTCATGAGGTTTCACGATGGGATGACTTCTGCATGGTCGTCGGCCTAAGAATTGGAAGCCTTAGACCGTAGGTGGATGGCACAGGTTTCCTTTCGAGTCTAATGCGTATGGGTTCGGTCGGTGTTGCGCAGGGAAAGGGACATTGTGTTTCAGTTTGCTTTACATCGTTTTCGCCGTGATGACCGGGCAAGGGTTCCGGGGATGGCCTTGACCTGGTGGCGTTGTCGCACTTGACTTGAGCTGCCTACGGTCAGAACGTAGTACGAAGCCATCAAGTTGGTGCCCACCTATTCTCGACAACGCGGTGTACAATATCTTCGCTCTTGCAATTGACGAGGGTTGCTAGCACATGTGTCTACCTGTCTACTGTTACCATCTGGATGACTTGCATGCTTGCCCATCTGTCCGCCTGCATCTACATGCGTACCTCAGGGGCAGGTAGAACAGCTCGACAAGCCAACCAGGCCGGCGTCATGCCACGTGGATGATCCTGGTTCCCGGTTGGACCCGTCCCTCCATTGCATCCCATCCTTTCCCTCCCTCCCTCCCGCCATCCACCGCCGCGAGTCAGCCTGCGCGCGGCAACCAGATCCGCGTAAAGATCTGGTTCCGAAGGTCCGGACCTGATGGCCAGGGGTCAAATGGTTTGCGTGTAGGGGGGTCAAAGGCCTGCGCGAAATCGATGGGCCATTCCTCAGCCTCCTGATACACTCAACTCACCTGCCTACCCCCCTACTCCGCTTATACATAAAAATAAATTGGACATGAGGCTCGTCCTCCCCGTGGGACAGCGCGTCTCCGTCATCTTCGGCGCATCGTCACATGAGCAAGGGGAGTGCAATTTTCCCGCCTTTACCACTCGCTGTATTGGTATCCTTACGCATGCACACGAACACAGAACGCGTAGGTATATAAAGAAAGGCGCACGTATGGACGTATGACCACTCGTTCCGTGCGGCATAGCTCTAACCTCCCTCGAAGGCTCTCCCTAAGCTACAGCAGCCTTCGGGATCGGCCGCACTTATTACCGGATCCTGGAACAGATCCGCGTGGCCATTGCGGACGGCCGTTGGTATGGGTATCAGGCCATGGACGTGGGGTAGATGTCGGTCAGTCTCAGTACCCAATCGCCGGCTCCCTCTACACGTCGTAGTTGTCGCCTGAGATGGCCTCATCGATTAGGTATGTAGTCATCCCCTCTCTCCCGCAGTAGCATCGACACGCGGGTATCACACACAGTGCTCCCTAGGATATCTTCTCCGTCATACGGCAGCGAGCTTGGCCGCGTACTTATCTAGCCCTCCCACACTGTCCGGATCGGCAGCAAGATCTGACGCCCTTCCCCTTCTCCCGTCTACCCCGCCGAGTGGTGGAGCCAAGTGGTAGAGCCAGGTGGTAAAGCAGCTGTCCATCTCGGTCCGGGGGTGAAGGCAAATGCACGCAAGTGTATATAGCAGGCCAACACAACCAAACATCGGGTTAGGATTCACGAAACACACAGTATCCCTCCCCTCTCCCTCAATCCGCCCCCCTGCCCCCCCTCCTCCTCCGTCTCCATACGTGTACGTCGATCGGAGATGACGCTGCTGTCCTCTTTGTCACTCGCATCCCGGCCGATGCATCCTCCTCCTCCAAATTTGAATCGCACTGAGAATCCTGCGGTAGCCTGCCGGCGAGCGTCAGATGGGAGTGTACGAATATATGGACATACACCCGCATGTTTATATATATGTAGGTATATATATATATCCCCCGCGACGCATTATCCGTAGATTTACCCCGTATACACTCTAGGTGTTCGATTCTCTGGGGCGAAGAGATAAATGTCTCCCTTCTGGGTCTGGCCCGACCGCCTCAGCAGCCGCCACGGCGTCTACTCCGGATCTTCTAACACGCCAACCATGAACCAGTCGACGCCTTCGGCACCTGGGGAGACAGACAAGCGAGAAGAACTCGTCGCCGAGACCTATCTAGTGCATCACCAACAAGCCAGAAATGAACCCCCGCCGTGAGTTTCCCATTCGCCATCCCCCTTCGTCTTTCGCCTGGTCTGGGACGCTCCAGGGCCACCGATAAACAGGCCGCTCGGGGAGCATCGCATCGCATCGCATCGCATCGTCAAAACACCATCAGAGGCGCCCCCCCCCCCCCCTCCCCCCACTTGTCCAGTCCGCTGTCGTCCTTGCATATTAGGTACTTATGCAAGTCTTTCCCCATCTCCGCTGTGCGAAAAGTAGGAGCTTATAGCCGCTCTACACCTGACCCGGCCTTGCGGCCAGCAGCTGTCCAATCCCTGATGCATATGGCTGTTTAGAGTCTTGCAGCCGGGCTTCGTGGCAGATGCTCACTTGAGTCGGTAAGGTTTAATGATGCCGCATCCGCATACTCACTACCACACAGGCAGATATCCGGGCCGCTGGCCAAGCCAACTGCTTGGTTCTATTTTATTTTATTTTATTTTATTTGTCCCTCTTGCATTCTTCCGCCCTTCCTTTCTTAGTAGCCCTCTCGCATGTTTGGGTGTACTCGGCTCGTCTGCTTCTCTCTACTGGATCTGGTTCCTCTCAATTCTGCTCAATTCCATCCATAGCTGGTGTCCCGTAGCACAAATTTTCCATCTCATCTTTTGCTCACCTTCGTTTTTTTGGTAACCCCCAGATTCTACATCACGAGATCTTATCGCCAATTAAACCCGGCCGCCAGCTTACTATCGCTTCACCCGGATCACCTCACGCGCGATCCAACCAGCTCCATACTAGCCAGACAGTAATGAGACCTCGAATCACAAAATAGTCTCACCACACTCCAATCTCCTCATCGTATACTATTTCGTCACCAATCCACTGCCGGTTGCGCTCCGCACTCCACACCCGCACACCACCCCATCGGGACCAGTCCGCTCTGATAGGGAATGAATGAAGACCTAACACGTCACCCCCGCCGCCGTTGGGCTCTAGACATACATCACCTACGTCCGAGTTCTTGTACGGGCATCCCTTCGCCGAGTCTTTTGAACCCCTCCTCGATGGGTGAAGTGCGCTCTGTTTTGGGCCCTGCCTGATCTTACTAGTCACCTAAGGCCGATCTCACCCCCTCCCCCTCTTAACTGGCGGGGTATAAACCGGGACAGAAGCTATTCGGATTCTGGCCACCCCAGAAGTTGTTGGACAGAAGAGCATACAGAATAGACGAACAGACAAGGAGAATATCGAGGTGCTCTAGACGGTATTGTGCCACCATTCCGGCAGATTCTTTCCCTCTGCCCTTCGTCACCCCGAACGTCACACACGAATCACGCCGTTCGGTGGTCCGAGACATAATTACGTCTTGTTGTGGCTGCGGAGGAGAGGCTGGAAGGCTCTTGGGTTCGGTGATGCTACCTATCTCACCTTTTCTTTTCTCTCATCATCATGGGTCACTAGTTTGTTGAGGATACCACGGATCCCTATGCCACCACACAGAACAGCTTCCGCCAGGATGGCAGCTTGTGAACTTGGTCCTCAATTGCTCAATGGCTGCTTGCACGAGGCCCATCGCACCGAAATTGTCGCCTTCAATCTTCAAGGCCTGCGAGATTCTCTCGCGCAAAGCCTCCAACCCCACCTTAGCGGGATCATTGGGGAGATGGCGAACACAAGCCGGTTGTTGAAAGACCTCGCGGAGCAGGCTCAGATACACCTTTCTCAGTTGCCGGTCGTAGTCGACTACCTCAACGTCCTCCTACCATGCCTGTGCAGGACGCTCCGAGATATAACGGCGTACTATGCGGATAAGTCTATGGATAGGGAGCACCGCTGGAGAACCATGTACCACAAGATGGGCAACGAACTTCCGGGAACGACTCTGCCAGCTAGGTTCATCATGTACAATCAGTTCCTGGTGCTTCTGCAATATCTTCTATTGAGGTAAGACCTTCTCTGGCACCCTGGACGACCCGTTCCTAGCGCTTACACGCTACCCGTTCACACAGATCTCCCAATTTTGATATGAACGCGATGGAGAGTCTTCGAGCACGCATCATGCTGCTGCGCGAGGCTAGGAAGATACGTCAGTAGCTCGTTGCCTTCCATGCCCTTATAACGTGGGCCTGCGGCTAACCTATGCCTCCTAGCCCCTCCTAGTTCTATCAGACCTGATTATCTCCGGCGCTATGAGGCTTTGGACTTTTGGAACCAGGAAACGGTTAGCCCCCTGGCATCTATCCCGTTGAGGATGGTGGCGTTGACTCTTGATAGAATTCTCATTGGGCCGAGGCGATCTTCACTCAACCACTGCCAACCCGGAGAGAATTCAAGAGACAAGGATGGTTAGTTCCGCTTCAGCCTATATATAGAGCGTGAGGCCCCCTCGAATTTTGCTGACGCGGCGTAGTACGGATGCTTTTGGCCCTATGCAAATGCTCGGCTACCTCCCGCCCCTCCCCCTCGGGGTTAAGATACTCGTAAAACGGTACGCCTATGTTTTTATTTTACCTGCTTCTGCACTAGTCGGCGTAGCTGGGCAGTTGGACTAAGTCACGAACCAGATCATTCGACAACGACCGCGTTTCGGTGATCTTCTTCCTGCAGCTCAAGAACCAGGCGCCATCCCTCTTAATCCGTTCGAAATGGATGAATCAAAACTGGGTTTCCATTCTAGGAGTGCACGAGCTGGCCATTCGAAGAGATTCCGAGTCGGTTTTGTATCTGTCGAGGTGGAGTAGATCAGAGGACCGAGCCAAACCCTGGGCAAATCTAGCCTTCTTAACGTGGGAAGGTCGGTAACATCGTTTTATAATCTTAGCAGAACGACACAATGGTTGTGAGTAATCGAGCTGACGAGAAGCAGAGATGGTGCTCTTCTACTGTACTTTCCTATGTCTGAGAGTCCGAAGTGAGCTCACTGTCAATATCAGACCCTCGGAGTTCGAGTTGCGTAAGGAGACTCGACTTTTCCAAGCGTAAGCTACCCAGGCCCTTATTGCGTTTTTAATGGGCAAACTGACGGTGGACGAACTTGATAGCCAAATCCATGACGACGGGTACAGCCATGTTCTCATGGTACTCGAGGACGCTGCCACGGGAGGCCGTCGCCTCCATGCGGCTGTCTGGGAAGGCAAGCTCGTAGCATGCCCCATATGGACGGCGTTTAGTATGTGCCCGACCCCCCCTATTTCACACTTCTACCGACCCTCCCATTCCTAGCGTCGCTTTCCTTGCAGCGACTATATCTCTTTTGGCCGTCCGTGATTAACCACCATTCGCTCATGATTTAGTCCCGCAGAACGTATCCTCCACCTGGCTGCAGCGGAAAACAGACCGCCGCGTCTGGCTACGGGATCTCCAACCGTACGTGTTCTACGATAAATACCAGCCGCACAACCAGCGGCGAGGGCGATACGGTGCCTTCGAGATCTGCTTCGTGAATAGCGAGGCTGCGGATAGGTTCCAGGAGCTGTTCGCGCCGTCGCCGGCACCGTCTGCCGGCACCGAGTCCACCGGGAGCACCAACGAGACCCCTACCGAGACGGCTAGTTAAAGAGACTCCTACGAGGGCGGATCAGACAGCGCGCCCACTAGTAACGCGGACAATGCAGGGAGGTGTGAATTAGGAAAGCGACGGAACGGGGGATGGCAGAGGGAGAATGGCTTGGAGAGCATCATCCAGGAAGAGACGCGCGCCGCATACAACACCTGGTAATCTGTGAATGGAGAATATGCCGCGTAGGAAATGGATTACGCTGAGGAGAAGACTACGACGAGACGAACGATAATGTTAATAGAGAACAACGCCGCGATGCGAACGACACAGCTGGCTCGCACAGGAGGACCTTTCGCTCACGACGCCGGCGAAGGAACCCCATCCTCCGACACCACCCCTGACCACGGCTCGCCGTCGTGTAGACGACAGCTCGACTCGACACGACGACACTCATATCTAACTACCTTCCTACCACAATCCGCATACTCCCGCGGTATCCCACGGCCCCCCTCCCGGGCGAAACCGGAGAGGGGAGCACGCACACACGCATCCACACACATAGACATAGCTTGCTCGCGCGAACCCGGAGGAGAGAAGCAGCTCCGTTCCGCGCGTACGGCATTCCTTTGTAAATATCCCCGACCTACCTACTGCATACGGGTATCCGGCACATACCCAGCGCACGACAGGACGGACGCGACCACGAATGACGACAGCTACGATTGCGATTGAATTCATCGATTCCCCCAGAGCATTTCCTTTCCTTTCCTTTCCTTTCCTTTCACTTCCTCTCCTCTTTTCTCGTTCCTTTTCTATCCCTGCTTTCCTTTTTTTGTCCTTGCTGATCTCTGGTTGCTATCTCCACCGCCCTCTGCTTCTCCCATAGAGGGGGGGGGGGAACCGACTACTATCTCGCATCGACGCAACGACATCACGACGACGCGCCGCCCCCCATCGCACGTCTCCCGTCCGCATTCCTGGCAGCTTCTAGGAGAGAAGAGAGCGGCGCGCGGGTGGGACGGCGCCGGAGGAAAAAAGCCATAGGCGAGGTAGTATCGAGCGATGGCTGATGGGGTTTTGATCCTGGGAGGCTTGCCCGGCTTGCGCGTTGAGCGCCTCTTGACTGATGAATTGGCTGGTTGACTGTTTCCGGCATTTTATGGTGCCATTCTCTGTAGAAGCTTGCGCTTCTCTTTTTTTCCCTCTTTCCTCCTCTCTCATTAGATATCCAAGCTCATGAGGAAAGGGGCGTGACGTAGAGGGAAGCGAGCAAGTGAGGCTAGCTTGATGGTTGCGGGAGTGCGCGTTTTCGGTGACGAGGAGCGAGGTCTGCGACGGCTGTCTCGTGCCGGTCAGCCGGCGGGTTCCGCGGGATGCCAATCCCGGAAGAAGCACCTCGCTGGCTGGTCGTGGTGCTGGCGACGGACCGTAGGTGAGGGAGATCGGGAGATTGCTGTCGTGTTCTGCTATCACCATGCGCGCAGCTGCACAGAATATACAGAGAATTTCTATTGCCGTACTGGCTATCCCGAGGGCGATCCTGTCACCCGACGCCGCGCCTGGGCCGTGCGACGACGAGAGTGAGGGATGCTAGGCATTTTATGAGGCCTGATTGTGTGTGACCGAGATGTCCCGAAGCCAGACCGGGAACTAGGAGACGAGACGCGGAGGACGCCGCGCGCGATGTCATTGTTCTTGTGGACGTGTAGAGGCAACACGAACATGCTTCCCCTGCCGCGGCTGCGCGCACTAGACGCTGGTTGCTAGAGCACACCGCGCCGGAGATGGCGAACAGCGGGACAATGGGGCCGTCGCCTAAGAGGCCGTGCGTAACCGCCCTCACTACCGTAATCCACGGTAGGCCGGGCTGTGCGGCCCGCCCTATCTAGCTGAAAGAGCACCACGAGTAGGGCTGCGATGCCACGTAGTGAGTAGCGACGCTGAAGATGATTGCGCCGACGAGGGATGCTCCTCCTGGCTGGCATCCACGACGGGCCGCATTCAGTAGCGGGCGCTAGCTACTCTAGTTCCTGCGCGCATCGAGAGGAGGAGGGCGCCGTGGCGGCTCCTTGGCGGCTGAATCTTCTCTCCTTGTCGAGTCGCCGCGGCGCTGCATTGCTGTGTGGTGGGGTGGGATAGAGAGAAAAAGAGTCGAAGCAGTGAGGCCGTTAGGGTTTAGGCCGGTTGCGCTGCCCTAGCTGGGACTAGAGATCTGAGAGACGGGTAAGCTGAACAAGATGGCAGATGGCAGATGGCAGATAGGATCGTCTGAGACGATGACAAGAGGTGCGTTACGTAAAACGAAGACGCCTACATTCTACGACTTGCAGATGTAGTAGGCTCATAAGGGCTGATTCCGGACGTGATAAGGTGTTAGTTCACTCTTATTTCTACCTATATAGGTATATAAATACAAGCCCCTCTTTTCGATGCTGCTGCGCGTTGTGCTGGTTAGTGGGTAATCTACAATGATGGAGCAGCCCGTAGGGTCGGTATTGTGTTGGTAGATATGAGGTATTATCACAGAATCCCAATCCTCGCTTGGCTACCCGAGAGGAAAAAACACAATTCCGAATTTGGTAACGCGATAACAGACCCGGGTACGATACGCCATTCCCGGGTCGTGCCGCGTGTCGGCCCGGCAGCTGAAGCGGCCTCTAGATGTCTAGCCTCGAGTGACAGAGACGAGACGCGGCATTAGGGCTCCTTTGCGGATGGGCGTGTTGGTTCTTATCTTGTCTTAGACTAGCCGCTGAGTCGCACTAGGACGACGCTTACCCCCCCATTGAAAGGTGCAGTGGCTCGTCGGCGTTGGCGAGGATTCGTGATTATTCTTGATAAGGGCACGGAAAGGCAGAGAGGCGGACGATCTCGCATCCTTGCGACTCCTAACACGCTTACATGGCATCATCTTCGCGCTGACGTCGTATCGAAGGGCGTAGAGGATGATGCAACGTCTAGGCGGTTGCAAGCATGGGTTTCGCCGGCGACGATGCCTCAATTTCGCGACTGGAGGTTAGAAGCGACACATTAGGCGGGCGGGCGTGTAGAGGCGACAAGAGCCACTTGTGTATGCTCTCAAGGTATTGTGGAGCTGCTGGTGGCCCTCCGTAGTTGGCATTGCGCATTGCCCTTGGCAACTCTCTAGCTGCCTCATATCCTCCTAAGAAATCGTCATGGCGTGTCTTGGTGATACCTTATATTCTTAACGCCGCTGGGCTACACTAGGTATGTCGCAAGTTACGCTCCGTGCGAGCCACCCATAATAGTCTTTGAGCATGGCTAACCGAAAGCGCGGGGATGAAAGCAGGGGGGTAGGAACCAAGGTAAGACTCTCGTGGAGCTGTAGTACACGCAGCGAGGATTCGTAGGTAAGTGGTTGCTGCTTCTCGCCTAGTTGGTATACCCCGTGAACATCAACGGACAAGCGTGGATATGCCATTCGTCCGATGGATGATGCTATTCAGTGCCTGAGATCCGGGGCGCCACCACGGCAATGGCTTTTCTGACGTCGGGTTTCATTCGCTGAATAAACCTCTGGGTTACTGCTTATGGCCATACTCGTTGCGCCAAGCTGCTATCTTGCCGGGACCGTTATCTCAAAGATGCCTGCTCCGTGTTGCACATGAGCCCTTGGCAACAACTCGTGACCTTCCGCCGATCACTTCGTTCGACTCGTTTACGGACCTAACGATCGTTAGTTTTGAGGGCCGGGCTCACGGGTTACCAACAACATTGGCTTCCCATGCCCCTGTTCGACGGCGACTCACACACAGCTATCTCGCAAGTCCACGATTGGCCTTCCTTCTCATCCAATGCACGCCCCTCAGTTCCGTCTACTCGGGTCCTCACCACGGCGCTGTTCACCGCCTTCTGGGGGTTCTCCCTTATCGTCTAGGGCCTCCTCCTTCAGCAAAGTCTTCTTCACCAAATCCTAGCCTGCAGCGCAATGCAGAGTGTGTATTCGGAGTGGGCAGAAACCTGAAATAAACCGTTCCCTGTGAATTTTTGGCTTAGCTACATATAGATGTGTATATCAGCATCATTCGCCTGGCGGTACTGGGACGTGCTCTCGAGTCGCCTTCACAACCTGAGAAAGCGGCAGGGCCATGCTAAGATCTACCCCACCAGTAGATGACCTCGTAGAGTCGATCCGCAGTGTTCGTGGGGATCCGCATGCACGGCGCGCATATCGACCTTTCCGCTGGTAACCCCTTGCGATGGCGTGCTGAGTCGGGCTTAAGCATTGGCTGATTTGTCGAACCCATGGTTTAAAAAATAGGCGTAGATCTGCCTCTGGTCCCCAATCTGGTGTCTGAGTCCTCCCGCAGTCGACCTTTAATGCCAATGAGTAGTCGTTATTAGGGATGAGAAAACAAGGGGGATTGGCCTGTCAGAGCACAACCTGGAGGCTTGGCGGAGGTAGGGGGATAATCTTACTCTACGTACTGAATTTACCACAGACATAATACCGACCTGATAACCTAGAGAGGTACGCCGTTCTTGCGGGCCGACAGTCTGTGCCAGCTTGGTGATGTGGGTATCACATGCGCAACACAACCAACATTACTTGATGTTGGGTCGACGCTCTTACCTATCGAGCCCCCATCTCTTATGATTTCCCTGTGCCGTATGAGGCTATACCCACCCTGGAGAGCCGGAGGTGCCACACCCTTGGACTGGCGGGTTAAGACGTGGTCCCTGTGCCAATGCGTAAGTGGTCCTTCTGCAAAGAGAGCCCGGCAAGGGTAAGCAGTTCAGAGCTAGCAAACCAATTCGATTGTTACCTTGCATGGTCCCATCTATGTATTGCATCAATAGTACTTGGCCTCGTAGTGCTGCGAACCGACAACCCTGCACGGCGACTCGGCATGACACCTCACATCTTTCGACTTTCCCAGCTCTGAAAAGACCGACTTGGCACGCATATCCCCCGATCCCAGGAACAAGGTCGCCCACTTACTCTCTCAAAGACTGCCATGGTGTAGAATCTTTCGGTTGAGGTGATTCGTTCCAAGATAGTCTACCAACCACTGACGGGTCTGGTGATAACCCTGGGGTGAAAGGGTTGCGCTAAGATTTGCGACCCGATTACGTGTATTCGGCATAGACTCAGCAACTAATACCATCTGGTGGGGGGGGAGCTCAGCGAGGGCATCCGCGTCGCATTGGAAGGATGTCTCGGACCGCCCCTGAGGCCGACTTGGGCACCTTTCGTGTTGCTACCGCGCTATGACGGAACCCGAAGAATGTATAAGTATTCTCGGACAGGGACGATCTTTACAGTTCGTTCGTTGATTCTTCTCACCTGTATTCTATTTCTGAAGGGACCCTCACCATATCTTGCTCTCCATCATGGCGCCTATAGACCACTCTAAGCACGAGAAGCCCACCCAGGTGTGGAAGTCGCTGGAGGACGTATGTCTGCCCGCTCGGAGCTATGACATCGAGTTTTGGTGGCAGGTCACAGGCTACCACCTGGCGAAGATGGTAGAGGCGGCGGGCTATCCTATTGAGAGGCAATACGAAGTACTGCTCTTTCATTACCACTGGATCGTAAGCACGCCCGCGTTGCGCCCCACAGCGACGCCATGTTATCTAACGTTCGCGAAAGGTTCCTCGGCTAGGACCGGCGCCTGGTGCCGATGGTCTTCCGAAGTGGAAAGCTCTCATGGCCCATGACGGCTCGCCTCTGGAATACTCGTGGAAATGGAACACGACAAACTCGTTACCCGAAGTCCGTTACTCGTGGGAACCTTACAACCCGGGCGCAGACTCGACGGCGAACCCACGCAACCACGAAGTCTCCCTCGACTACATGAAGCACATCTCGAAGGTCGTCCCGCAAGCAGACTTCACCTGGGCGCGCCACTTCCTCTCCGAGATCGAAACGGGCGACCGGCCGACCTCGAATTTTCTCCACGCGGTCGAGTTCCACCGCAAGAAGCCGTTCGACCTGAAATCATACTTCCTACCGCGGGCCACTAAGCTCCTCGAAGGGGGAGACTCTGGGGTTATGAAGGAGTGGGATGACGCCGTCGTGAAGCTCGACCCGAAAAACCCTACCCGCGAAGTGCTGAGGAAATTCCTCAAGACCAATCCCGAGGGGCAAGCGTTATCACCAGTGTACGTGACAAATCCTCTTCCTCCCCTTGCGTCTGTTCCCCAGTGCTGCCGGGGGGGGGCTCCCAGCCAGGGACCCGCTCGTCGGAACGCACGGAGACTGAAGCTAACACATTGTTCGTATCATAGTGTCCTGGCCATGGATGACGTGTCACCGAGCAAGTCGCGCCTGAAGATGTACTTCCTCACGTCCCACACGAGCTTCAAGGCGCTGCGGCAGATCATGACGCTGGGCGGGCTCGTCGACATCCCGGAGGAGAGCCTGCAGGAGATCCGGTCGCTGATCACGACGATCCTGGGGCTGCCGGAGGACTTCCCGGAGGACGCGAACACGCCGGTGCAGCCGCCGATCGGGAAGTCGTGGGTGGAGACGGAGAACCTGTTCGAGTGCTTCGTGTACTTCTTCGACATCGCGCCGCAGAACGGGGTGCCGGACGTCAAGTTCTACCTGCCGACGCGGCGGTACGGCCCCGACGACCTGGCCATCGCGCACCGCACCATCGAGTGGATGAAGGCGCGCGGCCGCGGCGCCTACGCCGACCAGTACCTGCAGATGATGGAGGCCGTCGCCGAGCACCGCGGCCTCGAGAACGGCAAGGGCCTCCACAGCTTCATCAGCTACCAGGTCAACAGGAACGGCGAGCCCGACATCAAGACCTACTTCACCTCCGAGACCTACCACCCCACTCGCTTCACCGGCAGGGACAACACTACGAATGGCACGAACGGCACGAATGCCACAAACGGCACGAACGGCCACGCTCTATGAGACGGACGATGAGACGGACGTATTTTTGCTAAGGCTTGAACCCTCTATCTAACAGCCTGTCGCGTCCAGGTATAGTTAATTATATAGATACCACCCATGATTAATCACAAGTTTCACGTAAGAGAGGGACGACTTCCTCCCTACCCCCCATGAACAGCTGTGAGTATGTACGAACGAAAAAAAAAACTCGTTCCGTTACATAGTTTCTCTCACTACCAAGAAGCTCACCCGGATGATCGTGTCTGCAATGCACTCCGATTACCGAGGGTTACCAGTGTCCACAGGCTATTAGTGAACCCTATGTAGGGGACAAGTCTGCCTAGGGGAGGGTTTGCCCTAGGTAGGTACGCGTTTGTTTTTCCCTGTGGAGAGGGCCGATTCCGGGTGCACGTGTATGTGTTTTTTTTCCCTTCCCCTTTTCATTTCCTTATTCGATCGCTGATATCGTGAGAAGGATCGCCTAGCTGCGTGCGTATAGTAGGTGTTAGTTGATCCAGCCTATGCGTACCCTCGACTTTCTCTTACCGGGCTAATATGATGAATCGTACTTTGCCATGCCGTGCCGTACACGTTCCGCCTCGGATCTAACCACATATGTGCTGAGATACTACGTCGTTTCCAACAAGGTAGCATCTACTATGCCTGTTTGTCTCTCGGATAACCCGGTTGAGGGATGGCCCATGTAAAGGGGCAGATGGGGGAAAGCAGGGGGGGGTGGATGCGGTCCTACCAGGGACCATCACCGCCCCCACGCTAACCTGCGCGTTTGGGGTCTCATTGTCTTGGTGTCGTGTAAATTTCTCATCCTATCCCCCTCCTGATAATATATGCTTTTTCCAGTCGACCCCTCGACCGTGGCTTTGTTGCGAGAAGCGAAGGTAGAAGTAGCCGTGGCGTTGATGGTGTGTCTAACTCTCGAGAACATTGTCTTGTCGCCTAGACAAAAACAAGTAAAAAAGAGGTTGTTTCCGTCCAGACTGGCTCTCGGAGTGGAGAAGGTGGTGGAGATGACACGGGAGAAGGGATAGATACGTAGGCGAAGGCAAGGGAGCCTTGAAATTGATAGGCACCTTATGTCCTGGCTGCTCATACATGGACGTATAGTACGTAGTAGTCTACACGTATGTGAGCATGTGTGTAGTATCGTAGGTATGGGAGACAGCCATACTGGCGCCACTGTGGCTACTAAAGCTGCTGACTCTCGTTCCCCCCTCTCGCGATGTGCTCATACATGACTCGTCGCGTTACACGTCGGCCAGCGAGGACCGGAATGAAACGCCACGCTGGAACGTCTCTCGTTAGGTACACCCTTCGCGTGCCCGACACATGGGCACATGGTAGCGAGCGCCTGCGCCACGTGCGGCGGCGCGCTTTGGCGTTTTTTACGTCGACGACATCCCGTCGAACAACCTGTATACTTACCGGCCAGCCACAGTATCGATGTTGACCTGACCAGAGGGATTCGCATCCGCAGAGCCTATCATATAGGTCCCAAACTTGTGGAGCTTTGCTGGGGAGGAGGCATGCTCGCGCAGGTGGGCTCTGCATGTCAGCTGCGTAGGGAGCTATATATACCTATATTATATGGGAATATGCGTATCGGCCGCCCAATATGGGTGAGGTGCCACTGGATAAGAAGGATTGGTCTCGGGGCGTATGTTGTTGCGGGGTGCGCTACTTCGATGCACTTTAACTTGACAGAGCTGTCATGTAGACTTACTGGTGCCTCCCACTCATCATTCGTAAGAACACCACCTCTTTACACTCTGTAGAGGTTAGAGGCAGATGGGTGTTACCGCGTTCGTACGACAGTCCGTTACCGGCCACATAAAGTCTGGTTATGTAGAGAGTTATGAGGCCCCACGTCCAGGCGGAAAGTGTGGGCACCTACATGTCCCTACGACGGGTTCGTCGGCAAACACGCAGCTATATAATTAAGAGATAGCAAGCCGATGGCGAGTTCAGTGGTCGTCATTCAATCCTAAGTCTCCCGGATCTACCGGTATAGCCTGCCGAGAGCTACTGAGAGCTCCGCTGTCCAAATAGCACAGCTCGTCCGGGTTGCAGAGCCGTGAAGAAGCTTGGTTACTAGAACTACGCCCTCCCAATGCAAATACACCATGTTCCCGTGTAACCGCCTTACCGCCTTGAATTAAATGACATATTGCACAGGCAAGGAAGGCATTTCGAGCCGATATAGCGGGTGCTAGTGGGCAACCTTGACACCCCGCATCCGAGTCCCACGGCTTAGTTCGTGGGTATGGGGTTGGAGTAGCCGAAGACATTGTTCGGGTCCCACTTCTTCTTGAGCGCGATGAGACGGGGTAGCTTGTTGCGGCCATAGATCTGCTCGGCGGTCTCGTCGCCCCAGGCGTAGTTCACGTACGCCGACAGCTCCGGGTAGCCCGACGTGGCCTGGAAGTCGTCGCGCAGCTCCAGGCCGAAGTTGTTGGCGATCTCGCTCAGCGGGTTGTCGAGGCCCGGCCAGCGCATCTGGAGCATGCTGCGAGTTTGGATCGTTGCGTCAGCTGGGGGCTACTTGTCGCATGGGGTTATGGGGTTAAAGGGGGAGGGGGCGACTCTTACAAATTGCCCTTCGCGTCTCTCCAAGGGTAAGCCGTGGCGCCGTCGGGGACGGTGGACACGGCACCGTTGTGGAACGTCTCGAGGATGAGCCCCGAGGCACGGGCGTCGGGGTATTTCTTGTAGAAGGCGTCTATCTTGTCGAAGGCCTTGATATACGTCGGCGCCGAGAATTTCCGCACGTTGAGCGTGTGGATGCTGTGGATTCCAGCCTTCGTGTCGCAAGCGGCCTCGATCAAGCCGTTCATGATATTCAGCGGGATCTCGTGGAACGGGATCTGCTGAGCGCGTGCGACCGGCGGGTTGAGGTCGAAGAACGGCTTGAGGAGCTCGCGAGCCGGCGTCTCAGGGCCGGTGTAGATGAAGGTGCCCATGATGACAGTCTTGAAAGATGCGCGTAAGCGCCCAAGGTCACGCTACAGTATCGGGTAGGTGTGAAAGGGAAATAAAGGGGGGGGGGCAGAGGAGAGTTGTCTAGACTTACCGAGTTGCTAGCAGGATCCCAGAAAATAGCACTGGAAAAGCCTAGTTCCGCGGGCCGGTTCTCGAATTTCTCCACAATGTTGAAATACTGCTCCTTAAAGGTGGCTGGGAAGATCAGGTCGGCGTAGAAGACCTGTCCGCCGTTAATCTGCTTGGAAAGCTTGTAGGTCGCCGAGGTGACGATACCGAAGTTGGCCCCAGCGCCCCGAATACCCCAGAACAAGTCTGGGTTCGACTTCTCCGACGCTTCGACCAGTTCGCCCTTCGCCGTGACCAACCGCACGGAGACCAGAGCGTCAATGACCAGGCCAAAAATACCCGACATGTATCCTATTCCGGCGCCAAGGGTAGAGCCGACGAAGCCGGTGCAGCTGCAAGCGCCGGAGGCTATTCGCAGCATCAGCACTATGAGGCTATGCCACTCAGCAGGGAGTATCAGACATACGCATCTGGTAGCCCGCATCGCGAACAAGAGGGACGACATCGCGGATCTTAGCACCGCCACCGACGGTGACGGTGGAACTGGCCTTGTCGATCTTGACGTCCTTGAGGCTACTCAGGTCGAGGGCTAGGCCGTCCTGAAGCTTGGAGAAGGTGGTACCATAGCCGTGGCGCCCTCCCATAGCGAGGAACGGTATCTTGTTAGCCGTCGCGATTTTGACCTTGATTGTGCGCATAGCGCATACGATTAGACCATAGATTCCCATATATGCGGAAAAAGACCCTACTTACGACCTGAATCACCTCTTCCTCACTTGACGGCGTGATCACCGAGGTAAAGTCCGGACTGCCGTAGGCATTCCACCGCGTAGTCGCGTCGGTAAAACCGGCGTCGTCCGGGTAGAGAACAGTGGTCTCAGGAGGCCACGATACATTCTTGCTCGCGAGGGCAGATGTCGCTTCCATGGTGACACAGGCCAGGGCCAGGAAAGTCTTCAGCGACTGGTGCTTCATCTTGTCGTCAATACGCTGCTGATAGCTTCACCTCCGAGATGATAGGATGGAAGAGAGCAGAGGGAGGGGGGGGGGGGGTGAACTTACTCGAGTTTATAAAAAAGTGTCTCAGACACGAGAGGCTTAGTCTGATGCCTACGCCGGTTGTTCAAGGGGTACTTTCTCGAGCCGGAAGTTAGCCCCTTAGACTATTGAATACACGTAGATAGCTGGCCGTAATTGCTAGCAGCGGGTTGTGATGCCATGCTATTATCCACATCGCTACGGGCCATCGGACATTTTATCATCCTTATCGATGACGGGGCAGGCTGCCCTGTCAGCGTCGATGGGTCCCCCGCAACGTACGACGGCCGGTTTCCTGCGTCGTCGGCGGCGCCCTTAGCAATGCGGTCGATTCTTACCTGTCGACCAACAGCATAGATACCTGCGCTGCTGTAACATGAGGTGGGCCACGTACTGCGAGGGTTACATGTCCAGTAGGATGCGCAGCACATGTTTATCCCTGCCATTTCGTGCCTGTGTTAGTACAAATGCGGCAGCTAATTACCAACTTCGTCGGGAAGCTTGGTCGCCAACACTACTAAACCACGTGCGGTTGAAGGATGCTACCGAGTTGCGAAGGATCGCGGGCTTGACGCAAGAGGTTTAATCCTCGACCCCCTAAGATGCTTGGGCCGCCGGGTGTGGATATTGTGGAAGCGGGTAGGGGAAGATGAGTATGAGCCTCGCGGGAAACTGCCTGAAGTGAGCATTTCCAGGGGCTTTTGCGATGAGGATCGCGGGCCGTCGCGACGCGCACTAGGACCATTGCTCTCGACTTCGCTTCATGCGCCGGTAGCATCGCCGGCAGTTCTAGCTCATCGAGAGTCGTTTACGATCGTTTAAACCCGTTTGCTACCTTTGCTGAGAAACTTCGTATATCAAAGTGTCCCCCGTCAGGCCTCGGCTAGAGAGCGTTCTCGAGAGGCTCTATAACTAAGCTATAGAGATAGAAAGTAGGCCTAGACGCACCCTGAAGTTTGATTTCAACGGCATAGGTGGGGTGATGAGTAGAGTCCCCAGAAGCGAACGTAAAATCCTACCTGTAATTAATGTAATTCATGCAGTGCAGATGTGTCTGCACGTACAGAGATGGATGTCTAGTGTGCCATGCCCTTGGCCTTCTGGCTCTATTCGGACCGCTTACTTCCCAGCCAGGGATTATAGGTACATACAAGTGCGCGACGTCGCTTTCGGATATAAGAAACTATTGATCTGTCCGAGACGCGACGTAGGCAAGTAACGGAGAAGACTACTCGAACGGATAATTATTGCTGCGGGAGGGATGGCGAACTAGGATAGCGAGGGTATTGATACTAGCTTGTTCTAATACCCGTCCCATGCTCGTTGTTCTCAGCTCGATAATGTAACCGTCGCCTCGTGTTACCAGTTACGCTGAGGATGTAAGCGTGCTCGTGTTTATCGATGTAGGTATATTTTCGTCATACAGCTCAACTAACATATAGGCTATGGATATTAATATATCCTGGGTATACTAAGATCGTGGGCGGGAGCCTGTCCGCCAGCTATACCTATTAGGTGGTTGTTTATACAAATGCCCCGTTCCCGGCGATCCCCCGCAGTGGCCACCACGCAATCGTATTCAGGGTTCCAGGGAAAAAAGAAAGAAATCAATCCAGTGCGACTTAATGGCCTTGCTCTACACCTCGGACCACCTTTTGCCATTCGCATTACGGTTCGTGTCCCAAGGATGCTGGCGCATGTAAGCATCGTCGGGATCCGCAATAGTTTGATGCGTGATCGTAGTGACGTGGGTAGTCCGCCTGATCCCTTCATCGTCCTGCTGGGGTCCCTGTTCTACGTCTCGCGGGCGTTCGGATGCTATCGCGGTTGCGGGTTGAATCGTCGTCAGGGGCACCTCGTCTATTTCATGATAGATGCCCTTCTTAGGCTCCTGATTGTTCGAGGCTTTCCACGATGTGCCGGTGCTGGTGTTCTTCGATGCTGCTCGTCCGGAAGACGGGCCCGTGATCCTCGACCCCGTCAGCACCGCCTTTCCTGTCAGGTGCTTGATGGCAACTGGCGCGGTGGGCATGCAGTAGATCAAGATCCCAGCCGACATCTCCGCAATGCACCATAATTCTGTGCTGCCAATGTTGTAAGTGCGGTCTGGCTGGGTCGCGAAGGTAATCGAGACGCCGATCCGTAATCCTGCAGAAAGGCATGCACTAAAAAAAAAGCGAAAGCGCTCACGTCAGAACGGGGCGGTGATCACGAGTTTGGAAGGAGATATCATACAGTATACCCAATGCGAAGAGCACGGAGACGCCGAGCTTCTTGCGCCAAGATAGGCGGAGACTCCAGATGACCTTCTGTGGCAGGATTAACGCAACCGTGTCGAAAACGAGATTGATGATGGGCGCAATGTAGACCGTAGCCAGGGCGTTGAGGCAGGTTCCTGGGATGAGAGGATTCCAAAACTTCTCTCGCGGGTTGCACGCGAAGATGACCATGAACATCATGATCATAGAAGCAATGAAGTTCAACCACACTATGGCCTGTCCTACCCAGAAGAAGGCGTTGCGAGTCCCCTGAGGGACGAAGATGCGAATCCACTGAAAAATGATCGCCCCCTTTATGGTCGCTATTGAGATATAGTAGGGCACAATGACAACGGCGAAATACTGGAGACATCAGTTAGTAACAACTAGTTGCGAGGGGCTGCCGGAATACCCACGTAGAGATAGTCGGGCACCTCCCGGAGGCGGAAGTCCCACTGGTGAACGAAATATCCGTATTTTATCGTAACCTCGTACATGTATGCGATGAACACGACCCAGCCGACCTACGCGGGTTATATCAGCATAACGCCGGAAGACTCGCGGCGCGAAAAGAAATGCCTTACAACGGAAGCCAGCGCCCAATCTAGAGAGGTTTCTATTAGCAGGTCGGCATGCGAGGTGAGGGTTCGAAGTAGAGTAGTGAACGTACAATCTTCAAAGCGAACCTTCTTGAAATGGAATACTTTTGCGTAAACCGTGAAGCAGATGAATATCGTGCAGATGATTACGCAGGAAGCCATAGTGCCGTGAGCGATGGCATTTTCGTTTGGTCGGAACTCGAAGTTGGGTGTAACGCCGGGCGGCGGTTGAAGGCCCGGTCCGTTGAGCAGCGCCTCCCGCGTCTCGGGCGGCAGCTGGTTGAAAGCGATAGCCGGATCCTCCATGATGGAAGTGACTGCACCCTTTAGAAAATGCCGGTTGTCGAGTACTCCACTGGCGAGAATGGGTTGTTGGTAACACCAGCCGTCTTGGTCGCGTGGCGGCTACGGGGGTTTTACTTGTGTTGGAGCGACGAGAGTGGCCCGGTCCGATAAAGTCCAGCAGGACCGGCCGCAGGCGGCTTTAAGGGAAAATGGCCTATTTGGTTACGGCTCCGATAACCTCATGACATATGTAATATTCGCTCGGGATACGTAATATAGCGGCTGGGGTGGCTTGAATGTATACGCAGGGACTTGTAACCCTCTGCGGACGATAGGGTTCCCCGAGCAATCCTCGATCAGGCGCGGGGGTGGGTAGTCTTGCCGTAATATATCTACATGTGGATATACTACCTGCCGGTAACTCTGCTTAGCACTGGGACGTCAGGGGACAACACAAGACTCTAAGAAACCATGGCGGAGTATATGAGTAAGTTGATCGCCATTCTAGCGGCTATCCTACGTGCTGAACGATGGCATACATTACATGCATACCTGCATGTAGAGTCTAAGCCTACTGGCAGTTATGCGCGGCTGGCATGGCACGTATAAGTCAACCTGGCCTAGCGATCCTTCACTAGGGTCTAAGGACGGATGGTTTGGACGGCAGCCGAGAGTGGAGAGATGGGGAAACCTCCCGGCCGTGTGCGAATCAGGCATTAACCTGCCATCGGACTCCTACGAAGCGCCCATTATTATCTAATTCCGTATACTACCCTGGGCGGGATCACACTGCGCCGTCTTCTGCCAAGTATCCGAAGGCGTGCCCGTGGTAGTATCGGTAGGTCGCAATGGCGTAAGAGGAGCAGGGTAAAACCGAGAGAGTATTAGATCGCATCCTGCCTGCAACAGAGCGATACGTGGGTCTTGTACAGGAATCCTTCGAGCGCGTCAAATGCCGGATTCGGGAATCACCGTCGGCCACCTAGCCCAAAGAAGAGGGATAGTCTCCAGGAAGAACAATACCTAGATAGCAACATACCTGGGCGGTCTTAGCAGCTTCCATGATATTGGGAGGATTTCCGTGGGCTCAGTGGGGGTACTACTTATAGCGTAGATGTCCTTATTCCTGAATATAGCTAAGACTGCGGCTAGATACACAGGTAAAGCTTGCAATGTGTAAACTGACATACAATGTGGTGCATACGTACATAGATAGCATCACATGCAAGGGTGTCGGAACCCGGTAACAACATATGAGTGTTGTCAAAGCGCCAGCATGTGCTGCAACGGGGATACTTAGGATCTTTTTCTATTGCTTACTATGCTATCGTGCCCTTACGGTATCCTCTCTAGACGTTAGTCCTATATGAGTTCTCTTCCCTAGTGCGACGGCAGTTGCAAAGACTCTATTATTCCTACCGGCTCTCCCGCCCCTCCATCGCGTACCTAGATGCATACGAGCAAGCAGAGAACATGCCATGAAGAAGCAAGAAATGGTGATTTTGTTGCTCCGTAACGGTTAGATGGAAAGGGAATAGCGCCCGGTACTCTTGGCGATCTTGCCTGGGATGTCGGAAGCTAACGAGCGGGACCTAGTATCCGTATGGAGTGATCTATCTGCTTGGCGGTCAGGTTTCGCTGCAGAACCGTCGTGCGGTCACCCGCCTAGCTTTCCTCTTCGCATTGGGTTTGTAGTCGTTGATTATTTGTTAATACTCTCACCGTGCTCACTGTGCGTCGTCGAATTCAGAGGAGAGTCCTGTACCAAACTCGCTTCTACTGTCTATATCGGGCTCCCTGCACCTACAGTTAACAGTATGGATACTTCTTCAGGTAGGGGAGACCGACTCTAGCTTTTGGTTTTTTTTGTCAAGGCTAACCTTGATGCCCGCCGAACTGCCCGGTCATGACAAACCACCTGCATTGGTCAGAACCTTCAAATCCCAGCGTAGATCGGTAGCCGCACGGACAGTGGACTAGCACCCGTTCAGGGAGCTGGCTATCCTTTAGCCAGGCTTCCTGGCTGGCCATGGATCGCGTTATTCTTGAATGATAGCCTAGAGTATTGCTGCCTTGTGGCCAAGTATCACGAAATAGCAGATCCGGGCGAGAGGACCACCTTCGGTAGGGGATCTGTCGAGACGGGAGGCTACGTGACTACATAACGAGGTTTAATAGCCTTTAACACGAAACGATGTCACTACGTCGCTTTACGTGCTGCGTATATATTTCGCCTTTTAAGTACAAGGTCCCTTGATGATTCTGTAGCACTAATATGCCCTAGAGCTGCGCCGCTGTTTATTTAATGGAGACAGAATGGCACGGGGGGCCGTGCTGCCGTGCAAAAGAGCGTCGGTTTCCGAAACGCCCACCCGCTAGCTACAGGAAGTTGAAGATATTCTTCGCTGAACCAGGAACTGCTACGCAGCCCTGCTTGGTACGCCGTCGATTCCGGCCTGTCCTCAAAGGAATCAATCCGCTTTCAGGAAATTCAATACAGCAAATCTTTGTAAGCGACCCGTCACCAAAATACAGAGTATGACAGTGGGCCTATGTGGAGTTAGATAACCGAGGCGAGAAAATGATCGGAAATGGAACGGATTTGGGGGCGACGTCATGTAATACATATATGCTGAGGTCAGGATATTGTGCATACTCTACAGCAGGACGGGGTGCAGAGAAAATGATGACAATGATGGCGTCGACAGAGAGCCGCGAGCGCAGGTACCCTAGGACATGTGTTCACCTTCCGGCATAACAATCTTCCAACCGCTAGGTCCTAGACGGATCCGAATTACCGTACTGCCTCACGCTGCTACTGTATTACGACCATATCTTGGCAATAGTGCCAGACATTCCATCGTTCACGATGGGACGGGTGTGTGGCAGAAATGAGACTGAGTGAAGAAAGGTGATTTCACCATTACTGCATATCATGCGTAATGTAGGGCCTGCCAGCTAAGCAACGCTAGGAGTTCGGCAGAGTAGAGCGTCTAGAATTATTATGTAAAGGGAATTTGTGAGGTTCCCGAATCAAGGTGATCGTTGGAGACTAGAGACGTGGAGATGTTTGCGAATCGTTGAATACGCATTAGGAGAGGCATGCCCAATGTAAGAACCGAGCGTTGATCATGATGGCTAAATGAGAAGGTGAAATAGGAAGGAAAGCCACAGCCAATGTCTACCGATTAACCAGCCCTCCTCTATTCTAACTAAGGTACGGGTCTCTAAAGAATTTATACATTACCTCGTCGAAGTGGCAGTGATTCCACCGACTTCGGAGCCAGCCTCGAAATCTCATTACAGTAATGGCGAGAAAGCGGACGCGGATAATTCGGCACCATGCGCCTCGGAGTTGAGAAGGGCCGAGGAGCTTGATGATTACTAGTGTATCTCCTAGGGCAGGACATGCATATTGCGTGATAGTAGCCTATGTTAATTGCTGATTTCCAAGATCTAGGTCCAAGAAGAAGAGGTGCGTTTGCAAGCATAGTTAGGAGAAGCGATAATGGGGGAGAATTATGCAAATCTAGACTACGATGGGCGTTGTTGGTATAAACAGACAGATCCTCCTCATCTGGTTACGTACGATGTGGCTACATACAACTTCCTCAAGGCCGTAATGGGCGAGGGAGACTACTGCTGTGAGGCGCAGAGCCCCGCGTTGGCATCAACAACAATAAGAAGGGAGCAGACGGTAAGGACAACCCTTGAAAAGTGCTGTGCGGTGTATGCAGATTGAACGCGTCACCCTCAGATAGGCTGGTTGAGGTTTTACTTCAGTCTGAGGCTCTCCCTGATTAGGCTATTGGTTGCAAATCTCCTGAACGGGTTGTATTTGACTTTACCAACTGGGTTAGCTCTGCTTGTTAATATCTTGGTGGTTGGAAATGTTCTGACTATCCATACAATGGATCATTTAGAATGATGGACACGTTATATTCGAACTAGCCCCTTCTCAAAGCGAGGTTATTCTCGTTATACCGCTTCCATCCTTCACGAAGACTATGTCTGCGACCGAAACCCGGGGTGTTCAGGACAAGAGGTAAAAAGAAGGCAAGTCAACAAAGCCTAGTATGCGTCAAATTAGGTCTGTCACAAATCACCCCCTTGACCCCGAGTTCCGGAGGCCTTAGTTTCGGTATTACATCTGCATAGGTAAAGCGTTCTCAGACCCTCACGTGGTATTCTTTGCGAAGCTGTCCTAGCATGACCTGTAGATGTGCCGTTCCATACTCACCCGTTTCTAACTCGTCGACGCTGCCCCATCGCTGCTTTAATAGGCCAATATACTCCCATAGCTTGAAGCGGTATAGGAAGCGGTAGACAGCAGCGTACGCGCTGTCGAGGGAGCCGACGATCCACGCGTGATGGGCGCTCGACGCCTCACCGACAATGTGGAACTTGCTGTCAGCGGCCGGCCGCGTCAGGTACGGATACAAGTTGCTAAACTGGCCCGGGCCGAAGAGCGCAAATGCACCTGCCGTTCGCGGGTCGTGCGTCCACGAGTACGCGTGCTGCATACCTATATACGCCGCCTTGATCTTATCGTACGTTGTGTGCTGCGCATGTAGTCGGGCCAGGTTCCGTAGCACAAGCTCGACCAGCTCGTCCTCGCCTGGGGGCTGCTGCGACCCGTTGACGAGCGAGCCAAGGCGGGACGCGTCTTGCGACCACGTGTACGAAGCGAGTAGCACGGCGGGCTTATCGGCGCCGTCGTGGAGGTTATACGAGGGGTAGACGCAGGTGCGCAGGGGCAGGTCGGTCGAGGCTACGCCTCCCTGCGTGATGCCGCAGTCGACGATCCACCACGGATAGCTAAACTTGAGGGCCACCTTGACCGAGTCGTCGTAATGCAGGCTGCGGATCGCGTCCTTCTGAGACGGGTGCAGTTCGAGGCTGCGCAGGTCCATGCGCCCCAAACATCCGAGCGAGGTGGTGTTGAAGACGGTGCAGTATCCCCCGCGCGGTGCCGCCTCGCCGGCGCACTTGATCAGCATGTTGCCCTCTTCGTCCGAGTTGCGGTTGATGGAAATTTCCTCAACCCGCTTGCCTGTCTGTATACCGTTGCTGAGCCCGCGCGCCATCGCGTCTGTGAGAAGTGAGGTGCCTCCCTCGATGCAAAACCATTCGACGTCTCCCTCGGGGTTGTCAAAGTCAAACGAGTCTATGACGCTCTCAGAGAAGGCTTGATCGAATAGGTTTGTCGAGGTATCCTGGGTCTCCATCCATTGAATAGAGAAGAAGTCGTAATGCCGCTGCTCTCCGTCGGGCCCGCCTCGTTTGAGGAATTCCCTGGTGCTGAAGTCATCGACGGCCATGAGTTTGATGAATCCAAGCTCAAAGTCGGCGGCAAGCGCTTTCTTATATGGACCGAAAGCCTCTTCTAACTTTTCAGCTACACTATCGACAACATCGTCGGGTACGGAGCCACCGTTTTGACAACTAACGTGGTACGGGTCCCATGTATTCGGCGTGAAGAGGCGGTCATTAAACAACTTGGGACAAGCCGGCCCGCCGTCCATGTAATAAGGAATCAACGGCATTCCGGTGCGCTTAAAGAGGTCGAAGGTGCGGTGCATAATACGTATATTGGGATATCGCATGGCGCCGACGTCGTAGTAGTCGTGAGGCTCTTCGCTAAAATGGTGAGTGTACACCCGGCCGCCGACCCTAGAGCCTGCTTCGACGATTTCGTATGTGAGGTTTGGGATCTCTAGGTCTTCCAGAATCATCGCGATATATAGTCCTGCGACCCCAGCACCGACAATGCAGACCTTGCGCGAAGGCAGGTCTTCTCGAGGAGTGTCTCCCACATAATTCCGATCATGTGGTAGATGGTCATGAGTGAATGGTCTGGAGCCAAAGGAGGGGTATGGTAGTGCTCTATCCCGCGACAAGAGGGTGTTGAGTTCAGCAGCGAGCTTCTCACGGACAAGCCGTTTGGCCCAGCGGCTCTTGAAGTCAGGAATGGCGGCCCCGGCGCTCATTTCGTCACGGTAACAGCTGGTCAAGGAAGAATATCGTATGCTGGGGGAATACCAGTTGATGCCCTGGCCTGCCCTTTAACTTATACTACTCGCCTCATCACCGCCATGCTGAAGTTATCTACTTTACCATCTCTGAGTCTGCTGCCCGTTACCACCCGGCGGCGCCTTTGCACGACTAGCTAAGCATCTCCTTGCTGAGGAGGAGAGTCCGACCGTAAGCTGACATCATCGGTCTCCCGGCGGGTTGGGCTTCGCTGTCCACCTGATCCTTACAGCTCGAACTTACCTTGTCATCAATGTCTCTAGGAATCTCTTTACAGGAAATATTTTTCAAGATCGTTATATATCTCGACTTCTGTATGGCCACAGCTGTTTTCAGCCAGCCACCCAGCCTGCAGCTTGGGCGCCTATGTATTATGCAATATAATATCTCGGTAACATCTCCTCTCAGCCAGCCCTCCAGTCTAAGCCTTGGGCACGTATGCATGCCGTAGATTAATTCCCCGTCTCAGCCACCGGGGAGCTTCCAGCTGAATATACGAGAATCGGTGAAGAGTAGTTGCTCCATCATGTGCGGTGTCCTCAACCATCGAGCTATGTGACTGAAATCTTGGTATTGATATCTTACTGGGCGGGTAATACGTTGTGCCAACTGCTGTGAGCTCTATGGTGGACACCCCGGATACCTACACGGATGGTTGATCCGGGTTGGTAACTTTTATGATCACGCGTATGCTGCGTGATACTACGTCGTATCATGTAGATTGCTTAGTTAAATAGGTGCTCTAGAGAACCCCTAGCCCGATATTGAGATTGGAACAAAGTCGACATGAATTACACTCTTTGTGGTGTACCCGGGAGCTAGTATGGCAACAGAAATCTTTGACGTGGTCGTGGTCGGTGGCGGTCCTGTTGGGCTGTCGGCCACCTACGAAGTAGCGAAGGCGGGTAGGAAGGTAATAGTTCTCGAGAAGAACAACTTCTTTAACCAGGCTGGTAGCTCCAACGACCTAGCCCGCATGTTTCGCACTATGTATGTTTCTCCCATGCTGCTGTGCTAGCAAGCATGGCTTGCTCATATGCTTTTCAACAGGTACACGGAAGAGTTCATGGCGGATCTGGCTAAGGAGGCTTTGGGACTGTGGGATGCTCTCGAGAAAGATGCCGGTGCGTCTCTTCGCTGGATGAGCGGCCTCCTCAACTTCGGAGACAAGGACTACGGAGAAGACACGCCAGAAGGTGCGTTGTCGTCACCATGTGGTTAACACATCATTGCTTATCGCCCTTCTTACGCTCTACAGGCACATTAATGGGGCCGGTTGACAACCTGAAGCGTCTCGGCATGCCGTACCAAGAACGTAGGTGTTGGAGCAATACTACGGGACGATACCCGCATAACTAACTACCTGGTGACTTCGTGCTATAGTGACCGCAAAGGACATCGAAGACCGGTACCCATTCAAGGACTTGCCGCCTGAGTGGGTCGGCCTTTATGCGCCTGATAATGGTGTGATCAACGTTCAGCTCCTCCTTAGGACCCTGCTCAGCCTAGCTAAGGACTATGGCGCCCAGGCGAAGCAGCATACACGCGTGGGAGCGATCCGCCACTGTGAAACAAGCAATGATAACGCGATCTGGGAGATCTACACCATCAGACACGACGAGAATCCCGTCCTTTACAAGGCAAGGAAGGTCATCATTGCCTCCGGCGGCTATGTGAATCATGTTCTGCGGCCGAGCTTTGGCATATCACTCGACCTCGACATCTGGGAGATGGTTGCAAGTTATTTCAACTCCAATGCGGGGCCCAGCGGGACGATATTCCCTAGTGCGTGTTCTCGAGCCACGGACTGGTTGCAGTCCCATAACTCCTCTTTCCTTGGCGCATAGATCACTGACGGCATTATAACAATAGGCATGTGGTTCCAATTTGCCCCTGATAAGGACGGCAGATCTCAGCTTTTCTACGGCTTTCCCACGGTGCCATGGGGTCCCCCCAACGTCACCCGCATCGCCGTAGACGCGGCCACGCGGCGGATCAAAGATCCAAGCGAAAGATTGACTAACGTCGTCAACCCAGACGATATTCGCGACGCGCAGGAATTCATTCATAAGCACGTCGTCGGCGTCGATTCGACAGTCCCCGCATTTACGTTGAGCTGCCTGCAAACGAACGTCTTTGGTGCGTGTGCCGTTTGGCTCATCCCTACCTTATCTAGGCGAGGTACGGGCCTGTCGACCTTGTCAGAATGCTGATATGTAGCATAGATAACATGTTTGTCCTTGACTTCGTCCCGGACGAATACCTTCATGGTGGCCCTAAGGATAGTGTGGTCGTCTTCACGGCAGGCTGGGCGATGAAATTTGTGCCTTTGCTAGGCAAGGCCTTGGCTGATATGGCTCTACATGGCCAGTCGAAGTACGCGCTCAAGGAATTCTCCATCACGCGTAAGGACCCCAAAACAGATAAGGGTATCATCATCGACGAAAAGCTGTACCAGGCTACGAATCAAACTTCCTTTGGTTTTGCCGGACAAGCATCAGGTTCTTCGATTAGGGGAGTCCATAATACGGGCCGTTAAACCCCTGAAAGGTCACTTATTGTGCTATCCTATGATGAACCCCCTTTGGGAGATGGAGAAAGGGGTGAGTTAATAGTATAAAACTATCACGTGTTTGAATTGAAGATAGTCACTACGAAAATATAGAGTATTGAATGGAGTAAGGTTTAAATAATTTCGTTCTTTCACAACGTAGGCGCCCATGATTCTTTGTAACCCATTTTGTCTTTATAGGTTAGTGGGAGAGGTTTTTATAATGTCGTTGTTTGCCTCAAGGCACAGTGTGATATTCACTTTCTATCGAGCATCGGATCACTCACAGCGTATTATTCACTTGTAAAATGGCCAGTATATAATGAGAAAATAACCCCAACCACGCCCAATGCAACAACCCCTCTACCTTCTTTTTATGCACTAGCACCTGCAACACTTACAGACCCTCACGTTGTCTACCACACATACACTCTCACTGTCTGCCACAGAGACCCTCACACTACCATACAGACCCTTACGCCGTCTACCATGCCTGGCATGTGGCTGAACCCTCCGTTGCGTGACAGAATGTCGTCGCCGACACCACGACCAGTTTTTCTTTACGGAACTCTATGTGCCCAGCCTCTCCTCGCTTGGGCCCTGACGGGAGATGCATCCAATACTTCCGCCGTATCTCAGCTTATCCGACCCGCAAGAGTCCACGGATACTCGCGAGTCTCGCTCCGAGGTCGCGACTACCCGGCAGCTATTAAGCATGAACCGCACTCGTTAGTGGATGGTTATTTGCTTATGCTCGAAACTACCTCCCAGCGTAAAAAGCTGGATAACTTCGAGGGAAAGGCGTTTAAGCCAGTATCCGTGGCTGTTACAATTTTCGATTCGGAGAACAAGCCTCAAGAGAAAACGGTAGAAGCCGACATCTCCATCTGGGCTGGCGAAGAAAGTGCTCTCACAACCGATCCTTGGGAGCTGGAAGTCTTCGAAAAGGAGAGACTTGAGGCTTGGTTGGACCTTTTCCAAGGAGTGAAACTTGTGGGCGAGAGCGAAGACTGAGCATCAAGGATAGCTACATCCGCCTCCACACCCGAACAGCAAATCGAGCGACAACATGAGGGCTTTTTAGTTCGTCATTTAGACTGGCTCGCGTGTAGGGAGTGCTATTTGGCTTGGTGGTTGAGGTCCCGATCTAGTTGGTTTAGAGATATTAGACCGGATCTAGCGGCAAAGGTCTCCTCATTCATCTCTCTAATTAGTTCCATGGTCAATAAACAGCTATTATAACCACTATCTATTTGCTCGACGCTTGATCTGTCTGCAAACAATTTATAAAGAACGAAAGAAACTTTTCAAGTAAAAATGAATGTGACGTAGACATACGTCTTTAATGGCTTATCGCGGCGTGGTACGAGTATAATATAAGTGCGAGTGGAGGATTGTTTGCACGGCGTGTTTATCAGGACATTTTATCAGAGACTGTTACATTGAAAAGGAGGATACTTATTACGGGAAAGAAGTCCACCGTCAGTAAATAAGATTCGGAGTGAATATAGGAAGTAGAGAGATGGAAGGAGAAGGATCAGAGTCAGGACTATAAACAATAGGCTTTTTGTACAAAGCTATGATTTCAATTCACTCGTTAGGGTTCCTCATCCTCAAGTCCTACTTCTTCCTCGGGATCATTAAATAAGAGTCTCTCTTTCAGTTAACTTCGGCATCACTCGTATACGGTATTCATACCTACAATTGATCTAAATCGGTCCAACAGGGCCTGATCCTGCTGTCCTTTCTTGGATACATTCTAGCCTCTACCTTGTCATGCTCTTCCCTTTTCAAGTGAATCGCAACAGGCATCAAATAGACACACAATGAATCCTCTGTTGTTTGTGCCTTTATTTTCTTGTCTTTTACCCAGTTACCACCTTACAGCGAGTCTCAACCAGTTACAGAGGTGTTGCAATTCCTATTCCTGTTGATCGGGACTGTGTCGGCTATTGGCAGCTGTGGTCATTGTTCAGTCTCGGCTTCCTCGAGATGCTTCTCTTCAGTATCAGTCCTGCCTCGTTAATTAATTTATAGGTGATGTCTTGGGACGGGATAGAATCACTCAGCCGAAGGAACCGCTGCTAGAATATTGATGGGTCTGTTTGGGATGAAATACCCTTTACATGCTGCCCTGATGACTAGGAATTCTAAATTCAAAACCTCTCCGATTGGCACTAAATCTCTATGCCTGAGCCTCGAGAACATCGATCACCTTGTGATCTTCCCAAGCAGCAATGATGCGTATAGATAAGACCGCAGTACGCTCCTCCGACTGTATATCTTTCGGGCAGACGGGCCAGATGACGCCTGGCATGAACGAGCGTTTGTACTCGATCATGAGCTCCTCGTCGTTGCGGTCGAGCTTCGGTCCGCCGAATTTATGCAGGGTCTCTAGGTAATGGTCGAGGACTTCCATCTCGTGTTTACGGCGGTCTTCGACGGTCATCATGGTGGTCATGAAGTAGACAAGGTCGTGGAAGCAGGAGGCGAAGTGGAAGGTAGCCCAGTCTAGAAAGCGGGTGTGGCCGTCGGCGGTGAAGTAGACGTTGCCAATATGCGTGTCTCCGTGGAGCAGAGTGCGAAATTTGGGGTTACGCTTGGTGTAATAAATTTCCAACGCCTTGTTAACGCGTGTGCCGTCCATTAGGTACTCGGGGAGCCGGATTCGTCGATCTTCTCGAGCGACCGTGTCCCATTGACCGACCATGAACCCTACGGCGGGACCGTAATTGTTCCAGATCCCTACGATGCCTGTCAGTCGTGCCATGGCTTTCTCTACGCTGAATGAGGCGGGTCGGACAAGGGCTTACAGGGGTAATCGTCCTCACTCTTCCCCCAGAACTGGGCGTGTAGACCAGCTATCTGCTCGGCGCCGTCCAACACCTTCTCGACAGAGTAGGAGGCGGCTTCGGGGGGGATGCTGCAGCCCTCTCGAATCAAATCAGACATGACAGCAATTCCTTGCTCTTTGCTCGTGCCGCCCCATAAGCCCTTGGGGAAGCCCATGTTCTTGATGGTTGGGGCAATCTTGCTATAGAAGTCGGCCTCACGCTGTGCCATACTAACAGTCCACGGCTGCGAGGCGAACATAACGGGGTCAAACACACCCTTCACGCAGATGTGGTTCGACCGCGAGCTGGCATCGGTCGCGTCGTCCTCATATTCGACGTCGAAGAACAACTTGCCGGCCGCGCCGAAAACCCCCCGCGTCATCTTGACGGACTTGATCTTATGTCCCAGCTTCGACTCCAGCCACTGGGCGGTCACCTCCTCAGGGATCGCCGGAAGACGTTCAGTGCCTGTTTCTTTTTGGGTAGCCATGTTCGCGTCCCGTGTTCCAATGAAGAGAAGCGAGGGGAAAGTATAACTAAAAGTAAGACTGAAAATAGGATATGTAGGCCGAGTTATATAAAAACGAGTGAGAGACGAAAGAGGATTTTTGCAGCGTCAGCTCGAATAGGCAAACAAATTCTAGCGGTATACTAGTTGGTGATAAAAGGAGAGTACATAAGGCACTAAGAGATAGGAATGTAAGCTTATACCCTCGACCCTCGAAGAACTTCCAACTTTTAAAAAGGTCGTCCTAGGAAAGAATATAGAAATTTCCTTTTAAATACATTATAAAGTATTTTACTAAATAGTTAATTTAATAATATAAATATAGTAATAGTAATAGTAGTAATAATAATAGTATTATAGTAATTAATAGTAATAGTATAGTAGTGCGGTAGGGTTAAGCTACGTAGCCTTTCCGATATGTATTTATATAGCTCCCGTACTTAGTTTCTTATTGTTTTACCTTAATCCTATAGACCTCTATTTATAGCAGGAATTTTACTCTTTCTTGATATGCCTTTAATTGCCATCGCTCTCTAGTCGTCTTTTCTTTTCCCAGCTGCCTTTTCAGCTGGCCGATCAACTAATCACAGCTGTTTGCAGCTGTGATCTAGTTCAATCGGCACTGGGCCAGTTTTTGGCAGTTGGGTAGTCAGTCTATTGCCTATACGGGGCTCTTTACAGCATGCCCGCGCTGTTCCTTTTCAATAGTTATGTTAGGAAGCAACGTCCTTTAAGGTATTAATAGACGGAAGAGAGAGACTGCCCTTAGTATAGCTACGCCTTAGAAGACTCATTACCTGAGGGGGCTACGTAGCCGAACCTATAAGCGAGACTATAGACTAGCTTAGACGTACAACTCCAGGTGTAAGAGCGACAGGAAGGTGCACGATAGGTACCGGGGTACGAAGTACGGAGGTACTTGTGCCAGCACGAGGGTACCTCTTAGTCGGCGACCGTTTCAGCTTACTCTGCTTCTGGCTATAAGGGCGACCGCCTTTTTCTAGGCACTCGCCTTCTTATCCTTTTAGAAGGCGAGTGCTTATTTTTATTACTACAGGGATATACTCGTTACCTGGCTTAAGGATTCTATTACACTTGGCCTCACCTAAAGGTCTACGCTAAGGAATGACGATCCTGTAAAAAAAAAAAACAAGGTATAAAAGCAGAACAAAACCCCCATAGTTAAATGTTTATTATAGTTCTTTAGTTATGTTACGTAGAGAGCCACCGATACATAGCTCTCTACTCCTTCTCTAGTTGCTCGCTTACTTACCCTAGCTCCTGACTCGGTTATATAGTATAGCTTATAGCTTCTTATTATATATATATAGGTAGCTCTTATCTTCTTTATTCATTTCCCTCCTAGTTAGCCAGTCAGTTAATTAAACCTCTTCTTCTCATCTTCTATTGCTTCTACTATAGAGCAACCTCAGTTCCTACGTAGCTCTCCCGACCTACGTAATAAGTTGTTAATTTAATCCTATCCGGAGGATAGTTATAATACGCATAACCCCCTGTCATGCTGATTAATTACGGGGTTAAATACCCCTGTAAATAGCCCTGTAAATAACCCTATAAATAACCCTATAAATAACCTTATAAATAACCCTATAAATAACCCTATAAATAACCCTATAAAGGGGTCATTTAGGGGAAACTCTGTTTTTACTAGTAAGGAGGAGCAGAGCGTACGCGATGCTAGAGACCCGGATAGGTTCACTCGAAAGTGCACTCTATCGAAGACTACAGTACGTACGATGGTCCAGGATAAATGAAACTAATATCGCTGTACTAATCGAGAGGCAAGGAATCCAATGTAGTTATCGTATCTTAGCTATACCCCTTGGTCGTAGAGATGTAGTAATCGCTAGCCCGAAGGCACAAGAAGTAAGGGGAGAAAAGGGGTAAAACGCAAAAGTCACTTATTCGGCTATAGCGGCACGACGAAGTAACTTAAGCGCCTATAACTAAGATAGATATACTAATCGGAAAACGACGAATCTAATGGCAAAAACGAATCTTTAATTAAGGCAAAAATAATAAAGATAGCAATCTGGCTAGGTAATGATCTGGATAATAAGCATGGCATGTTCCGTACTTACGGGAGCTGTGGTTACTCTATATAGGCATAAGGCCTATCGTAGCGTGTCACGTGATGCATCAAGAGGGCATGTCTTACCGCACCACTACACTAGCTAAAAAACGCGCTATGGGTCCCTAAAAATACGTACACCCAATAAAAACGGCGGGATAAATGGAGTCTTATAATTTGAAATCCTTACGTATATTTACTGACGCGTTTTCTACCCCTATTTCCTAACCTTTTCTGACGCGTTTTCTATCCTTATTTCCTGACCTTTCCTAACCTGTTTTGCAGTAACCTTTCCTAATCTTTTCTGATCTTTCCTGACCTGTTTTGCAGTGACCTTTCCTGATCTTTCCTGATCTTTCCTAACCTGTTTTGCAGTGACCTTTCCTGACCTGTTTTGCAGTGACCTTTCCTGACCTTTCCTAACCTGTTTTGTAGTAACCTTTCCTAATCTTTCCTGATCTTTCTTAATCTTTCTTAATCTTTCTTAATCTTTCTTAATCTTTCTTAATCTTTCTTAATCTTTCTTAATCTTTCTTAATCTTTCTTAATCTTAGATTTTAATCCCGTTAAAAATTATATATAATTTCTTACGTTTTCTATGTTTTTTATTATAAATAAAGTTCGTAAACGTAAAAATGGTTATTAAATAAACTAAGTAGACTTCCTATATCTCTCTATCCTCCGGATAGGTTATTATTTTTAGCGTAAATGCTAAAAATAAGCCCGATTTATTCTGCTTCGCAGAATAATTCGGGTCTTATTTTATATAGTTTACTTTTGAGAACTACCTCTACCTGCGACTAGCGAACTATATAAAGTATAAACTTTAAAGTCCTACAATTAGAAACCTCTCCTTATGATTAACCTAAAACCAAGAACCTACGATAAGTTACCTGTCCCCTTGGAACACTAATAAAAATAGCAAATCGTAACATAACAGTGGCAACAGTAGCAGTAGTAGCGGTAGTGATAGGACTTTCTAAAATAAGAAGTTTTAGAAGGTCGAGGGTACAGACTTCCCCTCTGTTTCTTAGCAATCCACATACACTACTTTTGCCACTAACCGGTGGGCCTTAGGATCGATTGTCGCGACCCCTCGCGAATGGGTATCTTGCAAACCGCAACAGTCCTTACTCCAAAGCCTCTGCGTATTAGTATCTTTATTATTATCTCGGGGTACCCATCTGGCATCCACAGATTCGTTGCAGGCACTATTACTGTCGGTCGGCAAAGGACCGTAATGGGGACTGTGTAAGATGATCTACCGTTGCTACTAAGACTAACGAAACGGAGCAGCCTTTACGATAGCGAACCCTATGAACCAGCCTCATTAATCACTTCATTAACTGCAACTCTGGTAATTTCCGTTGCAAGTCTGGTTGGCTACGTAGAAATTGACGACAAGTATGGTGAAGGGCTTCTTTTCGGGTTGATATCTCACGTGGCGGGCTCCGTTTGTGAATCTCTCTCCTTGGTAAGGTAATCCCCATTCTAGCATAGACTCTCTATCCACAATCAACTTCAGTTGACGATATATTGCTACAATCCACCGTGCTTCATGTGGCCACATCCCTGTCAATCCCGCCACCGCGCATTAAAGACCCGTCCTGCGTCAAAGTAGAAAGATCTTCGGCAACGGTATTCACACATACGCGTGCCCATTGTAGTCTGCTACGCAGTGTTTATTGGGGCAAAGTCCCTGACGTCCTGTCGTTCGATAGCATTGCGGCGGGGGGGCAGATCACGTAAACGATGGGCACTTAGGCGGGTAGCCTATCTGGTAAGAGGTAGGTAAGTGACGCGCTGCTTGTCCTCCTGTCAGTAGAGCGATCCCCTCACGGCCCAGACATTTATAAGGGCCTAGACGTAGAGGTTACAGACAGCCGGTGTTGAGTATCATAGACTCAATTACATACATACATGTGTATGACTTCCTTTCCCCTGACCGTAATATTGGGCATGTATTTTATTGGTAACCTACATTCCGGCACTTCAGATTTAATATGCCAACCACCCGCCCGTCTGCCAATCTCCTCTCTACCTATGTGCATACCTACCTACATATAGATGATTGCCCTGGTTTCGTTCGAGTCTGGCTCTAGGTCTAGTATCAGCACTACTTACAGAGTAGGAGTAGAACCTACTTGTACCCCTCCGTTGAAGTTTTGATGCTCGGACTACCCGACGGGTTTGTGATGGAGAATACGAATAAGTAAATGCGAGTGACTGGGAGACTCTAATTTTTCAAATAGTAAAAATCTTACATTACCAATAGGTCAAAAGATCAGACTTACCCGGGTACACAGTAATAGCTATTAGATTATCTAGATATCCTGCACAGTAGCCAGGCAAAGCCAAGTTCTAAGATACTGTTCTTGAAGTACATCGTAGAAGTGAAGTGGGAGAACGACTTCGGCAGATACTCACTGACAGGGTACCTATGATGCCGGGTACCGTGTTTAAATCATCGCCCAGGGTTGTACCGACCATGTCATGACTATGGTCACGGCGCGCTACAAGATCGTCCGTTATTTGCGAAACGGTCAATAGCCTAGGCCTGCTTTCTCCATAGGAAAAGTGTAGTGACGAAAACCTAATAGAAACCCTCCCTAACCGCCATGCTCGTCTAAATGCAGTTGCAATCTCTACGCTGTTTACACATTAAATATACTCCTCTTAGAAGTAGAGTCAGCATGAACGATTGTCTCCGAAAGAGATATGTGTCTACAGCACCCGGGCTTCCCTAGACTTTGTTGTTTTAATACCGTTAGATTGTCCACGGGATATCTCCTGATGGGAACGAGGCTTTGCTAGCAAAGATATCTAATATACTAAGATCAATCCTGCGCCACAGTCCGAAATAGGCCAAAGTCTTACGAAGGTAATTAGTCCATGAAAATGGCGAAACGGTCATAATTACGTAAGCCGCTCTACAAAGCCACACGAAGCCACACGCTTACGTCTAGAACGTTCGTACCTACGTACCCGTACGGTTACGTCTACAACGTTCGTACCTACGTACCTATACGCCGTACGCTTACGCTTTACGTTACGTAATATAAAGCGTCGTATTCCCGGAAAAGCCTCTTAATTATCGTATTTCGATACCGGCCCTTTAATATTAACGTCGTCGAAAAAAGGCTCGTATTTAATAGGAACTAAATCGTAAAGAATTCGTATAACGGCTCGGAAAAAAGCGGTAACTAAGTTCGTCGCGCATTATAATAAAGTCGTTATACGTAAAAGGCTAATAAAAGTAGCGAACGTAGTTAGGTTATAGCTCGTTTCTGTTAGCGTTACTTAATCGTATTTAAAGAAAAAGTCGACGATTATAAGGATTAAATATATAGCGAATTCTTAAGCAAAAGAATCTCTATCTCGGGGTGGGAAGGCGTCGCGAATAATCTAAGCGTTAAGTTTTATCGCAAAGTTAATAAGTCGTAAACTATTATCTTTTTTTCGATTACGAACTAAGTATTTCGATAAGAACCGTAGCTCTCTTCTAGGATTCCGTTCTTTAGTCGTATACGTAAGACTTCGATTACTCGTTCCTTAAGGGGTACTAGGATAGGGATGCCCTTAGCTTACCAGGCGTTATATAGTACCGTCCTAATAATCTCATAATCGGGATAAACCTTAGGTCGGATTTTCCTAATTTTAAAGAAATCCTAGGCTAGGGCTATCTCTTTTCGGTATAGGATCTTAATAAGTACGTCTTTCTTCTAATTAGTTAATTCCGTATCTAATAAACCTACTTTAATAGCGTTAAGCCTTTCCGTTATTAATCTAATATCTCAAGGGTTACTAACGAATCTTAATATAATATTCTTATAGGGTTTATCGCGTTATAATACCTCTAGTAGTTCGTACTTCGACTTAACCTCCCTTAATACCTAATCCTTTTAATTTAATATTCCTAGTAATATCTAACCATTAAACAGGAGCAGCGTAGGCACGCTGACGGAGGCACGAAAAGGGCTACCCAACTGCCAACAACTGGCCCAGTGCCGATCAACCCAAGATCACAGCTGTAAACAGCTGTAATCAGTTAATCGGCCAGCTGAAACGGCAGCTGGGAAAGGGAGAGTAGAAACGGGCAACGAGGATCGCTAGAAAGGCATGGCAAGAAACGAGTGAATGGCTGTAGGTCGTGATGTCTACAGGTCTAAGTCTAACTGATGAAAATATGAGTGCGCGACCCATATAAATACACATCGAAAAGGCTACGTGGCCTAGATCCACCGCACCACTACACCATTTAACGGTATATTATCTATAGGCTAAACTTTACGCGATTTAGGTTTATATATAGTATTAATTAAAAACGTACGTTTAGCTTAATAAGTTAATTCCGAAATAAGGGCTAGGTCTCGCTTATATTATTTCGATTCTTACGTCGTATATTAAATTACCTTCGTAAAGGCTTTATTAAAGACGTAAAGGAATTCTTCGTCGCTTAATCTAACAATCGCTTTATTTTTATTATCCAGACTAAGTTCGAGGACCGAAAAGTCCTTAGCTTCGGAGATAGGTACTACCTCTATATCGTCGTCGTAAAGGCGAGTATAATTAATTTTAACTTAGAAGCTAGCGTCGGTTTCGAAGTATTTAATTAGGAACGCGTTTTTAGGCCTATATACGTTATTAAAATAGCTTAAGGTATTAATAGCATTTAGTTTTCTTAATCGCTAAATATAAGGCTTAGTAGCGTATCGCTTCTTAAGTCGATAGCGAAAAGGATTATTATCCGGGCCGAGCTAAAGTTAACGGTTCTTATAAAGGTACTTCCGTCGAATTTAAGTTTTATCTAGAACTAAAAGATAAAGTTTATATTAAGCAATACGGAATAACTAACGAACCTATCTTTAACGACGTAAATTAATAAGCGAAAGTAATAATCGATAAGCTAGATAGAACCGTCAACTATTCCTACGCATAAGGTCTCTATAAAGGATCTAAAACCTCGCTATATTACCTTAGTACTTATTATAAGGAGACGCTACTTTTTTACGTAGCTTTCTACGATTATATTAAACTACGCCCCTATATCGATTACTATAAATACGAGAGCTTCGTCCCCGTTAGATCCTACGTTAACTATTAGCTTAGGAAAAGGCCGGATATAGTTTCTAGTATCCTTTACGATAATAGAATTTACCGATATTCTATTCGAAGGATTAATAAACGAGGTAGTAGTTTACGGTATGCTAGGTATTTTAACGCTTTCTTCCGAATCCTTTTATATCCATTTCTTTATAATCTTAATAACCTTAGGCTAACCTTCGTTAATCTCTATAACGCGTATCGTAAGGTACTTAACTACCTATTCCGAAAACCTAGGCATAAACTTAATTAGGTCGTCCTACGAAACCTCGAAGCGTTTCCTATTATTCTTATTAATCTTATCTAATTAAAACTCTCTTAATAACTCGTTAATAATCTTCGTCTTCCTAGCTTAGTCGTTCGTATTCGAAGTAGCGTTTTTACCGGCTTTTATCGGTCTACGCCTAAGCTATAACGATAGGACTTCTATATCCTCTTAATCGGGTACTTCTCTTTCGATATACTCGCCGTTAGAACCTCTAGCTCGCTTAATTACGTTAACTTCGACTAGATCCGTCTTAATAATACCCTTATAATAACAGATACCTTCGTCGTCGATAAGACCCTGTCACGTAGCTAACTAGAGCAACGTATCGGCGTAATAGGTTACGCGTATAGGAAGCAGTGGAATACGGGTAAGAAGGTATATATTAACTAACTTGAAAGAAGGAAATATACCAGTGAGTATAAAGCAAGCTATGGGTATATATATAGCTGCTCAACCAGCTTATGTAAGCTGGGCTGCTCTCCACTAGAGGCATATGCCTACGTGACATACCCCCTAGTTGAACTTACGAAAAGTGAGTTCAACTGCCAACCTATGCTCGCGATGGTAACCTAGGGGTTTACTTACTGATATCGATGTGCCTCATAGAGGTTGACCGGTTATTAGCCGCCCTATCTCGGGCTCCCAACGGTCCCTATATCCGTATATACTTAGGCTATAGCTAGTGGTATCCCTCTAAAGTTCCCCCTTATTGCACCCCCAATCTGGTGCTCGGTAGTTAGTAATAAAAGAGACAGTTGATTGCGCCCGTCTGAGCGGTATTAGCTATGTATGTAATGTGGTAGTGGTTACTTTCTTATTAACACCTAGAGTTGTGGTCCCCCCAGTTACCGCCGCTGTCGCGTTGCTCGTGTTCTCCTAGTTAACAGATTCTGCCATTTCTCCTACGAAGGCGGTCGGGATTAAATATATACGGGTGGTCTCTTTCTCGACCAACCCTCTCTCCCTCCCTCCTTTTTTTTTTCAGATCGTCATCCATCACCGTTTCGTCTTGCGTCGCTTTGTTAATCATCAACGCCAGGTAAGTCTGCTCCCTGCACACTCACTCCAGAGTGTGGTGAGCGAGTTCAGTGAGTCATGGTATGACCCAACTGAGTGGCTATGAGATTAAGTCCAGACTGTCTTGGTGAGGCTTGTTGTTAATGACCAGCGTGTTGCTCTTGATGATGGAGTGACCCGTGGTCGCTTCGGATTGATGGCCGAACCGTTGATCGAAAAGGATCACCTATTGATTGATCGCCTTCTGTCAGGATGTCTACCCACGAGGAACTCCGTGAGATGGTTCGAACATTGCAGGCGTCTGTTACGGCGCTCTCCAACCAACTAGTGACCCACGTCGACGCGCCTACGTCGTCTGGTGCTAGACTTTCAAGCGTCCCTGATGCTCCGGCCCCTGGTACGATCGTTCCCTCTGGGTCGGGCCCTCTCGTATCAGCTCAACCACTGGAGGACCTATTCGTAGGGCGCGGCGTTAACCAAGAGGAGTCGAGCGTCATTATGGTTTCCTCTAGTGCCTCGTCCATTAATAATTCGTTAGAGGGGGCTTCCCTCTATTCGGATGCCGACGAGGGGGAGAACGACGAGGACCAGAGCGTCTCAGTTGGTCCCACTGTTCCTCCTGCTCTGGCTCAGCGAGCCACTCGTTCGCAGACGCGCGGTCGCGGTAGCTCTCGCCCTACCACGGTTCCTGAGGCGGTTCCGGCTACTACTCCGATTCGTAGTGCTGGTGGAGGCAGTCGAGGTGCTCGTGGTGCTGGTGGTGCTCGTGGTGGAGGGTTCGCTCGAGGACGTGGACGTGGAACCATTACTATACCCGGAAGTGCCCAGACAGCTCCTGGGACCTTCGCTACTCCCGTTGCTCCCCCTCAGTTCCCTATTGGTAGCAGTGCTCCAGTTGGTCAAGGTCGAGAGCATGGGGCCCGCCGGGAGGTTCCTTGCCAAGCTTGCATTCGAAGTGCCGCATGGAATCGTTCGACTGGAGAGTGCTTCGATTCTCTTCAGAGTACCACTCGCTGCCATCGATGCTCTTCGGGACACGTCTGTGCCCCCCTGTAGGCGCTCTCTCCCCCGGACGTCTACTTCCCGAGCTAACTTTGCATAGTCCTGAGGCTCTCGTACTTCCAGCAACACATCTGGTTATTGCTCGGATCGAATCCGCCCAGAACGTATGCTCTCTGGATCCTGGCCTTCTCGCCTGCTCGCTAATATTATGTTCAGGCGAATAAGCTTGCAGGCACTATGAAGGGGCTTCTTGCCCTTTACCAGGATGGGACGACCATTCCCGCCATTCCCGAGACGGAGGAGTCTCGGCGTGGAGCCCGCAACGCTCAATGGTTTGCAGGTTTAGCCGCGAGCCCTATTGCCGAGTCTTCGGCTGGGATGGAGCGAGCAACGTCGTCTAGTGTTGTTCCAGAGCGGGAGGCGGATGTTGAGATGGGAGGTACCGGAGGAGACGAGGAGGTTGAGCGACCTGAGGGCGGTGATCCCACATTCGAGGAGTTCCTCCACGCTTCTCTTCACCGCTATGCTGACCTGGTCTACAACGATGTGCTTGACGAGTGGCACGAGTCGAGCGCATCTCTTTCTGCTAGATAGTCGCGCCAGGATCGCCGTGCCCAGCGATTCCGTGGTACCCGTCGAGTTCGCGGTGGTTGAGGAAGTCCAAGGGTCTGCCTGTACTTGAGAATGGAGAGCAAGGAGAGGTTTAAGGGGGGATAGCTAGAGGGCATCAGACTCTGCTAAAGATATCGGGACTACTTCTCCGCGAGCATCCTATAGGTTGAGCAGTGATCTAAAATGTTCGAACTACTAACGTAGTAATGCTTTCGTAAGTCCGTCTGCTGGCATCTGGTCGGTAGGCTATGGAATCGTCAGAAGCCTCTCTCGTCTAGATTCGTAGTTTTAAAGGATAAAGGTATCTCTCGGATATAATCGAAATTATTAGAGTCGATTACGCGACTTAAAATACCTGATTTTCCGATATTATTAATTATAAAATATATTAAAACGTCTTTAAACGATTAATAGTTACAAAATACCTTTCGGAAAAAGATATTTACTATAATTAAATCCGGAATCCCGGCTTTAAAGTTATTAATTCAGAAGGCTAGTAACGGTTAGGATCGTAACTAAGGTAAAGTAACGGCTCTAGAGATATAGGTTAAATATACGGTAATAAAAAACAAAAGAAGTACTCTTCAGACCCGTCGTAAAGTCCTCCCGGCGTTAGGTAAACGCTTCGTACGTATAGTTAATATACGGTAAATAAAAAGGTCGTTAAAAGGAAGGATCGTATATAAAGACGAGGTAAGCGACGAGGAGGTACCTAATGGGTAGGAAACGGCGTAAGAACTAGTTAAAAACGAAGGATCGTAAGCGGAGGACTATATTAAGGTAGTAACGTCGTAATCGGAAGGTTTTAATTGATTTTAGTAATCTAAATAGCTTTAATTACTTACGTAGTAGTAGTAATAGTAAGGGTTTTTTAGGTAGTCCGCGAAGGGTTAGTCCGTGGAGGGGGTCTAGCTTAACTGCCTAAAAATGGGAAGCGTGTGATGGTGAAAATGCTCGCCCTGGTGCTATGTTAGAGAGACACATTGTCCTGCCGGATCATCGGTCTCCCAGGGATGCTTAGCAGCATCAAGTGTAATTATTTCCTTTGTCTACGGAGACCTCGAAGAAGCATCTCTTGATGGGATTAGGCTTCACGCCGGGTCAGCCATCCCGTGCACTAGGGATAGATTGACACTCGACGACAACAGGCTCATAAACGCTACGCCACTGAAGTGACGCCAATTATATCACGTTGTGTATACCGCCCACGTGTCGTATGCTGTGTCTGGCCCCATCTGTATCAGCAGCAGAATCCGGCTTACGGACAGCATGCTGGCAGATCAGTATGGCCGGACTTCGGGCTGGAGCGCTATGCATAGGTATATGCAGGCGTAGGCAAGTAAAGTAAGACAACCACAGTAATAGCAACTCGCGTATATGTACATATATGATATATAGTGGGCATCCTCTTTAAAAATTAGGGGAACCTGGATTAAGTTGTTCCCGACCCTAGATTATGTTGACGATGGTAATCTATCAGTACAGGAATGCCCTTTCTCGAGATAATATTTCTCATAATGTATCTGAATCTAGTTACCTTTCGCTATCTATCATCATTTGGGTCGATGAGCTTCCTAATATCTTACGATGGGTTAGTGCATGTGTCGTAGTAGAACTCGTGATGCTTAGGGTATTTTTGTTAGCGTGCAATGTTGGATCGTTTACGTAGAAAATTCTCAACTATCCGCACATGTATGCTGAAGGTGGTTTAGAGGCGCGGATACATGCTCGATGGGATACTCAATGGGTCGAAACAAATATCTATATGACAGATGGTAAAATAGCCTCGGCAGCACCGCGAGCTCAACACCAAATCTGTTCAACACAGGCGACGCTAACAGACGAACCGAAACAGACAGTCCGCAAGTTACCGTGGCTTGCCGTAAACCAAAACATAGTACCTAGCTAGCTTTCAGCATTACTACGTAAGAACGCCTCCCCGTGTGCATGTGGTAATTATATTGACCTTGGCCGTGGCCTGAATGTTCTTTAGGCCAGTGCCTTGTCCACGGCCTTAGCTTATATTGGCCTTGGTTGTCCCCGGGTTTGCTGATGTGCGCGCGTAGAGGCTCATGCCCAGGTCGTGCGCCTGTCACATAGGCAATAATAGTAGGCAGAATTAGGAGGCGGAAATTGGTTGCCCCTGTGGCTTAAGCATCAAGACAATGGCTTTTTTCCTTTTACTCTACTTACCCAAGATCCTCAACGCCCTTCCCTTCCCAGGATCCCCTAGATTGTCTGCATAAGGGCCAATGGCCATTCTTCTGGTAGCGAAAACGTGCAGGCCAGGCACTTTCGTCGAAACTGCAAGTCGAGAACGGTCCGTGGTCAATTTCTTCTGCGACCTTGCTCCTACAACCCCAGAATTACCGCCTAACGCGAACACGACACCACCGGCTTTTGCCAATCCCTTCCCGAATAGAGTATTTCCCGACGTAGCGACCCGCAACTTGTTTTAAGGAAATTGGCAACGTCCACCCAGGCAGAGCCCCGCGGCATGATAAAGGGTCACGGACTAGCCCCTCTTAAACTGGGTGTAGGGAGTTGAAAAGGACCTTGGCTTCTTCCGCCGATTTATTTCTTGGAACAAGCCTCGAATAAAAAAAAAACTGGGCAGGTCGGGCGCCTGAAGAATGCGGCTCACCTCCACAGAAAGACAGGCATATTTCAGTTCTACGTAGCCAGTATCTCTCGTACATCCTCGGGAGTCGGGCAGGGATGTTGAAGATGAGAGGCCAAAGCCGTTCCCGAACCAAAGGGTGCTCCCGTGAACTTGCTAGCGTTGACGGTACGCGTCTCGGCAAATCTAGGTGGCGGGACTCGACATACTCTGTACTCTCTCTGTGTCTGTATATGTGCATATATTCATATCTCGTGCCCATTTGGAAGGGCTCACGACGGACGGCTAGCCGTAGTGAGTGTTGGCAATCGACGGGCAGGTAAAATCAATCACCCGCAATCAGTACCTAGGTAGGTATTTATCAACGCGAATCGGTTTCTTTTCTTACCTCTCGTTGACATGCGATACAAGACAACGAACGTAAAACGAGCCTGGTACAATTAAGTCTAGCATATTGAACGAGAAATAATGATATTACTTAGATGTGGCCCCAAATCACGGTAGAATCAGCTGAGCCTACTATCCCTATCGAGCTCGGGAAAGGAAGAGAATCTAGAAGCTGTTTTGGAATTGTCACATCTTACAGCTGTGGCCCGTTACCCCAAACGAGCGGCAGGATCAGCGATCATCATGCAACCCTACGATTTGCCGATGGAGGATTATATTACCCGATTTTCAGCGGTGCTCCTCCCACCAAGCTTGCATCTTAACGAGGATCTCTCAGCGGGGCTCTAATTCATAGCATGAGCTGTCGTTATTATCGGTAGGGGGGACACGATGATAAAAAAAAGTCAAGGTCCATCGAGTAGCAATCGACGGATGCCGTGGCCTAATATTACGTTGCGCCACCTACGGGCAGTGATGTGGCGAAGAGGCGACACTGTAGCTATGCCGTATTCAATCGTTAATCCCTATATGCTGCGTTCGACTCCCGATGTCATGTAGGAGAGCTAGGCACAACGTCCTGGCAAGCTCGTTGTTCTCGAATACGGATAGTGAGACGGTTTGGCCAACGAGGCAGGGTACCGCATCTCGAGCTCACCCTCGCCTGTCTTGCCCCCGACTCGTCAGCTGTGCCTAAACGTTGACCCGGACCGTCCTGTGGTGCGTGGGTGTGCGGTCCGCGTGTCAGCACCTGGCAGGTGTTGGCGTCAGCGCCCTTGGCACCTACTAGAGCCTTCGCGCGACGATTCCTCGCCGCGACCTGTCGTAACCCCGGGGGTCTCGATGCGGTGCATGCACGTAGCCTGCAGCTGAGGTTTCCCAATACTACCAACTAATGCTGATGGGAGCAAAGGTTGGACCTTGTTGGCTGGCTTGCGGGACTTGCTCAGCCCGCGCTGCCGACCTCCAGCCTTGAACATGTCTCCGGTTGCGGTGTTGAGAGGGAAAACACTTCTCGTCGTACGACGGGTGAAGGGAAGAGCATGCGACCGGGGCACTGATGAGAATTGGCATGCGTCGGCCAACGTGATGGCCCGGGTGGAAAAGATCCCGCGACACAGAGGCACCCCTGACGCGAGCTGTCAGTGAGGAAATGCGCGATATCTCTGACATCGAAATGCCCCATGCGATTTGCCGTCAAGCGAGAGAGGCTTAGACGATTAGATCGCAGAAGCTGTCAGACCCAACTCGCCGGTTCACACAATAGTGTGGCTTGAAAGCCCTGCGAGGCCAGCACGGATGGGTGTTGGTGCCGTGCCCGGCCTGCAGGCTAAGAATAGATGAACGCAAAGCCAGTTGTATAGTTACATCCGCAGCAGAGGGTGGGTGAGACTAGGTTGGCTTGTCATCGTCGTGCTGACGCCGAGCACTCACCGCAGCTGGTCACGCCTTTTACGACGGTGGCTGTCCCAGCCTATCGCCTTCGCCCACCAATTATCGCTCTCGTCTACGAATTATTACGCGGTCGATCCGGGAGGGCTTATGTGTAGAAGAAAGGCGTGAAGGACATTGTTCGTCGCATCGACTCTCCTCCTTTGTTTTCACCTCCAAGTCAATCCCCACGACGGACTGTGCGACGTCACCGACTACGACCCGCCCGCGATGGTGCTCAAAAAGAAAGAAGTCTACACGGTCATCACCCCGATTCCCGGCTTCATACCGCGCCAGCTAGCCATCGACATCCTCCACAGCCACGGCGAAGTGATCACGCTGAATCCCCTCGTGCTCGAATACAACCAGATCAAGGCGCCTCGCGATGCCGCCGCCGACGAATACTTCTCGACATGGTACGAGATCATCGAGCGAATCCAATATATACCCGGCATGGGAAGGCTGGGATCGGGCAAGATTAAGTTCAACGGCTGCTTCCACGACCTGCCATGGGGTTTGCAGACACATATCTACGCGCCGATGGGTGTGGATCTGCGGAATAAATACCGCATCGCGGGGAATCAGCCAGGTATCGAACCTCCGGAGGCCCAAGAGATTGGGTTGGCAGCGCTAGGCGCACCGAAAGATGGCCTGTACTTGAGGGAGGATATCGAGATTCGGTGCAATATTACCATGGTCGGCGTGGTCAAGGCGCAGATGAAATCGGCTAGCAAGGAGATGATAACACGGCTCATCAAGAAGGCCGAATTGCTCGACGCCGGCGTGCTGCAGGCGATGGTCGAGGACGGGAAGATGAAGACGTTTAACCCTAACGACAGGACATACACAGGCGGCTTGGGCGCAGCGGCGAAGTCGCCCCCGCTCTCGCCCGTGAGCCTGTTCCAGCCGCCGACGTCGCCGTCGATACCGTATCAGGTACCGCGACCCTTGTCGCTGCAGCAGGGGCAGGGCAGCCGGCCGGGGACCGCGAGCTCGCAGAGCTACCCGGCACACTGGCAGGCACAGTTCCAGTCGGATAACCCGGCATACCAGCAGCCGCCGCAGGCGGAGCTGCCGAACACGCAGCCGGGGATGCCGACGCACGGCCAGGGCGTCATCATGGAGTTGCCGGGTGACTTCTACCACCCGCAAGCGTCGCCGCGGCTGCAGCCGCCCCCGGCGTACCTGACGTCGTCGTCGTCGTCGTCGCCGCTGGCGCCGTCAGGGCCCTCGCCGCGCCACAGCTCCTCCGCCCTGTCGTCGATCCGCTCGCACTCGCCCGACCCCAGCAAGCCCTGGACCGCCTGGTCGCAGAGCCAGCCGAGCCCCTCGCTCGCCAGCTCCCGCCCCACGTCCTACTCCTCCGACCCCGGCGCCGGTCGCGCGTCGCCCGCCCTCGACCACAAGGGCTTCTCCAACGAGCTACCCACCCACCCCGAAACCGCCGAGGAGTACGGCCACCATCACCACGGCGGCCAGCGAGCCGACTCTCGCCCCGCCCGCGCGTACTCGTACAACCCCGCCGACTACGCCGCAGTCGGCCGCTAGAGGAGGCGATCTAGCATCCCGTCGTTTTAAGTCTTTTTTTTTCACCCCTTTTTTTCCTTTAACTCTTCGTTAGAGACGGAGCTGGATGGAAGCGAGAGGGTATAGGGCCGTAAGGGACTGAGTTAAATGCGGTGAATGGGCTAATGAGAACGTATGCGTTTGCGTTAGGCCGTTTGCTGTGCAGTATACCGGGCGGGCACTGGCGGTTGGGATCCCCGGGTTGGCCGCCGGGCGTGGTCTACATGGAGTCACGGAGTGCGAGGGAGCTTATCTGGCGGAACTTGTCGGCTTATGGGTTGGGCTTAGGACCGCGGCTCGCCAGATACGGGGCCTCTATTTAGCAGCCCCTTATACCAATGGTTTTATATCCTGTATACGTTTATTGCCCTTTTCTAGTGGCTTTTCTTCATCGGTTGTTGATATACATGATGTAACCTTGGTTTTTTCTCGTGTACTATGTAGCTGGCAAGTCTCGTTCATCCTCGGTAGTATGTATCTCTGAATACCTACATAATACAGGTAATCTATCACGTCTCCCCACGTTGTGGTACTGCCACGAGGTCCGAGTATATTGTAGCTTTGGTTTCATTTACCTACTTAGGTATTTATTTACCTCGCTGCTAATAGGCTATATACATGCCTGTATCGCTGCTATGGTCGAAATACTCGCCCTCCATTGTCTAATATAACAGAGACGGGATATTGAGATAAGAGAGTCGTTACACTGACTTTATGCATTCTACACAGTTATGAATTTACATGCCAATTTGCACAGTGGCTGTATACAACGTACCGCTGCGGGGTCACCGCCCGGCAGAATCGCCCACCGCCTGGCAGAATAATCATTAGCACCTTTTTTTTTTACTCTACACCGGCCTCCAGTCAAGGATGACCTGCGAAATACTCCGACTTGTCATTGTCGCCCCGGATTTACCCCCTAGTCGCGGCGCAACAAGATGTCGCGAAAAGCTGTGTAAGTATAGCGTGAGCTTCATTCGTGTACAGCTGAGCCTATACAGTGCCCCCCTTCGCTTGCTGACGACAATCCGCCAGGGACTCCCGCATTCCCGCCCTGATCCGAAATGGCCTTTCCGAACACAAGCGAAGCTTCTTCGTCGTCGTCGGCGACCGGTCCAAAGATGTCATCGTCAAGCTGCATTTCATAATGTCCAGTATGGACCTGCGCCAAAACAAGTCCGTTCTCTGGGCCTACAAGAATAAGCTGCTCGGCTTCACCAGTCACCGAAAGAAACGCGAGGCGAAGATTAAGAAGGAGATCAAGCGCGGTATTAGGGAGGCGAATTCCGAAGACCCTTTCGAGCTCTTCGTTTCGCTCCACGACGTCCGATATGTCTACTACAAGGAGACCGACAAAATTTTGGGAAGGACGTTCGGCATGGTAAGCGTTACGGTCACTGGCCCTCTCGCGTTGGTGCTGATTCCCTGTTTCTAGTGTATCCTACAAGACTTCGAAGCTCTCACCCCGAACACCCTGGCGCGCACTATCGAGACCGTTGAAGGGGGAGGCTTGGTGGTACTTTTGTTAAAGGGGATGGACAGCTTGAGGCAGCTTTATACGCTTTCGATGGATGTACATTCGCGGTACCGAACCGAAGCGCACCGCGATGTCGTTGCGAGATTCAATGAGCGCTTTCTCCTGTCTCTGGGCCGGTGCGAGTCCTGTCTTGTCGTCGACGATGAATTGAACGTGTTGCCGATATCTGGGGGCAGAGAGGTCAAGCCCCTACCTCCCAAAGAGGAGGCAAAGTCAGCCTCTGAGGTCGAATTGGAGAAGATCAAGGAGTCGCTGAGGGATACCCAACCCATAGGCTCTCTAGTCCAGCTCGCGCGGACAAAAGACCAAGCCGATGCTCTGATCACCTTTGTTGACGCTATTGCCGCCAAGACGCTACGAAACACTGTCTCGTTAACAGCCGCGCGTGGTCGTGGTAAATCGGCAGCTTGTACGTTCCCGCCCCTGGCGCCCTGGATTTATGATCCGACGGCCGTGTGCTGACTTGCGAAGTGGGCGTCGCCATCGCTGCAGCGGTATCTTACGGCTACAGCAACATCTTCGTCACGTCCCCTTCCCCGGAAAACCTCGGTACATTGTTCGAATTCGTCTTCAAGGGGTTCGATGCCTTGAACTATCAAGACCACACGGACTACTCCATCATCCAATCTACCAACCCAGACTTTAAGAAGGCAATTGTCAGGGTGAATATTTTTAGAAACCACCGCCAGACCATTCAGTACATTCGGCCCCAGGATGCCCATGTCTTGGGGCAAGCGGAGCTGGTTATTATCGACGAGGCGGCCGCTATTCCGTTACGTAAGTGTTTATATATATAGCTCTTGATATGATAATATCTCGCGTGCTGACGGTGCATAGCGCTCGTGCGGAAGCTCCTGGGCCCCTACACAGTCTTCATGTCCTCCACCATTAGTGGCTACGAAGGGACAGGCCGATCGCTATCTTTGAAATTGATAAAACAGCTCAAGGAGCAGGCCGCCACCACCGTGTCCCAAGAGGGCGAGACACGGGGTTCGCGATCGCTTAAAGAAGCTACTCTCGAAGAGCCGATACGTTACGCGAGAGGCGATGCCGTCGAGAAGTGGCTCAACTCGCTTCTTTGCCTCGACGTCACCCCCTCGAAGCCCAAGGACAACATATTCCCGGACCCCACACAGTGTCAGCTCTTGCATGTCAACCGTGATACCCTCTTCTCTTTCCACCCAGTGCCAGAGAGGTTTCTGCGACAGATGGTCGCCCTTTTTGTGACGAGCCACTACAAGAATTCTCCGGATGATATTCAGCTGATGAGTGATGCCCCTGCACACGAGCTTTTTGTTCTGACCTCGTCCACAATTCCAGAAAACGGGCTTCCCGAGCCCTTGTGCGTCATTCAAATCGCGCTCGAAGGCAGTATCAGCAAGCAGAGTGTGATGGCTAGCTTAGATAGGGGCCAGCGACCTACCGGCGACCTGATCCCTTGGTTGGTCAGTCAGCAGTTCCAGGATGATTTCGCTTCTCTTTCTGGCGCCCGTATCGTTCGGATAGCGACCCATCCCGATTGCGTCTCGATGGGCTACGGAACGAAAGCGCTGGAGCTTCTCATAGATTACTACGAAGGCAAATTTATTAGTCTAGAAGAGGGCGGCAACGCCGCCACGACGATGACCGCTGGTACCAAGTCAACTGACGTGCTAGACACAGCTAACGGAGGCCTTCTTAACGAAAACATCCAAGTGCGAGATATTGAGAAGATGGAACCCTTGTTCTCCAGGCTCGCGGAGCGCAAACCAGAGAACCTAGAGTATATGGGCGTCAGTTACGGTCTCACTCAGCCTCTCCATAAATTTTGGGCCCGTGCTGTCTTCGTGCCAGTCTACTTGGTAAGATCCCCTGTCACGCCTGGGAATTCTCACTGCTCGCCCAGCATACCATAGAACCCGGTCCTAACCCAATCCACAGAGACAAACGGCCAACGATTTAACCGGCGAACATACCTGTGTCATGCTCAGGCCCCTCAACGATGACCGAGAGTGGCTTGGAGCATTCGCTAGCGATTTTCACCGCCGTTTCCTTGCCCTGCTCTCGTACAAGTTCCGCGAATTCCCATGCGTTCTTGCATTGAGTATAGATCAATCTGCCACGGCGGGTGCCCAGTTGGATCCGTCCAATCAGCTTCCAGAGTTGACAAAACCGGAGTTAGACAGGCTTTTCACCCCTTTTGACTGTAAAAGATTGGAGTCTTATTCCAGGGGTGTGCTGGACCATCATGCCATCCTTGATCTTGTTCCTAAATTGGCTGAAGTCTACTTCACGGGCCCCCTGAAGCCAAGCATCAAGCTTACCGGCGTACAACGAGCGCTTCTGCTAGGTATTGGCTTACAACGCAAAGATGTGGGTGCCATCTGTACCGAGCTTACCCTCCAGACATCACAAGGTTTGGCCATGTTCATGAAGATTATTCGGAAAATCACGGCACATTTCTCGTCGCTCATAGCCTCAGCTGTCGAAGTTAATATGCCGAGAGTAGACGCCATCGGTGTCAGTAGGGAAAATGCGTCTGGATTGCATGAGGACGAGGCGGTCAATGAGAAATACGAACCACTAGAGACCCGCTTGGAGGACGAGTTAAACGAGGTCGGGGATGAGGCGATGCGGGAACTCCGTGCCAAGCAGAGGGAGCTTATCGACTCTCTCCCTCTCGACCAGTAAGGCTATCCCTCAGCTGCGGTCTTGTTCTTTTTGCTGTCATTCTCGCTTACATCTTGATGCAGGTACGAAATCGAGGGAGATGCGCCCGGCTGGGAAGAAGCTGAGCAGCAAGTCCTCAGGGCAACCAAACAGGGTCGATCCAACCCCGTCGTTAGTGTCAAGGCGAAGCAGACAAAGCGGAAAGCCGGGATGACGGCAGCAGAGGTTTATGAGGAGGCGTTCGGCGACGACAAGCCTAAGCGATCTAAGAAGTCAAAAAGAGGTACTGATCATTAGGGCTCAAGAAACTACATGTAACATAAGGACGATGAAGTTTGGGGGGTTTTGGCGTACTGGAAAAAGCACAAGAGTTTGTGTGTATGCATTCCAAGGTTATTGCATATAGTGATACCACGTCGGGCACTTAGACCCACGAAGTCATTCTTGAGCCTTGTCCGTTCATGGAAACGTGCTTCGCTGTTCTGGCGATTGATGTGTGCGGGATCAGCAGGTAGCCCCGGAAATACCATACTGGCAAGCGAAGACGACCAAGTTGACTGTCTGGGTCGAAAGGAGGTATACTTGTGCAATTAGCGTAGTTCCTTGGTCGCCGATAACCTTCGAATATGTCCTGTAGGGCAGGTTGAAGTCTTGATCTCGATCTGTAACACTTTCCCGAGATCGTCTCCCAGGCACATGTAGTATAGAGAGCATACGAACTGTTGAGATGACAGAGATAGTCTTGTTGTACGGAGCGCGACTCACATACGCCTGGCCACCGACGTAAACTTGCTATCGAGCTAAATGTGTTAGTATTATAATATATCGTATCCAGTCCCGTATAACAACATCACCGTAGTCTGCTGGCTCATCCAGACGTAACAATTGGTGAGATTGTTAATCCATCGTTATTCTTTTTTCTCTGCAAAGATCGCGCTATACGAATCCCGATCCTCATTTCGACGTAAGCATCCCGATGACAATTTGAGCGGGACTTCCATTTTCGCATGTTTCTCAGAGCACAACGAAGACAGCTAAGGCAATCTAGCTACTAACTTCAAGCTCCACGGAATATCCGAGTTCGAAGGGTTCGTATCTGTCAACATGAAATTGCATGAGAAGAAGAGAACATGGACGGCCCACCGAGGCCAAACCGAACCCACCAGAAACAACCTGTCTCTTTCTTTCGCTCCCGCTCTCTTTCTCTCTGTCTTCGCGACTCGGAACGAAGGATAAGTCCACATGAAGTCTTGGCTCGTGACTCGAAGAGCCCTAGGAGGCCCAATGCACGTCGAACTGGTGTCTGCCGGACGGAATGGCGATTGCCGGCAGTCGGGGGGCACGGGTGGTGGTGTAGGTGAATATTTAGGCCGGGGACAGTCAGGGGGGCCAGACGAGGTGAATTGAGGAGTTCGGAATGGGGATCCCCGGGCGTGCGGGGGAAGGAGACCCAATCATCCAACTGCCGGACTTCCTATTCCAGCGTTTTTGTAATCCTTGGGATAACTTGATGCTGACCCAAGCGCGCCGGGGGGGCTGGTGACATGTGTGTGCTCGACGCGGACGAACTACTCGTCCCTCTATGGTCGTGCTGGGCTTCTCAGCGCCTGCGCGTGTTGCCGGCATCGTCGTTGTTATGGGTCGGTGCCACTGGAGGGTGGTTCCAGCAATTATGGAAGCCGTCCCTTTAATTGCGGTCCTCTGGATGAATGCGAAATAAACAAGCCAGCGTCGAGTATTCTGCCGGCGGACGCGGCATAGGCGAAGTCGCGCTGGCGACTGCGGCTCGGCCCTCTGTATAAGGGCCAGGCAAGCGAGAACGGCGCCGGCCAGCCTCTGGGGCATCTCCACCATCTCCGAGCCGCACACCACCTGCTTTGGCCGTCGAATTCAACATCGATACCGTCAACATGAAGGGCTCTCTTCTCGCTCTCTGCCTGGCGCTCGCCGCCCCTTCCCAGGCGTACCTTCGCTTCGGATGTGCCACCCTCAGCGTCCAGCGCCTCGATCCGCTCGTCGAGCCGGGCGCCATCCCCTCGGCGCATCTCCACCAGATCGTCGGCGGCAACGGCTTCAACGCGACGATGGACCCCAGAGAGGACGTCTCCCAGCGGGCCACCTGCACGACCTGCAGCTTCTCGGAGGACTTCTCCAACTACTGGACCGCTGTCCTCTACTTTAAGGCCCGCAACGGGACGTACAAGCGCGTGCCCCAGTACCCCAACGCCCTGCTGGGCGACCTCAAGGGCGGCATGACCATCTACTACCTCCAGGACTCGTTCAACTCGAACGGGAACCAGAAGATCACGGCCTTCAAGCCCGTACGTTGGGTCGTTTTTCTTTTCCTTTCCCCGCACTACCACCCCTGCGCGAGGCGACACGCGCGATCTAACGACTCTAGGGCTTCCGGATGACGGTTGGCACCCCCGGGAGCAAGGACGGCAGCAACCTGGGCCTTCGTTACACATGTCTGCAGGACGTCATGACGCGGTTCCCCGAGACCGCTGAGTTCCCGAAGCAGCCGTGCCCGGCGGGCATCATGGCGATCCACCACTTCCCGGCGTGAGTGGGCTCCCTTTTCTCTCTCTCTCCTCTTTCCTATCGTATTCTTTCCTATCGTACCCTCCCAGAGAGCCGACCAACTAACGGCCGTGCAGCTGCTGGGATGGCAAGAATCTCGACAGCCCGAACCACCAGGACCACATGTACAACACGAACCGGGGCGGGTTCGTGCCGGCGGGGCCGTGCCCGACGTCGCACCCGGTGCGCGTGCCGCAGGTGGCGTACGAGACGATGTGGGACACGCGGCCGTTCAACGACCGGTCGCTCTGGCCGGCCGACGGGTCGCAGCCCTTCGTCTGGAGCTACGAGGACAGCGTCGGCTACGGCACCCACGGCGACTACCTCTTCGGCTGGAAGGGCGACGCGCTCCAGCGCGCCATGGACTCCAAGCCCCTCCTCAGCAACGGCATCGCCACCCAGAGCGTCGCCCAGGCCAACCAGTGCACCATCAAGAGCACCGTCAACGAGGACATCGACAGCTGTAAGCCTGTTTCCCCCACTCTCTCCTTTTATGAGTTCCTTTTCCTCTGCGTTTCGCAGGGGCAGGCCCGAGAGCCGTGAACACCTACGCTAACGACTCGTCCCGCAGGGCTCACGAGCCTCCCTGGTCGGCGCATGGACATGTAGGAAACTAAGTTCGGGCATCCCGAGAGATAGGGGGACTTTTGTCGAGGTTTAGGGAGAGGGCGGAAACAGCGGGAGAGATGATGGCTCGGAATTCTGCTAGTCTTGAGATATTAGATTGGCGTCCACTCATTCCTAGAGTCGGGATACCTATTATTAGTTATAATTTACCCAACTTTCGGCTCCATCCCGGGGACGCCAGTCGGCGTCCTGAATACGACGTCGTAAGTCCGAGAAGCTCGGTTGATGTTCCCTCGCTGCGATGCGGTGAGAATGCCCCCCCTGTTGCCCGCCTTCCTCTCTGCTTTCTGAACATCAAGGTTTGAAGGACAAGAGAATTTGCGTTCCAAAGGTGCGACAGGCCAGTTTACTATAATCATAACCGTAAGGTGGTCTTTACGAAGTACCCACGAACGAGTGAAAATGTAGCAAAGCGATCGTATTGTCTCGAGACTCGTACGTGGGTATGTGTAGCGGAACAGACCTCTCCTGCCACCCATCCTCCCGGGCATCCAGCGTTAAGTATTCCAAAGAATAATAATTATTCGGCCTCACTGGTCCCAATAAACGACTACCCCTTTCCTTCAGAGAATACTAAACATTATGAGTTATGAGTTAGCCATGGAAAACGCTCCCTGTATCTGCCATGAAATACCGGACAGTATCACGAGTTCGGTTTCTTCTTTTTTTGGTCTTTTTTTTTGAAATGAAACGACCATCCCCCTGAGCTCCAGCCTCGCAGGCTATGCATTCATTTCATGCAGACTCAAATCGACGTACACACATGCATATCACCTCCCTGCTCGAGAGAGGAAAATCGAACGGCAATGACGACGACTTGAGGGGCCGACGAAACGCGAGGGGTGAAAACAAAAGGAAACAGAAGGCGGAAAAGAAAGTGATGTTGTGCTCGCGAGGAACTCCTTGGTTAATATTGGTTCCATAACTGACCATTTGCATCTGGCCCTCGCGTGCTCCGACGTCGGCGCCTGGTGGGCATCGTCAGTTATCGAAAAGGTGGTCCAAGTTTCGGTGCCAGATGAGGTCGAGATTGGCGCTTTCCGCGGTGCTGAAGATCATGTCGTGGCCGGCGCGGTCGCGGGGGGCGAGCGTGCGGAACTCGGGGAACGGGCTGCCGTTGACCCAGGTCTCGCCGGCCACGCCGACGCAGAGGACGCAGCAGCAGTGGCGGTGCGCCGCGGGCGGGAACATGATGCGGGCCTCGGGCGCGCCGGTGTGCTCGTCCTCGCGCACCACCCAGACCTCCTCGAGCCACGCGGCCCACTCCCACGCCCAGGCGACCCCCAGCGGCCGGAGGGCCCGGGCGATCCACGTCGGGAGCAGGCTGCTGCGGAAGAACAGGCACTCGGGCAGCTTGGTGCGCTGGGCGCGCCAGATGGGCACGGCGACGCGGCGCACGCCGCGGGCGCTGAGGCGCTCGATCCCGAGGAACCGGGGGTGCATCAGCGCCCCTTGTATCAGCTCGGTGTATGCGGGCAGATAGGTCAGGGCCGCGAGCAGGACGTAGCGAAAGAAGGCCGGGTACCAGTTTTCCCCGGTCCACTCCAGCCACGCGCCGATGTCGAAGATGTCGTTCGCGAAGGAGACCACGGGGCCCGGGCCGCCGGCCGGCGCTAGGTGCATCGGCGGCAGCCATTCATCCGTGTGCAGGTCCCCCCCCGGGAGCCGCGTGTAGCACATCCGGGCCACCATGTACGACTCGAAGCAGACTAGGAATAAAGTCGGGCACGGGGCGCGGGTGACGCGCGTCAGCGAGTCGGTCATCACCAGACGGTCCTGCCCGCGGACCGCGGTCGTCCAGATCATGGCGCGAACTTCAGGGGGCATTTGCTGGAAGAGCGAAAATTGTTGAGTTGGCTCAGACATTTTGACGACGGAGAACCTTGGTATCGATGGGTGCTCTCTAGACGCAGAAGTAGTGGCCGAGTGGTGACGATGGGCAACAAGTAATAACACTAGGCTTGATATCAGTACTCTGGCCTCATTTCATCTCAGTCAGCAATGGTAGGTGGGCGTGGAATTCGATAGCAACACCCCTACGAGTCAGTGGTCTTATGGGGAAGGAGAGGAGAAGACAAGACGAGGGAGTACAGCTCAAAGACGGGGAAGGTAGGGGGACAAGAGGCCGCTTTGACCTTCAAGAAGAAAATCCAGAGGCAGCGACGGCGGCGTACTAATATAAAGAACTCGTGAAGATGGAAGGGCATAATATAGCTGACTGGGCCATTGAACGGCGTACCTTTAAGGATAGACAATAACGAGAGAGACACGTCCCCCGTATTCTTAGGATTGGTCCGAAAAGCCCCGTAAGTCTAACTAACCCCCTCCGAAGAAAGCAAACAGAACGTAACCGAAGTGACGAGAGCGTCAGTTTTTAAGGCAGCAAAACCTGAGAGATCAATTTGGATAAGCCGGCTTCTGACTACGGCCGCTAGCGGGCAAAGAAATCAAGATGAGGGAAGCCTGAGGACAGCGCTGGCTTGTTCAGGTGGAAGTTATGAGAGTGGCGTAGGAGATTGACATGAGCAGAGCACCGCTTCTATTTCCTGGGATGAGCGAAAGGTTTTCTGCCCTGGTTACAGATTTGATTTTCTACTATTTTAAATATCCTTGTCGCCATTTCTCTTGCGGCTACTAAAGACAATCGAAGGTTTTTGCATCGGAAGATGCCAAAAGAGTTGATTGTAGATGAATAAACAAGTCATATACATATTGTCACGTAGCCATACGCCTCCATTGGAGAGCTACCTAGCTTATCTCAGCTCGCCTTTTATTTCTATATATATCCATAGCTCGCTCCTCTAGAAGGATCTCCTCTCTTTCCTAGTCAGTCAATACACACCTTCTCACCCACATTCCATTGCTCTCTGTGCACAACCTATTGTACCTAACGCCGCTCTAGACTGAGCTACGTGATACATATACTCATTCTATAGCGCCAATCAATCAATCCGAGTGTATCGACTTCTAGAAACATTGGAAGGTGTTGCATCAAATAATTCAACTCGTTAATAGAAAGCTGAGAGACGGATGGTGTGAGTCAGGGGCAGCTTGCCTCCATTCTCGGATATTCCTTCAGTTGCAACCCAATACTAGTAATATAATACTAAGAGTGTGGATCCCCGCCACCCTATTCACTGCTCTATTGACTGCCCTATTCACTTCCAACGGCACTCGAGGAGATAAGCTAATATTCACTGTAAAAACGGCTAATATTCACCTGAATCTAGTTGATATACATGAGCAGTCAAGTAGCAGTAGTCGTTAACTGCTAGATATCTCAATGTAAGTCAGGCACAGGTTAGCTTTCTAAAGATTCGCATACTAGTAGATTGATTACTTGGTATTGTGGGATTATAGGAAGCGAGCTGGCTAAAACGTATAAAAGTCTATATATTAGATATACAGGTATAAGACATAGTATCATACTAGCTGGTTCCGATTGTTGGTTTTACATTAATTGCTAGGATAATATTACGAAGTTCACAGATTTGGACAACTTGCCCCTCAAGTTTTAACTTGTGATGACTTTAGGTAATGTCACTTTAGTATTAGAGGGGGCTTCGCAACTCTCGACTGGAGCATAAGAATATGGTCCTGAGCAGAGTCCTAGATATTAATGAGATTATCTCAGCATTGCTGCCCATCCTCATGAACAGCAGCTTGTTATTGAATTCCACTAATCCTCCAAGGCCATTTGACAGTAATTGCAAGTATTGCCTCCATGCTAGACTCCAATTGCTGCCCTCCCAACCCACGAAGCTTTTTTTGGTTGCTAAACTACTCGCGCAAATTCCAGCTGTTTCTCATGTCTTGACATCCGGTTCATCACGTCCCACATATTCCTTGAACTTCAGGAGATCAGTTGCAAACTTGATTTCATCCTTGAGAAATTCTTGCGCATCCAGGCCATATGTTGACGGGTCGTTACTGTATTTCTCGATGTACAAGCGGATTGTCGCTCCCGAGGATCCAGTTCCCGATAATCGGACTACGATCCGGCTGCCGCTGTCAAAACGAGCGTAAAGGCCTTGGTTGGAGGAAACAGAGCCGTCCAGATCGGTGTAGGAGAAGTTGCCAGCATCAGTTACGGTCCGCTCTATGAGGAATCGGTTAGTGAATTGGCTGAAGGTACTAGGGACATGACTATGACATACCTCCTATCTTGCTACCCTTGAAGTTGGGATCAGCAACAAGGTCATTCAGCGTCCCGACAACCTTGTTAGCACCGTCGGAGTCTACATTCTCGTAGTCATAGCGAGTGAAAAACACCCGGCCGTAAGTCTTCCAGAAGTCCTCTTGGATCTGCTTGATGCTTGGCTTAGTTCCGGGATTGGCCGCGCCTAGACCAGAGATGATATTGAGCCATGCCACCACAGCCCAAAGGCCATCCTTCTCTCGCACATGGTTACTACCCGTGCCAAAACTCTCCTCGCCACAGATGCTCAATTTGTCTGCGTCGAAGAGGGCACAGAAGAACTTCCAACCTGTAGGAACCTCGTAGCTATTGAGCCCCTGGGCCTTGGCGACAAGATCAACAGCACCGGAGGTCGGCATACTGCGGGCCAGGCCATAGACACCCTGCTTTTTGAAGTAGGGGATGAGCTGCGCATGGTGGGCGATAATTGCCAGACTGTCTCCGGGCGAGACAAAAGCGCCTGCGCCGTAAATCATGTTACGATCGCCGTCGCCATCGGAAGCGGCGCCGAAGGGAATGGAATTCTTATCGACGACCTCTACTAGGGAGTGGGCGTAAGTCAGGTTGGGGTCTGGGTGTCCGCCGTTGAAATCGGGACTCGGGATGCAGTTCTGCGTGGACCCCTCAAGTCCGAGTTCGTGCTCGAAAATTGCCTTGCCGTAGGGACCCGTGACGCCGTGCAGAGCATCGAAGAGCACTTTGAAGTCGGGGTTTTCGGTGAAGAACTTCTTAATGAGGGGGAAGTCGAAGATTTCCTTGAGCATCTGCACATAGTCGGCCGTGCTATCGACGATCTCGACCTCGAGGTCCCCGTACGTCTGGGTACCGATGGTGGCAATGTCTACGTCGGGGATATCGGCGATCTTGTAAGAAGTGAGGGTTTTCGAGGTCTCGAAAATCTTGTTCGTCACGCTCTCGGGAGCGGGACCGCCATTGGCTAGGTTGTATTTGATGCCGAAATCTTGGGTGGGCCCTGTATGATACTAACGTTCAGCGACCAGACCGCAATTCGGCTGGGGGAATGCCCTACTCACCGCCGGGATTGTGGCTGGCAGTTAGGAGGATACCTCCAGTCGCCTTTCGCTTTCGGATGACATGGCTGGCGGCGGGGGTGGACAGGATGCCATTCTGGCCGATCAACAGCTTCTTGACTCCATACGCAGCACTGATCTTGGCGATGAGCTGGATGACCTCGGGATTCCAGTATCGGCCATCACCGCCAATGACTAGAAAGGCACCTGGGATAACACGTCTTTAGCAGTAGGTGGCGCAGGATGCCAGGCGGCACTCACCATCGGCGCCCTCGGGGATGGAGAGGAGGATGCTGGTAACGAAAGATTCGCTGTAGTGGGGTTGCTGGAAGACCTTGACCTTCTTTCGAAGACCCGAGCTAGAAGAGCGTCAGTTGACCTCTGCGATTTCTGCTGGAAAAACATTGACAGCAGCAGCGGCGGCGGGGTAGCTCTGGCGAATAGCTATACGTACGTTCCGGGCTTCTGGTCCGCGAAGGAGGCGAACTCGACAGTCTTAGTGCTCATGGTCAATCCTCGAAGGGGTGGTTTCTAGGTTGAGTTGAGGCTAGGGATACTCGGGGAGGGGTATAGGCGAGCAACGAAGTAAGATGCCAGCTAGGAATGAGAACTCGAGGGAAAAGAAGCCGGTGTTCAATTATTAAAGAGAAGGTTTCGAATGGGTAGTGGGCGAGGAAGACGGGTGGGGAGGAAAAACATATGACGATGATGATGGCGGGGTGAGGTTAGGTAGCTATCAAGGGTTGATTGGGGGGGAAGCTGTCAGGTTCTCTCAGTAGGGCCGCGACGTGGGTACTGTGTTGGACGTACTGCCGAATACAGTTGTACATGCGAGCTACGTAGGGTGCCTACCGGCTCCACACAAAAACAGGAGGGAGGACACAGTACAGCCGGGGTATACGCATACCGCGGGGTACATGGGAATCGCGCAATTACCAGTACAGAGAGCCGGCGGGGCGACGGCGCGGAACCACGAGAATAGGTACGCACCTAGGATGTTGGCAAGTAGCGATACCTAGGGTTACCTATCACGACAATTAGGTACCGAAGTGCGGTACAATGCGGGGAACGGTTGCAGAGAACGGTTTACCGCCTCGAGAGAATAGATGGCGAGGTTTATTGCCCACATGTTGAGATCAGAGCGCCATCCTAATCGAGTTACAACAAGGCAGTGAAGCTGACAATAGGGACCAGTGATGGGCAGTGAAACGGGAGCACGAGCATATATTGCTCCCGAGGTTCTTCACCCGATCTTCAGTTCCCGCTACCTGCGTCTTCGGAACCTAACTGTGAGCCCGCGGAGCTCTACCAGTAAGATCCCTGCTTCAGCACACATGGGCCTAAGTTAGGTGCGTGCGGGTTATTTGAACCGGTTGGGAACAACTGGATTGCGTGGCAAGGCGAACCTAATAAGGCACCGAGTGTGGTTATGCTGGCACTTATAAGTACTACCTCTTGGGCATAGCTCTTCTCCCTATGATAGGTGTAATGCAACCCGCCGGTGCCAACAGGAGCTGCGGGTAGGTATAAACTGGGGAGCACGACATCTACTGTATAACCTACCACGGAAAAGTCTGCCCAATCTGGTGGAATGCCTACCTACATCCCACCCGCATCACCAAGAGGAAGACGTTCGACCGCAGGATCTCGTACGGAGAACAAGTCCAGCTCAAAGCGGGAGAACGAGAAAGACGTGAGGGCTCTTATGGGCAGGCGTAGCTGGTTATGCCACAGCCTCTCTTCTGGCACTGGCCACCCCATAGCTACCCGATGATAATTAGCGTATGCAGCCATCGATTGCATTCCGCCCGTCCTGATATGGGCCGGGCAGGTTAGGTAGTCACTGCGAAGCAGGCAAACCCAACCTCCCCTCAGTCCTCTCCTGCGCGTTCCACGTCCTTCTCCAGGCTTTCCCCTCGCCACCTCAACCCACCATCGTCCCCCCCGCCCGCGAATATCGCGTCCTTGTAATACCTCGCCTCGGCGATGCTCTCGAGGATGTCGTTGCGCGCCTGGTGGAGGGCGCGCTTGACGGGCGCGCCCGCGAGCACGCCGGCGGGGCACCAGCGCCGCGCCGCCTCCTTGAGCGAGCTGACGTCGAGGATGCGGTAGTGCAGGTGGTCGAGGACGGCGCGGTAGGGGCCGCGCGCCAGGAACGCCCGGTCCGCGTGCACGCTGTTGCCCGCCAGCAGCGCCGTGCCCGCCTGCGGCACGTGCCGCCGCACGTACGCCAGCAGGCCCTCCGCCGCCGCCGCGGCGCTCACCGTCGACGCCAGCGACGCCGCCGTCAGCCCGCTGCGCTCGTGCGTCGCCGCGCACCACGCCCCCATCTGCGCCAGGCGCTTCGGCGGCTGGTGCACCACCACCCCCCACCCCGCCGCGTCCACCACCTCCAGCGTCCCCGTCGTGATGATGCAGAAGATCTCCAGGATCTCGTCCGTCTCTGGGTCCAGCCCCGTCATCTACGTTCCTCCCCCCCCCCTCTATGTTAGAACGCGCAATGACGGGAGGAAAAGGTGTCTTTCTATCGAAAGGGGGGCCGACTTGCTCACCTCGCAGTCGATCCAGACTAGCGCGTCGTCGCCCGCCATGTCTGCTGCCTCAGTAGCGGGCTGCGTAAAAGGCCGGGCGTTGGTTTTCTCTGGATCGTGAATCGGGTTTGGGATGGGCGTTTGGTCCTCGTCCCTAGGAGAACCCTGGCCAGAATGTAGTCCGGGGATCGAGTAGTCAGCGATATAGGCACATGTAGTTGCCGGCTCCGCGTTAGCTTCGACAGAGGAAAGTTGGAAGCAGGAGTCTATTACATAAGAATGAGCACGGCACGTTTAGAACGAGGAAGGCGTATTACCTAAGATGCGGATTTGCGGGTCTGCTCTAGCGAGACGGAGAGTCGTCTGTGTGGCGGCAGCACGTTTTCTTGCACGGTGCCGTTCTGCCCTTGCCCATTTCGACGGCTTAGTTACACTCGGCCTAGTAGCCGGCGACGAGGGCGGGCCGGGCGAACGAGTGGTAGGCGACGCCTGCCTTGACTTCGACGGACTGGTGGGTGACATTAGGAGCTGAAGGTCAGTAAGGAGAAGGGAGGATACGACGCTGTGTAGGTAAAATACACCTGGGCCTATATTTCGAAGGAGTGAAACGGATTCGAGGGAGGATAAGGGGGAGTGTGATAAAGAGACATACGTCAAAATATCACTTATATAGGTCCTGGAATCGAACTGAGTGGTTCTGGCACGCGTAGGAGGGTTGTTTACTGTCCAAGCGTACAGAGCGCGAATACCTGGCGAAAAAACGCCGAAGTGACAGGTAGAAATTAGTCCGCGTGGGATCATGATTTACCGACTAATTTTAAGAGCTTAGAGGTGGGTAAGGGGAATCGTGGTCTAAGCGCTAGCTACATGAACGGCGATATACCTAGCAGAAGGTTTTTTTTTTCTTCAAACCGTACCGCAACTGGTATTGCAACCTCAAGCTATGAGTACAGTCCTCAGCGAGTCCGGCACCTGCTCCCAAGAAACCGCATCTTAGTGAGGCACGTGATTGAATTGGCAACTTGGATCTTCAGCCATTCTCATCGCAACGGAGGAATGGGGTGGACCCGGGGCGGTGGCAGGAAAGCTGATGTCCGGAAGGCTGTAGAGTGGACAGATACATTCAGGTGCCTGTATCGGCAAGCAGTGGCATAATATCGCCTCGATACCTACCTAATAATAGGCAGGTGTTATTACCTATCGGCTACATAGGCAGGTATACCCACCGCAGACGACGCGCCTTTCCGCCGACGTGATCGTGACTCACACCGGTTATCTACAGACATAAATAGAGATATGTACTGTTAGTTCGTCTATGGCATCGTTGCCCCATCGTCCGTGACGATACCGATTGAACAGGAGCGTCAAATTATCCTTAAAAGATACACCTCTGCGTACTGCTGATTCGTTGGAGATGCCTACTATGGCCGACCCACCGTTCTCGTCGATCCGTCACCTACCTACAAACGAGGCCTACGACAGATGGGCGGCCGTTTACGACACTGACGGTAACTTTCTACAGGCGCTGGACACCATCGAGTTAGAGACGCTATTCCCGAGGTTCCTGCGGTCCATCTCGTCCCCCAAGCCCTGGCGTATCGCAGACTTGGGCTGCGGCACCGGACGCAACACCGCCCGGCTTCTCGCGGTTGCCGATATCGCAGAGGTGGTTGCTCTCGACTCCAGCAAGGGAATGCTTGAGGTAGCACGGTTGCGGCTGCAGGCTACTGGCGGTGCGGATCCAACGAGAGCGAGGCCGAAATTGCATCTCGAGATCTTCGATATGCTATCCTCCTCGTCGCCCCCAGATGCCGCACAGCAGGTGGACGGGATAATTTCTACTCTAGTCCTCGAGCATGTGCCGGTGTCGACCTTTTTTACGCTCGTCGCGCGGCTGCTAAAGCCTGGTGGTGTGCTGCTGCTGACCAACATGCACGCGCACATGGGTAGTATCAGTCAGGCAGGCTTTGTGGATGCGAGCACGGGGGAGAAGATCCGGCCCACGAGCTACGCCCACACGGTCGCGGATGTCGTGGCAGAGGCGAGAAAGTGTGGATTGGAAGTCGAGAGGGAGGGTGGAATCTATGAGAGAGAGGTGGATGGAGATATGGTTGAGGAATTGGGCCCGAGGAGTAGGAAGTGGGTGGGTATAACTTGCTGGTTCGGAGGTTTATTTAGGATGAGTTCCCGTTGACAGAGTCTATGCTTTCAGTTTTAAAAGCGGAAGTGAGTCGACGGCAAGTTAAGTTCATACTCTAAGTGAGACAGCTTCCGTTAATACATGATACTCTGGCGGATGGAGATGAGGGATATCCGCGTAAATGAATAAGCGATGCGGACCGCTGGGTATGGTCGTTGGATGAATACTGGGAAGAAGAGACGAGAACGATAGACCGGCTTATCGGCCGGTGCCCGACAGAAGACGAGCTCGAGGGGTTTCCCGAACGCAGGATCGGGTCGGTTGAGGTTGAGGTTGACTTTCCTGCTGGCGGGTGCAGTCTAGAGGGCGAGCTCGCAAGAGGAACGCGGCTGTTGGACATGTTTCTCTTCCTTCTCCTCTGTACACACTGCCTTTCTGCCTCCCCTTGAGAGATTACATCCCCTGAAAAGGGGATGATGCTTTGCCGCAGTCACATGCAAGAGGTAGGCATATAGGTGCCTACCTAGGTACCTAGGTAGGTAGAGATAGGTACTATCTGTCTACGCGGTAGGTTAGGTTGATACCTGTACCCAGGGTAGATTAGTGGGTAGATTAGCAGGCTAGGTACCTATCTTGGTGTGTATGCACCGTCCCGCTGAGGCATGTCCAGCCCGTTGATCCAACCAGTTTAGTTGGTCCATCCAGCCACAGCCACCCTGCGAAGTGATGCCCATTCCCTAGTCTAGACCGGACCAGGGGTGCAGGTGGAGGCAGAGCGCGCCGATGTGCCTGCTGGCGGTACTTCCTACGTAGCAGGGATATACACAGTATGGCCTTGTACCTGGTCGGTTAAACCCCGGCGGCTCCCGTCGCTCAGAGGAGGTACCTAGGTAACCCGGCTTCCCGTAGCATGGCACTGGCACTGGCGCTGCTATTCCACTGCTATCCATCCCACACTCCCCTCTGCCCCTACCGCTGTCTGTCTCCAAGGGCCACCACTCCTAACTCCCACTTTAATGAATACCACTGCTGCATCTTCGTCCTCCACCCGGCCAACGCGCTGTCACCCTCTACATGCGCGTCGTTGTTTGGCCGTGACCGATTGATCGTGGAGACGTCGCCGGCTCGCATGCTCGTCACGACAGATACGGCACACTGATTCAAGCGGGCCAGCTGCTGTCTATCACCCTCGCGACCCTCCCCTCCCCGCCCCCCCGATTTCAAAGCTACCCCCGAAACTTCGAGCTTTTTGCGCCGGGCAGACCGGGACCCGATCTACCCGCCTCCCGCGCGTCTCGATCCCTTCCTCGCATCGACCGTTGTGTCGACCGGGCGAGGCCGTTGAATTCCTGGCGCAAAGCTGGGAAGCGGGCATGGTTGGCGAGTTTCGGCGCACAGCTGTTTGAATGCAACCCTTGAACCCCTTCCTAGCCGCCTTCTTCAAGCCTGGCAGTTCCATCGTTGCCCAGTGCACCCCGGTCCACCATTACGTCCTCCTAGTCCCGACCACCGAGTTCCTCCTTACCTCCCGCGAGACCGAAAGCGGCCTATCCGTACCAGATACCATCGGATCCGAAGAGTTCCTGGGAAGCCATGTGCTGCGCATTCCCAGTCCGGCCTCGGCTGCGGGAGGGAAGGATAGCGTCGGGAACCTGCGTGAGCAGAAGGGCAAAGCCAGGCAATACTCAACACTGAATGGGCGCAGTGTTGTCATCAAGGACTCCTTTATCTTCACCAATAAGGGTACGTGCAGCCAGCTCCCCGCGCCCACCACCGCGTACCCGTCGGTATAGCTTGGGAGGCTTCGTGGTCTAACGGTTTCATTTCGATAGGATTCAAGACGCTCGCCCAAACCCAGTTACTAGCCGATTCCGTATGGTATGCCGATAACATCGAACCGCGGCAATGGCTTATATACTATATATTACGGCCTATGGTCGGCGTCTGGGAAGAGATAGAAATTCCGCGTGCCATTTTTACCGAGGGGATGGCAAAGAGGAAGCTCGAGGAAGCCAAACGCGCCGCAGCCGTCGAGAATGGCGAGCCGAGTCTACCCCGGAAAAAGGAGATCAAGAGCTTCCATGACCTTTTAAACAACTTCCCGATGATCGCGCGGCAGATGCAGCCTGGCTTGGAGAAGCTCTTTAGAGAATTCACCACTGTGTTTGAGAGACCTTTGCCACCGCCGCCGTCTGCGATGCATATCCCCGATCCCCTGCCAGATGGCCCCATCGCTACCGCCATGAAAAGGGTTCGATCGAACAGCCTATCTACCCGGCGAACTAGCCTAGAAAGCCAAGGTAGTATTCGTGCCACCGATAGTTTCTATGCTGAAGAGGACGACGATATAATGAGAGTGTCCCTGGAGACGGCCGTCACCAATGCCATTGATCTGTTCCAGGGCGTCGACAAGCAACAGCTTTCCATGCTTGGCGCGACGACTGAGCTTACTGGGCCGGTCGTTGAGCGACTCATCGAACGCTATGTGACCGAGAATGTCCATAATCTCATCTGGCCTCGGCTGGCTGCCATGCGACGACCCGAGGACTTGGAGCTCGAAGCAAAAATAAGACAGATGGAGTTTATCGACATCTCGCAATTGGGCATCTTCATCGAAGGCGGCCCGAGAGGAAAGCACGCGCTCATTGTACGGCTTGGGTATGCGGTCGAGGAGTTCCGCAGGATGAGCTCGTCGATGTCTCCCCAGGAAATGTTGGAAATTTTGCTGTCGACAATCAAGGCTACCACCCAGCTAGCCGAGCAGCCCAGGGCTAATACGAATTCTACCCCCACGTCCGAAAAGCCCAACCTCACTATCAACGCAGACACCTTGGTATCATTGCTGCTCTATGTCGTGATTCGAGCTGGTGTCAAGCACCTCCAAGCTCGACTGCTTTACATAAAGCACTTCGTCTTCATCGACGACGTCGATAGCGGCGAGTTAGGCTACGCTCTCAGCACGTTCGAAGCCGTACTCTCGTACCTCTCCACGGATTCCAGCAGTCTGAGGAGGGCGAGCCGCCGCAATAAGAAATTATGGGATTCCGCTTCTAAAGGCGACATCGAGGAGCTCAAGAGGATGATGGACCAGGATGCGGATGCGATTGACGAAGAAGACGGTGAACATGTCGGATCCCCGATATCAGGCCACGCGTCGTCGATGAGTTCGAGCGTAATTGGTGGTTCTTCGAGACGATCTTCGATGACGTTTTCAGCATCTGAGCCTTATTCACAAGGTTCAGGATTGAGCCACGTCTTTCCGTTCCAGAACCAAGTAGCGAACGACATCCCGATGACTCTAGCGAAGAAAGCGAAGAGAGTTGCTATGGATACTAGGAGTATGTCAAGCGGTTCTGAATATTCGTATCACTCCCGAACTGGGAGTTTCGGCACGCTTGGGAGCGGTCTCGAAGGCGACACATCGATCGAACGGTTATGTCAGACTCAGGATTCCTCGGGGGAATCCATACCCATGATGGCCGTCCAAAATGGGCGACCGGAGGTGCTGAGGTACTTGCTCTCGCTCCAGTACTATTTCCCTGCCAGCACCGTTCTGGACGACTGCAACAATGAAGGTACCAGTCTATTAAGCGCTGCTGTCCAGCTGGGCCATACCGAACTAATTACTATCATCCTCGACTTCGTCACCGCCTCGATACCGGAGTCGCACTTGCGGGCCTACCTGTCTTCTCAGGACAATCGCGGTCGCAGTGTTGCGCACTACTTGTTCCACGCGCCATTCCTAATCGCGCGCATAGGGAGATGGCTCCCCTGGCGGCAAAAAGACAAGAATGGGCAGACGCCGCTGTTCGCGCTCTGCCGATCGTACGACCACCAGAGCTATCACGACATGGTCGAAGCTGGCCTCGAAGCGGCGACCGATGCCCAGGGCGATGGCCAACCACTGCACTTGGATGCTCACGTAGATTCGAAGGGGAACACGCTCCTGCACATCCTCAACGACCACCAGCTGGCGATCAAGATTCTCATGCAGTGTGACATCGATGTCAACGCCACAAACGACAAGAAGTTCACAGCACTGATGGTGGCAAGTAAATACGGCCGCTTCGACATGGTCAGGGCGTTATACTTGGACCCGAGAGTAGACGTGGCGGCTAAGGAGCAGCGCGGGCTTACAGCTGTAGAGCTCGCGAAGGATGACGACGTCCGCAACCGGATTGACGACCTGGCGCTCTTCACCATGCATCCTGCCGACGACGGGCGGATCACTGGCGTTGTGAGATCGTTCTTCGTCGAGGACGCTACTATCCGGCTAGTTCTAAAGTCGGGCGCGCCCGCGGACCGCGATAGTTATACGGTGACCACGTGCCGGCGCTCACTCGCCGACTTCGAGCGTCTGGCTAATCTCTTGTCTATCGAGAACCCAGCATCTTGGATACCAAAAGTCGTAAGCCAGCGGTCGCCGTTCCAGATTCCGTCGCGGCCTTCCCGGGCTGTCCTCAGGGACATCCAAATACGGACCGACTGGTTCCTCAAGATACTACTGGCTCACCCTACCTTTGCGACGCACGAAATGCTGTGGGAGTTCTTCCTAGTGCCCGACCTACAGGCGGATATGATGGAGCAGCGTAGCCGCCTGAAGGCAGAGACGAGAGCGGAGAAGGTTAGAGACGAGTTGGAGCCTCTAGAAGATATCCGCGAAGTTGACCAGTTTGTCGACCACGCCCGAGACATGGTCCGCAGTGTCAACCATTCGACTAAGAGTGTCGCACGGCGGGCTAACGCTATCGGCGTCGTCGCCAACGGTATTGACGCCGTTTCCAACTCGGTCGCCATTTTACTGACTTGTCTATAGATTTCTACGACGCAGCAAGTCTACTATCGCGAGGCGTGGCGAGCCTCGCTTTCCTCCCACGCAGTCACGTGTCTGCGTTTGAAGCTTACGTCCATACCCTTCTCCCTCCGCAATCTAGCGCCTCGTACATATTCCATAATTCGTATCTAGCTCTCCAGTCCAGTATCCAGGCCATGCTCGCGTCCCTAACCCGGCCGCCTCAGCTCATCGCCGATATCATAACTGCTCGCAAGGCTATGGAACGGAACTACAACTCGGTCTCCCGCTCGACGAGATGGCCGCTCGGCCTCCTCGACGAGACGCGTCAGCGGCTCAACGAGGAGAAGGAGGAGAAGGCAAGACGCGCCCAAATCGAGGTGGATACGTTAAGCAAAGAGCTGCGGTACACGCAACAGACGGTGGCTGGAGAGTTAGCGGGGTGGCAAGAGATGCATGAACGCATGGGCTGGAGAGCCATCAAGGATTTCGCCAAGGGAATGCTTATCCAGGAGCGCGAGCGGTTGCAGGGCCTCCGTAGAGCTCAGCGGATGCTGCAGGAGCTAGATGCGGGGCTCGGAATTGGACCCCAAGACCCGGGTAACTATGCCGGCGAGGTCGCGATGATAGAAAACGACGTCGTCGGGGATCATGGAAATGGTGGCGAGTCTAGCGCCATGGGCGAGGCGTTTGTGTGATAGCATAGACAGAACACCGGATATGTGCTCTCTCGTCGGCGAGATGGCTATCTCTAGGCAGCGCAATACGGGCTGTTGAATCGAGAGCCAGAACGAGGCGCAACCTCTCATCGCCACAGCACGGGTATCAACATGCCCGATAGTTCTCGGATCGTAGTCCATCCGTCCGCATACGCCCCCAACGCATTCGGGAGCTAGAGTTGGATTGCAGCGGTAACACGACTAAGTGGTAAGAAAAACTAGGAGGCACCCCAGCAGCGTGCTCTACACCGTCTTATAAGGACGAATTAAGCTGAGAATTTTAGCCACTTGCATTGTGGCCGTGCCGTATCTTGAAACGGGCGTAGCGGTCGAAGAGCGCTTCGCTTCGGCGGCAAGTCGCACGGCCGACCGGCAACCCATCCGGCACCCTATATGCCGGCTCGAGGCGCGGTCAAGGAAAATCAAGAGACGGTGGAGAAGACTAACAAAACAAGGAGGGAGGATGGAAAGGGGAGGGAGAGAGGGAGGGGCGGGGAAGGGGGGGGGGTTGGAGAATAGAGGCCACGGAAACGAAACAAAGCTTGGCCTGTCGATATGGTTGGCGACATACTTTGGTGTCGCAAAATGTTGGCGCAATCTGCTGCGAGGCCAATCAACGGGGCAGATATCATCTTTCCCGCTCGAGCTCATCTACAAGGCCACCAGGAAGAATCAGTCTACCGACGTTGAATCTCGTACACGTAGGCAAGTAACCAAGGGTTGACCATGAGAGAAAGGGGGAAGAAAGAGAGAAGAATTTCGGGATTCGGACACGAATTTCCCCCACGTACAAACGATGCTCCCAGATTCCCAGCCACTTCATTTCTTTTTCTGACCGGCACAGAGCTGCTTAGGAGAGACGTGAGAAACGCCGCGTTGGCGCATGAAACCAAGCAAGCATACTTGTTTCCCCTCGTTCGGACAAGTTACACACCGGACACTGGCTTACACATGGATGGATGGTTACCACGATAGCCAGCAACACTCATCGTCATCGCTATCGCGTGCGGAGAACCACCAGTCTCCATCTACCTACGTTTACAGGGAGGAAGGGAAGGGGGCAGAAGCTACCCGAGTTAGGGTTAGGTAGGTGAAGATGAGTGATCTGCGAGGAAAGATGAGTCACTGGACGTGCATATTCGGCCGACTGACAACGCGCATCGCACAATCCTTCTCTTGGTCGTCCATGTGCGAAGTGGGCGGACAGGCAGGCGGGCTGACTGGCGTGGGCGGGCGGGGCGGACGGACAAACAGATGGTGAGAAAGGGTAGATGAACGGCGAGCGAACGAGAGACGACCCCAGAGCGTCGATCTGAAACACCGACCCAAGAGAGCAGCACTTGAAACGAAACGTTTCTGTCTCTTCCAAGCCCCCCTGCTTCTCGCCCGATGTTCCCGGAGCCGATCGAAAACGATGAAAAATTTGTACTAAAAAGATGTACATGCAGACTTGGGGCGCCGACGACCAATGGATCCGTCCGCGACGCGGTCGAGATGCGAATACAGCCAGGCGATTGGCCCGCCGACGCAAGCCCCGGCGCCTCTACTACTACGTAGTGATAGCAGCAGGTCAGGGGGTCCCCGGCGCGTGCAGTCCCGCGAATCAGGGCCGTCCCAGGGCACATCTTTAAGGTTGATCCACTCCCGATGGAAGCGTTACCGCGTTGTCGACGTGGGAAGGGCAACGCGTCGAAGCCTCGTAGCCTGGGTGGGTCGTGGGGTGGGATGGGAATGGGACGGGGACGGATGGGGACTAGGCGGGTTGAGGCTATCCGCGAAGGGCGCGTCGTTCGACGCGGGGGTGGCGAGCCCACGCGGAAGCGCCCTCGACCGTGTGGCAGTTCAGCATTACGCGCCGACGACAACGCGGCTGTGCTGCGTGGAAGCGTGTAACGATTCCCTCGGCGCCCACCCCCCTCCCCCCTTACGTTGTCATTCCTGCGCACGCACAGACATGCCTACATTGGAGCTGTGCGTATGAGTAGGTAGGTATACCGGCAATCGAGCAGTAAACCCCGATGCGGATCACCGCACAGTAATCAGCTCTGGACAGCCAGCGGGACCGCTGAGGCTGTAAGCGCGCGTCGCTTTGGCGGCTGGCTGCGCGCCCCAGCGCCAAAGACGGAGAGGGGAGCAGGCAAACTCCGGTTTCTCATACGCCGACGCCTATTGGCGACGCTCTCTTCAAGTTGGATTCTACTGCTCTCTGTCCTTTCTTCCCCTTCCCCTGCCCCAAGGAGATCGATCTCGCGATCACCATCTCGGCGCCCACGGCTGCCGCGATCCTGCACGTAACATACCTAGGTGCCCGCATTCCTGCCGTCAGCGCTGGAGATAGCCGCGAGGCACCATGGCACCCTCCTCGGGACGGGAGCGCGGCTGTGCTGCCGGGTATAGAGATCTCGCAAATTTGGGCCCCGAAGAAGGAAGACCGATCATACGCAGATGCGGATGTTGCGAGGGCTTCTTACACATCCGATGCCGAGCCCTCTCTCCTCCCAACAAACTGCCCGCCCTCGGTGCGGGAATGCTAAGAGGTGAGGCCATCCGCGATTGTGTAAAAACAGTACCCACATCTTTGCCCGCGGGCTCGGTCTACGGTGCCCCTAACAGCGGCAGCGGCCCCGGCCTTATTTTTTTTTTTTGCCTTTTTTTCCTTCTCGTCTTCAAGTCATACGGGCCTTCTCAGGGCAGGGGGGAAGGGTGGGTAGGGACCCGCTATCGGTCTGATGAGGGTCGAACGATTATCTCCCGCGCTCGTCACCTGCGAGCTTCACATTGACACCGTCAGAGGATACGACTGTTTTCGCGCTGTGCCAGTCGCACGTAGAGACCGCGCGGCGTCGAAGTGAGGGTTTGTGACGTTTGCGCCCACGGGCGATGTGAGTTACGCACTGATTGCGTCTCCCTTGCGCCGAGACACGGCTGCGCTCGATACGAAGCCGCTCGCAACTACGCGCCGCGATCCCATCCGCCCTCACCGACGGGGGCGAACTCGCGCTGGAGGCAGCCCGTCTCGCAGCCCTTTTCCCTCCTCCTCACCTTGCCTCGGGATCCGGCATAGCGCGGCTCTAGAAACGTGCTGCCGCTGCTGCAATGAGCGAGGGTAACGACTCAATGGGGTCGGGGTGGACAGTTGCGGCGCTGCACCGCCCCAAAAGGGTCGCAGATGGTAGGTAATAGTTGACGACTCCCTTTTCGATCTTTACGATCTTCACACGGGCTTGTACCATAGCCGCCCGCCTACGCTAGGTACACGGTACAGACCTGCCCAGGTAGGTAAGGAGGCACGTAGGTAGGTACCCAGTACCTACATACAACCTGCACGCGCAACGTGCGTACCCGCTTCACCTGAAGATCTCGCGGCTAAAGAATAAGCCAAAGCGGCTAGCTGGGCGGGCTACCTGATGTGACCAGCATGTACCCACGCGCAGCGCACGCGCATCTGGTTTGTGAATGCTCCTAGATGTCCTAGAGAAAAAAAAAATGTTGGACTCGCGGGGAATCGAACCCCGGACCACTCCAAGATAAAGATACTTGAGGAGTATTATACCACTAAACCACGAGCCCCGATTTGGTTTACTACCCTATACCAAATGGAGGTATATACCTCTACTTTTTAACATTAGGTAAATGGTATCGCCGTCGCCGCGGTCGAGGGCCTGGCTTGCCCGAGCTACCTAGATAGTAAGCGTAATGACGCCGGGTCTGCGCGCCTAGTCTGGCCGGCTCGTTCGCTAACGAGGGCCCGGCGCCTTTCTGTCGGCTTGTTCTAGCGTAGTTAGGCGTACACGTACCAAGATGGTACATGCCTCAGGGATCGCGCAAGTGGCTGACAGGTGGCCACACGCGGCGGTATCTCTCGTCCAATCTCGGATAATCGGACCCATTCCGTGTGGACTCGTCGTTCTGATCGCCTATTGCTCAGATAGACGATGAGCAGAGATGGCCATGTCTCATTTTCTCCGATCTTCCCACCTGCACTGTCTGCACCGCCCTCTATTTTTATGCCCGTCCCGGCGATCACACTGCGGTAGCGAGCGGCTACTGAAATCAGGTACGATTACAAGCGAAGAAAAGAAAGCAAGAGATCTCCACCGGGAGCTGGCGACGCAAGTCTCGGAAGCAGTGCAGCGATGCGCCGGCGCACAGGCGGGTGCATCCCGTATGTACGTCGTCAATTGAATCAAGCGCGGCGGCAAGGCCTCTCCATGCTGGCCTACCTGAGGTGCGACGTAGTAGGTAGTAGCTGGCTATACCTACCGTTTGCGAGGGTTCGTGGCGGGTGACCGGCCGGCTGGGCTGGGCCCGCCACTGACGGGGCCATCAATCCCAGCGTGGGTTGCCACGGCGGAAGCCCCGCGGATCCGGAGTGTCTCTACGGCGCGGTAATTCGCTGACATAGGTATGGTTTGCTATTCTCGCCCCTCTGCGGCGCTGCGCCATGCCGCCGACGTAATCAAAGTTGGCGGTTAAAACCCCCCTCAGCAACAGATAGATAGGGATTTAGCACAGGACTGGTTGCGCCGCGAGAGGAGAATGGGAGAGAGCCCGCCAACGAGTGCGTGGAGAGGGGGGGGGAAAAAGGTATGGCGAAATTTCGCTGTCTGCTATCGGAAGTGCGAATGCTGTCGCAGCCTACGAAGGGGGGGAAACGAGGCGAGGCGGTTGCGTCGAAGTGTTGTCGCGACCCCGTTCGCCGCCGCTGCGGAGGGGACACAGCGTCGCAACGCAGATAACGAGCGTAGATAACGAGCGAAACTCCCGCGTCCAGTCACGATGCGCTTGACCGCGTCGCGTCGAATGACGTGAAGGCCAGACGCGACGGGGGATGAGGACGAGCTGCACGTTCTGGCGTCGTGCAGGATACCTTCTCATGGCGTGCGCCCGCGCTCCATTACGGGCCTAATGCGCAAGCCGTTCCCCGGAGTAAGGGCGAGCTGGGGGGAGGGATTGGGGAGGGATTGAGGAGAGACATGCATCCGGCCGGTGGAGGGATGGATTTGCGTCTCCCCTCCTCTCCGGTCCACCCAAGCGACCCATGACAAGCCGGACTAATGCACGATGCGACAACTGTCTCTCGATGATATGACTCACAATGGCGGGATCGAGCACGCTACGAGACTCCGGTGCTGCGTCGAAACCACGCCGGGCAACGAGTAGCAGCGCAAGGAGGAAGCGAGGCCGACTCGGCAGATGGGTACGAATTCGCATCGCGTAGAGGAGCGTGGTGAGGGTGATATTCCCGCAGTTACTCGATGCGGCGGATTTCGACGAGCCTGGAACGGCGGTGGGGTGGAAGCGTGGTATCGCCGGCTAGGAAAGGCAGAGAGAGAGAGAGAGAGGACTCCGGTCTGGTAGATCTCGCATTTCTCGTCCTGGCGGTGACCGGGGCTCGTCCGCAGGGTCTCTCTCTCTCTCTCTCTCTCTCTCTCCTCGCATGCTGTAGCCGCCGGACCTCTGCTGATCTCAACGTGGGTGAGTCTCCCCGACCCGCTTACGTAGGTAGGTATATTGGTGGTGTAGTGGAAGTACGCAACGTTAGGTACACGGTACCTAACCTAACGATGCCCAGGTGGCCTTACGCTACGTACCCGACCCGACAGGTATGCTGCCCAAGAAGAGCGCTGGCAATGGACACCCGTAGGTGCCTACCTACCCGGGCACGTAGCAGTCGGCAGGTACCTAGAGCAAGGCACGATTACGTCGGCTACGGGTCCCGGGTACCCCGTTTCTGGTGAGGTCGCAACGCAGGAGGAGGTACCCTTTGCCGCCCGCCCCTCCCCACCGGGAGCGGCAATGGGTACCCAAATACAGCGAAGGCTCCCAGTAACATATCGACCTCCTAGGTACCTACACCCACAACACAGGGTCCAGGCCCACAGGTAGGTACCTAAAGTGGGCTGGCAGTGGGCCGTCGAGCTGGGGCTGCCACCTGTCCCACCTGTCCCGCTCGCTCTACCTATTTTCGGTACGTACCTCCACCCTCTCGACCCTCTCGGCCAGCTCCACTCCCCCTTCGACTTACACGCTTCCCTCGCTTTTGCGCAACCGCTCTCTCTCCCCTCTGTATGGCCGCGTTGCCGTCGGCCACCTCATTCGGCTTCCTACATGCTACGTACTCGGAGGCCAGGGAGTGGGATATCGTACCCTCACTTAATTCGAATTTTGCTTCCTCTCCCCATGTTTCAGGTTAGCCATCTCGCGAATACATCATCGTTTGGTCCAGGGCGGGTCTCGCCGAGCTGATTGGCATCCCGGCCCATCGTGACCTGTCCCTCCATCGCGAGGATGGATAAGAGCGCCTGGTTCTCCTCCCCTCGTCTCGTCTCGTCTGTTCTCGTTCTTCACTATCTACTGCATTCTGATCGACGGTGACCGGGTTTTCCTTTTCTCTGTTTCTTTCCTCTCTATTAGATCTCCCTCTCAGGACAGCCGCCAGGAACGTGATCACGAGTCTCATCGCTTTCGCCGCATCATCGTCGTCATTACTATCCTCGTCGCCGTATATACACCCAGGAGCTGGTCCTCCCCCTTCTCCTCCTCCTCCGGTCTATAATCCGTAATCGCCCTGCTCGCATCTAAGCAGACCGTAACAACCCCACCCCCCTGTCCAACCTGTCAACATGGCTTCGTGAGTTTCCGCGCCCCCACTCGCGAACGATGACATAGTGTAACTAACAAGCCCCCCCCCCCTCTCATAGTCTGGTAGCAGACATGTCCTTTGACTTCATATTCCCCTCCTGCGAGCCTGCCACGCCGCCGAGCTTCTCTTTCGATCCGTCTCTTCTTGAGATCTCTTACGACCCCGGACACGCTCGCTCAAGCTCGTATGGTTCCTTCTGCTCCACTACCGAGACGTCGCCCTCCGACTCGGTCAGCACACGCGTTACCACCCCTTCGCGCTCGCCGCCGCCCATCCGCCAGCATGGCCCTATCCTGCTGCCGAAGATCCGCTCGCAAGACCAGGCTATCGACCCGGCTCCGAAGCGCGTCAAGACCTCGCCTCCTCTCACGCCAAAGCCCAGCCGCAAGGCTGCTTTCCGCCCTTCACATACCCGGAGCTTCACCAACCCGGAGACACTGAATGCCTTTTCCCACAACTTCTTCACGCTCCCAGAGGACCAGACAACGGTGTCTCAGTCGCTACTGTGCTCGCCCATCACCTTCGCCCAGGACAGCATGCACCACGCTCGTCGCTCTTCCACAGCCAGCCTCGACAGCGCTACGCTAGAGAAGTACGGCTTCCCTACCTACCGTCAAATGCCATCCTACGTCCCGGCCGCCCCCCAGCCGCAAAACGAGCAGTTCATGTACGGCTACGCACCCCGTGCCCCCTCTCCCCTGAGCCTGTGCTCTACGCCGGACCCGACGCCGTCCACCACCATCATGGACTTCCTCACCACGCCCAATCCCGCGCCGTCGCTGGTGCGCACCATCTCGTTCCCGCTGCGCGACCCCAACACCAAGCACTTCTGGTGGGACGTCCGCCAGATCCGGCCCTGGACCAACTTCAACCTTAACACCATCCTCTCCCTGCCGGGGGCTGTCGGGCTCCTCCACAGCCCGGTCCCGCAACCTCTCCTGCCGCAGCCGCCTACTGGCGCACGGCATCCGGAGACGGAGACGGCGCTGCACAGTATCTACGCGTCGTACTACGTGCCAAAGCTGAACGCGGCGCTAGCGCTATCGTCGGCGCGGCCGGTGCAGCTATCGGTGCCGTCGGGCAAGGCGGCCGCCGCGTCGGGCGACCACGTGCTAGTGGCGAACGTGGCGGGCGAGTCCTCGGCAGCGGCGGCGCTGTTCGGTGGGAAGCCGACGGCGCGCGTGGTCGGGCTCGTCAAGTCGTTCGACCGGTTCAACACGGGGATGCGCGTCGAGGGCAACGTCAAGCGCGTCGAGTACCTGCGCGGGCTGGCGCACCTGCACCACGCGATGCGCGAGCACGGCACGCGCTACGGCTTCATCCTCACCGAGATCGAGTTGGTCGTGTGCCGCAACGGCGCCGAGGGCACGCCGCACTTCGGGTACCTCGAGGTGAGCAGTGTGCAGCTCGCCACGGCGGCGGCGACCGGCGACGACGCCGACGCCGACGAGGCCCCGCTGACCGCCTGCCTCGCCCTCTGGGGCCTGTGCGTCATGGCCGGCGACGAAGCCGCCGCCGCCGCCGCCGCCGCCGCCCACCCCCCCTGGAAGGCGGACATCGGCGCCCCCGCCGAGGGCACCCGCCGCAAGGCCCTGCCCCGCGACACCTGGATGCCCCAGCCCCAGCTCGCAGAGAAGCGCGAGGCGAAGCGCGCCCGCGGCTGGGTCTTCCCCGAGGACCCGGTCGGCCGGAAGGAGCTAGGCAAGCGGGGCGTGCGGTACGGGAGCTGCTAATGCTGTCTTCCTCCTGTCTTCCTGTTTTTTTTTAAAAAAAGAAAGAATATTTCTCTTTGCGACGAGAGCGGGGGGGCCGGCGAGCAAGTTGGGCTGGTTCCGAGCTTGCCCGCTAGACGGTCTCGTAGAGTTGCATCCTTTTCTTCTTCTCTTAGCCGTGACGAGAGACGAATGATGAGGCTGGTCGGGAGTCGAGCAACGTTTTTTGTCTTATCTCGGGGTTCGGGGGTCTGGGTTTGGAGACTTGGGTTGGCGCGGGACGGGACGGGACGGGACGGGATAGGAACGGATATTATATCATGCCCTCTGGACGATATACTAAGAGTAGATCTACATACGTCCCAGTCGGGAAATCTTTTACTAAGTTATTTTTTAATCTTTGAATTTATACACCGTCAAGTCCGCTTGTCTAGCTTCGGTCCGTTTATCGTGTAGTTGTGTTTTGATGTGAAGGGCGTATTGCACAAATGACTAACGGGAGGGTTTTTGTGTCTGCCATCCTTCCGCATCGGTTCGCATACCAGGATTCCAATTCATTCCCTACCCATTACTATCTACTGAGCCTATAGACACGTCAGTTACTTCCTTCTCAACCGATGCTTATTGTCTAGCCACGCCTCTCCCACACTGTCGAAACGTGTTCATCCGCGGAGGAACTAGCCAAGTCCCGGCCATAATGTACAGCCTCCCTTCAACCAAGTCCCCAGTCTCCCACGTGATTCGCAGCCGCAGGGCCTCCCTCCCCTCCGTGGTACACCAGCCATGGGCCCAGGGGCGCGCCGGCTAATGTCGACCAGCATATACCCGCATTACTGCCGGCAGCTGCGCCGTGCCTCCCGTGTGGGCGGGAGGGGGGGGGGGGGGCTTTTTTCCCCTGTGCCCTCGGCTGCAGGAGAGGCGAGGAGGCAACAGCGCCAGCGCGGGCTGCTCGCTCGAGTGCGACGGCGTGCGCATCAACCGCTGCGAGCAGGTGTGCCCGAGACTTGCCAGTGCGGCGAGCTGTAGGATGGCGCTCGGGATGCTCAGCCCGGGTCCTGACGCTGTGTTGGCGTTGGCGCGTCTCTCCCGCATCTGTGGCGGTTTAGCTGGGCCGGGGCCTTGTGACGGTCCATCTTTCTTCCCGATTGCGTGACTTACGCCGGGATGCCGCCCGAGGGAGCATGGGGGGCAGTTAGTGTCCATGTACGTGCGTGGAGCGCCGGCTCTCGCATGGCTCAGACCGCGGGCGTGAGGGCCTGGCCGAGTATCGGGCGCTTTTTCGTGCTGCCGATCTTAACCTCGACGTGACGACGTTGAGCTACGGGTGCTATTATCACTTCCGATGTCCTCGGCGGAAACAAGACACATCGGCTGCATATTGGTCTCGAAAATCCATGTAACTGCAAAAGCTCCGTCGTGAATTCTCAAGTTAAGGATACTTGACGCGATTTGAAACATAGTAGGGAGGCACGTCTGCGGATATACAATCTATTTTCCTCGCTCGACTTGGGTCTCCGAAGAAAAGAAAAAGCATGTGTTTTAACCAACTCTCTTCGCTGCCCCCGAACCTTCTCAGCTAGGCCCTCTACTGCTTCTCTCTTCTGTCCCCATCTCCCCCATCTCTCCCCTCCAGCAGGACCCTCTCTACTGCTGGCGGACTGTGACGGTGTTTGCGGTGACGGTGGTGCGGGAGTAGATCTGGCCGCTGGTGCCCTGGATCTCGAAGGTGCCGGCGCCGGTGAGGCCGACGGCGGTGCCGTTGGCGAGGGTGGCGCCGGCGCGGGTGAAGGTGACGGTGCCGAAGCGGGGCACGCGGACGAGCTCGCCGGCGTCCTGGTAGGCCTGGACGAACCAGTCGGCGGCGCCGGCGGGGAGCTCGGCGGGGTCGGCGACGGCGGCGGGGACCGCGACGGCCTGGGCCGCGCGGCGGTTCTGCGTCGTGTTCTCGACCGTCACCGTCCCCGCGCCCGGGTCCGTCGCCGAGCGCGCCACCGTCACCGTCACCGTGTCGCCCCCGCGCACGGGCACCTGCCCCGTCAGCGCCGTCTCCGCCCCCGGCGCCCACGCCGCGAACGTCGTCAGCCCGCTCCCCGTGTACGTCACCCCGCCCTTCAGCACCACGTCCTGCTCCAGCGTGTCCCCGATCGCCACCCAGATCGACAGCTTGCTCGTCCCCGTCAGGCTCGGCACCGTGAACGTCCCCGTCGCCGACGCGAACGACGCGCCCGCCGGCGCCTTGAGCACCGCGCCCCCCCGGTTCTGGTCGAAGGCGGCGAGGGCGGCCGGCGAGAGTGCGAGAACGGTGGCGAGGACGCCGCTCGCGGAGAACATCATCGTTGATGGTAGAGTTGGAGTCTTTTAGATTATTCGGTATTATTGTCTTTCCCCCCACTCCAGGCTGTAAGGGAGGTGTGTGGGCGAGTTATGCACACGACGGACGGGAGCTTGTGAGTGGTGCAGTCGACTGGGCTAGTGTGGTTGGAATAGATTGCTTTCTTGCTTCGTTGCCTTGTCTTGTCTCTTCGCGCGGCCCAACGGAGAGATAACGCGCCGCGAGGGGACGGCAGACACTGGTCCCTTTATTATGTGATCTACACGCCTCGTGGCCAAGGTTGACGACATGTGAACTGGCCACGTTTAGATATCTCTTCCGCTTTTCCTCTCGCTTGCTCGCTGGCGAGACCCGGAGTTTCGCGTGCCACGCACGATGCTAAGCCGCCGTCTGACCGTCCCCCCAGGACACCTCACGACAATAGATGAAGCTGGATTTAGATGCTGGCGCCGTGTATCCAGATGAGGAAATTGAATTCTATAGAGGACCCAATCACGACGCGGTGCTCATCTCGTATAAAAACATCCATTGGTTGGGGTATAGCAACGACTTTTGCCGTAAACAAGTTGTCATATACCCGGCGTATATAGAGCCAAGAGCCGCACCGATCCTATTCATAGATTGCAATGTCATATATCCGTGGTTGCCACCACACGTTTCTGGGAATGGAGTCAATCAGGTTACCTTGGCAGTTGAGTGCCGCTTGCTCCTTGCGCTCGGATAGGCCATCACCATCCTATGGCCTGGAACCTGGGAGAAGGTGGAAGCCCGTGGAACGGTAGAGCAACGGTCACCGATATGCTTTCGACCGCGAGCTTGGTAAGGCATTATACGAGGGCGAAGCAAGAGGTTATCTCCGACTTGGGTCATATGGGAACGTCGCCGTTAATCGCGGAGTGTAGGTAGTCGGGCCGTCATAATCAACCTTCTACACCTGACCTCTTGATAGTATCAAGTTTTTTTTCCCGCCGGAGGACAACCACCAATCGCTAAACATCCCCTTCATTACTCAGAGCCCAACCTGGGGAAGCGGACCTCGGCAGTTCTCCATCCATGTCCTTAGGCATTATACGGTTCCTATAAAAAGATGCGATGATAGCGCTAGCTCCTCAGTAACACTCGAACTTCTAGCAACTAACCTCGACCCAAAAACCACATCTCTGTTTCCGGCAGTGAAGCATTGAAGATGAAGTGGCTTTCTCTTACCACGCTGGCGCTCTTCGCGCCCAGCCATGCTCTCATCCGATTCCCCTGCGCTCAGCTAGTCGTCGACCGTCTCGACCCCTTGGTCAACCCGGGTCTGATCCCGTCGCCGCATCTGCACCAGATTGTCGGTGGTGTACGTGGACTCTTCCTCAAATCTGCAGGAAAGGTGTCTTAAAAGTAACTAACCGTGTTCTTGTTTCACAGAACTCCTTCAACGCCACCATGGACCCCTCCAAGGACATGCCCAGAGAGTCTACTTGCACCACCTGCCAATTCAGCGAGGATTTCTCCAACTACTGGACAGCCGTCCTGTACTTCAAGGCCCGCAACGGGACTTACAAGCGCGTGCCGCAGATGGCCAACTCGGGCTTCAACGGGGTCAACGCTGGTATGACCATCTACTACATGCAAGACGGCCTGTACAACTTCCAACAGAGCTCCAAGGTCACCGCCTTTAAACCTGTTAGTCGTGCCCTGCTTAACTCCCAAAGGGGTTCCAATACTGACGCACGCCATTAGGGCTTTCGCATGTACATCGGCGACGTCAATGCCCGGAGCCGTGAGCAGATGGAACGCTTCCGCCAGCTCACCTACACCTGCCTCCAGGATATCAACACCCGTGACCCTCAGATCCTAGACTTCCCTAGTCAGCCCTGCCCCGCTGGCATCATGACTGCCCTCCGGTTCCCCACGTGAGTGTATATGGGCCCCCGGCCGCGAAGGTTGATTGCTAATGACGCTGGGTGACTTCTAGTTGCTGGGACGGCAAGAACCTCGACTCCGCCGACCACATGTCGCACATGGCATACCCCGAGAGCGGTACTTTCGAGACCGGCGGCCCGTGCCCGGCGTCGCACCCCGTCCGCATGAGCCAGCTGTTCTACGAGGTCAACTGGGACACGCGACAGTTTAACAACAAGGCCGACTGGCCCGTGGATGGATCCCAGCCTTTCGTTTGGTCCTTCGGCGACTTGTAAGCGGCACCTTAGCGCCCCTATCCCCTACCCTCGTCTCCATCTATCTGAGGGGGGGGGAAGAGGGTTGAGCTTATGCTAACTTGAGCACCCAGGACCGGCTACGGGAACCATGGCGATTACGTCTTCGGCTGGAAGGATGATGCGCTCCAGCGCGTCCTCGACTCGCCCTGCTACATTAACTGCCCTACGCTCAAGACCCAGGGCAACGCGCAGATGAATGCTTGCAGCAAGAAACGCACCGTCGTCGAGGACGACATCGACAGCTGTAAGTGTTCAGCCTCCAACAAGTTCAAAGCGGGAAGAAGGTTGCTAATTATTCTCCTTTAGGGGTCGCGACTCTGCCCGGTGGTATGATCGCTGGTATGTAATCGAGTCAAGCCTATTAATTGCCGGGGCCCATTGCCTGGCCGGCTTGGGAGGAATCGGAGGAAACTGTCGACGGCGAGGTTCTGTGCCAAGCGATCGTCCATTCTGGAGTTGTGTCGGATTCACGGGATTCCCCCCATAGATTGAATAGAGTCGCGATGTTGTGGCAACCATCCCATGCTTTCCATACGCGGTTACGTGGCCGAGTAGTATATGTATGAACAGTGCCCCGTAAAGGGTTGAGGTCTTCGTATAGGTAGGCATGTACCACGTAGGAGAGAGGAAGAAGCAGAACGCGACGATGAAATAAATGACAGAACTGACCGATAATGTGGACGGCCTGATTATGTAATCGAACACTCGGCAGAAGCTCAGCCACAAGTATAGGGCCGGGGGAGCCACCCCCTGAGTGCGTGCCCTATGAATAACCGCTGGCAAAAGTAGTTGAATTTTTATTCCAAAAGACGCTTTCTTTTCAGTATGAGAAGCATTACGGCACTCGGTTATCCTCATCGTAGATGCTAACGAGGACTAAACCTATCCTGGGTTAGAGAAACGGAACCATGGTCAGACACTGGAAAGTGAGCTGTCACATTGGAGGATTCGTTTGGTTGGTCCTTGGAGAATGATCAGCGAACTAACGGGCAGTCCCTCAGTCCTCTGTCAATATTGCTGCCCAAGATAGGGAAGGGCTTGGTTCCTGGGAGTCTAGCGAACCGTGCTATACGGCAATACGTGCGGTGTGTTCGGTATACTACGTATCGGTAGGTACGTAGACAAACCCAACAGCCATTGGAGACTTACCCCGACAAGCCCTCTTGTAATGAATTCTACTGATTAGGTGTTCTATCTTACACATGCCTACATAATACGACCTTCTCCCGAATAACTTTTTCCCAGGATTAATCTAGCTAATTTGTTCTCGCCGTTCTTATCTCCTGCTAACGGCCTAGTCCCGTTCGCCTTTCGTTTATCGTTTATCGACGCGCGCAGAAAGGATCTCGAGTTTCTCGAGATACGTAACGGACGCCTCGATTCGGTCTCGGTCGCCGCTCGGTTCTGTACCTTCTGCGCGGCTAATAATCTACGACGCCGATGAAAAGTCTATCTTAACGGCGATAATAAATATCGCAAAGAAGCTTTTCGAGGATCGGGCGTTCTCGTTCCCCTACCCCGCTTTTTACAGGGTAATTAGAGCCAAAGAATAATGACGAAAGGGAGGTCCGGAGGTTTTACTATTACCTACGATCGGTATAACTTCCTCCTCCTCCTCTTTCCTAAAAACTAATGGTTCTGCCGTCGTCGCGGGCCTGGTTTAAGTCTCTAAAGGAAACGGTATAAGCGGCTACGGGGGTATAGGGGGGTATTAAATATACGCGCGTTTCCGGGCGCTGGGTCGGCGGGCTAAGGAGCTAGCCCTTTAAAAGTTCGCGCCGGAGGATGGGACGCGGAGTATATATTTAGCCTTTTCCGTAGTCCGTAGTCCGCAATTATGGCATTAAATAATACTGTCTCTCTCTTACCTATATAATGCTATAAAGCCCTTTAAGAGCCTACTACGTCCATAGAAGCTGGTCCCTATGTACGGTGGGTTAGATAGATAGGTAGGGGCTATATTTTCAGCTAGACCCTATCATATGAGCACCTGTCCTGCTCTCCTCTTTACACACTCGCAGTCCCGCAGCTCCCGTCTCCACCATGCGTAAGGACGCTTCCGATATCCAACGCCGTAACTACGGCCATTTCGACACCTTCGAAACAGCACAGGTGCGGCCGTGCGATGCGAAAAGCTCAGTTGCCCAGAAACGACAAGCCTGCCCGGTTGACGTCGACATTCTCGAGCCACCGGCGCTGGCCGCCGGCCTGACCATGCTCAACGTCGCCCACACTACGAACATTCGCGTCGACGCCTTCGCCGACAATATCACCGTGAATAGCGCCAACCTGCACATCAACACCTGGCACGACTCGGAGCTGCTCAAGGCGGCGTGCACGTGGTTCCACGTAGCGCCGCACGATCAGGACATACAGACGGGCCAGTTCGCCACGCCGGGGGGCGGTTTCGACGGTCCGGCCGAGAAGACGAACGCCGCGCGGATCACGTTCCCGCACGAGTACGCGCAGCCGCCGCGAGTCATCGTCTGGCTGAACCAGATCGACATGCGCGGCGACCGGAACTGCCGCATCTTCGCCCGCGCCGACGAGATCACCCGGGACGGGTTCACGATCCGCCTCGAGACCTGGGGCGACTCGGTCCTGCACGGGGCGCGCGCGTCCTGGATCGCGCACCGGAGCGACATGCGCGGCGTCGCGAGCGGCACGTTCGGCACGACCGACGCGCGGCCGCCCGACAACCCGCAGAAGTACACCAGCGGACGCGCCAGCTTTCCGGCGGGCGCGTTCCGCGGCGTGCCGACCGTGCTCGCGGCGCTGAACGCGCTCGACGTCAAAAGGTTCAACAACTTGCGCGTGCGCCTGCGTACGGATTCCGCATGCGAGCACGGATTCTCGTGGCATATCGACAGTTGGGTCGATACCGCCCTGTATTCGGGCAGAGCCTCTTTTATCGCGTTTGACACGTAGCCGGCTTGCTATTTATGATTTGGTACACGCCACGCAGGATAGGTATGCGCTTCGGTAGCGGCGGAAGCCGGAGGCTGCGGCGACGAGCGCGGTGCGCAGTGCGCGGTGCGTACCGAAGCGTGTTTATTGACGACGCGCGTGGCCGCCTGGTCGTCTGTGTAGACAGGGAGGAAGCTGACACAGGACTCCCCGGTCGAATCTATCAGATTCCGACAGTTGCTACAGTACAATATCGGGACGTGTATTGAGTTGATATGGATAGCTTCCCCATGTAGCTGAGAATCGGCAGATCGAATAACGAGTAATCGGGGACGATGCTTAATTGCATTCAGCGCCTGTAAAACAAACTTCGATTGTGGAGACTGGTAGAGGCTGGCCAATGAACATAGACCTCCCGGCTCAGAACAGTATATCCAGAGAACATCAATCTACATCTGGGTTAGCGGTAGCGGGGGTATGCCCTTCGCATTATGCGATTCGAGCTGATAGTCAGGAAGCGAGATTATTCCTGGACGTTGGAAGCAGGTCCTTGGCTGACAGCAAGCTACGCACACAGCCGGGAGACTTGCTTGATGCCTCGGTAGTACGTAGGTAAGCATCGGAAGGGGGTTCATAAATACACATAATCGCTACCAATGTTGCGATGGTAGTAGATAAATGGACCTTCCTATGCGTGTAAGGAAATGGAACGAGGAATGTATGGGAACCAGGTCTTTCTATATTTCGGCGTAGCCTACTCCGAATCTACCTACCGCTACCTATCTATGATTTGCCCGCCTCGTCCTGGAACTGCTTCAAGAAATACTCCACCATCGCCACCACCGTCGGGTGGTTCCAGGTCAGCGTCTGCGGCACCTTCACCTTGAGCACACTCTGGAGCTTCTGCCTCAGTACGATCGTCATGACGCTGTCGACGCCAATGTCCGTTAGCGCCACGCGCGGGTCGATATCCTCGATGTCCCCGATCTTCAGGATCGCCCCGAGGCACTCGCGGATCTTCACGTCGAGCCAGGTCTTGAGCTCGGCCGGCGCCGTCGGCCGCGCCGCCCCGTCGCCCTTGCTCCCCTCCGCCGGCGCTGCCGCGTCGGGCGCGCGGGCGCGGCGGATCGCCACCTCCTCGAGCAGCGGGCACGGCACCGGCTCGCCCTCGTCGAAGGCGAGGCTGCGCGTCACGACCGCGTGGTCGACGTCGTACTTGGACAGGTGCTCCCAGGCGCTGAAGCCCTCCTCGCGCGTGATGTCGGTGATGCCCTTGCTCTGCAGCTCGAGCGTGAGGAACTCTGACGTGCCCATGCCCATGCCGCGCCACGCCGTCCACTGGAACGCGATCGCGTTGTCCCCCCGGTTCCTGCGGTGGGTGGCCAGCGTGTCGAGGAAGGCGTTGCCCGACCCGTACGAGCTCTGCCCGGACGTGCCGACCAGCTGCCCTATCGAGGAGTACAGCACGAAGAAGTCGAGCGTGGCCGGGGGGAAGGCCCGGTGCAGAGCGATGGCGCCGGAAATCTTCGGCGACAGCACCCGCGCGAACGAGTCTGCCGTCGTCTCGACCAAGAGGCTGTCCTCCAGCACTCCGCTGGCATGGATGACTCCGAGGACAGGGGGAAGCGCGAGGCGATCTAGCGCGTCGAGTAACTGCTTGTGTGCATCGCCGGCGCCGACGTCGAATGATATGACGTGGATGCTGGCGCCTAGACTCTCCATTGCCTGTATCCTGCCCAATACGGGGGCCAGCGCGTCGGCCGCGTTCGCCCATTGGCTACGAGGCGGCAGCTCGCGGCGGGAGATGATGACAATGCGACGAGCCCCCTTCTCGATCAGGAAATCACACGTCTCAAGACCAAGAACTCCTAGCCCCCCCGTGATAACGTAGGTACCCTGGGGCTTCGGCAGCAGTGTCATAGTGCTTGTGGCTGGGTGACGCTGGTCCGTCGAGAAAGGCCTGAAGCGTGCGATCCTAGGCACACCGTCCATGAAGCGGATGATGTCCTGCCCTTGGACGTACTTGAATGGCAGAACGGGGAAATTCGGGCCCTCGTTGTCAATCAACCCGCCCCAGATGTCGGAGTGCTCTAGCGCAACGACGCGGGAAAGACCGTACAGAGCTCCTTGGGCGAGCGCAGTATCTGATTCGGCGGCAAAGACTCGATCCGTAACGATGAAGAACTTGACGGGAAGGTGGTTGTGAACAATGAACTTGACCGCCGTTGCTACCTCCCAGATAAACTTCTGTGCCGAAGTTGCGATACCCTCAGAAGTTTCAACCGGCCCAGGGCAGTAAACCACTGCCGAGTCTCTCTCGCCCAACAAGGCAGACACGTCTGCCCGTGTGAGTTCCTCGGCGGTATCAATCTTTACAATCTTCGAGACATGTCTCTGCAAGTCGCCCGCGTACTGTTGCAGTGTCTTACCGTCTTGCGATATGAAGACAGCTTGTTTTATGGGCAGGGGTTTCTCAGATAGGCGAGCCGGCACCCAGGCCATCTGGTGAACTAGGCCATCTATCCCTTTACCAACTCCCGAGCTGCGGTCGACCTCGGTAAGCCTTATTCCTCCGAACTTCGCCAGAAGCTCTCCGTTCACATCCAGGACAGAGACATCCGCGGACCGACTTTGCGGGTCGTCGGCGGCGTCGGTTTCCGTGACATAGAGGTAGTAAATCTTTGGGGGAGGTCGGTTCGAGTATATACTCAACTCGTCGATCTGCGAGACGATGCGTAGCTTCGCGTCATCTGAAAAGATGGTGGAGCCGACCGACGCCGCGGAATCGAGCGTCGGAGCCCACGACTGAGGGTCCCACGTCATGGTCTCGCTGTCCGGGTCGTTGTCGACCTTGGCGATCATCTCCTTGGAATTGCCATAATGCTCGGTAACTGCCCAGGGGAAGGCAATACCGGCCACTCCGACCTTAGCGAGGTAGTCAATGGAGAATGTGTTTGGTAAGATGCTACCGATACGTTTCTTGGTGACCTCTATGTCGAAAGGCGGGGTGTCGTGAGGAAGGGGCTCGGCGCTCCAGCGAGCTGTGCTGTGAGTCACCCATGAGTGGTCATCAGAGGAGCTGAGCCGAGAAGTGACCTTAACATTCTCGTCTTCGACGACTATCTGAACATTGCGAGTATCGTCGGTGACCTAAAGTGAGGGCACCGTCGTTAGTACCGACGCATGAAGAAGAGAGGGACGAGTTCTGATCTGCACAGGACTTACTGCAAGGGGGACTCTTAGCATCATGTTGGAGAGGGTGGTGGCGTTAGCGGCGTGGAGAAATGTGTTTACGTAGACGGCGGCGGGGATGATGTTAGTGCCATGCAATTGGTGAGGCCGGGGGAAGGGCTTGTTGCTTTCGTTGAGCTTGGTGGTGAAGAGAGTCGTATTAGTGCCCGCAATGGCTGTCCGCTGGCCAAGCATGGTATGCGCGTCGACATCGTGTACACTCTCCGCGCTCGCCGAGCCAGAAGAAACCTCCTTCCAGAATGGCTTCTGGCTCCAGCGGAAGCCGGGAACTTCGCCAGACCAGTTGCGACCGAATAAGGCGGCAAAGTCGACATTGACGCCTTTAATGTGAAGCTGGGCGATAGCGTGAAGGATGCTCTTCTCAACAGGCTGATTCTTCCTCATCGTAGCAATAGTGGTGAAGTCCTTCAGGTCCTTCTCTAGCAGTGTCTCGTTTACCGAGTGCAACACGATTGGATGAGCAGAAACTTCGAGGAAAGTCCTATATCCGTCCTTGACGGCGGCGTTGACGGCGGAGGTAAGCCACACCGGACTGAGCATATTATTGACCCAGTAGTCGACGTCTCTGAGGGCCGGGGTCCGGGAATCTGCCAGAGAAGTTGAGTACAGTTTCGTTATTACTGGTAGTTCGGGATTGAGCGCGCCAGATAGAGCATCCTTCAGCGGCGCCGACAAGCTTTCTAGCATGGGACTGTGAAAGGCAATATCGGTCTTTACTTGGAATGTTCTTATACCGCGCTCCTTGAGGCCTTCCACGTACTGCGCCAGAGGAGCAACCGCGCCGCTGATGACACAAGACGACGGGGAGGAATCGATGGCGGCTACAATATCTTTCCTGTCGCCCAACTCGGCAGAGACTTCCGAGAAAGGCAGGTTAACCAAATACATCCCTCCAAGGCCCCTAACCTGGGAATACAGGCGAGCGCGTCTCGTCACGATGATAGTTCCCTCTTCAGGGGTAAGGCACCCAGCTGCGACTGACGCGGCGATCTCTCCCACAGAGTGTCCGATTACTGCATCGGGCTGAATTCCTCGGGACTTTAGCACTCGGCTGAGGCCGACCTGCACCAGGTAAGTGAGAACCTGGATTTCGTCCGAATCTTGGAATGTGCCAGCCTTGAGACTCTCAATAGCAGAGTATCCAAGCTCCTGGGACACGATATCATCAAGCGGAACGACCGTCTGGTAGAATATACGATTCTGAAGGAGTTCCTTCCCCATGTCGGCCCACTGAGCGCCATGTCCGGAGAATATCCAGACCGTCTCCCTGCTGATGCCACTCTCGTATGTGCGGCCTTGGGTGGCCCACTCGTCTACAGTGCCTTTAGTGAGAGAGTTGAAAGCCTCGGCAGCTTCCGCATGACTAGAGACGACGAACGCGGCGCGAAAGTCGTGGTGGGCACGGCGCCGCGCTAGAGTGGTGGCAATGGATTTGAGGCTTTCGGATCCGCCAGCGGCAGATATCCATTCAGCCTGAGCAGCGCTTTGGATAGCTAACCTCTTCGCCTGCGGAGCTGAGAGTAGCAGGAGTGTGGGGTTCCCTTTTCCTTTTTGGTCGACGGGAACAGGAATAGGAACAGGTGACTGTTCGATGATAGCGTGGGACACTGTCCCGCCGTATCCATATGAGCAAACGGCAGCACGACGAGGATGATCAGACTCGGTCCATTCGGTTCTCTCTCTCACCACCTGCAGACCAGACTTCTCCCAATCAACCCTGGTGTTCAACTTATTCAGTCTGGCTTGGGGCGGGATGAGCCCCTTATTTACTGCTAATATGGCTTTCACCAGACTAATAGCACCAGCCGCAGCTTCGAGATGACCGACATTGGGCTTGATGGATCCGACATAGGCAGGGCTATGCTGCGGGCGTCCAGCGCCGTATACCGCAGAGATGGCCGAGACCTCCGTTGGGTCGCCGAGGGAGGTGGATGTGGCGTGAGCCTCAATGTAGCCAACGGATAGAGGGTCGATATCAGCTACTTGAAGGGCTTTTCTGGCGACGAGCTCCTGGGCTTTAGCGTTAGGGGCCATTATTCCATTCGTTTTGCCGTCCTGGGCAATGGCGGTGCCCCTGAGAGTAGCGAGGACATGATCACCATCAGCGATGGCGTGGGACAGACGTTTTAGAACGAGAACGGCGGCGCCCTCCCCTCTAGCGTAACCGTGGGCGTCGTCGTCAAACGAGAGACAAACGCCATCTGGCGAGAGCGCACCTGCTGAGCCCAACATATGGAATAGCGCGGGGGAAAGGCAGACGTTAACACCGCCGACGATAGCAACCCTTGACTCCCCCCCTAAAACTGCTTGCCGCCCCAGGTGTACAGCACATAAGGATGACGCGCACGCAGCATCAACCGCTACGCTGGGACCCATGAGGTCGTAGTGATAAGAGATCCTATTGGGGATCCCGTGGGCCGTGGTGCCGATGCCCATCCAAGCCTCGATATTGGGTAGATCTTCGAGGAGAAGTCGAGAATAATCGTCCGAGTCAACGCCCATATACACGGCCGTATCCGAGCCGGAGAGGGATTTAGCATTGATACCAGCGTTCTCGAGGGCTTCCCACGTGACCTCCAGGCCCAGCCTCTGGTGAGGGTCCATCTGCTCAGCCTCCTTGGGGGAGATGCCGAAAAATGCGGCATCAAAGTTCTCCAGGTCTTCGATGAAATAGCCCTTGGAGAACGTCTTCTCGATGACCTTCGCGTTTCGAGGGTCCCTCCGGATCCAGGGCTCCCATCGCCAGCTAGGATTATCGCCGGAAGCGTCTTTCTTGTCCATAATGAACCTCCACAACTTCTCGGGGGTGTCGTTGCCCCCAGCGGTGCGACAGGCCATTCCAATAATGGCTACATCATCTAACGGGAAGTCTGCTGAGGAAATCGAGGTATCGGGGGAAGTCGGTCTGGCAGAAGCAGCACTGGAGAGCGGATCTCGCGGCGTCGAGTTATCCGAATTATGGGTTATGGCTTCCATCCTTGAAGGCTTTTCTTTGATCAATCCGCGTAAGACTTTCGGGAATACCTGCCAAAGGTGCATGCGCCGGGTACTATGACTTCGAGCTTGAGCCAGCAGGCATAGGATGATGAAGTAGTTTAAGAACGCGCCCAGGACAACCGTGGGTAGCTAACGGCTTGGATATATATTGTGGCTGGATGGCGAAGCTTCGTGCTGGAGGTAAGGAGGGTCAGCGTTAACAAAGATAGAAGTGCTTCGAGGTTGCCTGTCGCTTGGTTGACTGTCGAAGAGAGAGGAACAGGCGCACCGGCAGCTAGTCTTATACTCAGAAGTGAAGTGAGCTAGGCAGACAAGCTGAGCCGGCTTTACAAGAAGCGGCATGGCGCCCAAAACGCGTCACTTTGTCTCGCAAGGATGAGGGAAAAGAATGCCCCATGATGTTTTCTATAGACGTATACCTGATGAGGTGGTGTCCGTACTGTCTCGTAGATAGCTTGGGTTCCGTCTAATCTATCGTCACAATGCATGGGAACGCCGTGATAAGGTGAAACTCCGTTCATGCTGCTAGATGTAATCCTGTTCCCTCGAAATAAGGCCGTCGACGTTACTAGAACGATGGGGTTGACACCCATCGAACGATAGCCTCGCGGGGATCCAGGGAGTTGCCGGTGGCCCAGGTGGAAAATATTATCGTGGACCCGCTCCCGAGACGCACGATACGACAGTAAACTCACTTCACCTAGATCGCCGCTTCTTAGTGGCCTGGCCGGAGATAGCCGGTTCGAGTCCCTCGCGAAAGGATGTCTACCTCCGAGGATCACGGGCATGTCGAAATATACTATCAGATTGCGCGGTGCTTTGGGGTGCCCAGCTTCAGATGCCGCGGGCCATTGCATTTTCTTGTGGGGTGAAATCCTTCGTCCTTGCCCTTCCTCCGCGATTGTGTTATCGCTCACAAGCCCCCCCGATATCACAAGCTCGCCGACATCGAGCCCTCCGACTCCTCCGAAGCCACCACCGATACCCCCAGAGCACCACCGAAGTCTAGAGTATCCAAGGTCCATGCCGGTGGGCTTGGGCCCATCTAGGCCGTACTGGGAGGCATAGTGGGCGAATCAACCAAAGGGGGTTGTCTTGATAGGGGAATCTTTTCGAAGGTCTCGGGCTAGGCGAGCCAATTACGGTAGTACTGTGTTCGTCCTCGTTGCCTTTCGACCGCACCAATTATTAAGCTATAGAATTAAGCAACCTGTTCTCACCCCCACGTTCATGTGCGTCCGTACGGCGCGGCTGCTGCAGATTCGAGGAGGATGCGACCCAACGACCACGATACGAAAAACAGACGTGTCGTAGGAGGCGGCGGGAGCAAGGATTGGGAAATCGTCTAAGGTCGCTGTCTGGGTGCTCCTCATAGGAAATTGAGGGATGGCGGGTCTGTTGTGGACAGACCTCGCCCAGGAAGGAGAGGCGGGTGCCGAGACGCTTGATGAACTGAATGTTGAAATCTTGGTTCATAATGCTGTAGCGGCGGCATTAATGAAGGTGGACTAGTAGAAATCTCTAATATCGTCGATTTAGAGACCCCCGGATTCCTATTTAAAGATATAAGCTTATATAGCTTTCTGCATGACGACCCCTTCCCCAGGTAGGTATAGGTCGACCAGGGTATGCTCTACTTTCTTGCGTTTCCGTTCCGTATTAGATACTCTTTTGATTATTCGTGTTGATTCTAGGTAGGTTTTTTCTTCTCCGGAACTATCTCCTAAGCTGCTGCCCCCGGGTATGCTGTTGAAGTTCTTTTTGATCTCCCACTTGACGCCATCTAAAAATCGCTTCCTTGATGGGGGGTCATGGTAATAATGGTATCGGCTCAGATACAGGGAGCGCACAGTGGGTATTTATCACTTTGGACCGTGAATTCGTTTACTTTTTCAGAGTATCCCAGGGCTTAATGTTATCGTCAGTTGGCCGCCTACGCACCGTATTAGGTTTGGGTGTAATAAATGTGTTCTTGGTTGCATTTTCGTTGAGTGCATGTTGGCTTCCATATCCCTGAACTAGAAAAGGGTGATAGACGAGTTCCTAGGCGTGGACACTCGTAAGGCTGCCTCTCAAACGCACCAAATATACGCTTTAGCTCAACCTTTCACGGAATTGACACAACTGCATCGACGATCATCCCCCTCATCTGACCCTTGACGAATAACGTATCCTCATCCACAAGGACCCTGGTCGCGTTCGCCTCAATGTCATACATCAGCCTGGAGAATTCGGCTGCATCGGCCTTAGTTTGAAACGTCACCTCATTGACCATGTCGTAGGGTACCGTCGGCACGGGCTCCCCGAAGACGGTGAATGGGTTGCCTAAAGCCGGATCGGACGCTTCGTGATTGAGGTACCGTCGTGTGTAGCGCAGGAGCCCTTTCGCAGTTTTCGCAAGCTCCATGACCAGCGAAGCGTGGTTGGCCTCGTAGTAGGTCCTGAATTCAGCGGGGCTAAGCTTCGGGTTGCGCTTGAAGAACAAGAGAAGAGTATATTGTGGCTCGTGTTCGTCGGTCATATTTGGTGTGTCTGCGATAATGAGGTTTCGGGGACGTCGTGTTTGCGGTCCAACGCAGGCCACACAATTCCGCTCGTGAGGTGTTCCAGAGTAGCGAGTATTTGCGTGTAGAAGTAATTCCGCGCAACTATAGAGCGGCACCGACTATAGTAGGAGCTCAATCGAGACCTAAATAGTAGATATCTGTTCGAGAACAGGGTTGCACATAGAAGCCGGTTGGCAATAAGTAGCAAGTAACAGACTATCACGGACGCAGTGGTTGAGATTTATCGTTGGCAGGAGGAGAGCAGGGTGCTGTACGAGCCCGGAATAACTATATATAGGGGAGGTGATTAGGTAGGCAGTTATTCCAGGTGCTATATTAGATAGTAAGATATGGCAGCGTGGCTCCGTCAAAAAGCCACACGAGGCAACGCGACAAAACCAGAATTTATATAATAAACGCTAACAACATAATAATGAATGGCGAATGGGTACCTGTTTGGCGGTCCGTTTCCAGGTCTCATCCGCGCGGAGAGGTCCGTCCGCGTACGCTATATCAAAAACCTTCCGTATGACGAGTGTCCTTACATGGGTTTGCATGTATTACTGTGCAAGGAAGCGTCTCCGTAGCGTCCCCTTGATCCCGACAGTGTAGTATTAGTCTCTTCCTATCGATCGCAATCTCCACCCTAACCGCTGATCGTCCCTGTAAGGGACCGTTTTAGGTATCCATTCCCATCGCAACCCGCCCACCCTATACCAATGTCTCTCAATCACCATGGCGATTCACTTATCGCCCACTCGTTTTACGACGGATGCAGAGAAACTCCTTGCGTGATTTCGCAAATTATTACAAGGGATGCTGGGCGTAGGATGAGGCACGTGTATTATCTGGTTATAATAACTACGGTTGGTTGACATCACGTGATATGACTTATAAGGAGTCAATGCTCCCTTCCAGTATCAGGTCTCTCGACATCTCAACTAAAGGCGAGTATTCCCACCCATTCATCGTTGGTACTACTGTATTCCACCAGTCAGTTTCGAAAAGGCATTCTCCGTTGTTGTTCATGAGTGAACCCTCCAGCGCAGACTGGTATCCAGAGTCGGGTGCCTGTGAAACCTCTCTTTCTGTACTTGCTCGCCCTCGTAGAGAAACTTGTTGCTCCGGAAGTGATCGGTCGGATTCGGTGCTGCTCTCGTGCAGACCTACGCCCTGGTCGAGCTGGCTTTCGCAGAGATAGCCGACGCGCGGGGTCCGGGCTACGGATGCACTCTGGTTCGACTTGTTCTGTAGAGTCTTGTTCGGTAGAGTTCTGGCATCGTCTTCGGGCGGAAGACGCGCATCCCATGGATATGTGGGTGAGACGATAGAGCCCAGGTCGCTCGATTGGCCGGTGTGGATCGCTCTATCAAGCTTAGTTGCCTTCTCTGTGTTAGCTCATGCCCATGAGCGACAGGGGTCTAAACGACAACCGGCTTGGGGTCCGGGGTGGTGGTACGTAGGGACAACGTACCAATCCTCGCAGGGGCTTCCAATAGAGGCTCAGGACTTGTAATATTGTTCGGATGGTGCCCATTTCCTCGGAATTCGGTCCGGGAACCTGGACTGATGGGTTCGCACATTGGGTCGGCTGCACGGTATTCGAATATACCTGAATTGGCAGGGTTGCGGTCAGCATGCGGAAAATATGAGCGAATAGAATGTGTTGCCTTCGCAACGCACGTCGTACTCTCGCCAAGTATATTCCTAGCTTGGGACATCGCTTGGGTTGCAATTATACCGCTGCATACGTACCATAAATACGCTCCCTGCCACGAAGGCCCCGTAGCCGATAAAGGGCCACAACCTGGTTATATCTAGATCCTCGGCAACAAATTGCTGCAGAAGCGCTGCAAACCGGCATGCGTGCTGCAGAGCCAGGTCGAGATTACCCCGCACCGATTCTCTCGAATCCAGAAGTTCCTCGGCACAGCCAGACAGCATCGGGACCATGGAGGCGTGCATGAGAAGTCGACTCAAGTAGTAAACGGAGCAGACAGACGTGAGGAGCTCAGAACTCTCGTCGTAGAATTCTGCTCGAGCGCAGATATCGGTGAGTGGTAGGTGAAGTGAAAGTTCGATTGGCTCGAAGAGCTTTACTAATTTCTCGAGTTTGGTTGTTCGTTGTGTGCTTGAGAACCTGGAAGATTCGGAAATAAAAACCTGGACGTTGGTCCTATGTGAATCGTCAGTTCTTGGCGGGCCTTGCTATGTGCTGGGCGCAGCCTCAGGCCTAATGGTAGGGTAGAGACGGATAATTGTGCCAATGTGGAACAGTTAGTTATGCGTCGAACCAACTTACCAGATGCCTAAGAGTTTAACAAGTTCCGCCATTAACGAGCATGAAGACGAGCCAGCCATCCGGCGACTCAACGGCAAAGACTCATCGCGCACTTTCCAGTCAACTTGCATCTTCTGGCCCAGCTGGAGCTCCGTTGCTTGCGCCGGCCCCCTCATTTCGAACCTTGCGGGTAACGGCAGGCCCATAACTTTCTCGCATGCCTCCGACAAGTCCAGCTGCTTGATGCCGATGCAAGAGCTGCACCAACTCGCCCAGAAACACCGCCTTTTCATCTCGTGCTCGAACCGCTGACTGCGGCTCGTCGAGGTAAGAGTTATATCCTCGTGTAGTCTATCGTATCCAAGGAGTTGACTTAGCCGGTAGGCTAGAGATACGTGGACGATGGCCCGCTGGGTCTCGCCACGGGAGAAGTAGTAGAATTGCAGCACTTGAAGCGCCTGTATCCGTACGAGCGTGGGCTCGTCGGCGTGGGAGAGGACTTCATGACTGGCGGAACGCGCCCATGACCAGGACTTCTCGAAGAGTGTATGTACGGGAAAAATCTTGATGTATTGCTTATACGGCGAGTCGACTTGCTCAAGAAAAACGGCGGCATGTGCGAAGATAGCACGGAGGAGGTAGCCTGGCAGGCTATTCTGTCGATAAAGCCGAAAGGCTATAGCTTTGTGGAATAACAGCGTCGCATTGTAGACTCGCTTAAAGTAGACTTCCATAAGAAGCAGTCCGACTTCCGTAGAAGGCAATTCATCGTCTTCACCCTCTTCGGAGTTGGGGCCAGGACTAGGGTTGGGTACGGAGTCACAGTGGCTATTTTCCTTCGTGCTATCACCGCGGATGCGCTGCCTCTTTCTCGACTTTGCGGTTGTAGGGGGGTCCAGACGAAGGGCATGCTCCCCGCTTTTCGAGATCGATGCTAACGCTGATGCCCTAGCCTGACTTGTCCTTTGGGCAATCCGCTTGCGATCTGGCGGTGGCGGGTACTTGCAGGTGGCCTTCTGCTTGCGACACCGCACACAGGAAGGCAACTCGCGATCGCATCTCAGCTTCTGATCCCGACACCGTACGCACGCAACGGTTGGTTTCGCCCGGCTGTCTTGCGGCTGTAATTGGGTCGGGGAGTGATGTAGCGCTGCGGGAGTCGCTCCGACCTCTAAGGTACTACCCTCTTCCATAATAGCCCCGCCGGAGACCGAAGGGGACTGACAAGGCGGTATGTGAAGAGAGAGACGAAAATGCAGGCATCAATCGGAGCCGAGGATTCGGAGTAGTAAGAATCTCGGGGCCGTGGTGTTCGGCTGAGAGCCTGGCTGCAGACACCAGGAAGAAAGGAGAAAGAGAACACCTGTGTGTATTCGAAGCGGTCCATCCCGTGCCGGACCGGTGAGCTGACCCGAGATGGGGATTTCGGGCGAACCTATAGAGTAGGCCGAAAGAATAAGCAGGGTGTCACCATAAGTATATGAGAGACGGGTGTATCACAAGCAGAGTGTCCGTAAATTAAATAGACTTGGCTTATCAAAGAGCGCCAGGTAGTAGGAATAGCGGGAACAGTCGAGAGCACGTGGAGCACGGCTCGACGCCAGGAGGCCATCCAAGTCTTCTCATAGGGTACATTACGGCAGAGACATGTAGTAAGCGCTAAACACGGAAGGCTGTTCAGGGTCACATATGCGGCAATGCATGGCCTCGCTGACGCCAGACGGGCCAGCGTGCTCAGGATGCGAGAGCCGGTCCTGGTCATCCTGGCTACCACGTATACTTACATACCTACCTACCTACTATTATGTGCGAAACCTTGAATAGGGGCTGCCGTTCTAGATGTAACACAAAATTGCGCCTCTCTACTTCCATAAAATCAGCCTGGTGATAAGAAACCCGTGGAAAAGCCTGATGTTCGCGTCCAAATCGCGCCTATCCACACCTAAACCAACCCGGAGCCGCTATGCTATCCGTGGTCCTCGCGGTGGATGGCGTGTAGACCCTGCCACACCGCGCCGTGACCCTGCGCGCAGCGGTCAGTAGATATGCCACCCCTCCCACGCCGATATGTCACTCCTCGCATTCACAAAGGGGTGGGGGCGGACTTAGGCTAGTTCAAGGCTCGGCCCGTCTTCGCTAATTGCCTCTAAGACGTATTATATGCTACACCTATACCCTAGTCAAGTCAAGAATCCTTACGTGAATGCCGGGGACGCGACACTATTCCGCTAGGCAGCAGAGTTCGAGGCGGAAGACGGAATCTAGATCCACGACGGTGACCGTAATACCCTTACCGGCATTTTCTGGGTCGGCAGTTACCCTATACAAATTCGAATCCCTATCCCATCTGGCACGAATACATATTAAAATTGCTTAATGATTTCGTCTTCGTAATATCGTAGCGAAGCTCTCTGTAGGTACATACATGCGGTTTCAATATCGCATTCCATGATGGAGGCCTTCCTGTGAGCCTGTAATACTTGTCTATGATAGATCTCCGTCACTTCCCAGCTGTCTGTCCCAGTTGGATTTACTACTTACAACGGACTAGTCTTGGATTCACCAGACACATGCAAGGTGGACATATTTTCCCTTTGTGGTCATCGCCGTTCTTGTTGTGTCGGGGCGGAGACCGACTGACGCCATCAGCCTTGCTGGGAGACCCAAAGAGGTGCTGGCGATCGGAGAAAGGGCGGATCTTATTGAAAGGGGACTCGAAACCGAAACCGTTGGCATCGACGTGCGTTCGTCATCCAGGCCCTGTATTCATCGCTGGGATCGGGGCGAAATTCAGGTGAACGAGATGCATCCCTAGCTGGTTCCATCAAAGTCCTAAGCCAGAACGGCAGCCCCTCGGGGTTAAGCTTCTCGGGATTACCCATCAGCCTAAAAATAGAAGTATGCACCTCCATCTCTGACATATTTCCTATGGGGGAGGAAGGGGACGAGGAGAGCGGATCAAAAGAAGGCGTGGGGTGACAACGTAGACATTGAACACATCGCAGCTGTGCCACTAGCGCACCGACTAGCTCGCGCGAGATAGATCCGCCGATTCAAATGTCACCCCGGCCGTTGCATATAGCGTTGCAAGCATCCTCTCTGAGAACGAGATATGAGCCGCGATTCGTGGTATCATAGGTACTGGGAACGGGCAGACTGTGGGGCTAACCTAAGCTTGAATCGTGTGGATGATCTCGCCGATATCTACGTAGGTCGCATTGTCTGCCAATACCGGGAAGGAGGCGGCGGCTAATCCTTGACTCTGGAGGCTATATGCATCCCATTCCACGGACAACGAGGAGGTTGCGCACTTCGGTGCCCGGAGGGCACTCGCTTGTCGAGATGCCCCAGGGGAAGGAGGCCACATCCGTGCGTACAACCCTGCAGAAGGAGAAAGGATACTGATCCTTCCTGTCGATATTCGTCAGCGGGACTGCTGTAGGTTACGGATAGGGAATATCGAACGCTAGGCGTCGGGACGCGAGAGTGGAGATGTTGCTATGTTGGCTCGAAGCCGAAGGAACGAAACTCGAGGAAGACGTTGTCGGAGGCCGTCGATCACTTCCGGGCGTACGAGCCACAGGGGAAACGGTTCCGCGGGGTATCCGAGTAATGTCGTCTCCTCTCATCTCTTGCCACGAGAACGGCGGGTATGTCCTTGACAATGGGCACATGCATCCTGAGAATTTGTAATTCGATTTCGCTCCTCTCTGCAAGGCAACATCCACTCTGCCGAACCTGTGCGATGGATCACGTACCATGCAGACTCTAAATGAGGGGGTATCAGGGGGATGGCCAGCACATGTGCCTCCTCTCCCCGTCGCTCATAAAGCCATTCTGTACTCAATACGCCCAGTCAGCGGTGGCACACCGTGTCTTTCAGCAGTAGGATGGACTGTGTGTGGCGGTGTAGGGAAGATAGTATAACGACAGCTTCACCCCTTTACTTTACCTAGGTATATACACCTACTTAGTCAGCCGTTCCACACCTTACGCCACAGAAGCTCAGCCTCAAGTGGCTGGCTCGGCCGAGCCGCACACCTACGCCTTGGGGATCTGCCTATTTACCTAAGCAGCCCACGATCTACCAAAAAAACCTAGGTGTTTACAAGCCGGGGCTTCACTCACTCAACTTTCCTTCTCGTTAGAACAACCAACTGATAGCATATTCGCTGCACCGTTCACTCACTTTACGAACGATCAACCCCGTCAGTCACTCCGAAGCTCATACCATTCTACCAGATAGCTAACAATATTTCCCAGCACTCTCGATAGAACCTTTCGATGTCCTGTTACTGGAGCCGAAGGTCCAGATGAGCGCACTGATTTCGAGGACAGGGTAACAGCTTGTAACCTTTGTCGACTGGATGAAAAGTGCAACCAAACCCTTCTTGCTTTCAAAACCACTGAGCCATCTGCTGCAAATCTTTGGTAACGTTGCTAGTTCTATAATGTTCCCATTGTTCATTTGCGAGCTTGTCAGTCTTCAGTTCCTCGTCGATATCGTCTGCATCTTCCGCCGGGTCCCCTGGACGGCGGACACCCTGAGCAAACTTGAAGAAGTTATCCTTGTCCCAAATCTCCTTCACGCGCCGTAGTTCGTCGCAATTGTCACCGAAATAGGCCCTCTCGTAAAATTTCGCTGGGAAGTCTCGGTCGGGGAAATTGACGAAGGCGGCCTCACCGTTGAGAGAAAGCGGCCTCAGCTTCTTCTTGGTCTTGGCTAGGAAGCGCCTCATATCCCTCTCCATCCATTTATCCATCCACTCTATGGTGATATATGTATGGAAGACGGCCTCGCGCCAGAAGAAGGCCGACTCGGTCGGCTTCTTTTCCGTTGCCTTGCCGCCGGAATGAATCCAAGTCACCAGGAAGTTGACCTGTTCCCCAGGAAAGATCCTCCTAAACTCTGCCATCAAATCACGAATGATGCCGGTGACTTTTTCGATGGTTTCCCTGCTGTCGTTCTTAAAAATAAAGGAGCTATAGAGCTCGTAGCTTTTGTTCGTAGGGTATGCCCGTTCTGTCTCCTCCAGCCACTGGTTGACGAGGGTCTCGTAGAGGAAACGCGTCGACTTTTCGGGTAGCGCTCTTCGCTTGAGTTGGACATTGAGGTCTTCATGCTGGATATGCTCGTCGATCACGCTTTCGTACTTCGACTTGGTGCCGTCAAAGGCCATTGTAAACCGGATTCCGTCGGACGAATTGCCGTTTCGCAGATCACACATCCAGGTACTATCAATGGTGATGTTATTGGGCCATGTGGCTGTGTAGAAGTCATTCATCGTGGCGATGACCTTGTCGGAGAATCCTCCTTCGGGGAACCACTGATACCTCCCTGCAACTACGGTTCTGAATCTATTTTGCAGTTTCTTGACCTTCAACTTCATCTGGACTACAACGCCAAAATTGCCCCCGCCTGCACCACGGAGGGCCCAGAACAGCCTGCCTTCTTTGGATCTCGGGTCGTCGGTCTCCCCAACGGTAACCAGATCACCATCTGCAGTCACCATGGTTGCTTCCGCGAGAGTGTCGCATCCCATTCCGAAGCTACGGGTGAAAGGGCTAAGTCCACCGCCGAGAATGAAGCCACTCACACCCACGGTGGGACATCGCCCACCGTTGATGATGAACCCGTCGTGTCCACCATTGATGAGTGTCCCGTACACATGGCCCCATTGGCAACCAGCGTCCATGGTAACGATCTTGGTCGTCGATCCCATATCCAGTTTTACCTGGTTCATCCTCCTCAGATCCAGGGACACGCCTTTGAATGCAGTGGAGTGTCCCGCATAAGAATGGCCGTTGCATTTGATAGTGAGATCGAGATTCTTCGACCGCGCCTCTTTGATTATGTTACGGACGTGATCGGCGGTCTCGGGCTGAACCACGCAATCAGGTCTCGAGAAGCGAAACAAGCGGTTCGAGGTTGCGATCAACCGCTCATATTCCGGTTGCCCAGCTTCAAAGACTGGGATCTTCAAATCTCTGAAGATCTGTTGTGTCGACGACTGCAGGAGGCGAAACGAAATGCGCATCTTGAAGAACCAGCCGAGTTAATTTTCATGTCTGTCTCACCGAATGCTCAGTAGCCCTGCTATGGCTAGAACTACTCCGGATGGCGATGAAATTGCGCGAATGCCACAGGGCGTCTCTCTGGCATGGCTGTCTCGTAATATCTCTCTTGTGTTCAGGCCAAGACTAGCAAGGCTTTGCATGCACCTGCGACCTATAGAGGAAATGTGCACAGCCTACCTTTCTCCACTGCACTGCTGACGATATATTGCATTTCAGCTGCTCTCGATCGGTCCTCTGGCCCTTCAATGGAGATTTGATTATCCACTCACGTCACCTGGCCGGAGCCCAATCCCACCCGCCACGATAATATCCCCCGTCTCTGGATTCTATCGATTGTCCAGGCTACTGTGGTAGCAATGCTGCCTGATAGAGCCCAATCATATATCTACGCTAAGCTCTATGTTCAGTCAGGACCAGCAAGCTGTTTGGAGTCGATTCATGCGTATCATTCACCGGGAATAAGCCGTGGGCTACCCCGACCATTCTCCACGCTGAAATTCTGTTCTGGACAATCCTTGGAGAACAGGTTCGGGTAATAGCCATCATGTCGATTCACGAAGACGCCCGGAAGGGGATCCTTGTTGGGGACGTCCTTGACAATCACATCAAGAAAATCTTCACCGAACAAGATCCTGATTCAGGGCTCACCCCACTGGCGATAGCCGTCGTCGAAGGATTTCCCGAAGAGGTTGAGCAGCTCCTCAAGAAGGGCGCTCGAGCAGATGGCCTCTCTAAGAAAGGTGAGACCCCTCTCCTCCTCGCTGCCTGGAAGACCTTGAGGGAGCGTGCTCGAATCATCCAACTCCTGCTGGCCGGCGGATTCCTCCCGGGTTTCGTCGACAAGACCTGTAGCGAAGCGCGGAACAATACGCCGTTGATGTTCGCGATACAGAAAGGGGATCTCGAGTCAATCAGGTTGCTACGAAAGGCCGGAGCCTCGCTGCGGATTACGAATGATGATAACAAAAGTGCGGAAGATATGGCCAAGGAGAAAAATGAAAAGGCCATCTATCGGGCACTCGATCCAGACGAGGAGCCGTTAAGACTCGCGCGCTTAACTAACGACATTGTCGATTATCTGCGATACATTATTGCTTGGGTAAACGAGAGCTCCAACGGCGCCGTCCGCGATGTATCCGGACTGGACCCCGAAATAGACCAAGATTTAGACGAAGTAGGGAAACCTGATAGGTCCAACGATTGGGTGAGTAATGCCTAACTTACTAAACCAATATTGCAGGCAATGGGGAACACAGAGGATACTACCACGGACGAGTTCCTCAAAAACGTCGATAAATATGTCAAGATCACAACCGATGGCATTCTAGAACGCTTCTTCGGAGACAAGAAAGATTTCGTAAGAGACATAGCCCGGAAGATCGTAGACTGGGCACAAGTTTCGACCGCAGGCCGTGAGGCGAAAGACGTTCCGCAAAGAAGAGTCAAGGTCCCGTTATATCGGCCAGTCATCTATTGTGGTACGCTATCTCCAATCCAAACACTATGCTTACAATTCCCCTAATCCTCTTCTCTCACACAACGACTCTGTAGACGACAGCACCTCGATGAAGCGGGAGGGGCGTTGGGAGAATCAAAAGGCACTGGTCCAGCGCATCGCTAGGATAACCACACGGCTACTTCCTGAGGGCGAAGGTGTCTCCTTGCGCTTCATCAATCGAGATGTCACCGAACCCGACGACCTAGGCTTGGAGGAGCTGGGCGAGATTCTGCGAGACATGCCCTGGCAGCCCGGCGGTGATACCCCGATCGGCACGAACCTGCGATCCAAAATCCTCGAGCCGCTAGTCTACAGCAAGATCAGGGAGAAGAAACTCAAGAGGCCTCTGCTCGTCATCATGATTACCGACGGCATGCCTGAGCCCGAGAGCAAGTCCGAGATCGTCAATGTCATCTTGGAGTGCGAGAGAAAACTGCAGGAGGGCGGCTACCCCCCCGAAAGTACGTGCTTTTTCTTGTCCTGTCACGTAGGAAACAAGCCCTTATAAGCCTTTATCTGCAAGTCGCAGAGAGTAGGCGTCTACGTTTTACGCAACATATCCATCTCGTACCTCTTTCTTTTCTGTTTGTGTCAGTATCTGCTGATAACACCGACCACAGCTGTAAAATTCATGATTGGCCAGATTGGAACAGGAAAAAGTGCTACAAGATTTCTAGAATATCTTCGACAGAACTCTGACATTTCACGGTCAACGTTCGTCACTTCTGGTAGGCCTCTTCACAAGTCCCGTATGATAAACGTTGGTGATTTATACTGACACGACACAGAGAGGCTTGATGAGAAGTTCGCGGACTATAGAGGGAATGGCCGAGAGCTAGATCGTTGGGTGAGGATGTTCTTCGTTGCTTCACTCGTTTCACTGAGCTGTCTAGGATGTTATTAACTTATTCCTGTCCCCAGCTGGTTGAGACCATGTTTTCTCCATTTCTCAAGTCTACTAACTAGGCAAGGTTGGCGTATAAGACTTGAGCTCTGCCGTTCTGTGTGGTCCTAAAACAACACCATAGTACTGATGTCTCGCTCGTACTTATGGTATCCAGTACTACTGTACCAATAGTCTACGGGCCGGTCATCTCAAGCAGCCAGGAAATTAACGGGTGTTGCATAATATCAACAACAGTGTGCGTTTTGGCTGGCTCGCTTCCTGTGATCCCACGATACCAGTAGGTAAGTACCTAATCAACTAGTAGGTATGCGAATTGCTAGGATGCCGAACCCGTGCCTGATCTATTAAGATAATAATCAGGAGCTAACTGTCAATTGACAGTTTATTTATGTCAACTGGATTCAGGTTTGAATGTTGCCGTTTTTACAGTGAATATTGGCTTATCTCCTAAGGTGCCGTTGGCAGTCAATATTAGGCCAGTGAATAGAGTGGCGGGATCCAGAATGGAGGCCTGTGATTGGTGGAATTGAAGAAAAAACACGCAACAGCTAACTGTTCGTAAAACGCTGTATTGAAGCCCTTTTAGCAGTTTAGTTTTTACACCTTCAATTGATCAACTTAGGTTTACCTTTCAACTCGTCTTGCGTGCCTTACGATTAAGGCAGCGAGGCCACGAAAGGAACCGCCACCAAAACGCACAATTGTGCCGTGATTATGTAATCCTCGATACGTACTTAAGTATGGGCGAGAAGGGGGAGAAGAGCGGGAGGGGAGTTCGCCATCCTCAACATCGACCGATACCTTACATTCCCCGGATTCCACGCATTGCAACCATCACCACCTGTGCAGTCCACCTAGATCTACGCTCTCAACACCGCTCCGTAGCGGAAAATGACAGATACAGATCATATTATAGATCCCAATGGGGATATGATTCTTACTCTGGAAAATCCGGGTGCTCCATTTGCTGTATGGCATCATGACGACGCAAACACGTCGAGCACTGCTCTCAATGTAAACGGCTCCTTTTCTCAAGATACCAGCGCTGAATTGAGCTCAGAAGAACAGCAGACTAAAAACCCCGACCGGGTAACATTCCGTGTGTCTTCACGACACCTATCTCTAGCTTCGGCAAGGTCTACAAAAATGCGGCACCGATGGGATGAGAAAAAGAAGGCTGACGGATATCTTCATATTTCTGTTGAAGATTGGGATACTGAGGCGCTCTTAATCGTTTTGAACATCGTCCATCTTCGAAACAGGAAAGTGCCTTGCATTGTAACTCTGGAGATGCTGTCGAAACTTGCCGTCGTGGCCGATTACTTCGAATTCCACGAGGCTGTCGAGCCGTTTAGCAATACTTGGATCGCACGTCTGCACCCTGCTCTTCCCACATCTTACAACAGAGACCTTATTCTGTGGATATGGGTTTCTCACGTTTTCAATGCCAATCTGCTTCTTAAGAAGCTCACGTATACTGCAGTCCAGTGCTGCCCCGGGAAAATGCAGGATCTAGGGCTTCCGATTCCAAGAAGTATCGTCGGTAAGTCACAGCTGCCTTCTATTTATGACCGTTAATATTATACCACCTATTACAATTAATTGACGATTAATACAGAGAAGGTGAACAATAAGAGGGTTGCAGCAGCAGCGAAGCTTGCTTAGAGACTCCGTTCACTAAAAGCCGGCCTGCAAGACGATTCGATAGGGTGCTCCTATGAATGCCGATGTCTTCTTTTGGGCGCCCTTATAAAGCGCCTGGAGCCCCTTTACGCTTCTGACTTGGCGCCGCAACTTCTCTCAGGACATAGTCTAGCGACGGCAATAAAGACCTGCGAAGAAACACACTCTCCTCGATTCTTACAAAGGAACACCAGGGCGCAATGCACCTGTGATCTAACCGAGCTGATAACGTCCTTTCTCCGTGAGATCTTGAACGATATAAATATACCGATCCCTAGGTCATATCTAAGGAAGAAGTTGGCTTAGGGCTTCCAGCCAGAATCTGGGCGAGCATACCCCTCGTCGACCGCGCCTGGACAAAGTTGGTGGTAAAAGTAATGTATATAGGGTGCTCAGAAACAGGGGGGAGTATTAAATTTATATCCTTTACATTCCGAGACAAAATCTTTTTTCAACGCGAACGTGTTTATCGTCCGAACCCAAAAGTCTTCATAAAAGAAAATGGAACCTCAATCCCCCGAATAAATAATTATCACGTAGAGGTTGCTCCTTAGGTTGTTCCTCTTCGTTGCTTACCTCAGTAATAGGAGCTCCTATATATACGCTCCTATTGCTTCCATTCCATTAGCTAGTTCTTAGATAGAAGAAGACCTTTTCCTATCTTTTGCTCCTCCTCCCGTTGCTCGTGAGATAGCTCCTCGCGCGCGCTCTCGCACCATACGTAGCTTCTTCGATCTACGTGATAATAATGTAGTAGTGCGGTGGGACTAGGCCATGTAGGCGTTTTAATGGGTATTTATATGGGTCTTACACTCAGTTTCTCATCGTACAACCTTCATCAGATAGCAATCCTATAGTCCTCATTCTGCAGGCAGTAGACCACTCGTTTTCAACATGCCTTTCTAGCTTCCATTGTCTTTCTTATCCTTTCCCAGCTGCCGTTTCAGCTGGCCGATCAACTGATCATAGCTGTTTACAGCTGTGATCTAGTTCGATCAGCACTGGGCCAGTTATTGGCAGTTGGGTAGCCATTGCTTTACGGGTCTCCAACAGCGTGCCCACGCTGCTCCTGTTCAGTAGCTCTCCCGATCTACGTAATATATGTTTATTGCTTAAAATACAACCCCGAAGATTTTTGATAACTTCATATTTCTCTACCGAATTAAATTAGTAAATTATATTTATACATAACTCTTAACTGAGAAAAAGATTTGTTTAGAAAAGTTTGAAGGGAGCTTAGTTAAAATGCTTTCCAGTACATTATTTAATATATTCTTTACTGAATTAGGTTTAAACGATAAGCTAGACTACCCCTTCGCGAGCCACCCCTTCGCGAGCCGGGTATTTTGTATGGGTTTACATACAAACGATTTATCCCCGTAAAAAACCGGGAAAAAATCGGAAAATTCCGAAACTTACTTACGTAATTAATTGGCTTAATTAAGTTAACATATGAATTTTTCGAATTTTCTGCTTACTAATATAAGAAGTTATATACGATTTTAGGTTTTTTGAAATTGCACTAACAGATTGCCATATAATTTATTAGTAACCCTGTTAACTGTGCTCATATCGACATGTTTACCTATTTTTTTCACGGTAATAAAGTGGGTCTATTACCTAATACTTTATTTTATAAATAGAAGAATGGCTAGTATTAAGTAATCTTATTTTTATTCTTTGATTTCGTTTTTATTTAATTTATTATTTTAAAAAAACCACGTTTTTGAGCAGGTTAAAACTTTCTAAAATTGTACCTATTTTCATAGTAAGAATTCCACCTTTCCGACTATCCTATTTTTCCATACAAAGAAGTTCTAAAAAAGAACACTAAAAATCAACATTTTTAAGACTTATTTAATTTAATAAAAATCAGAAAAATAAAAGGAAAAAAGTTTACGTAATCTTAATCATCATTCTATCTATAGTATAAAGGATTAGGTAATAGACCCACTCTATTACCGTAAAAAAAATAGGTTCAGAGGCTGATATAGAGCATAGTTAACAGATTTACTAATAAATTATATAGCAAACTGTTAGTGCAGTTTCAAAAAACCTAAAATCGTATATAACTTCTTATATTAGTAAGCAGAAAATTCGAAAAATTCATATGTTAACTTAATTAAGCCAATTAATTACGTAAGTAAGTTTCGGAATTTTCCGATTTTTTCCCGGTTTTTTACGGGGATAAATCGTTTGTATGTAAACCCATATAAAATACCCGGCTCGCGAAGGGGTGGCTCGTGAAGCGGTAACCTAACTTACGTTACTCGACGAAACCCTCTGAGGCAAAATCCGTATGAGGAGACGGAAATGAGATTGGCCGATTCTTTAATTCATAGTTTCCTACTAATATAATCCCCCAGAGTTGCTCAAAGCGGTTATTATTATGTACCTTGGAGATTTTCATAGTCTGTAGCCGAGAGGTATATACTTCATTTCATCCTTTTTTTTTTAGTTTCTACCAAGTCCGGCCACTTCGCCATCCACGAACCATTTGTATTAGACTGTCTCGAGTTATTCGACTGCCATAACCTCCACCCTGCCACCTCAACCTAACGTCTCACCGGGGCGGGTCGTGTGTGATTAACAAGTAGCTATCGCTGCAGCGTTACGTAATACAGGATGACATCGCGGGAGAAGAGTAGGTAGGATTCAACGCCGAGACAGATCGGCTGCTTGGTTCAGCCCCCGTGTAGTTGAAATAAGGCAGTGGGTTAACAGGGATACGTCTATAGTGACTGTGCCGCTTGAAGGGCACGGTTTACTACGCATGTGTTCTTCGTCTAGGTATAGGGGACTTGCATGTGCAAGCAACGGACTAGGCTACCCTCCGTCAAAACGCCATGCACAGGGCAGCCGCTTCGTTTACCAGGTCGATTGATTCTAAGTGCAATGCGGAAATACGAGGTGGGTGGTAAGTTAGAGAGTTATGTTTATATTTGATCCTCGCTGCACTGGCACTGATCCTGATGTGCCGATACCATACTTTCCGTATTTGCTAATTAAGGCTGGTGCGCGCTATTCCGCTGTGCTAAACGGAAATGTTGACAGGTCGTTATCCGCCTGGAATTATCAAGAGAGATGCCGCGAATATCTATGAGGAACGGAGAGCACCTGTACTACGAAACTCGAGAGGTCCGAAATGCATGTGCTCTCAAGCTGGCCACCTAGCTGTGATATGTATCCTACCAACGCCTGTCATGGCGCTGCACCTGACAAAGGATAGGGTCAAGTGTACCTAGGAAGACCACCTACGTAAATCTATACCAGGTAACGGCCCACGGTGAAGCTAAGACCAAAATACGCAAAAGAACAGGGTGCTTGATACCTACGTTTCATGCAACACATAGGCAGGTGGACGAGCCTGGTTAAGCCAGGCTACCCGTCTCCCCCTTCTATGACGAGGTGGAGAGGTGTTTAATTATTAAGATTGGTGGCCTCCATCCACGACGTAGGCGTCCTTTTCTATCATCCTAGCCGAGGCTAGCTACTTGCGGCAAATTCTGCTGTTAATGACATAAAAATATATCGGGAGGGTTGCGCATCCTGATCCTCCCCCCGCACCGTGGCGCAACGGATGAGGTGCGAACCGTGAAACCTACGTTGAGGGGCAGTTTTGTGGCTCTTGGAGAAGATTGGAGCGATGAGGATGATCGATCCTATCGTGCCTACGTAATAAAATCACTTGCATTTATCGCCTTTGTCAACCTCAGCTCCTCATTCAATTCATCGCTCGCAGCTAATTTACCGACAGGTTAGTAGCCACTTTGGATAACGCGAAAGGAGACCACGCATATCGCACTTAAATTTCAAATGTCAAAATGGCTACCGTAGTCATTGTTCCGGGCTCGTTCTCGCCCTCCGAGCTCTATATCTTGCTGCAAGACCGCTTGGAGAGCCACGGAATTCCCTCGGTCGTTGTCGACCTCCCGTCCGTCGGTCACCATCAGGGGAAACGGGCAGCAACAATGACAGACGATGCCAATGAAATCTCACGGGTAGCGTCGGCACTACTCGATGATGGCAAAGAAGTCGTCTTGATGGCGCATTCGTATGGCGGAATCCCCGCGACGCAGAGTCTCGAGAAGCTGTCCCATACTGCGCGAAGGGCGGCGGGTAAGGATCGCGGGGTAAAGAAAGTCGTCTATTTAGCGTCGGTCGTCATCCCCGTCGGCACCTCCAACTGGGACACGTTCGGGGGCACTTTGCCGACCTTTGTGACCGCGAATGTACGTCGATATCCCCCCCTCACCAATCTCGCTCGACGCTAAGTTCTAGTCAGGATGATTATATGAGCATAGATCCGGTGGCCAACGCCCCCCAAACCTTTTCCGACCTTCCCGAAGAGGAGTCCCTGAAATGGGGGAGGATGCTATCCCAGCAGTCTATAGCGAGTTTTCAGGAGAAACTGAGCTATCCCGGCTACAACGACGTCGAAGTTCACTACATCGTGTGCGAAGACGACAAGATTATGCCGCCACCATACCAGCACGCGATGATAGAAACAGTGAAAAAGTCAAGTGGTAGGGAACCGGTCTTACATATAAGCAAGAGTGGTCACGTCCCTGTCATCAGTCAGCCTGACAGCACGGCGAAAATTCTTAAGCACGTTATTGAGAGTGCGTGATTTCAGCGTTTCTGGGGTGTAGCCTCTGACACCGTGGTATAGGGAACTGACGGTACGGATATACGCCGGGGGGGGGATGTCTCCTGTTATCGAGTTAGAGAACTCGTGAAAACCCTAAATATAAACCAACGGATAACAGCTATATTAGCGCGTCAACCGAAGTTTCCCAACTAGCACTTAACACTAGCACACGCCATATATAGGTATGCAAGTCAGGAAGCTTTCACCTGTACAATGACAGGTATGTAGTAGACGAGAAAGGTGAAATAATGCCAGGATGACGACCGAAAAGGCTTAGTGGAGAAGGCCAGCTCTTTGGTTCGAACAATCAAGCCAGCCATGAGACTTGAAGCTTGGCAGGGTTGCTTATAATAAAGCGAGGGAACCAGGTTAGATCTTTGTGCGAATATCTAAGCACGGCTAGGCTAGAACGTAATAATAAAATCCACTAGTAGTGCAGTAAACTCTTCCTATGAATATCATTCACCGGTGCGTCGGTCCGCTGTAAGTTGAATCCGTTAGCTTAGCGAATAATAGCCCTCACGAAATCGACTTTTAACGCACCATCAGCGACTGCCTTGCCCCACCCAGTCTAGAGTCGAGACATTGATCTGAGTATACTTTTCTCAGCTGCGTCGGTTCATATTTTACGAGATGGATCTAGTAGAGCTCGTTTTTGCGTTTATTGTGAAGACCATCATTGGGTTCGGTTTCTTGTCCTGCCGCTAAATCCTCCTGTGTCTCATCCCCATATACGACGCGATTCTTCTTCCCGAGCTGCTCCGTAGAGGAACCTGGGCAGCTGCGTAGCAGCCCATAGAGATCTATGACGACTGTTATGGCGTCTTTTATTGTCAGCCATGGTGTTTTGCAGCGAGAGGTCGTCCTGCCACAGACTGTTCGTTCTGGCGGGTTCTGGATGCTGAGAATAGTCTTGGCTAGCAGGCCATCGAGCATACAAGCTACTGGCAGGTTTTAATACTCGGCATCATTCTTGTCGTCTTCGTTCTCTACCTCGTTAACCCCCTCGTATCCTATTTCGTTGCTACCCGAGTCGTCAAAAGCCAATGCCCGGGTGGTGTCTGAGCTAACGGAGAGTTGCTACTTAGCCCGCTGTCTTAGTGCGGAGGTCAGCAGAAAAGAAGGCTTGCATGACAAACCTCTACCGACGGTTATTATCGGCGCTTGAAGATTGCCATTAAAAAGCGGAAAGAACTCAGCTCTTGTTGCGTTAATCGTAAGCGTCTACATTCAACAACTTTGGGATATAGATTTATAAGGGCTATGTGACATCTCTAGGAACGGAAATGAATTTTTCTGTGCTTGAGTTTTGTCTCCTAGTCATGCCGTACGTAGTATAACTAGCCTTGATTTTAGAAGCCTATGTAACCGGCACCGCTTATGGGTGAACAACCTGAGTAAAACATCCAGCTTTGCAATCAGTCCCCGCAATCGTAATATTCACTACAAATTCTTAATTGTCCATCTGATTATCGTCGTACTGCTTCTTCCGTGCCTGATTGAGCACAGGGAAGCAACAAGCGGGACAGCCAACTTGTGTCTAGACATCATTCTTGGCGCCTCGCTTTCCCCAGTGCCTTGTCATGCGTTCACTATCTAGCTGGTGTTCGCTATTTAGCTTTCTGTTCATATCGGCGCGTTTGATGAATATCAGGGAGGCGAAGAGAATAAGAACGGAAATGGCAAGCCAAACGGCGAAGACCGCTTGGAAGCCTGCTTTGTAAGCGTCAAAGATCTCGTCCCGTTGCTGCCCCTCGGGCATACTATGGAGGGTCGGCATGTAAGCTTCAGCATTTTCGGCGATTTCCGTGGGCAATCCATAATTGCCGAGTTGGGTTTTCATGACGTTCTGGAAGGCTGTAGAGCCGATGCCGACGCCGATTGCCATCCCGAATTGGCGCACGAAGATGTACATGGCTGCCGCAGCGCCCTCATTGCCGTCTTTGCACATGGCTTGAGAAGCAAAGTTCTGGGCCGTGAGGATGGTTCCGTGCGAAGACCCGGCGATGAGGAGGGTGATGATCCATACCGGTCGGCTCTCGTTGATTCGCCATGCCACGAACATAGCCGTCGCGACGGTACCGACAAGCCAGCCGCCCCAGATGGCCCAACGGAAGCTATTGAAGTGAGTGACAAGGCGTCCCGTCACAGCCCCAAACACAGCGAAAGGCAAGAGCATCGGCAAAAGGGCTACGCCACTATTCATGGGGCTGTATTCCTTCACTGACATAAAATAGAACGGGCCACTGTAACGAGCGTTAACAAGTGAGATCACGGAAGACGAATGTTTAGCTTACTAGTAGATGGTCCCATAAAGCTACTCAGACAGTGGTGGTCAGCACTTATGCTCGAGGTGGCGGTAAACAGGACGACCTACCAGTATTCCCTGCGCCCCTGCGGCGATGTACGTAGCAATAGAGCTTATGTCATGGAATAGTGACTTGTTGAGGAAAGGGTGCTTGGCTAGAAATATTTCGTAGAGGGTAGTACCGACTATCCCTAGAAACCCTATGATCAGGGGTGCCAACGTCGCCGCGCTGTCCCACGGGTGCTGAGCATAGCAGTATCGTTAACCATAACTAGAGCAGCCAACAAGTGCCGGGTGGTTCATACCTGTGTGCCACCCCAGGATATTGCAATGAGGAAAGCCGTCGTGGAGCCAGTAAAAGCCAGGCTTCCTATCCAATCGATTCTAGACAACTTCTCCTGCGCACTGGCCTTCTTCGGTCGTAGTGTGAGGAGGTAGGGGACGGCAACTAGCCCGAGGCCGCAGATGGGGAACATCAGGTAAAATACCCAGCGCCATGTGGTGTTTTCGGCGATAGCTCCGCCCATAATGGGGCCCAGCGAAAGACCAAGAGCCCACGCTCCGAGCCTGGTGAAGTCTGCGTCAACAATGGCAGGTTCATGGTGGAACGAAATAGGGGAAGCATAGATACGTACGTCGTGGCGTACCACTTTGGACGCCATCGTAGAGGGATAAAATCTGTTTGGATAACCAAGCTCAGCGCATGGATACCACCGCCACCGACGCCTTGGACGCAGCGCCCAACAAGTAGGGTAGTCATGTTCTGTGCAACACAGCAGATGATCGTTCCAACCGTAAAGGCCGCGAGGGAGAAGGTAAGGCAAATCGGACGGCCGATTACGTCGCTGATAGAGCATATCATGGGCATGGAAACCGCATTGACGAGCAGATACGATGTGCCGATCCAGAAGGCCTCGGTGGTCGTGCCACCGATATCGTTAACTATAGCCTGGCGCAACAAGGTTAGTCGATGCCGTAGAAGACGTGGAGCGTGTGCGAGATAGGTTATTACCGCCAAACAGGTAACGATGATGGTCGCATCCAGCGATACGATGAGATTGAGGAACGCAAGAGTGTAGATGATAGCCTTCTCGTGCTTGGATGGAGACCAAGTCTCTTCCGACGTCCCTTCGTCCGTCTTGCTTGACGTCTCGTTGGAAGTCAGCTGGACAGCATTGGGATCTTTAAAAACCGCACTCCCTCCGTCCAGGGCAGGGAGGCCATTCTGTAAATCACCCATGATTGCTCTGAGAGTCGTGAAGAAGTTAGCAGAGCTGTCGTGAGATTTTGCTCTCGGAGGTTTATGACAAAGGCTAGATCGGAACTTGTATGTCCTGCGTAGAACTGAGGCCTATATAACTGCCCGACGAACTCAGGATGTGTTGGCCCAGTGTTGGTGGATGCCGCATCTATGCACCAGTGGTCTGTAAAGGGGTCAATTCTGACTATTATATCACTGGATAATAAGAAGTGCAGCGAGTATAGCGGCGGGCTGGAGGGTGTGAACAGCGTAGCCTCTACGAGTCCCCAATTTCGTCGGGGCCGGCTGTGTTCATTCGGCGCCCTGTAAGGCGAAAGACGCCGAGCATTTGGATCATCGCCACGGTGATATTAGGGGGTGATACAAACTAGACGACATTTTCGCGACGTCTACGCCGCAAGAAACGAAATGCAGGTTGGCGGCTGGCCGGGAGCCTGATATCGTATTATTGAGAGGTGTATTAGCAACCAACGCACGATTGATATCTGGGCGTTGGGTTGGTGTAGCCTCACAGGTCAGACTACCACCACGTTTGAAAGTCTTACATGCCCTGGTCGATGTGCGACGCTTACCTACCGGTGTAGTACATGCATATAAGACGGGAATCGTATTTTTAGTACCATTCGCACCGTGTAGTCGATCGACAGGATAGTCGCCCAGAGGATAGTAAGCGGCCTATTGACGGCTTCATGATTTCCACCCTCTCCCAACACCTATGCGTTGCTCCTTGGCGACGCGTTTCCCACACGCTACCTCTGAGAGTCTTACCATGGTCATTTATACCATATGAAAATTCCCCATTACTGACTTCGTAGCTTCGAATCATGGTGATTATCACGATGGAGATGCACCGGCCCGAGGAGGAGCACTCAATGATACCCAGCGCGACGGGGCAAGCTTTGTTGGCTGGAAACAGAACCAGGACCGACAACCATTTCCGTACCGATTCTTTACTTCCAACATGCATGGCCCGAGCATGGGCGCAACCAAATAAATATGGCCGCCGGATGCATACAACGCAAGGCAGGCTGGCCAATTTATCAAGCGCACCTGTGACATGTGGGCATGTTGGTAGAATCTGGGATCTTTTTTCGTTTACCATCACCCACGTGACCATCCACAGGAGTGATCGCCGGTTAACGCTACTCTACGGTAATAATTAATATCACAATACGCGGAGGACAAACAGCCACGACAGAAGGGCACGACTTTCTGATGCCCCATTTGAACAACATGTCCTTCCGTCACATCGGAAATACTTCCAATATAAGCCTATGTTTACAAGTCGTAGAACGTGGGCGTCTACGTTGTACTCAACACTTCTTAAGAGCGATAAGCGCATTTCACCTAGGTAGGTATTGTATTAGTCCTACTCCGTGGACCTCCTCTTCGTGGTGGAGGACTTAAGCCCTTATTATTGGATTATCTTCAACGAAGCGATCGGCACAACATACTGTATGAATCTCGGGCTACATATAGTAGTATCGCTCATACGCATCATTTCTTCACGGCAACGTTAAGAACCTATTGGATGTGTATAAAAAGGCGATGCTAGACACATGCTGACCATGTACAACGTGAGAGCCTCCGTCGATATTTCGCCCAAAATCCACTTCATTAGTGCCTCGAGGATGATCTACCACTGTATATTATGAAGTGATTGTTATGTGAAGTCATACGTGTTACTCTACTACCCAATTTTCCAACACTGCTCATATTATACTTGTCGCGTAAAACGTAGACGCCTACATTCACGCTTTGCGGTATGTAGGCTTATATAGGCTGGTTCAATTACTACGTGACAATACTTCATCTCGTTAAACGTACCCTACTCACGGAGACACCTTCTGTCCCCAACGACTCCGCCATCACTACCCATTCTATGAGAACTTACTACCATACAGATATATTATCTACGTATATCCAGGGTTATTTTGAAAGGCGGGCCTGCCATTGTGCTATCTATGCTCTTCTCGACACACCGTGCCCCCTACACCACCCTGTCCTGCCGTGCCTCACATATTGGAAAATCCTGTAGCAGTTAAGTCCCCCAACAACGTGCTGAACCCTGGAAACCTGGGACGGCCTATCTACATGTAGATTTGTTCCTGCACGTCAGATTCTTTGCCTACACATTTGGAAGTCCTAGTTGAGCAACATTGAAGCTCTGGACGGAAATGTGTCTAGCCGCTCCGTTTAGCCTCCCTCTATCTGTAAATATTTCTCGTACCTTTCCTCTTCGGAGATGCTCGCTCTTTTAAGGCCATTGATTCCCAGAATCTCTAGGCAGCGTCTCGTCAACACCACGTCTTCCTGGTAGGCCCGACTCCCAACTATGTCTGAGCGTCCTTCGTTATCTGAAAGCTTGTTGAATGGACCTTCGCTGAGTCCGCCTCCAGGCGTAGAACCCAATTTCGACAGTCCCTGGAATCGTAACGATATTGCTCACTTTACGAACGCCATATGTTTGTTTGTAACGATCGTGGCTGTGCTATTTAGGGCCTATGCTAAAGCATTTTATTTGAGAGAGTTCCTCCTCGAAGACCGTAAGTCAGACCTTTCTAAACAGGTGATTTTGAGGTGGCTGGTTAACTTATTGCTCGGTTGTAGTCCTGGGACTGATTAGCTTAGTGCGGCGACCTCTCACGATAGGCTCCTCAGTAGCGATTACTGACATTCGTGTCAACAGGGAGCGTATGTCGGGACTATCTATTATGCCTACCAGTCAATCAACTTGATTGGGTCTTTCACACACCAGTGGGATATTCGTCTTAGAGACCTCCCTGATGTTTTGTATGTATGTTGTATTTAGATTTTCGTTCGTTGCCGCGATTCATCACCACATCTGATTATTGAGTTAACTGATATTAAATTCTGCAGATACATCACGTTGCCTATAATCTTTGTGCCGTTGCCCTCGGGTTCGGGAAGGCGGCTATCTTGATACAACTGGGCCGGATTTTTGTCCCCGTTGGAACACGCAATTCCCTCTACTGGGCTTGCAGAGTTATACTCACACTCAGCTCTCTGATAAATACTGCTGTCATAGTTACGGAGAATATGTCCTGCGTCCCACACCGGCTGATCTGGGACAAAACCCTCCTCGACGGCTACTGTATTAACTTGGGGTTCTTCCACGTTCCTGGAGCTTTGGTTAGCCCGATCATTATCACGGCCATTTTAATTCTTCCCCAAAATGCCATCTGGAACCTTCAAATTTCGACAAAAAACAAAGCAGGCATTTCGCTAATATTTCTCGTGGGCCTGCTGTAAGACTTCGAGCTGCCCCTCCGTCTTGTCCTTCCCTTTCCTCCTATTACACTATAGATGTTGATGGACTGAAATTTGAGCAATATTATTAGGGCTTTGGTATCATCTATATGCCGTGCGATTGCGACCTTCAAATTCCTTAACTCGAGAGATGCAACCAATACCATCAGTGCGATATACCAGTGGGCTCTGGCTGAAATGACGTGCCAGTTCCTTGCGCTTTGTGCCCCGGCTATGACCAAAGCATTCCTCCTCAAGGATTCGATACGTCGGTTCGTGAATTCACTACTACTTCGCCTCTATCCTTCAAATGAGTCTTCCGTTTCCGGAGCCGTGCGGCCAGGGTGGCCATCCCCGCAATCACTCACGAGGTCGGAGCACTGGAAGGCTAGCAAAGTATACCATAGGATCAAAGACAGCGCACTGCCTTTGGTGAGATACCCGCCTACTTCCAGCCGAGGTCGGCAAGACCAGGAGGAGGTGCGAAGGCCAGAAGGCGGCATTTTGATGACCACCCAATTCACTGCTGGGATCACAATTCTACCCGACGAGGCCCTGAATGACCTCTCTACGCCCAAATATCCTTGGGCAACCAAGTCCAACAGGATTCAGGGACGTTCGGTATAACATGTTCTTCCTTACTTCGTCGTAAGGGAGGAGGGAAGGTCCTAGGGACCAATAAGGCAAAGAGACTACTGTAATATTCTGCGCAGCTGAGTATTCCAGGTTACAGCAACGACACTAAGCTTACATTTCAAGAACCATCGTTCATATCCAGTATTTGTTGACCTCTGCTCCTTGCTCCGTGCCATCTTCGTGAAAACCACCGCGACATGTCATCTCGTCTTTCTCCGTTACCGATTCTACCGGTACGGTGTAGCACTGTATCTGACGTGGCGGGTGCACATTAGGAGCGGACCATTACTCTTCAGAGAGGGCGGCACCAACATCCCTTGCCACCAGCAGTTGCCACATGGAAACGTAGGCGCCTACATCCCCATCGTGGGCTGCACAAGGCTACACAGGAGAATTTGCTCCACAAGAGCACTTAAAATATATTAACTGGCAGCCTTGTTTGCGAACGGAATGCGACAAGGAACGCGCCGGGACACAGTATTACCACCGTAATCTTACAGAAGGACGCCGAGCCTCGTTATTAGCGATATGGTGTACAGCGCAGGCGGCTGCACTCGGTCATCGGGTCGCGGTGACGATGTTGGGAACAGCGGGGTCTGATGTCTGTGCCTCGACTGTACATCCCCTCGCCACTCGGAGAAGCTGCAGGAGGAAGGACTTCTCGCAGAGGATTTCCACGGCAATGAACCAACTGCACCGAATATTAACTAGACAATTTCCTAAGGTCTCACTGGAGTAGAATGCGAGGGCACCCCAACTCCAAGTGAAGAATGTATGGATGGGGCCGAAGGAAGGGGGTGGGGTGATTAGGTAGCCAACCGCATCTACACGCAATCCTAAGGATAGTCGTGGGGGTCGCGGGCAGCGCCTGAGATCGGACAGTAGTAGGCAAACCTGAATGCCCTATGATCGTATGTGAGCTACGAGGTGCTGTCGCTTGTACGTGGGTGTTCAGGTGTGTGTCGTGTACCGAGACAGTTGCGAGGCAGTCTCCGCCAAAGAGCCAAAGAAGTGACAGCTGCAAAGTGCCGAGATAACACCTATTGACTACTCGCAAGCACATCTTGCGGCATTTCGAATATTGATACGAGCCGCGAGCCTCGATCGCAGCTCGGCCCCCAAGTAGGGCCGTGTAGCCAGGTGAAAGACAGCGCGCGAGGAGGTGCCAAGTTCGTTTCACCCTCCGCGTTAAACCAATGCGAAGCGCTGACACACGGGGTTGAGCCATGGGAACACAAGCCGCCACATTAGTAGGCACGTAATATAAATTACATAAGGCGATGGCGGCGGAGAGGTTTCGCTAGGACTTCCGCATGATGGAGGGCGTAGCCACAGTGGTAACCCAGCACATGCGACAGTGGATGTTGCAACGCTATTATGTTGGACAACCCACCGAAGTTTCACGGCAGACTATTGCATCAGCCGAAAAAATGAAAATAATACGTGCTAGTATGCGACTGATACGAAAGTGATCGCCAACGGCTGGTTATCGGACAAAGGACCGATTAATGGGTTAACCGTAAATTCCGACCGAAATGATTCCGGCGCACCCCCTTCACGCGGTGGCTACTCGCCCAGGTGCGATGCCACGAAGCTTGTCTGGGGGCCATGTTTGCGGCCCAGTTGTACCCTCCACGACTCCAAGGAGCCCTGTATGTGTGCACGTAGCAGGAACCGATGGAGCCTTGAAAATTGGGTGTCTATGCAAGCCTGAAAGGTTGCAACCATAGAGTCGGATGTGCCTTGTACTACGTGGGCATAATGCAAATAAGAATGATTGAGTCTCAGGCCCTCCTGTTAGAATGGAGTACTTATCATACGTACGTATATTGTTGCGTCAGAGAGGGACATGGTATCTGAGTTGGCAGTGAGTGAGTAGCACCGCTTGTTGTTGACTTTTACTTAAGCTGTGAGGAGGCTGGTCTGCCTGCGCGGTAACCAGCCTTCTCCGATGGTCAAAAAAGACTCTAGAATAACCTCTTTTTCTTAAATACTATCCATCTGAACCCCTTCGTAAGTGTCGTGTCCCATATATCTAGGCGCTGGCACTGGCTATTAAATGTACAGTGAATAGAAACCTCCGAAGTAAGGGTGACATGGTCCAATGAGACTCGCTTCCAAGGCAATTGATTGTCACCGTTCGAAATACCGAAGTTCTCACGAATCTGCTAACACCAAGCCTCTTTCGTTTCATTATTATCAATCAACTAGTTCGTCTTTGCCTTGCGGCTTGACGCAAGGGATACCACGGATACAAGTCGGCTACAGAGCAACTATTCGCTGTGAGAGAAGGTGATGTCACACAGCTACCACCTAACGGGTGTAGCGCCCTAGAAATTTATAGATCCATGCCAGCACGCAATAAAGCATCCCCAGCTTTCCCCAGACGCAGCCTGGGGGGGGCACGGGAACAGTACTAGAGTAAGGAATGAAGTACCATTGCGTTGCGTCGACCAGTCGTATATTCAAAGTAGACACAAACAGGAATGGAAGAAATAATTCCACCGGAAGGATCTCGCACGAGACGTGTAGGGTCCCTGAGGTAGGATACCCTTAGTGGATTGAAGATGCCCCAATACGCGTGGAGGTGACACAGGTGCATGAGGCAGGATATTTAATTGCAAGTCTTCACTACTGCTTTGAAATTAGCCCGTCTTTAAGTCTCTAACAAAGCAAATTTCGACCAGGTGTTACGGGAGAGTGTGAACATGGACACCCATATCCCACCCTTTACTAGTGTAGGCTTGGGTATATGGCTTTCAAATCGACTCAATGCCTAATATGTTATGGCCATCGATCACCCATTTAGCTAACCGTTAGGTTAAACCCGGGACTTGTGTAACGATGTTATTGTTCCTCGGCCATGTGCATATATAGAAGAGTATGGATCTAGCTCTCCGCGCTGAGATTTCGTATGTGCCCAAAGGTCGAGCGATTTCTGAGAAGGGGGACCAAGGAGGGGTTCATGTTCGCGCCATGTGCAGAATAGAAGAGCTCCCGGCTATTCGTGGTACAGAAAATACCTCCTTCCGCCGCTTGCAGTGGTTTAAAAACGCTTAGTGCGCAATCCGACGTTCTGTATACACCACCTTTCGTCTGCCATGTAAGCGGGGGTCCGATAGTGCTACTCCTTACAGCCACTGAGTTCTGCTGCCGAGGTGAGACAGGAACATGCCTCCGTCGCCGTTATCTATGCTCGCCTTTTGCACAACAGACATGACATTGTTGACAGCCTCTTCCGGTGACTGCTTCTTGGGGTTTGGAGAGTGCTTGGAGAAGCTGGCGACCAATTTCTCGACATACGGCTTTTCCTCCTCCGAGACTACGTCATTGGAATTGCGAGTCGGGTCAACGATTGCTTCCACCGGAAGAAAAGAAAGAAGGAAGCAAGGGAATTTTTTATTGCGGGGGTATCAGGAAGGCCGGGGGGGGGGGGGACACTCACCATTGTCAAGCACCCCAGTATCGACAAACCCGGGGCAGATGGCCAGGAAAAGAACGCCTTCGGGACGGTAGTGGGCGTCGTACATGGTGATGAGGCAATTCAGTGCGGCCTTGCTGACGGCGTACGGCGCGGATACTTCGATGCCGAGGTCGCGAATTAGGTCGAGGTCTCCATGTGCCGAGCTGATGGCGATGACCTTCTTGGTTTTTCCCTTAAGCACGAAGGGCAGGAACAGGTTTATAACGTTCGCGTTGCCGATAACGTTGGTGTTGAAAGTGTAGAAGAAGTCCTTTTCAAGGTCCTCACGTTTCTCGGCGCTAAGTGACGGGATGTTAGTAAGTACGTGGCGGTGGGTTATCCGGCGGACGCTCTGATACTCCCCCGCGTCGGCCTTACAGGATATTGATTGGGAGGTTCCCCGTGCGGCCTGCCACACCAGCATTGGCAATGATGTAGTCGAGGGTTCCTTCGGTTATGCGGGAGACTTCCTTGACAGCAAGCTGTAATCAACGCGTTGGGTCAGCATTGCCTACACATAATCAGAGTCGTTCGGATTCCTACCTCCAGCTCTTCGTAGTTGGTAATATCCCCTTGAACAATGTGGACGTTGGGAAGATCTCCAAGCTCCTGAGCGACCTTCTTATCAGTGGCCACCTTATCACGAACGAGGCCAATTATCAAGTTGTTCGGGTCCCGGGAAAGTTGTTTGAGGAATCCAGCCTGCACCAGTGCCACGATTGTCAGTTGTCAGTGAACCAAGGGTTTGGACGTGCTTGAGAAGACAGCACATACGCCAATGCCTCTAGAGGCGCCGGTGATGAGGTACGAGACAGGCATGGTTGGTACGTGAATAAGGCTCTCGGCGAGGTAGCGTCTTGGATCGTATGCGGCCGCGGATGGTGACGATGAGGATGATGGCGAGAAGGACATAACGGGTCTGTCAGCTGTAGGTCCGGCATCGACTTATATAGACCTCTTGGATAACGCTTTCCAACCACCCCTGACTTCTATCGCGACCATGATCGACTCTAGTACGGGCAGCCAGAGTTCGACAACATCGAAGCTTAAGGAAGACATTTATAAGCAACATATGCCTTTAAAACTAGAAATTGATCCCAAGGAGCGCGAACCCCACTATCGCTGGGTTGCGCATCCATTAGCTTCGCAAAAAGTTGTGTTTCACCGTAGCACCGCTGAGTCGTGATCAATGCCTCACCGTCCACACCGTAAGCCACGCCGGGATGGACTGGATGGACTGAATGCACCAACCCCACATATACCCAAGTCTGATTACGCTCGCCTCGCAAAAAGTTGCCAGCTACCGAACATCGATTACGGCGGCCCCGTAGGCAGAAGCAGACGCGATGATTATTTACGGCTCGCTCGGAGACGGACATGGCGCGACTATAGCCCCGGAAGAAACTACCTACCTACGGCTTAAATAATCGCTTCCGGGCTCACTGGAAAGTATTTGCGAGCTTTGGCCTTGTTTACCCACCACTTTTGTCGTCGGCAACGATATTTTTCGATTCCTCATTTCTGCCGCCCTCTTCCACGTCATACTAGAGTGATGGACGCGTCCTCGTGACTCGTGATATTGCTACACGACAAGAATATTACACCAGAGAAAACAGAAGCGCCACACGCCGGGGAAGCGCACTGGGCAGTCTGGGTGGCCAGCGCTGCAGAATTGTATCGATTGCGAGCCTCTCACCATCATGAAAGCATCCGGAAAACGATGCGGGACATGCATAGGTACCGCATTTTCCTCCTCACATCGCGCCTGTGACCAAGTTCCCAAGGACGATACTTAGCCGGGCACCTGTGTGTTGACGTGAAATCAGATCGAAAGGTTCGCTGTGACCGAGGTCTTCCGGCATGTTCGACCTGTCTGCGATCCAATCGGGTTTGCCAGGGTTACAACCTTCGCCTGTCTTGGCCCCGAGGCAATGATAAGAAGCGATTAATACTCGGGCCAGATCCCGAGAAAGGTCGGAAGAGTCGACCTCGTAGCACTAGAAGAGCAAGATGGGTTCATGCGACGTCTTGGGATGTCGGTGTCTTCTATCATCTCGCTGGTTTGGATCGAGACGTTAGTGTAGCAGCCTTCAAGTTACGCCTTCGCCCCGCCTTGTCAACCACCCTCCTCTTGGGGATGACAGGGGGGGAGAGGGACTTATTACATTTCTGTGAGTCTGGATTCAACGTGTAGCTTTTGCGCCAAACATCCCGTCGACGCGCCCCCTATCTGTTTGACGTGGTGCTGACGGATCCTGGGTCAAAGTCGAGGGCGCCGTCTCACAAATCCTGACTACCTTCAGCGAGCAGCCGCTGGGGAGCATCCTCATGCGAATCGCGCTGTCAAGCGACTCGCCTTCGTGCATTGCCGTGAGGAAGTCGATGCTGGCCCTGTCGACGCTGCTACGACACGGACTCAGTTGGCAATCGGAGCGCCTGAAGCTATGCGCGATTCGAGCTCTGATGGCCTCCGCCGAGGATGGCATCACTCTCACGAATGCCGCTCAACACGTAGCCGCGGGCATGCTCCTGTGCATATTCGAGGTAAGCACCATCACAGGCCCTCTTCTGTGGCTGATAATGAGGCCCTATCAGGGTGCCCGACTGACATGCCGCGCGTTGCAGATTCACACAAACTCTTCAGCATCGAACCAATGGCTCACGTGTGTTGCTGGTGCGACGAACGCCATTGCCAACCTGACATTTGATCCCTTTGGCCAAGACCCCGATCTCTCCGCCCTTCTCGACTGGGCCTACTACCACGAAGTCTTGTCCGAGTTCAGCCTGCGACACTGGCGACCGGAAGCGTGGTCGTCAGAAAGGGTGTTGCTTCGGTGTTCTTCGCTATCCACCACACACCCGGTGCCCTGCCTTCGGCTGCAACGGCGCAACGACACCTTGCGACTGCTGTCCGAAGCATGCGCGATAGTCCAATCGCCCTCGGATCCCCGGAGTAAGTGCTCAAAGTATATTAGCCGCATCTGCGACATGCAGCGCAGACTCGAGCAGGGCCCGACCTCAAACTGTCCGTCTGACACCCGCACACCAGCGGCGGGATCGCTAGCGGTTTCGGTGGGTGACACAAACAGCAGCGCTGTAACGAACAGGCTGTGCCGCATTGCAACCTTGATCTACCTAATACGCGCATCGGGCATCGCCTCCGATGACGCCTGCGACGTCGCCGACCACATTGGGGCGGGACTCTCCCTCTTACGCTCGCTTCCGTATTGCAAGCAACCGTTCCCGCTGTTGATCATCGGATTTGAGGCGAAATCGGACGAAGATAGGATGATAATCCTAGACCTAGTGGCGCGGACGGAGAAGAACCCGGCGGCGAGGTCGATGGAGTGCGCGCGGACCTTGCTACATGCTATCTGGAGCCAGAGCGATCTCATCGACGAAGGAGAGGGAGTGGTTGAGTATCTAGACATGATGACGGGCGTGATCAGCTTGGGCGGCGTGTTGCCGCCGTTTGCTTGAGGAAGCTCGTTATAGACATACATACCTCCTCTTCGGAGATGTGGGCTTGTATAGCTCGCTTGGTCCGTAACATCTTCACAGTTCAGATCAGCCGTGGAAAAGCCAGTTTGGCGGTCTTGGGACTATTTAATAAATCATATAAGAACTACTTCATGTCCGAATAGTAAGAGAGGTCATTGAATAAAGATTTAATTCTTAAACTATTGTGTAGATATACGCCTCTAGTAGAGAGCAACCTAGCTTACCTCAACCGCTGAGCACTTCTATATATATCTAACCTACTCTTCACTCCTTAGAAGCTTTCCTTCCCTTTTCCTTCCATTGCTCCCGGTATGCGTAACCTATCCTACCATGCGTTGCTCTGGACAGCTACGTAACATAAACAATGGGGGTTTTTAATAAAAAGACATAAGCATTATTTATTATGCCACGTAGAGAGCCACCCATGCCTAGCTCTTTACTTATTCACTGGTTACTCGCTTATCTAACCGAGCTCGTTAACATAGCTCGCAGCTCCCTATTGTATATATATAGGTAGCTCGTATCTCCTTTGATCATTTCCTTCCTGGTTAGCTAGTTAGTTAATTTAACATCCTCACCCTAGCTTCCTTTGCTCCCATAGCAGGGTAACTTCAGCCCCTACGGAGCTCTCCCGATCTACGTAACATATTATTTTTAAGCCTTTTTATACCGGCTCATTAAGGTAAGCGGAGATGTAAATTAGTTAAGTGTAACTATAAGCCTTACGAAGCCACCGTATCCTTCCTGCAGCTAACTTCGCATCCTATACAAGCCTAACTTCGGTACGGGCCCTGCTCCCTCCCTCATTCGACTCATATTACGTAGATTTTTCAGGTGAGCTACGCTTATGTGTGCAGATTTACGCGCGTACGAATGAGCAAGAAAAGTGCAGGACAGGGAAGACTATTGAAAGGTGTTACGCAGGTCTAAGGTCGCGATGGTTGGCGTAAAATCCTAAGGGCGTAACGTATTCCTAGCAGTTTAAAGAGTTACCAGGGCAGTGGTGCGCGGTCCTTGCAGGGTTTCGGATGAGTGTTTATATGGGTCGTGTACTTATATTTTCACCGTCTGGATCTCAACCTGTATCCTTCAGTCACCACGATGTAGCGCAGGTAATCACACACCCCAAAAACGGCGCATTCAGATCCCCGGGATATTAGGTGTGTCTTCAGCTTTCGCTATCGTCATGGAAAATGAAACCTCCGCCGCGTCCTGATTCGTCGACCAATTCGGCACGCAAACACTCCATCTCCTTGCTCATCGAGTTGGGGCTAGCATTCTCCTGAAGGCGTTCGAAGTCGAGTAGTTTCACCCCTTCTTCCGTGACAAGAAAGTTATATCGGTTCACATCCCCATGTACGAGTCCCAGTTCGTGGAGTTTTCCCAGAGCGGTTTCGCAAATGCTCAGATCCTGGAAGGAAGCAGAGCGTCCCTCTATTTTCTCCAATAGAAAACCCACGATGCGTCCACTCTCATGGACATGGGCGAGGAAGCGCGGGGCCAGTCCAGAACCCTCAAGCAATTGATATGCTCTCGTTTCTTGTTCGATACGAGGCAGCTCCCATTCGAAACGGGCTATTTTAGCGATCGCTGTGGCTGGTGATAGGAGAGTGATTGGGAGGATCGAATGTGGGACGACGGCTTCGAAAACCATTGCCGTGAGCTGTTTGGTCTTCTCCAACTCTAGGCAATCAACCCTGGTATGATGCCATCCACACTTGACGCCGGCTAGTGTTCGGTTCAAGATGGAAGTTTTCAAGTCGCCGCTGGTTTTATCTCGCGAGATGTGCGCCACGGTCCATTCCTCGTCATAAGGAAGACGGGGTAACGACTGCAGGGGGGATGAAAGCATGTCTCTGTCAAAGGTTCCGGGAGAGATGACAAGATATTTGACTTGGCTTCCGATTCGCAGTCTGTATTCGCTTTCACATGAATCGTCATCGTCCACTTCCGTGGACAGAATGATCGGCTGCATTGGCGGGTTTGTAGCTTTATCGCTAGACATTGTCACCATTAGACCGCTTACTATAGGACTGTCGGCGGATATTATGTCTGAAGAAAAGTTAAACCTAGAAGAGATGCAGGGTTAGTACATGTATAATTCGAGAATCATTTTGCCGTCGCCATGCCTCCTTCTCTCTCTCTCTCTCTCTCTCCTTTCTTTTTCTCCTGCGGGGAGGAGCGGCGTTCGAATGTCAGGGTAGTTTTCTGGCTGCTGTGGAGAGGAGAGATTGCTGCTACAGCTGGTTTTCGAGGTGAAAAACTGTCGGCCGACATGCACGTCTTTTTACACAAAGAACAACCCATGTCAAAGAAGGATTGCAGGGGGATTCCGGGCTAAGACCCGGAGAATCTCTGCACCTTAGGGATAACCTGTCGCCGTTGTTATATTCATCATTTTGGCGTGTCGCAAGTTTTAGTAAATCCACTGTGATAGCTGCTGTGAGGGGCCATTGATTTCGCGTCATCTCCTGCGGCGGCTATTTAACGCCAAAACCTCAGTCTCGAGCCACACGCCCTGGCTTGGTCTCTGCCTCGATAGCGGACCTTTATGCAAGTCGCGCGCTCAATGCAGGCGGTATGAGCGCCAGGCTAGCCTGCCATGGTCTTCGCCGTGTGCCAATGACTCTTATCTTTTGTTGCCAACCCAACTTCTCCGAGAACAAAGACAGCCGAACCAATGGTCCGCTGAAAGTTGGCTTTGTGGAGTTGAGGGCATCTCGAATAACCGTTGCGCCTATGTGTATTTGGGACTGCGATGACTGACGATCTGCTGCAGGTCCGGACGGCAACCATCAACCCCAGCTCTAGACACCTTGCAGCCAACACCCAAGCTAGGACCCGAGGCATCCCGTGGCTAGACAGCTATAAATTGTGCCTCCTCGGAACATCATCTTAACAGTGATAGTGTCGCATTCAACCATTCAATCCCACTTTTCATTTCACCAGCAACAATCAAGCGTTCAGAATCGGCCACTCACTACCACCAACACCCAAGATCTCGATAGCGCAAGTGCAGCTTTGCTTTCAGCATAGCCGTCTGAATTGATTATTGGCAAATCTGTACAAGTCATTCAAATATCCAATATCGTAAGAGGACAGTTATCGCCCAAATCTTAACCTGGCCTAATTTGCGGTATCCTGCCAGTCAAGAAATGTGTACGTCAAAATTTATCAGATATACATGCGGCTGCAAGAAGGAGATGGAGTTCATCCAGTGCCCGGAGCGACAAGGAACCAACGTTAAATGTGATCCGATTACCAAAGGATTGGGCAAGGATTCGACCAACTGCTGTCCAAAGCACCTGGTCAAGCCAGACGCGCCAGTGAAATACGTGGACCAAAATGGGAAGATTGTGGAAGAGTAAGGCAGGGCTTGTGAACTGGGAGCTGCATTGAGACGATGGAAATTGTACGTTGGGAAGCCCGGGGAATTTGTTCGCTTTCTGGATGCCTTCTACTTGGACACTTTGTAGACAGCCTAGCTGCAATACATATGTCCTTACGAGTCTCTTTTGTTAAAGTAGCCTCCTCTCCGAGCAGCCTCCGGTAGCTTGGTTGGCCGGTGGCTACCTTCATCACTCGATCTCCACAAGAGCTATGCCTATTTACATCATCGAAAATATTCCAAAAAGCCGCCTTGCGCATATACTTTATCGCGAGCCTCGAATGCCCATTCCTCGCCTCTGGGACTGATAATACCGTTTTCGAGAGCGAGTTGACACTTGTGTGCTGTTGATGCTGCGGCGCGACAACACGTTGAGATTTAGGTAGGTACCTATGCAAGCGGTGGCACAACGATGTTATGCCCAGAAAAGTATACCTGGTACACAAAATTGGGCGACCCGCACCGCCTCAACGCACGGGTCTTTTGCTGGTAAGATAACGCTAATTAGCCACGATCCGGGTTGGAACCTACGGTAGCGCAGGGGAAAGCGGGAATCGGAGACTGACGGATACATGCTAGAGCAAGTCGGATGGTTGGTGCCGAGAACTGGCTTGTTTCGAAGGCGTCCGAGGGAGGGGGGAGAGAACACCTACTACTTATTTGCAGCATCAGCGGTCATCGTGTCCCGGCAGTCTGGTTCTTACCCACCATTTCGGCTTTGTTCTGACATTCTGTGCCTCCTCCCTCCCTTACCCTACGTACTCTTGCCCTTCCCGAGACCACCATTAGGGCCTTGGCACGCTATGACATTTTGGTTAGCGCACACATTCCAGTCAATCAGCTGAGTTGGTACCGCTCTTTTTGCTGCTTGGACTCTGCCGTTCTGCATCGTCGGCAACCTATCTTGCTGTCAATGTGTCAGTAAGTTAGCCGTTTACACTTCTTGTCGATCGTTATGCGTGCTTTGGTTTATAAGTCCTTGCATTAATTTTTTCCCTTAAAAAAAGAAATACTACAATAGATTCAACTTTTCGCAGTTCATGGGATATCAGCAATGATAGGTCACCGAATGGGGATTTGATTCCCGGACGGTGGTCATTCTCAGCGAAAAGACACAACTACCTAGGTATCCCTCTGTCGTCTCCAGGTCTTTTCTATCCGGGCTCACTAGGTCGGGCGGGGATGTGGGCACCTTAGGCAGGCAGTTATAGGTAGTTAGGTACAACTATGAGCCCTGAGAGGCCAGCATATCTCCCCATAAGAGCCCAACCCCAGCACAGGCCTTTCCTCACCCACCCGACTCACCAATAGTCATTATCTAGGTATAATTATCTAACCTCTGCGATGCCGTCTCCCTGCGAAGGGATCGCGTTTCCCCCTTCAATCCCGCCACCATGCTCGTGGAACCGATGCCTAAAACCCATGTCTCCTGCGCTTACGGCACCGTACGTCTCCTCCCTTAGCATACCTAGGTCGGAACCACCAAGTCAGTAGCCTAGTCGAGCCCCGAAGCTGGCCGCCGCCAGTACGTACATACATTCCTAAATCTTGTCTGCCTTGGCTGGCCGTCTACCGCGCGAGATCCGCGAAACCATCTACTTTAGCTATGACATTCCTGCGGCCTGTGTCAGCACATTTTATGGCACGACGACGAGGACAAACACCTCTGTCCTTGGCCGCGCGCGACCGAGTACCTATATACAACCAGGTGCACAATCCGAGATCACAAGGCAGCCACTGCAGCTAATGTTCTTGCTCCTAAACCAAGTGCTATGCTCCCGAGTGTGTTGGGGCATATTGGGTTGCTGGAATAACCTACATGCTAGGTAATTATTACAGGTATAATATTAAAACCCAAATGTCTTATTATGTAGGCCGGGTTAACAAATCAAGTCTTGAAGGCTAATATTTACCTAATTCCCTTTAATTATAGAGGATCTCATGTATGACAGCCGTAGTAATATTATCAACAACGATAATGTCACGTAGAGGTTGCTCCTCTTCGTTGCTCACCTCAGCAACAGGAGCTCCTATATATAGGCTCCTATTTCTCCCATCCCTTTAGTTAGTTCTTAGACAGAACGAGATCTTTTCTCCATTTGCTCCTTCCTTCGCTGCTCGTGAGATAGCTCCTCGCGTGTGTTCTCGCTTCCACACGTAGCTCTCCAGATCTACGTGACAAATAATAATAACGGACACCCATATACATAACGAGAGACTATCTGCCTGTGATAGATGAATTTGGCAACCTCGGGAAGTTGATCGCTTAAGAACATCAAATAACTAAGAACGGCAGTGTTCTGGCTTCCGTGGTATAAATGCCAACTTTGTCCACGGCCTCGGCATCCTTGCTACGCGCCAGGTGATCCAACGAGGGGCGTCGGGCTTAACAGTCGTAAAGTCATAGGTCATAAGAAGTTAGGCGATGACGAGCTTCATAAAGGCGGATGCATAGTATCTGCCAGGGCTGCTGCCTGTGTCAGTGGGGTCCACGAATGAAGGGCGTCTGGACACGTCCGAGACAATCGATTATACACATTGCAAAGGAAGCGTACCAGGCCATGCGTCCAGTCCCCCACACTAAGAACGAATGCTCAACATCAGTGAGTCTGGAAGACTTCGACTGCCTTGCTGCTGGCACAGAAGCACCTTGGGCTCTTGACAGAATGGTAGGGTCGACGAACCGGAAACCGGAAAACTCTTCAGGTGAGTGATAGTACTCGGCACTCGTGTTTATGGCGCCGGAGGGGGCACATGCCCACTCACCGACACCGACTTTCGTCCCATCGGAGAGCGAAAAGGGTTGAAGTGCACAGCGCCGAACACTCACTAGAGAATATACTGATAAGGGACAATGAAAATAAAAGTGGTGGTACTGGCCCAGAAAGCCGTTCACTTACTAGACTCTACTGGCGTAAGACGCGCGGACTCCTTGATAAAACTGTCTAGAAGCGGCAGACCTTGTCCTGTACGTTCGAACTCCTGATAAGATGTGTCCAGCTCGTACCGGAGCGGCTCGATATATTCGGGGTGAAGGCAGAGGTCGTGGATCACGTAAACGATAGTCTAACAGTCCCAGATGTATTAGTAGACACCACGGGGCATTGGGCTAGCTACACACGACGGGGCCGTAGGTAAGACTTACTGTCGTCAATATGTGAACTGAACCAAACCAGATCGCCATCAATTCGTAGATGACCCGTTCCGCTGACCAAGGGTTCTGCTTCGGTGCTGTCTCCATAATCCATTGGATGCAATCGGCCTGCGGTTGCTCGTCGAAGGAAGGTCAGCCGCTATCGACAAAATGGCCATAGATTTAGGGGCGCTCACACGTTCGGGGGCTGTACGCCCTAAGTTCCTATCGTCCCTCTCTTTGACCCTCTGTTCAGTCATGGGGATCAAGCTTTCAAAGAATGTCTTGTGGGAGTTGAGAAAGTAGCCTAGCAGCCCCCCGACAAATGGAGCAAATGGCTTTGGGAATAGTTTCACGATTTCCGCGTTGAGTAGGGTTTCTTCGACATATCCCAGGGCGGAGGCCGTAAAACTTTCACTCTTGACTACACCGTCCCAGTCAGACATGTAGCCTCTAAAACCCTTACACCGTTCCGGGTAGCAGGAATGGGCGTACTTAATTCCTCGCCGAACAGCGACCGTCCGTTCAATAGCACTACCAGGTTCATCATCATCGGGTACACAGGAGCGAGTGTGGTTCCTTATCCCCGGAGGCTGAGTTAGTACAGATGCCTCTAAATTTCTCGAGGCGGTAAAGTATTGTGGGCAGCTAACCATCGATAGTTTCTTGTTTGGATAGCAACTCGGCCCAGCACGTTCGAGTCAGCACACCAAGGTCTGGGAGAAGCTGGGGTATATTGTTGGTTAGAAGAGTACGTAGCGTGCGGACGAAACCCACGCCCTCGACGCCACGTCGGTCAAACCAGTTGAATCCGTTCATCGTATAGACTGGCTGAAGCATCTGCGCAGCCAATTGTAAGAAACACGGATGAAACACCACGAAACGAGGTGCGGAAAATGCTCACATGTTTCGCTGCACCATTCAGTGAGAGCACGGCGTCAGGGGCATTGTCCAGTTCTTTAATATGCTCTCGTGAAGATACAAAGACCATGCGTACGTCCGGGGCGTAAATCTCGAAAGGCTGTCCACGAGACTGATATGTTTTTGATTTATGAGTAATGATACCCTAAAGAGAATGGGAGAGAGGCAGGAGCAGATAGGAACAGTTTTTTTACTTTCTGGTATTCACAATGAACAATGCTAGGCCCGTTAAAGAGGTAGGCCCAGGCACGAATGCGTTTCTTAATGAATCGAAATATCGCAAAAACGTGTGCCTAGTAAACACACGCAGAACGTCAATGTTTCTATATCGATATCGGAGCCCAATATCATGAGACACTTACAGGTTTTCGAATCGCCCATAGCATAGAGCCTAAAAGGAGTATGTAGAAAACAAGAAAGAGGCTCTGCGGCTGGGCCGGTTGTTCCATGGCGTATGAGAGCCACGGTAAGTACAAGATTTCCGCCATCACGGTGCCGACAAGCTCAACGATTACTTTCTGAGTTTCGTATTGCTGATGCTTTGAACTCACGGAAGAAGTTTGCGTGTTGTAGCCTCCAAGAATCATGAATGTGACAAGCGAGACGACGCAATATCAAGTGTTATTCCTTCAGCGGCAAAATTTGGGAACATCGAGGAGAGAGGGGTCTTCGACGATTAAACCAGTCCATTCTCTCTAGCGCCAAGTCGGCGTTGGAACTCCTTATCCCAATCTCTTGACAGAACCAATTTGCCAAATCAGGACTCTGCTCGCAAACTGAGAAAACGCAGCTCGTATAATCTCCATACACAGAGAGAGAGTAGGTCATACAGAATCCTCCGGGGACACACCTGACGGTCATGTAGTGATGGAAGCAGTACTTAATAGTTATTAAAGGCGTATTCACGCCTCACGCCGGCGTAACCTCAATCGTCGTTTCGGGCCGGCCTCCGTAACATCGCTGGCCTTTTTCTTCCTGTCCGCACGCCTCGAAGGCCTAGATGAACCTTGAGACACATCACCACAGTCCTGTGCTACGTCGCTTAAATAGCGGTCTGTACATATTAGAAGACCTACGAGCCTTGGAGGGTGCCATAGAACTGTAAAGAAGCAGTTACAAAAGGCGAAGGCATCTCCCACGGATACATAACATCTGTAATGTGATACGGCATAACTCTAATCAAGTTCAATATAGAAGCATTAATGTAGGCTGCCGTCAGCAGGCTTATGGTAAAGAAGAGAGTGTCCGTTTTCCCTTTTGGGGGTAATGCGTGCCGATTCCAACACTGTCAGTCCTACATCCGTACCTATTCAGCTCGGCGGCCTGGCGCACATACATACATATCTGCTTGCCATCATCCTTTCAGGGCAGGTACTTTTTTCTTTGAGTGAAGCCGCCGAAGCCGCCCCGTATTACTCGAGGCTGCACTACACCTCGTAAAAGCTTCTCTCTGTGTCCACTGTCGCGTCACACAACCAGTAAGAGAACCAGCGTCAAGTTGGTCGCCGAATCTTAGATGGCCCAGTAGCCCCCAATAGTCCTGCAAGTTGGTGCCCGGAGTCGCTAATCTCTGGGGTGCAAACTGTTGCGGTTGGTGCTTGAACAAACACCTGGAATACGGCCTGTTGCCTGCTCGATCCTTTTTTTTTTCCACGCGCCAACAAGACTTGGTGGCGCTCTGTGCTGATCTTCATGTGTAGCCAACCCGCAAGTCAGATCGGTAGTTATTGGTCAGCTAGAATAGTTGCTATTGTCCTGGCCGTACAAGACCCCTCTTTGAATACGTCGTAATAGAGCTGTATTCGCCGTTCTACTTATGCTTAAAAGCCCCTTAAAACTGCACATCAAGAGGCGTCTTGGCACGCTCCCATCATGCAGGTCTTTGCTACAATCGAACAGTGGCGGAGAAATACAGGTGGGCGGGAGGGTGTCCTCTCAATTCACTCCATGCTCGGGTTCCGCGCCCACGGAGCCCCAGACCGCCCGCTCAACCAGCCACTCCATTTTCCCGGTCTCGTGCTCCAATTTGGCGAACATGTAGCTCTCGAAGTAGGTATCCGCGCCGTCGATCTTGATCGTCCCCGTCATGCGCGCCGCGAGCTGGTCGCCGTCGCGCAGGAACTCGTGTCTGGCGTAGGGCGAGGCGACTCGACGTTAGCTTCCCGTCTCTAGTATCTGCAAACACGCGCGCGCCGCGAGCGGGGGAAGGCAAGTAATAGAGAGAGATGCGCTCACATGACCGGCTTATACTCGGTAGTCTTGCCGCGCCACTCAGCAATTTCCTCAACGTATCTGTCGTAGGATATGCGCTGGTTGTTCATGAGATGGTAGAACCCGGGCGTCGAGATCTTCTTGGCGTACTGGTGGGAGTCTTCGGGTCGGCCGCTCAGGCTCTCCTCCATGGCGCGTTGAAAGCCTTCGCGCGTTGAAGTGTATTCAGACATGGCTGGCTCCGCAGATAGGTCGGAGCAGAGGCGTTGGTAGAGAGAGAATACGAGTCTATAAGGGCTTCCGCTACCTTTGCGAGGGAAAAGAGAACAAAGAAGTCTGCGTAAGAGGAAGAGCAAGGGTGACCGTTTCCAACTTATACCTAACTACCTTTGTACGGAAATATGCTGACGTAATCACTGTATAGGGGCACGGCAGGGTGAAATCTTTTGTGTGCCGATATCGACTCGTGCAAAGACAATTGTTTGCCCTTGATGATAGATTGGGGGCTGTAGATTGGGTTGTGTGTGAGCAATCCCTTCTGGATCCCTGATCCAACTTGCAGAGCGGGATCCAAGGCAAGGGGAGCCAAGGCTCCCGTGTCACCTTGACTGCAGGAGTATTAGAGCCTACCGCCGGTGGAACCAAGGGGAATGGAAACCTGTTAGGTGAGGTGAGGTGTAGTACGGCTAATCAGCCACAGTCTCAATAGGTCGGAGAGATTAGGAGTCCCTGTCGCGTCCATGTAAGCTCCTTAATGAGGAGAATCTTGTATTAACCCTCCATCCTTGACTACATCCAACCAACATTGCATAAGGAGGGCTTCTTTATCACAGGTCACAAACACATCGCTACTAACCCCTGTGTTGGGGGACTGTGCGTCTTGGGAGGATACGAGAGTTATATTTATTATTACCTAGTAGTTTCTTCGTCTCTAGATTCCTAAAGAGCCCTTTTCCCCGACCTTCGTCGTCTTCTTCGAAATCTATCTCGCCATGGACTCGGCCATCGACCTCTGCCAAGTACCCGCATCACCTGCGCCGAACGGGTCTTACAGCAATTTCGATAACCCCGTCTCCTTAGCGCCGGCCATAATAGCAGTTACAGCTATTACGGTGACATGGGGGTTGGCCTTCACCGGGATTCGATTTTACATAAACATCCGGAAGTTAGGCTGGGCCGACTATGAGTTGACGCGTAATATATGCTGAATCGGATCGCCAAAACTGGCAAGAATAGGAGGCTTACCATTCCTGCATGCGACGGCGTACCTAGACTTCAACCTGATTGCCCTTCTATGCTCCATAGCCATCTTGGGCATCCTGGCCACTCGTGAGTCCAGCCCGAGTCTGAGGGAGGCCGCTTATGACTGATGGATATCTTCTCTTACGCAGAGCTCAAAGTGGCTCGTCATATCTGGGACATCCCTGCATGCAGTTTTGACGGCGAATATGCGGGGGTGGTGAGATAATCCTTGCGTATCGCGATGGAATAATTCCTGTACTTTTCAACCTCATTACTGGACTAACTAGGTATGCACTCAGGGCATCTATATTTCGGCAGTGCTCCTCCAAGCGGGCTGCTTTTTCGCTAAGGCCTCAATCTTCCTTCTCTTTCGCGAGCTCTTTGCGATTCAACATTCAATGCGTGTCGCCGTTTGGATTGGTCTGGCATTCGACTTCTTGCTGTACTCGTCAGGTATCGCCGTTGCCACGTATTACGAGACACCCCGAGCTGGTGAGACGTGGGAGGACACATTAGACGGCCGCAGTCTCATTCCGCTCTCATGGTGGCAGGCTCAGTCGGCCCTTAGCACAGTTCTGGACCTGTATATCTTTATCCTTCCGCTGCCTATTATAGCGAAGCTCGCGTTGCCTCCCCGGCGGCAGATACCAGTCGTTGCCGTGTTCTCGTTGGCTCTCATGTTGGTCTCCGAATAAGCTGTCTTAGGTCTTGTCGACTAATTTACTCACAACAGGGGTATTGGAGCCAGTATTGCTTCGCTGGTCGAGAGAATCGAGATCACACACAGCAACGACACAACTTGGATTTCCTCCATCCTTTTTCTCTGTAGGTATGTACGTCGACTAAGGGTTCCGTTCCATGAATATCTCCTTCCTCGTCGATTCCACGCCATGAATTGACAGCAAGCCTAAGTGTCACCGAGCTCAACGTGGCTATTATCGTGAGCTCCGCGCCTGCCTTCTTCAGCTTTTCTCGCTCACACTTGGTCAACCTACCCAGCGTTAAACTATTACTCTCGAATTTCTCCTTCTCGAGGAAGACGGAGTCTTACGAATCGTACCACTTGGAGGTCACAGCAGGCGGACAAGGATACAGCTATAACAATGGGGCCAGTGTCAGGCTGGACACTACCGGCGTAGGAGACAAAGTTGTGCAGGGACAGAGCCACCGGTATCATGAGCTCGGTGATACATGGACGCCCGGGCGTGGGGCATCTTGAAGTAGGGTTTAATAGATAGTGGCACTTCTCATCTCCATAGGCGGTACAAACGCTGAAGGCCGAGCTTGTGAAGATTGCCTATTACATAGCAATCGTTAATAGGAATATAGGCCTATCGGTTATTACTTATTATCTTCTTGTGGATCCCCGCAACGCTATTCACTGCTCTGTCGACTGCCAAAGGCACCATAGGAGATAAGCCAATATTCACTGTATAAGGAGCCCATATTCACTTTAAAAGGAGCCGTATGTAAGCTCGTCCGTCAATCGGCAGTTCTAGTCCCGAGTTATCCCCTAAATAGATTAGGCCTAGGTTTAGCATCCTAAAGATTCCCATAGCAGTTAATCACATACTGGTATCGTGGGATAATTCGTCGGCTTTATCCCCTTCGGTGCCATATAGCCGACCATCCCTGTTGGTGGCAGGCCGTGAGCACTTGCAGCCTTGTATCCTCTTCCTAGTGAGTCACACGAGGATACATGCATCTAGATCAACCTTCTGTTTTGTAATTTCTCTAATTTCACGACTTATCCTAATTCCCAACGAGATTAATAACCAACAGCGAGCTCGAATCCAGGTGTAGGATGCAACGGTATAGAACGAGTCTGCCCAACATGCATGATCTGTAACCTGAATGCCCCAACAACTCTGCAGACCTCGAATATGCACGGTAGCCCTCTAGAAACAATATCAAGGACATCAACCGATAATGAATAACTAATTAATTGATTGGATTTCTCTTTTTCCCCTTTCCTGTATATGTGGATCGGTCTTCTTATCTCGATCCAAGGGACTAAATAATCACAAAGTGATATCTTGCGATAAAATATACTAAGTCTGGAAAGTAATGCCTGCCATGTTCGCCAAATGAACCGGACTTGTAAAAAGAATAACTTTACACCTCGACGAATAAGGCATCTTCTAGTTTTACAGTTCCTATTTGTTGCCTGGCGATAATCTCGGATCTATTAATCGCTTTTACTACCGAGAGGCACGGTGAAACTCTGAAATGAACTTTGTAGTCTCGGTAGGAATCAACCGGCCCTGGGTGTTGCTCATGAGTATCTCTCATAGTAAACAGAGTAGGCTAAGCCATGTAACTTTCGAGGTGCCAAATAGGACTTCTTACCGCTCTCAAACTCAGCGTAACCTCACGCCAAGCCCCCATCCCTAATAAGAAGAATGTCTATAAATTTTAATGTTTTCACGTAGGCATACGCCTCCTTTCACTTAAGCTAAAATGGGCTATATATAGCTCCCAGAGCTCGAGCTCTCTTAGCTCTTTCATAGCTTCAATCTACAGTCTCCTTTAACTAATATCTTGTATCCCGTAATATCTCTTTTGCTCTTCTACGTGTGCGCGCAACCTGCGCACCTATCCGTAGCTCACCAAACGTTACGTGATAAATATTCACTTGAAATTATCGATATTGCTACTTTGGATGGGGTCTGGTATATTAAGCGCCTCCAAACTGTGTAGATAGAGAAGGTTTACGAAAGTGCCCATGATAGTTAAGGTCCGGAAAGACAAGGTCATGTTGGGCCACCATCCCTTTGTGAATTAATACCTACCTTTAGGAAACCAATCTTTTGGCTCTAGATGTCTCGATGCTGGAGCAGCGCCTCTCGCATCTCGTACATCTAGCTCCAGTTGAAGCACCAAAGCCAATGTCAGATGGAGGGTAACTACCCGCAGGCGCGACGTGCCGGCTTTTTCACGAGGTTTCTCGAATATGCCAAGCTAGAGAGAGCGTCATAAACACGAACGATCACCTATCCCAACTCTAGATAAAGTTATCCTGGGGTCCTAAATCTCGATGTGAAGGTGATTGTTAAAAACACAAAGCAACCTTTCCATAGGGAATGTAATGTAGCAGACGGCCCTCTTTTATTACCTCTAGCTGGGTTTTTCCTGGCTATTATTCCGTGCGTGACGTCCTTCTGTAATATGGTATACGAGATCCTCGGAGTTAAATCATGTCTGCAGAGCAGTACTAGTAACGATGACACAGAGGGTTATTGAATAGCTCCTGGCTTTTACTATGCCTCATACTCTCGTACCACTCCACTATAGTACGAACGTGTCAATATTATCAAAGTCTTGCTGACCCCGAGGGAGGACTCCAACCAACACAGTAACAAAAAGGCCAACCCAGGAACCGAGAGTCCACTGCTCCTAGAAGCCCAGAATAGAAGACACATAGACATGTTTCAGGGCCGCCCATCCGGTGAACACGACGTGGAAGAGCCCGATGGCCCGTAAAATGCGCGAGTGCACCCTTCCCCCAGTCAAGTCATGCAAAGAAGCTACGGTTCACAACGTTCGGGAGAACAAGTTCAAATTGACTATGACGTCCGTATACGGCGTCCGTAAGCAGTGGTGAGATGTGTCTGCCCCAGCTCACTTGGGCGGCAGAATCCACCGAAGCACTCGAATCCGTATACGATATAAAATTTATTAACAGGCACCCCCCACTCCCCTCCTCAGAAGACCAACATTTACCAGTGCACGACTCGGCTTTTGAGTGCGGCACGCGCCAGTCCCGCCGCCTCGGAGACGAGAAAATGGGGCGTGAAAGGCCCCGAGTCATCCACCACGCTGCTCCAGATCGAAGTCTTCGATCTAATACTGATGGTCTCCGCATACCATACGGCACATGTTATCCACTGTTTACTGGCAGGGTACTCATCGTCGTAGCGGCCGAGTATGGGATTACCTGTGCGGCTCGGCTACAAGTATGTTGCAGGCCGTTAGCAACCGTGGGGTGCGAGGAGAGGCCTCTTAGTCGAGTCGTTTCAAATAGAGTGGTTGATTTTCCTTCGTTGAAATGATGACACCCCCAATCTCGCCCCTCTCCGTGCCTCTCCCTGACGCCTTACTGGAACCGCTTATGACGTGGCGTCGTCGGCGCCGCAGCCGAGGGGAGCAATTACAACGCCGTATAGCTCACTATATGACTCGTGTAAGATGGGAGTGAGATGCACAAAGTGCGATAGTGGCGCATGCCTATGCGTAGACTTCAGGCCTTCGAACGGCCAGGCAGATTGTGGTCTAAGCGGGTAAACTCTACTGCCTCTTCAAGCTTCGTCGAGACTTAGAAGGTATCCCTGACGAAGGCTGTAAATAGAGCCACGGTATGATCGCCTTGCTTGGCGGAGAAGTCCTATTGGGGGCGCATCAACAACTCAGGTTTTGGCCGCGAAGCAGCCCCATTTTCCGCCGCAACGGTCGATGTTAGCAACTCCATGGCCAAGCTCGGATACCGCTTTGTTGACATCCATCAAGAGCAACCCCCACGATCGAATTTAAGGCATGTCTTCGCCGAGCTAAACTGCTGTAGATTTATATGATGCCTTGTTTTGATGTCCTTTCTCTACTGTGCTTGATCTCTTTTCTTAATTAGTGCATCATTCTTGTCTTCGGTCTCGTATATCTTAGAGAAGCTCGCCAGAGAGCCGAGAAGAAGGTTCCCGCAGGGCCGTAAACGAACATCCAGTCTCCGTCATCGGTCGTATTATAATGTTTAGTTGCACTCGTCCGAGCCCTTCGGCTAGGCCAACTCCCCGTCAGCACCATAGCAGAGATTATGTATATTACATGATCTCGATTCTTCGGTCGACTCGCACAGCTCGCAAGGGAATGCCGACTCCCGGTTCATATGGCGTCTCGAGCCCTTGATCGGCGTGAGATATCTCCACGTCAATACGAGACGCCTCTACATTGGTCCAAACAAGTACCGAGTCATCGAGGTTCACCCACTTGTCACGTCGGATCTTGTCTAGGGTGGCGGGGGGGTTGGCAGACGAGAACATGCGCGGGGTCCGGTGCCTATAAGGGGAATAGGCCCCCGGAGGGTTGTCTGTGGCGTCGGCGTCGGTTCCTTGCACGCGTGTCACCCATGAGCATAGCGCCCGAACGAGGTGCCTATTGGTGGAAAACAGGTTTTTGTAGAGCGGACCGCAGCAGCAGATAACGCTCGTCGCCATCTGGACCTCGTCGAAGATAGCCTGCCGGAAGTCGTGATCTGTTCAGCGTGCGAAAGTCAGCCGAACTCCCAAGTGGGATGGTTTGGGCCCGGCGCGACCTACTGACGGCATTCTGAGCCAGGCCAAGCTTCACGAAGCCTATTGCGCCCGACCTGGTAGATAATGAGATTTGTTAGTTACCGGGGGGGTGGAAAGCTGATCAGTAGAGTAATAAATGAAACGCGCGCCGTCACGGTTGAAAAGGGTCCAATACGGTGAGCGCCACTTACAAACCTCCGAGTAGGAAGAGGAGAGCTAGTTTGAACTTAGCATTGGCCCCAAGCCGAAGAGACTTCAACATCCAGACGGCCTGTCCAGCCATCACAAAGTCTATTAATGAGTTTAAAGGATTGGCGATGCTGAAGAAGATGGTGTTATTGAAACAGGTCCCACCACTCTCGATATCCCAACTTTTTGATACGGGCCTGCATGTGTTGAAGTACGTGACGTAGGCGCCAATCCCCAGTGCAATCTGCAGGCCGGTAACGATCCAGATGCCCACGACGAACCGGTGACTGACGGAAAAGAGGCGGTGGTATAGTGCTAGCAGGCTCAGCTTTGTGAAAGTTTGCTGAGGCCAGAAAAAGCTCATATTGATCCATATCACCTAAGCAGTGGCCGTCAACTAAGTATCGTTTCGTAGATCCTCTTGATTAGAGCTTACTTTGAGGAACCCCACCGCCTCCGGGTCTCGTCCCTTCAGTGCCTCCAAGAACATTGGCGTTGTCCTGTTCCCGAGTTTGACCACAACTACCATGGGTCCGGCATAATGTCAGCAGTCGTGCCACTAGGCCGCCCTCGTCCCGCACATTCTTGCTCACCATAAGTAAGCCCCACAGCGAGGGGGAGAAAGGTTAGCAGAGCCGCAAGCGCGAACCAGTCTTCAAATCCAGATCTCCGGCCGGAGCGTCGGGTGGCGACGAAGCGCAAAATAGTTGCCAATATACATATGGGGATGGATATGACGCACATGGAGAACGCCGCCTTCTGCTGGGAATCTCCGAGGACGACCATTGCTACTGGTCAGCGGAAGAGGAAAGAATGGGAGACTACTGTACGAAGATGGTCCTGTCGAAGAAGCTAGAGACAATCCGTTAAGCGAAACGATGGACCACGTTGACAGTGGGTTCCGTTCCAAGAGCCCCTATATGAGTCGTCACTCTAACCCGGCCCTTGATAAACGCGCCCATTCTCTCTCCCAAAGCTCTCTCGCCCGTATCACGCAAACATAAGTAAGCAGCCCCCCAGTGCAATCCTTTAGCTGTTGTGCCCTGATAATGGGATACACAGCCCCAGATTCTGAACCCCTTTCCCGGAGGGGTGGAGGGCCGAGGACGAGGATTGGTCGAGAGTGGAACAGGGTGACGCACGTGGAGCAGCGTGCGCACAGGGGCCGCACATCTCTCAAGACACCGATTAACGCTGTTTACATTATCCTGTGATTGATCACATAGAATGTGCTTATCCGTGGCGTACGATGTTCGCTTTAATTGGTTACGTCGGAGTGCGATTACGGTGGTGGTAAGGGTGTCGTTGTACATACCTCTTCCTTCAGGATGTCCACCGAGCGATCGGCGATGTGGCAACTACCTACGGAAGAGATGTTGCTTACGATAACAAACTATGTTAAACACACTTTGGGTTGAATGAGGCTACGCAGGCATACTTCCCGAATGGGTACCGTACCCAGACCGAGGTCCTCGCCACGACGGGAGTAGAGCGTAATAGGGGGCTTGGATTTCGACGACCAGGGAATAGGTAGAGATCGGACCGGGCTGTTGGGTGATGGCCCCTGATCGCCATACAAGAACAACGGCCCCATATAAGAGGACAGAGGTTCAGCTAGGGCTGAGTACAGGCGTACATAGGAAAATATGTGCGTAAATGATATATTTATAGAAATTGTCACAAGGCTGTGTTCACTTTATACAGGGCTTTCTTGTGGATAGGGTGTTAATGTCTCGAGTCCTTCTATGTAACCTCCAAGCTCCCCCATGTTTGAGGAGCGCTAGATAGGTAGATGTAGCCCCCATGACAGGTTGTAGAATATGAGTTGAGAGGGCTGGATTATCAAACCGTTGATGCATTCTAATATCCGGTACAACGCCTCCCCTAACCAGTTATAGAATGGCTTCAACACTGGTTGTTCCTTGCTACAGTCGATTGGAAATCTACGAGGTTAATAAGACGTTTCCATAGGCTAAATTTGAATGAAAATAGGTGAAATATGCATAATTGAAGTTACATATAATAGTAGAAATGAACAAATAACCACGTGGCGATATGATGGTTTGGAATGCGGCCCTCCGCAACCGAAAACGGGGCAGCAAAAGCATCTAGGAGGTCTAGAAAGGTGAGGATTGCAGTTTAATGAGCGCGCGTTCCTCGTCTCCGCCCCTTGTACTTCATCATTTGAAGCTCTAGCAGGCCTAGAACGACGTTGAAGGCGAGGGAAACACTCGACCGTTTCCGGATGTGGCCGCTGCGAGCCGGGTCCCTATGTCAGGTAAAAATGCTCGAGCTGGGGTGGGAAGATTGAGATCAGATGAAGAGACATAACAAAGAGAACCCTTTCAATGCTCAACTAATCGCTCATATTTCGGCAGCTTTATAAGAAACCACGAAGAGGATACCCTTACCGCACCGCAAGTCATTGGCCATTATCACCATGGAATCCCCCAGCCTCAAACGTGGGCGCTCTCCAACCATAGATCGCCAAGACAGAGACTCGTCCGCCGCGGAGGACGCACCCCCCTCCCCGAAACGGCAGATCGTAGGCGGCGACGACAGCAATGACGACGGCAATGTCGAAGACAGAGAAATTTTGTCCCCGCCGGGGGAGGGGGAGGAGCTCCTAGAGGCCATCTCATCCTCCCCCCCACCCGGAGAAAATGGCGAGGCCGAAGAAAAGACGGCAGAAGAGAACCAAGAACAAGAAGATATCTTCGCGTCCGACGAGTTCGACCCCAGAGCCACAGACGTATTACCCGAGGTCGCGTTACAGGCCCCTGCTGCCAGGTCAAGACCACTGGTACCATCCATTCCGGGTCCCGGCTATGTCCCCTATGAGGAGCCGGACTCCGGGCCGGCGTCGCCGACAGAAAGAGACCGGGAACGGGAAGATGCCATCGCGGCCTTTGGGTTCGACCCCAAAGCCGCGTACGTGTTGCGGGAAACATCCAGGAAAGCCCGCGCCGCCCGCGCCGCCCGGCCGAGACCAGCGGCGCCACCCTCGAGTCCAGGTCCCGGCTCTGCTTCCGATTCGGACCCCGAGCCGGCCGAGCCGCCAGCCACGCGCGGCCGGACGGCCGACGCCACGGTGCTGGCGGACCTGCGCGCGCAGGTGCGCGCGAACCCGGGCGTCCCGCCGGCGTTCGCCGCGCTCGACCTCGACCCGGCCATCGACGCGGCCGCGCGCCAGCGCCTGCAGCAGACGGCGCGCGTCCTGCACTTCGTCGCGCGCGCGCGCGAGGCCGGCGTCGCGCCCTACGACCTGGCCAACCTCGGCCCCGTCGTGGCCGCCGTGCGGCGCGACGCCGTCGCTGTCCCGCGCGCGGATCCCGACCTCGACGTGGCCGTCGGGGAGGGCCGCGTCAGCGGAGGGAGCCGCCAGACGGACCGCGACCAGGAGGGCGAAGAGGACGAGGAGGACGAAGAGCCAACGTTCGACTGGGCCACTCCCGAGGACCGCGCGCGCCGCGAGGCCGACATCGTGGCTGACGCGCTGCTGCAGCTGCCTGCGCGCACATTCGAGGCCGTCGCGCGCGGCGCCGAGCAGTATCGCGAGGAGCTTGCGACGCTCGGAATCAGGGTAGGCTGACGGTAGCCAGTGGAACTTGAGGGGCCGAAGGGGGAGCCGAAGCGATTCGTGTGGCGATGTATCGCCTTATACTGTGGGCGGGCAGCTTTTCATAGTGGAACACGGGATAGGAAGGCCAGTCAGTGATTCCCCAAGTATTGGTTAGATGGATAAGATGCGCATAGCGTGATGTAGACAGGCCATGGTTCTCGATATCCCACAATGCTCGCCTCCCCTGCGAAGGTTCTTCAATGAAAGTATACTTCGCAACTTCGTAACGAAGCCTTTAAGCAGCACTAACTACATAAATCTAGCGACACCGAAGCGTCTGGGGCCGTGTAGGCCGCGTTGTTTCCGACTAGGCTGGACACGAAAGACTGTATAGTAAGCGAGGCGACAGTAAGTATCGCGAGGCCCCATGGCCCATGATTGAATTATTGTTCTAGCTCTGAGTCGAGCCAAAGTAGCCTCTAAACTTAGTAGATGGTCTATTTTTGCTCTTCAGCCTTTGGCCGCGCCAGCCTTGATCAGTAGGATGTCGCCATCCTCTACGACGTACTCCTTGCCCTTGGTCATGATTTTACCTTTGGATTTGACTTCGGATTCGTCGCCTAGCTCTTTGAGGACATCGAAATTGTAGACTATGGCCTGGATAAATGTCTTCTCGAAGTCCGTATGAATGACACCAGCAGCCTGGGGAGCCTTGGTGCCAAGTCTGATGGTCCACTGCCTTACCTCGTCGGCGCCGGTCGTGAAGAAGCTGCCAAGATTCAACGCCTTCCGCATAGTCGTGATGATCTTGGGTAATGCTGACTCGATACCGAGGTTCTTGCACTCTGCGGCGGCTTCCTCGTCCGAAGCAAAACGGGTAAGGCGCTCCTCGAAGGATATAGAGATGGGTAGAATGGGGTCGCCCGCCGCGTGCTCCTTCATCCACTCGCCAATCTTTGACAGATGTTTATTCTTCTTGCGAGTGTAATCCTTCTCGGACAAGTTGACGAGGTATACTACCGGCTTTGCCGAGAGGAGTAAAAGGGTGTTGATGACTTCGACCTATTATTGGCGCGCGTTAGCTGCATCCGACGCCGGGTATGAGAGCGAGCATGGGTGCTAATTTTAAGCAATCAGAGCATGTTTCTTATCTCATGATGCACTCTGCGTTTGAATTATTGAGGCATTCGAAGAGCTGGGATTAGATCAGGCGCTATGGCCCTTATTCATCATACTGAACAAACCTGGAAAGGATAAGGGGAGTAGTCGGCTGCCTTACCTCTTTCGGTGTCCATGTGCCTTTTCGGACGTCTTTGCCATCTTTCAGCCACGCGAGGACCTTTTCTATCGTGGCCTCTTCCTCCTTGGCCCTCTTGAGCTCTAAGCTCTGACCGCCGACGCGAGTCTTCTTTTTGGAGTTCTCTAACGCCTTCTCGACAAACTCAATGTCCTTCAGTCGCAGCTCCTCCGCGATAATATCCAGGTCTCTAACGGGGTTAACATCACCCTCGACGTGGATGATCTCTGCATCGTCGAAACATCGGACGACTTGGAAGATGGCATCGACCGCTCGGATATGTGACAGGAAGGCGTTGCCAAGACCGGCACCCGTCGAGGCACCTCTCGTCAGGCCGGCGATATCGTAGATGGTCAGGTGGGCCGGGACGCGGGACTTGGGGTTGTACTTTTCGCACAGCCAATCGTAGCGCTCATCCGGTACGATGACGCGGGACTCTTCCGGGTCGATGGTGGCATAGGGGAAGTTCTACCCGTGCGCGGTTTTAGCTGAGGAGCGCGCCGTGCGAGAGGGCACAAACCTACGGCGGGGTTACCAAGGCTACACTTGGTAATAGCTTGGAACAGCGTCGACTTGCCGACGTTGGCCAGACCAACGATGCCGCTCTTCAAGTTGTTGCCCGGACGGCCGAGCAGGATCTTCTCCTCGACGACTTGCTTCTTGGGAGGCATTTTTCGTCGCTTGTTGGCGTAGAGGCGAGTGGAGATGTAGATTGCAGTGCAGCTAGGCACGAGGCGCGGGGTTAAAAATGCAGAGCTCGCTGCGGGGGTTCGAAAGGGGCTGAGTAGAGAAGCGAAAGGAAGGGGGGAGATGGAAGGAGACACGTTGGCTGAGGTCGGCTGGGACCAGCCTTGGGAATTAGAAGAGACGGATATCCGTGTACGGCGGATAGACGTATTGACTTCCAATGACCATTCAGGGGTATTGGCAGTCGACGGCTGCCCTCGTCGAGTGTGTTGTCGCGGCTTTGGCGCACCTTGTCATGCCTTTTGCTGTCCTATTCAGACCAAATCTAGCACTGAAGGTCGGTGCCAGTCTGAAGAGGGGCAGTTGGGAGAAGGGGGGAAAAAAAATTCTGTCGCGAATGGAAATTCTAGCTCCCATTCGCTAATGCCATAATGGGGCTTATGCGGATATTGAAGGGAAAGAGAAATTCGGCAATTCTGATGAACCGGCGTCTCTTTTTGGCTATGGGACGAGAGGCGTTATATTACCTAAGCCAAGCCTATGCGTGGACCTTAATAGGAGGTACCTAACCCACTTAAGTACCTTAGGTAGGTACCTGGGGTATCTGTGCTCGAAGATTGACGTTTCGGATTGTCGTCGGCGGTCAGCTATCAGGTGCCAGCCATTGGATAACCACCTGATAGACGCCGGGGCAGTGGATTGGATGCAACCTGGGCGAGTCGTCGGCCCTGTCGCTGTCAGCCTCTTCGGTGGAGCATCGGACAATAATCGCCCACATTCCCCGACCACGCCCCGAGGCGGCCGTCACATGATTGGACGACGAGGTGGTGTTGAACCCTACCCGTGTCCACCCCCCGATGGCTACGTAAGCTGGCCCGGCGCCATTACCAAGGTTAGAGGTACCCCCCCCCCCCATGGCCTCAGTTTTGTCACCAGTTTCAAGCCTCAATCCTGCCCATTACACCTAACTCTGGTCTTCTCTCACTGGACTGGGCTTGGTTTCCGCTTCGTTACGCAATGCGTGAGTACAGGTAGGCACCCTACAGCCTGGAGATGTCGGCGCGCAAGGTTGAGATTGGGTACTTAGCCTTATGTACCTACCCGATTGCACGGCTTGTCCCACTTATCCCGCAGCAACCCGAAGACCATGTACATAGAGGTATCCTACGACAGGTAGGCTTTACGTACACCTCAGGTACCTTTCCGTCATCCTAAGGCCATCGCCTTTCTCTCTCCCACACTTCCAGCTTTTCTCCCTCTATCTCGTCGCTGACTTGGCCTCCGGCGTCTCATCACCCTACCTACATTGCCGATCGCGCTTTGTCTTCGTGCTCCCGCTGCCCCCCCATCCCTCCAACTACTGTGTAGTCGGCTCATCCAACCAGCTCGAGGCTGCAATCGCCAACCACAGAGTTCTGTGCACGGCTCGCTCTTCCGGTTACTTAGCATGACTTGATACCTTTCTCTTGTATAGTATTCGTCTCGTCGTTGTCGTAAAATCTATCCTGCGCTTTGCGCCCGAATCATCCAGACCTCCCGCACTACGTGTTTGGCGCCCCGGAGGTACACCGTCACCGTCTACCTAACCTGCCTAACCGGCCTCCAAACCTTCAAACCCCCCGCGCCGCGCTGGATACGGCTCGTTGATACTTCTGCCGCCGATCCTTCTGTTACCTCGCCTGCAGACACCTGCATACATCGCTATTCGCCGCATCGGTGAGCATAAAGATGTCATCCAAGAAGTCGTCTCGGAGGACGTCCCGACAGTCCCATCGGTCAACATTGTCCCTATCGAGGACCGAAATCGTCATCAATGTCTACGATCTCTTACCGGTAAGCACATGGCTCAAACAATCATACCGTAGCTCTGGGATGCGGAGTTGGTGGTGTTACTATGTTGAGAATAAACTACCATGATCGTCATAATCTCTATTATCGTCATTAGTAGAGAGCAAGCCGTTCTAACCACACCGCACCATAGCCTGGTCGCCTCTCCTCGGTGCTCTGGACTATAGGCGCTTCGCTGCTGCATTCGGGCGTCGTGATCAACGGGAAGGAGTATGCCTACGGCGGACACGATCAGCGTGGTGTGACGGGAGTGTACTGGACGCGGCCCAAGTCCGAGCCGCCGGGCGGCAGCTTCCGAATCGAGCTCCTTCAAGGGTTCACCTTCGCGACACAGGCCGAGATCGACACCATCATCCGCCACGCCTCCGACGAGTTCGAGGGCACCGCCTACAACCTGCTCACCCAGAACTGTAACCACTTCACCAGCTACCTCTGTCAGAAGCTCACCGGTCGTCCCGGGCCTGGTTGGCTCAACCGCGCCGCCAACATCGGCGTCGCCCTTCCCTGCGTCGTCCCTAGGCACTGGATGGAGCCCCCCGACTTCGAGACCGCCGACGGCGAGTTGCTGCGAGACGACTACGACGACGACGGCTTTGACGCCCACGAGAGGACGAGGATGCTCCGGCCGGAAAACACGAGGAGACTCGCGACGGTGGACAGCGACGAGGAAGGGGAAGGGGCCTCGGGTTGGAACAGCGAAGAGACATACGAGCCAGGCAGAAATAACAAAGGAAAAGGCCCCGCCAGAGACTCGAGCGGACGAACTCTGCCGCCTGCAGAAAGGGCACCCTCGTTAGGAAGTAGGAATATGTCTTGAAGTGATACGATCTACGTCGAGTGGACGGGGTGTATGCATTTCGGGGGGCGTTTGTGATTACGATGTGGTGACCCGGTTGCTTCTTTTCCTGGCGTTACAGGGGGAATGTTTTGATTGATACCACAATGCCTGGTTTCCTCCCTCTCCCTCGGACTCCTCTAGGGATCGGCTCCAATCCCTTCTAGTGTAGATTGGATTCTTCAGTATGGTGGTGTGCATGGTATATTTGGCAGACATGTATATGCTAGGTATATTTGCGATCGTCCCTGCTTGCCGCGATCGGCTTCCCTCGCCTCTTCCTCATTCCGTACCGCGCATTCTAGTGCTTTAACCCAATCTCCTCGGCCCCTTGCTCCTCGTACCGCCAAACTTGAGCCTCGTGGCATCGGACACCTTGATGATCTTGTCGCGCAGCATGCGGCCCTCGTTGCCGAGGAGAACCTTGGTGGCGGCCTCGCGGCCGGGACCGAATCCACGGAGGACTACCTCCATAGCGGTGATGTTCTTGTGCCAGTTGCCCTGGTGCAGCTTGTCGATGACGAAGGAGGTGAGCTGGTAGGCGGCGTCGTAGCTACCGCGCTTAGACTTGCGGAAGCCGATGTTGCCGGTGGACATGGAGATGATAGCGTTGCGGTTCGGCTTCGTGACGGTGATGTGCGAGTTGTGCTTGTGGCTGTAGATGTGGAAGTGGAACGGCTCGGACGACGGGCCCCATTCCGGGCGAAATTTGTCCTCTTCGTCCTCGAGGAGCGTCTCAGCCGGCCGCCGCTGGTTGCGCGCCCGCCCTATCATGTCATTCACGAGGAGGCGCTGCAGCGCGGACATCTGGTTGCTGGTAGACCTATTGTTATCGGACGGCGACGGCATGGGCGGGCCCGTGGGCTGGTTCGACTGCGAGCTGCGCGCCGGCGTGAAACCTAAGAGCGAGGCCGGGCGCCAGGGTTCATCTTGTCGCTGAGATGTCTGGGAGAAGGGTCTTATGGGCTGCAAGGAGCAACCGCTGCGGGAGAGGGAAGATATGCGGACGCGGCTGGTCGCCAGCAGCCGACTGCTCGGTGCTCGACTCATCGCAGAGGCATGGGCTTAGGGCGCCTAGCAACAGACCGTACTACTCGGATGTAGAAGCCGGGCGAGGAGCTGGCGTATCGCCTCTAGTCTCTGCAGCCTTCAATTGCTCGACGTCGGTGGCGGTGGCCCCTCGACATCCACTGCGCGCGGGGATAATACTGAAGCTCGAAAATTTCATGGGACGGATTCGATTGGCATCGCGGACCGGGACGAGGCAGAATAAAGTGTAGCGGGTCAGAGTGGATAAGGGTGCGACGATTGGATCGACAGAATGGCGCTACCCGTATCAGGCTAGGGTGGGGTAGCCGGCAGCAATTTCCCGCTTCGTACTCCGTACCTTGGCTTAGGTGGGAGGATGCCGAAGGTAGAGGTATCTACTACTCCATGGACCCTTCGTCATAGTTAGTAAGCCGCATCGCTCCATTCGGATCTGGGCTTGTAGCTTCCAGTTAGCAGGTGCCTACCTAGTTTTTCTTTTTTTGCCGCTGTCGTCCGCCTTTCGCCTTTCCGCCATCACCGTTTGCGATCATCTTCCACACACTCGTCCCTCCTACCTCTCCTTCCCTCCGGCGGCTGCCTCCCTAAGGATCCTGTTCTTCGCAGCCTCTCCGGGCCCTCCTCTCCCCGCCGACCTCGCAACAACAGAATGCCTTCACTTCGACAAGTTTCGCGCAGCCTGCCTCCCGGCGCCTTCCTCGGAACCCCGCCATCCACCGCTTACTCCTACGGCAGATCCCCAGCGTATAGACGGCTACCATACAGCCTCGAGACCTCCAGGCCAACTAGCGGCCGTGTAGCGCCATTCTCCGTCCTGCGACCTCCCCAACCGCCAGCTTTATATATGAGGTCGCCATTCCTCCCTGAGACCATAGCGGCCGTACAATCACGCAGCCTTCACCAGGCGGCAAGATGGTTTCAACGGTCCGCGCCGCCCCCCAAGACGGACGCTAAGCCCGGGCAGCCAAAAGACACCTCCGAGAAAGCCGCGTCCGGCGCAGAATCCGAAGCCAAGGCCGAATCGGGAGAACAAGCGAAGGAGGAAGGCGAGCACGGCAAGAAGGAAGAGAAGAAAGAGGAGAAGAAGGAAGACCTGCCTCCCCCGCCTCCCCACGGCGACAAGACGCCTTGGCAAGTCTTTATGGAGACGATGCAGACCGAGTTCAAGGCTTCGAAGGAATGGAACGAGTCGACTAAGCAGCTCGCCGACTCGGCCCATTCGTTCACCGAGAGCGAATCGGTCCGCCGCGCGAGGCAAGCCTACGAGAATACTACCGGCGCCGTTTCTTCGACGGCAGGGAGAGTGCTGAAGTCGTCGGCTACTGCTGTCGGAAAAGGCGCCGCTTGGACGTGGGAGACGCCGGTCATGAAGGGTGTTCGGAAGGGCGCGAATTTGACGGGCGACATCATCGATAAGGCGACCAAGCCCTTGAGGGAGACCGAGGCATATAAGAATGTCAAGGACGTCATTGACGACGGCAGCAGTTCCAGGTACGGCGGTTGGGTCGAGAAGGAGGAACGGAGGAAAGCTAGGGAGCTACGCGAGAAGCAAGCTCGCTCTATCCACGGCAAGACGGAGGATATGGTCGAAGATCCCAAGTATGTGTTCTCGGCCGTGGCCGCTACGGTACACGGCGAATACTGACAATAGCACCTAGTGCCGGGACGAACATCACCCTGCATAAGGATGCTGCTTGGAAGGAGGCGTGGCGCGACTTCCGAGACAAGAACAAACTCGTGCAGGGCTTGTTCAGCATGAAGAGCGTATATCAGGAGTCGGAGAACCCCTTGATTTCAACGGCGCGGAGTATAACCGATCGCGTTGCCGGATTCTTCGCGGAGAACGAAACGGCGATGGTGATTAGGAAGTTCCGCGAGATGGACCCCAATTTCCAGATAGAGCCGTTCCTGCAAGACATGAGAGAATACATCTTGCCCGAGGTCCTCGACGCTTACGTCAAGGGGGACACCGAGACGTTGCGGGTTTGGCTCTCCGCGGCCCAGTATTCGGTATACGAGGCCTTGACGAAGCAATATCTCCAAGCTGGCTTGAAATCCGACGGTAGGATCCTAGACATCCGACACGTGGATATCCTAAAGGCCCGCATGCTCGAGCCGGGCGACATCCCGGTTTTCATCATAACCTGCCGAACACAAGAGGTCCATGTCTACCGAAACGCCAAGACCAACGAGCTTGCCGCCGGTATGGAAGACAAGGTCCAGTTGGTGACATACGCGATCGGGATCACCCGTACAGCCGAGGACGTCAATAACCCCGAGACGAGTGGATGGAGGTTGATCGAAATGCAGAAGAGCAATAGGGACTATTACTGAAGCGTACCGCCACCTTCTTTCTTCTCCTTGCCCCCGACTCTACGATTACGAGGAAACTACGCCGCGATGTCCACATGTTTTAGTATTGTATATTATTTGACCCCTTGGCGCACGAGGCGACTCGCTATCGACTGCGACAGGCAGTCTACCCTACACGCCACTCCATAACGGTTTTCATCTACGGCGGCCCCGGCGTTAGGCGACAGCAGTATTGGTCGTATCGGGCAATGTATGTATGATATAGGCTCGAAAAAAAAGGGTGCATATATGGGTGGTATCACAGATGGAGGACGATCATGTATCAAACCGGGCGATATGCCACAACACCAGATAATACCAGCAAAGCCTAGCTGGCCATTCTTATATTTTATTTGTTTCCCGCTTCCCCTTTCGTGGTATATTGCTTTCTGGCTCCCGGCAACGAGCTGGGGGGTATGTTATGACGACATGCAACCATCGACACGGCACACGTTTGGGACACGCATCGCGTGAAGGCCTAGGTAGCGGCATGTCTTGGAACTTTCATTAAGACCTACTAATTTGTTTGCGGGAATGGTCTCTTCTGAATGAATTGATTACAATACCGCGGAAGGCGACGAGTAGGGACTTTTTAAGTCTCACATTTCTAGATACGCTCCCTGCTCGGATTGTTACGTATGAAGAGTAACCTGGCGAAACGCGTAGGTTTCTCAGAGTACGTGTATACGTAGTTCTCATGAGACAGCGGACCCGTCAGATGAGCTAAATAGCGAAGACTACCAAGTAGCGCTGTTAGGAATCGAACCTATCCTTCGTTAAGTAACCTACTGATCTCCGTCCAGCTATAATACAGGTACCTAGGTAGGGGTAGCTACTAATCACCCGTTACTGCAATAACTCGTGTATATCCATAGATAACCCAGCATAGCTTTTGAGACGAGCAGCATCAAAATCTCCCCTTGGGAATTTCTGGCCTGTTTCTTCTCATGCAACCCCTGGTCTTCACTCCCGAACCTCAATGCTCATATGTATCCATCAAGCAACCGGACGTCCATGCCGCTGATCACCCACCATCGTTGGTGATCGCCGAATCACCCGGAATTGCATCCCCCGGAGCGAGACGAGGAGCACAGTAATAACTCAACACCCACGGCTGCTGGCCCAATGCGCTTCCGACCTCCCAGCGCGCGGGACGCCCTCAGCTTACCCGGCATCCGTGCCTTTCTTCTCCTCACTGTCTTCGTCTCGCTGTATTTGATATACGGGTCGTTGTTCTTCTACCGCGATCCCCTCTCCATATTCTTCTCCGAGAAACATGGATTCGATCGCATCTACTCCGTAACCCGGCAGGCCGAGGCCGACGAGTTCTTCGATGCTGCCGTAGGCAATCCCGACCGAATAGAAAAGCAGATAGGGAAGGCCGGTGCCAGCCCCGAGGTATGTGCTGTGTTCCTCACCGTAGGGAGGAATATGGAAGGGCGGCAGTATATCGAGAGCGCCGTGGGGTCGTTCCTGGCCAACATATCGCGCGCCGAGAGGGAGTTGATACACCTCAAGGTATTCTTCGCCGACGTCCCGGACCCCAGCACGCAGCACAAGAGCTATGCCACGATGATCGACGCCGGCCTCGCTGACGAGGTATTCACGTACAATTCTACGTTGCGAGCAAGTGAAAAGAGCCGCAAGATTGAGGAATTGACTAAGCTCGCCCAAGATCGCCTTAACAAACACGCGCTCGAGAGGAAGACGATATTCGACTACGCCTACGCGCTCAGTCGATGCGTGCAAACGACCGACGCACCCTACATCGCGGTATTCGAGGGCGATATCTTGCTGGCCGACGGCTGGGCCGCCAGGACGCTGAAGAACCTACACAAAACCGTGCTGATCATGAGGGATCCCAGGCGACGGGACCCCGAGAGGGGCCAGGTCCAACCCGGCGTGCCGAACAGCTGGCTCTACCTACGGCTGTTCAACCAGGAGCGAAGCACCGGGTGGGCCGGCGGGACCGGATTCTTCAGCAACAACGTGCACGTCATCTCCGCTATGGTGAGTATCCCGCTGCTCCTCGTGCTCCTCCTAGCGCGAAGGCAGCTACCGCGCCACGTGGCCCGGCACCTCGACGGGTGGGCGCTGCTGGTCATCTGCGGCCTCGAGGTGCCCCTGGGCCTATGGCTCTTCTTCGCGTCGGGGAAGGCGTCGCTCGTCGGCCCGCGGCCGGGCGTGCGCGAGGAGTTTTTCGGGTGCTGCAACCAGGCGCTCGTGTACAACCGGGAGCACGCCGGAGACCTCTCGGACTTCATGGCCGTGGCCTCGGGGCGCGAGGCGCCGGGCCGGAGCGACATGCTGCCGAAGCAGTTCGCGTGGGAGCGCGGCCTCGCGCGGATGAGCGCGTACCCGATGCTCGCGCAGCACTCGGGCCGCATCAGCGCCATCGACACGAGCAACGACGAGGCGAAGCGTGTGTGGAGCATGGCGTTCGAGGACCTGAAGCCCCTAAAACTGGCCGACGACCATGTGAGGGACGTTTGGGACATGTTCGGTGACGACGCTGTCGACGGCATGGAGCGGCAGCGGTCCAACCATTATACGTAAGGCGAATACTTCGTCGATGCGCTTCGAACTGTGATTTTTCGTTTGGCTTATAACCCCATGCTCGATACCCTTTGCAATTATATACGTATGACTGATGAGTGCTCAAACCCGGAGCGACTCCTACTTGTTAAGACCCTCTAGATATAATTCTATTTGGCACGTACGCACGCTCGTGCTGTATGAGAATAGCATCAGGTGAGGTCGGTCTATAGAGTACATTATGCTACTTGGCGATCAGCCGGCCATTAGGAATACATTTCTGGAAGAGAAAATGGTCCCTTTTTTTCCGTTACTCTTGGTATGCGAGGAGAATACCGGTTTCTTAAACTCTAACCCGCCCGTCACTTAACTACTAGGCGCTGTGGCGGAGTGGTCTAACGCGTTAGACTCGAAATCTAATTCCTTCGGGAGCATCGGTTCGAATCCGATCGGCGTCGGTTTTATTTTAGTTTTTTTTTTCAGCTTTATATTATCTTACATTATTACCCCCTCTTTCTTTTTTTAAATTTAATCTAGGCTTCCTTTCTTTGAATTTTATCTTATTTTATTAAATTGTATATTTTTATTATTTTATACAGCCTTTCGAATTATACTCGTTCAATACACGTATTATATAGTTAACATCTTTTTATATTTCTTTAATTTAAAGCTTTTGTTATACGTTTTTTTAAATATGGCTTCTTAAGTGAGGTCTTAGAAGCTAGGTATAATATTAATATTTAGATAGCAGGTTATTGTAGTTACGGGGTTATTAACCTTATATATAGTAATTAACTAAGATATATTACTTAGCTATTGGTATTATAAGGTAATAAGTACAAGGTTAAAAATTCTTACATTCGACGCCCTCTTAACTTAACTATTTCTCTTAACCTAAATCCGCTTGATATTCCGAAGCCAAGCGATATAAAGATAGCAGAGATAGGCTTCCGCCGATAGGTAGATTTAAGTGATATTACCGTAGTACCGGCTGTGACTAAGCATATCACATTTTGCGCGTAGCATGCATCTTGACGACTGGGAGTGGTTTATGTGCGGTCACATCGGCCTCGTCGACCCCATCAGTCCCTGCAAAGCGGCAGATAGGTAACATCCCTATGGCGGCGCGGCGCAGGCCCTAATGCTCTCGGAAGAGAGGCATTTGCGACGTAGAATTGTTCTCAAAACATGTGTCGTTCCCTTGATTCCATCTCTCAATGTGGCGCCCGAATATATACCTATGAGTACTCCTATTCACGATTTGCACCGGGCTTCACACAGTAAGACATCTACGCCGAGGTTACGGTGCCAGCATGTGCGCCATTAATCGTCTACGCTCACGCGTTTGACTTTTCCCGCCGATGCCTGATCGATGAACCGCGACGGATGAGTTGTTGCGGGTGGTGGCGACTGGCTAGGAGCAAGGATTAGAGAGGTCTTACTCCACACGCTCAGCCATGCCAGGCAGCTGGATGAATCGACCTACTACATAGCAGTTCGCTTGGTTATGGCCTACGAGATCGGCGGCATGCAGGGGTAAGTTCTGTCTTAGTTCCAGCATCGCAGAATTCAGCCATGTGGATGGCTAAAAGTCGAGGCTGGTAAATCCACAAGCTCGAAGCCACGACGGTCTCCAATAGGCCCGACATGCACGCGCCTCAAAACAAACATGGCCAGCCAACCACATCTGGGATCTCGGTGACGCACCCCAAGTCGTAAAACGGGGGCTTGGTGCCCGGCCTATCACAGCAGCTATCAGGCGTGGCGAACGAATGGGTAGCCTTAGACCTTAGGGCGAGCTTGGACGACTAGGCCTTCGGATGTCGATCAGCGTTTTCACGTTCAGTTCTCACGATCCTCGCGGCCCCAGCTAGCCTGGTGATCACGTTACGCCGACTTCACGACAAAGTACCTGTCTGCCTGATTCTTCCATCTCTTCCTACCGCCCAACTCCTCGTCGGATCGTGGTAACACTCTGGAGACACGCCGCGGCCGGCCTTAGCAGCTTCGAATGCGGTCTTCCTCCTCGGGGCGCGTGTCCGTCCCACCCAGGCGGCGGTTACAGAGAGCTCTAACACCGCCCCCCGCCTACACGGAGCACGACGTTGGCCTGTCGACCCAGCTAGTCCCTTATGTGCAGAACGTCCCGAACGAGCCGGAAGAGGCCCCGCGGCCCGCCGCATCAGGGAGCACTCGCTGCCAGTCGACCTTCTGCTACAAGACCCCGGCCGCCGGGAGCAACTACTGCCGGAAGCACGAGTGCGGCTCCGAAGGCTGTATCGGCCGCAAGGGGAAGGGCCGCGGGAAGAATTACTGCTCGGAGCACGAGTGCCGCTGGCGAGGCTGCGACGAGTGCAAGGCCTACCCCTCAAACTACTGCGTGCGCCACACCTGCCACCTCGACGGCTGCGACGTGCCGAATATCGATGGCGGGTACCAGTACTGTGAGGCCCACACGTGCCGGACCTGGCGATGCCCCGGCCTCCGCGAGCTGCCATCGCGGTACTGCGCCAAGCACCGATGTCGCGCCGCCGGCTGCGACCGGGGCTTCCTTAAGCCGGGCGAGTTTTGCGTCGGCCACAAATGTGAAGTAGAGCGATGCCGCGCCGCGAAACAAGAGGGCGGCGGCAGCCTGTGCGCGCGGCACGAGTGCGTGGTCCCTGGCTGCGGCGGCCGGCGGTTTGAGAAGAGCCAGTGCTGCGGGACGCACAAATGCGCGGCGAAGGGGTGCGTGGAGGGGCAGGTCGAGGGTTCCGGCCACTGCGCGCGACACAAGTGCCGGGTATGCGAGCGGGCCTGCGTACCAGACAGCGGATTCTGCCGCCGCCATAAGTGCCGCGACGCGCGGTGCGCGCATGCTCGCGAGGCCAACTCGACATGGTGTGCGCGGCACGTCTGCCAGTGGACGGGGTGCGGAGAGTCGGCGCTGCAACGCAACGGCTTCTGCGGCGACCACACCTGCGCCGTCGAGGACTGCGCCCAGCGCATCAACCAGGTCGACGACCACGTCGGCGACTACTGCCTCGCCCACACGTGCGCCGAACGAGGCTGCTTCCACCGCACGTCGCGAGCCGCCTACTGCACCGAGCACGAGTGTCAGCGGCGCACCTGTCCCAACCCGCGGTTCTGGAGCGACGAGGGCGACAGCGAGCAGCTCCCCAAGGAACACAAGTGTTGCCGAGACCACACGTGCGTCCTCGAGGCGTGCTACGCGCCGGCCCTCCGCAACAGGGTGTTCTGCGAGGACCACGTCTGCCGGTTCGCAGACGGCTGCATCTCGCCGCGGGCGCCAAACCTGACGTCCTGCGAGGCCCACCGGTGCCTCGTGGCGCTGTGCCGGGACCCGTGCGTCCCCAACAGCGTGTTCTGCGAGAGCCACGTGTGCGCTCGCCGGGGAGGCTGCACCGATGGCCCGGTCGAGGGGGGGCGGTTCTGCGCGCGGCACACGTGCGCTCGCCACGGGTGCGTCGAGCGCTGCGGCGACGGCGGGTTCTGCAAGGAGCATGTCTGCGCCTGGGAGGCGGGCTGCCTGGACGGCCGCGGCGGCCCGGAGCAGCTCTACTGCGACGCCCACACGTGCACGCAGAAAGACTGCCTCGAGAAGTGCAAGGGGTCCCAGGGCCTCTGCCCGGCGCACGCCTGCCGCTGGAGCCACACCTGCGTGGGCGCGCCGTCGGGCTCGGGCGACTACTGCCAGCGCCACACGTGCGCGAAGACGGGATGCGCCCGCGCGAGCGTGGCCGAGGGCAGCCTGTGCAGCCGCCACACCTGCTCGTGGGACTCGACGATCTGCCTGCAGCCGCGGTGGAAGCGCAGCAACTACTGCGAGGAACACACGTGCGGCGAGATGGGCTGCGGGTTCGCCCGGACCTCGGGCGGATCGTACTGCCTCGACCACTCCTGCCAAGCCTCGCGATCGTGTACGGGACAGGCCGAACCGGGCAGCGATTACTGCATCGAGCACAAGTGCAGTCGGCCGAACTGCCGCCTGAGGAGCGTCGGGGACACTCAGTACTGCAAGAACCACAAGTCGCTGAACCATACCATCGCGACGCATAATCTGGCCAGCCTCCAAAGGTAAGAGAGACCTTTAACCCCCACATCCCCCCCTTTCTTCCTTCTCTACTAGAAGAACTGTAACAGGAACTAACGAACGCAGTTTTCGGTCGCGGAGCGGCTACCAATTCATCGATCCTCTCGTCGCGTCGTCGCTCGTAGGCGGCGAGACGCCGCGGGAGAAGAATCCGCGATATTCGACGAGGCGGCGCGAATGGGTATGAGCATATGACGGATACGAGGGTATGAGACCGGAGCAAAACTTCATGAGAAAATGGAGAATGTAGGCATATTGACTGGGATTTACAAGGTTTGGGTAGGGCATGGGCATGGTTGATGTTTGATGATATCCCCCGCCACAGTATTTACCCACGGGCATCTTTTTAGGAAGCGAAGTCTGGTAAAAAAAAAATTTGTACCTTGAAAATATTATTTCCACCCCTCCTCGCCCTCGGAACCCGCGGACCTAGCTCAGCACAACGCCCATCTCCGGCCTGGCTAGTACAGCGGCGGCAGACGACAGCAATAACCGGCCAAGAAACCAATCCATCCGCCTCCACAGTGCCGCCCGGGAAAACGCAACGGGACCCCCTTCATTATCGTCTCGCCTATGCACCTCACGCAACAAGGTTCCGACGCACAAGCCGACCCGGCTGCGGGGACGGGTCGCTCAGGAGCGCGAGCTGCTCGGGGCGGGCGCCATCGTAGACGACCAGGGTGACCTTGATCCAGGGGCGTTCGTCATCGTGGACTTTTTGAGGGGGTTGGGGGTTAGCAGAGACTCTCTGTCTTGGAAGGAAGGGGGGTTCGCTCACTTGTGGTGCCCGAGGGCCGCCAGCGGAAGTCGTAAAAGCCGTTGAAGGGGCGGACGCCGACGTCGCCGCCGAGCTCGAGGTCGCCACGCGACCGCACTTTCAGCTCGACCTGCAAGTCGTCGGTGACAGGGTTGCAGCCGTAGACGACGTCGAAGACGGCGCGCGGGTCGCCGCGTTCCGTCATGAACATCTTGGTGGTGTTGTCGCGAACCTCGTACTGGCGGGGGGTGGTTAGCTGGTCCGCCGCAGCTGCGGGTTCCAGTGCGGGGACTTACCTCGCCGTTAATGACGATGCGGCGCGGTGGGTCCCACGGGAGGGTGACGACGCCGTCGACGAGGGTCAGCTCGGAGGTAGCGTTGCCGCCGGGGCTCACGAACAGGTGCTGGTCGCCGCCGCCCCAGTCCCAGATGTTGAGGAACTGCTGGTCGATCTGCGGGTACGACGCGTTCTGCAGCCGGACTCCGAACGGGCCCGGGATGTTGTTGGGGAGCTCCCCCGGCGGGATCTCGCAGGCTGCGGCCGCGCTGGCGAGGCCGAGCGTGGCGGCAGAGAGCCGGGTGAGGCGGAGAACACGCATTTTGCCTTTTTTTTCCTCTCCGTTTCTGTCTCTGGTTGGGTGTAGTAGAGGGTGAGGATGCAGAAGTGTTGGTGATAGCTCTATAGTGATAGCTCTGTGGTGATAGCTCTGCGGTGGTATCTCTGTGGTGGCAGCTCTGTGGTGGTTTCGCTGTCGCGTTCTCTCCCTCCCGCACGCGGCCTATTTATAAGGACAATTCGTCGAAGCGTCGAGAGATGAGCTGAGCGCGACGGGCGACCGATGGTACTTGCCAAGGTCTGTATACGAAGTTTATTGCATGAGGTTACCTCCGAAGCTGTCGACCTAGCGGAAGGATGGCAGCGTTGGATCGAGACGGCCGCTACGTCTTACCTGCAGTCGAGTGGCGGGCTGACGGGCGTAAAGGCGCGTTCCCAGGCTACAACCCGCGAGCCCGTTATTCCTCCGCTGCGCCTATAACAATAACGAGTTCCTACCTGACTTTGCCCTTCTCGTCTGGTTAATTTGGCAGGATCAGAGCCTGCCTATTCCAGACTCTTAGATTAACGGCTCACCTGAAGCATGCGCAACTCGCTCAACCTTGTCTAGCCCTAGTCCGCCCAGCGCACATCGCCGGTTCAGTCACCGCGAGTTCCCCGAAGCTGGCAGCCTTAGGAACATCTGTTGGATCAGTTGCGTGGAACATAGCACCGTAGTTCTCTCCTATTGTTTCCACTCTTGGGAGAAACGTAGAGCTGTGCAGGCCTGTACCTTCCCACATGGCCTAGCAATGACCGCTCTGCAGCCAGGAACGTTGCAGTATCGTCTAAGAGATTCCGCGATACGAATTCGCGTGGTCGTATTTCGACCAGGGACAGTACTCAGGCAACGGTCGTAAACGGAGGTCAAAGCGCCCGCTGCTACTAATAGCCAGCATCTTTCCGAGCTCCTGGGCATATATATCGGCGCAATGTCTCTCTTCGAGACCGCCGTCGCGGCCGTGCATGCGACAGCAGGAGCTGACAGGAGATGAGAAGCAGGGAGTGCGGCTGTGATCAAAGGGGACATGGCGGGGTTGTGCCGTGCTGTTAACAGGGCAGAAGACTGATCGCACACAACCCTACCCGACTGGACAAGGCTGGGGCGGGCTCGATGTCGGAGAGGCCACTGATGAATCGATGTCTCTCTACATGTCTCTCTACCTGTCTCTCTACGTAGAGGTACCTACGTAGCCAATCTGGTAGTGGTGAAGGTAGGTTACATAAGCTATGCCTACGTTGGCCGGGCCGGGAAGGTGCTGGCAACCACGGGCTACGTGATGGGGCCGAGGCGGAAGTTGCCGGGCCGGAGTCGACAGACCGTACGGGCAAGCGCGTCGGGCAAGCGCGTCGGGCAAGCGTGGGTGGTGGCAACTTACCTGTACATGATTAGTCAATACTATTCAATATTCTATCGCCTGGGCAGGTGTTATCCGGGCGACTAGTAGGCCAGCAACTGCACCTGCTCGTGAGAGAGGTTTCTGCTGGCAGAAATGTCCACCTACATAACAGGCACCTAGCATATCTAGGTATTACGTATAACACAATATTTCCCCTGGCGATGCCGAGACGGAGCAGACTGTGCCTCTGCTTATGTCGAGCTGGCTGAGCCGCGACAGCGAGTTAATCACTTCGGCAACCAAGCGAAGCTCTCCTTTCGAGGGCGACACTTCTTCAACGTAGGTGAGGAGTCGTCTCCGTACCGCTACCGGCTGGCTTCACCCTCCTGGCTAACCCAGTACCCAGTCTTCAACGTCCAACGCCCCCGGGCTGCGGTCCCCTGCCTCTCCGACCGACTACAGCCGCGACACCTTCGTTATAGAGCAACTTCCAGCGATGGCGCGGCGACTGTGGGCGGGATAACAGCCAAGTAATGAGGTTCCCAAAGACGACATGGGCTGAAGAGGGCGTAGGAGACTGAGCCCCGGGGCCAAGCGGGGAAGCGACCGCCACTTCTGATACCGGGTCAAATCGCTGAGCTACCCGGACCCCGCCTAACACCTAAAGAGAACCGCCGTATCAAGACCTCCCTCAGTTAATACTCCAGTCTTTCGAACGACCTCGTAGGGCGCCTGCAGCCGTCTATTTCGTGTAGCGAATACATCGTGGCGAGCGCCATGTGGCAGGGAGGGGGATAATACACATAGGTAGGAGCCCTTGGCTGTCACCCTTGAGGTCAAATGGCCAGTTTTGCCCATTTTGTCTGACCTTCTATCCTCCAGCAATCATCCTCGCTATCCCCTACTTAACTTATCGGCGACTAACTACCCGCACAGGTTTCCTCGGCCCAACTCTCCGTATACATCCCTCTCTTCCCAGTCTTACTCCCCAACGTCAAGCCCCAGCTTGTCCCCTCAACTGGCCCAGACAATTCCAAACAGGCCGTCACGAGAAAACAAAGGTATTCGCCTACATTGTCAGTTTCCAAGAGACACCTCCGTATAGAGTTATGGGTCTCGCAGTGCTAACTCAGCAAACTTCACAAAGCTATTACGAACCAGCCCTTCCATCACGACAATGATAACTGCAACTCGGATATGAGAGTCAGAGAGAAACGAAAATCGCCAAGATTGTCGTCGGCTCGAAATTATACTCGTCATTGCTTTAGGGATGGAACGGAACAAACTATGTTATGACGTTACGCGCTTGTTCTGATAGGGAGACGGGTTGTCTTCCTTGGATACATCTGATGTATTACAACGCTTCGAAAACGGTGCCCTCCCGAGGTCACCAGAACAGCAAGAGGACTCTCCTTTCCCACAATTCACATAGGTAGACTCACCATTTTCTTTACTTTTGTACAACTCTCCCATTAACCCATCACACATAGTCTGTTCACATTCATTTTCCAGAATAACATGGACATCATCTCTGTTCCCCAGGGGCTCTAGTAATCGCGCATAGACTAGTCATCGATGTAAACCAACCGACGCACAGCACCTGTTACTGAAAAGCAGATGAAAACTCGACCACAGTGCCTTGAATCTCTATGATCTGAACAATGGAAACACATGACAACAATTCACCATGGATTGTTCTTTCCCAGTAGTATATTTATTTTCATCTCCCATGATGGCACCTCCACGCAGATACCTGGGATATCATACTTCTCTATACCCATCAACTACACTACGCCTTCTTCTACGTCCCTCGCAACTCAGAACCATCACCAACACGGTCGTCGACTCCTCACTCGAGACTATCCCGCAGCCCAATTCGATTCCTTACTTAGGACCACACAGCACGATCTTGAGGCGATCAAGACACCATGCCGAAGGAGAGCCACAGTCGCAAGCAGGCCCCTGGCCCCCAAGCTGAAGATTCGGCCAAACCATACACCAGATGCCAATGTATCTGCTCTAAGGGCAGCGAGAAACATATCACCTTGCCTTCCGAAGTCGTCACGCTTCCCGGTGACGGGAGGAAGATATGCGGCGGGTGCCACGACCGATTAGCCTCGGGCATGGGGACCTGCGGGTAGTGGACTAGCGAGCCTACGCAAGATCCCCAAGAATCCGGGCCTATAGACGCTAAATGGACTCAGATACGGGGTGCGTCCTCGGAAGAGCTCCCTTGTGGCCTTCGCACGGCTAGAGGGATGTCCGCATCTGCGGACCTAACCACCAAGGGGGCTGGTTCACCGCCAGACTTTTTCAACGAATGCGATGGTATTAGTTCCGGGCGGCTTCTTGCCTGAAGCAGAGAAGCGGATATAATAGATTTATCCGCGAGGTTACTACTACTATTAGACGAATAAACATCTATGCCTTTATCTATGTGTCCTACCTAACTAACATGTCTATGTAATAATTCTTCCTTAACTACTGCCGCCATGGTGAATATTCGTTGCCATCTGAAATTAGAGACCTCTACACTTCACTATTTAGTGTTGTAATAGGCTTTTATATGTAGGTATATCAGCATTCCACGCGCCATTGGCTAGGGAGAAATTATGGCGGCCTTTGTTGACGGGTGCATATGCTGACCTCGAAGGTCATTGCTAGGCATTCAGCCCTACGGCAGCGTTAGGCAACCCGCATGCGAGGCGACAAACCAGAATAGCAATGACGAGTCGTGAAGCCGTCCAGCGGCACTCCACCCCCTTTCCCCCTATTCCACTGCCGCCGCGATCAACCCACCATGACCCCGGGACGCGATTCGCGACCACACACAAGGGCCTATATTTCCCCGTAGACATATATATATACGTTTGAATGGGGCCTGAGAACGGTCTCCCGGACCTTTATTAACCCTAGCTATCAGCCCTCGGGGCGCCTCACCCCTAGCCGTCGCTGCGCCGACGAACGCGTCGTCACGGAAAGATGCGCTCCCGGCCCCGCACCGCGCTGGCCTGGGTCCTGGCGGCGGCGCCGATCCTCGGCCGCGGGGCGGCGCTCGAGCGGGTGACGACCGACCTCGGGCCGAACCTGGGCAACGTGGGGTCCGATCTACATCTACCTACGTACCAGGCCAGCTGGCGGCCCAAGGTGCAGATCTTCCACGGCGCGCCGGCTGGGCGACGCCAACTTCGGTAAGCAGGCCAAGCAGCGGACCGCGGTGCCGGGCCAAGGCGACGCCCCCACGCGTGCTGTCCCCGGCTGGAACAAGTACCTCTGCGGCGACGGCGGCCGGCTCCAGGCCCACGGCGCGGCTGGCGTCTCGCACAAAGTCTAACACCGGGAGGCGGTCTTCATGGAGTGGTTCGACCTCGCCCACACCTGGGACGGCTGCTTCCAATGGGGGAAAGGAAATCCGATCGCTGCGCAGTAACGAGGGAAGGGGGCGGGTTCGAGGGTCGTTTGGCGGTCGCTATTCTGTGTATTAGTCTTCGCACAGATGGGTCTGCTCGCCTCGTGGGCCATCGGTTCGGGGATTTCTCTGGGAAATTAGGATCGCGTCGACCTGCGAACGCCACTCTCCCTGACACTCCTTTTATTCGCGTTCCGGGTATAGTCTTGCATCCTGCATCGTCAGCAGGCGTCCCCATCTGCGTATCTGGGAGCTGGCATGCTACCCGCCTAATTGCCTTGCGGCAAACGCGGCAGCTGGATGGCCTTCTGCGAAATGTAATATGGCGAGTTTACTCTTCTGGTTGTCGATTACCCCGTAAAATACCAGCGCTAGGGGATTTCAGCTTGATCGCCTGCTACTGCTAGCATGTCTGCGCGTCCGTGAGGTGTCTCGTCTCTGTGACGGCGGGCCCGGGAATTAGGCGACTATGAGGTATTATACGCGGCTTGAACAGCACTACTCGGCTTGGCGGTATTAATATACTACCCGCAGCGTCACATGGCTTCTCCGTTACTAACGCCATCGCGGATATAAACCTCGTAGCGCCGTCAAGTCCAGGTTTTCTGGGGTTAAGCACGGAGATACCTACGGCGAGCCGTCGTCAGTTGTTTTCAGTGGATAGGCGGCAGAACTTGGATCGGTCGTTCGGGCAAATTCGCCGGATGTCGCGGGGGGAGGGAGACCGCATGGGTAGTAGTAGGTTGCAGGTTCGCTTCAGCGCCTGTGGCATGACACATCAACATCTCGAGGAGGCGATGAGTCCGCGTAGCCACTTTATATGCACTCGATACGAAACGCCGAGGCGGCCGAAATGGTATTACGCAGCCATTTCAAAGCCCGCGTTTCCATCTAGTTTCGACGGTAGGCTATAACAAACGGGAGGCATCAAGTGAGCCTTCTAGAGTTGTGCTAACGAAACTGACCGGGGTTGCGGGGTTTGTTCTCACCCCTGTCTGTCCATCTGCTGGCCCTCGTCCCATCTCATGGGCACTCCACTCTCCTACCTCTCTCACGACTATCATGGGTAGGATGAGGCTTCATCACTAGGTTACGACCGGGAAGGGCACGGTTGCCGGAAAAGCTGGATGCATGCTAAGGTGGGATTTGATTCAGGAGCAGAATGCAGTTGCTGATAAATCATTATGAGGAATACCTATAGGCGCCTGGGTGGTATAACCGGTTGCGAGGGGCGGGCCGGGAGGTATATATTAAGGGTCCGTCTCCAGCCCAGCTCCCTATTATCCTCATAGTTCTGTCTAAGTTAGCGAAACGTCCCAACATCCGCTGTTAAAATCACGAACGATGCCGCCCCCAAGAGGCTCATACAACCCCATAGAGGGCCCCGGTATGCTCCGCTATCAGACTCGTCAGTATGGACGTCCATTTGGATTACTGACACACCCGCAGGTGACTACGATACGACTACCGTGGTGCACGACGACAGCTACCCCGCTATCGACCCTCTCAAGGCCAACTTCCATGGAAAGGCAGTGCTGGTCACCGGCGCCAGCAGGGGCTTGGGCAGGGCGATGAGCGTCTCGTTCGCCAAGGCCGGCGCGTCGATGATCGCCATCGCCGCGCGGGGCGACCTCTCTACGACCGCCGAGGTGGTCAAGGCGGAGGCGGCCAAGGCGGGGAGGCCGGAGCCGAAGGTTCTGCCCCTCCAGTTCGACGTGTCCGACATCAAAGGCGCCGAGCAAGCCGCCGCCAAGGTCAAGGAGGTCTTCGGTCGCATGGACATCGTGATCAACAACGCCGGCGTCCTCGGCCAAGGCCTGGTCGCGGACACGGACCCCGAAGAGTGGTGGAAGATTTGGCGGATCAACCTCTTCGGCCCCTACCTGGTCGCGCGCGCCTTCATCCCCTTGCTGCTCGAGGGGGGCGAGAAGACCATCGTCAACGTGAGCAGCGTCGGGGCGCACTGCATCGTGCCGGGGATGAGCGCGTACCAGACTGCCAAGCTGGCGGTGCTGCGGCTTTCCGAATTCATCTCGGCCGAGTACGGCGACAAGGGCCTGCTGACATACAACATACACCCGGGCAACATCAAGACGGATCTGGTCGGGGGCGCGGCGTTGGATGCTGAGTTCCTGAAAGGTAATGCATGTCCCGTGGCAATTTGGGGCGGTAATCGTTAGATGCTAACAGTCATCGTCTTCGCTCGGCAGTATTTACCGAGACAGCTCAGCTCAGCGGAGACTCGCTAGTCTACCTGACATCCGAGAAGCGGGATTGGCTGGCCGGCCGATATATCAACGTTACATGGGATCTGCCGGAGCTCGTGGCCATGAAGGAGGACATCGTGGAGAAGGACAAGCTCAAAGTGCGAATAGTTCTGTAGACCGTCGTTCCAAGCCATCCAGCCGTTTCTGGTGCTACTCCACGGCAATCCCATATATACCTACCACACCTACCTTAATAAAATCGCGTTTTCGTCGTACTAGGCACCTATCCAGAAGCGGTTAAAACCATCGTTCCCGCTCGACTTTTTCCTCTCCGTGTCGATAGTTTGTAACCCGGGTACCTTTCCAAGAGTTCTCAGCGGGCGTGGGGTACCGGCTCGAGGTGAAGTGAGTGTGTGGTGCGTCACGTAGGATGCGAAGAAGCAAGTCGAATGGCGAGATCGAACCATTGCCGACTCTCGAGCGCCTCAGGCCCTAGGCCGAACAAAGACTCGCGCCGCGGCGGGCTGCCAGTGGCATGTCGATAGTGACAGTAGGAGGTGGCATTAGGAGAGTCCGCTCGTCACGCCAACGGTGGATGAACCAGACGGCTGAGCACAGTGGATTTGGCTGTACCAATCATTTCCGGGTGACGAGCTGTAAGCCTTTCTCATGTGGATGTCAATATTGGCCAAGCCCTATTCCCGGTCAATCTGACAAGAAGCCTGACAGAACCCCTGTCTCCCCTCCTGCCTCTCTATTCACCCACTCACTTAGACTCACTCAGCCCTACTGCGTAACGGGTCTTGCCTGGCGATCTCCAGACACTACCCTGTCATTTTTTCCCGTTACGTAACGTCTCACCATTCCTTACTACTCAGACGAACCCAGGCTGTCGTCCCTCTCCGTCGTCTCTTCACACTCTCTCATCAACCCCCGAGCAAGCGTTTCCTTCGGTGCCATCCTTGACGATGGCCGAGTTGCTCACATCCCAGCTTGCTAAGCTAAATCTCCTTTCGAGGGCATCGTTTCGGGATGATGAGGATTTCGGTGAAGAAATAGACGACTCTACAATCGCGGGGGGTGGCCATGGCGGGCGCCCGACTCAGATTACGAAAACGCAGTTGCGAGTTAGCCATGCGTTGAAATCATTCCTCGTTCAAGAGGGCATTCTGTCTAAGAGGGATGCCCGCCTAGACTCAGAGGAGCTGGGCGACGCGCTGCATGCTTTGGTGGAAAAGCCGCACATCCAAGTGCCGCCTGAAGTTACTGACAGGTCGTATCCGCTCTCGGAGTATTTCATCAGCTCCAGTCACAATACTTACCTGCTAGGCCACCAGCTTCACGGCAAGTCTTCCGCTGCGGCGTACGAGACCGCGCTGAACGCGGGGTCTCGCTGTGTGGAGATCGATGCCTGGGACAACGACGATAACAAGGACGAGCCCAAGGTCACCCACGGGTATACCCTCGTCTCCAACATCCCGTTCCGCTCGGTATGCGAGACGATCCGCGATGTCGTCGACAGCGAAGCGGCGCAGTCTAGCAACCTGCAAGGGTACCAGCCAGCGCCGATCCTGCTCTCGCTAGAGAACCACTGCGGTGCGCAAGGGCAGCGCCGACTCGTCGCGATCATGAAAGAAGTCTTCGGCCATCGGTTGCTGAGCGAGGCTGTCCGAGAGAAGGGCCACGAGGAGCAGGAAGGCGGGGACAACCCGGTGACGCTGGCTGAGCTCGGGTCGAAGATCGTGGTGATCGTCGAATACCACCTGCCCGACGAGGTAGCCACGAGCGACGACGGCGACGACAGCTCAGAAGACGAGGAGGAGAAGCAGGCGAAAGCAGCGTACTTGGCCAAGAGGAAAGCGACGACGACCGGCATAATCATCCCGGAGCTCGCGGACCTGGGCGTGTACGCGCAGTCGGTCAAGCCGAAGGACAACTCGTGGTTCGAGGATGTGCTGAAAGACCGGCCCCACAACCACCTGATCAACGTGTCGGAGAGCGGGCTCGCGGCGCACATGCCCGGCGCGAGCGAGAAGATCGCACGGCACAACGCGCGGCACCTGATGCGCGTCTTCCCCAAGGGCACACGCATCTCCTCCAAGAACCTAAAGCCGGTGCCCTTCTGGGGCGTCGGCGCGCAGATCTGCGCCATGAACTGGCAGACCTTCAACGCGAGCATGCAGCTCAACGAGGCGCTCTTCAGCGGGACCGACGGCTACGTACTGAAGCCGGCGGCGCTGCGGAGCGGCGGCAGCGGCAATACAGGCGCGGGACTCCGACGGAAGAGGCTGCGGCTGCGTGTCGGCGGCGCGTCCGACGTGCCCGTCCCCCCCGACCGCGAGGACGAGGCCGTCCGGCCGTACGTGACCTGCACGCTGGTGCACCCGGGGGAGCTGGGCGGCGCGCACCCGAAGCGCAAGACGGGGCCGTACCGCCAGCACCGGCTGGGCTTCCTGCACCGGGGCGAGAACCCGCCGGCGACGGACCCACTGTGGGACGAGACGCTCGAGTGGGAGTACGATGGCGACGAGCTCGCCTTCCTCCGTATCCTGATCAAGAGCGACGACAGCTTCGCCGAGAACCCTATCTTCGCCGTCGCCGCCGTCCGGCTCACCTATGTTGTCCCCGGCTGGGTCTTCCTCCGCATGTTGGACCTCAAGGGCCGCGAGACCAAGTGCTCGCTACTCGTCCACTTTGACCTCACGGACATCTAAAGCGCTAAGGGGTAGGTCTCCTTAGCCGTCGTGTTAGCGTAGGCGTGAGCGTGCTGTGAGGCTCTAATTCGAGAAATCTTTCAAGTCTCTCTCCCTATCTCTCCGTCCGCGGAGATTAGTGAACGAGGAACTCGTATCTAGGGGGCTGACCAGCATTGTGGTGATTGAGCGAATGAGACATCCTTTCTCGTGAATGACCTGTCGTAAACATGTAGTCTGACCTCGGGCGACGTACCCAGAGCGGTCTCTGGGCAGCCAACAGGAGTGTGAGAAAGAAGGGGAACAGACCTTGCAAACGTATGATTGTAACATTGTGCAATGACAGGGTGTTTCCTTGGCTTGTGTATGTCCAGTCCATCTCCCCTCCCTATCTTTTGCCGTCCAGTCGTTGCCATTATGAATTGCATGTAATGCGACACTCCAAGAGGCCTCTCAGTTATCCGCTCCACCACCGTCAGTTCCCCTCGCATATTATCATTGGCATGTTGGAACCATGGACTTGCATGCCTCCTTGAGACCCCTATTGGATAGGAAGTCGATACCTCTCCGAAATGTGCAGCCACCCAGCCAGGACGACGACACTCGAAAGGTCGAGACCAACACCCCGTCCCGCGCATAACCACCCGCCGCCGCGCCGAAGAGAACAGAGATGCTCGAAGGTATGGGAGCCAATGGCGTCGGCACACGTTATTGGGGGAGCTACCCGTCCTCATTCGCCTGTCCTACGACTGTCTATCCCTTTTGAAGGGGCCGTCATCGCTGCGGAGCAACCCACATCGTCTACTATCGTTCTCGGTCCCGTCCCTATCCCCTAAACGGGAAAGACGTTCTGTCTATCTGAAGATGGGCCCGATTGACGAACCCAGATTCCCGGATCACTATGCCGACCTTGGCCTGACACAGCAGGCAAGCTCCCGCGACATCAAGCTGGCCTTTAACAAATTAGCAAGGCTCTACCATCCCGACAAGCTTGCCCCCGGCCAATCCATCGATGCTAAAGAGTTCCGCAAGGTCAGTAGTCAGTCTCCGGGCGACCCCTAAATAGCGCGAGGGAAAATGTACGTTTCAGACACACAAGTTCTTCCGTAGGTACGTAACAAGCTAAGCCTTCTGCCTCTCAACCCCCGAACCCCCGACTCAGGTCCGTGAGGCGTACGAATGCCTCATCGACAAGGAACGCCGCGCGGCCTACGACCGGCGCTACTTCGACCTGCAGGACGAGTGGGTCGCGTACCGGCAGCGGCAGGAGGAGCAACGACAGCGCGAGGAAGCCCAGCGAGCCAAGGAGGCGCAACGCGCGGCGCGGGAACGGGCGGAGCGAGAGCGCCGCGCCGCCGAGGCCGAGCGCGCGCGCCGTGCCGAAGAGGAGCGCCGCGCGGCGCAGGACCGGGCGGAGCGCGAGCGGCTGGCGGAGGAGCGCAGCCGCGAAGCCGCCCGCCGCGCCCGCGAGGAGCAGCAGCGCGCCGCTCGCGAGCGGCTCCTGCGTGCGCGAGTGGAGGAGGCCGCCCGCCGCTCAGAGGAGGCCGCGCGTCGCGTCCGCGCCGAGCAGGAAGAGGCGGCCCGCGAGCGGCTCCGGCTCCTCATCCTCGAGGAGAAGCAGGACGAGGCCCGGCGCAGCTGGGCCAGCATGCGCGAGGCGGCCGACCAGCGCGCCGAGAATCGTCACCGCAAGCAAGAACAGAAAAGTTACGTCGTCGGCGGCGGCTCTGGCAGGTGCGCTCACCCCTACTACGGCTGGTCGCGAGGCGCAGGCCGCGCGGTATGCATATTCTGCGGGACCACGTGCTGGAACTGGTCTTTTCGGTGCCCCAAGTGCGGCCTCGCGGCGTGCTGGGCCTGCAAGACGAAGAGATCTATACTCTAACCGTGGCTGCAGCAGAAATGGTGAAAGCACATGGCAGGGTGCGATCTTGGAGAGTGATATTGTGTTCTTCGTCCTTTTTGAGAGAGACAAAACTACTATTCTTGGGATAACAGGATGGGGGATAGTTAAAAAGGAAGTTGATATAACTGTCAGAGTACCATCGGCGTGTCTATGCGTAGTGTCTCGACTCGGTTCGATATCGGCATTCAGGGTATGAGTTTGAGCCTAGCATGTCCGTTGCGGTTCCTACACTCTTGTGCAATACACCTACTGAGCGGGGTCGCTCGCCGGCCATGTATAAAATATCTAGGGATCCCGTTATTCAGCGGTCCAAGAATTCAGGGGCACGCTGACCCGTGTATGAGTATGGGGCCATCAAACCTATAACCGAAGAGCCCGCCGCCCATGTCGATCGGCCTTATCACCGTCTTTCAACGCTCCCAGCCCTCGTGGATTCGTTGGCAAAGGCGAGTAGCTCCTCGCTGATGGCTCGAGCTCCGGGATATGTGGTTCCTGGTAAGATGAAGCGTTCCGAGGGTCGGTATCACTATTAGAGGTAGTTATCTGGGTTGAAATGTGGCGGAGAGAAAGGAGGGCAGAGAAGTAGGAAAACTAGCCTCCCCCTCCGAGTTCGGGCCTTGAGGGTACGGAGCGTAGTTAACTACGATTACGCAAATGGAGCCAACCCGCGTTCTTGAATGCACGAAGTCGAGCAACCCCCGCCGAGTCACCTAACCAAAGGAGAAGACAGAAAACAACGAGGTGGAAGGTGTGAGATTTCTATTTAGAGACTCCCCACGCCTCTTGCTTCAGAAGTCCCTATCTGAAGTAGCCCCTAGGGGTATCTAGGAGCCGTGGTTTATCATAGACATCTCGAAGAAACTCAACGCGACTCGTGACCACATCGCCATTCCTCGGCGGTCAACCAACGACGACAAGGACGGTATTAGGGAGGGATCTACCGCCTATATCTACGCCGCAGTCTCCACTTGCAACGGCCGCACCGAAGGTGGCGGCACCCCCAGAGTGTGCACATGTGCTCCTGGGGAAGGTAACGATTCTGACACCTGCAGCTTTTAAGTGATATCAGTTAGCTAACGTAGAGGGGCTCTATGGGGGAAGTGTGAATTGAGGCTGGGGATGCTGTGCCCGCAGCTCCTGCCTACGTCGACCGGGGCTTCGCGAGACGGCCAGATGTGTGCGTAAACTTACCATTTCCAGAGATGGCTCGCGTGCAGTATGGACCTGCCGTCTGCCGTGTACTCGACGCAATCTTCGAAGTCAAAATACGCCACGGCTTGGCTAGATCCGCCACCCGTACCGGACATGCCAGAAGCAGTGGACAGCGTTGACGCAGATATCGGTTGTGGATAGTGGCAGGTTCCTCTACTTGAGTTCAAGAGGACGTCTTCGTGGAATGCGTCGGTTTCCGTCTGGGCAGAGTGATATAGTTCTAGTTGTGTTAGGAGAGAGAGTGGATGGTCAACGTTAGAGGTTGGTGGGATCTTGAAGGGCGAAGTCTCGTTCTCCTTTTTAATAAGCGTGGCCTTCGAACGTTGGTCCCACGATGACTGCCGATCGATACGGTAAAACACTCATACAAATGGACAATAACAGGGCGATCTGGTCCATTGGATACATCCTCTTAGCCGAGAAACAAGCAACTTATTTCCTCCCCAACCTATCATGGCTTGCGAGCTCTCGTTTCCTAAGTTTAACAAGAGCAAAGGTGACTGATTTTTCAATCCCTACCTAATCCCATTGGGGCGAGTCGGACAGAATTAGGTACAATGGTAGCAGTTACTGACTATTATTTTTGAGAAGCGTATTATGGATCTTTTTGGAATGAATCGATGCCCTGCGGGCTTGCTTTCGACGCACTCGAGACTTATCAGACGAGAGGTTAGGTCAGGGGTAGAACGCCAGCGGGCCTTTTGTACCCAGAAGAAACAACAACGGTTTCAGTGGTGGTTGTCGCTGTCCTTCTTTTTTGTCTGCCTCACCTATGCTGCATACCTATGTACACTGTGATATCTTGGCCTATGCTATCTCATGGTTGGGTCCCGGGTGGCTGCGTCAGTAAGGTCGACGACAACAAATTGACTTAAGGTCGACAAGTTGCTTGGTTGGTCAACTCTGAGAGAGAAGCGAAGAGCGTTGCATCAGCTCCGCTATAGGTACCTATGAGTCTGCTTGGATGAGCAAGGTTAACCCCTGGTCGTGAGTGTGGCTCCCTACCGGAGCCACATGAGGCTCAACAACTACGTGATACCCTAGGTACCTACATAATGTCCCAGCGGGAATCATTCCGCAACAGACCCTTGTTCTATTGTGGCCGAGTTTGGCCGTGTGTATGAATCACTACCTTATGCTGGAGAGATGCTAGGGAAGGCTAAACAAAAGAATAAATACCTAGGTAGTTGGTTGTCATGCAGGAAACCTCGTAGACCTAGCATGTGCACTCCTGTTTTCCCTAGTACTGGTTGTTAGCCATGTGTTTCATCAAACGCAGCTGGGGGAATCGGGCGCGGTGGAACGCTACACTATCTCGACGAAGCCCTAGGCAAGCTATATATATATGTACATATTAGCGCCTACATTTCGTTCGTCGAAGTCGGGTGTATGTGTTTCAAAAGTCCAAATCGAAGCTAGGGGAAATCATTCTAATAGCGCCATGTGGTATTGCCTTGCTAACCAATGCTTCTTCATAGGAATGCGAATGGGCAGCCAGGTCTATCCGAGAACAGAACAGGCCGGCTCGACTTCAACTTCCTACCCCGGTACGAAAAGCGAGCTACGTTGAGAGCGATGCATCGAGGATGCGAGGTATTCTAGAGGTTTATTTCAATGAGTACGAGCCTACCACGGATCGGTCGCTCGCTCCGTCGATCGATCGTGATGCCTCGGACGGCCTTATCCTCCCTCGCTGCAAGGTGAAGCCGTTTAGGAATGGTGCCTTCGAGACGGAATCCCATGGAAAGCTGGGATTCGCGGCTTGAATACGACTACGCACTCAACGCAAGACAGGCATCAACCGCGAGGCCAACCCTACGGAGCGGACACGTCAGTTGAAAGCGCTGGGATTAGGCACGAGGGAGAGAGAACTGACCTTCCCTCCTTCTGGTAGACGACATCACTGATCACGTCTCGATCTAGGTCTGGGAACATCCCGGCGAGGGTTTCTACGATGTTGTGATGCTCTGCTCGGTGTATCCTCTGAGCCTCCGCGACTTCGGCGCTCGCTTGCCTTGCCGCGGCTTCTTCAGCTGACAATCGCCGGTGCGTATCCGCCAAAGGACGCCCGTCGCTGCTAGGTCGCGGACTAGGCAGCGGGCCGAGTCCTGAAGTACGGCGCGACGACGCAGGCTCCGTCTGAGGAGCGCGCGTGGAGGAGCTCGGACCGGCATTGCTTGGGTCTTCCGCAAATATGCGGCCAATGGATGACAGCGGTCTTTGAATCGAACGGAGCAATCCAGAGATTGCGGGCCCCTCTTCGCTTGAATCGTTGCTATCGTTGGAGGACGTAGATCGACGAGGCGTGCTCGACCCATCCAAGTCGAAGGACGAACGCGTCGAAGAGGTTGCCGGTGGATATAGAGCAGACTTTTCGGACTGCGGAGGCGGCGGCAAAGGAGGCTCTTCCGCCCGGTGTTTTTCCGCGATGGCAGACACGGCCGCTTCTACGTTCTGCTCGAATTCGTCGTCGGAAATGGTCAGGCTAGTCCGGTCCATATTCTCGACGAATTGTATGGCGCCCATCTGGTTCTGCAATCAGCGGACGAATCTGCCAGGGTGGAACGAAATCCAGCCTTACGAGGGACGAGAGGTAGTACCCCGCCTCTCCCGCAAGCTTTTCTTGGTTGCGGAATCGCAGGATATACTGGACATTGGAGACTAGATGGTCGGGATTTGACCTTAAAACGACGAATATAAGGAATGGCATGAAAGAATCAGCCGACGAGTCTGATTTATTATGCTTGAGAAGTCCTGAGGCAAGGATTAGCATCGCGGCGGGCCAGAATTGCTGGTGCTCCGGCGCGCATACCGAATATGACTTTGCAGCAATTTAGGACACAAATGATCTTGTCCCGGGGAGCACGGTAGGATTTTATTTTTAGTAGTTCTGGAGCCGTTAGCGGTGCCCTTATCGTGAAGGTCATCTAGCAACGCACCCTGTCGGGCTAGGGCAAGGAATTTCCTGCCACTATCGTTAATGGCTGGGATATCCAGATGCTCCTCTCGGACCCAGCTGTATATGCTTATCTTCTGTGCCACAATCCCGTCCCTCTCCACATCTTCTTGGTGTTGCCCACGTCGTCCGGGTCCCATTGGTCGCTCGCCTCCACGACGTCTCGGTTTCGCGCCCGGGATGGGCTGAGGAGGAGGGATTGCCGGAGAGAAAGTCTGCGAGTAGAGCCGGTTCATGACGAGCTTCTCCATGCCTTCGCGGGCATTGTCGAACTCGGCATCGGAAACTTCGCTCCATACCTCGCACTGGGCCATTTTGTTGGCTATGAAGGCAAGAAAGTCGCTGATGATCTTGACTTGTTCGTGGACCATCCACTGCCGCTTCGCGAACTCCGATAAGAAGGATTTGAGATATCGCGCGACGGGATCAGCTTTCTTATGCTTGAGCTGCTCCAAAAACCGATGAAAGTCAAACGGAAGGGCCGGTTCGGGCTCGGGTTCGGGCGGTGGTGGTCGATGTAGAGTGGTGGCGGATGAGGCCGGGGAATCGACAGCAGGTGATCTCTCATCAGACGGCCCATCCTTGGGTGGAACGGGCGGGCCATAGTCTTCGGGCGCCTTTTGCTTATCCTTGGATCGCGAACTTGCGGGCGACGCGTGCGAGAGTCCCAGACCCTGCATGTCGTCGAGCTGCTGTGCAATACTGGGGGCAAGGGGTTCGAGGCTGGACTTCCTCGGCGGATGCTGTATAGGAGGGCTACCGAGGAGTGGAGAGGTAATCTCGAGTCGCGGACTCATAACTTCGTCTTCCCCGGGACCACCACCGTCCTCGGGGAATTGCTCCATGATACTCTGGATCTCGGACCGAGAGGTCCCGTCTTGCTCGTCCTCGCTCGTGTAACGCTTCTCGTCATATCCGGCATCGGATCGGGTCGGCGAGGGTTCTGTGCCGTATCCCTTCGGGCGATAGGTGGAGCTGTTCCTCGATGGCGGTTGGGAGCCGTCCGGCGTCGGGGGGGTGGGGTCGACGTAGGGAGCGGGCGTGATGGTCAAGTACTGTGGTTTCGTAGGCTTCAGGGTCGCGACGGAGGATTCCATAGGGTCGACCGGGGGGTCGGTGGCGACATCTTCGTCTCTCGAAACCTCGTCCTCGGTAGGGAGTGGCGGGGTGTCCTGGGTCCGGTCTGGGACAACTGGGTCACCTAGGGACCTAGGCCCTGGAATGCCGTCCTCGGTGTCGCCATCCTTATCTTTGGCTTGGGTTTCGACCTGCTCCAACTCGGATAGGACAGTAGCGATGGTCGGCGAAGTGCTTGGCGGGTCCACGAGCTTTTGAGCGCTCATGGCGGGGTCATGGTCGGAGGCGATGGCAAGCTCTGGTCTCACAGGAGGGCTTGCGGGCTTTGGGAGGAGCTGTTCGGGAGGAGGCATGCACGAAAGACCAGGCCGCTTGAAAGCTGGTGTTCGATGGGGGAGGGTGAGCGGATTGCTTGCGAGACGTGAAGGGGGCGGAAAGCAATAAAAATAATCAGGCAGGCCAGGGATATATATGTAAGGAGGTAGGTAGGTGTTGAAGAGGGCAGGTTATGTATGCGTATGCGTATGCGTAGGTATTAGAGGTATAGACGGGTGGATTTATTGTATGGGGATAACCGATACCGATACGTGCCTAGCGGTACTAGGCTGTGATGTAAGGCTGCGCACGGCAGGTTGATCTCTTTTCCTAGTCTGTTCCGCAGGTGAAGGCGTTGCCTGACCTGATTGCGGATTCCGGGCCTTATCGTTATCGGCGCCACTCCGCCACTCCGCCCCTCTGACAAGTGCACGGAAACCGGATAGTCAGCTGGCCAGGCCCGATGAAACCTTGGAGGGCATGCACGGCAGGTTGGCAGGCAAGGCTATAGGTACTTGGGCGGGTGCCTTGGGCACCTGCACGATCAATACTCCCATAGGAGGTACCTACCCCTAGGAGGTACCTCTACCAACATCAAGAGGTACCTAATATGACCTGAGGTACCTTAGGCTACCCGTACCTACTTGTAAGTACCTGTAGGTTAGGTTAGGTACCTAACCCACCTCTAGGTACCTAAGGTAGCCTACCCATCCCAGTTGGCGCTTGGCGGGTGTGGACCGACGGCGCATCCGCTTCGTATCTCCGAAGCCTCTTTTGCCAGAGCGCAGGTACCTCCTACCCAAGGTACTTCTGAACCATACTCATACTGCCCAACTCAAGTACCTTACGTAGCGCATTACGCAGCGGATGCAAGGAATAGCTCGGCGTTTAATTAATAATATCTGCTTATGAGTACAAGCAGGACAAAGCGTGTTACCACCAACGGTCCATGGGAACTAACTTACACTTACTTACCTCTCTCACCTCACGCCGGACTCGCAACCTCTCTCTTCTCTAACCTCTCTCCTCCTCACATCTCCAGCTGAGTCTTCCATTGCCCTCCAGACCGGGCCGGCGAGCGATCCTCACTAGAGGGCCGTTGCCGTCTCGCCTGGCTCAAAGCCGCTCCGTGTACCGCTTTCCGCTCGTTCCGGCTCTGTTGTTATAAATATGCGCTCGCTTTTCCCGCCCCGGCTTCGATATCCACCACGCTCGTTACCATCCTCGCGACCGTAGACCTGCGCTTGCTACCGCACCTTGCGGGAGAAATTTCTTCGTTAAAAAAAAACCCCCCCATCGCTCGCGTTCGAAAAGCTCAGCGATGCGGCCACATTCGCTCAACCCCAATGCAAAATGCCCCCAACGGCCGACGTAGAATCTGACAGTGGAAAGGAGCGAGAATCAAACTCCGTCTCGGCCATAGCGCGGCAGACCCGGAACCAGTTGGAGACTCTCGGTGGGGCCCTGCACCATCGCGCCGCCCATTGGTACCGGAGGTTTTTTCTCGAGCTGGTTCTGCGCCAGAAACCTCTGCGGCCTTCCCGGGATGGCCGCCAGGTCCCGTTGCAGGTCGAGCGCGACCACCCGCTATTGGACGAGCGGCGCGGTCAGCCCTACATATCGAACACCATTCGAACTTCCAGATACACCGTGTACGATTTCGTGCCGAAGCAATTGATCTTCCAGTTCACGCGACTGGCCAATTTCTACTTTCTCTGCATCGGTATCCCCCAGGCCATCCCGGGCCTAAGCACGACGGGCAGCTACACCACCATCCTACCTCTCCTGTTCTTTGTCCTCCTCACTATCGCCAAGGAGGGTTACGACGATTACAAGCGCCATCGGTTGGACAAGCTCGAGAATGCGAACACGACCAGGGTACTAAGGCGCAGAATCGCGGACCCTGATATCGGCCTAGGCCTACCGGCACGAAAATGGTTAACCGGGGTTTTTGGAGCCTCCGACGCCGGATCCGAGGTATGGGACGACGACGCGGATGGAGATTACGGGTGGAAGCAAGTCATGTGGCAGGATGTAAAGGTCGGTGACGTCGTCAAGCTGCTTCGCGACGATGCCGTGCCTGCGGATCTAGTTCTCTTACATGCTACCGGGGAGGATGGGCTGGCGTACATCGATACTATGGATTTGGACGGCGAGACCAATCTCAAGAGTAAAGAGTCCCATCCAGATTTCAAGGATTGCCGTACCATCGGCGGACTGCGCTCCTGCCGGGCCAATTTTGTCCTCGAGGACCCCAATCCCGATCTGTATCGCTTCGATGGGAGAGTCACGGTGCACGGTCGGACATTGCCCCTGACCTCTAACGAGGTCATATATCGCGGCAGCACGTTAAGAAACACGGCTTGTGCTATTGGCGTCGTTATAAACACCGGAGAGGAATGTAAAATTCGGATGAATGCAAACCAACACCCCGACGCTAAGAAGCCAGCCCTGGAAGCTATCGCCAACAGAATCGTCATAACCCTCGCCATCTACGTGATCATTCTAACGGCCGGATGCTCCGCCGGGTATTTTATCTGGCGACACTCTACCGAGCAGATTTCTTGGTACGTCTCTATGGCTACTGTCGAGCTCAAGCAGATCATCATCGGCTACGCCATCATGTTTAATAATGTCATCCCCCTTGCGCTCTACGTCAGCCTAGAAATCACGAGAATTGGCCAGATGCTCATGTTGAACGGCGACGTGGAGATGTATGACGACGAAACCGATACTCCAGCTCGTTGCAACACGAATACGATTTTGGAAAATCTCGGTCAAGTCAGCTACATCTTCTCCGACAAGACCGGCACGTTGACGGAAAACGTGATGAAATTCCGTAAGATGAGCGTCGCCGGGACTGCATGGCTGCACGAGACCGATATACAATCCGACGAAACGTTGACGATGCCAGAACCGGGTCTCGGCGTTCCTCTTGGGCATGCAATGACGCGAAAATCGAACGAGATTTCCAGTACCATACACGAGGACGTAGAGCTCTATCCCCTCTCGCCATCGTCAGCATTCGCCACCCGGTCTGAGAGACGGTCTTCATCGCAGTGGAGATCAACTGGTCGTCCAGACCACCCGCAACCCGACGTAACGACCGCAGATCTGTTGGAATATATAAGGCTAAGGCCCGCGTCATCTTTTGCAAGACGAGCCAAGGATTACATACTGTGCATGGCTCTCTGCCACACGTGCTTACCCGAGGTGAAGGACGGCGAGCTAGATTTTCAGGCTTCGTCACCAGATGAGCTTGCGCTCGTTCGCGCCGCACACGAACTCGGCTACCTAGTAACCCATCGGTCGTCTCAAGCCGTTACGTTACGCGTTGGAGGCGGAGGTAACGCGAAAACGGATGTTTATCAAATTTTGGACGTTATCGAATTCAGCAGCAAACGAAAGCGCATGTCGATAATTGTGCGCTATCCCGATGGGAGAATATGTCTCATCTGCAAGGGCGCCGACTCGGTGATCTTGCCCAGGCTCCAGTTGGCTCATGTGGCCATGCAAAAAGCAACCGAGGTGCGCAAAAGCGCCGAGATCGAGCACGAACTCCTCCGGAGGAGCGAACAGTTGGAGGTTCGGAATAGCTTTGGTGGCCGACCAAGCATAAATTTGCGACGGAGCATTGCAGGAAACCCCACCAGCATCGGGTCCAGCCAGCCTGTTGCCCCCTCGAAGCGGCCCATAGTTATACAGAGCAGATCCGTAGAAGGGAGCAGATCCATGGAAGGGACCAGGACAGGACTCTCTGAGGACGGACTTCGTCCGTCTCTGGCTCTCCGGGCTACGTCCCTCGACGTAGTGAAGACTCTTTCCAAATCAAGCCCGTTGACACCCCAGCCACCGTGCGAAAAGTTCGGTTTCCTCGACGACCCGACCCTTCTCGACGAGTCGACCATCTTCAGCCGTTGCTTCAAGCACTTAGACGACTTTGCCACCGAAGGACTGCGCACCCTCATATTCGCACGGAAATTCATCCCCGAAAGTAAGTACGGCGCGTGGAAGAAGATCTATAACGACGCTACAACAAGTCTCGTTGATCGTCAGGATATGATCGAGGCGGCAGGTGAGTTGATCGAACAGTCGCTGGACCTGGTTGGGGCGACGGCGATCGAGGATAAGCTCCAGGTTGGCGTTCCCGAGACCATCGATAAACTCCGCCGCGCCAACATCAAGATTTGGATGTTGACGGGGGACAAGCGTGAGACGGCTATCAACATCGCCCACTCGGCACGCATCTGCCGCCCGGGCTCCGACATATTTATTCTAGATTCGTCCAAGGGCTCGCTAGACGTACAGATAAGCGGCATATCGGACGACATACAAACCGGTTGCGCCCACAGCGTCGTCGTCATCGACGGCCAGACTCTCGCGGCGATCGAGCAGTCTACGCATCTCGCCGGCCTATTCTACACGCTGATTCCGACGATCGACTCCGTCATATGCTGCCGCGCATCGCCCGCCCAAAAGTCGGCCATCGTTAAGGCGATCCGCCAGCGGCTGCCCAGTGCTCTAACCCTCGCCATCGGCGACGGCGCGAATGATCTGGCGATGATCTCGGCTTCTCATGTAGGCGTGGGGATCTCGGGCAAAGAGGGACTCCAGGCGGCCCGCGTCGCCGACTACGCGATCGCGAAATTCCGCTTCCTGCAGCGGCTGCTGCTCGTCCACGGGCGCTGGAACTACGTGCGCACGGCCAAGTTCATCCTGGCGACGTTCTGGAAGGAGATGTTCTTCTACCTGCCGACGGCCATGTACCAGCGGTACAACGGGTACAGCGGCACCAGCCTGTACGAGAACTGGAGCCTGACCGTGTTCAACATCCTGTTCACCAGCCTCTGCGTCATCTGCATGGGCGTGTGGGAGCAGGATCTCGACGCCGAGACGCTGCTCGCCGTGCCCGAGCTGTACGTGCACGGGCAGCGGAACCGCGAGCTCAATATGGCGAGGTTCGTCCGCTGGATGGCCGCCGCCGCTACCGAGGGCGTGCTGGTCTGGCTCGCCGCCTGGGCGTCCTACAGCGTGTTCGGGCAGGCCCGTGACGACGGGCTCTTCGCCCTGGGAAACCTCGTCTTTTCGATCGGCGTCATGTGGATCAACTGGAAGCTATTGTGAGTTTTTCCTTTTTTCTCCTCCCTCCCTCGCTACACGCGCACGTCTCTACCCTAGTGCTAACCAAAGGGGTGGGGGGTTGGCAGCATCATCGAGACGCACTACAAGACGGCGGTGGTCATGGGGGCGTTCGGCGTGACGCTGGCGGGGTGGTGGGCGTGGAACGCGTTCCTGGCGGGGGTGTACGCGGCGCAGCCGAGCCCGTACCCGGCACGGCACGGCTTCGTGCGCACCTTCGGCCGCGACCCGCTGTGGTGGCTGACGCTCGCCGTCGCCCTGCTCGCCCTGCTCGCCGCCGAGCTCGCCTACAAGGCCGCCAAGCACCGCATGGCCGTCGCCGGCGCCTGGCCCCCCTGGCGCCGCGGCCGCGGCCGCGCCGACGACGCTAACATCGAGGACTGGGGCCTCGAGGTCTGGCAGGAGCTCGAGAAGGACCCCGCCGTGCGCGAGCGCCTCCGCAGCAGCGCGCGCGCCGACGCTGACGCCGACGGCGCCGAGCAGAGCAGCCTTGCCGAGACGGATCCGGTCAAGGTTTTCTAAAGGGGGATGGCTGCCGTAGCAGCAGCAGCAGCAGCATTTACTGGTGTGTTTTTTTTGGCTTATTGGTTTTTTTTTTAGTTTCTTGTCTCGAACCTCCAAGTCCGGTTGGATTGCGGCGCATGTGGACTCTAGACGGGGATACCCACTATACATATACACGGCTATATATACATATACATTTACACGTTAGATATATATCGGTACCTACATAATTCAGCGTCGGCGGTGGAGAGAACCAGATAGAGAGAGAGATAGGCAGAGGTATATAATATTGTCGCGTAAAACGTAGACGCCTACGATACGCTTTTGCGGTATGTAGGCATGTAAGGGCTGGTTCAATTGGTAGGTATGTGACAAATATATATATATATATATCCCGGAGAGACAGGCACGAGATGCCACACAACGCCTCGATTGGATACTACCATCCGCTTTCCGGTATTATGCACGAGGAAACTAGAAATATCTGCCCCGAGAACGTTGAAGAACGGGGGTAGGCAGGGGTGAGATAGTCGAACGGTGTGTGCAGACAACTGCATCTAGCGGTAAGGATCGCAGTCGTATTGGAGAAAGCCGCCCCGGAGTCGCAGCAGCCAGGCAGGCTAGATCTACCGAAAGAGGATAAACTTGCGAGAGAAAAACCCGTAAGCCAGATACCATCGCCGCGCGACAACCGACGCCCCTGGCCTAAACCGCGCCATTCCCTCTCCATACCCCCCCCACGCGCACCCCTCAGCTATCTTATCCCCCCCCATCACATCTCGGCACTCGCACCCTGCCTCACAGACTCGCGACGATCGCCGTGTTCCTCACGTGCCAGACCTTCATGCCGCGCAGGCCCTCCATGCCGCGCAGCAGGCCGATGGCGCCGCGGAAGCCGTCGGTGTCGCGCGCGCGCAGGTGGGCGTCGACGCTGCGCCAGCCGATGGCCAGGACGAGCGCGCGGTTGCCGCCGTCGCCGCCTGGCGGTTCCGCGCCGCCCTCGGGCGCGACGGCCGCCTCGTCGCCCGGGACGGTCCACCCGAGGACCGCGGCGCCGCCGCCGGCGAGGTCGCCGGCGAACCGCGGCACCTCGTCGAGGAAGGCGCGGGCGCGGGCCTGGGCGGCGGCGCGCTGCGGCGCCGCAACGTCGGGCGGGAAGTACGCGTGCAGGATCTCGGTGACGTGTGCGCCGTCGACGTCGTCTTTGCCTTCCGCTTCTTCGTCGTCGTCCTCCTCCCCCTTCGCCTGCCCCGCTTGCACCACCCTCCCGTCGAGCACCCCGAGCGCGTATCCGTCCCCGTCGGCGAGCGCCCACTCGACGTGGTACGGCGTGGGGGGCGCGCCGTCGACGATGGCGCTGAGCTCGCGCCGGAAGTCCGCGAAGGCGGGGTTCCCGCCGGCGAAGGCGCGGTGGGCCGCCAGCGACGCCCAGTCGACGGAAATGCGCACGAGACGCGGCGACGTCGAGGCGGGGGAGGCGTCGAGGTCGCGCGACTGCCGCACTCGCAGACAGCCCGGTTGGGCGAGGAGCGCCGCAGCCGTTTTGAAAAGCACGGTCTTCGCGAGGTGGGCGGAGACGTCGTGCCTCAGCGGGAGGGTGACGAATTCAGTGACAAGGCCGGATGTGGCCATGGTTGGCGGCGTTGGCTTGGCTGATCTGGCGGTCTCGCCGCGTACTTAGATCGGTTTCTCGAGGTCTCTGCGCGAGATGGGCGCAGGTTAATGGGAACAAGAAGAAGAAACCAAAATGGCGGCAGTTGGATGAAATAACAACTAGTGGTAGGACTTGGCGGCTGACCGGGGAGAAAAACGAGTAAATAGAAAGTCCGGTGGTAGAAGGGGAGGGGGGGGCGATGGCGTCAAAGTACCGGAGGTCCGTACCGGACAATATACCGGTTTACCGATAAGACAAACCACCAAGCTGACTGCATCTACTTAGCCAATCCTATCCCTGCGAGGCGCGATGAGATAGGGGTGGCGGACACACCGCTCGAGATCCACCCCGGGGTAGGACGATGTATCTACCTCAGTACGTAGCATGTAGATAGATGATTCCTACATGGAGAACCTGAAAAGTTCGTGTTACTAGCTGTTACGTGCTAGAAAGCCCACCCGTACGCGAATATTTGACACGGTGACTGACTTCTTAAGCAAGTGACGAACCCTACCTACCTCTATATGCAGTCCTGGGGAATAGGCTCGTCGGTTTCGGCGTGTTTTATCCTCTTACACGTTCCGTCCCCACGGCAACTTAGAGGTTGCACAAGCTACCGCCGCTAGCTACCCAGTTGCCGAAGGGGCCAGCTCGAGGTCCGGCTACGTCCCGCGGCTCCGGCAGCCGAACTTCATAATTCGTCTAGCCAATCGAGCAAGGGCGTCAGGTAATCGGTAGCGTACAGCGGGCTAAGCGTGATGCCGTTTTCCTTCGCCAGGGGGTAGAGATCCAGAGGGTCGTGCATCATCTCCATGTAGTACATCAGCACGTACTTGAGCCTCGGCAGCACCTTGTGCTTCTCCGTGATCAGGAATCGGATGAGCTGGTAATCTCGCGGCATCAGCGCCAGCTCCAGAGTGTACCCCGGCGGGGGATATCCGGGGAACACGATGCCGCGTTCGTTCATAACCCGTATAGAGCGGGGCACGATGTTCTCCAAAAGAAGCATCTTGAGGTTCGGCGGGAATTTCGTGCGGACAAGACTCTCGAGCACCGAATCTTCCATATAGGCGCTACCCAGGAGGTATACTGGGGGCACGCGGAGGAAATGCAGATTGGGGAAGAGGGTGAAATCCATGCCTCGGTCCTCGAGGGGTATCTTCCACCGCCACGTGAGGTCCAGGATTCGCAAACTTTCCCGAACCGGAGCCAGCAGGGTGGGATAGAGCCTCTCGGAGAAGGGTAGCTGGTCGTTGTGGCCGAGCAGCACGTTCTGGAGCTGAGTCGTGGGCGACACCAGCCGATCTAGCGCCTCGTAATCGTACCAGCATAACTCAATCAGCAGGGCTCTCAGGTCGGCGTGCTGGAAGTAGTCGACGGCCAACCGGCCGAACAGAGAGAAGTCAACGTAGGAAATCCGTATCCGCCGGAGCTTCCTATGGCGGAACAGGACGGCATCGTCCTCGTTGAGCTCGAAGGTAGGCCGGTTCCCCTGCTCGATGGAAAAGGTCACTGTTATTACCAATAAGCATCCGACGTGTCCGTTTGGTTTCCAGTTGAGCTTACAGTTCGTCAGCTTGGGCTGTTCTCGGACGAGCCTGTTGAGAGACCGCCTCCTCTCATCATCGATCTCCAGCGGCTCGCCGTCGTGCTGGGCGATGACGCTCTCCAGATTGGGGAACTCGATGGCCAAGAGCTGCCGGTAGGCGATTGGGTGGAATTCGTCCAAGATGAGGAAATGCACGAGGCTCACGACGTGGGGCCGGGTCTTGAGGAGATTGACGAGCCCGACGGTGTCGTTGTGGGTGCCGACCTTGGTGAATATCTTGCGGTAGAATAGCGGCTCCACGACCTCCCGGGCCTGCTGAGAGGCCCGCAGGAACGAGCCCTGGTCCCGGAGGTCGAGACACCCAAGGATCCACCACTGGAGCTCTAGGGGGAGATTGAGGAGAGACAAACGGCGGGACGTCGGGCAATCCATGGCGGAGGGGGGTTAACGGATGATAGGCTGGGGACCGTCAGGGAATCGGGGCGTCAGGACGGCTCATAGCTTCTTCTCAACTTCTCGGGCTGTGTGCTGTGATGGGGGTTGTGATGGAGGTCGCGAGGGCGGGCAGGCAGACAGGCGGACAACCGGATCCCGAATCCTCCCCGCAAAGAAAGCATGGAGGGTTGTAGTATGGAGGTAAGTCAGGTAAGTCACCAAAGCATAGGCGCTCCGATATTAGAATGGGCAGACGAATGGAAGCTTGCCGTGGGTGATGCACTCCTCCGGCTCTGGTCGGGGGTATTTGCATAAGCAGCTATTTGCATACCTACCTAAGGTAGGCGTCAAGACGGCGAGATGGATGTCTGCATATTTGGGGATATGCATAACGAGCAAGAATAAGGATGTACCGCTTGCAAGACACTTCCCTGGGAGGTACCTACCTGTAGCTCGTAGGTACCTAAGGCTGCATGGTAAATCAAGGCAAGGAGAAGGTACCGGGGCACCTATCCAAGGTAGCATGGTACTTGGCCTGCCCGGCATTGGCGCTGCAAGCTTCACCAACGTCATATACCGGTCACCGGCCAACTCGTCCAGCTCCCGGCGGACAAGCCTGGGCCTTGGTAGCGAGGAATTCCGAAAGGACCGCGAGAGGGAAATACTCATAATCGGCCGGGATCGTCAAGACAGATAACCCGGGTACCTTGATTTAGCGATGCCTCCTATACTCCTATCCATTACCGTAGGCGCCTAGTAATCGGAACCCTCTGGCGGATGGTCCATTTATATGCACCTAAAGTAGGTATATCCACTTACCTATCACATACATTAGGTACCTCCCACCGTACTATAGGTACCTGATGTACTCCCACTCTCGGCTCCGCACCTGATAAGGAGGAGATGCACGGATAATAGTACCGGCAGCTGTCTATTACCTCTTCTACACAACTCTCCTGGATCGAACCCCCTTCTTACCAATCCATCGTCGGCCCGTTCTACACAGCAGCGCGCAGCCCCTTTTCGCCCTTCCTTTTTCCCTATCTCGGGTAGCTATACCTATACATATGCGACATACCGCGAGCCTAGGTTCCATTCAAGCCACGTTCCCGCCCTCCGCCTCGCCGGGCTCGGCAGCCTTCTTCGCTCGCGGCTTCTTCTTGCGCTTGCCGTTCCCCGTTCCGACCGGCGCCTCGCGGACCCATCGCGCGACCGCCTCCGCACGCTCGGTCAGGATCGGGTACTCTCTGCCGTCGTCCACCGCCCAACGTTTCGGTCCAGAGTTGGGGCTCGGGATCCCGCCATTCGTGGCGCTCGCGTGGTCCGCTTCGGCCCTCCGCTGGCGAGCGAGGATCGCGGCTTTGAAGCTCGCTTCGTCGTTAACCCGCTCGTCTTCCAATGCCTCGATAATCGCTTGCTGCCGCATCCTCTCTTTGCGCTGTTCGTCTGTCTCGACGAGACTCGTGCTACCGGCGACAGAGAGCACATTCATCCCAGCAGTAGCCACGGATACCCCATTCACCGACAAGGAGGCGGGCAGGGGCGCAGGGGCGCAGAGTACCTCCCAACTCGACGAGAGGTCGACCCAGTTCTCGGCTCGCCGGAGGACCTCGATCCAATCTGCTCGCGCCGGCGACCTACTAGCCTGGAAGACCGGATAGCCGTCAGCCAGACGGGCAAGCCGGGCAACCATGTGAGCGTGGCGCTGCAGCTCCTTGGCCGATGTCTGGACGAGGGTGTGGCACAATAGGAGCGAATGTAACGCGTCAGTTAGGAGCGGGTGGTAGGTGACGACCTCGGTAGTCGTCGGAGCCGATTCGGCGGCGGCGGAGCCCGCAGCTGCGAGCTCCGTCGCGGGATACGGGGGAAGGCCTGCCAGCGGCGTAGCCGTGAAGAGCGACGCTAGGTCGCACACCGTGTGGCCGGCTGAACTTCCCGCGAGGCTACCCGAATCCTGGGGCGTATGCCGAGTCGGACCATAGTATTTCTTGTTCCGATGAGTCGCCTGGTTGACTTGGCGGCTAAACTCGTCCGATATCTCAATAGGCATGTTTGGCGAATAGTGAAAGTGTTTAAAGTACTCCATGTAATCCCGGAGGGCACGTTTCGCGTACAGCCTCACCGCCTTGCGCATCTCGAGTTGTCTCTTGGTGGGACCCTTGCCGGTCGCGTCTGCCTCCGCCTCCTGAGAGGCCGAATTGCCGTTGGCGACGCCACTGTCCGCGCCGTCCGCATTATCCTGCGAATTTTCATCCTGCTCAGCCGGCGGTTCGGGAAGCGCAAGTGGAACGTGGTCACAAGCCAGAGTCAAGTAGCAGCCAGCACGTTGAAACAGCAGCTGTACCTCTGTGCTGCTGGGCTGATCTCTCTCGTCGAGGGGTGGGTTATCTCGTCGTCGTCCGTTCCTTTTTTCTAGCTGCATCGCCTCTTCGGCAGCGGGGGTATGCCGCGGCTGTTGAAGGCGGCACACTCCCAGAGCGTTAGTCAGGTCCACGACAGCACCTTCGTAGTCGTCCTTGAATATGCGAACGATGGCGCGAGTCCTCAAGGGCTCACAATCCGAAGGTCGTTGCCCAATTATCAAATCGAGCGCGCGGAAATCGGTGCATTCGGCTAGCTGCCGAGAGGGTATCTTCTCGTGGAAGAAGTGGACGTAGTTGGCATCCGGGTCGTCCGGCGCCCTCTGCAGGACCAGACTAGCCACATTCTCCAAGGTAGAGGTGGATTGCATCGTGGCGACGCTCGACGCTATCTCGTCGAGATGGTAGGCGCGCGACAGCTTCTGTGTGGCCTGTTCCCGCATCCGAAACCTTCGCTCAGGACTCAACTTTGTGCCGCCATTGTTGAATCCGAGTCCCAATGCCTGCATATGATGCGCCGTTCCGCCAGCCAGAGAGTTGGAGAGCGCCGAGGATGCGACTCCATTTACCGCTCGCACCGCCAAGTCAGTAGCGCCATCGACGAGTTGCCTTATTTTTACGAGGTCATAAAACACAGCAGGGTCGACGGGGCGCGGGAGGGGCATGTAGTAATTGGCGTTGGCAAGAGTCTCGAGGACTTCGAGGGGCAACTGAAGCCACGGGCCATGGAAGGACGATATATAGCGCCAATGTCTGGAGAATTGCGGTGTCAGCTACCAACCCGAGGGGGAGCAGTGTCGAGTCCACCTTGTGTGCGTATATATACATGCATGTATACACATGATATATGTGTGATATATATGGGTAAAAACTCACTTGTTCCGGCAGATCACAAGGGCGGCCGGAGTCGTTGATTGTGGAGCGGAAAAAGAAGACTTTTTCGTGGACTGCCGTTCCATTGCGGGAGAAGGCTCACCCACATCCACTGCTACGACGGGCTTCTTGTTCTTTTTACCCATCACGCACAGGTGGTTAGAGGGTTCAAGAGAGAGAAAGGGAGGTGTGTTGGTGTGTGCGTGTGTGTGTAATGTATGTGTGTGAGTGTGCGTGGGTGCGGGTGTGTGTTGTGTGTGTGTGTGTATGTGTATGTGGTAGGGTGGTGATGATGTGGTGGGATATACCAATGGTAAAACCGCGCCAGGTGCGTTGGCTGTCTTATACCCCCGCAGGAGGTGGGTAGACAGGAGCTAGATGCCCCTGCGAAGAAGAATGGCGAGGACGGTTGCTAGCAATGCAGATGTAGGTCGTGACTAGGGGTAATACGTCTGTATGTCCTAGATGTATGTGGGTGGCTATGGTGAGGATGATAGAGGGTAGATGATAGAGGCCATGTGGGTTGCTCATGTATGTGTGAGGGGAGTTTGATATACGGAGACGGGAAGAGCAACAGGCGTCGTTGATCACTCCTCAGCCAGCGGATAATGCGCTGCCATTGGTATGTACGGAGGTTGACGGAAGTGAGTGGCGCAAGACCTCAGCGACTATGGCTGATTCGTCCAAGGGTCTGTCCTGGTTCGGAGTGTCGTGCAGTTCACCGATGTTCGTCCAGGGGAGGATGATGATGACTACGATAACGATGTACGTAGCAGATGCCCAGGCACATAGACGTGGGTAGGCGTGTGTATGCGCGCGTAAGAGAACGTGTGAATGTGTGTGTATGTGTGTGTGATAGTTCAGCAGATGTCCAGTCTAGAAGAGATCAAGGAGGTGTGCGGATATATGCCCGCGTGTCCGGGGCAGGTGTAGAGGTGCAGAGGTGTTGTGTGTAGTGCGAAGAATGATGTCGGCAAGGCGTTTAGGATTTGCGAGGCATTCCAAGCACATCCAATCGAAGCACAATTGTAGGCAACATGCGCGCAAGAAAAAAAATCAATTTGGTTGGTTCAATTGGTGGCCCCCATCCCGTAGTGATCGCAGCAGATTTCTAGCTAGCTATATTGCTCCCTAACTCTTATCGTTGCTGCTGAAATCTGTCAAAAGCCGAAAATATTCCCACACTTCTTATCATCACGTGCGTTTCTTGACTTTCTCTTTTCCTATGGTGTATTGACGTTTTTTAAGTACCTCCTCCACGAGGGGAACCTAATATACTATAGGTACCTACAGATCAGTAGGTTACTTAACGAAGGATAGGTTCGGCCCCTAACAGCGCTACTTGGTAGTCTTCGTCATTTAGCTCATCTCCTACCTAGGTACCTAGCATCCTAGCATGGAGAGGAGGGTAGGAGGTACCTCTATGGAAGTCAAGTAGGATACAGCGAATGGGATCCCAACAGCTTACTTTGAGTGGTTTGAACTTGATAACCCCAAGTTATGGTTGCGATGGAGGCACCACCTTATAGGAGGTAGGTAGGTACCTTAGGTTGGGTATATTTCTGACGGTGACATTCTGCTATTCTCATCTAGACGTACCTAAGCACACAACACAAAGCATACCTTAGGTACCTATACATCTAAGGTAGGTAGGTAGGTACCTAAGGCACATAAAGTAAATATCCTCGGAAAAACATCAGTAACCTACTCATATACTCAACTCGCCTTTCCAGTTCCTGGCACACTACTATACAACCCTAATGAACAGATGCCTTCTCTACCTCGACCGTGCATCGACGGCGTGTAAGAAAAAAGACGTAGGTAGGTATTCACAATTTCACCCCCCCCCCCCGGAGCTCACCTGCTCACATTTCTCTCTTAACTAGTTCTCCTTGATCGATCGTTGCCATTCCTTCCTTACCTCTGCGAGGAGGCCATCCTGCGTCAGGACGTCTATGGCTGTACCCGCCAGCGCTTTTCCCACCCGTAAACTTCTCTCGAATGCCTCCCTTGTCGCCGCTGCCTTGGCGAAGTCGGGGCTGTGTGGCCCGTTCCCTTCCGGCCCTGGTGGGATAGCGAACCCCGCGCTCAGGCTGGGCATGGCGTAGCTGATGTCGCCCTGGTCTGTGCTGGCCATCGTTCGGCCCTCTATTTCGTCGAAATCGGCGTTGCCTGGGATGGGTCCGTTTGGAGGCGAGAGCTCGTTGAAGTATTTCCTATAGGAAGCTCCCAGCACGCGATTCGGAACGTGGTCGGCATAGGACCGCGTCGGAATCAACCTGAGTGTGCAGCCGGTCGCAACCGCGCCAGACACGAAGCAGTTGTCAACCTTCTTCTTCAGCTCCCTGACTCTCTTCTGCGTGTTCGCCCGGCACACGAAGTTGCCTGCCGTGTAGGCGTGGATCACGTTCGGCCGAACCCCGCCGTCCGTGATGTTCCCCTGGATCACGTCGCCCGGCATCGTCTGTTGTCGAAGGACGGACAAGGCATTGTAGCCCGTAATCAAGGCATCGAGAGCGTTGAGGCCCAGCCAGGGACTTGCCGCGGCGTCTGTAACGCTTGGTGTGAGCACTCTCATCTCGACTGACGGGCGAGATCATTAAGCGACCGATTTCTCGGAAACTGTGCCCTCCTATGTGGCGAATCAAGAGGTCTGATGAAGATCACCTACGGGCTTCGCGTCCGATATATTCAACCTTGAATGCGTGATAGGCGGATGTACGCATGAGGGCGGTATCTGCGGTAATTCCGGGGTGCGATATCAAATTGATGTCCACGTTGTGATCCCGGTAGGCTCCAGCTCGCAGGAGTTCGATCTTGCCGCCTCCACCTAGAAATCGTCAAGATACCGTTCGACGAATTCGAAGCCGGAGAAGACGATCGCCCCGCCTACGACCTACCTTCCTCGGCTGGTGTCCCGAACATGACGACCTTGCCGCCCAACCCGTGCTCCTCCATCACGTTGGCAGTTGCTAGCCCGCCGGCGACAGACGCGGATGCGATGAGGTTGTGCCCGCAGGCGTGTCCAATTCCCTCCAATGCATCTACACGCTCCAGTCAGAGAACTATACCCGCAGGACGTGAGCGGGACGCACCCATCTCGACGTTGAACGACACGACCGGGCCCGGCTTCCCGCTATCGAAGACGGCAACCCAGGCGGTTGCCAGGTTATAGGCGGACGGCGTCACCTCCCATCCCGGCCTACTTTTCATGAAATTAGTGAGGGTCTCATGGGCGATGAACTCTTTGTATCCTAGCTCCGGGTTGTCGTGGATCTTCTTGTTAACGGGCCATAAGTCGTCGGCGATGCTATCGACGAAGTGGTTGATCTCGCTGAGATAGCCGTCCTGGTGGGTTACGACGACGAAATCGTCGGCTGGCGAATCCATGGTATCCGGATCGTTTACTTGTCGACTCGAGCGCGCCTAACAATGCAGCGAATTCGATGGGACTAGCCGGGAAGACGATGAAATTGTTGTCATGAAGTAGGTAACAAGAGGAGGAGGTCGAGCACGGCCCCCAAGTTCGACGGATGAGATAATTAGGTACGTTATTGGATCTACGGACCTTCGCGAGCTCAGGTCGCTTCGCTTACAGACCGATAGTTAGGCTATAAATATCTCTGGACGGGTAAATGCCCCATACTTCCGGCTCCCTCGTATGCAGCAAGACGAGGGTATGCGCTACGAGGTGTACTCATATGAGAGGTACGTGTGCAGGTATGCGGGCGCAAATAAGCGGGTTTCTCCCCGCATCCTGGGCCGGGTAGATATCTTAGGTGCCTAGGTGGGTACCTACCTCTGTAGCAGATAGGTATAGCATGCCAATACTATGCCTATTCGCGTCCATACCTGGGTTCGGCGATGCGATACCACACACGGGCTACACGACGACGACAACAGCTGATGCTCCACATGGGACTAGGGTTAAGACGAATCCGGGAGGTGGTGAACACGGGTCGGAAGAAGAGGTGAGGTTGGTGCTCGCGTGCATTTCACGCCCACGCGAGATACGTCGCCGGTACATGCAGGTAGGTACATACCTCCTACCTCCTAGGCACACGAGGGCAACGGTGATCCCCATAATGCAGTAGATAGAAGCCACCAGCCCTGCCCTGTCCAGTGCCCTGCCTGCTGCCAACAACAACCCTTAGGTACATCCCACCTTGCCTATAAGATAAGAGGAGGTCCGATCGGGAGCTGCCTACCGACGACGATGCTTTCTTATCGCCGCCATGAGCTCGGTCTGGAGTTGTCCGATTCGTTGTCGTGCACCCCTCAGAATGCTGCTGAAATAGTAACCGTCCAACTCCGTGTCCCTACGTGTTGCGTCTCTGTATTTCAGTCGGGGTAAGCCCCTCCCTATGGACTGCCCGGCCGAGAGCACCACACGAGAACTCCGAGACGAGACCTGTTGTCAGTAGGCAGGATCATCGACGAGCGGAAACCCACCTTCCCCAGCCAGTATGGCGTCCGAAGAGAAGCCCCCGAGTCACGATGTCGACAAGTCCACGTCGGTTGCCCACGAGGTCAAGGTGGCCGAGGCCGACATTAAGGACGAGGCCGGTGCCTTTGCTGTGAGAGCCTTGATGAGCGGCGCCGTAGACGACGAGGCCTCGCGGAAGGTGAGACGGAAGATCGACTACAGGATCCTGCCCTTCATGTGTATCACCTACGCCCTCCAGTTCATCGACAAGACCTCCTTGGGATACTCGTCCATCTACGGCATCATTCCCGACAACAAACTCCAGGGCCAGGATTATTCGTGGGCCAGCTCGATTTTCTATTTCGGTGAGCAAATGTCCGCTGGTCCGTAGCCGCCGGCGATGGTGTTCGCTCATGATCCTAGGCTATCTCCTTGCTGAGTATCCCGGTATCGCTATTCTGCAGAGGTTCCCGGTCGCCAAGTTTCTCGGCGTCAATATCGTACTATGGGGCGCGATCCTGATGGTCACGGCAACATGCTCTTCTTTTTCCGGCCTTGCGACGGCGAGGTTCATTCTAGGGATGGTCGAGGCCACGATCTCGCCCGGATTTGTAGCCATCACCGGAATCTGGTGGACTAGACAGGAGCAAGCTGGCCGGTCGGCTCTATGGATCTCCTTCCTCGGCGTCGGCAGCTTCGTCGGAGTGCTGTTGGCTTATGGAATCGGCCACATTCAGGGCTCCCTATCCACTTGGTACGGCGATTACCCCCATTTTTTCCCTTTTTCCTATGCATCCTCGCATACGCAGGCGCGGCAGAATGCGAGCCCTTATTCGGACGATGAGGCTGAAACAGGCGGAGTAGATGCTAACGCTCGAATTACTACTCTAGGAAATACATATATCTCATCTTGGGGTCCGTAACCATCGCGTGGGGTATCGCATTCGCGCTATTCGTGCCAGATAGCCCGACAAGCGTCAAGTGGCTCGGAGAGGACGAAAAGGTCGTTGCCATCCAGCGCGTGATCGAGAACAAAACCGGTACCAAATCGCGCCATTTTGTCAAGGACCAAGTGATGGAAGCGGTCACGGATCCCAAGGTCATCGTCCTGGGCTTAATTTCCTTTGTCAACGCCATTGCCTCTGGCGGGCTCGCCTTCGGCTCGTTAATCATCCAGGGTTTCGGTTTTACTCCCCTCCAAACCACGCTTATGAATCTTCCCTTATCTATCGTCCAGGTTATAGCGCAGCTCGGCGGCGGGTTTCTGACCACTCGAATCAGTAGCTCCCGCCTACACGTTGCCTCGGTAGCTATGATCCCCCCAGTATGACCGTCCTGCCTGTCACATAATATCAGCCGTGCATCAAAAATCCCAAACTAATAATTTAATCCCAAGATCGTGGGTACGGTACTCATTAACCAACTGCATGAATCCAATAAATGGGGGCGGCTTGTTGGTGTTTGGTTGTTGGTGAGTCCTGAGCTGATGCATATGGCCCCTATATTCCTCCAACATGAACCCCACACGGACGCCCGTATTGACCCGAGAAAATACAGGGCTCTTATCCGGTAGGGTTCATGATAATATTGGGCTTACTTTCAACCAATATCGCTGGTAGCACCAAGAGATCTGTGGCCTCGGGGTGGGTTTTTGTCTGCTACTGTGTCGGTCAGATCGCGGGGCCACAGTTCTTCAAGAGCACCGAGGCGCCCGCTTATCGCAGTGGCATCGTAGCCATGCTCTGCGGCTTCGTCCTAAACTTGATTCTAAACCAGGTATTGCGATTCCTCTACGTACTCGAGAACAGGAAGCGAGACAAAGACCTTGAGGGGAAGTCCGAGGACGAGATCGCCGAGATGAAGAGAACGGGTGATCTACAGGGGTTTGAAGATATTACTGATAAGAACAACGTGAGTGGCCCCCGAACTTATGAGGCGAAGAAAAGATTGACAACGTACAGGCTACGTTCCGATATGCGTTGTAATGAAAGTTCGTTCATATTCGCGGTGGATATCTCTTCAGGGAGGTGTTATACCTGTGAAGCAGTTCAACCGGGTTAAACAATTGTACCTAGAGTTATTTCCCTGCGTTCCTAACCTAACGAATCCTAACCACAGCACTACTAAATTCTAAACTATTTCCACCTTACTAGTCCCTGTTTAGTGCACGTCGCGATCTTCCTCCGGGCTCGCACTGTGCGCCGCCGCCGCCGCTGCTGACTCGGTGGTGCCAAGCGTCTAGCCACCCTTCTCGATGCGGTTCTGGCCGCGGAGTTCTAGGCCCAGGTTCTGGCGCCCTAGAAGGGCATGTAGAAGAAGAGGAGGAAGAGGAGAAGGAAGGGCAGGGTGATGCGCCGGGCCCAGTGGCCGAGGCGTGCGGGGCGAGCGTACGGGGTCGAGCCGGTTATTTGAGCCCCGCGCGGCGTTGAAGACGGACGCGTCGTAACTGTACAGGACCATGCACATGGCCGCCCTGGGGGCGATATACCTACCTAGCAAGGGCTAGTCTAGCGCTGTGTTCATGCGAGAACTTCGACCCGCCAGTTTTAGGCCCTCTTTGCGCTCCCATATCGACGGCTAGTACCGACGATGTCTAGCTGCGGTGTTGGGCCAAGTCGAGAGTCGAGACAGGAGGTAAGAGATTTCAGAGAGACCGCGGGGACGGGGGTGGACGAGGGAGTCGCGGAGCGAGCACATCCTCTTCATACGCGCCTCTCGCCGATGTCGGCGAGGAGAGTAGGGGGCGAGATTGGCTTGGCTCGAAGGTTGTGGCTGGCCGTGGGCAAGGAGACATGGTAGTAAGGTAGTGTGGGAATAATATTAGATAACTTGCGCAATTTCGTCAATTTAGGACTAGTATTAGGTAGGTACGGAGACGTATGGTGCGGGTATGAGTAACTCTAGAGTCCCCGAAACCAGCAACAATCTATACCGAATCTAGGTCCAAGTCTATAGAAGCATATCAGTTACACCTCTCCCTCGTGTCATCAATAAGACAAGAATCGTTTCTAGTTTGTCGATGGCTCTAGCGTGGTCGCTCAAAGGAGCTTAGTCTACAGGTACATGTTTCCGTTGCGAGTTTACTGTTCGACATGCTACAAAGATATATATAATTTGTTCAGATATGTTTGGTAAAATATACACTGGGTTGTTGTTTCTCTATAGTTAGGTACGCTACAGTTTCGTGAATGTGCCGTAGTATGGAGCAAGACTCCGGGTAGCATCGCGAGCAGCTCGTAGTTACGTCCTATTTAGCCTGCGATCAACCTTAGTTCACCTACTCCAAGACTCATCGAGATGTGACCAAATAAGGTGACTCCTGATTTGGTTTAATTTACAAGACAAGTCGAGAGGCTCTTTTACTCTCACCCAATACCCAAATCAAATTAGACATCACAATTACGGCGAACAGGATGCGGCATAGAATCTATTTCGTACATTCGTTCAGTTCTTAAATCGGATAGATCGTCCATCATTAGCCGGTTCTAGACTCCTCCACTCTCTCTTCGCTCCCCCTTCACTCCCTCCCCTCTCACCCAGTCACCCGTCTTCTTTAACGTACACACCTAGATAGACGGAAATGCCCGAAAGCCAAGTAAGTTCCTCGATGACCGCCTCCTTGCCCCCATTCCCAAGTCCCTCTCCTAACGCCTATCTATGCAATTGAAGACCACACCAGTTCCTTTCCTAGGCCCCCTTCTCCTTTCCCATCTCCCGACCGTCTCAGTACGGCAACTAAACTTTCTACCCCGTCAGTCCTCCAACTTTAGTACGAGTCTTTCCTCCATTTATAATAGTAAATCAGGTATCTCAAGGGTGCTCTCCTTCCCGAAATCACTGCTCAAACTTAGCTGCCCTCGACCCGCCGCCGGCGCCGGCGCCGGTCCTCATCAGGGCCTCGACGTCGACGTCGACCCACTTCATCTCCCTCGGCGGGGGCGGGGCCGCGATATGCTGGCCTGAGTGTGCGTGCGCGTGCTGGGGGTGCTGGGGGTGCGAGTGCGGCGGCGCGTACCGCTGCATCTGCTTGCGGACGCGCAGGCGGTCAGAGAGCTCGGCCGAGATGAGCTCGAAGCTCTGCTGCAGCGACACACACGTATCCCAGCGCTCGCCGTACTTGGCGAGTGTACGCGCGGCCTTCTCGAGGCATGCGATGCTGCGGTCGACGTTATCCGCTGTGGCCCCCCCCGCGCCCGCCGGTAGTCCTCCGCCCGAATTTGCGCCTGCGATTCCGGCGCCGGGCCGCGGCAGTGGTGGCGGTGGCGGTTTGCCTAGCTCGACGAGGGGCAACGGCACGGTAACACCCGCTAGTAGCAGGTCCTCCGCGTCGCGGAGAACAGCGACGAACTGGCTCGCCATGAAGAAAACGCGCAGCGCATCGTGGTACGTGTAGAAGGCGGTGTTCCTGCCGACGTTTGCGCCACCGCCGGCGTGCGCGATCTCGAAGATGCGCTCGACGTAGGCGATAGCATGCTCGAAGATAAGCAGGCGCCCGTAGTCGGTGAGGTGCGGGGCGCGCGCCGACGGGGCGATGCAGTACACGAAGCTGTACCGCAGCTCGAGGTCGAAGAGCTCGCGCATGCCGGGGGGGAGCGACGTCGGCAGCGCCTCAGCCCACTCCCGCATGTCCTGGCACACCTTCCAGATGAACGAGGGCGCGTCTGGCAGCGGCGTCGGCTCCGACTGGAAGAGCGCCTGGTACCAGTGCGACTGCGCCCGCCGCAGCTGGAACAAGAGGAACGCCGGCTCTGACCCTGACAGTATCTGCCCCGTGATCGACGCCCGCCGGCTGAATGACGATGGCCGAGGCCAGGCCACGTTCGTCGCCGCGTCGGTGAACGAAAAAGCGCGAGCGTGGACCATGCTGATTGATCTGAGTTTGCGCGCGTCAGTGAGTCGACCGGTCGCGGGTGAAGGCTTCACGATGTACTTACCTATCTAGTGAGTAAACGCAATAGAAGGTCTTCCGTCTCATATCCAGCGCCGCTTTGTCCGGCAATTGCTCGATTGGGGGGTCCTGGTGAAATCCTAAATCAATTACCGCTCTGCAGGTGAAACCGATGAGATGCCAACTGTCGAAGTGGGTGGGATCGAGCATCGAGTATTGCGTGAGGAGGATTAGACACTGAATCTGCGTAGTGTAGCCCGGCATCAACGCTCTGTCGGCATGTTGCAGGGCCCGTGATACGAAGCACAGCCCATTGATGTAGTAGTCGTCGTCCTTTGCTCGACTCTGGGCGGTGGACCCGATGGCTAGCACCATGTACACAAGCCAGTAGTCGGCATCCTTGATCGCTCTCTCCTGGAAGGAGTACATCTGGTCGAGGATGGTGTAGAGCGTCGTTTCAGGGAAGGCGGGATATAACGAATAGATATTAGCCATGTAATGCTGGACAAGGGGGAGAGCATCTTGTCGAGGAGGCAGCGCCCAATCCCCGATTTCCGGTAGAGGATCGTTAGAAGCGGCAGCTAGCACGAGCCGCGCAAAGGTCATGTTGGTCATGGAGGGCTCGAAGTCCCTCGTCGTGGCATTGATAGATCTTGCACCTTGATTAGCACCCGGGCAATTCCTCTTGTCACACGGTAGAGTGACTCACAGAAAGCCGAAATCAGACAAGAGCGAATTAACATCGGACATCTCGCGCTTCCGCGCAGCCTTCCGATAGATGGCAGCCTTGATGATGGCGAGCGAATCTTTTCGGTCAGACTCCGGCGCTGCCGGCGCTGCCTCGGACTCATGCTGGGCGACGGAAGCCTTCCTCGACCGAGCATATTCGAGGCGTTTTTCCAACTTTTCTATGCGGAGCTCGAGGGCAGCAACGTAACTGGACAGGAAATGTGAGCAGGGGTAGTCAGAGGGGAGAGAGGGAGGGTATTGGTGTCTGTTCGTCAGGTATCTGGTCTGTCTTACCTTCGCTCCTTGCCTCTGGCGAATTGATCGTTGGCGGCCGAGCACTCATTCTCCCGACCGGCCTTCTCGCAGGCCGTACATGCCGGTAGCTTTCCGTCACACTAGCGATCCTCACGGTCAGCACCCAAGTGACGAAGAGGGGAGGTACAGCGACATCCTCGGGCTAGCTACCTTGACTTTGGCGGCTCGACCTAATAACAACTTAGTTGGGGTACTTTCTAGTCAGGTATAGGAGAGGAGCACTGACATCTAGAGCAAGCTGACACCGGTCGCGACACGCGCAACAACGGATTCTCCGAAAAGCTCGAGCGCGGCATGCTGACCGGGCTGGAGCAGGCGTGATGTGAAAAGAGGGCAGGGTGCGTGGTGTCCGGGATTGCGGTTCTTCCAGGTCTAGATCTCGACTGTCGGATACTACACCTATAAGATGGCGCGACCGCAAGTGGAGATATCGATCATAACCTTGGAGGCTCCAGGCTGCGCGAGTCGTGCGTTCCTAGCCGATATGTAGCGCATGGAGATCGTGGGATTCAATTTGTCCGGTAAGGCACGGCAATGGCGAAGAGGGGCCGGGAAACAGAGGGGGGATGTAAGCGAATAGAGGATATAGGGGCATTAATAGGAGTAAGGGTGATGTAGGTAGGTATGTTAATGAGAATAACAAGAACAACAGAACGACGGCAGGCGGTAGTAGGTAGAGAAGACAACACGAAGAAGATGACGAAGGAGAAGGACAGGATAATAATAGTAGTAGTAAGTGGTCGTAGCCGTAGCCGTAGCCGTAGTCGCAGTCGCAGTCGCGGTCACAGTCGTAGCAGGAATAGGCGGGATAGAGAAGAATACCCGGACAGGTTACAGCAGCAAGGCGAGTTGGATAAAGAATCTGAGAGCACGTGGAATTGGAGACTTCTGACCCTCGCAGCCAAGACCAGTCCCCGGGGGGCGGGTCGAGCCAGAGGCAGCTGTAGAGGACCCCACCGCCCAAGTGCTGTACCTATACTGGGAGATGCCCAGGCCGCTTCTGCTAATCTCACGGTCGCGACCACGGACTCAGCTCGTTTCACCCCGCTTCCTGTCTGCCGCTCGCGTGGTGTTTCAAGAGCGGAGCAGACCGTAGCTAAGCTATACTATACCGGCTGGGGAATCGGCAACCCAAAAAAGTGAGGGAGGGGGGGCGGCGGAGCAACGATCTATTGGGAAACGGTCAGGGATTTGATGGTTTAAAATGTAAAAATATATAATAGAAGAGAGAGAGAGAGAGAGAGAGGGAGAGGGAGAGGGAACGGGCAGTTGAGGAGGGGCGTGTATCACAAAATGTGGGGGTTGTGTTAACTCTCGAACGACAGACACATGAAGTACCTCTGTTCTCAAATGGGTGGTATCGTGACGTAGGTATTATATCCAGGTAGGGAGGTATATGAGGTAATATATGTATGCCTAGCAATGTGTATGCGTTAAAGCGGGTGCCGCAGTAGTAAGACGCATGTGTGGGCACATGTACCTATATGTGCAACCTACCGTGCGTAGGTACTTAACCCAAGTACTTGTAGTAATATAGCTGTAATATAGCTCCCCTATTGTATACCTGCATACCTCCTATAGGCTTGGGTGGGCATCTATCTACCTAGAGTATGTAGAACCCGAAGCTTCCGCGTCCCAAGATCGTTCTCGGTGAACCATTTCCAGACACGCCCACATTACGCACAAGCATCTACCCACCCGCTTCATCACCTTCATTCCTACACGCACACCCGAATAGGCATAAGCTATGTGCCGAAGCCTGTATGTTAATAATGACGATCAGCTGTCAGCCCTCAATCGTTCTCTCTCTCTCTCTCTCTCTCTCTCTCTCTCTCTCTGTGTGTGTGTGTGTGTGTGTGTGTGTGGTGTGTTCCCCTATCCATCTTTCTCTAACTCACTCTTCCAAGGAGTCTCCGTCGGCCGACTGATCTGGATATTGGGCCCAAGTGGCCCAGGCCTGAGTTCTATTTGTGTTATAAAACACTAGCTACGCCTGCGAAGCCGGGGCCAGGGCCAGCACGAGGATGGGTCGGTTGGTAGGTATAGATCGTGGTTCGCGCATGTGGCTCTATCGCAAGTCAGGCGTGCCGTAGTATTAGTGCAAGATTCCTCCCTGCATCAGGGGAGGAACGACAACCCCGGCACGCCCTGCAGAACGCCTGTCGGATCGCGAGGTCGCTCCCGCTCCTCTTCGTCCCCACTGCGCCTCCGGCTTCGTCCACGTACCTAGTAAGGCTGTCTCGTTAATTTTACAATTGAGGCCCTAGCTACCTCCCTCTCTCCCACCATGTTCTGTCTCTACCCCTTCACCCCCCCTCGCTCTTGCTATCATGTTAGGGGACAGCTGGGCGAAAAGAAGCACGTCATGGCATGGCCGAGCAGGAGGCGGCTTGTCCGCAAATCTGGCTGACAGCGGGGTGGCGCTCGTTCCCAGAGAGCTAAGCGGCTCGACGGCCGCGGACGAGGCTCTGGGAGAGGGATGAAGGGGGGCGGGATCGTCCTCGGGAGGCGCGACGACAGGCAAGCTGCTACGTAGCATAGTCGGAGAGAACGTTAACGAGGTGATTATTCCCGTTTCCTTGGTTTGTGGGTGGTCTCAAACATGCATATTCTTACGTCGATGGTGGATGGGTAGCATACGATGCCTAACATATGGTCGCTAATTAATCCATACTTGGCGATCAGTTGGTACAACCCAAGATAAAATAGGCGTCCTCAAACCGATGCAACCGTTGCAGAATAAACAACCTAGGCAGATGAGGAAGTGTACTTATCGGATAGACAAGTTATTTCCAAGAATAGAAGCGGAATTCCACCATCGGGCCAGGAATGAATCCTACGACCTGTAGGGGCCCGTCTGGCGTGGATACCGGCCGGTGTAAGTCAGGTCCAGCCGTCTGCGAGTAGGTAGTGAATCTTGGGGAAGCGCAGAGGCGATGGCACATCGTAGCATGCGTAATGCCTGTTAGCCAGGTAAAACAGAGGCACGAGAGTACGAAACAAGAGCGCATGCCGCTAGAAGTGTGTTTTTATCCGGCCGGAGCGATGGCGGAGTCGCAGCGAGGGATCGAGAACTGAAACGCGGCGATAGGAGAGGACAGAAGCTGCCGGTGCAGCTCTCTATCTCCCTCTCCCTCTCCCTCTCCCTTCTCTTCTAGGGGTTACAAATCACTCGCAGCATCTGGCTGTCTGCCTCTCGAGTTAGGCCGGACCGAGGGATGACGGATGGGATATGGCCCGGATCGATGGTAACAGGAAAGGGACAAATTAAGTCTACACCGCATAAGGGAAGACACACACAGAACCACCCCACATCGATCAGGATCCATTCTGCGGTAACTTAGGTGCGCGGCTGGTAGGGTGGGAGGTAGTAAAGTACCGACGATAGCGAGGGTAACGATGAAAGTAGGTAATAATAACGACGATAATAAGTGTAACTGGAGACCTTCCAGACTCTTCGTTGGGGTTTTTTTTCCCCTTCGTCATTGCCCCCCAGCCGGCTTTTGCGACGTTTCTTTTCTCTTCTTTTCTTCTTCTCCTAATTCTACTTCTGGTCATTATTTACCTCCTACTCTATTCGTTTATCTCTCCGTTTTATCTCTCTACTTATTCTATACTTGGTACAGGCAGGACCTGGAGTCACCCACAGCCGTCGACGGGCATCCGGAAACCGAACGAGCTTACTGAAGTTACACCAAGACTCCCATTTCTCTTCTTCCACGAAGCCTGCTGAGCCTGCCTACCTACATACCTACATATCACATACTACGCACACGCTCACTTATACACGGCATCTCGCAGACGGATGCCCTGTGTCGTCTGTGCTCCTTCGACCGCTGTCCACGACAAGCTTGCGCCAACCATTCATCGTTCTGGTTAGGAAATTAAGTCGCGCCGCCTACCTAACCTGCTTATACATACATACATACATCCATCCATATGCCACACACAACATACAGCATACAGCATACAGCATAGCAACATCTACCTACACACATACACATACCTACCTCTAGTCTCGCTATCCAGACACCCCCAAGGCTATAGTGGCCAATACATGCGGGCGTGAACGTGTGGATGAGCGTGTGTGACAGGTACCTACAACCCCGGTAGCATTACCAACTGGCGAAATACCAATTGGTGAATTACCAATTGGTGAATAAGGAAGGATAGCACAGAGGTAGGTAGGCCAGGTAGTTTTTCATCTTACGGTACGGGACCTCGCGCGCGTTCTGGGTCGCTAACACGGCGTATCCGAGAATAGGCGGGTACTTGGACGTAGATCGTCTACCATGTACGCGAGCATCCTCGAATTGCAGCATCTGCAGCCCGCTGCGGCGGGTATGTACAGCGGAGGGGGCGGTGGAGGCGGTACCGGTACAGCGGCTGTTGGCGCCATGGTTAGTGGCCCTGGTGGTACTGCCGCTGGCACGGCTGCTAGCCGGGCTACTAACATGGCAGCGGCTGGTACTGGTACTGCTGGTACTGGTACGACCAGCGATTCGCCCAGTTCTAATAGCAGCGCCCGCGGCGCCGCCGACTTCCCAATGTGCTCCACCCACGATGGCTATTACACCTTCACCGGCGACGACTCTCCCTTCTACAGCCGCATCTTCGAAACCTTCTGTGCCGACCCGCCCAAACCCCGAGGCTATGATAAGGTAGTCAGGTTCCAACTGCTGCCGTACAATCCCCGTCCCGCCAACCAGCCCGGCTCGCTCTCCTTCGCTTCCGACCCTACGAGCCCGCGAACCTGTGTGCAACCGGCTATTCCTCTCCCCCGCGTTCCCAGGGGCCAGCGAAGAACGCACTTGTCCTACGATCCCACGGCTCGGAAGCGCCAGCACATCAAGCCAGACGCCGCCATGGACGTCTCCGGTATCCTCCGCCCGGTCCACGGTTTCGGTGCCTACATCCCGAGACCGCTGCTGCCGCCATCGCAAGCGAAGAAGATAGCCAAGGCTGATCACCACGACGGTGAAGCCTCGCATCGCATCGCGCACACCCTCACAGCCTGCTGCCGATGTCGTCAGGTGAGCACCCTCCCTCCCTCTACCCGTCCCTTCGCGTCTTCCCCTCGGGAGTAGCGCCCCAAGTCCGTAATTCCGAGTTGACCCTGACTGTGCCCGCATGTGTAGAGGAAAACACGCTGCGATCCCACCCTGCCCCGTTGCTTGCCGTGCGAGCGTTCGGGCTCGGTCTGCGAGTACTTCGACACCGCCAAGAACAAGAGGATAAGCCGCTATTACGTCGTCAAGCTCCAGGAGAAAGTCAGAGCTCTCGAGGCCGAGCTCGGCCAGTACACGGACGAAGACGACCTACCCAAGAACCACGAGGACTTTCTCCGTCCCGGCGGCCTCGTCCGCCTCAACGAGACCGACGAGACTCCCCGCTACCTTGGCCCGTCGAGCGGCATCGCCATGACGCGCATACTCATGGAGGAAGCCAAACGCTACACCGATTCGAAGCGCATATCCGAGCTGATACCAGACGTTCGCGAGCGACGACAGCCTCACGCCGCCAATTTCCCCAGCACACGGTCGCAGTCCTTCGCCATGCCGCCGACCGTGTCGAGAAAGAAGAGTTACCCTATCATCAGTGCTGTTGCGGCGCAGAACCTTCCGAGTAAGGTTATCGCCGACAGGTTAATAGAAGTATTTCATCAACGAGGTATGGCCTGTCTTTCTTTTCTTTTTTTCTATTCCTCTTTCCCCTGCCCTCGTGCATCTTTCTCTTCTTCTGCGGGCTTATTGCAAGGTTAACTTATTATTCTATCCGTCTAGCCCAAGTGTTCACACCCACTCTCCACGAGAAGGCGTTGGCGTCGACGCTAGAGGATGTCTACGCCGGAAGCGAAGACCCTTACAAAAACTTCGTAGTGCGGCTCGTCATGGCGACCAGCATGCAGAAGCTAGACACCGCCTACGCGGGGCTTGCAGATAGTTACTACCTGGCTGCCATGAAGTACTTCGAGGACGTCGTACGGCCCAAGGACCTCAAAACCCTTCAGTGCCTCGTCCTGATCGGACAGTATTCGCTGCTAACGCCTACCAGGACTGCGGTGTACTACATTGCTGGTCTAGCGACGAGGATCTGCCAGCAGCTCGGTCTGGCCGACGAGAAGACAATCTCGATAGGTGCCAACGACCCGCTAACCCTGGATATGCGACGGCGATTGAGCTGGATCGTCGGCACTATGGAGCTCGGCCTAGCCCACAGCATGGGCCGCCCGAACGGATTCGCCAAAAGCGACGATATCAACGATGTGAGGTTCTTCGAGACAGTAAGCGATGCGAACATCAGCGAGGCTGGGATTACCCCTGGTCCCCCAGACGAGAAGAAGCTCGTTGCTATTCACTTCTGCAAGATGCGGCAACATCAGGCCGAAATTCGACGGGTCTTGTACGAAAAGAAGCACCCAGAGCCTGCGGACGATCGCGACCCGTGGTTCGCGCGGATGGAAGCCACCATGGATCAGTGGTTAAAGGAGTCCCCTGAAGCCCCTGCATGGTGTAGACCATGGTACGAGGCGAATGCTCTAACTCGCTGTCGTGAACGATTGCTAACGTGCGTGCAGGTTTTCGGGACGATTTCATACCATGATGGTAACACTCCACCGGCCGTCGCCCCAGATCCCCCGCCCCTCCGTACGGTCGGCGACGAAATGTTTCGACTCGGCCGCCTTTGTGATCGACATGTCTAGCAAGCAGATGATGGCAGCAGCCGTCGACATCACCTGGATATTTGTATTGACTCTTTACATGTCGCTGAACACCCTCCTCTGGAGCGTTACCTACCCCGAGATTCGGGCGCTGCATTCACGAGACGAGGTCCAGGAATTGGTCAACATCTCTCTAGATATCATCGACCAGTGTGCCGAGAGGTGGCCGGGCACCACCGCAGCATCTCAGCTGTACTCGACGTTCACCAAGGCATGCCTCCAGAGCTACGAATCCAACGAGACGCCCTCGTCGTCGAGCTCCTTCACCACGCCTCCCTCCCAAATAGAGAGCGGCTCGCCCTCGGCATCCGAGATCTCCAGCGCGACGACTGTATCCAAGACCGGTGCTCCCGCTTTCAACCCGCCGAACTTCAGCTATATCTTCGGTTCGGGGCCGCAAGAGATGAACAATTACAAGGTCGAAGACAACTTCCCCTTCCCGCCCACATTTAGATCCAATTCTATCTTCCTCAACCCCGCCTCGAGCGATCATACCGGACGTCGGTTCAGCTATTTCCCCCCGGATTTTACTCAGAACGGCGACATCTCCATGGACGAGAGCAGCCCCCCGGATACCGACTCGACGGTTTCGCCGCCGTTCATGTCCCCCGCGCCGCAGGACCATCTACCGACACCACCGGAATCTATGCATCCCGGAGCTGCCACCACACCAGGCATGACAACCCCAATCCTTTCCACGCCTATGCTCTCGAATTCAAGTCTAGCCCAGACCCCCTCCGAAATGTCGACGCCTAGCACGATAACGACGACGCCGCAACAGCAGCGCGCTCAGCCGGCGGCTTTCGCGATCCCGCCGCCACAGCGCGAAAACAATCACAATCACAACCATAACCACCAGTCTCAGGCGCAACGGCCACTACCCCAGGCGACAGAATGGTTCAACCCTCCGCCGCCGTTCATGTCGCCGTATGGGTTCGGCGGGCTGTCGGGGAGCTTCTGGGGTGATGCATCGTCACCGCCATCGGGAGTGCACAACCACCACCACCATAACGGCTTCGGCGGCGACACAGGCGCCAACGGCAACGGCATGAACGGAATCAACGGCATCGATGGTATCAACGGAATCAACGGCATGCAGTTCACCCACGGGCTCTCGCCAGAGCGACAAGGCAGCCTCAGCCAGGAGCAACAGATCGAGCTCATGGACGTGCTCGAGAACGAGGGCATGACGGACATCGACACGTACCTCAACATGAGCATGGGGATGGGGGCGGCGTACCAGGACCAGGACCAGATGCAGAATCACATCATGGGGTGGGGCGGCCGGTCGTGACGCGCGGCGCCGTACGATAGATAACACAACCGGTTGGAAGGAATTGCATCTTGATTATCGAAGGGGTGAGCACGAGAGATCCGTATAGCGAGGCATTTTTTGCCTCTCTTGCATGCATGTCATCGTGGTCTCATCCCCACGGGGATCTGCCGACAGGTCTCCCCCTCCCTCGCCTCTGCCCGGGGAGGATCAGAAGGGGGACGGGAAAAGTGAAGGAAATGAAAAAAAAAAAGTTCTCTCCAAACGTCGTCGGGATATATGGGATTTTATGTCTACCGGTAGATACCATTTTCTTTTCCTTCATCACCTTTCTGTCGCTATTTTTCTTCTCTCTCCTATCTTATATTTTCTTTGGCATCCGTGTTTCAACAAACACTTGCACGCGCATCCTCTCGTCCCCATCCTTCGGGGGGTTTTTTTTTCTGTTCCGGCGTTCTATATAGCGCAAGAGGGGATTCTAGATATGATTGATGTTCGGATACTATTGAATGCCAGATGAACGATTCTTCTTCTTCTTCTCTTCCCTCCTTACCCACCCTGGGTATTTCGTATTCGAGCGCGGTGCGTCGTGCGCGCGGTAGTAGATCCGCCATCGGGAAGGGCGAGGTGTTGTTGTTCTCCTGCGTAGATAGACGTACGGATGGGGTATTCGTCATGTTTGGCCATCCCCCCTCCCTGATCGGGATGCTGGGGAGGACCCAACGTGCATCTCGTCGCCGAGCGGGCCCAATACTATAAATACATGCACGCGTCACCAAGCTACGTACGTAGCATGTAGAGAGAGTGTGGCGGGTGTCTCGGCTGAGAGACGAGCGCAGGACACGATACAGAGGTGACAGGCAAGACAGGTCTCGGATGTGTCTTTTCGCCGCTGCGAGCCTGCGAGATACGCTCGTGGCGGCGGAATGGGAAACAATTCGTCTCTCCATCCTGCGGGATCACGAGGTAAGCCACTTTGGTTGCCCAGGCGTGTAACTCGTTCGAGCACGCGCGTCCGAGCAGATCTCGCGGGTATACAACTCCGACGCACGGATTCTGGCTAGGCATCTTGGGTGCTGAGAAGTGAAGCTGGGCACGCCGCCCCTTTTTCCTACTAGGGCAGCCACTCACGTGTCGAATACATGGGCGTATGTTGTGATATCCGATTCCTTTTTTTATTCAGAGGGGCGTAGACATTTCCATCCTAGATGCCTGCATTGCTCTGGCATCAACCTAGTCTCTATCCCCCTTCCTCTCGCATCCCCATCCTCGCATCGCCACACCCCCCGCCTCCTGATTATATCCTAAACGCGAGCCCCTCGTCCGCCTGCACCTCGCCGCGCCCGAAGCGGTCCCACCCCTTCCGCACGTCCTCCATGCCCTCGCCCCAGGTGACCCGGAAGCCGGGAAGACCCTCGCGTCGCAGCTTCGCCCACGACCCACCCACCACCGCCGCGTACCCGTCCTCGCCGAGCCGGCGCACCGCCTCCGTCAGCATGTCGTCGGCGTTGACGCGCACGACCTCGAACGGCGGCGGCGGCGGCGGCGGCGGCTCCTTGGCCTCGGCCGGAGCCGGGGGTGCGGACAGCGACGCCTCGTCTGGGAGCTCGCCGCCGACGGCGACGAGTCGCACGCTCGCGCACCCCGCGGCGGCGAAGCCGGCGGCCCAGCGGCCGGACGCGCCGCGGCGCCCGCCGAAGTCGCACAGGACGACGGAGTCGGGCGGGCCGACGCCGAGCAGGGCGGCGGGGCCGGCGGGGCCGTCGTCGGGGCCGCCGAGCACCACTACGCGGTCGTAGAGCCCGGTGGCGCGCGCGAAGGCGGCCGAGTGCTCGCTCGCGGCGGCGACGAGAGCGCGGGGCCGGCCGACGCTGGCCGGCGCGTCGCGCCGCAGCACCCAGGCGAAGGACAGCCCGACCTTGGACGCCGGGGCGAAGCTGACGACGGTAGCGCTGGCGAGGTCGAAGCCGGCGGGGTTCGCGGGAGGGGGGGGCGGCGAAGGCGCGGGGGCCGGCGCCGGCGAGAACACGACGAGCGCCATCAGGTACGCCGTCAGGTGCATGCAGCGCGCGATGGAGTCGTAGGCGACGCCGGGGTCGCGGCGCTCGATCTCGGCCTCGAGGGCGGCGGCGGCGGGGGTGCCGGCGCGGAAGACGAGGTAGCGGTTGTAGATGGGCATGAGGGGGCGGCGGTAGGCGTTGGTGGCGACGAGGAGGCGCGGCTCGGGGCCGGAGCTAGCAGCAGCGGCGGCGTCGGCAAACTCGAGGTCGAGCGCCAGCGTGCCGAGGGGCAGGTAGCCCCAGACGAAGCTGCCGTCGGGGACGGCGGGCAGGGTCGAGCGCAGCACGCGCGCGTAGCCCCAGCAGTTGATGCGGCCGTAGGCAGCCGCGTCGTCGTACGGCGCCGGCGTGCCGGCCGGCAGCGGGTGCACCCCCCACCAGCCGAACAGGTCGCCGAACCGCGCGTACGTGAAGTTGTTGGCGGTGATGGAGAGCACGCGGGTGCGGACGCGGAGCGAGCGCGGGCCCAGCGCGGGCAGGCGCGAAAGCGTGAGGTGTGGGAGCGGCACGAGAGCCTGCGAGTAGAAGTTCTGCTTCGAGAGGATCTGGACCACGGGGACCTCCTCGTCGTCGGACGCCATGGTGGGTGGTGGGTGGTGGGTGGACGGCGTAGGCGACGGAGCTTGGGCCTAGAGAGTAGGGGGGGTAGAGAGTAGAGATAAGAGATACCTGGAGACAGAGACAGACAGAGACAAAAAAAGACGTTCGGAGTCGTTCCCAACCCCGACTTTATATAGGTATCTGCCCGTACCTGCACCCGAGTCTCCGTCGGGACTCTCGTGATTAGCTCCGTTGATTAGTTCACCTTGATTAGTTACCTGAGTTGGTTACCTAGATTGGTTATGTCCGCTGCCTACCGTTGGGGTCACATCTCACGCGCCAAGCTGCTTACCCGTTCGTTGTCTTTATTTTCAGTGTCGAACATCGAATAGGCATGTAGCGGCGACGATGTCATCCTCGGTAAGCTCCCTGGGGTAGTCGGTATGTTAGGTTGTAACCTGTCTCTTCTCTGGTCCGCATAGCTCCATCCGCTTCCCTATCCCCCCACCAAGCTCCGCAACGTGCCCGCACGTACAGGCGCGTAGCGGAGAGGGATTCCGCCGACGCCAATCTCCCCCCCCCTCTGGTCAGCCAGCGCCCCATCGACGAAACCCGGCCTCCTCGCCCCCCCTGCCACCCCCCCCCTCCCACGACAATCTCCGACCAATGCCGCCAGAGGGACCCCCCAGCTGTTGCTCGTGCAACCGGACCACGAGGAGCGCCGACCAGGCTTGCCGCAAACCCCGCGTATATGCAGTGTCTATCTATGCCTGCCCACCTTGCCATACCGACATGGTTCGATGGGATATCCAGCTAAGCACATCCACACCACGACCCTTCTCCTCGCTTGGCGGTCTGCCTCGCATTGGCACCGACGTACGGGCAGACGGGGCGAGCGAGCGAGCTCCATCGCGGCCAATCTCGGCCGGGCCCCCCTCCGCGGACCGCGTCGCCGGGGGCGCCAACGGCTCGTCGTCGAGCGCTAAGCGGGCTTTACGCAGGTACCTCTATCATACGCCGTAAAGATACCTAGGTCCACCATATACCTACCTACCTACCTACTCCCAAGACCTGCTTTCCACCTCCTGCACCTGTTGGCGCGAGCACCCGGGCGGGAACCCGCAGCGCCCTCGCTCTCGGACCTGACCTACCTACGTCAACGTCTCCTATCCGGCCAGGCCAAGCCAAGCCAAGCCAAGCCAGCAAGCTTCCATCTTCCCGGCCATTCTCCACGCGCCCCAGAAAGAAAGAAATAAAGATAATAATAAAAAAGACGCGAATGCGAGGTACGCCGTCGCTTACACCCCCCAACCGACGGTAGCACACACGCACGCACCCCTGGCTTAGCGGACCCCGCCCCCGGACGAGTCGCCGTCGACGGCGCGATAATTGTCCCGCCGGGCCGCCGTACTCAGTCCTTTCTTCCCCGCCTGCCCCCGTCCACCCTCCCCTCTCCCTCGCCTCTCTTTCACCACCTTCGTCCGCCTTTGCTTACCTATTACGTAGATTGGGAGAGCTACGTGGGAACTGAGGTTGCTCTGCTGGGGAGCAACGGAATGTGGGAAGAAGAGGATGAATTGACTGACTCGCTAAGTAGGAAGGAAATGAACAAAGGAGATGCGAGCTACCTATATACACACAATGGGGAGCTGCGAGCTATGTTATGTAAGGGCCCAGCTGGGAGCTAGGTTAGGTAGGCGAGCAACCAGAGAAGAAGTAGGTAGAGAGCTGGGTATAGGTGGTTCTCTACGTGACAGTACCTAAGCGGCGGAGAGCTATATATATAGCACTTGGTCGCTCTCGTTCGCTTACCTAGTTCTTTCGTAGCCTCACGCCTTAGACATGTCACAGTCATCTTTGATTGATCTCTCCCGGCCCGCACCTGTCTTGCTCGTTCGTACGCGCGCAAACCCGCACACCTGACCGGAGCTCACCTGAAAAAGCTACGTGACCATATATATCTATGCGTGGGTGTATATATATGTGGGCGGGAGAGCAGCCACTTGCACGTGCATCTGCCCAACCTAACAGGCTCACGCTCACGAAGTAGTAACAATAGGCAGGTGAAAAGAAAGGAAAGGGGGAGGGGGCTTCACCCACGCCCTCGAGGGGGGATGGAAGAGCCGACGCGCCGCGCGCCTACGCACATACTAGTACTACACGCCACGAGCCCGAGGAGCGAACCGGAGGACGGGTCGACTTGTGCATATTTCAATTTACGCGCGGCCCGAGCTCGCGTCGTGGGTGTTAGCATTTCTCGCATCTAGCTAGCTAGTCTTCTCTCGCCTCGCCCTGTCTCCCCCATTCCCCTCGCCCATCCTCTCACGAAGGAATGACTTCCCCTCCGCGTCTACGGACCTAGTATGCAGCGCCCGGCCGAGAGAGCAGACGCGCAGCCTGGCGCCGCGACGTGACGCCGGAGGGGAGTATGGGTGCAGTGCCATTCGTGTAGTTGCAGCGTAGGCGGGACCGGGAGGAGAGAAGGGAAAACAGAGAGAGAGCTATTCTCGCGCGCGGGCAGGGCAGGGCACGACTGCTGCACCCTAGCCCCTTCGATTACCAGATATCCGCGCGGACATCCACTCCTTGGTATAAAACCCTTAGCCAGGGAACTTCCGGCAAATCGTAGGAAAAGAGAATGAAACGAAAAAAAAAAAAAGTGAAGAACTGGGAGAATACTCCTCCATGTATCATCGCGATCCCACCCTACCCCTTAAACGCCATGTCACTCGTACATGTATCCTCTTGCTTCCTTTCTTCCGTTCTTCCTCCCTCGCGCCTCTCTCTAATGCGAGGGCACCGTCAGAATCGGCGTTCCCGAGGGTAGCTGACCCGCACATCTGCCGGCTATCGCCGCCGAGCGTCCCGTTGCGTAGTCGTCGGGATTAAATCTGTCGGGCTAGAAGGGACGCGGCTCCGCCGCGTGCAGATTCTTAGTCCAGCGCGGCAGCTTCTTAGTCTGCTCGTATAGCCGGCCGCAGTTGGCGCAGAGGGACTAGTAGACATCGACCGTTAGCTGCGTCTGTATTCTCTCTACGTCTCGCGAGACTCTTGCCTTCCGACGTCGCACTAGGCCGGAGAGAGAGATCAAGAAAAAGAGAAGGAGACGAGAAACGCGAAGAAGAAAAAAAAAAAAAGGTCGCTTACCCTAGGACCCCACGGCCCGTCCCGCACCGCCCAGACGGCCGTGCCCCAGACGCGGCAGTGCGTGCACCGCCAGCTCAGCCGCTCCTGGTCCGTCAGCGTCCCGCCGCCGCCGTACCCGACGTCCGGGGTGATGCGGCCGCCGGGCGTCCCCGACCGGCCGAGCGGGCTCAGGCTGCGGAAGCGCCGCTTCTTCTTGGACCGCTCGCCGCGGCCCATCCGCTCCTCCTCCACCTCGCCGCCGCCGCCGAAGCCGCCGAAGCCGCCGAAGCCCGGCATCCCCGCCACCATGCCCGTGTTGCTGCTGAACCGCGCCGTCTCCCTGCGGAGGCGTCGGATCTGCCTCTCCCGGTCCACTTCCCGCTTCTCCATCTCCTCCTTCGACAGCACCTCCACCTTCGGCTCCCACTCCTCCGCCAGGTGCTCCGGGTCGTACCGCCACCCCGCGTCCGCCCCGTGGGCCGCGTCGTTCGGGAACTCGCTCCGCACCCCGCCCCACCCCGCCACCAGGCCGCCCGCCTCGCACGCCTCCTTCTTCAGCCGCAGCACCGCCTCGTAGATGGCGTGCGTCAGAGCCGGGACCCATTCCCCGGCGAGCCCCAGGTCCGCGCACGTGATCTTGGCGAACGCCTCGGCCGTGCCGGGGGGGTGAAGCAGCGACCACTCGAACTTGTCCGTGTACAGCTGGGAAGACAGGTTCACGTTGAGGGAGACGACGCACCGGTACGTGTCGTCCGGATTCAGCTCGTCCGAGTCGGCCGGGATCGGCGTTGCCGTCGCCGTTATCTCCGGCACCTGGGAGCCTTTCTGGGGTGGTTTCGTGGGGGTGTCGAGGCCGACGTCGGGGCCGTTGCGCAGCGGAGTCTCGGTGGCGCGCAGGGAGAAGGGGAGTGGCGTAGCCGGGGTGACGGGAGTGTCGCGTGAAGCAGACGGCGGAGCCAGGCTAGCGCCGTTCGCCGGTGCCCCACCGTCCTCGGAGTGGAAGAGCGGATGCAGAGCGACGCCAGCATACTCCTCGAGCTGGGTTCGGATCTGCTTACTGATCTCGGCGGCGACGGCTAACTGGTTGTGGAGATCGAGGTCTTGGACAAGGGACATTGCGAATTGATCGGTAGTGATCAAGGTCTCGTGCAAGTTCCACAGGAAGATGTCTCTGAGCTTGTAGGGAACTGTCATCTCGCCGGGCTTGTACAGGGCCGGGTCCATGTGCGGAGGCGGCTGGTTGACGCCCCGAGGAAGTGGGTAAGGTGGCATCGGCAGGAAGGCGGGGATGTCGACGTCGATGCGGATGGGGATGAGGGTTACGGGCATGGCGGCCTGAGCCTGGTTGTTGAGATCGGATCGGGCCTTATTCTTTAGCATCCAATCCCGCCAGATGCCCTGGACTTCGACCGGAGCGTTGGTCTCCTTCCCGAACTTGTCGCTGGGATCGACGCGAGAGGTGCTATCCTCGCGCCTCAGACTGCGCAAGCCGGTAGGCCGCCTACGAGAGTCCTCATCGTCGTCGTCGTCGTAGTCGTAGCCGTCTTCGGCGTAATTGATCACGGTAGTGCCGCGCTTCGTCGTTCGCGATACGGGGCCGGCGGGTGCGGAAGAAGAGTGGATGACGGGAGTGAGGAGAGAGTTGTTGTAGACGCGTAGTCGTGGCGCATAAGCCGAGAGATAGGCTTGAGGAGCACTTCGGGTCTCCATGTTGAGCGGTAGAGGGCCTGTTTATGTCATCTCATGCTAGTGACGACCAATTCCAGGGGTTCTGTGCCGAGGGCCTCGTCGAGGGGCCCAGTCCCAAGGCAGACGGGGGGAGGGCGGTAGTGGGCGAGACGCCCTCGAAAAAAGGAGACAGAGAGGAAGAGCAGAGAAAGAAAATAGAAACAAAAATATGGTGTAACAATAGTGGTGTGTATTGTGGGATTTGCTGTGGGAAGAGCTGGTCGGACCGAAACGAGATCCTTTCACGGGAGTGCGGGTTGCGCGAAGGGGATCGGGCGGCGGTATAGGGTTGTGTATGCAGTTGTGTAGATTTGATGTATCGAGCATGGATTGATTGCTTCCCGCGAGACGAGAGGGTTTGTCTCGTCGCAACGCGTCTCGTAAAATCTCCCAGCCAAATCCGCCTATAGACAGGGTCCCCCAGCCACACGGGCTGGGCTGAAAAAAAAAATGCAAAAAAGAGGATAGGATCACGTGCAACACCCACCACTAGCCACATCAGACACACTGGCCTGTCCTTGTGTTCGGTACCCAATCTCGTCGCCTAGCTACCTGTCTGTTAGCACCTTAGGTACCTATATTTAATGGTATCTGATGCCCGAGGTACCTAAACAAGGTGCTCAAGGTGCTTGTGTAGTAGCAGATCAGTAGGTTACTTAACGAAGGATAGGTTCGATTTCTAACAGCGCTACTTGGTAGTCTTCGCTACTTAGCTCATCTGTAGCATGCTACATGCCTGGTACAATTGCTATAGGCACGGCGCAGATACAGGTAGGTAAAGCCTGAAGGCAAGCGGAGGTCGCTGAGGATCAGAACAGGAATGAGGTGCTGCTTAGACATTAAATGCTATGTATATGGGCTCTAAGTGAGCGGTCGTCTCGGTAGATCCGTCTCTATCGAATACAACATCCTGCCACTAGGTGCGCTGCTGTACTATACTGAGAATGCTGATTCGCTTCGCCGTCGTGGTTATCCTCCCCCTCAATACATAAATCTAGACGCTGTCCACTGCTCTCCAGCTTCCTCCTCGGCACTACCAGAAACTCGACGAAAATGAAATGGCAGCCATTCTGTCAACTGCCCATACATATATAGAGAATGGTCCGGGGGGATCACAAAAAAATATTAAACCTCTACGTAGGATCCCGTTTCCCCTTCGGCCCCCTTCGCCTTTTTTTAAAACGAATCACCCATTACATCCGTGACAGAATCGTAACCTAGAAACTCCTATACGCCAGCCGTTGGAGGTATCGTGCTATCCCCTGTCCTCTCCCCGCAGCATCGTACTTCAAGCCCTGCTCATCATCGTAGGCTGGCTCGCGTGCTCCTGCCGCGCTCCTCTGCTCGCTGCTTCGAACTAGTCAACGACATCCAGTCATCCCACTCTCGGCTGATTTCCATCAGTACCGCGCCCATCACCGTGGCGCTGGCCATCAGCCCGTGCCCCTCGCCTTCGAGCACGCGAACCTCGCATCGCCGCATCGTCTTCCCCAGCCACTTGACGTTCTCGACCGGGACGCGGGTGTCTCGGCTGCCGTGGTGGATGATGACGGGCCGCGTTATGTCCACATAGCGGAAGCCGATCGTGTGTCGCCGCTCCAGGCAGACGAGCAGATCCACGGCCGGATTGGCTCCTGTAGTGGCGAGCTCCCAAATCGCGTGGGTAAGTCGTAGATCGTACGTCGTCTGCCTCTCCTTGTCCGCCATGGCGTTGGCGGCAGCTGCAATCACCGAGGTCTGCGGGTTGAACTCGTTGTCGCCGGGTCGATAGCGGTCCATGTTTTCGCTGGCGGAAGGCGGAAAGGCTTTACCGTGCATGTCACCGAGCGCGATATTCTCCTTGTCCATACCCGGTACCGAGTCGCGGCCCTTGTTGGCCGCGTCACGCCCGGCCGGCGCCGACTTCCGCTTGCTGCGGCGGGGGTTGTTCTTCGGTAACGAACTCGTGATAGAGCTGCTAGTGGCCGTCATGAACGAGCTATTCGCTGCCTTGAGGAAAGGAGTGGGGAGGGCTCGGAGAATCCGCTGGGACGTAGGGATCGCATTGGTAGGGGGCATAGCTTGCGAGGTTCCAAACACGTTCATCTGCGATGGCGGAATCCACGGAGCCAGCAGGTGGATGCGCCCCCGGATATGCTGTGGCATACGGAGTGCCGTAGCGAGGGCGTAAATGGCGCCAGCCGAATGCGCGAGGATGGAGAACTTGGTGATCTTGAGCGCCTGGCAGATGGCGTAGACATCATCTGCAATCCGTTAGCGTTCTCGCCTGAGATACTCGTTAGCCACCCGAGAAGATGAACATACCGGGCCAGCTGAGGGGTGTCGATGTCCCGTCGGCGTAGGACTCGCTGTCGCCTACTCCAGGACGGTCGGGGGTGATGAGTCGCAGTTTAAGCGTTAGCGCCAGCTCATCGTAGAATGCCGTAATATATCTGGTTAGTCCCATCCCCACGCAACAGAACACTGCTGAACCTTCGGCGTCACCGACTTCCGAGAACGATATGACCCTGCCGGTCTGGGGATGCCGGATCTTCTGGGACAATCTCGGCGAGCACAGATAGGACTCGACGGCATCGTCGATAGAATCGGCACTTCTCGGCCGTTCGTAGCCGACCACGGGCTCGGGAGTGGTGGATCCCTTTGGTTTCTCGAATGGCTCTGGACTCTTCGGTCCCGCTGAGAGACGCTTGAGGCGCGAGCTGCTTCGTTTCGGCCGGATCCCGTCGCCCGCGTCCGGGGTCGTGCGGCCCGACTTCCTACGGTCGGAGCTGTGCGCGCTGCGTCTTCTGCTCTGCCCTACGGCGGGAAAGGGCGCGCCGTCCTCGAAACCAGTTCCGTCGTTCGAATACGACCTCGACCGATGGTGCGTGATACTGCTATTATCCTGGTTCTTCCGCGGAAGAGGGACGCTCGCTCTCGTAGAGGGTGGCATGTCGGGTGCGACGTCGTCTTTCCTCTTCCTCGTCTCCGTCTCCGAGTGAGCACGACTCAGATGCCGTCGGCTTGGCCGAGAAGCGTCGCGGGACCGACTGTGCTCGGGGTCTTCTGGGATCGCATCGGAAACCCAGCCGTCGCCTTCTCGCCTCGAGCGCGAAGACCTTTGCGACGACCTCTTCGGATTCGGATTCGGCCCCGCCTTACGCAAGGAGGAGTCGCGAGCCGGAATCGGCCGCTGGAAGTTGCTGCCGTCGATGGGCGGACTTAATTCGGGCATGCTTTCCTTGACTGGTGAATCGCCTGGCTCCTCGCGGATGGGAGTCTCGGCCAGGATGCTATCAGGCCTAGGCGACAAACCGCTCAGACTGTTTGTTTTGCTACCAGTGGTGCCGGAGCTGAGCCGCTTCTTCTCCGATTCACTGGCGCGCAAGCGTTCCTTCGAGCTCATGTACATCAAGCCCTTCTGACTGCGGGACTGCTTCTTCCCCCAGCTGTCGTGCGATTGCTGTCTGCGCAACTCGGGAGTGGGTGGCACGCCGCGTTCAATCGAGAGATTTCCGATGCTGCGTGTATCATCGTGCGAGGACACGGAGCCCTTCGAGGACGGCCGAGAGGAGGTGCGCAGTAGGGACTTCAAGCCACCAGAGGACTCGCGACGGGGGGATTTCGGGGCAGTGAGCGGAGAGAAGCCGGACGGCGGTTTGGCTGTTCGAATCGTGGGGGAACTCGCGGCCAGTTCGTTGATGTCGATTTCCTCCTCTTGGAGTCGGCCCAATTTGTGGGAATGGGAAAAGGCTCCGTAGTCGACACCGAAACTGCCCTCTCCCGGCGAACGCGGCAGGCCCAACGTGGGATTATCGAAATGTCTGCTCGCCGGCTTCGAAATGACGGAGAGACTGGTGATTAGAGATGAGATGACTTCGGGAGAGGCTGGGGGAGTGGCGACCCGATCTTTGTCACCATCGCGCAGATGCAGGTGCATAGAGGGATCGATGGGCTTCCTTCGGGATTGTTGATGGGATTGACGAGAAATAGGGGGAGGCTGTCCGGAGGCGTAATCCATGGCGGGCGTACGCAGGGCGTCGATCGAGGCAGCGGGGGGCTGACAATGTTCTGGCTAAAAGTCCGGTACGGGTTTTACCTGCGTGTTTCTGTTTGCTGCAGCCGGCAGGAGTAGTGTACCGCCACGCACAGCTCCAGAGGGATGCGGACGAGCGGGCGAACGGGTGGGTGTGTGTGATGTGTAGGAGGACGAGCGCGGGCGTTCAGACAGGCAAGGTACGCAAAAGTGTCTGCGGAGAGGACGGGACGCAGGGAAGGGGGAGAAAGGCAGATCCAGTCAATGCAGCCTGTAGGTAGGTCAATACCGAGACGGACTCGCTGCAGGTTCCAGAACTGGAACGGGCGCTTAGACCCGGGGGGGACAGCTGGGACGACGGGAGACGACGTATCTGTCTCGTAAGAGGAACAAGCTCTCCTCAGTTACGTCTCACACGCAGCTATATGCGACATCTAGCATCAATCAGGGGGAGGAGAGCGTCTTAAGAGGATAGTGGTAGCCGTGGGCGTCGGCGGCGCGCTAGGCGAACGGGGGAAGATGGAACGTTGTCTAGAGAGGTGTACAATGCTGGTGTGTTCGATGTGTGTGTGCGGGTGTGTGTGTATGTGTGTGTGTGTGTGTGCGCGAAGGATGGACGGATTTTTCCGCCGCTGGTTCGTATGGGAAGAATTTTTGCGAAGCGGCAGAAGCTTTGGCGAGTTTAGAGTCAGGGGAAGAAGGGCGATTGAATCAAGCTGGTCATATTCCCATGGTTACTAAACGTCGGTATTATTATTGTTATTATGACATGTATTAGGTAGGTAATGTACCCACGGAAGCGTGTAGGTAGGTACCTACCTACCTACCTACCTCCTAACCGAACCTACCTAGACCTACCAAGACCTCCTCCTAACTTGCCAACCTACCTGCCTATAACGAATACGCAACATACCTTATGTGATAGAGGATCGAGGGAGGCATTGGAGTTATTATCGAGGCATCCTGCCCATCCATGCACCCGAGCAAGCTCAGATGGAACGGGATAAGGGGATCACCAATCGGGTAAGGCGGGCGACCTGTGCCCATTAGAGAGTATGCATATAGTATGAGTACACGCCACGCACGCTCGCCTTCACCTTAGCTCGGGGCTCCCCCATCCCACATCTCAGAGCCGGCTCTGGGTAAGGTGCTAGAACGCAACGAGATAAGCGCGTTGCGTCGACACATGCCTCATACACATCAGCCATATAACATCGCGTACCTACGCCTTACCGAACCTGCCCCCTCCCACCCGTATCGACGCCGGGCCCCTAGCCGTGAAGGTAAACGACCTTACCTCGGAACGTACGATGTGTGTGATGCACCGCGCGGTGCAATGCCGCCTACGTGCCGCCCTCTATACCTCCTACTGCCTAGCTCGCAGTCGACACGCACGCACATCAGGCTTCGCTTCGATCGGACAGGCTGTGTGTGCTACGACGACAACGACGGGCTGCGAGTGGGCAATGGCTGCGTCAATCTCGGCCCCAGTCGACTGCTGCAATAACACCTAACATAAGACGATAATATTCGCCGGGAATTCGACGGGATGGGGAGCGCCCGGATGGAACCCCAGAGCTAAGGTACGACGTAGCACCCACCCAGAGCACCCTGCAGGTGCCTGCAGGGTTTCCTGCGGTGTTCTGCGGGTGATTCCTGTACGTTCTGCGGATGTATGTCCATGTGTATGGACGCATGCGGCATGTATGTACGGTGGATAAGGCACCCCATATGAGTATACCTACTGCCCACGTATAACACCTAGTGGACAATACCTCCTAATACCTCGTGTCGATGTGGACATGGAGTGGGACCTTATCGCTACCCACGCTGCCAGCGGGACGATTTGAGAATGGAGCCTGGGACGAGGTCGAAGAAGGGAGGGGAAGGGGTGACAAATACCTGAGGGTTACATAACCTGATGAGGCTACTCTCGTTATTGTGACTCGTCCGTCTGGTGGAGGCACACGCGCACATAGGTACATACGACTACTCTCCAACACTATGGACATTTTCTACAACGTAGGTATCCCCTCCGCCCATCACCCCTTTTTTCCCTCTTCCTTCATGCCATCTCTCAGGATTTAATCGTAAATATATTTATAGGCGTCACATCTCGCATGCAACGCCGGTATGTACATGCAGGGCCTAGATGTGATAACTCAGGTATCCGCCCAGGTAGGTAGGTAGATCGCCAGTCTGAGCTCCCTTACCTTCTCCTGCCTCCTTCGGACGGGGTTAAGGACTTGGCGTGTTGGCCCTCTACCTCTCTTCATACCCTCCTTCGGACAGGGGAGTACCTAAGGCACCTACAGCCTCTGAGCCCACTACAAGTAACCTCTCAACATCAGATATTTCCAGGTACAGACACATCAGCGCGGGAATCGTCTGAAGAGGCTGAGCCCATACAAGACTTGCAATTACCACCAGTCTTGGGCTCCCCAATCGCCGTACGACCGGGGTGCCACCGCACACGACCGGTACCGCCTCCTGAACCTGCCACCGGAGTCTGCCTCCAAGTATGATCGGGATGGCCAACGCTGGCGATTGCCCAACGATGTGCCGAAGAGGACGTCAACACTCTCCCCGGGAATATGCGACTTCGTTTCAGGATATGCATGTCAAGATCAGAGTAGCATCGAATGTTGCGACCGTCGCAGCCATGGAGCCCTTCTCGCGGTTTCTTGCGCTCGTACGCGAGGCCTTTGGCTTTGGGACACCGGCAAGGTGGGGAGAGAGCGGCAATCAGCTGCACCAGCTTGGATTACTTGGGCAGGATTACCTACATTCGGCGGGGCATGACGGCTTCGAGACGGCATCACATACCTACTTACCTACCGACATATATCCAAATACCAGCCATGCCAGACAGAAGCCAGAAATGCAAATTGGGCATTGCCGGCAAAATGTAGGTACCCGCCCCGGCTTGTACATTGAAAAGACGGGCGCCAAAATAGGGAGGCAATCAATTTTACAATGCGCTACTGCTCTGCGATGGTGCTAGTCACGGCCTAGAATCGGGGGAAGATTCTAGGGTTAAAGGCGTGGGGGGGAGGGGGGTTAGACAAGCCCGCCGTCTCTGTGCATACAGACCTATATTGATAGCTCTATATGCCAACAAATTGATACCCTAGCAAATTGGCATCCACGCTATTGTACGTTTTCACGATAGTTAGGCTCTTTTGCCGGAGTGAGAGCAAAAGTTGACATGGGTAATGCGAAGAAAAAGGAAAGGAAAAAAGAAAAAAAAAAGGAGAGGGAGAGCAAGGGGGAAACGCGTACCTCTACTATACAGCTATCCGCATGCCCCGGGCGTCGTAGCTCCGCCACATTTTCCCCCGGAATTCTCGTTCGGGAGCTCATCGTCCTCCTGGTTCCCTGACGACTACTTCCCACCCGGGCATCAAGCCCGAAACCGCCCGCGTAAATCGAGGAAGAGCGAGAGGCGAAAGAAGAAGAGCAGGGGAACTCCCTGTTTCTCTACGCCGTCCGCAATCTACGAGAAACCCACCATTCGCATCCTGCTGCTACTACACGTAGTAGGTATCTCGCCCTCCCTCGTGGCATCGCGCGCAGACATTCCCGCAATCCCCAACCATCGAGATGATATCCGCCTCGCTGCCGTATCGCGTCTTGATTCGTCCCAGCTGTCAGTGACCAAGCGGCCAGGCTTGCAATGTGACCACTGATCGGCGGGAGGCCGGAGATTATCGCCTGTGAGCGACCTCGTGCCGGATCCTCCCCCTAGATTGTCTCTTGGGCTGACAATTTTGCATGCGAGAGCCGCACAGAGCTTCCCAATTTCGATGGGTTCATGCGTGGTAGTCGGCAGGAGATGAATGATAGGCGGCCTGCAAATCCCGCTTGGCAGGTGAAACTTGCCAGTACACGATGGACAAGCGCACCCGTTGACCTGTATCTCTACCAACCAGGCCGCGGGCTAGACTTTAGGAATATCGACTCATCCCGGGTCGATAATTGTCACCATACCCCCCTCCTACTCGTAAGGAGTCTGTTGTGCTCTGCTATACTATACCTACTACGTAGGTAGTAGACGCGAAGCCCAGGATTCCGCGAATTGGGAACCTTCCAACCGTCTTACGTGCATGCGCGCATGTCCTGGGCTTCGGTTAAGCACCGGCGGCGATGTCGCCCCAGCAAGGCTACGTGGATGGCGCTAGAAAGGTAGGTAGTGAATGTAGCGCCATACGGCTGCCATCACAGCGTCCCTTTCGGTGCTACGGCTTACATAGCACGCTACCTACACCTACGTTGTAAGGCGATGGGGGCCATGCTACGCGTACGTTGCCATCCAACCGGCGTTGCGCCGTCTCGGGGAGATGACAACGTCGCAACTGTTCACTTCGACGATTCGCCATCTGCAAGGAATAACCTTGAAGCCCGTTGCTACAAATCGGACATGACATCCACCCACACGTGCTAAACGGAACCAACTTTTGTCAACATGCCAGACACGGCACGGCACGGCACTTATACCTACAGCACGCAGGGAACTCCGACTTCGCACATTCGCTTCGCTGGAGAGCATCGCACCAGCTATGATGCAAGCCCCATCGGCCGGTTGCTGCACGCAGACGCAAGGGAGCCCTCGCCGGTGGAGGAGGCTCAGGAACAAAACGCTTTCGCTAGGGAGATGCCCCACGATCCTAGCCCATCCGCGGCCTGCAACAGCACCGTGAGATGCTTGGCATCTCAGCCCATACTTCGGTCGGGTTAAGGACCCCCGACAGGGTTGACAGGGACGGGGATATCGCCCAGCGAGGAGCCAATCGACGTCCACCAAGTGCTTCGATACAGGCATCGAACGAATGGCAACACGACATGTCACATACGTCATTGCGCTGGCAAGGAAGGAAAAAAAATCATCGTCAGGATTATCGGGCGTTAACACATATCGTAGCCAAACGCAGCAAGTAACCGGGTCCTCGAGGAATTCACCGTTGTTGCTCCGTAGTACATTTAATGTTCATGGGTCCGGGGTTGACGGAATGCTCAACTGAACACATTTATCTAGGAAAACACCGATTTACCCTCTCATCGCCATTTCTCGCCGTGCCAAGTCCGGCTATCTAACCAAGATGGACGTCATACTCTCGGTCCCCATCATCTCGTACTTTGGCGGGCCCATGCTGAGCTCGTGGTCGGGCTCGATGAATTTACTCTTCTTCTATATGACCTGGACGACTCTCGTCTTGTCACACCCGGCTTGGAAGATCGAGTTGGTCGGCACGGTGGCGGTGCGCATAGTCTTCTGGCTAGCACCGTCGCTCGCCTTCTTATTATTCGACACCCTGATTCCGAGCCTCGCGGAGCCCATAAAGCTGTACGGTTCGGCGTCTCTGCCGCGACGCAATGCGGCCTCCCTCCTCCGGCAGCTCCTCCTCGCAATCTTCAACCTCGCGCTCACGACCGCGGTGCAAGCCGGCATCTCGTTTGGCGCGACGACGGTCCTGCGGCACCCGCTCTTTAGAGCTAGCACGAGGTTACCGCTGCCGTGGCAAATCCTAAAGCATATCTTGATGCTATACACGGCACGCGAAGTGCTCACCTACTATATCCACCGGTATGTGCTCCACTCTCGCGGTATATTCGCCAGGCTGCATAGCGCATATGCGCATGCCCACAAGAGAGCTTCCCCGTACGCGTTGATGGTGTACACGGATCACCCGCTGCCGCTCCTCCTCAGTCGCACGTTGCCCGTGTATCTCCCGGCCGTGGCCATACAGCCGCACCTGCTCACCTACTTCCTCTTCACCATCCTGACGACACTCGAGGAGATGTTGTCCATGTCGAGCTATAGCATCGTGCCGGGGATCGTTATGGGTGGGATCACGCGTCGCACGGCGGCCCACTACGCGAGCGGCGGGCGGGGGAATTACGGGGCCTGGGGATTGCTGGACTGGATCAGCGGCACCAACGTAGGCAAGAATGCCGTGGAGGACGCCCAAGAGGAGGCCGAGAGGCGCGAGCCCGCGGAGCGGACACGCCAGGCGAGCAGCACGGGAAGCATAGTACAGGATGCCTTGGATGGGTTGAAGAAAGGTCGCAAGAGCCGGAAGCGGAGCTCTGACTAAAGGACGTGGTGTTCCTTTTTTTTTTTCTGGCCAAAGGATGATGGACGCGCTTATGATGAAAATGCAGCATGGGGGCATAGGATAACATACTCGGAGTTCTATCGACGAGAAGGACGGCGCAACTTCTAGATGGCTTGGGCAGGGATACATGTTTGTACCTAACCCACCAAGGATAGGTACGGGTGTACGTAGGTACTTAGGTAGTACCTGATAGCTTCAATTTCCTTATCGATAAAGACGGTCCACTACGGAAGTGTTGCAGCAAGCGCGGGTGTGGCGTCATATGCCGGGTACCTACCTAACCTACTCCCTCCTCATGTACTTAGCGGGGCAAGCAACAATCGGCATCGCCTAAGCCATGACTAGGTGCACAGCTACCTATCCTTCCTTCAGCTTATACCTCCCTCCATCTCCAACCACTACCGAACCTCTCTTTTTCCTACCTACTCCTTACTCTCTCGTCTCGCGGGAACTTCATTCTGCTAGGACTAGCATCAAGTCCCATCGCCCGAACGACATCCCTGATAGAGCAAACAAACACTACGCTATGTCGACGACGACCAACCCCGACCCGTCACCGGGCGCGCTCGCGTTCATCCCGCTGGAAGCCAACCCAGAGCTCATGACCGGCCTTCTACACCGGTTGGGGCTGAGCCAGGCGCTGCAGGTCCACGACGTCTACTCCATCACAGAGCCTGAGTTGCTAGCCTTCGTGCCCCGGCCCGCCCTCGCCCTGCTCCTCGTCTTCCCCGTCTCCGCCGTCTACGAGTCCTCTCGCCTCGCCGAGGACGCCGGCGTGCCCGACTACTCCGGCAAGGGCCCGGACGAGCCCGTCTTCTGGTTCAAGCAGACCATCCGCAACGCCTGCGGCCTCATGGGCCTTCTGCACGCCGTGTCCAACGGCCCCGCTAAGAACTTTATCGGTCAGTATCACCCGAGTCTCTGCCCTTCTCTCTCGAGCCCCATCTCTATGAAGGTGTGTAGGTATATACCTACTGCTGGTCGCTGTACTAACCCTCCCCTCCCCCCCCAACAGAGCCAGATACGCCACTGGCCAAGTTCCTCAGCACCGCGATACCGCTGGCCCCCGCCGAGCGCTCTACCCTGCTCGAGCGCGCCCCAGAGTTCGCTGCTGCTCATCGCGATGCCGCTGAGCAGGGCGCTACCGCGGCGCCAGACGCCCGCGACAACGTAGACCTGCACTACGTGTGCTTCGTGCGAACGGAGGACAGCGGCTCCGAAGGCGGCAGCGGCAACGGCACCCTGTGGGAGCTCGACGGTCGCCGCAAAGGCCCCATCGCTCGCGGCACCCTCGGCCCTGGGGAAGACGTGCTGTCGGAGAAGGCTCTGCTCTGGGGCCCCCTCAAATTCCTTGAGCGGGGCGGCGGTGATATGCGGTTCAGTTGCGTCGCCCTCGCCAGCGCGTTAGACTAACCGGAAGTGGACGGAGCGACCAGCAGCAAGGGAAGGTGGCTGAAGGGGAAGCGAGAGGGAGAGTAGGATGAAGGGGGGCGGATTATTGAGCCCTATGGTCGAGTATTGAGAACCTCAATCTCTTAATGATATAGAGCGGCGTAGAGGGCCGGAGGGCGCGAGGCTACCTGTTCGGCACGGCGGCAACTCGAAAAACCGATCGACTAACGATGTAACAAAGGCAAGCGCGTAGAGGAGAAAATGGTTTAGCATTTTCGTGCGTACGCACTGTATTTTACCCTAGGCCATGGCGCCAGGAAGCATAAAACGGGCCAGATGTAGAAGAGCCTGTTCTCTGCGCATATACTTACATGGACACGTACGTAGGGGCATGGCAAGTTGGCATCGCGGAATTTAGGGCTACCACCCTATGGTTATGTAGGTTACGCGCCTAAGAAAACCGGCGTTCGAAAAGAACCCGGGTCAAGGACCAGATACGGGGAGATAGAACCGGGGCAGACCAAGAGAGCGTAAGCATGGCGTTCTCGATGTCCCACCTACGCTTGTGATCCCTCTCCCTCTCCCCCATCAGCAAACCCGAGCTAACCTCGGGGCTTCGCTCACCAAGAAGAGAGGTTCGCCACGAGCACACACAGACCAAACCGTGCCGGGCCGCAGGCACTCATATCGTATCGTCCCACTTCCCCCGTTGCGGGGTCTTGCGGCTCCTGAGTACGCCTACCCCCGAATCCATCTACCCCTTCCATCCGCGTCTCGCGCGGAAACAAAAGCAGACACAACCCACCAAACGGCAGGACGGGAATTCCGTTCCGCTACCAGCCTCGCCGGCAGCCCACCCAACTGGCTCCTTCACCGGCGGCACAAGTCGTCTTTCCGCTCCTGCCGCTTCTCCGCGCCGTCGCACGGCCACTGCCCGCGGCCCGCCCACCGGCCTCCTCGGCCCCCGCACCGATCGAGCGCAGCCGCGGCGCGTAGGCTACGGGACGTTGCCGGGTCGGCGGCGGCGCGGCGGCTATGCCGGCCCCGCGGCCGGGGCGCGCGGACTTGCCGGACTTGCGCGGGCGCAGGGCGGCGAGGGCGTCGCGGGCAGCGCTGCGGAGCCGCGCACGAAAGGGTGGTGGTGGTGGTGCGAGGTCCGCGGCCTGGCCCGCCCAGACCGGGTCTGCGAACACGACTGCGGGGGTTTGCCTGCGGGTCAGCGAGCGCTCGCTCTCGGCGCGCAGGGACGGAGGGGGGGGAGGGGGCACGCACCGGCGCGCGCGCGCCAAAGCCACTCCTTGCGGCTGTGCTTGGGGCGCAAGGCCGGCGCCGCGTCGCTGTCCGAGAGCCGCGCGCTCGACGGCGCCCGCGGCCGAGGCGATACGTCTTCAGTGCTCCGCGCGTCTGACGGCGCGCGGCTAGCGCTGCCCGGCGCGGGCTCGCCGCCGTGGCCCTGCTGGCTGCGCGTCTCTTGGGCCATGGCGTCTCCGGGGGCCGTCGCCGGGCCGTGAGTGGTGGGTAGGTAAGGCTTCCCCGGCTGCGATGTCTCCCTCCCGGGGGATCGGTGCGGGCCCGGCGTAGGAACGTGTAAAGCGTGCTGGGCTAATATGCTGCGTCTAGGAGATGCAAGAGTGTTCTAGGGAGCGGAGCGGAGAGTAGTCAGAGTAGGGCGTGCGTAGGGAGCCGGAGTTGGCGGCCATGTGTCGCAGGTCCGAGGTTCGCCTCGCTGCATCTCCTCGTCGAGCGCGTAGAGTAAGCGCCCCGGATAAGTCCCTACACAGAGGGAGGCTTGTGAGAGCGGGAAACCCTCCCCTGGACACCCACGGGCGCGGCCGGGACGGCGCGGGGTGCCGCCCTTGCCTCGCAACGGGTAGAAGAGCGCCGAAGCTACGAAGGCGAGTCTGTAGGATTCGCTATCAAGTCGCGCCTCGCCGCGGCTGGACGGGGCGATATGTCGGGAGTGAGCCCAGTCCCTACGAAGCTCGCCGCACGTAGAGACTGGGCCTCCTGAAAGGATAGCGATGCGCTCTCTCTTTCGCTGCCCTTCAAACCCAAAGTTCTTCCCCAGATATACGAACTTCTTCCTCGGGTTCTTGACCTCTATTATTTCTACCATAGGACAGTTTCCGAGAATTCACAACGATCCTGCCTGCGTAGCTAACCTCTTCAAGGTCCCTCCCAGGCCGCCTGGACGGCGCTGAGAGAGTACGTTTGGCATACCTACCATTACTAGGAGGTACCTTTTCTCGGATTTCCACTTAGCTTGCTGCAGCAAGAGTTGCTTGATGAAAGGGGCTTGCCATGGGCGGACATCGCCCACCGATTCCGCGGCACCCCTAGCAGGAGTGAAGGCAACCACGGCGTGGCACGCCCCTTGCCGCACTCTCCGTGGCAGATTCAAGAGATTTCGGTCGGGATTGGAACGGGAAAGGATAAGAACCTCTACCCTGCTCTCTTACCGACAACAGTCACTTGCTTATACGAAACAGAGTGCTTACTAGTTAGTAGTAAGAGAGAGGAGTCCTTTCAAAACTAGCGACAATCTGCGACGTCGGTTGATTGCGACGGTGGTATACGAAGGATCGGATGTAGACATCTTATTCCTCCCATGACCGATTTCCCCCTCACGGGGTGTCTGATTCGTGGTCGTGATGACAGCTAAGAAGTTTACGTGTTCTCGTGTGATCCCAGGTAGGAAACCCGTCCGATCACCGCCTGGTCCCCAACCTTCTCCCTGACCTGTTCAGGGAGAGGGAGACAGACAGCATTGGTCACGACCTGCGACCGGCCTGTTTGTTGGCGACTGTACCCGGCGTCCCCGTTCGGCGGCACACTAAGACTGTGACCGACTCTAGCGTGCGTCCTTCCCTCCCGTTTCCATCCGTCGGCGTTGTGGCGGGCCAGTTAATTTTGCTGTTGGTTTGCCTGTGGCGGGAGATCTGCGCTTGGGGCCCGTCTCGAGGGTCGCACCGGGGCCGACGGCCGCTGTGTCTCGTCCACATTTTACTTTTTGTGCGCAGTCCTCTCGTTTGCTGAGTGGGAAAGACAGTAAGCAGCTCGAGGGTGCCATGCCGACAGAGTGCAGGCAGCGTTGCAGAGAGAGATTTGGCACTCGGCTCGCTAGCTTACGGCTCAAGTTGGCGCATTCGACCTACTGGTGGTATACGAACAGAACGCGCCAGCCATGGGCGCACGACCATGCCGCACTGGGCAGAGCACCTTTGTCGTCGTCGTATCTCCCGCCGGCGTTCCGTTAGACTCCTTCAATACGACGCTAACGGAGGAGACCTAGCGGCAATGCCATGAGCTACACTGGCGCTCGAGAGCAGGACTCGCGGCACAAGGAAGTTAAGGGGCCGCTGTTGTTGGCTCTAGTCCCCGGCGCCTCTCAAGGCCTGCTCTGTAGCATGTAGACGATGGCGCCCTCGGGGCTGAGACATTGTCTGGCGCGAGGCGTAATGAGCGTGCTGAACCGCTCTTCTCACGCGCCAACCCACGTGGGATCCCACACTTTACACCTTGGTGCGCCCGCGGCGCGAGGGTCTTAATTTAGCGAGACTAACTTCCACGGAACTTAGGAGGTTAGTTGGCGCACGACGCAGGCTGGGCTCGCGGATCTGGCTAGGCTGGCCCGCTGTCCATCTCGCAGTGCAGCAGCTCGCTCTCTCCGCACACGACAATCCATCTTCGTGTTGGTCCCCTCATAGTCGATATATATATGGAGGAGTTGGCTGGCCGTAAACATCGATCGTTTGAACCGGACTTCTCCTTTGCCCGGAGTCCACCATCAGCACCACGTCCCGCGCCCGCGACCTGGCGCAGCTCTCGGGTACGAAACGCGAAAATTTACGATAGAGAGAGAGAGAGCGGATGCTAGTTTACCGGTTGGCCAAGGGGGGCGAGACCGGCAGCCAGTCGGAGGCGTCCCAGAGCAGACCGTCCCAGGGCGACGGTACGAGACATAGCGAATCTAAGGGGGGAGGAAATGCGCTTCCGAGACCCGGGCGGACAGCGTTCGGAGATATGCAATTAAACCTGGGCAGGTTGGAGGGATCTGCGTTGTAGACCGGGCAAAAAGGTATTTAAGGCCACGGGGCTTGAACGATGATGGTTTGTAAATGCTCCTAGATGTCCTAGAGAAAAAAAGAATGTTGGACTCGCGGGGAATCGAACCCCGGACCACTCCAAGATAAAGATACTTAAGGAGTATTATACCACTAAACCACGAGCCCCGATTTGATTTACTACCCTACACCAAATGGAGGTATATACCTCTAGTTTTCAACATTAGGTATGGTATCGCCGTCGCGCGGTCGAGGGCCTGGCTTGCCTGAGCTACCTAGGTAGTAAGCGCAATGACGCCGGGTCTGCGCCTAGTCTGACCGGCTTGTTCGCTAACGAGGGCCGGGCGCCTTTCTGTTGGCTTGTTCTAGCGCAGTTAGGCGCACACGTAGCCCGGCCATAGTGTGGTGTGTCCTTCGATGGGCGCCCCCTTTAGGTTAGGTACCTAGGTACCTAGGTACGTTGGCAGGCAACCTAATGCTGAGGGTCTGCATTCGTAGTAGCAGGGTTAAGTGAGGGATGACGTTCCACGGCGTTGTTATCTAACATTACCTACTTGGTTTTCGTGAAGCCTGTTGCCCTTCGGCTGGAGGAGGGGACGGATATACATAGATTAAGGATGTGTAAGATCTACCCTCCCAATGCGGACGGATGCTTGTGTGTGTGCGTGTGTGTGTGTCGCATTCTGACGTGCCTGAGGGCCTCAGGTAGGTGTGTGTATATGCACATAATACCTACATAAATGTCGACGTGGTGCATATGGAAATAAGGGGTGGAAATGTAACCTCATATTCGATTAGGAGAGACATGCCTACCTAGAAGGTACACCTCTTACACCCCTCCCATTGAGACCAACATATATCGATAATATACTCCCTGATATAGGGGATAATATACATTCATTCATTCATTCATTCATACATACATACTCATATACCCAGAATCTATACAAGTAGGTAGATAAACATCAATCCTCGGCGTGTTGCGTTGCTATTGTAGGTAGCACTTATCGATACCGCTCGTCAGTCTCCTCAGGACCCTGGACCGGGCTCCAGGTAATCCAGGGATGATGACGCTTCTTCCCGGATCCCCCTCGGCGATCCGATTTCCCGTCCCAGCAAGGTAGCAGTCCATCGTTCCGAAATCCGACGTCTGGAGAGGTCCTGGTTGGTCTCGTTGTTTTGTTTACCTCACCCTTGCCCTTCTCGTCTCCCCCTTTCTTCCCTGCGTCCTCGCGCCTTGTTTGCCGCTCTCGACGGCTGCCTCTGGCCGCCGTTCACAATTCATTGACTGCCGAAATTGATTGATGGATTGATTGATTGATTACCTACCTATCGACCCTGCATCTTACGTGTGAGAGACGCTGGGATCTCCCCGCGCCCCTGCGTTCGTATGTTGGGTAGGCTACGTCTGCGTAGCGGTGAGACTCGTCGCGTCCCTTCGGCGACGTAGCTCGGAATTTATCGCACAAGGGTACTACATGTAGGTAGATACGGTGCGTATGTCATACGTCTGTGTGCGCGATTCCTAACTAGAAACGACGGGTGAGGGGATTCCCAAGGTGGGATCGGAAAGAGTCGAGGTGTTGGCGCAAGCTTAAAAAGGCCTTGGCCGGCGCCTACGTCTTTTCATTGGCGGCAAGGAGCTGTCGCGTCAAGAACTTGGCACCTTACCTTGCCATGTGCCCCCCTCCCTCCCCCGGCTCGACGCGCGCGAACGCACACGAACACCGATGCAGCGGCGGGGGCTTACTGCAGAGCCGGTTCTTCACGGAATCTCTTCCAGCGGCATGCCCAGGCGTAGGCATGTACTCTTAGGCATGGATGTGTGTGCAGATATAAGGTGTGTATGGGTCGGGGTAAGGTGTGTGTGTGTGTGTGCATGCTGCGTGGAATTCTGATGGCGATGCGACCGGGCCGTTTGCTAGGCAGCGCGAGGTCGTACGCCCGTGAAGGAGGTCGAAGGAAGCCCGTGTGCCACGCTGGGGTTGGCTTGGTATCCGGGAGGAATCGATAGCACTGCGGTGAGGCGTGAAGTCGACGGATGCGACGTATTTCTCGGGCAATGTTCGCACCAACAAATCACGTCGCGTGGAGCCTGGATGGAGATGCTTCCTGGATTAGACCGCGCGCCAGCGTGGACTAGCCGGGCACGCAGTGCTGCCTCTACTAGTAGTGCTGCGTAGCGCGCGCCTCAGCGAGACCTGGGGGGCAGTCTGGCCGCTCGCACGGAACGGCGGGGTGGGACCTCGGAAATGGCGAGGACACGTAGTGGTGTCGAGGCTGGTCGGCGGAAACTTGGGTATGAGGCGTGGAGGTGTGCGTCGATATTCCCACATACCTACGACAGACAGACGGCACTTACACAACCCGCCGATCGCATTGTGCGCGCACGCACACAGGTGACACGACACCGGTTGGGTAACAGGTCCTCACGTCAGAACACGACAGCGTCGCAGCAGCTTGCTAGCCAGCTAGCCGGCTGTCCCCTGTGCGGTGCACCGACGCCGAGGTGAGCGGCGCATTGGCCAATGGGGGGATTTACGGGGGCACAGGAACAGGAAACAGGGGTTATGACACGGGAGAGAGGCGCTCGCGAGGGCCTGGCCGGTGGGGGCCGACACCCACACACACATGCTCTGGAGGTATTGCTGAAACGGTCGAGAAGCAGGAGAGTAGAAGAAGGGAAGACGAGAAACAATAGGACGCCGATAAATAAAAGGTAGCTGTCTGCAAGGTGCCTACGTACCTATCTCTAAGATGCGCGCGGCGCAGATTGAGCCAAGGGTGAATAGGCACACCTATAGTCACCTCCTATACTTACAAGTACAATGTCCCCAGGCATGTAGGTATGTACACAATTGCTGTACAAACGCCGGGTACAACCCGCCCGAGAGCGGTGCGCGAGAGGACGTGGTTGCAGCGCTGGCAGGATAGCTTCGCTGCAGATTCCTCGCCGTCTGTCACGGAGCACATCTCCTCCGCTTGGGACTTGACCTGCCCTCTACCTAGAAGTGTCGGTATAATATTACCTAGGTACACCTACCTGCAGACTGCAGCGTACCTCTACCCGTACGTTGGGTGGTTTAGGTACCGCCTGCACGCGCGCCTCCTGAATTCCAAACTCCCCAGGCCGTAGCCAGGTTTGGGCAGGCTGGGGGTACTAGCCGACTGGCCTTTAGGTAGGCGTAATTGCATAACCTGCCTGCCGGGCTGCACACCGCATGTATGTACCTACCCAGTTCGTGGATCTGCCCCTCCTGCCACCCTCCCCGTCGTCGACGCCTCTAAGAAGCTTCGTGCACTCATCCCTAGGTACCTACATAACTCCCGCCAGATGGACATATCCAGGGAATATCGAAGGACCTACATCTCGTACCTACCTACCTACCTACCTATCGTACATATCGTCCTCCCCATCTCCGTCTCCATCCCCATCCCCATCCTGTCTCTCTCCCTCTCCCTCTCCATCTCTCTCGCCCTCTCGCCCTCTCTCGCCCCGTTCTCTATCTGTCTCTTGGCGTTAGCGTTCGATACCGTACTCATATGTACAATACCACCAGGTATTACCCTGTCCGTCTACGACCCTAGGATAACGACGCGGAGCCGACTAGACGAGACTAACCACCTAACCCAACCAACGTACCCGAGCCTATCTCGCATTACCTACATTCAGCCTTAACAAAAGAGCTGTCAAGCCATCTTCGTCCCCTTCAGTCTGGTCTAAGGTAAGTACAAAGTTGTCCTGTCCCCCCCTTGCCCTCTCCCCTTCGGCTCCATTCTTCTCTTCCTTTCCCGTTCCCGTTTTCTCACTCACTTCACCCCCCCCCTTCACCTTTCTTTTCTCCCCCATCTTGGCATCTTCCTTTCCCTCCATTTCCCTTGTTGCCGTCTCTCCTTCTCCCTCGTCTTATGCCTGTTCTCCCTATTCTCCTTCTTTCTAAACATAATATTCGCACACATATACTCCTTCTCCTCCCCCTGTTTTTTCTCTTCGCCTTGGCTTTCTTATCCGTGGTCGGTCTCTAAATCTTATGACATATGACAGAGGAGGCGGTATTTATATTACTCCATTTGATAATACCCCACATCCTCCCTGTCGAGAAAACCAGCTCCCTCCGAGACACCGACCAAAAAAAAAAAACGGTGTGTAGTAGACGAGGCATCCTCGCGAGTATCCGTCCTACACACCTGACACGCCGTCCTACATGGACGCCGAATCCCCATCATGGGCTGGTTGAGTTTTCTGTCGAGAAAGCCATCCCTCGCCGAGAATACCAGCGATCTCAAGGCACAAGCCTACCACGAGACCGTCGCGGCAAACCCTCCAATCCGCGGTAACGAGCCGAGCCCCGGTCCCAGCCATTTGGTAAATCTCCGAGCTAACTGGTCAATCTCCAGGCACCTATCCGGTAGCTGGGAATGGCTTCAAGATACTGGACAAGATCCAGAAGTCCAATCCGCACTTGAGAGACTTCAACCACCACCAAAACAACGCCGCCCCTTTTCCTCGCGTCGCTCGCTTTCTCGAGCGCCCGAGCACCGCCCCTGACCATGCCCAGCCTGAAGGATCCGTCCGCCTGCCATCCCAGCCGGAGGCCTTGCCGAAGCCGGCTCGAGAGCCGCCGAAGAAGCGCCACGGTCCCTACAAACTACCCCCCAAATCCACCCCCAGCCGAAATGACGACAGCGCAACCGCCATATCCGTTCGGAGCACGCGTTCTCTGGCTTTCACCGCCAACCGCACCTCTTCGATCTTGACCGGCGACTCGGGATCGACGAGATTCGTCGACCTTTTGGACGCGCAATCCTTCATCCGGCCATCCGATTTCTACGGTCGCGTCAGGGCCGCCGGCACCAAGGGCTACGCCGAAGACGTCGCCGATCGTAACATTGGCGAGAATGGATCCGACATTAATTCTGTCCCGGCCCGCCAATTTTACGCCGCTTCTTCCCGCCTCGACAGCAGAGGCATCGACGGCGACGACGCTAGTGAGTACTACTACGACGATGACGACGACTATACGCCGCCTCCGTCACGGAAACGGTATTCCGAAGGATACGGCCTGAGGACCAAATCTAGCCATTCCGACCGTCACGGCGCCTTTCCTAAGAAATCTTCTTCGCATATGCCTCTGCAGAGATTTGTCGATGCGGATGAGGATGAAATCGACCGAGCAAATCTGGCGAGTAAGGCCCGTCGAAAATCCTTGCATTCGTACATTCCCCAATCCTCTTCTGCAGGTCGGCCGAGGAGCACTTCGACGGGGAAAAGGGCGGCCGAGACGAGCCGTCACCACTTTCCCGACTCCCTTCGAGAGAATGCTCTGGCCGCCGCCCGAATGGATCGCGAAGGCAACGAATTCGAAGGTTGGGACGAAGAGAACTACCCGGCGCAGTCGCTCCGAAAACTTCGACGCACCGGAGCATTCGAGAAGGGTTCAAATGCCGATACGCTCTCCTTCCATACCCGCAGCGATTCTAGACAGACCCTGCCAGGTCAGGAGGACCAACACCACCCGCCTAGGGATCCGCAGCGTCCCAGAGCCATGTCGAATAGATCTGCTTCGACTATCATTAAGCCTATGGTCCAGGAGGACGGTCTGCTGGGGTTTCAATCCGCTAGTCGCAAGGGACATCTCTCAGAACTCGATCTGCCATATGCAGCAGAGGGTTCATGGCGAGAAATGAACCGCGGCTCGTCAACGTACTACCGGAATTCTAGGTTTCCCAATATCCACGACTTGTTTTACGAATTCCCTCCTCTGGAAGCCGAAGCTCTGTCCCGTAAGTTATCTCAAGAATCCTCTCGGCGTATTTCCCCGCTTCTACCCGTTCTCTGTGCAGCTGACTCGTTATTCTTCCTAGGTGTCGAGCCGCCTTACTATCCCAATAATAGAGACAAGCTGGACCACCACGGTCGAAATCGAAGCGCCACCGCCGCCTCTAAGAAAAGCCTCAAGCGCTCTGATATCGACGATCCGTCCCCCGAACAGAGTAGTACCCGTCGCTGCTCTCTGACCTCTGAAACCGCGGGCTCGACGCAGAGCTCAAACCCGTTTAGACCGCAATCCGGTCACACTGCTAACACATCTATCGACCTTGCGCCTCGCGGGTCGCCGCTCAAACCAGTCGAGCCGAATCAATTGGCCCCAATGCCTAGGCAGAGCCGGACGACGGCGAGAAACGGCACGGAAACGTATCCAGACAAGTTCGCACGCCATCGCCAAGTTAACGTAGACGTGCTTGCAGGATCTCTTTCTCACCGTAGTCGGCATGTGCACTCGTTGAACTCGTATGCTGACGGCCACGGCCACGGCGGCGGCGACGACGACGACGACGACGAGATATCAGACGATTCTTTCACTGCGCCCCGCCGGCCTACGCGCGAATTCGAGAGGGACTTACTCTTCCAGGGCTACGGGTTCGAAGGCGCCCAACTGCCGGGGCTACCGGGGCTGTTTGACGCAGCGGTGCCGAGGACGCAGACGTTTTCCGCGTTCAACAGCATGCCTCGTTCCACGCTCACCCTCAACTCGAACCCCGACAGATACGCCCCGTCTATGCCCGAGGCCAAGTACTCGACGCGGTCCCTGCCACACCCGTCCCGACGACCTCAACTACCTCGCCTCCAGATCCCGCCTAGCCATCACCACGTCGGTCACTACAGCGAGCCGAACTACAGCGACAGCTCCGACCAGCCAGACTCCTCCGAAGATGAGCTAAACTTCGACATTCCCAAGACGCGCCCTACCCTGTCGCAGCAACGGCGCCACCCCCATCCCCGCGACGGCGGCGGCGGCAGCAGCGGTAACAGACTGCAGCACCTGCAGCACGAGGCGACTGCAGAGCGGCTGAGGCGGAACACCGACGACCCCGAACCCACCAGCGTTGCCAAGATTGCCAAGCTCCGGCGGGAGGCGAAGGCGAGGGAGCGCGCGAGTGGCGCGTCGTCCCTGCGCCGGGGGACGGGGCGTGGCAGGGCGTCGGATGTGGCTTCTCTCCCCCGCAGCAAGCTTGGCTCAGACGATCCGTACGGTTACGCCGACGCCGAGTCGTGAGCGCAAGCAAGCGATGGCCGACGGCAAGCACACATTGACGACTCCTTATTTTAACGTCCCAGCGGTTCCAGGTACGGAACCGTATCCGCGCGAATACTCATCGGACAGCGGATATACACAGTACCTCATTATTTCACCCTTTTTCGATACATTTTCTTGGTCAAGGGGTTTCAGAACCCCGTCTGCGTCCGGGGGTGTACGCGCACTCGATCTTACCTTGTTTTTTTTTTCCTTCCTTAGGCCTCCTATATTTTCCATTGGTAATGGTTAATGTGATGATTTGACGTCAGGCGCACGCATACGCACATACAGCGGTGTCAGCTGCAGCCTCTTTTCTTCCCCCCCCCCCCCCCCCCCCAACCCCATCCGCGCCCCTCTCTCTATTTATTTATGTCATCTATTATTTCTTTCCCCTTTCGATCGGAAAGACGGGGCCCGGTGAGGCCCGATAGCTAAGCGTGTACGGAGCGTGTTTTATACCCTCGGTCCTGCGGGACGAAGAGAAGGCCAGGAGGAATTCTACGGATTAGGAGAGCCGCGGGCCGTGGCGGGGGAAGCCGAGGCGAGCAAAAGAATGAAGAGAGGACGGCGCGCGAGCGCGAAGGCGAACGGGTGGTTCGGCGGTAATTTGGTTCGGCTGTGGCGCGCCCTGCGAGGGATGGGGAGCGGATACGAAGGCGGGGCAACCAGGGGGATGAGAGGAAGAAAGGGAGCGAGGTCGTGGAGAAAGCAAGGAAGGATGAGGCTAGTTGTGCTCTGGTTGTCGAAGCTCCTATACTCTCCGTCGTCACCCCCCCTCCGCCTCCCCTTTTCCAGGAGAGGATACAGGGTCGACGAACTACCTAGTATAAGGGGTATATAACCAGTTTCCAAGCTGCCTTACGCGCTGTCCATAAGCAAGCGTAGATTTTTAAACCGCTTTGTTTTCACCAAGTCTACGGAAGCCATCAATCGCAGATGACGAATACTATGCCGTATCGTACATACGCATCCCACACTCCCCACCCATCTGCCCATACGGCACATTCGGTTATGCCACTCTATCTCCATCTCCTCTTTCACTAAAGCAGACCTGTAGATTTCTCTACACCCTAGGAGAAATTTTCCGTGTGGCTATTAATCATACTCACTTCTTCTTTCCCCCCCCGCCTTCCCTTTTGCGGTCTCACTTTAAACCGCGGTAGCGTGCTCCAGGAGCTCTAAGGCGTCGGCCTCCTCGCGCGAGCACCGACACCCGAATCGACTCTTGTACTCTTCGACGCTCAGGTCCTGTATCGCTTCGACCATCTTCTTCGCCGCCGCCATTTTGGCGTACCGGCCACTGCTTGCCGTCGCGTGTTCGCGCACTTCACCGTGCACCAGGATGCCGCAGAGCACCTGCGCATGGCCGCCGCCCGCGAAGGTCGCGCCGCCGCCCGGCATCCCAATCTCATGGGTCATGACCCGCCAGTTGGCGCAGCCAAAATGAAGTTGCAGCATGTTAGCTAGGAACGAGACCGGGTGACGGCTCGCAAACGTGTCGTATATATGCATATCTTGGAAGTACGGCAGCATGTGCGTCTCGAAGAAGCGCCGCACCTGGTTATAGTCGAACTCGCTGTCAACAAAAACCGCGCCAACGTATGCTTCTAGGATGTCTGCCAGCACCTTCGGCGGCCTCTGGACCTCAACCCAGAAGTTTCTCGCATACGACGCGCGACCGAGGTTGGCTAACTCGGCATTTTCTTCTGCTAGCCTACGAGCTTCAGATATAGCGGCAACGTATTCTGTGATTTCTCTCTGCAACCCATTCGTCATAGAGAGCATGTGCGTCTGTAGATCGAGGGAGACGCAAAGACAACCGAGGAATTGATTCGATACCATCGCCATCTTGTGCTCCGTGAGCCACTGGGGATCTGCGCTAGGATACCGGAGGAATAAGAAGTCGACGCAGACCATGTCAAGCAGCGAATCACCCAGAAACTCGAGTCGCTGATAGTTAGGGATACGCTCATACATAGTGGCATAGGACGGGTGTGTGAACGCGCTCCGCAACAGTCGGGGACATGTGAACTTATACCCGGTCTTTGCCTCGATTTGTGCCGCTAGTTCACGTTGGACTGCCGTAGATTCAGCACTCTGCCACTCGGGGATTTGATATGACGCATAGTAATCCTCGTAATTTGTCATCCTATGGTTCGAGTGGTTAACAAACTTAGTCACGGCCCGGATAGCCATGTCGAAGCTCTTCTGTTCGTGGGTCGTTAGGTACGCAGCTCCGATAAGCGCCTCGCAAACATCAGCAATCGATTTATCCGCGAGCTTGTGTGATCTCCCCCCCTCAACATTCTGCTTGCCCTTCAGTAGCTCGAGGCCCTCCGGATACCATGTTCGCCGGTTGAACCCTTTTGACCGGATCGATTCCTCGAGTTTCAAGTCCAGAGCATTGTTGAACAGATTCTTGTTGCAGATGAGGACCATGCGATCAACGTGGTATTGGAATTCGTCGCTATCGGGTATCTGTGAAAATAGGGCAATTGTTGTACTCATCTTTAAGAACGAATCACCAAGGAATTCGAGGCGTTCGTAGTTCTTGCCCATGCCTTGTTGAGTATTTACCCGCTCCTCTAGATGCTCTTCGGTGTTATCGCCGTCTTTAGTCATGGCTTCGAGAGCAAGGTCGGGCCGAATGTTGAGGGACAATGCTTTGCAGGCGTCCAGGACTATGAGACTAGACTCGAGGCGATATATAATCGCAGGCAAATTATATGCCATAGCAACGACATTGACGGGTAGCTAATTCGCCATTAGAGATGTTATTTTAAATATATCACATATAGAGGGGACTTGCCGGTGAGAGTTCCATGGTCTGAAATATCACAAAGCATCTTCTTCCCACATCCTCACCATCGTCAAACTCGTCGAGGAGGTTGCGTCGAAGGGGGATGTATTCGGCTTCTATGACGGGTAAGTCATTGTTAACGGTCAATTTAGACCGCGCATTGCTCCATAAGCTGATACTGAAATTCCAAATATCCTTGGGCGCCTCGCGTATAGCCTTCTTCATAGTATGCGACCTCGGAACACCGGGAAGCTCTGGATCGGTGGGCTTGAGATCCTCACGATAGCAGACAGTGTAGAATTTTCGGGATCCATCATATGGGTCGACAGCAAATTTATTCTCGAAGAAATGGGCAGGCTGGTTTTCCAGTTCAAGATATCGAGCGGCGCTGTGAAGTTCAAGTAGGTATTCCCAGTCGATGATAGTGCGGGTGTCTCCTCCATCCATAGTAGTAAACTCGAAATCGTGCGTGTGTTTTAGGGGGGCAAGAAAGTAAGGCATCTTATCCGGTGCTGAACGGTACACTTTGCTAAATACGTCATCAAAAATCGTTAGTGTGAATCGGTCGAGTTGTTTGATATCGTCCGGTGTCATCTTGATGCCATGAGATAGGGGGATGCATTCCACTTCCGAGGTACGTTGACTGCCAAAGAACAAGGGAAACCGTGCTATCTGGGGGAGCGGACACCGCGTAAGTAAGGCCAGAGGTCTAGACGATCTCCCCATGGCCTCTGGGCACGTTAATTTTAGGATCGTCACATAAAGCACCTCCGGCATCCCTCGGCGATCCCAGATTTCGGGCTTAATGCGCATGGGGTACTCAGCTCGCTTTTTTGAACTGATCGCCAGCTGTGCATTGCGCATGGTTGGGAGCGACTTGGCCAATGTCGACATGAGAGAGTCATCAAGATATTTCTTTCTCTTCAGCTGTAGGCACATCTCGAAAGCGGCAGAGCATTTGGCGACCTGCTTGGACGCCGCACGTCGCCCGATGGCACTCTTGATCGGGGACGCATCTGGTAGGATGACTTCACACTCGAATTCTCGACCGATGCTCCTCACTAGGTAGTCTGCAGTGTGAACGCGATCCACTGGTCGTGGCAGTGTCGAGACGAAGTTGGCTAAGACCACGAGACTGATCTTGTAAGTCAACTTCGCGCCAGTCGAAGGCACCACGTAGGTGCGGTAGCTCTTCTCCTTGGATAGGAAATAGTCGATATTATAATCGTCTCCGGTCAAGAGCCGATCTTCAGGCAGCGTATTGTAGAATCCGCGGAGCCTTACTTCGCTGTCTTCGTTATCGAAGATTGATTGCAGGTGGCTGTGGTTAGAAAACTCGACCATGTGGAACAGTTTCGAGTCCTTACGCCTTGCCCGACCTCTTGATTGTACATATTGGATCATAGTTTTGCATAGGTCAAATCGAATGATGATGTTGCAGTCGGGAATATCGATGCCTTCTTCACCAACACTGGTGGCGAAGAGGCAATTTAGATCACCATTTCGAAACTGGTGCATCGTCACAAACTGCTCCTTCAGAGACATCCCGGTGTCTCCCGAGTCGTTACCTGCAGTTCCCAACTAGAAATAGCCGTTAATCGAGACGCGGGTAATCAGGTCCAGGAAGACTTACCAGTACACCGACCTTAATACCGGGCACGTTCAAGCCCGGTTGTTTCAAGAGGTCAGCCAGCAGTATCGCAGTCAGCCTCTGATCCACGAACACGATACACTTGTCCCTTTCTACGTCCAGGTGCTTCCGGAGCGTCCCAAGAAGCGACTCAACCTTGCTAGACAGATGGAAGAGATTGCATTGAGGCTCGGGTAGCGAATGCGCGGCCACTATCCGATAGGCTTCACGAACCGCCGACCGCTCAGCGTCGAGTGCGGCTATCGGCAACCGTACTCTGCACAACATGAAATTTCGCTCGGTCCTTGCCGCCATCTTCTGCGCCTCCTGTTCGGTTAAGACCAGTTCCCAAACTCGGTCTGCGCACCAGCGACCCAGCTCTATTGTAGATTCCCTTGAGTAATTGAACATTCTCTCAAAAACCTTGTTGTGCCCAATTACCTTGTGAAGCTCTTGCCAAAGAGATGTCTCGAAGGGCTCCAGTGGCATGTTGTAGTTGATGAGTTCCTCTGCAGGCCGGTTAATGAGTGCCTTGGTGTAAACGGCAGGGTCGGCCACAGTGGCTATCTCGCTATTCAGAAGGCCTTCTAGTTTCGCGGCAGCAGTTGTCACGTCCGTCTTGGCGTCGACGGGTGAAGCTGTCATGCCCAGGATCCGAGGGCGTCTTCGCTGCCCGTGCTCCAACGGTGCATAAAAGTCCTTGACGATTCTGGCGTATGGGTGGTTCTTTTTGGTGTGATGGGCCTCATCAAATATCAAAAGGTTAATCTGTTCCATCTTGATGAAGGAATGGTGGAGGCATGACAGAAGGATAGCGGCTGTACAAACGACCACCATACCCCCTTCTGTTTGTTGTTTCCAGAAATCATGTGAGAGTACAGTATCACCGGAATCGCCGTGGAGCTTTTCGACGCGATGGTCAAGGTTGGCTTTGAGGACCTCATACTGCTGCAGCACCAGCGCAACCTTGTCAGCCTACACGAATATTAGCCTAGGGGTTGCCGGTAGATATTAGAGAAGCACGGACTAGGAAGAAGGAAATTCTTGGCGGATTGCCAGCACTCCTCTCCTCTATCTCTTTCTCGATAGTATGGCGAAGGAGAAGAGCCGCAATCAGGGTCTTGCCAGTTCCTATATCATCACTAAGTGAGCACGAGGACGACGCCAATACAGGCCGTAGAACAGACGCACCGGTATCCAGGACTGCAATAATATTTTTCTCCTTGGCCCTCTCAAACAACTCGTTCTGGTACTCTCTCGGGCTCGAAATGATCCTCTGGCTCTCGGATTCTTTCACGAGCCAGGCCATAGACCTATCCTCGTCTTTGATGTCCGGACAAGTGCTGGAGTTGTATATACTCTCTTGGTGGTTCCTCATGAATTGTGAGAACTGGAGACTGTCGAATGTCTTCTGTGCTGTCGGCCGTTGGCTTAGGGGACCTCTGGGGCCGGTGACATCTTCCTCGGGGTGGGAGTCATATCCGCCGTGCGGCGGGAGAACGGGTTCCTCCATATTTAGACTAGAAGATGAACCTGGCTCAGGGCCTGAGTTCGTACGGGCCCCGGTAGCTCTATCGGATATATCAACCATGAGTAGCGATCATCAGAGAATTCCGTTCTTTTCGGATCAGTAGAATACCGCCCATTCGTGAGTCGTGGTCTACTTGGATTTGACGATGTATGTGTATGAACTCAGGGAGGGCTCAGGTTGGATGAAGATAGAGGGACGGCTAGAGGCTGGAGCGGAGAGGAACGAGAAAAGAGAGGAGGAAATCCGGCCAAAGCGGTGGGTGATGCTGGAAGCGACCATCCCCAAAGCAAGCAGTTTGTGCCTTCCGTAGATTGGAACCTCGTGTTTACCAGTGAGAGGTAGGTGCCTGTGGGGGAGCACCTGCCTTTCCATACCTGCCTACCCTATGTACTACCCGGATAGGCCTACATATACATAGCGGCGAATATGTGTTGGAAGAAGCGTGTCTGGTAGACGAGTCGTAGGTTAAAGGGAGCCTACCTCCGCAAGTCAAAGCAACCATATAGGTACCTACCTGTTGGGAAGCTTTTCATCGTCTCTTCCGCCGCATAAACAGGATTCTCCCAGTGGAGGGTTACGACACCTTCTATCCCCATTGGCCATAATTGTCTATGGGATTGCGGTTGTTTTTCTCCCCTCTCCAATAGGGCCAGTGGTTGCTGTTCAGTTACGTAGGTGGGTAATAATACATCAGAAGATGTTGCCGAGATAATCGCATACATAGGTCTATACGCATAGCTGGGGAGTCCATGTGCTTACACGCATACCTACCTTTTAGGTAGGTACCTAAACAACAGGCATGTCGATGCTATATACAGGTGTATCTGTGTACATACACTGTAGGTTATTTTTAGCACCTAGCCTTAGCCGGCAGCGGGTACAGACACAGGTTTCGATCTCCAATTGGAGGTACGGAGGAGGTAGCTTACTCTCTGCCGGTACGAACCTAGGTACAGGTACCTCTCCGCAATGTGATGCAGCTGCCGTGGCGACTCGTGACGTAGGTATGTACCTGATGTACCTTCTCGACTTGCCAACCTGCCCCTCCCTATCAACTTTACCTACATGTGCAGCTTCTTCCCGTACATCACAAGCCATGTCCACCCACCACACATCAGATACGGTCCCCGCTATATACCAAAAACTATCATTAGTCATCGCTCTACTGTCTAGAGGACTCCCTCGCACGGCATCTCAGTAACAGGAGACCCTGGTTTAGGTACTTGTTAGTGGCCGGCTCAACAAGCCAAGGTCCCTTCGAAGATTCTATGACCATGGCCGAAGAGCCGAGAAGCCTGAAGTCGGTATTCAAAGCTGCCGAGTTGATGCGGACGGTAATCGAGGGCGCTCGTGATGCGACCTTGGATCAGTATCGCGAGGACCTTGCCCAAGCTCTCGAGTTATACCAAGAGTGTACCCGGATCATCAGTAACATTTCCTTATTTAGCCCCAACGAGGGACTCGAGGATATATCTACGTCTGATATCCCCTACCTGCTAGTCAACTACCACGTAGCGGAGCTGCTTCAGAAGGTTACTGCACCGTCGCCCCAGGAGAGGAAGACTACGCTCAACGCGGCCAGGGAGGCATACGAAAGGTTCTTGCACCTTCTCGATGACTATTCGATCCTATCCGCCGCAGACCGCAAGCAGTTCTCCGAATACAATGACCACCCCGCCACCTTCTCTACGTTCGGTGCTGCCGACCCTGCAGGCCGGCGAAATATAAAGATCGCTAACTACAAGGCGGAAAAGGAATTACGGGCTAAGCTGAATACCATGCGAAACTCGCCACACTACCTCGAGGAGGGCGGGGACGAGGAGGCTATTCGCGAGTTGTACCTAACCAATATCGCCTTCTGCACCCACATGGCATTTCAGAGCCTGGAGGGCATCAACCGGGAGATGGAAGTCCTGGCCCGGGCACCAGTACCCCTAGTGCCGCATGCGGTCTCAGTTCAGGACGATGAGCGACGGCGTAGGAGTTCACGTGACGACGACGGGTATTCGGAGAGGCTTGACTCGTCTTGGAACACGCTGGGGTCTACCCGCGGGCCGCTTCTCAGCAAAGAAGGGAAGCCCTTGCGGCCCTTCACTCTCACTTCCAGCCGGCAAGAGCTTCAACAGGGTGTGTTCCGCCCGGGCCATAATCTGCCGACTATGAGCATCGACGAGTATCTAGAGGAGGAGCGACGACGAGGAAATATTATAGAGGGTGGTGGGGAGGCTAGTATGAGACAACCCGAGCCAGACGAGGATGACATAGAGAAGGCGGATGCCGAAACGATGAAGGCTCGAGAATGGGATGAGTTCAAGGAGGCCAATCCTCGAGGGAGCGGTAATACGCTGAATAGGGGTTAAGCCGGTCTGGGATGAATCCTGAAAAGGAGACCACGCGGGGGATTTTTGGGAAAAAGAGAATAGAATAGACGTTTGTCAAATTCTGGAATGCGCATCCGAAGGCATAAATAGGTAGGTAATTGATGCATTGTATATCCCTGAGGTCAGTGGCATCGATAAAAGAGTAACTATTATATTCAGGTAACACTCACGTTAAATATATAGCCTATATAAGTATATGCACCGTTTTATAAATACAATATGCCCGTTAAATGCATAAGATGTGTTATTATGTAAAGCGCATTGCACGGTTCAAGAGTCTCGCGCCGAGGCCAGGCTGAGACTGCGCTCTCTCTAATACCTTCACAACTCAAGCAACTCTCGTTCGAGTTCTTGCGTCTCGCTTCCCCGCCCATCGCATTTGACGACTGCCTCCGATTGCTTCCGACGACGCCGCGGCCGGATTGGGTTGCCTACGAAATGGCGCCCATAGAGAAAGATCCGCTTCTCCTGCTTCGGCAGTCAATCGCGTCTGGCGGCGCGATCATCCCAACCGCGTCGGACGACCCTACGGCCACGGAAGTGCCTCTGTCGCAAGCCACCCACCTCACCTTCTCGTCCCCGACTCGCGTCTCTCTCCCGATCGACACGCAGACGCGATTTGCTTCCAATGAGACTCCCATGGACCTGCGCAGCATCTACTTCGCCTACCTGAAGCGAGAAGTTGCCATCCCCGAGTACAATACCTCCGCATCGAAGCTCAACGACGAGCTCGGAACCAAGGGCCAAGTCCGAAAACTTGCCTTCGTCGAGCGACTAGACCTGATCACGTGGCTCGAGGGAGCTAGCGAGGAGAGCGAATACATCAAGCCCCTCGCCAGCGATAAAGATGGCTCAGCTTCTGCTTCGGCCGTTGCCTTGGCGTCCAAGGGCTCCAGTGCCCCGGCGACGGGCGCGACGCTAGGAAGATCAGGGAAGGGAACTTTGGATCCGAGATTGGCAGTTATCTACAACAGCGAGCGCAAGATGGGTGATCGCAATACCGTGCTTAGAGGCATCAAGCCTACGGTAAGCCCCACACCCCGGCCCCCTTCTCTTACAGAAATAGCAGCTCATAACCACTCTTTAAAGGACTTTTCCCACGTTCGTAAATTGGCGGCGCCTCTCATGTCAAAGAAGCCTGGACAGGCCACAACTTCATCTACCAGCATCTCGAACAACCCATCGCTTGCGAGCCACCAGAAGCCTAGGCGGCCGGATCCCATCATCCTCCTCTCACCCTCCGCGTCCTCTCTGCTGCGCATGTCGAATATCAAATCCTTCCTCGAGGGGGGCCAATATGTCCCTCCGGACTCTCTGGCTGCTAGCTCCAGCACGAGCGCCAGCATGTTGCACATCAACCGTCTGCTGAAAGGCATCGATCCGAATCGGCCAATGAGGTTCATTCTCGTCGAGGGCCCCGAGCAGTTCAAGCCCGAGTACTGGAGCCGCGTCGTTGCCGTCTTCACCACAGGCCAGAGCTGGCAATTCAAGAACTATAAGTGGAGCAACCCCAACGAACTCTTCCGCCACGTCCCGGGCATCTACGTCGGATGGAGAGGCGACCGGCCTCCGGAGAGCATCCGCGCATGGGGACACAGAGTCATGAACGTGGGCATAGACCAATGGAAGGAGTCGGTCGTTAGCACAGCCGACACGAGCCGATGGAGGGACCGCGAGATCGTGGAGAGCATATGGGACGCCATCGAGACAAATATGCGAAACAAGGGGTGGCGAAGAGATCAGGCTCCATCTTCGATATGAAGACAGATCTCTCGTGAAGGGAACGAGCGGGGGGGCGAGTTTACACATTTACGATAGACACGTGGACTACTGGACTCCATATTCGTGGATCCACAGGAAGCACGAGGCGTTCTAGCTACATGAATGAGGCCTGGGAGTTTGGTTGTGGGCAGGGGGCAAGCCATCAAACACCGTTGCCGAAGCGAGCACCCCTCTTCAAGGCACACGCCACGGCGCACGGGACGATGGCGGTATACCAGCTACTGTACTATTAGAGAGGCGCATGAGAACTTCAGCACTGGTCGGCGCATCATTCTCCGTTCGGGACACCCAGATAGACAGCCGCAGACAGTCGATTGCAGAAATGAGAAATGGCGTTAGGGATCTGAATCCGCAGAAGGCTATTCGAGGGGAGAACAGGCGGGAGATCGGATCCCTTATAGATTCTTCTCGCAATTATGGAACAGGGGGAGAATTAAGGGGAAGATTTTTTGTTGAGCACATCACATATCATGTGTTTAGCTGTGTATCTGCTACACCCTTACTGCAGAGTACACGAGAGGTTCACGTATTGCCGAAGGGCATAGGGGCACCCACAGAGAAGTTGTGGGCCGAGCCCAAAAGGAGCCAAGAGTGACAGGCGAGGGGCCAGGGGGAAAAGGGGGGAGAACGAAAAGAAGGCTGAATGGGCGGGGATAGAAGCACGACGACGGAGCACGCTACGGAGGAAAAGTACGGGACCTGGAGACGAGGAGGCGCAGAGATAATGTGCTATGCACCAGTAATAAGATTACGTACAACAACACAGAAGAGAAAGAAACCTAAGACCTGATAGAAAAAAAGGAGAGATCCAACGCCCCTCCACCCCGGCCCACTCCCGTACTCAAGTCCTACTCCTCGCACGACACTACGCCACGCCACGGAGGCGCGCAGTGTCGCGCGAGTAGGACAACACCACGCCAGGGCCCCGAACCAGGAAAACAGCCGACAAAGGAAACCAGAGCGAGCGACATCGTGTGTGCGTGCTGGCGCGCGGACGAGAGCGATATTTCGCTCCGCGGCGCTGCGCCTGCGAACAAGGGCCTTTCCTTCGCCTCCCCGTCGGGGCCTGCCGCAGGCAGAACACAGCAGCCCCAGGGGTAGCGAGCGCGGGGCGAGCGGCTCACAGGGCGAGGGCGCCGAGGAACAGAGCGAAGGCGGCGAAGAGCCCGGTCGGGGAGCGGACTGGAGCGCCGGCGACCTGGATGTGGGAGGGCTGGGGGGCAGGGGTGGCGCTGTAGCGCGGGACGCCGGCGGTGGGCGCGGCGTGGCCGCCCTGCGGGTGGGGCGCAACGGGGTAAGGGGCGGCGGGCGAGACGGCGGCGGGAGCGGGCGCCGGGGCCGGGGCAGGGCGAGGCGCGGGGCTCGGGTGCGCAGCCGGAGCGGGATACGGCGTCGCGAAGGGCGAGGGGTGCGGGCGCTCGGAGACGGGGCCCGGCGCGACGTCGGCGGGGGTGACGCCGGGGGGGTACGGGGTCGAGGCGAGGGTCGGGATGACCTAGGGGGGCGGGGCGGTTAGCGCGAAGGTCTCGCGGCGGCGGGAGGTGGGACAGAGGGGGCGGGGGCAGGCGTGTCTCTCAGCTGGGCGGCTACGCCCCGAGCGGCGGCCCCAAAACGCGCGGGCCGGGACCGGGCGGCTTACCTTCTCGACGGTGCAGGGGCAGCCCTCGACCGTGACGGTCTCGCCCTCGGTCGCGGTGTAGGGCACGTCGCCGTAGGTGAGCACAGTGGCGAGCGGACATACCGTGGTGAGCGCCTCCACCACGACGGTCGTCGTCACCGTCGTGTTGAAGTAGCTGTAGTACACGCGCGGCGGCGCGCTGGGCTCCGCCGCGACCGAGGGCACCGCGCTGCTGCTCGCGTACGGCGCCGGCGCGGAGCTCTCCAGCACCGCGACGCTGCTGCTGCCCTGCGGCTGCACCGGCTCCGCCGGGTACCCTTCCGCCGGGTAGCCCTCCGACGGGTATTCCCCGGCCGCCGCGCCCGAGATGGCGGCGAGGCCCAACACGGCCACGGTCTTGGTGCGCGAGAAGAACATTTTGCGGGTAGCTTCGCGTTCCGAAGTCGTCGTCGTCTCTGCCGTTCTCTCTTATTTCTTTCCCTCCCAAGACGGTATAGCGGCCTTGGATGGAGGTAGGTAGGTGGATAGGCCCGGGGTCGTTTTACTTTTTGCCTTTCTTTCGAAAGTATGAGAGAAGCGAGCGGGAGGGAGTCAAAGCGAACGACGAGATAGACAGGAACGAGCGAATAATCAGATCAGTTGCGCGATGGGGGGGGGGGGGGGAGAGAGAGTCGATCCATGTTGCGGAGGCGAGAGACGGAGCGGCCTTAAGAGCTCAGAACGGGGGAATGAAGGGGGAGCCTCCTAGATCAGGGGAAGTGTGTAATTAGACAGGAAAATACCAAACTGTCAATAGCGTAGACGAGAGGCGGAGGACGATCAAAACAAAACATATCTCGCGCTGCCTCCCTCGTGTCTCGGAATGTATTGTATGTGCCAATATCCCCGCCCTGTGATGCGCAAGGGAGCAGTCGCGCTCCTTGTCCAGCCTCTATATACCACACAGCACATTCCAATAGACTTCACTGGAGACGCAAGGATGGATGAAGTCTCTCTCTGGTCTTCATATTCGTCTTCACTTTTTTCCTGGGGAGATTTGCGGCAACGGGCCCTGCTCAGCCAGCCTATGGTATGTGTATGTACAGGTATGCCAACGGTTCAGCCAAGCGCTTCATTCGCTATTCCACCATCGTCTCGAATGCTAATTGCATAATGCCGGCCGGATAGAGCCGCCACAATGCTATTCTCCCAGCCTCATCCCAAAAAGCACAATCATTACAAGGCCATAAAACCCGCGATGCGATACCTCCCAGAGTCGCCTGCTCTGGTTCACTAGTAACCTCGATTGCTCGTAGATGCACCTCGACCTTTTCGTCACGTGGGCTGCCAACAGGAATCGTCGTCAAAAGACCCGTCCCCTGCGCCGAGATGCCCTAATATATATACTCTGCTGCTCCCCTCTGCCCATTGTGCATCCACGACCGATATATAAAATGAAAAAAAAAAAAAAAAAAACTCATGAGCCACTCGCATGATAGGTGCAGTTCAGAACGCCGATGAGTGTCTCTATGCTAGTTTATCCTTCAACGCCATCCGGGTAAACAAAGAAGCAAGTCTTGGCCGAGAAATAAATGCCGGGAGTATCGTATTAGGTCCTTGCAACCAAACTCGCGCGGGGGAACGACGTCGATAATGAGGAGGAAATGAGATTCTGAGCAGTCGACACCGAACAGATGAGAGCCTCGTCTTCGCCAAAATCGGACTTGGCATCTAGACCACCGCAGACGGCCATAGATGGGGGACGTGCGCTCCAAATCATCGTATTCTACTTGCGGTTGGATCGACTTTGGCTTCGTTCTGGGGCGCGACCACTGGCAACAACCGAGTCAAAATCGTAATGCTTCAGCGTGTGCTCATACTTTGTGTTGCGCAAGAACTTCGGGACGGAGTCCTGCCGACGAAGTTAGTTAGGGACGGGGTTTCTACGGGTTGGGCGAAAGCTGTTTCAGTGGTGCAACTTACACTCGCCATCAGCTTGAAGACTGCATTCTGGGCATCCTCAAACAGTTGGGTAACCTCGAGGAGTGTCTCGATCATAGCCACATCTTGCCCAACCGCCTTCGTCATGCGCGTAGCAAGATTGTTACGTAGCTGGTGATCGATGTTTAGTTCGCAAGGTGAGCCAGGCGCGAGGAACGCATTGTAAATGCCGTAAGCTTGTGCCATAATTTCCTTGATGCCGTCCATGGATGTCGTGTTGGGGTTCCCCCGCGCGGTCTTGATCGCTTGACGACAGCTCTGAACAAACTCCTCTACGTCGAGATAAAACGACAGGTTTTCCTCACAATGAGTCTCTCGTAGATTCTCACGAAACAGCAGCCGCAGTGCAGCGTCGTTCAAGATCTTATCCAATTTCTGCGTGTTCGCGATCCCCGTCCGGGATGTCACGTTCCCGTCGCTTTCCGAGGTACGCCCTCTCCCGCCCCCACCACTCACGATGTCTTTACCCCTGGCGGTTAGTTGGTATATTGCATTCTTCGTCGGCTGAAAGTAGGCAGCAGATGACGACGTGGCCATATAAGCCTTATCCTGCTGGACGGCTTCCATCAGCTCGTATTGGACAAACAGCGATCCCAACTCCCAGGTTTCGCGGCGGTCGACTGTCGTGCAGCAATCCATCAACCAATCCGAGCATGATTTGCCGGTGAACGTGTCTTTAAATGTTTTCCCAGCGACCCTGCGCTCGCTGGCCATCTTCACACCGGTAAGGCCATCCCTGTAATCGCTCAATGAGTCCGAATCGGCTGCACCAACGCTAGACTTGATGTTCAGGCCATGAGCGCCGATCATCCTCCTGAAGATGACCTCCATGGTCCCCCGGTCCATCACCAGCTTGTCGGTTGTGCTATCTCGCTCTAGAATGCATAGATAACTCATTCCGAGAGCGATGAGATCGCTGATCTGCCGTTGCTGGATGCCATTCCTCGAACAGAACCGATCTAGGACGCAGACTCCCTTCGGCGTCAGCTGCCACACGGAACCCTTCATGGGGTAGATCTGTTGCATTTTGCCGTCGGCAGACTCGATAAACCTGGCGTCGAGAAATCGCTGGCATATCGACCTAGCCATGTCCTTGGCCATGGAGAACGTCGTGGTCGTAGTAGTTGTCACGATGCGCGACGGATCTTTTGGATCCGGCATGCGATTCGACTGGGAGAACTTTAAAGAGCCCAGATTATTGATCGCATCTTCTGACAGAAAGGTATGCTCAACCCGCGTTAAGCGTACCCGATGGGCAGATAACGGAAGCAAACTGACAATCAAGGTCGAGAAGAGATCCTTGAAATCCTTTTGGAGGCAATCAGCAACAAGACAAAATTTTCCAAGACGCCATCGGGTTGGTAGGCTGATCGATCAGGCCCATCCATGCCCGCAGTAGCATCACCATCACGCACGCACGCACACATTATCCAAGCGCACAAATAAGAATCCCGACTCACCCTAGTGAATGGTCGATCGTCGTCCGTCATGCGGAGCAGCCGAGAAGACGTCTGATGCATCTTGTTCTCTAGACCCGGCAGTATGATGGGAGGGGGCCGGCTGGGGTCTGTCTCTGAATACGGCTTCGAGATGGGATCCTTCAGGGACACCTGGCTCGACAGCTTTGCGTCGGGGATCGGGCTCACGAACGGAGTCGAGGCGCTGGATGAGTTGCTGGAGAAGCTGCGAATCCTCGAGGACTTGTCCGAACTTGAGTTGTCGCTGCTTACGGGGGAGTCTAGAGCAATTGACAAGCGGCTCAGAGCAGAGGCAGACGGGCGGCTGCGAATGGTGGGCTCCGATATGTTGGCGATAGTCCTGTCAATGGCGGCGGCAGCAAGAGCAAACAGCCCCCCAGACTTCTGGTTCTTAGCGAAGGAGGGAGCCGAGCCAACGGAGGGCGTCGATTGGTGTCCTTGACGGAAGTAGCTCGAAGACACCAGAGCGTCAGAGACGGGCTCGACCTGGGATCCGGGACTGGTATATGTAGCCTTCCTGCCGGTAGAAGAGGGCTGCTTCTGGACCTGAGCTTGCGCTGAGACGTTACCAGTCGTGTCTATGCGGGATGGTGGCTGGCGAAGCTGCTGGTTCTTTTGGTCGTTTGGAGGTAGCGACGATGATGACGACGGTGGTGGTGGTGGTTTTTGAGAGGGTTGTGAAATTGCAGCCATCAAACGACATTAAGACTGGGAGGTAGATGGGGTCTTTTTTCTAGGTTGGCGTAAGCCGGGCGAAAACATTAGGGTCATATAATAGGCTCGGGTTCTCGTAATCTAGGGGGGGTGGAATTGGAATCTGGTCAGGCAGAGAGAGGAGAAGGGGAGGGCAAGAGAGAGAGAGAGAGAGAGAGACAGGCAGAGAGGAGTGTGTGGAGTTTCCAGTGAAGGTATAGAACGGTATTAATTGGGAAGCGGGACGGGGGGCTGGTTGGTTGAAGGATATATCAGGTCCTCTCTCTCTAGTCCGAACCAGGAAGAAGTACCTGAGGAGAGACGTCGAAGCGGTGCGAGCAGGTACTTGGTGTCGTTCCCAGCTCAGTCGCGTAGTAGAATGGGCGCATGCGCACGCATTGGGCGCCCAGGTTCGGTTGGTGAGGTATTGTGCTGTCGACGGTAGCGTAGCGTAGCGTGGAAGAGAGGGAGACGGGACGTACAGAGTCGAGATGAGGGTGTGCGTGGTGTGTGTGGGAGAGGTAGGGTAGGTCAGTATGTAGGGCGTCCACAGAGATGCGAAGACTGGACGGACGAGGTGGAGGGGCCCCTGGCGAGCTAGCAAGCGGGTCTTTTCCCTCGGCCACATGGGCATAAACTAGGCAAGTACGTACTACAAGGCTCGGGTACCTGGTACAGCCGATGGGTAGGTGCAAGGTTGCATCCATTCGACGTAGGTATCTACATACATGGGAGGTACGTTGCCGGTGCGAGGCAGACGGCAGCGGACATGGTATATCTGTACGTAGGTGTGTGCCAGGAGGGGGGGGGGGTGCTGCTGGCAGCAACAGGGCCAGGTACCTACACCTATACCTTTCCCCCCCTGCTGAGGGAGCCCTGCATCTTATATGCCAGAGTACCTGCCATGTACATATATACGTGCGCATGTACACGCCTACCGCATACAAGGTACCCAGGGCGCCTGTATGAGAGGTAGGTACTACCCACGCACATATGCATATCTTACACATGTACTTGATGTAACGCAAATGTGGGTAAGGATCAATTTACGGATCCATCCACCACCTACCACCTGCATGGTCACTTCAACTTAAGTGTGCCTTCTATACATACGGTCAGTAGGAATCATGAATGCAGGTGGGCAGGTACCTAATCTACTCACCTACTACCTAGGTAGCTACCTCCTTAGGTACCTACCTAACGTAGAGAAGGCAGACGCGGCATCCACAGCACTCGACAACGGACCTGCTCAGGTACCTGCTAACAGCCAGGCAGATACCCGCCCCCTCTCCTACCTGTAGGCAGGCTGGGGTGTATTGGCTGGGAAGATACTTGCCTCACCTTGGGACAGGCACCCAGCTGCCTTAGGTACTTATACCTACCTATCTTAGGTGCCTCCTCTACCTCGGGAGGTAAGTGTTTGCGCTGCCTAGGCTTAGGTGATGTGCTGCGCGGCCTGTCTAATCTACGTACGAGCCATCCGTTAGCATGGAAGGAAACCCGGTATTAGGAGATCTCTATGTCGACCTGTCCGTGTGTCGACTTGAAGTCGGCAGGTCGGCAGGTAAATACCTACCTAGGTAGGTAGGCACGTAGGTTAGGAAGTATACGCGTATGTCTGACTAGCGTACGGGCATCATGCACTGGACGGAGGCGTGTATAGTGGATATCCACGCGTACCCACGCGCCCAGAGGTATGGACCTACAGGCACCTAACATTGCCCGAGTTTCAACCTCTAGGCACATGCAGAACCCACCTGCCGCTTAGCGCCTACTAGAGGTATCTATAGCATGGGTCAGTAGACTCCAATTCTCATAGCTACCTAGTCCTAGAAGCGGGCTGTCGAAACGTTCTCGAGGTTCCCCACAGTCTATTATCGGTACCTTGGAAATATACTGATACAGGTCCTGACCTCACCAGCAGATTCATTCCTGGCCCCCCCCTCTCCCCCCTCGCATGGCAAGGAGTGAAATTAAGAGAGAGAGGGGGGGAGAGAGCAAGAGAGACAGAGAGCGAGAGAGAGAGAGAGAGAGATGAGGGACGTGGAGGTGAGAAGAGAGAGAGCTGCTGCCCTCAGATCTGGATCGAATAGCCTTGGAACCTGGTGAAGAATTTTGGGATGGAATCCATTGGCCATTCCATTCTAGCGCACCTGCTTAAGTGGGCTGCCACCTGCCGTTGGAAGCTGGTGGCTTGCCATGTGCGGTGGAGGAATTAAGCGCGTGTTGTGTTTGAGGGAGGGGAAGGAAAATGCGGCGCCTGGGTACCTGCTACCACCGGGACGTCCCATCCGCGCTCCTTTGCGGAGGTACACGGTACTTCGCGTCGTACGTGCAGCTGCATTCACACATGGATGGAGACACCCGTTCGACATTGGTGTATGTGGTACATGGCCAAGAGGCAGGTCGGCACGCACCACACTTGAATTCGCACCACCGCCACCACTACCACCACCACTACCACCACCAACCCCCCCCCCGACGTTCGCGCTACACGGTACATGCTGCGCGCTGCAGGCTGCTTAGTACTGCTACTATTGCATCTTCCACTGCGACGGTTGCTTGGGTAGTTACACTGCCGAGGCGGCCACGAGGCATTGAACGAACAAGCTTGGCCTAGAGATTTTCATTCCGCCCTTCCCACCGAATCATCGTCGGGCAGGACACACTCCACGTATTAAGTACGTCGTCTCGCCAATTACTCCCGAATTGCCCGTGTGGCTGACGTACCGGCGCGGGCTTCCGTCCTACAAAGTGTACCTGAGGCAAAGGCAGGCCAGAAGAGGGGGCGAGGGGTTTCGCGGCTAGAGGTACCCAAGGTGGGTGGGTAGACACATACATATATTAGGTACATATACGTACATGCACCGGGGCAGTGCACATGCTCATAGATTACAGGTAGGTACCTACCTCCTAGCATAGGAGGTAGGCAGACATTACTATGTACTTAGGCCAGGCAGTTCGAAGTGCCCGTTCATGACTAAGGTTGCCAATAACGTCGAGCATTTTGTGGGGCCGCTACACTACCACACTCGCCCCTCTTTTTCCCTCGTTTTTCCCTGAATTGTCTCGTTTCGTAAAACATGACAGAGACAAAGACGCCAACTACCCATCTCTACCCTACCCCACAGGCAATCTACGGGGAGAGGGCTGCCAACAACCCATTGTTATCTCCCCCCGTTGCTGTTCGGATGGTTTATCGTAACCGATCCGCATGACACAGGCTGTGCCTATATGGCTCCGTACAGGAACTGGGGAGAGTTGCTGCCGGTGGTTGCATATGGGAGGGGGGGGGGACGAGAGGGTGCGGGATCCATTCGCCTTCCGATTCTCACGCCCTCGACGCAGCTCAGAGCTCCCAACCCATCACGTGGTCGCTGCCGTTCATGATTACTACATATCACCTATTCTATCCTGCATGCACCACCATCGATATCAAGCTCCGCTGCCCTATAGAAAGATTCCGTCCCCCATCCGCCGTGTCCGCCATGTGGGAACTGTGGGTCCGCGAAGGACATCATCGGGTATGAGCTGCGCCAGCCCATGACAGCTTTCGCTGTATGAGCCGAAAGCGCCGCATCGCAGTCGCACCGGCGACAGAAACATACAGGTAAAACACGCGCACGACCGCGAAGCCGCATATCCCGCGCTGTGCACCGGACAGAGAGACGAGTTGGCCTCTGGGAGACATACTCCTACACAGAGAGGGGCGGGGTGTTTTGACGAATACGCACGTCGGCGGATACGGTACGGCATGAAAATCTTGGACTTGGCTTGCGTATGTGCGTAGGCTCTGTCTATACTAACTACTACGTAGGCCAGGCCAGGTAGTATGTTACATATAGGTACGGGTGTGTGCTATGGAGGTATAGGCGGTATTGTCCCAGGTAGTTGGGTGAATCCCTACCTACGTACTACCGAGACGCGGCCGGCATGGTCCAACATGGTCTAACTTGCCCACTATCGACGACACCGAGGCAGCGTTAGTTCGACTTGTCACGTCGGGTACCTTGGGAAAGTATGTGCTCAAAGGTGATGTTGTCTGCTGAGAACTGCCTGGCCTCCTCCTCGGGGTTGCAGGTGTGCACTCGGCTGTCGATATGTACGCACATACCTACCGGGTAGTATACCTACTTAGTATCTACCCTTGGTAAGGCCAACTCCACAACTTCTATCCCGCTTGCGTTGTTCCACACTAGGGCAAGGAGAGTCATACGGATATGTATAGCATGCAGGTAAGTACTCTAACCTAGGAATGGGTATAGCAGGTCAAGGTAAGTGAAGAGGACTTTTACACTAGCGAGAGAGCCGGTTTGACACTTATTGCTAAACTACGCCGTCATCTGCTACTACGTAGATAGTATGTTCTTTTTCCCCTCTCCCCCATGTTCTTCAAGAACGAGAGCCCACTTCACCTCCTGGTGACTTTCTGTCTCCTCGTCAGGCAGACTCCCCCCATCCCCTCTCCCCTCTCCCCTGCGGGCTATCAGGACTCGTCAGTGGTCAAGCGGGCCTCTTCTACCTCCACTCGCGTGCAACTCTGCTCCGCTCTTAATCATGCCTAGCATGTTTTTTCTCCAGGTGGCCCGATTTGTCCAACGTATTTGGTAGACCGACAGATCTGCACGTGCTGGCAGGGATTCCGCAGGGACGCCTTGGACCAACCAGGGCCGTCTTATCCTTCATCAGGCCTGGCGAGCTCTCTGCGGCCAGGGCGACTTTACCCTTTCTCCTCTGGTGGTTGCTTCGCGTGTCAGTTATGATTAATGATCCAGCCTCCTTAGGCCCTTGAATGACTTCGATACAGACAGTTCGCGGGACGTTCTCTCGGCACTGTGTGCGTTAGCACGCGCCTATCATCACGCACCTTTATACCTGTGGATGCATGTATGTATGTAGGTAGGTAGGTAGGTTAGGCATGCGTATCATGTAGGTATATATGTATGTAAAGATGTATGTATGTATGTATGTACGGATGGATGGATGTGGACGCAGGCCAGGCTAAGAGTATTTGGCATCGCCAGGTCTGGCGCCATGTCCGCAGCGTATCACTGTCATTATCTCTCTCGCGACCGTCAGCCATCGATGCCACACAGCCGAGACCATCTCCGAGTTACACCACCAACTCCGAGCTGGGGACTCCCAACCTCCTCGCCCTTCTCGACCCGACTTCGGCGGGCATACTGCTACACACCTCCTCGAGCGACTGTACGTAGGCACCTCATATGCACACCTCCCTACGTAGCGTCTACACATACATAGATTCGTATACGCATGCCATCAGCCTACCTTAGGTAGGTACCTAGAGAGTTCATACCCACACGCATTCACCCTACACGCCTGTAGGTATGAGGTGTGTGCGTATCAGGTATATCAATTATATGCACAGACAGAAGGATTGTCGTATCGCCCGCGAATACTAGGTATGTGCCTACAGAGTTGTCTAGATAAAAAGCAACAACCCCTCCTCTCCTCCCCTCCCCGGGTTGACCCCAGAGTCGGTGAATTTCGCCCGAGATATTGGGTCTCGTTTAAATCTAGATCCGATGGCCCACTTCGCCTCCCCGTCTGTTGATGTTGACGACGGAGCGGAGGGGAAGAGTTACATAAGTTAGATGTCGCCACAAGGGAGAAACACCCGGGAAGAAAAAAAAAAAAAACAACACGGCGTACACGCACTATTGAGATGTGATAATACATGCACATACGCGCATACGTTATGTAGACTAGAACCAATAGACTCCAGTTCCACGTGCGTGTGCCATGTGGTTCATCAAGGCGTAGTGTGAGAACGAAACGACGCCACCGGAACTCGCTTGGCCTATGTGTATATTACGGTGTGGCCACCACAGCACACCGCATACGCCGTCGACATTGTCTGTATCGCCGTCCATACAAATCCCGGCAAGTTGAGAGGCGGCATCCAGACATGAAATTTGCAGGCCAATATAGCCACGGGCCCGAGCCGGCATATCCAGGCACAGAAGTGTCCGACAGAACAGTAAAGTCCTCTACGGTGGGTAGACCTAGACGTGGGCGGCGCAATCACCAAGTCTTGACTGCCCGCCCCTATACATACTACCTCCGACTTGCATGTCCCCCATGGTTATGGGTGTACAAATAAATATGTGTATATATATGCATGTCTTCTATCGGATCTTGGCAGAGCGCTGTGCCCACTCCGCTGGTGTGTAAGTGTTGTATGGGAATACCTACCTAGGTACGTACGTACGGCCATTCAAATAGACTCACCTCCTCTCCACGGGAATTAGAGGTATCTAGCATGATGTACTAGCAGCAGGTGTGGATATGAAGGTACTCATAGGTGGCTATCAGACCGGGATCCATCTGGTACGGAAGCATGATAGAAGAGATGACGCTTACTAGATTGCATCGAAATTGAGAGTCATTTGCACACATCTTAGTAGGTACGTGCCTTTTTTTTTTCTTGCTCTTGGTTCTTTTCTGGGATTGTGCCTTGCGATAGATTCCAAACCTAAAGGTTAGCGACACGGGTGTATGTACGCGTCGGAGGGAGAGAAGGAAAGCAGCGAGAGGCCGAAGAGATCGCCACTCGATACCAAACATCGCGTTGAATTATGACCGAATGCTTGGTAATGCTGTCAACGCTGCCGGTATCCCCCCGTCCCCAACCACCCGGATCTGCAGGCGGATCTCAGTTGCGCCTTATCATCTCGATATCGTCTCCCCGTCTCGTCGGTAAAGCGAGGAAGCTATGCACATTCATACATCCGTCTCTTCATACTACCTACGTCCATGGCTGGGGCTCGACCAGGATCGCTTCCACCTCACCCGTCTTGCCGCAGGGCAACGAGGGACCGGCATGCACTGTGTCGTCGGAGGGTCGCCCATGGTCTTGTGGTACGGACACGCCGTCTCGAATGGCTAAATTGCCACAGATGAGGAGCCGAAATCCACCAGGACGGGGTGGAGAAACGCCCAATGCTTCTAGCGTTTCTAGAAGGTGATCATGAGATGAGCCCGCGGCTGAAAATAGCCACGGTCATCACCGTATCCGAACACAGGGGAGGGATGGGCTTCCTGATCCTCGACGTTTGACGTTTCGGTCCCCGACGAGCGGGCACCCAACACGTACAGCATTGGGTATCGAAGCGATGGACACACCGTATGCGACAACTCCTACGAGGCGGTGGTGCGATGGAGTGCTACCTATAACCTACGTATATCATATCGGATGTGCTTTCATTCCGAGACAGCAGAACCAAGACGTCGGGCGCCGGCGATTGTTTTAGCATCACGCGCGCGTCCAGCCTTTCCGGATTTCGATCGCTTCTTTTTCCGCCGCGCTCCAACATGTTATGCATCTCCACAGGGATCTGACAATCCACGTTTCTTGGCTCAGCCGCCCATATCTGACGACGATGATCCCAACTTCAGGCAATATCTACCTAATATATTGCACTACTAAGACCGAGAATGGCAGGGAGCTCTCCACGTGTCGGACGGCGCCCGTCAGGTCATCTCAGCTTCTCGAAGAATACCCATTCTAATACGGATCCGCGAGGAAGGGTGTCGCATGCCCGTAACCCTGCGCAGATGATGGACCTGAGAGGCATCTACACAGGTAACTAGGTATACATACTTGTCAGCGGCCGTACCGAACGCAGTAGATGCTTCGCCACCTCCGAATCATCGGAGTTCACGGTTGCCGACGTTGAACTGGCCTGGGGGCCACCTAAGTACGGTATTGGCAGGCAACTGGGTACCTAGGTAACCGACAGACATCAAATATAGTGCTGTACGGTACCGTTGCAGCGACGAGGCCGAGTCGCAAGCAAATCGTAAGCTGCGAAGTCTGCGATGCATTGCCACCCTTCTCCGGTCATGGCTCGCGCGAGCATTGTTATTAAGGGTGAAGAAGCGAGTCGCGGTATAAAGGGGCAGCTATTTTATTGGGTAGGTTAGGTACCTAATGCGATACGTGTCCGTTTCCCCTGGTAATACTGCAATTGTCCCCCACTACTGCACCACACTTTAGCCGCTACCGACCGCTTACTACGCGCTGTCTTTTTTTTTTTCCTTCAACCCCTCCTTCGTGGCACTAGACTATCTGGGGACACATCTGGGCGAAGCAGCATTCAATCTGTCAGAGCTCACAGCCTCCATACTATACCCAACCGTATATATGCATACCTCCCTATGTGTGGTGCGTGGAGAGGTGGCCGCGGGGAGAGAGGGGGCAGCTTGGAGTTGAACACCGGGGTTTTCTGCCCTGTCGCCGGTGATATTCCGGAAATACCGACAACTGAGTCAATCCTTTTCCCTTCAGAGCCCTACCCTACACATCGTCAGTCAGTTTCTCTCGAAATCTAGATAGAATTGTATGGAATATGGATGCGCCTCTGCCTACATCTGACTAACTCAACGGATGCAACGATAATCGTAACCAAAATAGTGACGGCTTGTCATCTCATGCTCCCTGTACACGTTGCGGGGGGGAGGGAGAGAGAAAAAAAAGGACATGCACCCGCCAACCCATCCATGCATGCGTCCTCGTGTTCTCTTATTTAATACAAAAAGAAAGAAAGAGAAAATCATGCAAAAGAAGAATTCCTAAGAGGCAGGTAGTTACTCAGGGTCGCTCGCTTGTCGACGAGCGTTGTTTTATTTAATGCATAGGTACCTACCCCCCCTTCGATAAGGCAATAATTGACCTACGGAGTACCTACATATAACGGCCTCCAGCTGCTGGAGGAGCCAAGGCAAGCAACGATAGGTACTCAAGGGCAAGTTATATACTACACGCCGTCGATGTTAGTGGGCATTGGCGTCCGTCCGGTGAGGTTCTAGCATGGTTTTTCTAGTTTGTCGAACCACCTGAGTTGCTGGAAGCACTTGTCGACGTCGGCTGCTAGTGCTAGACCCGTAGGTGTGTCGGGAGGAGGTACCGGTACTCGGATACATCGAAATCAGAGAGATCTTTGCCGAAGCCAGTCCACGTTATAGGGTGGAGCCGCCACGTGGAAAAAAGAGGCCACGGACCGAAAGTAGGGGTCAGCATCGCGTGCCGTGGATATTGCCGGCCCTATTGGGAATGTATTCCTGCAGATCCAAAAACGCGGCCGCCATACGTCGGGCGCGTGCGCCATGTATCGGTACATTCCCAGAAACCACGCCTCGGGTACCTCATGTACCTACCCCTAAGCATGAAAGGGCCCCGGACGCCCTTACCTAAGCCGGCTTCTGGCGCGAGGTGGCGCTGGTTGCACCGATGACTCGCTAGCAGATGAAATTATGCCGGATTGATTGGGCCGGGTTTTCCTCCTCCCAGACCTTTCCGTCGATGCCACCACACCGTACATTGTCCGATCTCGAAATGCTTCCACGCGTGGCCTCTGTCTGCATCCGTGTTACGGTGCCCTCTGCAACGCTGATGAAAAGAGGAGAGCTGGAGCATCACGACGCGAGGGCCTTGTCCTGTTCTCGCGCTGCCTGCCCACCCACCATGGCGTTCATTTCCGCACCACATGCGAGGGAGGGAGAGCACAAAGAGACGTGGTGAGGTTGGTGAGTGGAACTGCCCTGGCCTTCGCCCTCTCTCATCCTCATCCCCGTACGTAGTTCTGGTGGCTGGTCTTGTCCCTCGCCACGGAGAACCGAGAGCAGCAGCAGTAGCAAGCCCTTTCTCCCGGCGGGCTGGGAACTGACTTTACAGGGAGGCAGAGGAACAGATAGCGTGCTCGAAAGACCAATCCGTCTGTGCCGCTTGCCGCGTATACTGCCAGTCTGCTATTTTCGGGTCACCCGAGTTCCCAGGTCTTCCTCCCTCGTCCCGTCTGTAAAGGATTGCATCCCCGAGGCTGCATCTCGGCCACATGGCAAATAACCAGGCTCACCCTGTCGATTCTGGAACGCATTTCACGTCAAACGCCGTCCTAGTAGTCTGTTTCACCGAATTTCCACGTAGCAGACGCGGCTAGACGCATCACCCTCACGGCTACCGGCGGGAAC